AAAAAAAAAAAAAAAAAAAGGCAAAATCCTCCAAAGAAGCACAAACTATGACTCCACCACTAATCCACCTAAAAGGGCCATATCATTCTAACCCTGTAACAAGCAAACAAGCCTCATCTATTCCCTCTCGAGCCCATCCTTTCCATCCTTCTGAATACCTCCCCCCTTCTTACCCTCCTGCGCCTTCATACTCCTCCACTCCATCCCCAAAGCCCCCACAACCGTCGCACAAGCACACGCAACAGCAACATAAAACGCCTGGACAACAGCCTCATTATAACCTCTCAAAACTACCCCCAAAGCCTTTTCAGGAACAACCTCCCTCACCGCCGTAGCCCCAGTCCCCACAACACTGCGCGCATCCACGCCCCCAATCCCCTCCACAATGCTCACCAACCGATTCGCAAAAACATTATTCGCAACAGAAACCCACAACGCGCCCCCAAAATACTGCGCAAAGAAAACCAAGGACACACCGGTGGACACGTCCGCCGGCGCCAGAACCGTCTGCGCCGCTGCCGCGGGCTGCTGCATTCCTATTCCTAGCCCCAGACCGAAACATACCTGGTACCCGATCCATTTGCTATGGTTGGTTGTCTGGGTGAAGGTTGTCATTAGGCCGGAGCCGAGCGCGAGGAGGATGGAGGCGAGGATCATAAAGGGGGTGTAGTAGCCAGACCTTGTTACGCCTGCGCCGGCGAGGATGCTCCCGACGACTAGGCCGAGGATTAGGGGGAGGGTCATAATGCCTGAATTGACGGCGCTGGCGTCTTTGATAGCCTGGAACCAGATGGGGAGGTAGTAGAGGATGACGAGCATTGCGCCGTTGAGGGCGAAGGTGTACCAGAAGCCGGAGAGGATGGAGCGGTGGAGGAGGATGCGGGGGGGCACTGTTGCGGAGTCTTGTTTCCAGGCTTGGATGGCGATGAAGGTCAGGAGGAGGATTGCTGAGACGACCAGGAGGGCTATTACGCGGCCGCTGCTCCACGGGTAGGTTGAGCCGCCCCATTGGAGGGCTAGGAGGAGGCAGACCATTCCGGGGAGGAAGACCGCTGTGCCGAGGGGGTCGAGCTTTGCGAGGCGCTCGCGGGTTGAGAGATCTTTGTGGGGTGGTTCTGGGAGGTGGAGGATTAGGGCTATAATGGCTATTGTGACGGCGCCGATGGGGAGGTTGATGTAGAAGCACCAGCGCCAGGAGACGTTCTCGGTGAAGGCGCCGCCCATTAGGGGGGCGACGACGGAGGCAATGCCGAAGACGGCGCCGAGGAGGCCTGTGTACATGGGTCGTTTGTGTAGTGGTGCGATGTGCACGATGATCACCACGCCGCCAGAGACTAGTCCTGAGGATCCTATACCGGCGATGGCCCGTCCCACGATGAAGGCAGTTGAGGATGGCGCGGCCCCGCAGATTACTGAGCCGACTTCAAAGAGGAGGATGGCACTCAGGAATACCCATTTCGGGGAGTAGAATGTGTATATCCGGCCGAAGACGAGTTGGAACGAGCAGCATGTGAGTAGGTAGGCACTGCCGTACCAACCAATGTCGCCGAGGGAGTGGAAGGTATCCGTTATCCGGGGAATTGCCGTTGCGATTATTGTTCGATCCTGTGCTAGTTAATTTCTATACTAGGAAAGAAGAGAAGCTATAGGGAGCGTACCAATGCTACCAGGAAGATCGCCAGATACAAAGCGATCGTGATCATGATAACCTTCGGTAACGGGGGATATTCGGGGACATCCTGTTGCGAAGAATTAACCTTCTCACTTTTCGGTCCCTCCAGCATGCTTGTAGTAGAATCCAATATAGCAGAGGGACCTTTCTGATCCATTGGCGTGTTGTCATTCAGAGCAGTCATCTTGACAAGGAGGCTGTAGATCTCGTTGTATTGTATGTTTGTCCAATAGAACGTACGCAACACACGGTAGGCAAAATATAGGCGTAGTGAAGGGCGAAAGGAGGCACTGACAGGCCATTATTATCTTGGAATATCTCATTCTTATAGCCCTTATTAAATCCAAAGAGCTAGGACGTCCATCCCGAGACACAGCTCGAAGAATATCTCGGGTGCTGTTCTCGGGCCCGAGAACTACCATATGTCTCGGGCGTCAAATAGTAAGCACTAGTAAAGAGCCAATAGAAAATCATGAAGTACACATAGTCTGGCTAATATTGTTCGGGTAAAGACTCTTCTTGTGCGCCCGAGACCCGAAACTCTTCTAGCTTCAAGTAGATAAATAGGTAGAGCTTCTTATCCATCATCACGATTCTCCAAATAATATGCTTAGCTGTATATCGTTGACTGCAAGGTTCTACTCCTTTGCTTTCAGTTTCACTGCTGCGATACGTAGTCTTCTCTTGTTATTCCATCACCATCCTCTGTGAAATTGCTCGTCGCAATGTCAACTGTTTCCACAACCATGGCTCAGGCCAAGTAAACTATGGAGACGGACCATACGTCCTCATCACAGATACTGGTCTCGAAGCTCGTCCAGAAGTACCACGAGATCACGACGTTGTGGAGTTCACCCAAAGCATGGCTCTCGTCCACAACCAGATTCTCCGTGCCCTGAACGCCGCACACAACCACTGCCTTACGGTCGAGCCGGGCACCCAGGCGGCTCAAGACTTTCTCATTGTCAACCAATGCATCGTAGACGTACTGTAGTCCCACCATGACATGGAAGAAGAGCGTCTGTTTCCCGCACTAGAAAAGATCTTGAACCAGCCCGGGGCAATGGAGGGTAATCGGCAGGAACACCAAGCCTTTCACGATGAACTTCTAGAGTTCCACAGTTATGTATTTACAACATATTCCCCAAGGATACCACGGAGCGACAATAAAAGCCAAAACTGAAGCGTTAGGACCACTAGTGGAGGAACATCTTCACAATGAGGTTCCACTCCTTTACGATCTCCACGTTATAGACAGCGAAGCGTTGACATCTCTTTGGAAAGATGCAATGAACGGATATAAACCAAAGTTTAACCTATTTCGGTACGCTTTTTCTAAAAACATCACTTCTTTTGTTCTCTTTACTGACCGTTTTCTGCAGACGTTTCCCCTTTATGGTGACTTGCACCGACAATACATTTTTGTGAGATGGTCATATCGCCCCGTTTCCAGGGTTCCCTCCTTTTGTGGGATACGTTGTCAAGTTTCTGTTGGGTGTTAGATTCTCTGGAGCTTGGGAATTCTCTCCGAGCGATTTTGCTGGTCGTCCACGCCTCATGTTGTATGCCTAATATGTCTCTTGGGTGGCATAGGCAGGATGGGGGGTTGGTTTTATCCTATATAACAAGTTATGGAATGCGGAGTTCAGGTTTGGGATTAATGGTTCAGGCGTTCTAGAGGGATCCACATACCGAATATATTGAATCATTACTCTTTGATATAGCTTACCATACTACGAATTTTTAATAATTTTGATACTCCGTTCTACTTGATATGGAAGGTTGCATACCGTAGAGAGCCTGCCAAGCCCCTACCCTTAAACATGGATACACCAATAGATGCAGGTAACTATCCTTTACCTAATTTTGGATATGGATGAGAGGCTGAAGGTCATGGCCTGGAGAAAGTCTTAAAGTACCAAGAGAGTGGAATGTTAGCGCGCTCCCCTACATCAGCGTTGGTGTGCTGTGTAAACAGGCCTAGGCTCCCAGTTAATATTTTTGATCGATATTAGAAGCCAGCCCAGGTAGAGGGCAAGGCATAGTAACATATATAAGCCAAATTTGAATTCTTATGTTCGGAAAGAAGCATTTTGACGCTCATGGCCAGAATATCCCTTAGAAGAAACAACGGTCGGTTAGGTCTAGGACTTATGATGGAACTCTTCGGAGCCTTGAATAGTATATAGGTGAAAATTGTCAGACCAAAGATATCGTCATTATTCAAGGAATGTTGACAACTAGATTGGACGTTAGGCTGTGCTGCCATACTAAGTTGCTTATGCACGAATACAGGCTCGATAGTGTATGTTATAATCAAGGGTATTCTTCGCATTGCTGTCCTAAAAAAGAACAGGACTGACAATATTGCTGGCCAGAGCTTCTTCAACAATGTCTGGAGTAGGTCGTCTCATTAACATCTTACAACTCATTATGATATGATATTTTCCATGCACATTCAACAACCAGGATTTGGTTTACTCTAGCCAGAGTTTGACTAGACTCAACCGTACATGTATTAGTAGGACTTCAAACCAAGTGGCCGTGCAGTATAGTACAATGATATGGATTGGTATTCATAGGTTAACTTCTGGGAATACAGCAGGGTTATTTTCTATATTTTTACTAATATTTTCCCTAAGATACTAGTATAGTACTAGTATAACTGATTATCAAAAACCAATATACTTTAATATTTTTAATATTTATTATACACTATTTATTAACGCCTGTTAAGTTCATAATAGAGAAAATTAGTAGTCTTTGTAAACCTAAAAGTTTATCAACCGATCGACTATATATATTTGTTCACCTACAGGCAATGTCACTTTCAATGATATGTATGATACCTATACTACGCAATACAGTACCTTGCAACTCTAAGCAGTATATAAGTCGCAATAGGTCATTCTATTTGTTCCGGGCTGGGTGCAACTCGTTGGGATATTGTTTTGCTAAGGTTGCAGATCTCGCCTTTAAATCCCAGTCCTGGGACTCCTTTTTCCTTCCTTGTTTAAGTTCACGTCATATTTTAGCAACAGATCTTACATCTGTGAGACAGACTGACGCTCACTGGTTGCTCAGCGTCTTGAAGTGTACTCAGAAGTTGGTGATACATATAGTATCTACCTATGGTACATCAATTCTTCTTGAGTTACTATTATAGTTAGTAGTCTATATCGAAATCCTTCCAGTCCTTTCATCCACTCAAATCACGTCTTTTAAATGCTCTTCAGTACCACAAATAGCAGAAACAGCTGCAATAAGAGTGTAATACGATGTTTCGGGAGCATACAAATTTGAATTTTGATTTACCATACTTTGAGCGCGTGAGCATCCTTGGTTGTTGCACTTCGCTTTTGTTGACAATGGATGGTAGCTGACCAGTGGACTATATAGTTCTCGGACTGACCATTTTGTGGCCCTTTATAGACACAGAATAGTCTTGTGCTAGTGTTGGCCAATAGCACCTTTCTCTCAATAAAACAGAACTTATAGATATTAGCAACAGAGGGCCTCTCCTGGACCATTGAATTGTTCGCTCCAAGGAGCTTCAAGCTCTCTGCAGACTCTGATGTCGTAAGCATCCCTTATATTTCTGTGTACAATATCTCTAATGCGACCTTTAACTCACATCGAAGAGGCAGGCATTGGGGTATTAAGCAATATTTGGTCATGTTTCGACTCTGCTTCTGACCTCAAAAGATGATCATCACATTCTTTGTGTCGGCCTGGTTCCCGTTCTTGGTCATAATGGTGACTGTATGCTTCGTCGAGATCTTTCCAAAGGAGCTCACGAATGATATCGACAGGTTCATAATCCAGTTTACTCGCCGACCTAAACGCCCTGTCCCACGCTCCTTCAGTAACAGTCTAGATCCAATCTCCTTAGAAGTCCTGCAAAGGGTTGCAATAATTCTGAGCAGTCATCAGCTCATTACCGGCCGTCGATCTTCGTAGTTGCATAGGAGAAGCACTGCAAGATGCCCCTGTATCACTTTAAATCGCCTTTCTGCTCGGATCGACGAGTTTTATCACCCACCAATCCCGGCTCATGGCAACAGGTTACGTCTTACGGGGAAGCAGCCTCTTCCCCAGATACTGGAGATTCCTCAGGGCATTCACTATCTTTACCTTCGTGCTGGCTGCCAACACCATCGTCCATAACGACAATTTCCTCGCAAATACGGTCTGTGAACCCAATGCGCTCTCTCGAGCGAAGGAGTATATACCATTTTCTGTGATGGATGGTGGAAGACCAGCATATATTCTCGCCATGACTTACTTGCGTGGTCTCAGATCCTCACCTCCATGTTCATGGATTGTTAATCCTGGCGTTTCTAGCCTGATTAACGAGGAAGGTCGTCCTTGTTCGTAAATCTGCGGCGTCTCTCAAGGTACGAATTCTCGACGTTCCACTGAGAAGGGCGAGGAAGAGTTGGAAGAGACCATTCCACGTTCTTCATTCTTCTGGGTTTGATTATTGCAGACTTTGCTATCAAACATTTATATGAAAATGGGAATGGACTGAGTGAGGCATATAAGGGACATTTCCCGGTTAGACTGCAGATTCCCAGAGGGACCGGGGTTTACCTTAAGTGGGTAGGTGATGTTTTACTTGGCATGGCATTTATTGAATCCATCGGAACTATTCGTGGTCTTGTTCCTGAATTACTCCGTAAAATCTCCGGGTAGGGCTCTTCTACATCGTACGTTGATAAGCAATGGCTGACCTCTGCTACTGGGCAATACATAATTATTTAATCAATATCCTAGATGCCTGTGCCTATCATTTCTTCACATGGCTTGCCATTCTTCAGTGACGTCCAGGTCTATTTAATTTTCAATCTATTCTGGGAGATATTTAGATTAAACCCACTTGAGGCCAAGATATTATCGACCATCCAATCCTTCCACGTGCAGAAGAAACACACCACAAGTATAAACTACTCCTGCATTAGACGCATGCTCATCACCGACGGCAGTTCTACTAATGTCGAGTTAGATTAAACTGTCGGAGTACCCCCTTTTTCGTCTTCCGAACGACGATCTCCGACATGCAAATAAATTTATAAAGACCGGGACCCATCGCCGATCACAGTTCTTTTTCTCCAGCGATTTAACACTTCTCTCACAGCCAAATATACAACAAAACAAGGGGGAAAGAATAAGATAAAATCAAAGAAAAATGCGCTCAATCACGTACCTAACCAGCGGCCTCCCGATCGCCCTGGCAGCCACATCGGGCCAATTCGATGTTCTCTCCATGAACGTCGCCGGTCTACCGGCAATCTTCAACGGCAACGAAGTGCCCGGCGATAAAACCACCAATTCCGAAGCGATGGGGACCAAGTTCACGGAATACGATTATGATGTGATTAACGTGCAAGAAGACTTTAATTACCATGCCTCTATCTACAAGACCGACAAACACCCGTATCGCACCGCTACTTCCGGCGGCGCGGGCATCGGATCGGGCTTAAACACGCTTGCCAACTATCCTTGGATAGACTTTGAGCGAGTCAAGTGGGCAACTTGCTCCGATGCCTCGGGTGCGGATTGTTTGACCCCGAAGGGGTTCACCTCGATGCGTGTGCGTTTCGATGAGGGTGTCTATGTGGACTTCTATAATCTTCATGCTGATGCTGGGTATGGGGCTTCTCTTTTTGGAGAAAAGCATAGCTCGAAACTAATGTAAAGTAGTTCCGAAACCAAAGATGTCGAAGCCCGCAGCGCCAATCTCCAGCAATTAGCTGATTATATCGGGACAAATTCCGTGGGCAATGCAGTCCTGGTCTTTGGCGATACCAATGCGCGATACACCTCCGCGGGGGAGAACACCCGCGTGTTTGCCGCCGAACAGAACATGACAAACCCCTGGGTGGAACTAATTCTGAAGGGCGTCGAGCCCAAAGAGGGAACTGGTCCCTGGATGTGCGAGAACCCGACGACGAATAATACCTGCGAGACGGTGGACAAGATCTTGTATGTGTGACTCTGGAATGGTTCCTGATTGAGGGGCTATGTAGCTAACTTATCGAAACAGCTACCGTGGAAGCCGATCGATCGAATTGAGCGCGACCTTCTGGAGTTACGTGGGTAGCAAGTTTCTCTTAGATGGACATATCCTCTCCGATCATAACCCCGTTACTTCAAACTTTACCTGGAAGTTGTCTGATTCAGTGCGCCAAAGCGACCTTTTCGGTGGACCTCATGGGTGTGTTTCCTATCAACTTCAATATTGGTTTGAGAGTAAGCTGACTCTCATAGAACCTGGTTTAACGATCTCTCTTCCATTCCCTCGTCTCCGAAGCCTAGCAAGATTTCTCTCAAGGGAGCGAACCGCGTGGACAGCGTGGGCTTAACCTTGACTTCCGGCCAAGATTACACCCACGGCGGAACGGGCGGCACCGCGGCGGAGCTGACTCTGGCTAACGACGAATACTGGACACAGGCGAAGCTTTGCCAGGGTAAATACAATGATCATACCCGTATCTTCTACTTGCTGGCGACTACCAGCATGGGGAAGACTGTCAGTACCGGTAAAACGACAGGTGACTGCAAGGACTTCACGGCGCCGCATGGATGGCAGATAGTTGGGTTCTATGGACGGGATGGGGATGAGGTAGATCAGTTGGGCTTTGTTTATGCACCGCAGTGAAGGGGGGAGGTTTGAATTTGCAAGCAATGTATATATTTGCCAGAACCAGTTCTTATGTGACAAGTTGAAATCCATCAGTTGAGTATAAGTATCACATGTTCATCACTCTTTGACAGTGCAGGAAGGTGTCATCACTTGGTCTGTCAATTATTATTATTATTAATCAAGTTTAACTGGACTGTCAATTATTGAAGGGATGAAAGTGCTAAACCCAGCGTGAGCCCTAGTTCAAGGACCCAAATAAGCCCGTCCAAACGCAAGACGAGTACTAATGCCGTCCGTTTTGGTTTTAACAATAAAAGTGAGCGGTTGTAGGACCTGAACCACTTCTTACACCAATGTAGAAAAATGAATCATGATGATATTCCGGGTTGAGCAAGTCGTCATACCGATCTTGGATGAATTCTAGAGAGAGACCAAGGCATTGATGCTCGTAGCGCTCTGGTTCTGAGCCCGCTGGAGACTTTCTATGTCTACTGTCTTGGGAAGCAACAATCCTACCCTCTCGTCTTGCATGGTTTCAAGGCCTGTAAAACAAGATATAGGACTAACGAGCAAGTGGAACTAGAAACGAGGGGGATTTCTCGTCGACTTCGTCCACGGTCACGATTTCTTGCTTGCTGATCATATTGGTATCGCCTTCCATTTTGTTAAGGGAGACACCCATGGACCTGGACATAACTCGGGAACTAGAGCTTCTTCCCAGGTGGCCTGCGTGCCCAGGTTCCTTTGGCAGTCGTCCGGCGCAGCAGCCCTCCACGCCGCCAAAAAGTAAGCGCGGTGTATACAGTGCCTTGGGCGTTTCCTAATTGGTCCTCAAATCTGAATGACTCTGCCGCACTGGGCCGAGGCCCAATCACTTGAGATGATGGTTTGCTGGGCTCAGTAGATGCGGTCGTCCATACTACCAGGGACATCGCAATCTCACGGCCGACACGACAATCAGTCAGTTTTAAAGATATTTTCGGTTCGCCCTTTGATCGAAGGAGCTTCATATCACCTATCTTGTCTTTTACATACTATGCCTTACTCAAAAACATAAAAGATCTTTTATCTATTTCTCGCTATACTGTGTTATTATATCATGCTGTGGTTGTTGTTATAATCACTTTGTCCTTTTGCTAACTGGCTATCTATATTCTACATTATTCCCAATACTTATTTCTATATTGTTATCTATAGTTAATCCGTAACCACCAACTCTTACAAGCCACTTCAACTATAGTTCTCATGCAGAGTACAAACGTTCAGTAATCTACATTTCATTCCGTCAGTCAATCAAACATCTATCATCCCGACCCGAAATGACACTGATAGAATAATCCCCAACTTGCGTCTCAGACACTGTCACGCACAATCCACACATAAGACCTTAAAATACTCCTAAATCAGAACGACATATCATAGCAATTGGTAAACACTCACCGCAACCATCCCTACAGTAATCCTCAAGTCCCACCAAACCACCAACGCCATGTTCAAGCAGCATGATTCGTCTAGTCCAGGATGTCCCGACAACCGTACGCTTCAACTAGATAGATACGGGTAAGCTTCCGATAGATCATCCCAAGAGAAAACGGAAGATATCCGCTCCTACCCAGGAAACGCGCGAGGGCACTTCAAATATAGAATGAGCCGAGACGATCAGCTCAGGCTCACCGACTTATGGCGAGAAGGTCGAACGATTGCCTGTCTATAAAGTATTGTAGATCTGTGTGTTATACTAAGAGGGTCTAAGAAAAGCACTTTTCCAAATTAGAGGCTTGGTTGTTTTTGGTAATGTAGACTTGGGATGCCGAAAAAGCCGCGACGTGGTCTATTGAGGCGCTAGATTAAGATATTTATATCGTTACTATATTGCTGATTGGGGTGGTTAGATTGTCTTGGATGTAGTCAGACATCTTCGCACATCTATAGGGTTTACTATACTCGGAAAACTGCAGTCAGGACGTGCATTAGTAAAGATATATCATGTTATCATCAGCCGCTTCGAAGAATATTAGCTTAGAGGCGATTTGTCAAATCTCAGACCATGTATGTTAAAATAGAGTTCGTTCGGCAGGGGACGTAAACCAGAGCTTCCGCACGCAGACAGCATATGATAGCAGCAGAGTTAACCAATCCTTGACTATCAAGAGATGAGTGTTGTTCATCATTATAAAAGTAAGATTTGGGGGCGTGGCGAAAGATACATTGCGCTAAGAATACTTTAGGGTTATGTGTTGCAGTCTGAAACTCGGAGACGACTCCGTGTCTGGTCGAGGGGGAAGGAATTTGCTCCGTCGAAAATAGAGCAAGCCACCAGAACGTTGACCCGATTGTTTGGTCCCTTCATTTATCGTAAGCGGCTCTTCAGATATGCGAGATCCACTGTCCCCACCGGTATAAGCTCATCTTTACCCCTTTTAGTCTTTCGCGGCATACACGGGCCGCGTCCCAATCCCAGAATTGTAATGTGCATCCTGGCCATTCTCGTCAAGGGTTAGTCTCAGGGTGTTTCAGAATTTCTTCCCTTTTGTCTTTTGAGTGTTCTGGGGCTTTGAACTGGACGCTGGGACATTTGCCGATCTTCAGAGAATCAGATCATACGAATTGGGTCCAATCTATGCCAGATGATCATTTCCTGTCTGTCCACGGAGTTTATAGCTCTATATTGTTAATAGGCCTACAGAGTCCTTGATGACAGGATATATAAACCATTGAGCGTGCCCTAAATAGTACTCGTCCTAATCACATCTGCCAACTACCAGCTTCACATACATTCTTTCCATTCCTTCCTTCCATTCAATCCAACATTCAATCCAACATTCACTATGAAGCTTTCTCTGAACCTCTTGCTCCTTCCCATGGCCCTCGGTGCCGCCATCGGAGTCCGTGACGATGCCCGCCGGGGCAATTACTCTGTCTCCGGCTTGGGAGAGCGCAAGCAGGCCATTGTCGCTGCTGGCGGTAACACCATGGACCTTGCCATTGCCATGTTGGAGAAGTGAGTTTCCCTCGAAACATATTGCGAAACCATACTAACAAATGAATCTTAAAGCGACAAAATGGATCCCAGCACCTACCCCTACGGTGAGCCCCCAACCGAGCTTGACACCGATACGCAAGACATTCTGACAAGGGACAGGCGACGGCAAGACCGGTGACGCCACCAACTTCGGTATCTTCAAGCAGAATTGGATGATGCTGCGCACTTCCGCCTCTGAGTTCCTCGGCGAGAAGCCTGAGGACGTCAAGAACGGCGAGGTCCTGAAGTGAGATGGCCGAGGTGACCATTTTCTTCTGCGGCTGTGAGCTAACCTCCTGTAGCACCGACTTGGGCAAGGATATCAAGGCTCGCCACGATGGCGAGAAGAAGTACGGTTTCGATGTGTGGTACGCTGGCCACCGTAACGGTGCCTCTGGTCTCCAGAACCCCAACACTCAGGATATCACCAGTGAGTTATACTGTATCTTCGCACTCCGCTGCTCTGCTAACGAAATGAATAGACTACAAGAACGCCGTCAAGTGGATCAAGTCCCAGATCGAGAGCGACAAGAAGTACCAGAGCGATGACACCCGCTTCTGGGTCGATGTCGTTGCCATCTAAAGCTGGGCATCGCAACGGTGGCTGTTCGCTAGGGGAGAGAAGACGTGTGGTGGTTGAGTATCCGGCAGACTTTCATTCCTTTTATTTATTCTAAGATTCCGGGACTGGTTCCCTGTCGCTCCTTTAGATATACTTCTTCAACAATCCGTCCTGTGGTATCTATATCTTCCCTGTAGTATTAAACCCATCTCATAGTCGTTATATATACACAAAATAAATCACCATGTAAACGTACAACCAACGCCTACAAATTCCCCAAAACCCCACTCTTAACCCCCTCCAGAATCTCCCCCAACTCCCCCCAAACCTTCCTCTGCGCCCTCCCCCCATCCTCACTCCTCACAAAATCAGACAAATAATCTGGTGCCACCCTCCCACAATCCATATACTGCCCATGACTCTCCACACCCCCAACCGCACCCGCAACCAAAGTCCTACTCCCCTCCTCCGTCGACTTCGCCAAAACCATCTTCATAACCGCCATACTCCACCCGCCCTCGCGCGCAAGCTGCGAATGACAAAATCCCGGGTTAATCATATTAACCACGACACTCTCGTCCCTTAGCCTCGCCACCATCTCCCTCACGGCAAGAATCCCGACCAGCTTCGACGTCGGATACCGCTCGTACATATCCGTAGTAGCCTGGTCATCCAAAGCGGAGAAGGTATTCTCGCTTCGCCATTCAGGGAACTTAGTCCAAGCGTGCACTTCGCTGACGACGATGCTGAGCGTTGGCTTTCTCCCTGGATACAATTTCCCCGTTTCCCGTAGCTTCGGGAGAAGGAGCAAGCCTAGGAGGACGGTACTGATTACGTTGACGGTGATGGAGCGCTCGTGGCCCTCCGCCAGCTGGTAGTTTTGAGTCGCCAGGGCTGCGTTCTCAATGACTGCGTCGAGGCGGGGGAGAGCATTTGCGCGGTCTGCGAAGGACAGGACGGAGGCGTACGAGGCTAGATCTACTTCCCAGACTTCGCAGATGCCGGGACGCTTCGTGGATTCTTCGATGGATTTGACGGCTTCGTGGCCTGCGGCTGTGTTGCGGACGGCGAGGATTATTTTGGAGGCGCCGAGGCGGGCGATGTGGCGGGCTGCTTCGAGGCCAAGGCCTGTGTTTGAGCCGGTGATTATTATTGTTTGGTTGGTGAGGGGGGTGCTTGGGGTTGGGGGGTGGTGAAACAGGTTGTGGTAGATGAAGAAGGGAAACGAGACCATCTTGGTGAATGGTTGGTCTGGTTTGATTGGATTGTGTTGTGATCTCAGGGGAAAGATGGGCAGGATGAGACTGTATCAGCTACACGTACGTAGCCTACTGAGGACCGGATGCCATTCCGATAGGTACTCAATTCTATGGACGACTATATCAACTATCTTGAGCGCTTCTCCTTCTCTTCATCTAATGGGTAAAGCCTTCAGGGGCTGAAGAGTTGGTGATCCGGCCAAGCCGCTAAAGCGATCACGTGTCTCCTATAGATTCATATCACTTCCCTTCGTTCAATACCCCGAAACAAATGAAATAAAGCTATACTAGCTTCCTAAATAGGAAATAAAGTAAAAATATAGAACTGATGTGTAGGGGTGTTGAATGCCTTTATCTTATCAGTCTGAGGATCTTGATGTTATATTATAGAACCTTATTTTAACTCCAGCTGCAGTATTCTGATCAATTGCTTTAAGCTATTAGCCTTAGTTGCCTTGGTTAGTCTATCTGCAACCATTTCAGATATGGGGACATAGAATGGCTTGATATCGCCATGCTCAATGAAATCACGAATAGCATGATATCGTACACGAATATACTTGCTATGTAGATAATTAACTGGATTGGATGCTAACGCTAAAGTACCTTGATTATCGATTCCCAATCAGGTTAGTAGCTTGCTATCAATCCCTATATTGGTTGGCTCTTTGGGACACTTCTGGATAGCTACTAGGAAATATCTAATCTAGATAGTATGTTTTGATGCCTCTGCAGCTGCAATATATTCTGTCTCAGTAGTAGATATAGCAGTGATAGGTTGCTTCCTGCTACACCAACTAATTGATCTGCCTGCCATTATAAATACATAAGCACTTGTTGAGCAATAGTTTGTAGTATTTCTATATAATAAATCTGAATAGTTCACTAGCTCATCACTTTCCTTTATGCTATACATAATACCATAAGTAATGGTGCCCTTAATATAGTGCAGGAGTTATTTTAAAGCTCTGAGATAAATATCTTAGGAATCTATAAGATACTGACTTAATCGGTTAACAGCAAACTATATATCCGGTCTGGTACTACCAGTAAGATATATAAGTTATCTAATAATCCTCCTGAACTTGCTGTACAGATCACGGGTGAGCTTTCTAGATAATCTATTATCCAGATTAATATTAGGGCTAAGTAGAATAGTTTAGAGTATTAATTCAGTTATTTTAAATTCTTCTAAAATAGATTATATATAGAACTCTTGGTCAAGCTGTATAGAGTCCTTATTTCAGGTAATCTATATTTCCAGTATCTTTTAGACAAGTCCTTAGTCCTTTATAGAGTGAAAGCGCTTTAATTAATTCTTTATAGACTTAATATCTTTAGTATTCTTATTAAAGACAAGGATATTATCTATATAGAGCGCTATAATAACTCCCCGGTTATTAATAAAGATTCCAGGATCTATAGTGCTTTGTCTAAATTCAATTAAGATAACATATCTCTTGACCTTCTGATTCCAGAGATAGGCTGATTATCAGAGACTGTACAATAACTGTAGGATTTTATATACATTATTTAAATTATAGGAACTAGGACTAATACCTTCCAGGATCTCTATATAAATCTACTTATCAATTCTTGACCTAATATAGGCATTTATTATATCAAGCAAATGTGCTTTTAGGCCATAGGTTATTACTAAAGTAAATAGGATTCAAAGACTTTCTAATTAGATAACTGGAATAAATATATCTTTATAGTCTAATCTCTTCTATTAAGAGAAGTCTTATATCACTAGTCAAGCTTTAAATTAATCAATTTATCTATTAGCTAAGTATTTGATATTAAAGACCTATTTAATTAATACTACAGCTTGATCTTTAGGCCTTTTAACATATCTCCAGGTCCTAAATTGAATCAGATTATTCAGTTCTAGCCTAATTACTTCTTTCTATTTAGCTCTATAGATGGAATTATTAACTGTCTTTTTATAAGTCTTTAGAATAGGGATCATATACCTATTAAGCTTCTCATTAGCTTTGGCCTTGAAAGTATCCTGATTACTGAGATAAAGCTCTAGTGCTACAGCTAGATTAGCCATCTTATTGATATACTGCTGTTCTATAGTAAATCGCGGAGAAGGATTCTTGTCTGCCTTTCTCTCTTCTCTGCAGTGTTGGGCTTGTGGCTTTTGCCTATAGATAGTCTCTGTCTGTTTTGACTTAATAACTGCCTAAATAGGCTTCCGAATTCGGCTTGGTCAGTATGTATCAGAGGATTTAATTGATATCAGGAGTGGTGATAGTGATGGTACAATTGGTCTTATTGGGCTTAGTTAAATAGGCCTGTCAGATCAGCTTATCAGTGACTTAATCTCTGGATCCTGATTAGTTAAATCAGAACTCTGACTGCCTTCAGATCTTATTCTACTGCTTTTAACTTCAGCTTTATTATCAATACCATACTCACCAACAGTGCCTCTGGCGCTTGTATTGACTATACTGTCAACACTTCCACCTTTATTACTTATACTATTTCCTGCGCTCTCTGTAGACGCCTTAATGATGCCTCCCCCAGTTCCTATACTAGAAATTCCTAAATCTCTTTAGAATACAGGTTTATCCCTGATATCTTGAACTCCTGGTTCCTTGCTAATGAAACCTTGTTTATTTTCCAGGAATATAGGATTTATCATCCGGTAGATCTTTTAATCTTTCTTTACCATAACCAGATAATGGTTTCTGCTTGACTTATATTCTATAAATACTTTCTTAATAGCTTGTAGCTCCATCTTATTATTAGTCTTTCTATAGAACTATACTCTAGAGAATGGAATTCAAAGCTTTGATATCTCTAGAGAATATTCTATCTATATCTCAAAGGATATTTTCTTGATATCTTGTATCTGGACTGTTCTATTTCTAAGGTAGATAGCTATCTGAATCGCGTACAGCCAATACTTCTTAGGGATATCTATATCTATCAGGATTGCTCATGTCATCTCTAGAAGATATCTATTTAATCTCTCAGCCACGCTGTTCTGCTGGAATATATCTGGCTCTATAAATTTAATCATAATACCTTTCTTTAAGGCCCATGGCTCTAATACCTTAAATTTCTTTATATTATTAGTCTAAATAATAAGCAGTTTAATATCTTTCTTATGTTTTGCCTAAGCTAACTATTTCTCTATAATAGCTCTCACTGTAGCAGCTTCCCAATTCTTTATTAGATAGATCCATAAGAACCGTATATAGTTATCAGTTAAAAAGAGATAGTATCTCCACTTCTTATAAATCTTTGCCTTACTATATAGATTCTAAAAATCTATATAGACTCACTTTAAGGGCCTTGATATTCTAGAGACTGTCTGATAGTTCTATTTCTTTACACTCTTTACCTGTATATATATCTTACAGGTCTTCAGTTTCTCTATTACTTCTTTCTCTAGCTTAAGTTCTATTCTTTTTACCATATACTTGAATCTGGCCTTTCCCGGATAGCCTAATTATTAATAAAGCAGTTCCTAATCTATATACTTTACAAGCCTTATAGATTCTCTTCCTGGCTTCTCAAAACTTATAACTAATATATTTTTACTTTCTATTTAATCTAGATAGCTTATATAATTAATATTATACTCTCTTACTAGAATATCTTCTCTTCTTTTAAAGAATTGGTATTTTTTTTTTATATACTTATTCTAAATACTTATATCTTACAGTACTTATATTAATAAAAGAGTCTGTCTTATTCTAGATATATATAATGTATTTAAAATCTTTACTACTTTCTTACTGCTTAATAGGATTCTTATTATATCTCTGCCGGTGATTTCTATAGACTTTCTAGCTGTTCCTAAGCTGTCTCTATATCTCTGATCTAATGACTTAAATAGGTCAATCTTACTGCTACAGGTGCTTGTTGCTCTACTGTTAATAATAGAGTCATTGCTCTTCTTTATGCAGTAGGCTTTTTTATTGCTTTTCTCTCCAAGCAAGTGTTTAAATTAATTACTGATTTATTCTTTTAATTAAACTTGGTAGGCATTTTCAATCACTCTATATGCCCTTTCTCTATAAACTTAATAGACACTATCACTGGCAGAACTCCTGCTACTATCACTTAAGCTACTATCGGTATTAGATTCTTTATTTACTGTACGGGCCTTGCCTTTCTAGCATTCTCTATAGCCTCTGCAGCCCTTATCTCTACCCTTTTCTCTATGGCTTCTTTTTAGATCTTGATACTTTTGTCTATTTATCTTATCTTGCTTTTTATCTCTCTTAGGAGCCTTGTAGTCTCTTATAAAGTGATCTATCTTGCTATAATTAAAGTATCCTTTTTGTTTAGCTTGGTTCGCAGCTTTATTAGCTATCTCTCTTATACTAGTCCCTAGCTATAACTCTTTCTGCTACAGTCTTGATAGAATCAGTTCTTGCTCAAGCTTGATATTACTAAATAGAGAATCTCTCATAGTCCTATATTTCTCAGGTAATCTATTTAGAAATATGGTAAGTATTATCAGCTTATTAAATCTATATTTCTGGTTGCTAATCTTATACAGATCAGTATTTATCTGCTCCAACTGCTGGAGAAATATCTTAATATTAACTTTAGGGTCTTTCTTCTATTAGATAATCCTCTGGACCAATATAACTGTATCATACTCAGTTATATGCTTATACTGACTTATCAGGTATTTCCAGACTGTCCCTAAGCTTTTTAGATCTTGAACTGATATCCTATTCTCTTGTTGGATATTTCTCTTGATATAGTATCTGGCAGTTATATTCTAGAAGGCCTATAATAGTTTCTTAAGTAGTTTCTTCAGCTCTTCTGGCTTATCCTACCTGCTAAGAGTCTGCTCTACTATCTTTCAAACTCCTTATATCTCACAGAATTCCTGTATATCTGATTTCCATGTCTGAATATTCTGCTTTGTCAGGTTTGGTATATTAAACTGTACCAACTTTATCAATTTTGCCTCCTTAGACTCGGGAATAGAAGTTGCTATTCTGACTGTTAATTCTCTTCAGAGTTACTTACTAGAATCTCCGGTCACTTTAACTGTCTTATCTATCTCAGCCGCCTTGTTTGCGGTTGTCTTGTCCGTCTCAGTTGGCTCGGGTGCCTCCGGTGTCTCCAGCAGATCTTCTTGGTTGTCAGTCTTAAATACCCCTGGCACTACGCTTGGCTCTCGGGTGTTCTCACGGCTTGATATATATCTCCCTATTCTAGGGTCTCATTCACGCGGTATCCGACCTATTCAGCTTTTGAGATATAGTGGTTTGATAGCCTAATCAGAGATAGATAGGCAGGTTATACGGGCCTGGCCACCTTTAACAAGATCAAGGATCAACATGCTGCGTATAGCTTCAACTCTGCTGGATTGGGTAAGGTAGTTGGCCTTATGCAATCCCCTGAGGTGCTAGGCCTGTTGGTTAGACACAATGTAGCAGCCCGGGCTCATAACCTATGTTGTGATCTCAGGGGAAAGATGGGCAGGATGAGACTGTATCAGCTACACGTACGTAGCCTACTGAGGACCGGATGCCATTCCGATAGGTACTCAATTCTATGGACGACTATATCAACTATCTTGAGCGCTTCTCCTTCTCTTCATCTAATGGGTAAAGCCTTCAGGGGCTGAAGAGTTGGTGATCCGGCCAAGCCGCTAAAGCGATCACGTGTCTCCTATAGATTCATATCAGATTGGATTGGATTGATGGGGCAGTTTTGGGGGCATAGCATACGCGCTCTGATTCTCTATCATTCTGGGGGTCTGTGGTGCTTTTATATAGTGCTAGTGTTTTTTATGCCATGCTGGGTTTCGCTTCTGAGGGCTCAGGCAGCATAGAGTGTGTCATGATTCTTTCGGGACTACCGGAGTTTGGACATGCGGATTTACACTGTGGCGTGCTTATCTCCGGTAGAGGTGTGTCGATTGCTTGGCTTGGGAAGGAGATTCATGATTCGCGAATTGCTCTATTTCCTATGTATTTTTACGTTTTAATTCCTTTCTTTCGTATCTCAATGTCTGTTGGCGTTGATGGTGTTTCGCTGCTTGGTGTTTGCGGTGTCTCTATACTCCATACTGCTATAGTATACTTCTGCCCATTGATTGGCTGCCGATAGTTATGTCTCACGTGGCCTATGATTACGTTGACCTAACATCCAAGCCAATTGGTGGAAACTATACTACTGTAAGCATGGGTTGTCGTACGTTATGAATCTCTTGCCTGACTATTCTTTCGCTAAGATGTGAAATGAATCTGAAGGTTTTCTTGGAGTCAATAAAATTCAAATATACCATCGAACATTCCATTAAACTGGTACATATTATTAGAGGAAATTAATTTACAGTAATCAGCAATATACAGAAGAGCACAAACAACCTAACAACGTTAAATCACAAAGCAGTTATCGAAATACGTTTGGCTCCCGCATTGCCATTCAGCAACGCCGATCCACTGGACTGCCTCAGGTGGTTTTGATGCTTCGCCAGATCCTCAACATCCAAGCTGAACCGACGGGGCCGCTGCCATATGCCCAAGGACTCATCGGCGTCAGCCACCGCTTCGAGCTGCTCTGTCGACAGTCCGAACTTGGTGGCGATCTGGTGCACTCGCTCTTGTGCGGCCGTCGCATCGATAGCAGCGCCTTGACCCTCCTTGGCAAGCCGGGCCTGGGCATGTTGAAGCAGCTCCAGATGTTGCGTGACGGCCTCGACGGCACCTTCTTGGTGGTCCGAGTCACTGTTGAGAAGCTCTGCGAGTGCAGTCTCGTGCAAGGCGGAAGCTGCCAAGTGGTTACCCGAGGCTGTGTACAGACCGGACAGCAGCTTGGTCATCTCCAAAGTGACAGGATCACAATTGCCCCAAACCTGGCGCAGGTTATAGCAGATGTCTTTGCCAAGTTGTGTGGCGGATGAAACGCGACCACGGCAGAACCGAGTCTCAACCAGTCGGCGCCCAATCCACACAACAGCCGGGAGCGACCAAGTCTTTTGGACGATTCGCGAGGTCCAAAGATCGGTAAGAATGGACTGTCTTATTAGCATATTCCTTATCCTATGTTTTGGAAACGTGCATACCTCCAGGTCTTCAAACATTTCATGTTCACCTAGAACAGTGACAAGGTCGTTCAACTCTTCGAAAGGAAGCTCAGTGAACTCTAATGGAAGCTCCTTGGTCTTAGTCATGATCTCTTCTAGCAGCATCTGGGACTCCAGTTTCATGTGTCTTTGAGTCGTCTCATCTATGCACTTCTGTGTCTGGTATCCGTTCAAGTACGAACAGAGCTTGATAGCAGTGAAGATGCTTTCCGGTGTACGTAGTCCATCGGTCAGATGCGCGAAAGAATGGAAGACCCCAGTTACATCTGCTGCGTCCTGAAATTGCGAGCGGTCGCAAAGACCTTTCACCATCCTGGTGGTAGAGGTGATTATATTGATATTATAGTCATCCTGGAGTGATTCGCGCCTGCAGACACCATAGAACTGCTTCACAGAGTCCTTCTGCCGCAGCGGCTGTGCGATAGACAGGTTGTTGCAGAAATAATCGTAAAGCTTTCCCTCAGTATCCTGGGCAGAGCTGTGGCGCTTCTGGTTGGTTTGAAGCCTATGAAGTTTCTCACCAGCAGCCAACGTTGGCATGAGGTCATGACTGGACAAGCTCCGCTGGAAGGCATTGTAGACTTGGCCTTCGCGGGACAGATCGTCAAGAATCTGCCTAGACGAGCGTTGCTTACCGAAGGCTTCCTCAAAGGCAGCAACAAAGACAGCTGGACGATACTCATTGAGAGATTGCCGCTGAGCAGCAGGTGTCTCATTGATTACACGCTGATGTAGGCCGTCAATGAGCCGGTTGCCTTCGTCAATATAGCCCAAGTCTAGATAGATCTGGGCTAATGCGTGGGCGCGGTCAACCAACGCCTCATGATTGGCAGTAACGTGTACCACTTCATCAACGTGGTCATCAAGTAAAGCTGCGCCCTTACGACGAGCTTCAGGGGACTCTTGGACCGCATGCATCCGGGCAATCTCACGCAACCAAAACAGTGTGGTTGGAGCGGAGAGACCTTGTTGCTGCTTGGCCAATGCTAGCTCTTCAGCATACAGGGAGCGTGCAGGTTCCGAAGTGTCCTTCTGGCGGAGATACAGCTGCGCCATTTGGTGCTTAATGCTAATAGGGAGAGGCTCAGACATATCGGGCAAAGCACGCGAACTTTCCGAGGCCGACACCCAGTCGTGAGTGTTTAAGACCTGGTGGTAATTATTAAGAGCTTCCCCGGCATGTTGATCAGAATCCGCACAAAGAGCAGCGAGAGTGAGGGTCGCATCGCGCGTTCGTGCGTCTGTGGGCCCATATAGCTTGCGGCACAACTGCTGATGCTGGGAGGCAACCTTGTACCGCTCTGCATAGCTTCCATTCGCGGCACTGTTGCTCAAAAGTTCCATATAGCCAGTGTACGTCTTAGGTAGCAGGCCCTCAAGCAAAGCACGGTCATAGCCATCCTTTTCATCAAATCGCACAAGCGTGGGCCACAGATGCCGGTAAACTTCCAATGCAGAATCCCATTCTTTGTTTTGCACGTAGATGTTGACTAGGGCCACCGCAGCCCTCACCCCGGAGGAACTGACCTTGCCATCGCGGAGACAGGCCCTGTAAATATGACGGTAGCTGTCCTCAGCTTCGCCCTGCTTGTCCAAACGCAAGGCCAAGTCTCCTTCATAGTACCGGGTGTCGATAGTATGCTTGTCGTGGTCACCTAGCCGAGATCCAAAGAAATCACTGACTTGGTGGAGGAGCACCAGAGCCTTTTGGAACTGGAAGGTAGTCTCGTAAAACTCAACCACGGTCTTCACCACAGCGGTAACTGAAGGTACAGCCACCTGGTCCGCGGTGATAGACGCTTTGAAAGCGTTACCGTATACAATGGAAGCAGTCTGTATGTCCAGACGACGGAACAAACAATACGCATGATCCAATGCTAGGTTAGCCAAAATAGGAGCCTCGCTTGAAGCGAACTTGGCCTTGGACTGGGGATCCTCCACTGTGGGCCATGCATGCTTCAATACTGCCCACGCGGTATCGCTGCCCTCACGCCACTCCTCGTCACGAATGTGTTGCGTTGTGAGCTGGTGGCAGAGTGTCAAGAGCGGAAGGGTCCGCTTCCCGGCGCCCGAAGACGCGATAGAATCGATTAAGCCGGGAAGAAGCTTACTCTCTTCAGGGGATAGAGCTCCCATACTCTCCACATTACCCTGAGCTGGGAGCGATCCCCTGACTAGTGACTCGGCTAAAGTAATGGCCTCCGGTGAGTATTGTTGGCCACTATCGTAGTAATATTTCCAGATTTGGAGGGACAACGCGCGATCCATATCGTCCAAGCCCATTTCGCGGGCTTCAACACGCAATTCGTCTGCTCGGGAGGCCATCTCTGGAGACCTCACGCCGCCGTCTGCCTCCAAGTCCGCCGACAGCTGGCGAAGAATAGCAGTTGCTTCATCAGGGCGTCGCTGACGGCGCAGGAACTGTGAGTAGTAGAAAGCAACCTTTGTCTTCTGGTCCCATGCAGAACTCGTGTCGATATTGCGCGCTGAAAGGCCAGACCAGAGTTTAGTCAAGACGGCTTCAGCCCTGGCAGGCTGCTTGCTATCTTCGTACATCTGGGCCAAGCGTAGCGAGTAGGCAACGCGGCGTGGGTCCGTGGCATCCATGGAGCGCATCATGGTCTCATACTTATTGCGTGCAATCTCTAGCGCCATCTCATCAGGGGGCGCTATGTTGAAATTCTGAGTAAGGAAATCGGCCGCCTGCATAGACTCGGAGGAGTGGGGTCCATAGGTCATGACTGTCTGGCGATAGAACTGCTTTGAGGTGTCGTACGCAGTATCATCTTGATTGTTGTTTTTGTAGGTTTTAACCAGACGGTCAAGGTATTGCAGACGTTGAGCAAAGCCGATATCGGACGAATCCCACCCAGCCAGTGTCATATCACGCAGCGCGTCGGTCTTGAAGCCTACTGCCTGGTTCGCTTTACCACGGCCCTCAGGGGTTACCACAAGGAGTTGCTCCAGATTGCGGGTGATAGAATCCGATGGACCAAGTTGCGCCCGGCTGCGCATCCAAGCATCATACAGATGATCATTGGCCCAGGAAGACTTAGCTAGGTCTGCTGCACGTGCACTTAAAATCAGACTTTGCAGCAAAGCGGGGGAGTCGCCGCCCAGTACAATGCGGCGCACTGTAACTGCTAGACGATATAGATCCACTATGCTGGACCGAGAGAATTGAGACTCCCGGTTCGTCAGCTCCAGCTGAGCAAACAATACTGATTCCGGCATAGCTCGGCGGAAGGGCTGTGTAAACGTAAGCTCGTCACGCTTGGAGCTAGCTATTGGAGATGCTAGCATGTGGGAAAGCCAGTAGCGAGCCGTATACTCCAGCAAGGTATATGCGTCCAAGTATCGGTCACGAGCGGTGACGCGGAGCTTATCCCAGGAAACAGCAGTTTCGCCTGTGAGTGATCTGCGAACCCAAGCCAGGGAGCGAATTAACAGATCATAATGTGCCTCAGACAATGTAAAGGGTACTTCTTGGCCCATCAGTGCCCGAGCCTGGATATGTTCCCGAATCAGATGATGCCGGAAGGCGACGAATCCATCACGGACAGAGATCAGTCGAGATAGAGGATGGAAAACTTCACGCTCGGTATTGGAGGGACGAGATGCGACCTTCAGAGTCTTGAGGTCCACTGCTAACAGCTGTTCAACTTCCTGGATGCGCAAAGGACGTTCTGAGGCGATTAGCCAGGCGAGGAGGCTTTGAGTCCCCACTCGGTTGAGTTCAATACTATGCAGATGTCGATCAATCACGTCTCCCAAGGTATGGGGGGCGGCTTTCACCGCAGATTGCATCTCATGAATCGTTGATAGGTTTCGGATGGCCCCAATTGTGAGCTGGGCCCACACGAAGCAGCCTTGAGCCCGGGGGGCAATAGCAGTTGCTAAAGCATCCCGCTGGTATACATCCAGACCAGAGAATGCTGCATCGGCTGCCATCATATCACCTAGTGTTGCATGGAGGTCATGCTGTGTCAATGGAGCTGTCATCGCAATCTGGTGAGTTGTAGTGCTCTCCCGGAGAGGCATCTGCGAAGCAGCGAGGGGTCGACTGAAGATGATAAGCTTGGATGGTGTATTACGTTCAGAGACAGCATCCTGAAGGCGTTGAAGGAAGGTGCCGACAGTAATCTCCGAATGCTTTATCTGGTCAATACCGTCGATCACTAGCAGATAGTGCATATTAGACTGTAATGCTATCCGAATAGCAGTCCATAAGTGTTCCTCAACTTGCGGGTCTGGCGCTCCTGTAGTTGCAAGCTCTAGAGCCTTCGTGACTGCGGAGAGGATGGACTCATGGGTCTTGCGACTAGTCACGGCGTGGTCGAGAATTTGGCTCAAGATACCTTTGAGGATGCTCAACGGCAACGTCGTAATAGGCACATCAGATCTGACCGAGATGGGAATAACGTTCCAAAGGTCAAATTCAGACGACTGTAGCTTTTCCATGGTCCACTGAGCCAGCGCACTCTTTCCTGAGCCGGGGTTACCTGTGACTAGCATCATATTGCGCCGACTGAGGGTAAACGTAGTCAAATGCGGGTCAAACCATGCAAATGAACCATCCGCCAACGAGTGGTTGTGGCCTTCTAGTAACATATGCAGGGGACGATCTTGCAATTCAAGGAATTGATAGATAGCGGCAAGATCCACGGGACTTTGTTGTTTTGGGGCCCCGGTAGCCAAAGCGACCTGGGACATTCTCCGCCAGTGGGTAGTAAATCGATTGAAATAACAGAAGAAGGAATGATTCACGGCTTCGCCCATGGTTTGCCACTGCTGGGCTCGCTCTCCTTCGCGATATTCCATGGTAACATGCATGACAAGTTGCAGCACGTGGGCAAAGATCTCAGTTACCTCTTGCTGGAGGGCTCGGTAGGTTTGAAAGTAATTTTCTAGTTGAAGAAGCAATGAAATTCCCATTGTCACTCTGCCATACTGTCCAAACAGGCCATCGATAATGTCGACGCGCTCAATGCCCAGCTATAAAAGTCAGTTAGTCTCGCACCAAACTTGAAAAGAGTTGTCTGTCAAGGACTCACTTCGAGTTGTAACAGAATAGCACCCCAGATCATCATAGCTCCCTCGTCTGCCCCGTCCATAAAGCCGACCACGGAGTCTCTTAGCGAGGCTACCGCAAAGGCTAGGCGAGATGCTCGGCGTAGGGCCCCATCTAACCTACTACCATCTGGAGGCATACGCCGTAGTCGTTCTGCGGCAATGGCATCGAAAAATATATCCATAGTTGGAGATTTAGTGCGAATCTCATTTGGAGACATCCCTAACCGCGTCGGACACTCCTTGGAGACAGACTCCAGTGTCTCCCGGAGGAGCGGCAACGAGTTAGAGTCCCCATTGACAGCACTGCTCTCCATCACCTTTGAAGAAGACATGCTGTACAATCGGGTTACTCAGATATAAAGTGCATTAATTGGAATTTTATTATACTCCCATGTGCAGATTAAGGGTGGTTATATGAGATGCGATACAGTCCGCGGCAGTCCCTTGTTAAGGGTAGGCACCTCATCTCCGGGACTCCATGCAATCCTGACATCATGAGTTAGATTCCCCCAGGAATGGATTCCAGCGCTCATCATAGATTCTCAAATTCATCGGCGACCGTGGTTCACAGAAGTTAATAGATCGAGAGCTCGATAATGATTGTCGGATGTTGGGGGGAAAGGGCAAGGGTTCAAGGAGAACCACATGAAATCAGCGTAGTCGTGGTGTCATAGGAAGTCATAGCAGTCATTCTTCCCTTTAAATATTTTGGTTCGATGCGTCATGGTCCGTAGTGTTGAAGTACTGATGTCGATGACATCACAGGGCTCGGGTTCCCCCTTGGAAACATGTGCGATCTTTGTCAAGTGATCCAGTAAAGTAATCGGATTGGTTGAGGTAACAGATAAGGTTTGTGCATTATCTCTCTAATACAATTTCAAAAGCAAGAAGAGTAGAGAACTCGTGGCTTTGTGCATTATGTTGTTTAAATGGTCGGTGATATTTGGAGGTTGGAACTTTTTCCCATTATTTGACTTGAGCAGCACATGATTACCATGATTACATGCCACATGACATTGTTACTATACAATGTTTCGGGGTTTAGCATCGATTAGTCCGTTATCCAGTAATTTAAGTATCACCTCTCACCAATACTGATAGTAACAGAGACTGTCGAGAGCCATACTGAAGGGCGAAAATGTATATCCACGCAGAGTATGAGACATAATTAATGGTCACTATTGTTCTCTAATATACTACCTTGTAAATTCAAATGATACAGCCTTATGTATAGCTTCAATTCCCTCTTTTCTTCTAACAATTAACCTCAAACAATGTCGTTGCTGAAGAGATCTGTAAACAGCCGTGCCCAGCTGACAACCATAGATACATGTAGGTTCTGGCCTCAAATTCACGCAAATACAGGTACATTATTGTATGTTCGGTCATAACCGAGCATTACTGAACATTATAACTGCGAACACGGATTAACTGTCATGCCACTTGTACGAAAACAGATCCAACTCGTTCAGTCTCAGCTCTGTCCAGTCCCTCTCACAGCATTGCCGCAGAAACCAAATGTTCCATCGCACTGGAGATCTGACTGTAGCTCATTCACAGTGAATAAGGATACAATATCAAGGTTTCGAAGGATGTCCCCTACAAAGTATCACACAGCAAGTATCGAAAAGGGTCAAGGTCGAGCGGTCGAGATTTATAGCAGTATCCAAGTTTAGCTTTACCCTAGCTATATCCAAGGTAGCGAGACATTCTCGACCATAGGTGAATTTAGGAACGATTTGCTTTCACCAATCAAGTAGGAGATCGAAGGGTACTCGAAGTATAAGCCATTTCTTATCGCATTGGCTTTACAGCAAGCGTTGCGTCAACACTGTCCAACAGTCTTCCAAGAATAGTCATAGCTCACATACTATGTACGGAAATTGTGGCCGACCATGTATTTTTGAATCTTACAAAGCGCCGGTTACAACTAGAAAAGCCCAGTCACCATCCACATCCTTCATACAATTCAAGCTGCCTGGATATCCATCAATTACCTGATTCAGCAAGCTAGTCATTTTGCAAGTATCATTGTCAAAAAGATGCAGTTGCACCATCGACACAAGTATGTAAGCGCTTCGCTTCCTATTCAGCTATAGCTAGGCAAGAAGGTTTCTGTTATGATATACATCCCAAGATGCTTATCTGTGATTAAAGTATCATCTCCGACAAATACGATCCCTTGGACTATCCTCAAACTATTTCTGGGATCTAGGAATGTCTTCGGTTGCATACGGAACATTGCGCTCAATATGCAAACGCCATGGCCGGAAGGTTTCGAGGCCAATGCCGAGGAAGTTGAATTATCCGATTTTTCGGATGAAGAGATCGACAGCGAATTTGATAGAAAGAGTGAGGAAGCTAGGGAAGACATGAACAACCATATCGACAAATCAACTCGATGGCCAGAGGCTTTTACGAAGAATGTCTTGAGATTAGAGGGAGAGGAGCAACGGCAGACGCTGTAGGATTGTACCAAGCAGACTTCAGTTACACATGGAAAGCTATTGCTGATAGTTCCCATTTAATTACAAAACCCGGGAGTGATTGGTGAAAGTCGCGGAAGCAGCCCGCTATGTGGTTCGGAGAGTCAAGGAGTTCGTGACATACGCTATCTCCTGCATACGGCAACGCTTCGAGGTTTGCTAATTCCAGTGACTAGTCTGAAGCTGTAGCTTATTTGCTAGTGATATCAGGTTTGATAGGAAGGCAGTCAAAAGGGAACTATTAGGATATTCAGACAAAGTATATCGTTCATTTGTATCACTGGTTTCCCCTGTGTATCCCCAAAAGAAGCATATCAGTAGATATCCTATGCTCTTAAGACACTTTTTCTAGCTTTGTCGCACGCAATATGCATACCATAGGCACATTAATTATTTTATGATACGCATATACTCCCTTAATGCCATGCCCATCCATTAGATTAACTAATCAGAATAATCGTATAGCGTTCTCTGTATCCGCGCACCAAAAGACAGGAGACTATGCCCCATGCTTCGGCATAAGGAATGACTTAAACTAGACGCCTATGCACACGTAGTAGTCCACCCACAAATTAGTGCAGCCCGCGTCAACCTTTGTGTTCCACTCGCGGAACTGGGCGAAGGTGATGCCCGCAGCAGTATCGATCGAGTAACAGCTGTCACCCGACTTGACCTTATAAAACTTCTTACAGTCTTTCACGATACCAGGCATTAGTGGCTCCGGAGTAGATGTGGGATCTGGTGGCGAGCTCGTTGTCGTGGTGGTCGGGACATGGACGCAAACATAATAGTCTAGCCAGAGGTTGGAGCATGCTAGCATGTCGGGGTTAGGAGCAGTTGAAGCAAGTCATGCATTGGAGAGAGAAAATATACCCGAGTTAACACTTGGATTCCAGGCTTTGAATTGAGCGTGGGTGATGCCGTATTTGGCCTCAATAGTATCGCACTGATCGCCGGACGCGACGAGATGGAACTTGTCACAGTTGGACGGCACACCCGGTTGGGTCGGCTCGCAAGTGTCGGCTTTGGAAGCTCCCGCAGAGGAGTTGCAGACAACGCTGGCAGACAGCAGCTGTGAAAGCAATCCCAGGACAACAGCGATCTTGTAACCCATGTTTGGAATTAATTATTTGAGCTTTTATGGTAGGGGAGAGAGAAAGTTAGTTGGAATGTGAATCATGCTTCTTGTCCATGCAGTGACAGGTCCTCTGCCCTTATACTTATACCTCCACATACCCCTGCAGGGTTTTAGCCATACTGTAACCGATTCATTAAACTCTCGGCTATTCGAGCATTCTTTCCGTAACATTGACCGTTCTAAATGAGTGTGTAGCACTAGCTGGGGGGACGAGCGCAAATCACGTCCGGGTACTAGGATCCTTCATCTTACTGTATGAGGTATGTTGCTGCCGGATGGATGCATATCCGTGCCCTAACCATCAAGAAGGGGACCCCTCATATACTTGCTCTACAATCGTCCCACCCAACATGAAGAATGGCTTTCACTAACTCGGTGCCCTGGTGAGGCCTCTGCAGAATGCGGGGTCGATGTACGGGATTTATCGCAGCCTATCGTAGCCGTGTCCAACGCAAATCCGGCCCTTGCTACCGGATTGACCGCGATTCTAATGATCCCCCCATGGTGACATCGTGTCATTCCCTAGCTTCTGCCAAGAACTACTAAGCATGCGCCAATATGCGGTTTTAGATATGGTCCACGATCTTACGGGGCAAGTTTCAAATGCTTCTAGTGGCAGATTCTATTTTAATGCAGTTAGTCAATAGGTCCTTGCACGAACAAGATGACAGGTCACACGAAAATAGCCTGTATGAATCATGCAATGCCGTAAGCAAGCAATCCAAAAGTCGCCGGGTACCACGTTCCACCAACCAGTAAGTGCGCTCCAGGCGCTGCATTCTCGGGGACTGGGCAGCTTACCATGAGAGACTATACAGCGCGTGCACCAGTGGTCAGAGCCGCCGAAATGCTTGCTGCAGCCGCTGAATCAATCTTGACCTTACAAGGGCTGGGAGGAGGTGTTGTGGATGGAAGAACTCCCAGAGGGTCCGTCGGTATACGCTTTTGCTTCTGTGGACATCTAAAAGATTCGTGACCTTCCATACCTGAGCTGGTGATCGATCGTAAGTGTCTTCATCCATAAGATCCGGCTGCAAAAGGCCATCCTTGGTAAAAAGTACAGTCAGTAGGGGCATTTACCCTTAGCGTTAGCCATCGGGGTGCTTATTTCCGGGCCCCTGGAAGCAGTTATAGTGGTCCAGGGTTAAGGAGGATCAAAAGGTTCCCTCAATATCCATATGGCCGGTACTCCCATATAGGAACTATGGGTCGCTGTTGGAGGAATTGATTGATAACGGACGGGTAAGACCTCCGACATGGATACTCTACCGGCATCGACTGTTTGCTGCCTGATAGTCCATGCGGTACTCGGGTCGAATCTCTGTATGAGGCTCGGGTTTGGAATCGCAAATATGATCGATGTCATGCCCCCCACGGGGGGTTAGGTAGTTAGGTATCGTCACGCGGAAAGATGAAGGTTTGAGATAGGACCAGAAGAAGCCAACCCTGACGAAGGAAGTCCATGCTAGCAGGTAGTATCAAGGGATCGCAAAATTGCCCAAGCTGATGGAGGCCAGAAAGACGGCGAAAGTAATTTCGTGATATGCTAGTCTAGACCTCTGAACGGGGTGGCAGAAGTAACACCTGGTAACCTACCACTACATGAACCGTTACATTGTATATGCAGCTCGTAAGCCCCCAGCACTCACTCACTTGAGAAAAGCTAACCGAGTATTAGTATGAAAATACTGTCCAATCAATGATCCCCATTCAGCTGCATCGAATAAGATCAAATGTCCAAACATCGTACGACAGCAACTTCCCCGCTAAGTGTCTTGATCCGCCTCCATGCGCCCTACCCGATCCCCGCAGGAGGCCCAAACGCAGCTCTAGATAGCCTAGGGTATATTCATGGATGGTGAGCTGATGACCGTTAACCCACCGGTATTTCGAGAGCGTGGTCTTCTCAGAGTCACGATTAGCCAAAATCTGGACACTAGAAGTCTTACGGGAAGTGCCAACGGCCCGAAATTGCAATCACAAAAGCAGAAAGGGTGAGAAGAGGCACTTGTGCAGGTATGAGAATATCTTTCGACTGTCGAAGTGGAGAACAACACGAAAGTCGTGGGGAACCGCCCTGAAGGATGAGAAAACAGGTCCTTTGCTTGCTTCTCGTTCTTTTTACGTTATACATTCTTCTTTCTTCCCCACCACTCTTTCAATTTTCCTTTCAAGCTTCCATGTTAGAGAGTTATCCAGGGCTCAAAAAACCTGTCAGACCTAGCTACAGTGGCAGAGACATATGTCTTGTAGCTTGCAACCTCGCAGGACCCAATGCGGAGAACGCGATTGCCAGCTCGTCTCATGCACTAACGGTGTCCAAAACAGAGGCAACATTGACTTCCACGTCGGCATGCTGGAACCTGTTGATATTATCACCGATTCAGCCAAACAATTTGACGGGTCCGGTAAGGTCGGCCTCAATGGCGAGATGAATTGCAGGGGAATTGTTAAGGGCCAGAAGATTGAGTGGGACTTGCATTCGACTTGAGCAGCTTAAGTTTAGTGTTATATCCCGGCTTATCTAGGTTGTATAATCTAGTTAGATTAGTATCAGTAACCCAAAGGTAGGGACGGAACGGTCATTTTCATATCATTGCAGCTGACTTTACAGCACCACCTTCCCTGCTATCTAACATTGCATTTATAGCCTAATAGGACTGAGATACGTACGCTTGTGGTCTACATGCAAGATTGATCTTACACAGACACCCTTATTCCCACTCAAACGACGACATCGCAAATCCACATATCTACCAGCATAAATACATCCTCTCTCGCATTACACACCCCCAACCAAACCAAACAACTTACCGAAGACAACTAACCCCCAAAGCTACACATTCTCCTTAACAAACTCCTCCAACAACTCCAACGAATTATTCCCCACGACCCGCATCTGATGCCAACAGTGTCCAACATTCCCCACATGCTTAACTAAACCCGAAACCCTCTCAAACCCCTTCTTACAATTCGGACATTCGTACGTAAACGCACCCCCCTCATCTGCATGCCCCTGGTACCGATAGCCCCTAACAACCAGCGAATTGACGCCACCCTCCTCTAGGTGGCCCAGGATCGAAAGGACATTCTTGAAGGTCCTCTCACATCCTTTCCCATAACACTGCATGGTTTTTGGCTAGTGGACTTCTGAGTGCTGATTATTTATGGGGCTAATTTAGGTTAGGTTCTGCTGAGTGGTGTTCGGTTTGGGAGATTTGTGATGGGGGACGTACCAGACGGAGGTTGTTCTCGTTGAAGGTCTTGTCGCAGTCCGGGCAGGGGACTTGGTGTTCGTTTCTGCGGCGGAGTTCGGCAAGGGGGTCGCGGTGGGCGATGAAATAGGGTTCTTTCTTGTTGGTCCTGATTCTTTGGTGTTTTGGTGGATTGTTGGGGTATGGAGAGGAATATGGGGAGGGTTAAGAGATGGTTGGCTCTGGGGGTGACACCCAGAGTTGGGATGGAAAAGAGCTTTCTTTGTTCATTGCTGTGATTAGTTAGTCGTTGGCTAGTCGTGAGTGCTTGGTTTATGACTGATTGGTTAGGGTTGTATAAGGTATTGAGGAAGGTGATATCAGTGATTCCGCTCAGGTTTGTATAGAAGGTTCTCTGACATACTCTTTTTTGTTTGGGTGGGGGATGTTAGGGGACCCATGATAAAAGGAATCCGGTTCTGGTAGTATATATACACGATGGTAGATCTAATCAAATACTAACATCCTTAAGCTCTTGCTTTTGCGAAGTCATATAGGTAACATGTAAGTACTATCAACTCTGCATAGGGTATATCAAGGACAACGATATTATACAGTATAATAGACTAAGGCTTCACTTTCCAATAATCAATTTAGCAGAAACAGGTTTCAGCACGACTCTCAAGGAGCCATTCACTTAAATCTTCATATTAGTTGCTCCAAGAATACCACTAGATCAGTGACTTTTATACCGTAGAAAGACCTGCCATATGTGCTACGGCCAGTTCTGTGAATGAACTGCATAAGATTCAGTTAGTGGGAACTAAATTAGGGCAAACTTTAAGGCATGTCATGACGGTGGGAGATAATTGTTATAAAGCAGTCCTTGTTTCATCTGTTATGAAAGCTTAACGGTAGAATGTCAATGCCTTAAGTTGATGTGGGGCGTTATCCACTTCATATCGATGGAAATTTATAGAGATCTCATTCGCTCGGATGTTCCTTCTTGAGATTAACCTGAGCACCGACATTTTTGCATAGTCTCGAAATAGCACGCGCCACTCTAGGCTTCCACATTAGGGGGTAATCCATAGCAGTAGGAGCATTACAAAGAAAAAAAAATTTTTTTGCAGGGATTGCTATCTGCTCAATTGTCCCGCAATCATGAACAAGAATGTCTTAGGTACAAAAATGGAGTTCTGGATGGGCTAGTTGTAAACTACTACTACCCAACAGATGCGTTGAAACCAGCGCCAAGCTACTAGTTCCAACAACAAAAATGCTTAGCATGCAATCATAGTATAGGCTCCAGCCGACAATTGAACTGCAACGTACAGTTCAAGATGTTCATATCAGTGTCGGTAACTTTTGACTAAAAGCTTCAAGCATGTACAGGTGATACGTTCGAATACCGTTAAAAAAAAATAAAATAAAATAAAAAATAAAAGTGGGAGAATAAAGAAAATACAATATATCGTGACGAGACGCAAGCGGAGAAAAAATAAAGGAGGGGGTATTATATACAAAAGCTACCAGAAGTATGGGTTTCCATAGACGTCCGCATAACACTGCAGCGAATCGGGACAGCTGGAAAGGAAATGAGTTAGCGCGACAATACCAGCATGGGCGTACTTGTATACTTACTACACCGGATCCTTGCCAAAGATGATATGCCAGGAATACTCCATCACTCGCGAGGTGACATCATCCGGCAAATCGTTGGTCAAAACCCAATTATAATACTGCATGTACTCTTCAAACGGGCGCTTCAAGACTTGGTCGCGCGAGACCGCGAACTGCGAGCAACATGGTGCGCCAACGACTTCGGGAACCTCGGTATTGTTGAAAAGCTCCTTCCAGGCCTGCGCGTAAGCTGCCTCCGTGGTCTGTCCAGGGCGAGGAGGGTTCCGTAAGGGCCGTAGCTCTTCTGGACATCCCGGTGTTTCCTGGCATCGGAGGTTGGCGTAGCCATTTCGCTGAACAAAGTCGGCCTGGAGGTTACGGATCGCCACGACGTTACTGTATTCCATGTTGTCGGTGTGCCACGCACCGGGCCAGCCGTCTTTGTGGCTGTGGATGAAGACGATGAGCGAAGGGAGGTCATGATAATGCTCGATAATATACTGGAGGTACGCTAGACTTTCGCGTCCTTTATTGATCGGCGTATGACGAGCCGCATTCAAATCATCAACTGTATAGATGACGTTCCGCCATCTGGCCCGTCAGTAAACAATTAACCCCGCATACGACAAGAGATTACTTACTCATTTAAATCATTAGCGACCCACGATGTATCCTCCGAGGCCAATTTCGCCATCACAAGCGCTCGATCGTTGGGGACGATAATCGGGGTGGTCTCATAAGTCTGAGGGGAGATAACATCCGACTCCGCAAATGATTTCTCTATATCCTGATTGTTGCTGTCGGAAGCGGCTGGGCTGCTGCCGAAGCGCCAGAAGGACGACAGCGAAACACGCGAATCATCCTGTATCGAGTCAAGATGGCGCTTGATCAGGAAGATGGCGAGGATCACAAGTGCGGCCGAACCAACACGGATAGATAGTCTCATCTCATAACATTTAGTTGTCAAATCGACTAGATGATATGTATTGATTGATAGAGAGGTTCCCGAGAGGAAAGACGGTCAGAAGTGGGTGATTACGTGTCGATGGTAATTATAAGGGAGAACTTTTAAGCGGTATGGGTTACATGAAAAAAATAAGTAAAGCGAGGTTAACCACAGTAGGTAGTGCGAGGTGAAGAAGGAAAACAAAAAGAAAGAGGCCCGGAAATTAGCTTGGGAATTGGAAGTGATTAGGGTAGAAAAGATGACAATAGCGATTATGAGGCCATAGGATCAAGAATGCACTGGAGAATCAATCGCAAAACGGAGAGAGTGAGGAAAGAGAAGAAAAACATGAAGGGAAAAAAGAAAAGAAAGAAAATCAAAAAAATTGTGAACCAAAGAAATGGCCACGATGCCCTCAAAGGGAAAAATGCTTATCACTGGAAGTGTTGACACGCGGATTGGTGGGAATGGAAGGGGCGAGACCTGGAAGTGATCTGCAGGGGCCTTTTGATTGCTTTGTTGCGCAGTGTTGAAACGAGTTCCATGTTCCTGGTATATTACCTGAGATGAGGAAGGATTCAATCTACGACTGAATCTGTTGTACAAAAGCCGGCTCTTCTCATTGACAATCTTACAATTCCCCCATAACATTGGTTGAATCTAACGTTGACCGTTTAATTAATTGTGTTCTCTCACCAATTGTTAGGTAACCTAACTATAGTTAGGTTAGGTTACTATGGCGACTTAGTCAGCCTCCGTGACTCGTTACTAGCTTGGGACTAAAATAACCATACGCAACTACCGACCACCTCTCTTTCATTCTCCCGCCTTCATCTTGATCGTCGCAGGCGGCCAAACACAACTCCGTCGGCCTCCGAAGTCATGTCTCTTCTCCCTCTTGGCATAGAAGTATATCTATCCCCGGGGTAGGCAGGATGTACACTGTTCAAAACTCAACACGGCCGCGCCGACGTCGTTCTTCTCCTTCGGTCAAGAAGGCCCGAAGATCCCGTCTTACGATGCTCTAATATGGTTACGATCCACAGTGGATGAGTCTACCTCTAACGTCCCACTCAACCTTCTAGTCTGACTGGTCGATGGTCCGTGACAGTGGCTCCCTTAACGCCATCATTTTATTCTTTGATTTCTCCATCTCGTCATTAACGATTGATTATACTTCGAAAACTATATACCTTATTAAATAGTGTTGAAGGGCCAAATGAAAGATTACCTGAAACAATCCACATAGGATCTGGAAAACATCATCCTGCAGGAAGTTGGATATCCTTGTCCGACTATCAAGCTCAGAAATGACCGAGAGAGACCCCTAAGGGACTAAGGGTCTAGGATTGTGTATCCATGACCCGGTGATCGGCATGTAAAGTCCCCGTTTACATCCAGGGCCAGGATTCGCAACTTACCACTGCGGAGTTTTCTCCTTGACTGAACGAAGCAAATATTTCTCAGTCCGGCAACAAGATGACGACGCTGGACATATGGTTGACATCGGTTTCTCTCTCATGTTTTTTTTTTTTAATTTATTTTCTCCAGGTCTCTCTCATGGAGCTCGGTTTTGTTTTTGACTGCCAGGGGAAATTTACTAACCATGCACGGAGCTTGTTTACACTTTCCAGGGCCTTCTCAACCTAACTAACGATATAGGATATTCACTACGTGGGGGAAAAGGGAAGATAACTATCAGAGAACGTCTCCGAGCTTCAATCTATCATTGAAATAAATACCGAAAGTATTATAGTTAATGAACATCAAATGTAGATCTACCACTATGCGGGAGATTCCCCCAACGGTTTGGGTATCTATAGCCGCCTTTATCTTCTTCAATATGACAAACTCACATACAATCCTGGTAGTTCGACTATCTCTGTAGTTTACCTTCTTTCCCCATGTCCTTCACCTTTCCTTTCCTTCGTTACCATTACTCTCGTTCTAAGTTTGCCCCCTCTCATGCCTGCCAAGCTTCGCTCTAGTTTTTATTACTAAGACCTTGCTGATCTTGTAGGACTTTCTTACTCTATCAAATCTCATTTAGCAGTCACTGCAACCTGGCTCCATCTCAATGTGGTGTCTTCACATCCTGTGCAGGGTATATAGCACCGAACCGCCGATTGCCATAATATATCCCTAACATGCTCCATAAACAGTCAACAGTCCACGCCTACCTATCAAATACCAATGATACATATTACACATACAAAATACCCCTCTCAAAACTGGATTCTTGCCAATCTCATGTCCGAACAATAACTCCAAGACGTAACTAACGATTAGGTAGTTAGAAGATAGCGTAAAACCACGGCCTCCAGGCAACGTCAAGAAGCTACCTAGCCCTCCGGAGACAAGATATCATGTACTATTGCGATGAGATTTCAGGGATCTTTTTTCCTAAACTTCGACAACATCCGTTGATCTGCAAGGGTTTCCTTGGCGCTTTGGGGGCAGTTGTATGGAGACTTGAAGTAGATAATAATTGGTGTTTCCTCTCTAAGGTCTAGTTCTTCACCTAATATACGAGGAACACCTTCTGGAGGTCTGATGTACGATACTGATAATCAGGATTGATAAAAAGTATCAGTACTGTATGTGTACATTGACAGGATTGGTAAGATTTAACTGCAGATGGTTTTACTTAGTATCAACGCTCAGCTTCTGGGGTTTGTATTACCAATTGGACCCGACCAAGATGAGGTGTTCTCTAAATACCCAAAAGCTCATATGTCGTTCGCAGTGCATGACACGTAGATACCTCGGGCGCGGGGCAGCTTACATTTGGTGGTTTGGGCAGAGACGATGTTGCCGTTGTCTTTAGTGAAATCAGGTGTTTATATTACTGAGTTCACAGTGGTGACGTTTGCATATAGTACCTACAACCTGTCACTTGTTTTTTTAGCTGCGCAGCTGCACCTCATTGTTTAATATATACCCTCACGCTTTGGGACAAATCAGACTTCGAGTCGTATTCCTAGTCATTCTTGAAAATGTCAATATGAACATGCAAATCACGCTTTAAACATAGCGGAGGCGCCTGCGCCTCCGTCTCGCACACGTAATCCATCCTGCCTCGTACAGGAATGACTGACTTACAGAAAACGGCATCAACGCTCTTCACAAAAGGGGTAACAAAGAAAAGTAAGCCAGGGTAGAGATTCAAAAGAGAGGGGAAAGCTAGAAAAAGAGAAAAGGAGAGAAGAGCGAAAGGCTTGCAATATGCAATACACGATTTATATAATATCAAAAAAGAACGCCAGATCAATACAATGGGCTGCGAAAGTACCGAATGTAAGTGAATGTCGAGATGTTCCAAACGCAGGAACAAGGGAAACGGTGAAGAGACTTTAGCAGCATCTTCCCTTCTTTTTCGTAATTTCGATTCTCTCGTCTATTTCATCACCAACGCTACTCGGCGGAAATCCAAGCCAGCTCCGACGCTTGTCACCATGGCCCAACCGAAAGCTGCCGTTGACATCGAGAGGCGGGCCTACCGGCGATGTCACGCCGTCCATTCCAGATGCAGACCCTTGGGACGAGGTAACCCCGAGTTGTTTATTGCGCTGCTCAACCAATTTACGTGTGATGACCTGAAAGACCTCCTCGATGCCCTCGCCATCCTTGGCACTGATTTCATGACAACAATCCCATCCAATGTCCTGTCCCCAGAATCCGCTGCTGCGCTTGCTGTCAAGGCCCTGCAGTGTAGTGCTAGACGAATGGCTGACGCCGGCAGTCGGGGGTGGTGTCGACGCTTGAGATGGATACAGCTGTTCGGCGACGTAGGCGATCGTGCGTTCAAAGGGAACACGGCGACGTGATGGGTCCAGTGCAACAATGTCCGATTTCGTCCCGACCACATGGATGACAACGGGATCCTCGTCGCCCAAATTGTTCTTCAGTTCCAACAACCATCCTGTCATTTCCTGGAAACTCTGCTCGTCCGTAATATCGTAACACAAGAGGCAAGCGTTAGCGCCACGGTAGTACAGCCTGGAAATGCTCCGAAACCGCTCCTGTCCGGCCGTGTCCCATATTTGCAGACGGACAATTGTATCAGAGGCACTGTCGAGAACACGCTTGGTAACGAAGGATGCGCCGACGGTGGACGCGGTTCCTACGGGGCTGAAAGCATTCTTCACATAGCGTTGGACAAGGGACGTTTTGCCAACACCTGAAGAAGAAGAAGAAGTTGGTTAGTCGCGACGCGGGAAAGAGTGGGTGACACGGGAAAATCGGTGAAGCAGCAATCCGTACCTTGCGAGCCCAAGATGACGATCTTGGCCTCGAGAGACGAGCTCATGGCGGGGTAGACGCAAAGGCGGGGCCGCTGGAAAGCTGAATTTTCATGTTCCAGCAGTATTAATAGTAACCTTGTGAGGAATAGAGAGCAAAACAGCAACGATAACTACTGCGTATGCAACAACATGCAGGTCCGATTAGAAGGGAAAAGAAAAAAGAAAAGGAGATTAAAAATCGAACAAAAACTGGAAAATAAAAAATCCCGACAAGCGAAATGAAATAAGAATTACGCAGAGAAACGCGGACAAGTCGGAAGATGGAGAAATCTTCCTGAAAGCCAAAATATGTGGAAGGATGGGAGAGAAAGGAACGAGATGGTATTGCAGTGGTCGATGGCGGAGGCGAGGCTCAAGGGAATTTTATAATTATAATACCAATCAATCATCACCATCCTCGACGCCATCAGTACAGGGCGTGACAGGGCGGAGTTCAATCAGCTGACCCAACCAGAAATCAGGTGTCAACCTCGTTTTCATTATTTCCACATTGATTCAATCGTTGCCTTTTCTCACTTGACGGTTCTTTTTTTTTTTTTTTTTTTCCTTCATCTAACAATAGATAAAAAGCGACATGAGAATTATTCCCCAAGACACAAATCAATCTGGTTGCTCTCAAGCAAGGAGACAGATACCTTGCATTCTTAGCCCTACCATGAATAATGGAAACCTGATCGAATACGAACCAGAACTTTTTTTCTCGAGTTGTAGGCTGTGCCCAAGTGATGCATAACAAACTATATCAGTTCCGACTGTCATTTCAATCCACACCACAAATCTTTCAAATACAACCCCCGATGATGTCATCCGAGACCAAACGTTATTGAACATCCACCCTTACCTTCTGGAATCATACAAGCCCTCCATACAAAAGTAACAAAACGCCTTCGAACGACGTTATCATCCCGTAATTCCCAATCTTACCTGGGTAACAATCCAAAATTACCCCATTCGGCAGTACGCAGACCCGCGGTTCCGTCGTGGGGGAATATAAGGTTAAATATTCCCCCCGTTTCAAATACCCATAGTATCCATCCCGTACTCCATAGTTCCCCATCACCACCTTAATCTATTCCCAGAGATGACACTTACTGTTAGGAGCTCACACTATTGATTTGATCCTTTCCCCACACCACACGTGGGGACTGAACTGTCTGAGCTTAATGAATTAGAGCACATGGACCGTGCTAAGATCAGTGCGTTTCCTAGACCCTTGTTGGTTGGGGGGGGGAACTAGTTTCGTTTGCATATTGGAAATCTCAATTAGGAGGGCGTTCAATTTATGCTGTATGACGTACATCAGCTTGGATATGCTTTAATCGCTTATTTTGGATTTTGGATTTCGTGGGTGTTGATGGTTGGTGCCTGTTCTTTTATGTAAGTTGACAGTGGAGAGGGTTTGTACTATGCGGGGCTTTTTTTTGTAGGAGAGCTTTGGGACAGAGTTGTCTGTATGATGTCTCAGATAAATCCAAGATTATATGGTCCTGATTTATGCGTCGTTTATGGTTATGGTCTTGTGGGTGATCTTGTCTGTTGTACTTAGGTCTACGCGGCACGGGTTCTAATTGGCGGTGGTCTATTTCGATGGCGTACTAACAAATAACTACTAACGATGGGTCAAAGATTGGTAAAAGATGCGAGTAGCCCGAGGACAACTCTGGCATGCATGATTGGTGTTGGTCGTTCGTCCTCATAATCATGGTTCTGGGCTTCATTCTCAGTTCGTTAGATGTCTGTCATGCTTCACAGTTTCTACAAGAAATTAATAAAAGATGGAAAATGTAGAAAGATTTCGATGCTTTAGTTCATAATCACCAAGTGCGATGGTTCGATCGTCAATAACGATCTTCATAAGTATACACATGTCTTGCTCTTGGCAATGAAAATAAATTCCATAGCATCCGTTCCACGGATAAAACTCAGGGGTAGTCATATGTAAAAACCAAGCAAATCAAACAGGGGGAATCTATGCAACAGCCACTCCGACTTGGGGGCAAGCCGCAACGCCGAATCGATCGGCATTAAGGACTTCAAATAGGAAAATGGTATATAGAAAAGGCAAACAGGCAAGAAAAAAAAAAGAGCCTTTTACAGGCTTCTGGGTAGTTGAGGATGTCCCGTCTCCTTAACAACACCCATATTCTTTTATTTTTTTTAATTTATTTTAAAAAGGATCAATCCATTTACTCCGACGTCGAAGGGGAGTACTCGGCAGCACCAGCCTTCTCAGGATCCTCGGTGGCGTTGCCGAATCCGTATTCGTTCGCCTTCTGCTCAATCTCCTCGTCGGAAAGCTTGGGCAGATTCTTAGCGGCCTTGACGTAGCTGATGTTCTCGGTGTATCCCTTGGCGAAGATGATATCGATTTCCTCCAAGCTGCGGTTGGCAGTCTCGGGGTAGAAGAGCCAGATGACGGGGATGAACAGGGCGTTCAGGGCAGCGAAGAAGAGGTAAGTACCCCAGCCGATGTGGGCGATCATGACGGGAGTTATCATGACGACAGTAAAGTTGAAGAGCCAGTTGCTGCAGGTGGAAACGGCGTTGGCCTTGGCACGAGTTTTGATGGGAGACAGCTCAGCAGGGTACAACCAAGGAAGAGGAAGCCAGGCAGCACCGAAAGCCGCCATGTACAAGAACAGACCAAACACAGCACCCTTGGAAACCTCCTTATCATCGGGGATCAAACAAGCAAAGGTAATAATCATAGCAATAGTTTGGATAAAGGAGCCACCCAAGAACAATTTGCGACGACCGATCTTCTCAATGAAGAACCAGGAGAAGGTGGCGAAGATGGCGTACACAATCATATTGATACCACCAATCAGAAGAGCCTCATCGTTGCCCTGGTGCAAGGACTGCTTAAGCAGAACAGGAAGGTAGTAGATCACAGCGTTGCAACCCGAAAGCTGTTGGAAGATTTGCGAAGAGGAACCGATAAGCATACGACGCAGATGCTGCGAACGGCCACCAGTAAGAAGGTCCCTGTAGCGAGTAGTCGCACCAGCGCCGGAACTATTGCCCATGTTAGCGACAGCCGCACTGGAAATAATGAATATATAGACCGAAGGCTTCAAACTTACGCTCTGATAGAATCGATGACGAGGTTCTTCTGGATCTGGGTCTCCTGGTCATGGACCTCAAAACCACCAAGGGCAGCAAGCACGTACTCGCCCTCCTGGATGCGATCCTTGGAGATCAAGTAACGAGGAGAGTCGGGGAGGAAGAACATTCCGACAATGATAATGACACCGAAGACAATCTGGAAGGCAATAGGGAAACGCCACACCAGGTCAGGAGGACCATAGTGAGCTCCAAAGTCAATCCAGTAGGCAATGGCAGTACCAATAGCAATCACACCACCCTCGATACAGATCAGCAGACCACGGTTGCTGGTCTTAGAACATTCAGCCTGGTAGGTGGGAATTGTAGAGGTGTTCATGCCGTTACCAATACCAGTGATGACACGGCCGATGAAGAACTGGAGCAGAGGAATGTGATCGGCAAATGAAGTGACCTGGATGATGACACCAACGATCATAACAATTGCTCCGGAAAAGATCATCCACCGACGACCAGTATGGTCACCGAACATCAGGGCGAAGATGGCGCCTGCCAAACAACCCAATTCGTAAACAGCTGTAACCAAGGCTTGCATTGTATCATCGTCCTTTGTGGCAGTGAAGACATCGTTGAAAGCCTTGTCACTGATAATACCAGACATGACACCCTCTGTAGATAGAGTGGTTAGCCTTTCTCCCCGTCAGATGAAGAGGCGGGCGGGCCAGTGATAGTGGTAACTTACGGTCATATCCGAATAGCAAGAAACCCATCGTAGCGACGGTGGACACAGTCAACGACAATGGCTTGCCCGACATACCAGCAAAGGAAGGCGCCATGCTGGGCTCTGTGTGCTTGAGCCGAGGAATAAACCAACAAGTGTGTACACAGTTCGATACAAGTCTCCAGTGTAGAGGTAGGAGATCGGGAGACGGTCGCTATCTTTTCCCGGAGGTATCGTTCCGTTCCTTTCCTTTTGCCTGAGGAGCGAACCCTAAAGAGATTGACGGGGATAAAAAAAAAGACAACAGAGCAAACGCGGAGAAGTCGGGGGGAAAAGGGGGTCTTTTCTACTTCTCCAGGTACAGGCAGTTGTGGCGACCAGGCACGCATACTGGTCGACCATCTGGTATTCCCACCAAAGTGATACTCCACCAACTTACCAATTTTCATAGTCAGCCGTACCATTGTTTGTTTTGTGGATCAGGGGACCGGATGCATCAATAAAGCTGGTTTAAGCATTTTTTGGGCCGGTTCGCAAGGGGCTCCACAAAACAAGTGGGTCCGATGGAGTGGAAAAAGCAATGATGTCACACATGGGGTCCTGGAAAAGGTAATCCGAGAAGGAAAAACAAAAAACAAAAGGAAAAAGGAAAAAGAATTATTCAATCATATAAACATTGAATCTTAATGTTAAAAAATAATCTAGTTACTGAAAAATAAAAGAAAAGAAACAATAAAATATGAAAATAAAAACCCCTCTCCCATTTTTTTTTCTTTCAGATTATTCACACGGCTACTCCATACGGATTCCCCCGAGGACCTCTCGGCCCATTGTCATTGGCACATTCTTCCGTTCCCGACGGCTTCTTCAAGAGCCTCTGAACGCACAGCTTGCCGACTCTTTCCTCCACCGAGGTAACAATTCAGGTCCACCGTGTTTCGGTCGGCCTCTCTCATTACTCGATCGCTTTGCACAATAATCCCCATTGCGTGCCTAGAGAGGATATCGTTACTCTGTATGGAGTTTAGGGCACAATAGTGGTCAGCAGACGTAACGTGGAATACCCGAAACAGGGCTGACTTTCCTTTTTTGCCTCCGCCCTCCAACCTTTGGGGAAACTAAAGCGAGGGGTTTTCCGTTCCCATGGGGTATTTCATCTGATTATGGCCGCCTGATCTGATGAGATAATCCCCCATATTCCTTATCCAGTGCGATGTAAGCCTCCATTCTACAGCAAAAGTACTACATTCTTATCTCTCAATTTCGAATCCGGGCGATAGATTCTACGCCATTCCCGTCGCTAATTACGGGATCCACGATCAGCAAAAGCTTCTCACCACCGTGCCGAGAAAGACAGCTTCACTAAACTAACAATCCTTCGGCCGTTGTTCGGGAAGCCGTTCTCGTATTTCCCGACCACAACGCCTAGCGTTAGTCTGCAAGGAGAGATGTTGATGTGCCACCAATAATGACGAACCAGGAAATGAGATTATTCAATGAAATGGAGAGAAAGAAATTTCCACGAGTAACCACAATAACTTTAGCGAAGTCAGCATTTGTTAAAGTAGGCGTATCATTTGCCCGTCGTGGTAGTGGTGGGAGATATTAATCGGTGATTCGACACCAGGCCTGATGGCCGCATAGATATCATCCACCGTGGGTTTGATTGTCCACTTCTCAGAGTCTAAGACAAAAGACTGGTCCCCACATCCCCAATTTTTGGGGGTTTTGGTCCTTGGATCTGCATGAATATCTTTCCTTGCCTGGGTTTCATTATTTTTTTTTCTGATTTTTTCTTTTCGGTCTCTGCCGCAGAGCTCGGGACCACACTAAGCCCTCCCTTACCTATAGCTGACATTACTCCGAAAAAATCTGTTCCACCGGATACACCGGATAAAAACGTATGGTCACTGGTCAATGTCCGTTGGCCCAGGTAGCATAGACAAGGGCCATCAACTAAAGGTTTGCCTAATATAGCCCGTTTTATGTAACTCTTCACGAGCCAAATCGAGTTACATACCGCAACTGCACAGGCTTAGTAACTCGCATACGGTGTTCTCCCTCATGTCCATGCGGAGTACACCAACCACGACGTAAGCCCACTTAGATCACTCCTCTCTAACCTCAAGAAAATTCTGTTAATAGTACGCTGACATGATTAAAATACTCACGTTCACGTTCTCTGCTCTGTCTTGCTGCAAGGTGCCCAAACCGACGTCAAACCGACGGCGACATCACGACAGTTACCAGATCAGGATCTACATACGTCAATAGCGGCCCCTAATGATAAACTGCCAAGCGCCAAGGGCCCAAGAAGAAAAAAAGAAGCTCACGAGGTTGCCGCCTTAGTATGAACAAGCGTCTGACAAGCCTTCTCGGCAAAAAGCCCTAAGCGGTGGGGAACACAAGGGTTGGTGGAGGCGAAAGTGGAGAAGCAAGCCAGATCCAAGTGGGTTGTGGTTGGCCCCTAAACGACGCGCGCCAACTGAAAATCGTCATCATTTCTGCCAAATGATAATAACTTAGTTGCCTGTTGCTATTGGCTAAACGCCCAATGATGGTGAATCGTTCTTGTCCCTGAACCACCAGTGCGTGTGTGGGATAACCCCCGTCGGAAATCTGTTGCCCCTCAGGGGGGCCCCCAATCCAACTTCACATGGGCCCATTTCCCACTAGAACCTTTCGTCTCTCTACGTCAGAGGCGTAATGTTGCATCCGGAATGTGTCGGATGGCTCTCAAGCAAATCATCACGAGTAGAGCGAAACAAATGCTCCGCATCACCCACACAATCCGACTGAATCAGTCGCGATAGTCGAGTCGGAGGGAGCATGGTGGTCACTTGTTCTCTGAAACAAAAGGGAAAAAACCGTGGTCCGGTACCCTGTGAGATGATGCTATCTGACCCAAAAGAAACGGCGGGAGTCCGAGGAGTCCGATCTGAGTATCTACTCTGTACGCTTTGACGGCTGTCGATGATGACCACACAGTGACACACACGTGTGACGCCACCCGCCAAAGGATCATGTCAGTTTGTGGAATGACGTCGCAGCTGTCACTGCGTTCTACATCAGTGACAGTGACATGTCCCGTGTATAGCATCAAAATTTTCTGATGCACTCTGCTTCAAGCACCAAGGTGGGCCGAATCTGACACCATTTCCGCATTAGTTGTCCTGCGCATGCAGCCCGTCGTCTTCTACGCCAAAACCCACCCTATTGCGCCCGTCTAGGCAAAACTTCGGCCAACTGTAGACTCATCCCGATGCTTAGAATCAACGGGCCGATACCGAATTTTCTTTGTCGGCCTTAAAGACGGGAAAGGAAGGTCGGAATCAAACTGTTTGTAGTAGCCGGGCCGCCGACCGTGCAGAATGGTCTTGGCTTATCGGTGAAGGTCCGACAGGATCTGTAGTAAAAAATAAAAGTTGAAAAAATGGAAAAGAAAACTCTGCATGTACACACCGAGTGCCGAAACGATTGGTTCGTTTGATGGGGGTGGGACGAGTATGCGAATGAGAGCGAAGGTTAGTCATCGTTGGTTGTATATGTTGAATGCCAAGAGTAAATGGTGCTCAACATAAGTAACGAGGAATTCATGGTGTTCGACATGTTAAGACGTAGAAGCTCAGTAATATAGAGGGGTTTGTTGTCGAATTGAAAGGCGTGCGTAAACCATATTTATACTAAAATTCCAGGGACCGACCGGATAGGAGAAGAAAAAGGTCGGGAGGCCGATGGCTTAAGTACACCAGACTCGGCACGCCGGTGCCGACAGAAATCGGCGTGGCATGCCGGAGGACCCGGAATACATGGTCACGAGGCAGGGAAAAGAATAGAATCACGGACGTTTTTCAGGGGCTTGATCCCACAAATATTTTATTATAGCCTGAGACTGTGGTCTAGATGCCTCAAGAGCCTCAGAGCAATCAACTTGAGTAATGGCTTGGAAGATCTAAAGAGACTGATAAACAAACTCCTTGTCATTGGACGCATACTCCCTTAAACAAGGCGTATGGGGTGCAGGAGCGTGCAATGAAGTCATTTTGTGGCCCTCTAGTCTAACGGAAACAATGGCTATACTCAATACTCTCTCGGTGTAGTGAATGATCAAGATAGATTCTACCTACCACTCCTTCAGCGTTTAAGGAGTACGACGCCCCTCCCCTACTACTTAACGACCTACCTACATATCTCTAATTGGCACACTTGTACTCATTCGGAGACAAGCAACAGCTCTGTCAGTTGATTCATTTCATGAGTTTTCATCTGAAGCACGAAATGTTGAAATTCAGTTGACACCACGATGTCTCGTTTTCCAGAATATAATTCCACTTGGGGTTGATTAAAGCGGACACTGCGAACAGCAGGTCGTCAGTAAAACTACTTGGATAATTTCAATTTGTTCTGATAGGCAGTGACCAATCAAGCTTACTTATCATGTAGATATAGTACTATACACTCGTGCATTTGGAACCAGGACTTGCTTCGTCGGAACCTAACCATGTTTTCTATGTATATATATAGTAGAATACCAGGTTGTCTCAGCCGTCTACCACTACATACTTTCTGAAAAAAGGTCTCAATCGGCCATTTCTAGTGTACGAGTGAAATGTGAATTAAGAGTATTGGCTTTATTTTCTCAAACCAGTTTCGCACACCTTATGAGTCCTGAAGAATACCTGATGCCTTGCCGCCTGAATAATACGGCCTCCAATTACGTGAGGCTCTGTAGTTTGCATTGTTTGCATTAACCTCGGCAATGTTTCTCCGTTTCCCTGCCTTCGTTGGAGACGCATTCAGCATTCTCATGTCTGGATCCATCGCATGCATGCAGAATATCTTTTGCATACTTATTCTTATCGATGGACCCTTTGTTCCATTTGTTCTCGAAAAGCATGTGTCACAACATCACGCCCCCTTGCTTGACTCACTATATGAATTCAAGACTAAGATCATGCTTTTGAGGGTCTAGACCCAATAGCCCCTGAAGGTGAATCAAACGGATACTTTCATCCGGACACCTCAGTACATACAAGGGTAAGAATAGAGAAATAAAGATAGGAGGGCTGCATCTGATGTGTTGCCACCTACATTCTTCATGCGCATATCGGGTGCTCCGGTGTCCGTTTTGAAATATCCCATCTGGTAAGTTCGTGAGAATAAAAACTGTCATAAAGCTCTTGACCTTTTGTGTACAGAAGATAATATAGGTTGATATGTTGCCATTGATCTTCGGCACTATTCATCCCTTTATGATATCCGACTGGAATAGAAATATAGAAGTGCTTTTTGGGATTTATATAGATTTTAATGAAGTAGTAGGGTGTTCTTCCAAACCTAAGGTCCCAAGTGGTTCTGCAACGGTACCAACTGGCAGGAACTTGGCAGCCGCAATAAAGTCGGCCGAGAAACACGTCGCCCGAATCGGATCCCCGCAATGATTCTCCAGGCTCAGCTTTTAGTACATCCTCCCGTTCTTTATCGTTGATCCGACCAACGAGTGCCCTCCGATTTTTGCCTGCCCCATTTCCATTCGCTGTCCACTGACCCGAGGCCCATTCAAGAGCCCAGTCTAAACCTAACTCGTAACTGCGTCTTGAAATTCTGGGACAAGACTCTGGTATCTCGCTCACATATATATACCATCGTCGCTGCATTACTTTCCCTCGTGCTCTTCTGATCATTTCTCTCACTACTGAAACACCACCTACCACCCATATTTCAATATTTTCGACAAGATGAGCAAAGGCAAGCTCAGTGGCACGGATGTCGCCCAGCACAACTCCCGCGACTCTTGCTGGGTCATTGTTCATGGGAAGGCGTATGATGTAACCGAATTCCTGCCAGGTATAATATATCGCCGTCGCTTGAGATTAGTTCTCCACTGACAAGTGCGATAGAACATCCTGGTGGTCAGAAGATCATCCTGAAGTACGCAGGCAAGGATGCGACCGAGGAGTTTGACCCTATCCACCCTCCCGACACCCTCGATAAATACCTCGATGGCTCCAAGCACCTGGGTGCGGTCGACATGAGCACCGTCGAACAGGAAGAGAAGGTTGTCGACCCCGCAGAAGAGGAACGACAGGAGCGGATCAAGCGGATGCCCCCACTGCAAGCATGCTATAACCTAATGGACTTCGAGACAGTCGCACGGGATGTTATGAAGAAAACCGCTTGGGCTTACTACTCTAGCGGTGCGGACGATGAAATTGTAGGCTGCCACAGCACAGACTAGGATATACCATCATGCTAATTGGACATCTTCAGACTATGCGTGAGAACCATTCAGCCTTCCATAAGATCTGGTTCCGGCCTCGGGTCCTGGTCGACGTGGAGAATGTTGACTTCTCCACCACAATGCTTGGGACCAAGACCTCGATTCCTTTCTACGTGACTGCAACTGCTCTGGGAAAGTTGGGTAATCCTGAGGGCGAAGTCGTCCTCACGCGTGCCGCTCATGATCACAATGTAATCCAGATGATCCCGACGTTAGCCTCGTGCTCTTTCGACGAGATTGTAGACGCCAAGAAAGGCGACCAGGTACAATGGTTGCAACTTTACGTGAACAAGGACCGCGAGATCACCAAGCGTATCGTCCAACACGCAGAGGCTCGCGGCTGCAAGGGCCTCTTTATCACAGTGGATGCTCCTCAACTTGGCCGTCGGGAGAAGGACATGCGTTCCAAGTTCTCCGACGTGGGATCTAACGTTCAAGCCAGCGGAGGCAGCTCCGTCGATCGCTCTCAAGGTGCCGCTAGGGCCATCTCGTCGTTCATCGACCCCTCTCTTTCCTGGAAGGACATCCCCTGGTTCCAATCCATCACAAAGATGCCCATCGTCCTGAAAGGTGTCCAGCGCGTCGAAGACGTCCTCCGTGCCGCTGAGATGGGTCTGGATGGCGTCGTCCTCTCCAACCACGGCGGTCGCCAGCTAGACACTGCACCATCCGGCATCGAAGTCCTCGCAGAGGTCATGCCCATCCTCCGGGAACGCGGCTGGGAAAATAAGATCGAGATCTTCATTGACGGCGGTGTTCGCCGCTCCACGGATATCCTGAAGGCCCTCTGTCTGGGCGCCCGTGGTGTGGGTATCGGACGACCATTCCTATACGCCATGTCCGCATACGGTCAGGCCGGTGTAGACCGCGCCATGCAGCTCCTCAAAGACGAAATGGAAATGAACATGCGACTGATCGGTGCCACCAAGATCGAAGACCTCAATCCCAGCCTGATCGATGTGCGCGGCCTGGTCAGCGGTCATCATGCTTCTGTTCCCTCCGACACCTTGACCCTCCGTGCCTACGATCCGCTCCAGGCTCCTCGCTTCAGCGAGAAGGCCAAATTGTAATGGCTGAGGATCTCTTTCGCTCTTCAGCTCTCTTGGCTTTCGTTCTTCTTCCATTTCCCTCCTCTGATAAAGTTTGTTTTGCAGTTCTCCCGTTGACAGTGGTTGGCAGATAGACTTAACCACAAACCCGATTTTATATACCCCTTCGTCATACTTGACGATAATGATGGCGATCCTTGTACATTTAGTGAGAAAGATAGTATACGCTACAAGACATGTATAGACGTGATGTCCAGGTTAAATTAAATATAAACGCAAAGAATATATCCAAAAATTGGATTAACTTTTATTTCTTCTTCACTTAAGACCATGCAGTGTAAAACTAAAACTTAAAAATGGTATCACCACGATAAGAACACCACGCACAACGCACCAAACGAACCTATGTACATGCACGCATCAGTCATTACCGCCTCCCCACACTATATACCTCCCCAACTGAGCCAACAAGCCCCTGTCACTTATAGAACCACAACCTGCGGCTTATTGCTCAGCCCCTTCGAGTCTCGAGACATACAAGCCGCATTCACCATCCACCCACACCCGCGATTCTCTCCACCCCAGACCTTGGCCCATACTACTCCTAGAACACCGTACACCACGACCCGGGCTGAATCAACCCACCCAGAGATATGGAGCAGATCCCGGAGAAACCCGAAGAGCGAGCTGAAACGGCCGTTGCGTGCCCATCGTCGCCGTGAGGCGCAGAGGCGTTCCCATGCCTTCTGCGCTTCGTCCCAATACACGGGTTCCATGCCGTAGGCGGCGTGGATATGGCCGAAGACGTGAAGGGCGGGCTGGATGCGCCATGTTTCTGTTAGGAGGTAAGGACAGCCGGTGGAGTAGACGGGGGAGAGGTCGAGATGGGCCTGGGGCGGGGTATGCGTGACGAGGATGTCGGTGTTTGGGGGGACGGTGCCGGACCAGGCGTCGTAGTGGGGTGGATAGGTAAAGGCGTGTTCGGGGCCGAAGGGAACGAGGGCGGGGACTTGAGGTGCACCGTAGATGGTGAGAGAGCGGGCACGAGAGGCGCTGGATGGCGGTGGGAGGAAGGAGATGGTGACGGCGGAGTGTTGGAGGTAGTGGATGTCGCCCCAGTCGACGCGGTGGGGACTGTCGAGGTCGTCGATGGAGCGGACGGAGGCTGTTGAGGATGACACTGTCGCGAAGGATTTGTCCCGGTCTTCTGCTAGTCGTGACCGCACGTCGAAGTAGCTGTCATGGTTGCCGCAGATGACTACCTTGTGGGGATGGGGTAGTCCGCGGAGCCAGTCTACCGCTGCTTGGATCTCGCGCACGCTACCGTCGTTGCATAGATCGCCGGCGTGGATGAGGAGGTCGCCATCTGGGACATCGTCCCATTCCAGGGTGTGGGTGTCTGAGATGCAGACTACCTTGATGGGGTGGGCATCTGGTGGAGGTAATCGAGGTGGTCCGCGGAGTCTGAGGAGAATGTGATGGAGTGGATAAAGGATGGCGGAAAGTGGAGAGGCGAGGAAATAATCAGATATAGGGCGGCGATGGTAAGGAGAGGACATGGTGAGGTAGATTTAGGGTTGAGAGAGAGAATGTTTCGGTCGAGGAAGACCCGGCGGTTGTAGGCCCTGGTACTTCTTATCCTCGACTTTGTTGTCCCTGCCTTTTGGTGGAGTTGCGGAGATCACTGACGTTGTCCGCCTGACAGCCAATCAGAAGCTCCACCCTGGTATTCATCATCCTTCAACATGAGCCTGATCCAGTTGGCGCCCTCACCACCTGCTCTTTATAATCCAGTATTAATATATATATGAATAAACTTTATATGTCCAACATGTACTAATACCCTTCTTTCTTTCGGTTCTTTTTCTATATCTATACCAACTCCTAACTTATGGCTAGACGCGGTTATAACCGTATAGCACTCTCTGCGGGGAACCAACATTACCCGCAACTCTTAGTAATCTGATTATATGAGAGTATGTATTCTCACTCATGGAGGTCGCAAGTACCTACCATTTAGAGGAAGATAACAAAAATCGTTTGCTAGGGCTCTTTATATAGCTGACGGCAGAGCCTACATAGACCAAAGTAGCCTTCTCGCTTATGGAAAATAGATACAGGTCTAAGAGATTTGAACCAGGAGTTTTACCTGGTTCGTGCAGAAAGGGATATCCAGGGCACCAAAGCCCCCTCTCCAGGGTCTCACCCTAAGGTTCAAAGACTTTCCAGACGCAGCGGTAGGGGCCCATGGGCCAGGTTCTTCTTTTTCTCTTGAAGCTTAGACAGTTGGAAAGACTCAACACCGTTCCTCTGTCGGATATCGTAAAGGAGATCGTTTCTTTTTCTTTTTGACCTTTTCCTTTTTGACCTTTTCCTTTTTGTCTTCCGAGGTTAATAATATGGAGTACAGCCATCACGAGAGCGAATCATTGGTGGAAATGGGTCATGTTGACTTATCCTGGGTAATGTCAAAGGTTGGGTAGAAAGCCGCCTAGAGTAGACTCAGACCTGGACAAGCTGAAGTTACTCACATAGTATATCTCTAATATTCACATATAGTTAAAGGTCTATACTAACGTAATGGTGAGCGGCCCGCCATCTACTGTTTTCCATCCCAACGTTGGTTGACAGTAAAATGGTGGCCAAAAACGGCAGTCCGTCAATGCCGTTGTAAGCACCCTTTTTATCTAATAGCATCTCGCATCCACGCTAGTCAGCTTTGATCACGTGGGTGTACTCGCCCCTCCTCAGTCCAGGCTCCCTGAGTACTCCCTGATCAACTCACCCTCTACTCAACCTGCTCAGAACACATTATAAATTGCACCATGAGCACTTCCAGAATTTTCGCCGCGTGTAACCGCTACCTAATAGTCATGGCAATCTTCACTCCAAATGGTTATACCTACATTTCCTTCTATATAAGGATTATTCTTAACATCTGACATTTCCCTCTTTATCCTCTTCATTTATTCGTAGCTATACCATAGCCAGATCTCCCTTATCAACTGCCCAGCTTAAGGGAGTCCACATGAGGCTATCGGAAATATTCAGATCCAGTTCTCTGATATCGAGAAGCAAGCAGACTATGGACCTGTCCCTATTCTGGACAGCATGATAAAGAGGTGTAGATTGATCTGAACCCACTGTATTCATATTGACCTGGTCTCGGCCAGCAGCCGCCGGGCTATCCAGCGCTGGCAAGTCTGAGCTGCCTACCAAATCGGGGTTGACCTGCTCATGTCCCTGGCATTGATCTTTATATTCAGCTTGGCTAGAATAGAAGCAACTTCAGTATAAGCAGATGTTCTCTGATTATAGCTTCATGTAAAACCGTGGACTTTTACCGGTCCCGTGCTTGTACATCGATATACCGTTGATTAAGAAGCAGCCAAATGACATGAATGTGCCTCTTTACTACTGCCAGGTGTATTGGTATTCTTCCCTCTCCATTGGTAACGTTCACGTCCAGTCCATAATCTAGCAATGACTTGGTGATCTCCACATTCCCGGTCCAGGCGGCAATATACAGTGGCGGCTTGCCTTTATAGGCGCCACCCGCCCTCCTCCATTGCCAGTGCCAAAGGCATCGTGGCAGAGCAACTCAGGAGTATTTTGACTATGGATGCATAGCCCTTTTCAATGGCTTGGTGGAGAGATATCGTTCCGAACATGTCGGCAGCAGTAATATCGCCTCCGGAATGGAGGAGTAGCTGGACCCTCTTCTTGTGACTGGGGGAGCATACCAAAGTGCAGTTCAGTTATCATTATCCTGTATATTGACATAAACGCCAGGATGGGCAAGCAGGATTCGTACCAATAACACAAGATTCTTCAGCACAGCATATGTCAGCAAAGTATATCTGTGAGCGTTCTCACAGGTAAGATTAATATGTCCATCCGCCAGTAGTATCTCTGTAGTCTTCTGATCTCAGATATAAATAGCATGTAAAACTGGTGTTCAGTCTAGTTTATCCCTGGTGTTAACACTTACTCGCCTGGCTGCAAGGAGGTCCTGGACTGTTCACATGTCCCTTGGCCACGGCTGCAGCCAGGGGTATTAGCCCATACTCCGCATCCAGGCAATTGGCCTTGATTCTGTTAAACCGAAGTAGTTGGTAGGCAATTGTAGCATGTCCGCGGAGCACTGTACACCACAATGCACACTGTCCTTGTCAGTTCTGGAAATTGAGTGCGATATCCCTCCTTGTCAGGGGAAGGTTAAGGACTGACTCCGATCTATATATTGCTGTATATATAAGTGGAGTATTTGCTTGATTAACTGTTTTGATGTTGGGCTGATACCAGTGGACAAGAGTATCCGCTGTTTGTGGTTCCCCATGATGTGCGGCCCAGTGCAGCGCTGAGCTGTTCTGGTGCTGGATATTATATCTGTAGATATCTGACAGCAGAATACTGTAGGTCTCCCGGCTGATGAGGACAAATGAAAGAATGTCCTTCGCATTGGGTAATCTCGCTGCTATGCACAGGAGTATTGCAGGGGGAAGATAGTCAAGTCCCATCTAGCATTGTGAATATTCATCTACACAACTGTGGCCGGGAACAACAAAAGACGAGCAAGAGTAAGTACATACGGGCATCGCAATGTGTCTCGTATATCCTAAATGCGTCCAGTGCTACAGGAAATAACTAGTCGAGAGGAGTAATAGGTCTCAGGTGGAAGCTAACTGATAAGGATATGCCTAGTTATTGAGAGCTAACCGTGGTGCGAACAGTCCTATATAAATAACTCTCGCAGACTGGTGATTAGTGACTTCTAGTAGACAGAGCGAACTAATAATTTAGCTTGCTGTTCCTTGGTAGATACAGGGAAGGGCATTATAGCATTTTGCCGTGTACCCAATACTTCCTGCGAGAATCTGCGGATGTCCTGTGAAGGACTGTTTGGATCCTTGAAGTACTGATGCTTCTAGGAAGGTCTAATTTACTCTTGAGGTCGCCATCACCCTTCCTAGAGATATAACTACATCTCTTGTAATAGATACTAAACCTGAAAGTGGCTAGTCTTCTCCTACAAAGACAAGTTGCCCATGGAAGGGGTTTGCCGTTCCGCGCGGGCCGCTCGGCGCCTGGAGTACTTTGTCCCATCGTAGCCCGAGTACCGGCTTTAGTACAGCAATATTTCTTGATGAATAGTAGAAAGACTGTCCGGATCTAACAATCAAGTGCAGACAGAGTACGCTCTTTTTCGCTGAAAAGTGAACTTCGTGTGTTAGATAATACTGTTTGACAGGAGATGCTTTTTAGGTACATGAAAAACACATTAAGTATTGATACGTGGTATGTATAGTGGGCATATACCGTGCACTTATATAATTTGTCGCCTATCTGGCTTAGTGACCCAAAAGCCAGCACAACAACAGGTGAACGCTAGTAGTAGGGATGAAACCGTGCACATAGCTATCTATTGCCGAACACGATCTCTTGCAGGGGCAGTCAGATTAGTGGATGCGTCGATATCGGCGGATGCTGTCTGTTTTCCGGGGCCAGCGTTTACAGAAGCAGGAGTAGAGCTGAATCATTCGGGTAGGTTTAGTTTACCGAGACTTGACTGTTTAGAATATAACAGGCCCACCTGTAATCACGGAGGTTCATTGGGATATTACCCGGTTATTAGAAAAGCTTGCGGCAAGACCAACGCACAGATATCTTAGTAGCCAGCAGTTATAGTATGTGTATCTCTCGATCACCTTCAGCTGATCTATGGGTCTTGTTGGATACCAGACCACACCCGCGAGATGGATCTTGCGCTTAAACTGAGAGGTGGGCTATTGATATTAGAAACAGTAGAAGTGCGTGGTAACGAGACATGATTATTGGCTGTCATTCAGCCGCTGTTCTCGGCGTATTTAAATCCTAAAATCATGGCAAATTCGACAAATATTCTGTTTCTTCAATTTGAACAGGTGTCTTAAGGAGCTTGGTTCGAGCAGGTAACTATGTTTTGATTTTTCGGGGCATAGTGGCAGTGAGACTAGCTGATACCTGCGTATATCCACCCAGTTAAGATCATCCTCAACCAGTTTGATCATCCCGATGTTACCTGCATTTGTAGCTGACTAACATTCTCCAGAGAAGATGACGCAGATTGCGTCGAAACCAAAGACGCAATTCAGGTTGGATGCACAGACCTGATATACGAGAGGGCTAGCTGCATCCACCGGCCTAGAACACGCAATTTCAGTATAAAAATTGGGAGACTCTCATAACTTTCCGTTTTACTATATAAAGCAGGCTCCAACCAATGCACCCTACACCTAACACCTAACACCTGACGGCTTTTAGGCTGTTATATACCATGAAACCGATTTCGGTCACTCATACACTAAGCTTGATATAGCGGACGCCTTCTGCAATCAACTGCCTAGCAGGTAGTATGTTTTCCAGGGTGATTCCCGCAAGGAATAGGCTAACAAATAGTAGCTCTAGCTCGGTTGGCTCTATCATCGTGTCGCTGGGGTATAACTGCACACTATATACGTGAGTGCCTTAAGAAACCGCCCATGCGATCTTGACTTCAACATGTCTGATAAAAACATAGAAACGAGTATTGTGACAGCGCGATGAAGAATATTATCCCATCACCTGGGTGGCATGATCTTTTTTCGGCCCCTTACCTTGGGGCTCAGACAAAGAGTATTAGCTGTGTAAAAGCTTAGTCTTGTTTATTGGCTACATATTGTTTGATAGGACGGCTTCTCAATATTCTGCTACACGCTTAGGCTTTCCTCCGGCCTCTGCCACCGGTATCCACCGGTATCCACCGGTATTAACAGGGATAGCTATGCTGGCCGCCCGTCTAATGCTAGAACTGAGCGTTCTGCCGGAATTCAAGCTCCCTCTTCTTTAGCCTACGTATCCTTACCTAGTTGACAGGTCTTCTACCCTGAAGAGTAGATACCCTTTACAGTCGAGGCTCGCTTAATACTAGAACTATCTAGAGTATTATAATATTTAGATATCTCATAATTTAATATTAAGACTTGCGGCTAGATGCCCTATTCGTAGAGTAGGAAGGTTGCTTCGCCGGATTGGATCGGCTCTCGGGCGTACAAGGACCCGCCCTAGGATCGCCCAGCAAGTTCTTGGGAGTGACTGGACGGCTTCCCGAATCGATCAGCCTCTTGGAAACCTTTCTTGTGAACTTGTGAGTTTGACAAGTTAGCTGGATACTAATGCCGCCTTTTTCTCTAAAACCCGAAACATCATCATATGTACAGCACTAAGTCAACATAACCATTAGAGAAGAACTAGACAAAAAGTCTATGGCTGGTTGCAAAAATGGCACAATAATTCTGCTCTTGGTTTCTTTCTGAGATTCTAGATCTAAGACTATATTTGGCTAAGTCATGGAATAGCTTTAGTTAATGTAGTCCGTGAGTTATATAATCATATCATACAAATGTTAACAACTATTATACTGCCTTGTATTGAATACTAGTCTAACAGTACTGTAATCTTTCTTTCAGCCTCATTGTTTCAAACTCTTCAAGCATAGTGTCAGCCAGTAGGATACATGTATGATCTATTATTCATATTCCACAAATAAAGTCCTCTAACTAGATTTCTTACAATTTAGTATTGGCTGCTTTAAGGAAAATTTTAAAAAATTAAAAAAAAATTAAAAATAAAGAGTGTCTTAATTTAGTAGTGTATTAATTATACACTAAATCATTTATCTTAACAATCTCTGGTTGTTGAAAAACCGAACTTTTAAAAAGTGCCATTTTATATGGAAAACAGGTACACGGAAAACAGTAGACGGCGGGCCGCTTACCGATTACGTTATCTACACTGTGATCAGTTACATCTTCAAATCCGGCTGCCAGAAAAGGAATAGTGTACTCCGGCTCTGTCTACCGCTAACCTTATCAGTTAGGCGGTCTCTTGTTCTGCCCGCTTTGTCTCCCAAGCTATTCATCATGTCCATCTCACACCAATTCTAACGACTTTCAGTGACCGCTCTTTTCTTGTGGTCTCTCTTCATCTTGTCGTAATATTGCTGTTTCGCGGTCCCTTATCATGGACGGAACAGGATCTGTTGAGTCGCAGTGGCTTACTCAACTGGCTGCTATGCGGCAGGCCATTGCCGAGCTGAAGCTTCCCAAAGACCCCGCCAAAGAGAACCTTGGGTATGGTAGCGATTTAGATCTGGATTTTGACGAGGACTATTCTTCACCTGGGACAGTTGATGATATCTGGGATGTCATTAGCTCCGACTATGAGTCTAGTGCTGATTACGAGGAGTTCGATAATGGTTTCGCCTTTCCCTCAGCGTTGTCGTACGACCAGTCTTGGCTGGAGCAGAAATGCCAGAGCCTAACCTCTCAGAAACCCGGGCTGAATGCGAAAGAGTTAGCTCAGCAGATTACTGCTGCACTAGCGACCGACAGCGGAGATGACGAGCTGCAAATGTCTCTGGCCGAGATCGTTGGATTTGATGACCTGGACTTTGTGATTGAGTTGATCGCACACCGAGCGGATCTTCTGAAGAGCGTAACCACCGGTCCAGTGGCACAAACTGACGGTCTCTTCTCGGGGAAACTTCGAACAAGGGCGGAACGGGAACAGGCGTTACGGCAGCAGGACTTCGAACACAAGCATGCCGCGTTGTTGCCGGCACAAACGAGACAGGAGCCACAGTATCCCCATGTCTTCAAGACCCACGACTCTAGAAATGTACTTTCATTTAGTGGAAAGAAGTTTGGGCTGCCACTGGGCAGCAAGCAAATTGATGAACAGAAGTACACCGAGGTGGAGGTCCCTGCGTCTAAGGTAGGCACTTTACGGCCCACGCAGAAGCTGGTGGAAATATCTTCACTCGATGGACTATGTCAAGGTACCTTCAAGGGTTACAAGACACTGAACCGGATGCAAAGCTTGCTGTATGAAGTTGCTTACAAAACAAGCGAAAACATGCTAATTTGTGCTCCTACTGGTGCCGGTAAAACCGACGCCGCTATGTTGACTATTCTGAATACTATTGGCAAAAATACTACCCCAAACCCTATTGAACAACCGGAAGCAACAGAGTTTGCGGTTCGGATAGAGGATTTCAAGATTGTTTATGTGGCTCCCATGAAAGCGCTGGCTGCTGAAGTCACTGAAAAGCTTGGGAAGCGGTTGGCCTGGCTCGGGATCCAGGTCCGTGAACTAACTGGTGATATGCAACTGACAAAGCGAGAGATTGTGGACACCCAGATTATCGTTACTACCCCTGAAAAATGGGACGTGGTGACACGGAAGAGCACCGGGGACACCGAACTTGTACAGAAAGTGCGCTTACTGATCATTGATGAGGTTCATATGCTTCATGACGAACGTGGTGCGGTTATCGAATCATTGGTGGCCCGTACCCAGCGCCAGGTCGAAAGTACGCAATCGCTCATCCGCATCGTTGGTCTTTCTGCCACTCTGCCCAACTATATTGATGTCGCCGATTTCCTTAAGGTGAATAAGATGGCTGGGCTGTTCTACTTCGACAGTTCGTTCCGACCTGTACCTCTTGAGCAACACTTCATTGGGGTTAAAGGGAAAGTCGGCTCTAAACAATCTCGCGAGAACCTTGATGTCGTGTCTTACGAGAAAGTGCGTGATATGCTTGAAAGAGGACATCAGGTCATGGTCTTCGTGCATTCGCGGAAAGATACTGTCCTGACCGCCCGAATGCTGAAACAGATGGCTGCTGACGAAGGCTGCGAGAATCTGTTCAGTTGCCAAGACAATGAAAACTATTCAAACGCGCTCAAAGATATGAAACATGCTCGTGCTCGCGAGTTGCGGGATCTTTTCGCCAGTGGTTTTGGAACCCATCATGCTGGAATGAGCCGGAGCGATCGCAACTTGATGGAACGTTTGTTCTCCGAAGGTCTAATCAAAGTCCTTTGCTGTACGGCCACATTGGCGTGGGGTGTCAATCTTCCTGCTGCAGCGGTCGTTATCAAGGGTACCCAGTTGTACAATCCACAGGAGGGAAAGTTCGTCGACCTTGGTATTCTCGATGTCCTCCAGATCTTTGGTCGTGCTGGTCGTCCCCAATTCCAGGATACCGGTATTGGGTTCATTTGTACCACACATGATAAACTGACGCACTATCTATCTGCGGTGACGTCTCAGCAGCCTATTGAGTCTCGTTTCTCCAGTCGACTTGTAGACAATCTAAATGCCGAGATCTCTCTTGGCACAGTCACCTCCGTCCCGGAAGCTGTACAGTGGTTAGGATATTCTTACCTCTTTGTGCGCATGAAGCGCGAGCCGCGGAATTATGGCATTGAGTGGGCTGAAATACGTGATGATCCCATGTTGGTCCAGAGACGCCGTCAGCTAATCATCCAGGCTGCCCTCGTATTGCAAAAGAGCCAAATGATCATCTTTAACGAAAGGACAGAGGAACTCCGAGCAAAAGACGTTGGTCGTATTGCAAGCCAGTACTACGTCTTGCAGACCAGTATTGAGATCTTCAACGAACTGATGCGTGCCGAATCGGGGGAAGCGGATGTGCTGAAAATGATCAGTATGAGTGGAGAATTCGATAACATCCAGTCGAGAGAAAACGAGTCGAAAGAGCTGAATAGGCTACGTGAAGAAGCCGTGCAAACAGAGATAGAGGGTGGAAATGACTCTCCTCATGCGAAAACCAATATTCTGCTGCAGTCATATATTTCGCGCGCTAAGGTTGAAGATTTCGCCTTGGTTTCGGATACAGGCTATGTTGCACAAAACGCAGCTCGTATCTGTCGCGCTCTATTCATGATTGCCCTGAACCGACGTTGGGGTTATCAATGTCAGGTCCTGCTGTCAATGTGCAAGTCCATCGAAAAGCAGATCTGGCCTTTCGATCACCCGTTCCATCAGTTTGATCTGCCCCAACCCATCCTGAGAAACTTAGATGAGAGGCTGCCCAGCTCCTCCATCGAATCGATGAGGGATATGGATGTCGCAGAGATAGGACAGCTAGTTCACAATCAGAAAATGGGGAAGACCCTATCGAAATTATTGGACAACTTCCCAACCCTCAGTGTGGAGGCCGAAATCGCACCTCTGAACCGTGACGTCCTACGCATCCGCTTATGTCTTTATCCCGAGTACACTTGGAATGATAGGCATCATGGAGCTTCAGAATCATACTGGATCTGGGTAGAGAATTCAGAGACTTCGGAGATCTACCATCACGAGTATTTCATCCTCAGCCGGAAGAAACTCCATGACGAACACGAGCTTAACTTCACCATCCCGCTTTCAGATCCATTGCCAAGTCAGATTTATGTTCGTGCGATATCAGACCGATGGCTAGGTGCTGAAACGGTGACTCCAGTATCATTCCAGCATCTTATACGTCCCGACACAGAGAGCGTTTACACAGACCTTCTCAACCTTCAACCACTGCCTATCTCTGCCCTTAAGAATCCCATTCTCGAGGAACTTTATGGACAGCGGTTCCAGTTTTTTAACCCAATGCAAACCCAAATTTTCCACCTACTCTATCACACACCTGCCAACGTCCTCTTAGGCTCCCCTACTGGAAGTGGAAAGACTGTGGCTGCAGAGCTAGCAATGTGGTGGGCTTTTAGAGAAAAGCCCGGGTCGAAGGTCGTGTACATCGCACCGATGAAAGCCCTCGTCCGCGAACGAGTCCACGACTGGAAAAAGCGCCTCACAGGACCTATGGGCCTGAGACTGGTGGAGTTGACCGGTGATAATACTCCGGATACGCGAACTATTCGAGATGCAGACATCATTATCACAACGCCTGAAAAATGGGATGGTATCTCTCGTAGTTGGCAGACCAGAGACTACGTCCGTAAGGTCAGCTTGGTGATCATTGATGAGATTCACTTGCTAGGCGGTGACCGAGGACCTATTCTTGAGATCATTGTGTCTCGAATGAATTATATCGCGTCACAATCTAAGGGATCCGTTCGGTTGATGGGCATGTCTACTGCTTGTGCGAATGCTACTGATTTGGCAAATTGGCTGGGTGTGAAAGAAGGACTATACAACTTCCGACACTCCGTGCGTCCTGTGCCTCTTGAAATTTACATCGATGGTTTTCCTGAGCAACGTGGATTCTGTCCTCTCATGCAGTCGATGAACCGGCCAACTTTCCTTGCTATTAAGAACCACTCTCCAGAAAAGCCAGTGATTGTTTTCGTCGCTTCTCGTAGGCAAACCCGTTTAACTGCCAAGGACTTGATCAATTATTGCGGAATGGAAGATAATCCTCGCCGATTTGTTCGCATGTCGGAGGAGGATCTGGAGTTAAACCTCGCGAGAGTCAAAGATGATGCATTACGAGAGGCGCTCAGCTTCGGTATTGGTCTGCATCATGCTGGTCTAGTGGAGTCTGATCGTCAGCTAGCCGAGGAGCTTTTCGCAAACAATAAGATACAGATTCTCGTCGCCACCAGTACACTCGCCTGGGGTGTTAACCTTCCAGCACACCTTGTAGTTGTCAAAGGAACTCAGTTCTTCGATGCTAAGATCGAGGGATATAGGGACATGGATTTAACCGACGTTCTACAGATGCTGGGCCGTGCAGGCCGCCCGCAATTTGACTCGTCCGGTATTGCCCGGATATTTACCCAGGATTCAAAGAAAGCTTTCTACAAGCATTTCTTGCACACTGGTTTCCCGGTGGAGTCCACTTTGCACAAAGTCCTCGATAACCATTTGGGGGCTGAAGTTTCAGCGGGAACAGTCACAACCAAACAAGATGCTCTCGACTACTTGACTTGGACATTCTTCTTCCGCAGATTGCATAAGAACCCTTCGTACTATGGCTTGGAAATCTCGGCCGAAGAGCACAACACTATGGCCGCTCAGACGATAGCCCAAGATTTCATGATTGATCTGGTTGACAAATCACTCGGTGAATTAGCAGCATCGTCATGTGTTGTACTTGATTCTGCGACAGGTGAAGTCGACCCGACACCTTTCGGCAAGGTCATGAGTTACTACTACCTGTCTCATAAGACAATCCGGTACCTCATGGCACATTCAAAGCCTAATCCTACATTCCACGATGCCCTGAGCTGGATGTGTTCCGCGTCAGAATTCGACGAGCTGCCTGTCCGACACAACGAAGATCTCATTAACGCAGAGTTGGCTCAGAATCTACCTCTATCTGTTGAGTCAATGGGAGACCTGCCGCTGTGGGATCCTCACGTGAAAGCGTTCTTGCTGCTTCAAGCGTACATGTCGCGAATCGATCTTCCGATTTCTGATTATGTCGGAGATCAGACCTCTGTTCTGGACCAAGGTATTCGTATTTTGCAGGCGTCGATCGATGTTATGGCCGAGCTGGGCTACCTAAATGCTTGTCAGATGCTGATGTCCCTGCTCCAATGCATCAAGTCAGCTAGATGGCCCGAAGATTTCCCATTGTCGATCCTTCCAGGCGTGGGTGTCGCCGCCAAGCCATCCATCCTCCCAGGTTCCCTCACCGCGCTCTCAGCTCTACCTTCGCATGCTGTATCGTCTCTCTCCAAGGAACTACAGCTTTCTCCTCCCCAAACCGCCCAATTCACCAAAGCTGCCTCGTATCTGCCAAACGTGTCTGTATCAGTCTTGAACGTCTCCTCAACTGGTATTACCGTATCCTTGTCCAGACGCAACCCCACAATGGACCCAGAATACAGAATCTACGCGCCTCGATTCCCTAAGCCACAGACAGAAGGCTACTTCTTGATCGTATGCAGCACAGCCTCAGACGGCAAAGACGGAGAGTTACTCGCGCTAAAGCGCATCTCCTGGCCTTCCTTCGGCAAGCAGCGTACCCGCAACAACCGCAGCAACAATGCTACCGGTTCCAGCAAGAAGTCCGGAGACAAGGGCAACAACCACCGGGACGGATCTCCCCTCACAATCCGGTCGTCTGTCAAATTCCCAGACACAGCAGCTAGGAACGGTCTCAATATCAAGGTCATCAGCGATTCATATCCTGGAATGGAATGGGCTCTTCCTAACGTGGATGTGGATGGAGGAAGCCCTACGAAGCAGGTCTTACCGGAGTCGGCTAACTTCCCGGAAAAAAGTTGAGGTGGTCTTTTATACATGTACATATACATGGAAAGAAATATAGATAGAAGAGAAGAATCTTATGAAGCAATTCAATCGGTTGATTGATCTGAGCTGATAATGATATATCGATGCACCACCCGAAAGGTAAAAGAAATGAACGAATGGGAGTATATAACTGCACACAAAGAAAAGATCGGCCAAATTCAAGAAAAATATACAAAAACCTCCACTACTCCTACCGGTTTTAAAGAATCCAACCACTCATGAAATGCAAAATGTAAGTCCGGCTCTCGCTCCCGGTGCCGCCAGAAAAAAAAAAAAAAGGCCGTAAAACTGTGATATGTAGAAGGGGAAAATTGCAGGCAATGAATGAATGCTATGTATGCCAAAGGGAACGAATGGAAACGCAATCGCCGCCGATAACGGAACGAATATGCACAGTAAACCAACGATTCATCAGGTTCAATGCTGCCCGATAGGGATTCCGAAGGTGAAGGCGATCAACGTAAAAAGAAAGGAGGCAAGGAAAGGCTAAGCTAAGTCGCTACTCGGCGTCAGGGAAGAAGTCTATAAAGAGAGTGTGAAAAGAAAAGAAAAGCGCAGGGTGCCTATCCCATGCCCCATGCATCTTATACGCTTTCGATACGTGCATCTTGAGAATTGCCATGTCGATGGCCGTATTGCCCGTTCATCACCTGGGGAGTTCGGGCCCTGGGAGCGAGACGATCGGGTCGACGCCCAACTGGGACTAAGACTTGCTTTCTCTTTGACACGGAGACGGACCTTGCGATGGAAATTTCTATGGCCGGGAGGGGTTCGGCTGATTCGTGCTCTGGCTCTGGTTCTTGGTCCGGCTCGGGTTCGGGTTCTGAGTCTGACTCTGGCTCAGGCTCAGGTTCCTGGTCTGGGATGGGACTCACGGGTTCATCTGTCGCCTTGCTACCTTCGCTCTTGGTCTCATTACTGAGTGGCATGCGGAGAGTGTCTGCTGGGGAAACTGCCGTTTTGCTGCTTTCCGAAGGAGATAGCGGGGAAAATCTTTGCTGGACAGCAGCAAGAGGCGAGAGAATCGGAGATGATGCGGTTGAGTCGGCGCGAGCTGGTTCGGGTGATAGCTCTTGAGTTTTGAGTGAGAGCGTCGGTGTTGATTTCTGCTTTGCTTCGTTGATAGAGGGCTTTCTCCTGTCGATCATCTCCCATTGAGGCTCCCCTTGAGGGTCGACGTAGGTTTGAACAGGCCTGAGCTTTTGTAGAAGAAATTTTTCATCTTCCGAGCCGGTGGTGGTGGTCGAGATAATAGAGGATACTGACACCTGGTGCTTATGTGAGCCCAGGGCTTCTTTGCGAACCATGAGGAAAATATGGTCTTCTTCATCCGACAAGTCTTCCTGACGCGAATCTGCCCTAGAGACTTGGTTCCGGGGCCAAGGACTGGGACCTCGCGGTAGGTTTTGGGTGCCAAGGACTTTTGAAGCTTTGCTTTTCTGTGTTGTTGGGAATAATGTGAGTCTGGGGGAATTTGAGCGCGCTGGCGAGGTGGCCCTTCGTCGAGGCGGAAACAATTCTGGTGATGGCGGCAACGCCTGATAATAGTTTAGTATATTGTAAGATGTGAATGAATACAAGGGTTGGGATGTGAGACGGCATACCTCGGTATTGGGGGCGTTCCTGTCTTCTAGGGTTTTGCTGCGCCTGTTTAACGGGGTGGGCTCTTTTTTGTCGAGCAGCGCGCTAAACATAACGCTGTATCGTTCCATCTCAACACTGGGGATATCAACCTGCAGTAAGGACCCCGACTTTGGCTCATGCTTATCCTGGGCAGACCTACATACACCATTGGTGTTTTGCTGCTTCTCTCCGTCCGGCTTGGTCTCCAGCTGTAGGCACGGCCAAGCCTCTGTATTCGTGATAGGCTTGGACTTCTCTTCGCGAGACTGATAGTCAATAGAATGAGAAGAACCCTGCGGAAGAGGCGCCTCCTGACTGCCATGAGCCTGGACCTGGTAAAACGGCTGGGTCGCGCCTGAGGCTACGGCATTCTTCGCCTTGAACAAGCCGCCGATTTTCCTCCATTTGCTCGGCTTTCGCTGGAGGGGCGGGGCTTTGGGGCGTTCGCGTGCAGCTTCCAGCGCTTTCTCCTGCATTTGCGAAAAGGTGTTTTGTCTATCCACCAAACGGGGACTACCTAGAGCGATCCCGATCGTATTTTCCTCCGAGCCATTCTCGCTGGCTGTTGGCGATGAGATGGCTTCAGCGGGAGGCACCGCGATGCGAAAATCGAACCCGGGACCTGGTATCTCTACATTGTGCTCCTGCTGGCGTCCATCCGCTGTTTGAGGACGCTGGGAGTCCGAATGGGTTGGATGGATAGGACGATGGTAAGTCGTGCTACCATTCGCCAAAGCCTTGATATTATTTCGTGGTAGCGTATCGGAATACTTGAAGATGGGGTTGGAGATGTCTGTTTCCCGCGGGGCACGCGGTTTTCCCATGAAGAGCCCTCTGGCCATTTGAGCGACTTGCGGCTCGGCGATGCCAATTTTAGAGGTAGCAGAAGAATTGTAAAAACAAGGAATTCAATTTAATGGAAAACGAAACTAAACGAGTGATAGTGACGAAGGGAAGCTGACATGAGAGTCTATCTCAGCATCAGAGAAGAAAAATCATACGGATGGCAATCAAAACGAATGGACAGCCTTCCAGAAGGCCCTAGTAGTGAAACAAAGAAAAGGAAAGAGTAAGTGAGTCCATGATAGAGGAAAAGGAGGGTTCACAGATGACGAGGATTTGGACATAGTGGAGAATGTCGCAGAGTTATGGATCGATCTAATCAGACACGGGTTGGCCAAGTGTCGCAATTTAATTTCCAGTAGATTAGACGAAGCTAGATCTTCTCAAACAAGCCAACTAAAGTCTCAGACGGAGATGCTGTGGCTGCTGAACCCGACGCAGGGCGCATAAGTCAAATCTTTCACAAAGAGGCCCCCAAGCCCCTCCATTGGGAGGCACATGGAGACAACGTGGACACGCTGGTCCTGTCTTCCACGGTCTTAGGAGCGGCGGATGGAGTGCCTCATTCCCCCGTGCCCTATCACGATGCTTATTTGGAAGGTTGCAAATGAACGTTGATGCTGCGAAATTAAGGGACGTAATGGAAGACGGGGCCCACCAGGTGACTTTACCCTAGCAAAGTCTAGCGGGAGCTGCATGATTGGCCTCTCATCTCCCGTGCCCTAAAAAATAGTGTCAAAGCGTCGTTTGGTTTTTGCTGATACTCGTTTGCACTAACTGATCTCCGTCATCTAAACGGTATAGACTGCGAACGTACATAGTTGAGGTAGTAAATAGGTATAGACAAGGAGTTGCAAAGATCGAACACAGTCAGGATCAAAGGAAAGGGGTAAAAAAATATTATGTACTACATACGTAGAACACTAAGTAGGGTAGAGAGGGGGAGGGATGTGGTGGATATCAAAGGAAACAAAAAACATGTATGGGACGAGCCGGGTTTGAACCGACGACCTCTCGATTAGCCTAGAATGGCCGGTGATGAAGTGAACTTCAGTCGAACGCGCTCCCAACTGCGCCATCGTCCCATTGGATGGTATGAAATGTCAAATTAATTCTTTATCAAAGACGACGCAAAGCTGTATGTCTCAAGGTTGTATATGTATATTTGCCCAGAAAACATACCACTCTGGTAGTCAGACAATTTTGGATTGGCATTAGATCTAGATAATTATATCTCTGCATCGGAACAGACAAAAGCGGTTGATTACGACCTGTTCTTACTTGCCAATTGCAACAAACAATCTATCCCCGATATCACCCAGGCCAGGAACAATCATACCCCGCTCATTGCATTTCTCGTCGACCGCCCCTGTCCAAAACTCGACTCCCTCCGGCCAAGAGTCTATGGCCCGAGCAATGCCTGTCTTAGAACCTAGCACGCTGAGCATAACTACACGTTTCACACCCCATTCGCGCAGGAGGTGAATCGCCGCTTCAGCGGTAGCACCGGTAGCGACGATAGGATCAAGAAGGATAGCGGTGTGAGCGGCAGCGGTGTTGACGGGGGCGTTTTCATGGCGGTGGTACGGAAGATTGTTGTAATATTCGACGGGTTGTAGTGTGAGTTTCTCACGGAAGAGACCTAGGTGGTAGATGGGGACTGGGGCGGGGAGAAGGCTGTTGATTGCTGATTTATTGCGCATTTAGTGAGGGTTAAGGTGATTCCGTGGGGGCAAGACAACAAACATACCTTCGGTCATGCCCAATCCAGATCGGAGAATAGGTACCAGGGCAACATCGGCCGGTTCAATATCTTGGGTATCATATTCAATACCTAACGGGGTTTGATCCTGGAAAGTGGATTGATTAATACCCGAGATCTAATATGATCAAGGATGATCAGTCATTACCGTTCCCCGCTTTGTGGTTTTCAGCACCGATGAAAAGGCCTCCACGCCTAGAATGGTTGTGATCTCATGGACGAGACTCCTTGTTTCGCGGGTGGAAGTTTTATGGGACCGTAGCTGGGATATCTTGGCTTGGAGGCAGGGGTGGGTGGAAACATGGACATTTGGAGCGAGGGCCATCTTGGGCACAATAGACTGGATGCTTTTATAGTGGTGGGGAGATAGAGACAAAGAGGTGGCAGCTTGTGAGGGGGAAGAGGAAGCAGGAAATATATACACATCACTAAAGTGAGGGGTTGAGTGTGTCGTGTCACCTGCCCAGGCACTGGGCGTGCATTTATGTCAGCTTTCTTTCTTCCCCCCATGGAATTCTCAGGTTAGAGTCTCTTCTGCTCCCCATCCCTTCTCTTCCACTTTATCTCTGTCCCTGCTCCCCCTCATCATGGTTATCGGGACTGATAAGCTATCAACAATCACTTATCAGCAGACTATCAACCATGAAATCATTGTTTACCCACTAAGATACCCACAAATAACCATGACCCACCCTCTCCGTCCAATCCTCATTCCTCCCAATCAATATTTTCTTGGCTCTTCTTTCTCTCCCCAGACACTAGAGTAGAGATTATATGAATGATGCTGCTGATTGTCCTACAACATGTCTACAGACACCGTACCATCTGACCCAAACGCGCGATTATCTGAAACTCAGGTGCCGCCTTCCACCGCTGAGGAAGCTTCACAGCGCCACAACTGGCCATCCGAGGGATATGGACTTCCTCCCACCACCGACAAGCCACCCTACGGTCCCGTTGAGCCAACGCCCTCACATAGGGAACCTGTCGCAAAGCCCCTCTCCAAACATACCACACACCTGCTCACCCTCTCATACCTAGTTTTCTTCTCCATCCTCGGCACACTAGCGCGTCTCGGTTTACAAGCTCTGACCATCTATCCCGGAGCCCCCGTGGTGACGGGGGTAACATGGGCCAACGTGGGAGGATCACTACTGATGGGCTTCTTCCTCGAAGACAAGAATCTCTTCCGCGAAGAATGGGGCGATACGAACCGGAACAACAACAACGATGGCACAAGAACCAATGAAGAAGACCCAGGCGCCGAAGCGAAACGTCACAGGGCCATCAAGAAGACAATCCCACTATACATCGGCCTAACAACCGGATTCTGCGGCTGCTTCACCTCCTTCTCGAGCTTCATCCGCGACATCTTCCTAGCCCTCTCCAACGATCTCTCAGACCCCTCAACACCCACCATAACCTCGCGCAACGGCGGATACAGCTTCATGGCCGTGCTCGCCGTCATCCTAACCACAGTCGCCCTCAGTCTTGGCGCCCTCATATTCGGCGCCCATCTCGCCCTCGCCCTCGGACCACTAACCCCATCATTCCCCTTCCGTTTCACGCGCCGATTCCTCGATCCCCCCATTGTCCTCCTCAGCTGGGGATGCTGGCTAGGCGCCATCTTCCTCGCAATCTGGCCCCCAGATCGCCACAACCACAGCACAGAAGTCTGGCGCGGTCGCGCAGTGTTCGCTATCGTCTTCACCCCACTCGGCTGCTTTCTGCGCTACTACCTCTCCCTAGCTTTGAACGCCCGGCTGCCCGTTTTCCCACTGGGTACATTCGCCGTGAACATCTTAGGCACTGTTATCCTCGCCATGTGCTTCGATTTGCAGCGTGTTGACGGGGTCGGGGCGTCGCCACTTGGGCCCCGAGCTAGTTATTCGATTCTCACGAGCTGCCAGGTGCTCGCTGGTGTTATGGATGGATTCTGTGGCTCGGCAACTACGATCAGTACGTGGGTTGCTGAGTTGAATGGACTGAGCCGGCGGCGGTATGCATATTTCTATGGAATTGTGAGTATTGGGGTGGCTTTGGGATTCTTCGTTATAATAACAGGTTCCTTACGGTGGACTCGGGGATTCGGGGAACCCGTTTGTGACTGAAAAGGGTTCAGGCAGTGTTGTATAGAAGACTAGAAAGATAAAGCTTGAGGCTAGTTAATAATGTAATGAATACCCCTGTAGACAACCTAACGGTTTCTGATACTTGTGTACGACTTCACTAGCTTTTAATGCGCAACTGGAAAATCAAACTCCCCGCTCAAACCAAATTGTATTTTGTGCTAGAATTACTTATAGTACAGGGTACTACAACGCAAAATCATGTGCAAGTAAACGAAACGAATATCAAATAAGCAGTGTAAAAAAAGGGAAAAATCTTCAAGAACGAAATAGCAAAAGCAAAACAAAACAAAGAGACAATCGTGGAAAAGATGAGGGGGAGAGAGAACGCAGAACATCAACGGCGGGGACGGCATAAAGACATAAACTCAGAACGATTCTAACTCACATACATTAAGGCAAAAGCTCAAAGGAAGTAAAAAATAGTAAAGCAAAAAAAATATAAGAGCGAGCGACTTGAAGAGAAACTTTAAGTGGTAAAGATGAATATATAACGGACAAGGTATCAAATGATCAGGGGACAAATCGACTGGTAAATTGACCAAACACGCTGATGCGCAGAAGTGAAGCACTAAGGATTAAGAGTGTAATGATGAGTATGAAGAAAACAACAACTCCACCGAGTGCTAAAGTGAAGAACACACAGGACCAGCCGGGTGTCGAGATGTTGCCTTGGGAAACTGCCCGTAAAAAAAACAAGAAAATGACCACACCGGACTCCTGTGAGCTCTTGCAAAAACCAACAGGGACGACCATAAACAACGCAAGGGAAGACGTAACAAACAATTAAGCAAACATCAGTGAGGAGACACCAGCAAGAAGCATTATGTGGCGGTTCAGATCATAGCATTCCATAACCGGAAATCAAACTTTGCCGCCTACCTTCTTGCTCCCGCCCGACCCTAATTCCGAGATTCCGCCAGTGTCCAAATGCCCAGGAAAACGAGAGGAAGAATAGCAAAAGCGTTCAATGATAATGAGACCCGAGTCAGAGCGAGAAACACCGGGGGTGAACCAAGCCCCGAGGGCCAAAGATAACGTAAATGGCGATAAAGTAATCAATCATAAGGTAGACCAGTTAACCCGACGTACTCAATCGCCTAGTACGCGGTGCCGACACTAGCAAGTGTCTTTGTTGGCATTGGGTGAATAGGTTGGTCCTTGGAAACGCGCAATGAGTCTTCGTAGCCAACTAAGGCCTGCGAATGAAGTTTGAACGATTCGCCCATGAGTTTGGTAATTCTGAAAAAAAAGGGTGGTTAGTAAATTTGATTTCCACTAATACATGTAAGATAGATGATGGAAACTTACCCCCATACTACCACGCCGTCTAGGATGTTACCCCATACACGGGCCACGGTGGAGCTGAGTTTACCAAAGGCATCGACGGATTCATCGTCAAACAAATTCCGCACCTTGTTGTAGATGGCCAACTCGGCCTCTGTCGCGGGCTCCTCGTCGTGTTCCAGGCGATAGAGCCAGAGACTCAAGATGACCATCAGATCCAAGCCGCACAGCGGGTGCTCAACACTCCAGTTGGTGGCGGAAGTCTTTGCGACCCAGTTGATGCCCTGAATGGCAGCGATCTCGATGCATTCAAAGCAGGACTGGATAACCTTGTTCATCTCCTGGGAACGCTTCACTTTCTCACGGGCAACTGTCATCGCAGCCGCCACTTCATAAGAGGAATGATACCGTAAGGCCTCTTGAATTGACTTGAGATCGACCTCCAAACGAGCGCGCGTGTTGCGATAAACAGCCATGGAGTTGAAAATCAATGGATGACCCTTTTGAGGAGTGCTGAGAGGCACTACAATCGTCTCTGGCTCGCAAACCTCGAGAGAGTTCTCCCATGTTTCGAGCGCAAGACGGAGCTTGTACTCAGTAACAACATCTTGAAGAGCCTCGAAGCTCCGTTTATGGTTCCAGACCTGGAGGAACAGAGCGTTGATCAGAACGCGCGTCGCAAAGGCGCTATAACGAACTTGGTCGCCCTGGAAGAGACAGTCGTGGGCTTCGCGTACGGTGAGAGTGGTAGCCGACGCCAGGCTACGACGCCAGGCTTCATCATCCGTCGCATCAAGATTCCACAACGATTCCGACGAGGGAAGTTCGAGGTTATCAAACTCGTCGAAGCTCATTGCGGGTGTATGGTTGAAGGTCAGCGTTAGCATGCCAAAAAAGATGTAGACAGCGTAGTAAGTGCGACGGCACGACTCATCCTCAATCCACTCTTCCCGAGTAGGTTGAGCGCCCTCACGAGCTTCGGTACGGAGCTTCAACTGATAGCGATTACCAGCGACCATGTTAGCGAGCAAGCTCTTGATGGAACACGTCCATTCAAGGCCTTTCGGGTCACCACTCCAACTTTCGAAAATCATATTCAGGAGTGTACTTTGCATGGCCCACAACGGGCATTTCCTCGAGTCAAAGTTGTCTTTGTGCTGCAGAAACTGCGTAACAAGCATCTTTGAGCCAACATGAAGCATAAATGCGTGTTGACGCTCAAATGTGTAAAGGGCGCCAATAGACAGCACTGCAAGTAACAACGGCGGCGAGGTGATTGTGGGCTTGAAAGACTCCTGGTGCAAGAATGGTAAATGGTGGTGATACAAGTTAAAATACGTAGACAAATACTTGTTCAAGGCCGCCGTAGCTGGGAGCTGGAAGCTATCGGGAAGCGACCCAAGGGCGTCAGCATTCCTGATACGTTCTACGATCATGTTCCGCTCAACTTCATTCGCAATTTGAGGGGCCTTTGGCAGTGTCAGTGCCTGGCTAGGTCCAGGAGATTTCCGGTAGTTGACCGGGCTGACAGGGCCAGTCATCGAAGGATATGGTGACAATGCGTTAGGAGTAGAGGTTCCTGACACTGGTAGCGAGTTAACAAGGGAGTGAAGCGAAGGTGCAAGTGCTTCACCGACTGGCCCATGCCGTTCCATGCCCGATGTAAGCGTGTGTGAGTCTCGGCCGCTTTCCTGGGTCATGAAGTGTTTTGTGTCAACGGGAGAGACTAGCGTGTCCCAAGGCATTTGGGGCAAAGTCGCGTTGCCAGACAAATACGATACAGAGGGTTCTAGTAGCGAGCCGCGACCGGGGGAGAAAGAACGATCCGATTCAGCCCGATCATTAACCTGACCGGTAGCAGCGGCTGCGGCCTTATGTTGGAAATCTGTCATCAGCATAGCTGCAGTTTCAAGGTCGACCATACCGTCACTGCTTGCCTCAATTTGCTCCAACGTAGCAGGATCAATTGTGATTGAAGGCTTAGGAGGTGCAGGTGCAGGGGAGGACTTCTGAACACCTGCGCCGCCACGCCGGCGCCCCTCGGAAACAAGTGGTATCCCACCATCCTTGGCGTGAACAGTACGGTCATGGCGAAGGAGAAGGTCTCGTCGAACAAAGGTACTCCGACATTTTAGGCACTTAAACGGCCTCTCTTTGGTATCTGTCCAAGACAAACACGTCAGCATCGTCCAATCCGCTCCAAGAATAATCCGCTGGTATCAAACAATCCAAGGCAAAAAAACGCCTCCAGAAGAGCAATTACGAATGCGACCAGAGACCCCGCATTATGTAGGGGCATTGTAGGTATAGGGAAGCGCAAAGGTTACTTACGCGAACGTTCATGTCTGCTGCGATGTTCACTTCTGCTAAAAGCGCGATTGCAAAATTGGCACTTGTATTTCTTTTCTGGGGCGGATGTCTTTTTGGCCGGCGAGTTGCTGGCCGCGTTTGATGCGGATGGCGCCATTTCTTAAGAGACGGTGCAGCGGAGGCCGAGCCACGGATCTTCTCAGCAACACAACGAGGGTGAGAATGATTGCGATATCGTCCCTTTTGTCACTTCACACCGGTTCTGAAAGCGAGATAATGACAGCAAGTCTGTTGGATGTCTGATCATTCCTTGGGCGGGGAAAGTACTGGAAGACACGACGATTTAAGAAGGGGGTCCAGCCACAGGCGGACCGAGGGGGAGAGCAAAAGCGTGGCTCACCAGCCAGGAGGGGAAAACAGAATTCAAGAAATCACAAACTATAAAAAGAGGTCGATCGTAAGAGGATGCTGAATAGATAAGAAAAGAGAAGGAGGAGGAGGGGAGGGTGAGAGGGGAAAGAAGAGGGAAAGTGGTAAAGGAAGAAAAAAAAAAAGAGGAGGAGGGGGAAATGATGGATGGATGAGGAGAAAGTGAGTCTAGGGAAGTTCTGGTTGAAGGGGAAGGGGAGCGAGGGGGTGGGTAAAGAGAAGCGAGTGTGAGAAAAGTCGCGCCAGGACGTGGGCACAAGCCGATGGCAGATTTGGGGCGATCGCTGAATCGCGACAGTGAGGCGGTCGTGTCCAGTGTCGGTGTTGGCGATTTGGGCTGCGAGAAGCGCAACAACAAGGAAAACTGGGAGCAGAGGCACTGGCCAGGAAAAGAGGGGCTTCCGGGCGGGACTCACGGAGGGGAACAAGCGAGCAGACTGCCTCCGAAACCTCCACGCACTGGGGCCCTTAACACCACCGTCAATTCCACCAGAGGCCAATCATAAACCCTGTTGCCCCTTCTGACTAACTGAATAGTGAGACTAAACGCAAGCTGGTTAGTACACGTCCTTCCGTACTCCGTCCCATACGACTAAATACAGCATGCATACGGGCCAAAGTACACATCCAAACAAAGCACATCAACCAGCCCACTGCAGCCCACATGGACTGCTGTAAGTTCAAACCCGTCAACCCGGGTCAACCGGGGGGTCTAGAAAGACTTGTTCATTCCGCCGTTTTTGTCGGTCTTCAGAACGTCTCTCTCTTTTTCTGATGTGAGGGACCTACATATCCACTTTCCACTCCCCGTGTCCTATACACTACTATTCTATTATCCACAACGCACAACAACGCATTGGGCCTCAAAAATAGATAGAGAGGAAGAAAAAAAATTAATTAATTAATGAAAATACATACCGCCATCATTTATCAAGATCTGATTACCATTTCCAACCATCCGTCCTATAAATACTATTTTATTTTGCACACGCATGGCTTTGGGCAGCACCGACATGATATTTTATTCATTCATCAAGACCATCCCACGGATTCCAAGCATTGGCACGAGGGGAGTGTATGTACTATCTACGTGGACAGTAGGTAGAGAATGAGACAATGAAATAAAACCTCTGAGCATATCTTTCCTTTCCTCCGTACACATCCCTGTCAGTGGGTAGCAATGGGGTCTCTCTCGCCCACATTCGCTATTTCCCAAGCTCGGAGTTGGAAGACCTCGATAAATAGCCCTAGGAAACTTTGCTGCATTGAGGATAGATGGCCCACACACTCCACTGTGTAGCGTTAGATTATCATTACGATTTCTTTTATCGATATTATTTCATTGTGGGGTTGAGGGCATCTTTATCTGGTATGGTATGTAACTCTGTTCGATGGGTTCCATCGGCAGGTACGTAGACTACCAAGATGGGTTAGTCAACTTGATTGGAAAGTGTTTTTGATTTCAGTAAATCGTTAGTGAGCCTTGAGGTTGTCCTTCGTTAGCAGATGATACTGATTTATCCCTATCTGACACCGCAGAACCACAATTGTGGTACACAAAGCCCGGCTGCGGGGCTAAGAACATCTTTCTTTTACAATCTATTTGACCTATACAAAAGGTCCTCGGTACTTTGTGAAAGTTAGCAACGAGTTAGAATTCTAATCTTGCAACTTCAATGTAGACAGGGTATATTTGGTAGGCTAAAGGGAGAGAGTGTTGTTGCTCGGACAATCAATCACACGCACCTAAAAACAGCCCCTCTGAGTGGCCTGCAATTTTTAATCTTATTTTAATTTTTTTTCCTTTCTCTTTCACCCCGATTATGGCCATTCTCAGCCCCTCGTCCGCGGCCCCCTTGCCCCTCCAACAAGGATCTAACAGCTTCAAATGCCACGGAATTGTGCGCTTATCGACTTGGTTTGTGTGCTCACTCCTTTCATTTCCACCTCTTTTTCACACAGACTCTGGTGTGAATTATTTTTTATTTTTAAAAAAATAAATATGTGTTCTTCTTGTCTAGACCCTCATTCCATATAATCATTCTTCATCTCAACTATTAATGTATCGTCTCTCTATTGGATAGTCTATGATTGTAGATCATTTCAATAATTCCCATTTAGTTTAATTTTTTAATTTTATTTGTTTTTTGTTTCCCTTGCAAACCGATACCTTTGAATGTGGGAGGGGGATTACAATATGGGAACCCCTCCCTTAAACCCGCCACCAAACTTATGTTGTTAAGTCAACAGCCCCTCGAATCCCCCTCCTGTCCCTCTCTTTCCAAAAAAACCCCCCTTCGAATCCGCCGATTGATCAACCCCTCCTTTTCCAGGAAGCTGCACTGGTAATCCTACGTAATAACCCCAGTTATTTGGTAATTAGTGTATCGGTCGCCTATCACCGAGGTTAGTTTTACTTAAGACCCAATCAACGCGTGACAGAAGAACCTGATTGCCTGTTTGAATTGAACCCCGGTGGATCGTTGACATCGAGCTCGGCCCTTTGTTCCAGACTCCTCACCTCAATATGTCGGCATGACGAAGAAACTAATCTTAAACTTGAGAGCTTGCTAAAGTAACTCCCAAATTATGCCACTTTTCACCTTTCTTCTTGAGAGGTTGTCACTGCCAAGTCAGAGATCTATGTGTCCAGAGAGGTTATGCTTGGCCGAACAGCCACCCGCCATCACGCGGCAATAGGAGAATATGGATGATGTGATATCTCCAGGCTGACTGACAGATCATCGGCCACTCCACGGAAGATTGGACGATATGTGAACAAATAAAATGACTTATTCGTTTCTCTCTCTCTCTCTCTACTCTCTCTCTTCGACTATTCCATTTTACTTTCATATTTAGCCTTTTGCTTTATTTAATTTTTACTCAAAACACACCAAAAAAAAAAAAAAAAACCACGATAATAAAATAAAATCAGATTTAAAATTCCCCGTGAAGAACAACAGGACGAAGGGCACTGCCGCAATACTCCGGACGAAAAAGACATATGTTTGCCTCTTTGTCTTGGCCCCTTCAGCTCCAAGGTCAGCTGTTCATCCAAAGTGGACAAGACAACCTACGACACTGCCAATCTCGACGGTGCTCCCTCTGTCCGTGTGTTCATCAGTCTTAACTTGAGACGGTCAATCAGTCAGACTGCATAATAATAATGTAGTCATTATAATCCCATCTGCACAGGTTGGCTTGAAACAACGGCCCAGTCTTTGTCTTCCTAGAAAGGCACATCAGGTGAGATCTAGTTTCCTCTTACTCATGCAGGACTGCATCATCACTGTATTGTTGCTGTTTTTGGAAATACTGCATCCAAGCAGAAGATGCATTGGGATACCTGATCCCATCTGGATCGGTGGCATGGGGGATCTGTTCTGGATATGGACATAGTTTACATGTTAGTGTCGGGTTAGTTGGCTGTGTGGCTGCCTGCAGGCCAGCAATCGCAATCGCGCCTAATCCCAGCGTCACTCGGAGACGCGCCCTCGTTCCGCATGCCCCAAGTAGAGGATCCACCGTCGAGAAGTAGTGATTACAGGGTACATCCCTCTCTCTTTCTACTAGGTCAGATGAGTCGTTGGTGTCATTGGCATCCGCTTGCTTGTTCATTCCCCCCCTTTTTTTAAGGTTTCTTAGGCGTTTACAAGCCAAGTCGTGAAGGTAACTCACTGATTTCGTAGTCCTTGTAGTCTACCTAAGATATGAGACTAGAAAGTACTTTACTACATAGTTCATTGTTTCGCTACATAGAAATAAACTACAAAGAATCAACCAAAACCCGACTCCGTAAAATCCCGGCATGCCAGTGGGGCGTTCTCCAGTACTGAAGGGGTTGGGACCCCGAGGAGCCCGTCAGACACGGTTAGTTACTAGGGTAACACACATGACCTTCAAGAAGTACAGTGTACCTTACGGTAAACGTCACTACAACTAGTTGACTACAGACAGAGTACAATCCGGAGTACAGATGTAGTTATCGCTGTAATTCCTATTACAATAAGGAGTGACCTTCAGAATAGAATCACGCCAGCGGGCCTGATCTGGCGGTTAAAACCTAGGCCCCACGACCTGGCATCACCGCAATCCCATCTTTACTGATGGTCAGCACCCACCAGTCTTCAAAAGCAGGATCCCATCCATCCACTCTCCACCACACTGATAACTAAGCTGTTAGTTCCTCACCCAGAATAGTTAGGCCGCATGTACGTACTTTTTTCTCGCCTTCACCGCTTTAATCTGCCAGCGGTGTTGAAGGGAGAGAGCGGTGAGCAGGCGGGCTTACTCCATTGAGAAGGTACTTATCAGGGCAAATGCATTTCAGACCAGATGAGAACCTATTATTCGGCGCTCTCTGATGCGCCCAGCCTCTTGAAATTCCTTGGAGATGAACACTTTCTACCTTGGCAACTGGCAGGATTTTTTTTTCTCTCTTCCGATCCACTTCCCGGCCATGCAGCGGTCCGACCCAGAAACGCCCAGGATACGGAATCAATGGCCATGGGTTCCTGTTGGTGGATAACTAAGTTTGCTTTTGAGGATATGGCGACTTTCTCGAACGCTGTTGGGGTCAATTAATGCTGCATGCTTTGTTGGATTTACGGATCCAATTGTGGCCTCGGGATAAGAGGTATCCATGTTGTTGAACGCACCTCGGACTCCGTGCGATCAATATCGATCCGCGGCTCGCGCACGGGACCAGAAGAAGAAAATAGTGCAAAATCCTCCGTGCATACCGATCCATCCATTCATGATCGATCATTTCCAGTCCAAGCTCATATTCTCCGGGCGTGTGGTTCCACATTCCATTGATGATTCGGTGGGTTTCTCTTTGGAGTGGTGTAATGTCTATCACTCACTCGTTGTTTCTCATTTATACTTGGATCATCCTCACAGCCATCGTGATCACGAGAAAGGGGTAAGAAAAAGTCAAAGTTAAATATTGAAAGAACCGGAAAGCTTAGAGGCCTCTCCTTCGCTCAACAAGAGAATTGATTTGCTGCAGCTACCCGTCTTTATCATCCCTACGGTCCTATAGTTGGGTACGTAACCACATAGTCCCAGATGCAATGGATCTATACCTAGACGATAGCTCCAAAAGTGTGGAAGACCCAAAAAAGATTATTTGTGAATCATGAATTTCCATCGTTTCCGATTTCTGTCCCCACCAGGTACCGTTGCAGGATTTCAGGAACCTCTTCCCCGAGGACTCCGTCCCTACACTAGTGGGCATCAGCATCATGCAAACCGCCTTTGGCTGCCATCCCGGCAACTTTGTGAGTATTCCTGGATATGAACAAATTGGTTTAGCGGAAATCCCCCTCTCTTTCGTTCACCCCCTTCGGCCTTTGGTGGGGGAAAGAATATCGGTCTGGAATTCTTAAACAGGCCATTGCCTTGGAGTCGGTGAGTGCTGGCCATCGGATTTGGGCGAATTCCTTCAACATGGAGCCCATAGCCGGGGGCCAGTTTCTCTTCTTTGTTGATTTCTTGACCGCTTCTATATATATTACACATGGCAGTGAGAAATTGGACTGTTGGGTTTTGTTTGTCCCCACCAGTTAGTGAGAGCATCGGGAAAAGGAAAATAAATCCAGAACCACTCCATGGGAAAAAAAAAATCGCGAAGAGAGAGAGGAGAGGACCCCCATCCAGTCTCGGCCCTTTTTTTCGCTTCCTTTCTTGGGACTTCTCGACCTTCCCGATCGTTTTGTGTGTGGCCTCGCTAACTCGGATTGAAACCTAAGTCTGCCTCAGGTTAGACTAGTTTCCAATGGACAGTCCTAATCATTTGTCAATCTGTTCTAGAACACCTTATAGATAAACATCACTCTCTATACACAAAACTATATGTTGTAGTACGTTGCTATTTACTCACTTTGTCTCTATAGCTTTGTCAGATCTGAACCATGGAATCTTCCCGCCTGTCCACAAATGAGTTCCATGGTTCACACCCGCTCAGCTCGCATGTCAAATGCGTACAACATGCCTGTCCGATGTCTCAGCATAGATTAGAGGCCGCCCCAACTAAGATACTTGCCTGTCTCATCCCAACATTTGTGTATTTGAGGTTCGTAATCTGTCTGCAGGGGTATATTAATAATGCTCGATCATATGCGTTTTCCTCTCGATAACACTGCCTTTCCCGGATTATATATTTTTATCAGCTGAAGGTTAAGAATCTAGCGATATAACCACAGATCTCTAGAGAAAAGTCTCGACAATGAACCAGATCCCAGTATCTTAACAATACCCTGTTATTTTCCATTAGGCACGGCGCATAGTTTTCTCCCCTCCATGCTGACCTGGTCTCAATATTGAGGGTGGGTTCAGTTCAGCTCTTTGTTCTCAGTCGTATTGCATTACTCCGGACTTAGGGCAGGTATTCCCACACTCTCCCCCAATAGTTTTTCCTTTTCGCATGTATGTATGCTAATAATAATACTACGTACATACATAACGTTTCACAGCATACTAAATACCGTCTCGTGAAGAACTTAGCGTACCTAGGTAGGTAAGTACTAAGTAGCATACTAAGCAATCCAGAAATCGGCCTGCGTAGAAAAACAAAAGGAAAAAAATAGATAAAATAAAGCAAATAAAGCAAATAAAGGGGAAAAATACACCCAAAACCAAAACCATATATACAGACTCCCTGACAAAGGACTGGAACCACCCACACCAATCCAATTCCAACTCCAACCAACCGGTTCGCTAGGTATCTAATCCCCGATATACAACCACTCACTCCTCCCCACCGGAAACGGGCGATTGGATCCAAAGAAGGCTTCTGGAAGGACGTAGTCGTCGATTCTGCGACATCCGTCGTGTGCCGGAAAACTGGAAAGGGGGCCGGAACGAAGTCAAAAAAAAGGGGGAGGGGCAAGCAAGAAAACTCGAGTTCCACCGATTCAGCCTTGAGACTATCGAAATTTCCCTGGGTCATTTCGGATACGGATGCGCTCGCTTGGGTGTACAGGGAGGTTAGAGCTTAGTACTAATCTAGGTGGGGAAGTTGACTTTGGTTGGCTTTTCGTAAGGGGTAAGCTGACGGGATGATCGGAGTCCATGGGTTGGTGATTGTGATTATCTTTTTTGGGAATTATTGATGAGGACGGGGGCATCTGCCTAGGTATGTACTGTATGTATGTACCTGGAAGGATCCTGGTGCTGAGACATGGATGGGATTTTGGGGGGTGGAGGAGAAATGTTATTTCCCATTCGTTGTCGTGGACTTTACTTGATTATGTTTATGTATACTGTGCTTGGGCTATCTTGGACCTTCTTCGTACGGAGTATTCTATGTCCTGTACCCCGTAGATACGAACCTAATATTATACCTCTTGGACAAATCATCCACTTGTACATTCTATCCTGTACTACATCCATACATACACTCTTGCCTATTCCCTAGATATGACTACTACTCCTAACAACAGCCCCATAATCAAATTTTTAGTACCTAGTCTGAGATCAATAGCCTAGGCAGCCGTTTCCGTCAGAGGAATCTACTATTAGATAGTGAACTAGAACAACGGCTATATCGGCTCCTCACTCCATAATAGTCTAGAGTAGACAATAGAATTAGTAGAGATAGGTTATTAGCATGTGAGGGGCTGTCTCTTCCCCTCCTCCTTGTTTATCCCTCCTTGGCCCCTCTACTGGTGATAGATACTCCCCTTGCTGATCTTTGTGTTTCTGATTATCGATTCCCCGGTAATTAACCTTAAATTAGATGCTGCAAGGAGGGAAATTACGGTGTATGATAATAGGGACCTGGTTTGGGGCGTTTCTGGGGCATGTTTCGCTTTTATGGGGTTGTTCTTTGTATAGGTTTTGATGGTGGGTTTGGGGTTTGGGGATTGTTGTAGAAAGACACGAAAGCACTTGATTTCTAGAAAGGATGGCGACTGGCATAAGGACCAGAAGTAGGAGGTAATATGGTGGTATATTCAACATAGGTATATAAATTTTATGAAGCATCGGCGACGCTAATGTATTTATATAATTTAGGTCTAGGGTTGTAGCACACCAACATCGTTCTCTGGACATGAGCGATAACTCTATGAGGCTATACGTTTCTCGGGGCTCTAGCACGGCGAAAGTGGATATTTTGAAGAATTTCAGCGGTTAAGGAAGCGTATATCCGACATAGTGATGAATGTTGTTCATATCCTCGTTGGAGGCGATTGATATATCAGATTATTTGTTGTATATTTGCAATTATCTCGAGGGAAAATATATCCTGGCAGTATCTAACTGCACCGTTTCTTAATTGGCTTCTGGTGATGATAGAGTAGCAGTCAGTCTCGCCTGGTCCCTATCCGCTCATGGACTGACTGTTTCAGGTAGATAGAAATATACAATCCAATATTAATCATGCTGAGCATTATTAAAATACATAAATTTACATTTGTAATGCCATAAGTAACCCCCAAGTAAAAGTTCCATGTGTTTCAAATTTCGACATCAAGAACACTGGTACGCATCTAGTGGGACTGTACTTGATGTTGGACATGTCGCCAATAAATCCCAAAAGATAAACGTCAGTACAAGCTATGCTCACATATGCACTTCTTCTAAGTAGCCATTCGACTATCGGAAATGATGTACAGGGAGCACATGGCCATTACACGAACTGTTCAGAGACACAGCCAAGGGCCGGTGTACTCAACTGCCACACTAGAGAGCACGAAACCGTAAATCGATTGTAACGTCCATAACGATGAAGAAACATACATACCGTCTTCATAGTGATGCCACAACTGTCTCAACAGGTAGCAGAAATGTCTCTAGCCCTGGCGTCGAGATGAAACATGGCATGGTCGTGTGGCTCTTGATAGCGCTATTCTGATATAAAGCCAAGAATTCTCTGATCTATTTCAATCCACGCTGGATACTTGAAACTGGAGGTATATATATCAGTTCTTATATTTGTGCCGTTATACAGGGAATTTGGATTTATGAACCCTTCAGTGTGTCTATCGGGACAGATATATATATCGACTTTGGTTACGGAAGCTGGGATTGTGATATGGTGATAGGGATATGGTGTGTACAGTCTGTTACTTTGTAGTGTCTATCTGTAGAATGTAATTCAATTACTGTAGACTAGAGATATGTATCTGTGTTTGTTATGCTGAGATATCGTCGTGGGTGAACGAAGAAGATACTAGTTATAGGGTCTAGGCAGTATTGCTAATCACCTAACATGTATTAAGCGTCGTATGTCGTGCTGTGCTCCTTTGTACATTTATCCCATAACCGAGTACGCAATTCCTCACTTCCTACCCTTGAAACCCATATATATATATATAAATCACCAAAACCAAGCCATTATACTCCTACGACACACTTCGCCCCTTACGCCTCGCACCGACAATAAAGCACATAAACTACCAAAGCAGCCAAGAACCCAGCCAAGTTCACACGTCATCCATACTACGCGAATGTATATAGACTTCTGGTGCCCAAAAACAATTCTATAGACTCAAGGTTCAAGAGGTCAAAGCTGCGCAAGGCAACCATGATATACGTCCATGGCGCGAATTGTGGGTTTCACATTGAGATATACGCAGGAACATGTGTAAAGTATATTTAGTTGGGTTGTAAGGACACGTGGTTTTTGATGTTAATGCTGCGGCTTGACGTGTCGTGCCCGGTGCCTTGTTGCTGGGTTGGGCTGGTTTTGGGGATTCGGTGGTTTCTGTGAGTTTTTGTGGGGGTAAAGGATGTTGATGATTGTGCCTATGGGGAATTTATGGGATATTGAAGAATTGGAGGAGGGGATGGTAGAATGGGTTTGGAGGGTGAATGGAGAGGGACGGTTTGATCGGATGATAACTGCTTAGTTTGATTCGAACAATTGTAAATGAACTAGAGACTTCATGATGTAATGCTTAGTTTAGGCCGTTGATTTTGCAATATTTGAAATGTGTATTCTAATAGAGTTCTTGAGAAATGAGGCAACAGCGTAAGGGAGTTTTGGCGTGATGGGGATTGTCCTGAGGGACTATGTTATGCTATGTTTTCAATAGCTCTTGGTCAAGCCTGACAACATTGGTTTGATAGGTAAGGAGCGATAATAGGGAAGCATAAATTAGTTCATTGGATAATGATAGGTTGTGTATCTTAAGGGTCAACTCTTCTCAAGTTGAGAGATCTAATTTCCATTGAAGGGGGTGTATATGAGTTACCGGATTAAGATTCCAACATTCCAGGTTTGGAACCCAGCAAGGACATCCAGAGTACATTGGGAGATACATTCTATCTATCAATATATCATAATTGGATGCCTTCAATACCCCAATAGGAGATAGGTGAACGCTGCAACTAACTTTTTCGAACGCCGGAAAGCAGAGAGCCCTACGTGGCGTCTGACACCTCACCTGCAAGATGGTATGGTATGACTTGCTTTTGACGGGTGACGAGTTGCGTTATGTGTCAAGTGACTTAAATCTTCTTTAGTTTTGGATCTGCGAATAAATAGCGGTTGACCGAGACCGTGGGAATGGGGGATTGTTAGTACATGGCATGATGGCTAGTACTTACTAAGTACACTTACGGAGATCACGTGTCCAGTTTATCCCTTCTTCTAATGCCAGTGATATGGAAGGGTCAGGAATCTCAAAATTAAGGTCAACCCAGGAAAGGAAGCTCAAAAGCGGAACTCCATCCAACCGCCCAATAATTATGGCTTACCACATAAAGAAGGTTAACTAATTAACTAATAGTAACGGCTCCCCAAGTTCTAGAAATGCTATAGCCCCTGATCTGTCGCAAGAATCGTCGTAGGTCGTACAGCCTGAACGGTCTCGGCTTTGTTCCATTGGAATTGGTGCGGATCTTCCAGTATCAGACCTACCGGGGATTACATCACTTCGCCCTGTTCCATGGATAAGCTCTTATATAGGCATGTATAGTTCCTTCGGCGATGAAGTTTGGATGTCAGCGCTATATATGATTGACGGACGAGTGGTTGTGTGGGGCCTTTTTTTTTTTTTAAGCCAGCCATGGCCATAAGTTATAGTTTAACAGGATATTGACATTCATTTGTATTTACAAGTTAACAACATGTGCTGTTTCATTGTCAATGCCCGTTGATGTGACCTGGAAGATACTCCTGAGATACTTTCCCTCGAGTTAGTACATAGAGGCATGCCTACAAGGTGGCACTGTTGTTGTTGGTGACTCAGGTGCCTTCATGCGACCTGCCGCACACAGAGGCAAATCATGCACTATACATCGCATTGAATTGTGATAAATCCTCCGGGAAAAACACTCGCACAGGGTATCCTACATGTCCATGCATATATCATGATAGTGGAACAGAAGTACTGGGTAGAGTTCATGTGGATATTCCAAACATTTTCAAGGTTCATGGATGATTCAATGGTTCTGTACACTCTGACTGGGGTGCAATCCGGTATCCACGCGCCCATGCGGTGTGGGAGTGATAACAGATTATTGAAGTAATACATAATAATATATACGAGGCTGTACTAAGACCAATTCATCTCGTAAAGTCCCCATCAGTCGAGACTGTTGCGGAGTATTTTTGGAGTGCAACGCCGACGCGAGCTAAAATTCTCCACAGGAAATGGAGACGACAAGCGGTTTAAAATACCAAAGTCGGTCAGAAAACCCAAGAATACCAATAAAACGATCCTGGTTTTTTTTCTTCTTCTCTCGTATACTAAGAAAAAAAAAGGTGCAGAGCAAGGCCCTATGGGCAACAAGAGCAAGTTTATATAGAGGAGGACCTACATCTAGTAAGTTACCAAAGAATTCCCACTCCCAGCCCTATGTGTTCAACGGGCAATCCAATTATAATCTACCTTGGGGAGACAATGCAAAGAAGCGGAAATGCAGCCGAAATACCCTAGGATCCAGCCTTCTTGTCCCGATAATCAAGGCTACAGACGCGCTTTTAAATCGTAGAGAGACCCGTTAACATACTATGGAGCAGCGAGGGTTGGTGATTGTGGTACGGGGAACATGGATAGACTTTTTAGTGACCTCCAAGCGCCTATCAACGCACCAAGGGCGACAGTTTATGCATGGCCCGTAAAGTCAAATGGTCAAAAGGGCTCGTGCTACTGCTGGTCCGCGTCTCCGTATCGACCTTAATCCGTTTCGTTACATACTGTATTCCTGTGTGAGGCTTATGGCCTACACGGGGCGCAGTGACTTGGGCAATTTATAGCCCCCAAACTGAATGTTTGTGGCGGAAAAAAAAAATGAAATGAAAAAAAATGAACGACAAGAAAAAGGCCGACCAACAAGAGATCTTTGAACTCCTACCTGAATACTCATAATCACCTTGACGCAGCTGCAAGCAAAGGAACAAACAAACAAGTAATAAATCGAAATTCAAAATGACCATTGCCCCTCAGCCATTGACTCGGTTGTATCAGCCGCGGTTAAAGGTATCATAAAAAGGAAGAAAATAGGTAACTGGAGTACGAGGAGATGTATGTACGGTAATTTTTGGTAGTGTGGTATTGAAAAGAGGTGGTATTATGATTATTTTCCTGTAGTAATCGGTGGACGGACAAGGACGGTATTGCTGGTTACTTTCCTCCACTCACACTCAGTCCATCTGCCCACCCCAAATGAACGGACAGTTGAGAACCTCCCTAAAACTCCCTGAGGACCCTCTCTTTCTCTTCTCCTGGGCGGCTTGCTGTCTTCTGTGTGTTTTGCTCACCTTTTTTTATTTTTATTTCTTTTTTCTTCCCTGCTCTCTCTCACACACGATTTCAGCATACTTCAACAGTCTTTCTGAAACAAAGGATTCCTACTGGATACTAAGGCTATTTTAACCGCGTCCTTGCCACTTTTATCGTTATCGCCTTTGCCCTGCCACCACCGTGCGGTGAACCCACTATAGTCTACTACGTTTCTCCCGCAGTGTGATTCTGCAACCAACCCGCACCGCATCACCTCCCGATCCTTCGACAGTTGCGTGCCGATCTAGTCATGACCAACGCCTTTCGATAAGCTCGTCCAGCCGTTTGTCGCAAGGGACGTAGCATACTGATTCCCACTCGATCTTATTTCCCTCCCTCTCCCTTCCCCCCTTAAAACCGGTTCCCCCTCTATCTACTATCGAAGAAAGTCAATTGGAATGTACGACTCCCGCTTAGCAGAGCCATTAGTTCTCGACACTAAATCCACGCTGGCGACTAAGACGGGCACTATCACAACCACCCTTGCCTATACCGAGGAACAGGCGTCCACTCCCACGACTGCCCCTGGGAGTCGCAGTCGTGGAAGCAGCGTGTCCTTCCACCACAGAGATATTAGTGTCGATCAATCACCTCAGCGACATCAGCTCCCCGTCAAGATGGCGACCGCTGGACGCTATACTCCCAGTCCCGAGCCAGCACCGGCTCTGTTTGTGCGGGCCATGTATGACTATGATGCCGACGATCATACCAGTCTTAGCTTTCGGAGAGGCGATATCATACAAGTGCTGAACCAACTCGAAACCGGCTGGTGGGACGGGGTGATCAACAATAGTGTCCGGGGCTGGTTCCCTAGCAATTACTGCACCATCATTACAGATTCTAGCGAGCTTGAGGAGCATGTGTCAAACGAACATGAGGATGGAGAAATCAGCGCGGAGTCCGGCCTAGGAGATGAATACGAGGAGGAGCGCGAGGAAGACCACGAGGAGGACGAGGTCGATTCTGCAGGAAACCCGCGCGATTCGCAACCGATATTACCTATCGAAGGCACAGGGCCTCCAAAAGAGCAGGAGGAGGCCGCTTTTTGGATTCCACAAGCAACCCCAGATGGCCGTCTATTCTACTTTAATACTCTCACCGGCTATAGTACTATGGAGCTGCCGTTTGAAAACCCGTCCACGAACGAAACGGGTCCGTACGACCGCAGTAACTTTTTTGTGCCCAATCAGACCAGACCTCCCCCCGAAATGATGGCCCGTGGTTTCGAACGAGACGAGGATGACTATGATGGTTCTGCATCGGAAGCTGAGGGTGAATCCCTGATGCTGGCTTCCCAAGACTCCATGTCCCGAAGACGACAGTCTTATATTGACGGTGTATCTCCTGCGACATCCATGGATTCCTTACACCCACCATCCACTACGAAGTCGATCAACGATGGCAAGAGCTCGCATCGAAGCCTTCACAAGGCGTATAGCTTTGGCACCGCTGCCAGCAGTACTACATCGCTTTCCGACAATTTTCACAGACCTTCTATCTCTTCCGAGGCTCCCTCGCATTTTGTCGACGACGGTGCATCACCCCCCCTGACTTGGCCTCTCCTCGTTGACAACATGCGCAACGCTGTCGAGATCTATCGCCAGACTCTATTGAACGGTGATCGCTCAGAATTCGTGAGGAAAGCAGAGGACATATCAGATCACCTGCGTATGCTTCTGGCTGCTGGCTCCGACACCACAGACAATCATTCTGGAAATCCATCGATTATCTCCACGAATAAGGCTCTGTACCCGCACTTTAGGGATATGATGTCCAAATTCTCCAAATTAGTGCTTTCGTCCCATATTGCCGCTGCTGACTGGCCAGGTCCGGATTCCGTCAACAAATGTTTACAAGAGGCAGATGGTGTTATGCAGGGCGTCTATGGTTATGTCGATGTTGCAAGGCAGCAGCGTGGTGACTTCATACGACGGATCGTCCCGGGCTTTGTGGTAGGTAGTTATTCTGGCGGTGGTTGGCAGAACAATGGCGTTTCCCTCAATGATTCGGGACCGACGTCCTTCTTAGACCAGGATGGGGGTGACTCTCGGACTGAACCAGCGGTGATTCTGGATGCAGCACTTTTAGACCACATTGATATTCTTCGAAGGTCCTTTGTTGGCAGCATTCGTCGACTTGAGGAACGGTTGACGCTCAACCAGAAGAAGATCGTCACCGTTGCTGAACACTGCGAAATAGGGGATGCCGTCTCGGCCGCCGCTATCAAGGTCATCGAGCAGTTTCGCCCTTGGATCTCCTCCGTCGAGTCTATTAACTTGGTGCCTCTGGGAACTAGTTTCCAGAACCCGCAGTTGGTCGACTTTAGTTTACAGAAACAGCGAGTTTACGATGCGATCGCCGATTTTGTCCTCGGATGTCAAGCCGTTACGACACCCCTGGGTGATGAATGGGCTGAATTGCGTGGGGATTCTCTCGATGACCGCCTGAATGCTGTGCGAGGCGTTGCTAGGCAACTCGAAAACTACGTTTCCCAGATAGGATTCTCTCTCTCCCTCCTACTCGAGCAAATTCCTGAGTCCCCTGGAGCTTTTCGTAGCGAAAGCCGTGTGGGGGGAGATAATGAGGGCTTCAAGGGTCCTCTGCATAACCGCGGGGAATCCCAGGCTAAAGTTGCAGATGAATCAATCGGAATCCCATCTTCATACTCCATCGATCACGCAACGAGCAAAGTGCGGCGCAACATGGATAAGGCCCAGAGATTCTTTGGACAAGCCCCGCCAGCTGCAATCACTCGAGAACCAATTCGTGAACCGGTTCGGGAGCCGGAAGAAGCGCCTTGGTTTTTGAAGATGGATCATGAAGGCGAAGTATTTTATGATACCAAGAACGATGTGCCTACCTTGAAATGCGGCACGCTAGCAGGCCTAGTGGAGCACTTAACTCGACATGACAAGCTTGATGCTTCTTTCAACAACACTTTCCTCCTTACCTATCGTTCTTTCACCACTGCCTCGGAGCTTTTTGAGTTGCTAACCCAACGTTTCAATATCCAGCCACCATTTGGCCTCAACCCGGAGGAGATGCAAATATGGGTTGATAGGAAGCAGAAGCCTATCCGATTCCGTATAGTCAACATCCTAAAGAGTTGGTTTGAAAATTTTTGGATGGAACCGAACGATGAGGCGCATATGAGGCTTCTTGAACGTGTTCATGCTTTCACCAAAGATTCCATCGCCACCACGAAGACACCAGGTACACCTCCATTGTTGACTGTTATCGAGCAACGACTTCGTGGCCAAGACACAACTGTCAAACGTCTTGTCCCTACTCAAGCGGTTCCTGCTCCGACCCCCATCGTTCCGAAGAACATGAAGAAACTCAAGTTCCTGGACATTGATCCCACGGAGTTCGCTCGCCAGCTTACAATCATCGAGTCACGCCTTTACTCCAAAATTCGACCTATAGAATGCTTGAATAAAACGTGGCAAAAGAAGGTTGGGCCCGACGAGCCCGAACCTGCAACTAACGTGAAAGCTTTGATCCTTCACTCGAATCAGCTGACCAACTGGGTTGCGGAGATGATCCTTAGTCAAGGTGATGTCAAGAAGCGTGTGGTTGTTATCAAGCACTTTGTTAACGTGGCAGACGTATGGACACTTCTTTCTGTACGATGATTGTTACTGACAAGCCTATTAGAAATGCCGTACCCTCAACAATTACTCCACCCTGACCTCCATCATCTCTGCCCTCGGAACGGCGCCTATCCATCGCCTCGGTCGGACATGGGGTCAAGTTAGTGGACGCACGTCCACCATCTTGGAGCAAATGCGCAGGCTCATGGCCAGTACAAAGAATTTCGGCGAGTACCGTGAAACTCTGCACCTGGCAAACCCGCCGTGCATCCCGTTCTTCGGTATGAAAATGATGATCGATCAATTGATCCCCTCCTGTCTTCCCTGCTTCCTAGCAACGGAGACTGACTTAATTGCCTTAGGTGTTTACTTGACCGATTTGACCTTCATTGAAGATGGTATTCCATCTCTTACGCCATCGGAGCTGATCAACTTCAACAAACGCGCCAAAACCGCGGAAGTAATCCGAGATATCCAGCAGTATCAAAATGTCCCGTATCTTCTTCAGCCTGTTCCAGAATTGCAGGATTATATTCTTAGTAATTTACAAGCGGCGGGCGACGTGCATGACATGTACGACCGGAGTTTGGAAGTGGAACCCAGAGAACGGGAGGACGAAAAGATTGCGAGGTATGCTACTACTAGTCCTACTACAGCCAGTGGAGACATGAGTACCTTCGCTATTGCGAGCTTGGCCATGTCGATGCGTTAACGCTTTCCCCTTTTCTTCTCATTTTCATTCTCCCTCCCCTTCTTATGCCCCCTTTTTTTCTTTTCTATCATGACCTCATGTGCTTGCTTTGGTGTTTTAGGCCTGGCTTGGCGATACCCAACATATCTTCTCCAGATATTATTTTCTCTTTTCAATGGTTGATCGATCGATGACTAACCGTGGTTTTGACCAACGCGTAGACTGCTATCTGAATCGGGTTTCCTGTAAATCGGCGAGCTCCGCTTCTCCGTCGGGGTATAAATTGCGAATACGTGGAGATCCCTGTCGCTGCGCACGTGCCGGGCTGTCCCGCCGGCAAACCGACAAAGTTTATCTCACGCCAATGGCTTTTGCTGGCGATGATTGGCGGCGATAGCTTACCTGGCGTTCATCTCATTTCACTAGAACGACGCCGTTCGACAATTTGGCGACCGTGCGATGGAAGGATCCTGGGTTTATCACCTTATCAAGTTGCGTGACACGCGGCAATTTTGTTCAATCTGCGCAACATAGTGCTAGCGCCTACTAGCCCCAACCGTTCTCCAGGATTCCTTGAGGGCTCTCCTTCGGCCTCCCTAGCGCTCACAAGGCAATTCTTTTCAGATGACAGGGCATTTGTGTGAACGCCTTTGGGATCAACAGGCGGGCTACGGCCCGCGCGCCTTTTGGTCTATTGATCATTTGACGCATATCGCTCCAGGTTGATCTATTGACAACCACCCCATAAAAAATCAGAAAGATCAAAAAAAAGAACAAGGGAAGGAGGCTTCGAATATTTATGAACCCTCGACTTTAGCGCCCCACAGCTACTTGAATTGCATGTGATAGAAACGACTGCAGTGCAAGCTTGTGATACCCTCGAACCGTTGTTGTTTATTGTCGTTTATCTTCCTACCAACGTGACCACTCTTTTTCTCATACTCCTACTGCTCATACTCCTACTGTCCTGATATCTCTTTTGTTCATTCTCTCAGATCATTTCGATCGTCTTAACAGTCCCTTGCCTTTTTCCTTATCTTTCTCACACTTATATATTCTTGACAGTCTATCTTTTCTGTACAGTGGGTCGGCCCGTTTCCCGTTTTTGTGTATAGGATTGTCGTTCGTGTCTTGGTCCCCCGGCCTCTGGATCATTGGGTTTCTATGAGTGTGTGTTGTTCACGATTGAATAATGATCCGTCATGACATCGGATAACATTGCATGTTGTCTCTGCTTTGGTACCTCATGTGTTCTCTGTTCTTGTATCTAGCTGTTTCACTACGAATGTATATATCTACAGTGTTACGTGTTACATTCGCGGGGATCAATTGTAGAAAAAAAATGCTGGCTTAGCCATGATATTTTTTTTGTCATAAATTCGTCGTGTTGCTCCGATGCTTCGAACAAACACCTAACAAATATGGGTCCAAAAGCGCGTCAAAATCTTCAGATATCCTGGTAGGAGCTTCAAGCTCCCTCGGAACCATGACTGCTCATGTCTCTGATCTTCTATTCTCCCCGATGCCTTGGAAAAGCTTCATCTTGACTTCAGCTGCCAGGAGGCCTTTCACTTCCTCCGATACAATCCGCTGCCCATTTCGTACGACTTTCTCCAACTGTTGATCTTTGGTAACATTTGGCCCGCCCCGTGACATATTGCCCTCAATGCCGCGAGCAGCCCGTTTGACCTTCTGACTAAGATCCATCATCTGCTTGCTACCATAGTCACGAGTCGTAAATAGAGGGCTCTGACTGAGAGTAGCCACCCAATATTTATTCCACAGCAGCGACAAAAGCTCAGAATCAAGCATACTCTTAAACAGCGACACCTCAAGTGAATAGTAATGAGAAGCATGCGCCCCAAAGTCCTCTGCTTTATTGAGCGGCACAGTCTGATACTCATCATCCTCCTGCTCCTCCTTAGGGGGCGTAAAATCCTTAGGAAACGTCCTAAACGCCCCGATATCAACCTTACCCGCCGAAATCGTGCGCTCCGGATCAATAACTACGGCAACAAACGGCCCGCCGAGCTGCTGCATATCCTGCGTCGTGACATCGATCCCTGATAGCCAGCACCCGTACCCGGGGTGACTGTGATACCAGCCCACTGCGTTTTCCATCCGTCCCGCATCCCGACATGCCTGGAGGTACGACACCATGTACTCGTTGGCTTCGTCCTGGGCGTTTACTCGCGTTTCTGTGCCCTCGACGGGGAGGCGGAGGGCGTCGGTTACTACAAACGTCTCGGGGAGGATGTAGCCTTGCATTAGGCCCATGACTTCGAGAGACCCGCCGGAGCGGGCGTGCATGACCATCTTTAGGAGGGCGACGGCGGAGATCCGTATCGATTTGAAGTAGTGGGGGTCTTTGGCCCAGGGGCGCTCGGCGCTGAGGGCTTTGTGTGTTTCTTCATCGTATTGATAGAGGGCGTCGCGCTGGGGGTCTATGAGGCTGATGGCGTTTTCAAGCTCTAGATTCCGGTCAGTTATGTTTCTTGGGGCTGTGTCGCCGGATAGTGTAGATAGGACGAACCCCACGACTGCTGGGCAGCCTTTTGCATGATGGCGGATTGAGGGTAGTTTTCTGTGGCGGCAAGGGATGGAACGTTCGTGTGAGAGAAAGGGAGGAATGGTATCAAGGAGGTCGATAGAAGGATTTGGAGCTGAAGAGGAGTTCAAGTATTAACTGTGACGTCTAATCAAATGCTGATCTACTTCTATCATTGCTCGAGCCGAGACGTGGAGAGGGCGGTGGAGAGAGTGCACGGCAGAACGGGGCGGTGGCGGGCTGAGTCGAGTGTTGCCGGAGTAACGATGCACCATCAACAGGGGCCAGGGAGGGAATCTCGATTGCGGCTGCATCTCAAGGAGCGGCAATATTATTATTCTATTCTATCCCATCGCATCACTGCCTCGAATTGACCTCCTTCCCCTCACCACCCTTGCATTTGCCTGCATCTGCTGAGCCATACATAAGTCCTGCGGGTCGCCCCTTGTTCTCGCAGATGACATCCGACTTTTGAGTCAATCGTTTGCTGTTGCAGATTCACGCCCGGTGGATTTTGGGTGTCTTGCAGTTGCCGTGTTGAAGGCGCATTGCCGCCGGGGATTACATGAGCGCGAAATACCTAAAGACGTGAATACACACTCTTTTCTTTACATTTCTTTTGTTATACAAAAGCGCTGTTGGTATACGCGATGGCGGTCGATACCAGCTACTTGACCACCCAGGTCAATAGTATTGTCGCTCAGCTGCATGGGATCTATGATGAGATTGGTGTCCCGAGCCATGAGCGCGACTCCCGAGAGGCGGAGGTTGGTTCGCTTATCTCTTGATTGGCACTTGACTTATATTGACAAACAACTATAGCTTTTTAATGCTCTTTCCGATACTCTAAATAACCATCTAAAACTTGTTGACAAGTAAGACCTATTGGTGGCTTAGCATAACAAAAGCGTATTGTGAAGGCTAACTGGAATAATAGTGAGAAAAAGGAGATGACAGATGAAGCGCGACAGCTCATAACAGCCATCGGGCAAATGGAGGACTCGTTAGAGGACGAGAAAGCCAATGGCAAGTATCAGCTGGATCGCAATGATTTGTGTATCACATACCCCCTCAAGCGCTGTCTGAGTTTCCTTCGGGAAAAGCACAATGCGCTTAGCAAGCTACACCGCGAGCGCTTCGAACAGGTCAAAAGTATGTTATACTTCCGCGAATCGTTGAATCAGGTGTCGCTAACGACTTATAGAACTTGTTGTGGCTCTTGAATCATACTCGTCTCATCTCGAATCATCTTTTGTTACCATTGCGCTTCCCCCAACTGCACCAGGATCAGCGATACCGCCTAGTTTCAACCTGTCTCGCCAATATGTGGACGAACTGAATGACGAATTTGCAAGAGTGTACGAAGAATATGAACGGCGCTTCGAATTTGTCAAGTCCACGTGCGAAGAGATTATCAAGCTCTGGGCCGAGCTCGGAACCCCTCAGGCCCAGACTGATACCAACATCGTCAAGCACTACCGAGAGTCCCCCGAACAGCTGGGCCTTCACCAGGCGGACCTGGCTCAGCTAAAGGCAAAGCGAGAGAAGCTGCTAGAGGAGAAGAGAAATCGTGAACGCAAGATCGCAGACCTCAAAAACGCAGTGGAAGCACTCTGGGAGCGTTTTGGTGTTGAGGAATGCGATCGCAAGGCGTTCGTCTCGGCGAACCGCGGCTGTGGTCTCCGTACGATCAACGAATTCGAAGAAGAACTGGCGCGCCTCAACGAACTCAAAAGACAGAACCTACACCTATTCGTCGAGGATGCACGATGCCGACTGCAAGAGCTATGGGACAGCCTTTACTACTCAGAGGAAGAGATGCTTGACTTTACCCCTGCCTTTTCTGATGTTTATAGCGATGCCCTGCTAGAAGCTCATGAGGCAGAGATATCACGGCTGGAGGCATTGAAGGAACAGCGTGCCTCCGTTCTAGAGCTGGTGGATAAGCACCGTGGTCTCCTGGCTGACCGCGAGGCTTTGGCTGTATCAAGTCAAGATGCATCCCGCCTCATGGCGCGCGGAACTAACGGACAGAGGCGTGACCCAGGCAAGCTTCTGAGGGAGGAGAAAATGAGAAAGAGGATTGCCAAGGAGCTGCCTAAGGTAGAAGCGGACTTGCGGAAAGAATTGGAGATGTTTGAGGATGAGTATGGACGTCCGTTCCTTGTCCACGGAGAGAGATATCTTGACGAACTCACTCCCGTCATGGCCAAACCTCCACCACGCTGCAAGACTCCATCTGCTGGTCCAGGCAGCATAAGAGGAGGATCCGTGAGGGCGCAGCCACCGTCTCGACCTGCCAGTGTGATGAGAGGACCTCCACCTCCCCGCTCCGCTACGAAGACCCCTACCGGGCACGGTTCCATGAAGTATAATACCATTGGGCCATCTAGAGCTCCCTCTAGAGCCGGAGCCAAGTCACCATCCAAAATACCTGCTCGCGTTCCCTTGGGCAACATGCCTCATGGAAGCAACTCTCCTGTTCGCAGTGGCACTCCCGGCCTCTATTCCTCTAGCACCCTGAACGGCAAGGTCCCTTCTCGCGCACCACCACCAAGGATGCGAGCATTGACTGGAGGTGAATCGCGAGATGAGCGAAGCAGCTATCTGTTTGAGCCTCCACGAAGTGCCAGTGCACTGTCTAATGCCTTCGTCCGGCCTGTCAGCCCAGAAGATGTCTACGACGATCGTAACCAACGCTCATTTGTAAGCTCATCGGCTTTCTCCCAGCGATCTACTGGATTCTCTCAATCAACACAGTCGTCAGCTTCGTCCCTGTCTATGAGCTCCGCACCTGGATACTCAAGGTCCAATACTTACTTGCAGCGTGCTCCTCCTCCAGCACCAAGACAAGTGTCGAACGCATCAACCGTTAACACTGCCAACTCTGGATCGGAGAACTGGGAAACCTTCGACAGCGGGACCGAATCCGAAGCTGATGCTAGCGATGTTTACTATAACAAGCTTCGCGCCACTCATGGCAAGCGAATGGCCCTTGAGGATCTAGCAGGAAAGAAGCCCAAAGGAATTCGAAGTGTTAGCCCAGACGAGCCAGCAGCTAATCCTAATGGAGTTCGCGTGGCGGGGAGCGATGTCGGATGGACTGATGAACTCGAACCTTACTAGACAGGAAAAAGCAAGGAAGTTCTTTGCTACACTGGAACCTTGGTTTGGCTTTTCTTGTTTGCTTTACACCTCAACGACGGACTTACGAGACCACTCGACGTTGACGATGCTACGAATGCTCTCGGAATGCTTAATTTCATCTTAACCAGGCTGTGGACGCTGCATTGTGGTTGGGCTTTCTGGTTACTTGACAGGCCTGAGCGACTCTGATTGATCGTGCCCTGTCGCGGGCATTAATTTCTGTGTTAAAATTTTTGGGATTATACCCCCTTGTTATGTTTTTGTGATTTTCTCTTATGATCCTTGGATCTTCGAGCCCGCCGGCACCACAGCAACGATGGGAATGACAGGAATGAAATGTGCCAATGCCTTTCCTATTGCCATCTGAACTGCTTAAGAAGATGGGCTGGCTTCTTGTATCATGCTTGGTTTGTATGTTTGATAATTAACTCAGCTTTCTACCAGGAAAAAGTAAACGTGGATGGCCATTGACTGGACGAGTCCCTTTACTTCTTACACACTTAATTCGCCGATAGTTGGAACTTTTATTTGTGCTTTCTCTTCTCTTCTTGTTTGGTGCGGCTCACTCCTGTTTCTCTTGACTGTTCTTTATGTACAAGTCTTCCAGCATGTTCTTTCAGTTTGTCTTGATATCAGCGCAGCGCATTGTCTTATTGGATTTCCTATGTTATTTGAAAATGAATATACTGTTCGCAATGCCTAGCTCCCGTTGATCTTGCTCTAAAGCGGTAGACAAATAGCAATGGCCTCCATCTCATACGGGACGACGTATGTAGAAATACATCCGAATTTCATTTGGGCCGCACTCATGTACGGTGCTATCTGACCTAGATGATCATATCATAGCCACACTGGAGCTGTTAACATTCCGAGAAAACAGGAAAGCCTACCGAAGATCCGGTCAAGCTTGCTGCATCTGATGGTAAACACGTCGGGCAAGTCGTGTTGCTTAACCTAGGGAACAAGCCCGTTGTCTGTTCGCGCAGAAAGATAGCATTGGGCAGATGAACACAATTGCCTTTAGAGCCGGAGCGGTAGCCGACAAAGCACTTGATGTGTGCTTAGCTGCTGGATAGGCTCCTCATCACTAGAGATCATAATACTCTGGCCGGGATGAAAAGTCATCTCTCACGTCGAAATGGCACTGAAGGATGGTCATCCACACACGCATCAGGCAAATTCACGCGATTGGATAAATTCTTTCGGTCCTTTAGCCTAGGGATCTTTGAGTTTATCAACAACTTATAGGTCTCTCCCAGCACTGATACAGACGGTATAGAGGGCCTCTCGGCCCAAAAGGTCGTCACATATGTTGATCGGAAGTGTCATCGTTCTCCGAGTTTTGAACCTGTTGATCCAACGTCTTTGTCTTCATTGTGGGTATTACGATCATCCTCGAGAATCACCTCTAGACCTCTTGGGTCTTTGGTGATGGGTAGCCATTGCTTTGCAAAGTTAGTCGGCGAATCTGAGACCGAGCCCGCAGAGACTGCTTGGTCGACAATCAAGCCAAATCGTTATAGGACGCCAACCTCGTCCCCTATGACAATATGCTGGAAGGATAGCTTATGGGACGGTATTAACCCCCCGCGGCCTATGACTGAGTATTGGTGGATGGTGTCCCTTTGTCCCTCCTAAAGCCTAGAGGGTGATAACAGTCAAGAACTGCTCTACATGAACCTTGGACCGGATACCTCCTTTCCATTTGGTGATTATCTCGAGCATGGTCTTCTTCCTCTTGTAGTATCCGGACCCTGTGAAGCAATCACGGAGTAAGCACTACAAACAACAAAATGTAATACCCCGAGAAACGAGTAGGCTACGTTCCACTTAGATGGAACTGATGGATTGGAAGTGGCCGAAGGAATTTGAGCGGTAGATGTCATTTATGTGACTTACTCCTTGGGAAAATATTCACACCAGCATGCTTCATTCTATAAAGGAATGGATGGGTCTTAACACCGAGAAGGATCCCTGTTGCACCTAGGGTTCGTTCCTTGAACCCAAAGTCTGGCGACTCATAATCGCCGTAATTGGAAAACAACATCACGGTTCTCCCCGACCCAATGCTCTCTATCAGCCTTTTCGATATGTGTTTGTGACTAGAGCGATAGGGCGTCAGGCGAATAGGGTTCAAACAGATGACTAGTTGATGCGTATGATAATGAGAGTGGCTAAGCAGTATAGCTGAGCACTGGTTATCCTCATAGTGGGTAACATCCAGCATGGTCGGATATAGATGTGGCAAGTACTGGATGCTGCCGATCTCAAGGCTGATGGCGCGTAGGGTTTCCCCTGGATACTGGTATGATTTATTTACCATTGATTTTAAAAGTGTGTCTTATCCCTTTTACCCGAGATACCAGATACCAACATACGTTGATAGGTATGCTAGTGCCATGAAAGTGTCTAGACGCTATAGTAGGATATCTTTCATATTATAAGCTGCACAGCTAGAATATCGGTATTGTCAAAGAGTTAGCTAATATTACATCCCCCCATTGCTTTAGTCCCATATCCAGTGGGGAGTATAGGGGGGCTGGGGAAACGGGGATATTGAACCGGTACGTATACCGTCCAGCATGATACTATCGGTATGAGGTACTTGCTGACTTGGAGATAGATACCTTGCCCCAGGGAAAGAGGTCGAAAAATTCGGGTCTACAGCAAAGGAGCATCCATCATTTCGATGTTGTTAAGCTCCTCCAGGTTTTCCTCATGATGGTTACGAGTGATACCATACTATATTTGCTGTTTATCCTTCGATGCCTGATTGCAGTGCTTTAGAAACTCCAGGAATAACCACGCTGGTTTGTATTAGCAGATGTCCTCAGTCAGATGCTGAACGATATTCAGAGATCTCCAATCGCAAGCTGCAATAAGTGCACTGTCGTCCCAACAAGACCGAGCCTTTGGATTAGTATCAGCGTGCGTCTCTTAATTACACTGGATGCTTGACAATATCCAGCTTTCCTCCAATACATGCAGTGATAAGCGGACTACCTTTATTATCAGACGAGTGGCTTACATCTGCTTTGGGCTCATTATCTAGTATTGAGCCATCGTCCCAATGATTTCACGAAGAGTGACGAGTACTTCGACGTATCCCAGATGAGCCTCCTCGCCGTCGTCGACAGGAATGAAGGTCATTTCGGACCATTGCCAGGAGTTTTTGGAGGTCAATGCCGTTGCCAAACATCGCACCTGAAACCTGGCCGAATCAGCAAAGAATTCGCAAAGCCGAAAAACACAGGTTCACGAAGACTTTTCGACCTGGCAGAGTGCCGAGTGTACTATGTCGCCCCTGGCTTCAAGGGCCAGTTGTTAACGCAAGTGCATTCCGCAGGCTCTCCATGCAAGTGAGAAACACCCGCAGGACCCTGGATGCAGCCAACAGGCTGTGAGCTGCGTATAGCAGCAAGGTCAGCGGTGCCAGCCGGAGCGGCATCGTAGCTCTCCCAGGGGAAAAGCCTGTTGAAAAGAGCCTCTGTATCCCTGCATTTAGGGAATGTGGTTAACTGTAGTTTCCTCTGTTCTTCAGATTAGGAAGGGGTCGCGAATTTATCTTCAAATGTAAAATTCTCCCAGTCGTAGATATTATATGGGTGGCCAGGCCGGGCACTGGAGTAGCCTTCGAAGCAAAAACCCTTTCAGCACCGAATTTCTGTATGGATGTTACTTTAGTCTGCTCTTCCCACACTGGATAGCTTGCATGATGCAGGAACCAACCACTAGCCCTACCCCAGCACTCGGAGACAGACATATTAAGTTAGAACATGCATCTATATAGAAGCTGTTGGGAAATAGAGCTGCACGCTACTCATCGATTCGTTCTTTGACCAAAATTTGGTTATGTCCATTGAATGGTGCCGGTGTGACCACGGATAAATATGAGCATGAGATCCAGCTCAGTAGCAGCTGGCTCGTTACGGGCCTGGTAAACCAGCATGGACATAACTTGCCGCCTATACTAGGGCTTTGGGGGAGGCAAAAGTCTTTTTCCTGGGTGTTGGAGACTGTTTTACTTGGTAGCGCTGTTAGGCTAGAGTTCTCTCTAGCTCTCCGGCTTTGTGGAGTGTACGGTTTACGGTGTGACTGAAGACGCATGTCTAGGTACCACTAGACGCTAGGCTTAACTGTTACGTTCAGTCAGACTGAGATACTGCCTTTCTTGGCCATTATTAAGGTATGTGTATGTGCTGTGGTGAACTTGTTCGCATTGATGACCGTCGGATGAGCTGGGATGGTAGGAGCTGGATTGGAATGGTTCAGGATGTAAGATAGTAGGGTTATGATAGAGGAAAGAGGAGAGTCAAGAAGGGAGATAAATCGATCACGAAGACCGGATCTTACTTAGAATACGGAATGGATATTGACAATGAATTGAAAATTTACTTCATTGAATTGAGTTGTTTATAGTAATTCACATCGGAATGAAGAATAATGTAAGGTAATATACTTTAGGCTGAATGGATCATTCGGAGGCTGGGAATCATGATCGGGGAGCTAGTGAACCCATCCAGTTTGTATCCTGGCTTTCACCAGATTTAGCGTCCTTCGCTACCCTAGTCGGGCCAGCGGGAGCGTTTACCAAATCCATGGTCATCTGTCGTGCCTCCTGAAGTCTTCGCAAAGCCTCGGCACGACCTAGGATTACCATAGTCTCAGGGATACCAGGTCCTGGTGCGGAGGCAGACAGGGCCCATCGTAGATAGTGGTACAGTTCCTTTTTAAAGGCCTTGTCGGCAGCGACTTGGGCCTTTGCCGCTTCTTCCGCTGAGCCATAGGTGTCTGCACCCGTTTCTTCAGGAAGGATGGCGGAGGCACCATCATAAGAGGTGATGTTGAATTTGTGGGTTTCGACATTCCAGTGGGATTCAGGGACAAGGCTGAGGGCTGCAGCTGCTGTGTGGATGGCTTTCATAGGAATGGCTTGAGATGATGCCTTGTTGGAGGAGGCAACTGGTGCATATGGGGGTCTATTTAGAGTAGTAGTGAAGAAGGTGGAGTTGCGCTGGACAAACTCCGATGCATTCGTGTAGGATTTGGCATCAGCGTGGAGGAGAGGGGAGACATATTCTGCTAGGGAACGTGACTGAAGGATTGGGGCTCTGTAGTTCGATTGATTAGAATGGAACAATGTGGATTTGAACGTAATGAGTATAACATACAGTTGTTGTGTAGGGTATGTCTCCTCTGCAGCCTCAGAGACTTTGGAGACCATCTCCTCAAACTCCGAACTCCTGTTTGTGGCAAATCGCAGCGCGTGTGCTTTTTGAAGGAACCAAAGCTTCTCAAAAGCAACAACGGTGTTACCCCTAGTGATTTTGAGGTTGAACTAAAAGCATGTTAGTACTACTGCGTACGCTTCATTAGCATGATGATCATGCCGAACATACAATCTGCTCTAGTTCTTCAAGACTGAAGATATCCGATTTCTGAGTGTGAGACCAGCCCAAGAGAGCGGCAAAGTTTACTAAGGAAGCGGCGAACACCCCCTGTGAGTCCTTGAAGGAGGTGAGATCAATATCGGCATTCCGCTTGCTAAGTTTCTGCCCAGACTTGTCCACGAGAAGAGGTACATGGCCGAAGCGGGGCGGCGTCCACTTGAATGCATTATATAGAGCGACGTGCATGGGCGTAGAGGGCATCCATTCCTGTTAGCCGAAGACGTTAGAAACCAGTCCCTCAGCCGGTGTTTCCTATACTCACGGTGCCCCGAATTACATGAGTAATCTCCATAAGATGGTCGTCAACCACATTGGCGAGATGATAGGTCGGGTGGCCGTCTGATTTGAGCAAGATAGGGTCGTCATACACCCTGTCAATCAAGTCCAGCTTGTTCGGCGTGCGATTCTGGCCAGTTTTCCCGTAGACAATGTCCTCAAACATTGGATATCCCTCCGCCTTCAGTCGAACCACATGCGTTTCTCCCTTCGCTGCCCGGTCTTCAGATTCCTCGGGCGATATTTCTGCACATTTCCGGTCATAGCCAGGAGCGAGCCCAGCTTGACTGCGGTGCCTCGCGAAGGCATCGAGTCGGTCCGCAGAGCAAAAGCATCGGTATGCGTGTCCGTTGTTTATAAGATCATGAGCGTGGGTGCGATAAATAGCTGTGCGCTCGGACTACAAATATACATATTAGTATAGCACTCTTCGGTGATAGAGTGACAAGCGCATTAGAGAGTCTCACCTGCCTATAAGGACCGTGGGGACCGCCGACAGTAGGACCTACAGACTCCACGTCAATCTCCGAGCAACTTTATGTTCCCAAGTAAAAACCAACCTTCATCCCATTGCAGCCCAGCCCATTGGAGATCCTCATACAGCCTTTGTTCAGCACCGGGGATAGTTCGTTTCTATATCCATTCATCCATCAGCCTTCGAGGTCGACGGGCTTCAGCAAGCTGGTCTAGCGCCGCACCTGATCGGTATCCTCAATTCGTAGCAAGAATTGTCCTCCTGTCCGCTTAGCTAAAAGGTAATTGAACAATGCCGTTCGCAGAGATCCTAGATGAAGGTATCCGGTCGGCGACGGTGCGAATCGGGTTCTCGCAGGCAAGTCAGGCATATTCGTCTTTTTGTTGCCGGCGCGGATAGGCTTGCTCGAGGCAACGGAGGAACAACGAGCTCTGCTGCACTGGATACAGACCCAGGGACGACGGGCAAAAAGCCCGGGGTGAGGACGCCTCATATCGCAAAGGAGGGCCCAATTTCAGGTACGGGATACGATTGACTGGTGAATTGATGAACCATCGGAGGTTTGCGGCGAGTCTCCGACTGGGGAAAAAGTAAAGTTGGAAAATTAAGTCAAGGCGGAACCGAATTTTAAACCAGCGATTTTAACCGCTGACAATCAACAATCTCCTCCTTGACCGTTCCTTCTTTAAACCCGTTCGAAATAATATATTTCGGAGAGTAATCTTATTTGCGTTCTCTCTTCTCGTCGAATTCAGTTCGTCCTCAGTCCAGCCCTAGCGATTCTGACCGTCGGAGAAATCTCTCCGCAGCCGCTCAAAGTATGTGATCTTCTCCCTCAAAGCCTCTTTATTGCCGGCCTTGCTGACCCTTCTCTGAATGCAGTGTCTGCAGTTGAAGTCGACCTCTACGGTATATATTTGATTCTATCATCGCACCAAATCACCGAAATGATAACTAATTCTATTCTGTGATTAGAGGTCCTCGGGATCACCAGCAGCGCAAGCAAAGATGAGATCCGGAAGGCTTATCGCAAGGTATGGTTTTCTCACTTCTGGCCAACATCCATCTACAGTGGCTAAATATGAGTACCTACGGTAGGCCGCGCTCGCAAGTCACCCTGACAAAGCCCCCGAAGCCGAACGTGAAACAGCAGAAGTCAAATTCAAGGCCGTCCAGGAAGCCTACGATATCCTTTACGATGATGACAAGCGGCATTTATACGACACACATGGAATGGGCGCCTTCAACGGATCTGGGGAGCCCGGAATGGGCGCCGGCCCTGACCTAGACGATATCTTGGCGCAGATGTTCGGTGGTATGGGTGGTATGGGCGGTATGCCTGGCATGGGTGGTATGCCCCGAGGCGCGCGCGCGAACAAGCCCCGCAAAAGCCCGAATGAGGAGCAGAAGTATGAAGTCAAGTTGGAAGATTTGTATAAGGGAAAGACGGTCAAGTTTTCGAGCGTGAAGAATGTGATTTGCTCTCTTTGCCAGGGCAAAGGAGGCAAGGAAAAGGCACAGGCCAAGAAATGCGCTACTTGCGGTGGACAAGGTATGGAAAATGATGACCTGGTGCAGCTGGAACTTTCATCGGCTAATGGACGGTATCGGCAGGTGTCAAGCAGGTCTTGAACCAGATGGGACAGTTCCTTACCACGTCAACTGTCGCTTGCTCAACCTGTAATGGCGAGGGCGAATTTTTCAGCCCCAAGGACAAGTGCAAGAAGTGTAAAGGGAATAAGACTACGGAAGCGAAGAAGATCCTGGAGATCTATGTTCCTCGCGGAGCAAGGTGAGCTTAGCCTCTATGCGAACCCGCCAAGACGAGTAAAATTAGGGACTAACCCCTTGTGCAGGGGAGGGGATAAGATCATTTTGGAGGGCGAAGCAGATCAGGTACCGGGACAAGAACCGGGTGACATCGTGTTCCACATCGTCGAAGAGGAACATGCCGTCTTCAGAAGGGCTGGGTCAGACCTGACCGCTACCATCGATGTTACAGTGGCTGAAGCTTTGACTGGCTTTCACCGCGTTGTGATCAAGCACCTCGATGGCCGAGGCATTGAATTGCAACACCCCAAGAAAGCGGGTGATGTCTTGTCCCCAGGACAGGTTCTGAAAATATCTGGAGAGGGCATGCCGATGAAGCGCGGCGACGAGCGCGGTGACCTGTACCTGATCGTTAACATCAAATTCCCGGATGAGAACTGGAAGCCTAATGCTGAGGTTTTGGAGAAACTTAAGGAGTTGTTGCCCAAGCCCGCTTCCTCCATCCAGGCTGATACAGTTGACGAAGTTGACTATAACCCTAAAGGTGATCTGAATGAATTTGGGGCTAGGGACTCTCATGGCGGCTCTGCGTGGGAAGATGATGACGATGAAGGTGAACCAGCTCAGTGTGCGACCCAGTGATGGCCCATTTTCTTCTTTTCTTTCTTTCTTGCAATTATACCTTTGCCGTTTTTTGCATTCGTCAATGAATAGATCTGTTGGATGCATTTTGGGCCAACTCTTCTCTGGCATCATGGGCGTTCACGGGACTTTTGTTATGAACGAAGTGGGGAAAATATTCGTATTTACTTATGACCATTGCTGTTATTATCTTCTTCCAGGCGTGAATAATGCATGGTAGTGCTAGAATACATAGACCAACGCGCCTTTATGGAAATGCCGTCATCCTCTAGGATCCTCCAGCTCCACTTTCTTGAAACGATCGTATCGCCCCGTGGGGGGAAAAGTGTGGGATGGGCGCTACATCCCCATGACCAATAGCTTGTTCTGTGATTTGTAATGGGCCTTCTTTGCTTTTTCCTATCGATCATCCGTTGCTTAGTAGGGTGTCGGCGGGATTTTGTATGTGTGTTGAGGTAGGGCTTCTCAGAGCAGCGTCAACATAACAAGTCATGAGCCTCATCCGCTTTCATTAGTACCACGCTTTTAAGATAGCAACTTATCTCGTCAATTAATAATTACTACATATCCCCACGAAAGCCCACTTTCGCCATGGGCACTGAAGACAAGCTAAAGGAATGGTGTGAATGCCACGGAAGATCTACGATAGACATCGCGAACAGAAAGTAATGGGATCGGTTCATGATGATAGCAAACAGGCTAAACAAAGTATCGAATATCAAAGAGGAGGCTACGTTCCCATCTGGTTCCTTAAAACCGCACTGCGTGATCTATATGAGTGGGTAGCTGAATATCCATGCTTCGACAACGGGGGCTCACATCAAACTCCTAGGTGTCGTCTGTGGAGCTCAGAAGTATCAGGGCCCAGATGATTGTGTCCTTGGGGAGGAGTACCTCGTCAAAGGTGACAACCTTTCACGAATCATGCTCTTATATGATTCTTTGTGAAGGTGATGTCGAGATGGAAACAAATATGCACCCCCATGCCAATACTAGCGTGGGGTTGATAAACGATGGGTCTCCCATAATCCATTTGCCCCCACAACACGTACCGAGAATTGATCCATCGTTCTGACCCGAAGAATGGGGATGTTTGATGGGGGGTTCCAGCGCGGTTCTTATTTAAATGTTCTGCGTTCCCGCCGCCCGCCTGTCAGCTCTCTAGATACCAGTCCTCGGCATAAAATACGGCTGTAGAGGTCGGAGACTGTCCGGATCATTCGGCATTGATTGTGTCCCGCATTCTATGTGATATCACACCCGGAAAGGGCTATTTAATCTCACCAACGGTGTGTTTCTCCAAGATAATTTTGCTAGGCGTAAAGGGAGAAAGAGTTAGACAAAAGGCAACAAAAACTGAAAGAGATATATAGGCATATCGGGATCTCAGTTAAGAGAATCGGAGAACACAAGTGGCTAATGGAATTCTAGCCCCGCGATAAGCCTAGCCCCGATTAAAAATACATAAAATACGGTGCACACAAGTACCACAAAGTGTTACAGAATATCTCGCCATGTCGTGTCAGTCACGGACCTCATGTGAGGGCTGCTCCTGCAGTGAGGGGAGCAGTCAGCCACCAGTGAATATTGAGGACTGTGAAAGTGAACTACTTGCCCTTCGGAGGCGTACAGTGGAGCTGGAGAAGGCTCTGGTATCAATGAAAGATGGGCAGCCGAAAGATAATGCATCAAGTGTCCGGAAGTTGCGGTCGGCCAACTGGTTCAATTGCGAAAGTGACCCCGGCATGATGGCCCTTTACATTGAGCGGTACCTCAATTATGGTATCACCCGGGAGGAACTGATGTCTAGCAAGCCAATCATCGGAATAGCACAGTCTGGATCAGATTTGTCTCCGTGCAACCGTCATCACCTCGAATTGGTGAAACGGGTCCGAGAAGGTATTAGGTCTGCTGGAGGAATCGCCTTTGAGTTTCCCACTCATCCTATTCAGGAGAGTAGCAGGAGACCCACTGCTTGTATCGATCGAAACTTGTCGTATCTGGGCCTAGTAGAGATCCTCTTTGGCTATCCGTTGGACGGTGTAGTCCTTCTGACGGGTTGTGACAAGACTACACCTGCCGCTCTGATGGCTGCGGCCACGGTGGTGCGTGGATCATGTCTCTCTGCATTTGTTTACATATCCGAGCTAACTTGGACTCGAAGAATATTCCGGCAATATGTTTGAACGTTGGCCCGATGCTTAACGGCTATGTCAAGAATGGCCTGGCAGGGTCCGGGATGGTAGTGTGGAAGGGTAGAGAGATGTACGCGGCAGGTGAGATCAATAAGGAGGAGCTCATCGATTATGTGTCTAGAGGGTATGTCCATTTGAAAATGCGGAAGCTCATACGCTGACCCTGTCAAAGTGCACCGTCGGTGGGACATTGTAACACAATGGGAACAGCGTCAACTATGAATGCTTTGGCAGAGGCGCTTGGGATGGCCCTACCTGGGTCGGCTGCCATACCCGCTCCGTATCGTGAACGAGGCCAATGTGCTTACGAAACAGGATTGCGCATTGTTGAGATGGTTCATTCTGACCGGAAGCCAAGCGACATCATGACACGGGAGGCTTTCGAGAATGTCATTGTAGTTAATACTGCTATCGGCGGCAGTACTAACGCCCCAATCCATATTAACGCGATCGCTAAACATATTGGGGTAGATGTTTCACTAGATGACTGGGACCAACTTGGATTTCATATTCCACTACTGCTGAACATGCAACCAGCCGGTGAGCTACTGGGAGAGGAATACTATCGGGCAGGTGGGCTACCCGCAATAATGGCGGAGTTGTTAGATGCTGGGAAGCTGAATGTGGAAGCCTTGACTTGCAATGGTCGCACAATAGCCGAGAATGTCCGGGGGAAGCATACCTGGGATCGTCGAATGATCAAGCCATATAACGAACCACTGATGGAGGACGCCGGATTTCTCCATCTCCGAGGCAGTCTATTTCAGTCTGCCATCATGAAAACATGTGTGATATCTGAACCTTTTAGGCAGCAGTTCCTGGAGAACCCCAAGGACCCAAATGCTTTTGAGGGCACCGTTGTAGTATTTGACGGACCAGAGGACTATCATCATCGACTCGAGGACCCTTCCACCCCCATCGATGATAGAAGTATTTTAGTGATGCGCGGGGCTGGCCCATTAGGATATCCAGGCGCGGCCGAAGTTGTGAATATGCACCCACCTGGACGACTTTTGCGCCAAGGGGTCAAATCGCTTCCGTGCATTGGAGACGGGCGACAATCGGGAACTTCCGGCTCGCCATCAATTCTCAATGCTAGTCCTGAAGCAGCAGCGGGTGGGAATTTAGCCCTTCTTCAGGATGGGGACAGGCTCCGCGTTGACCTAAACAAACGACGCGTTGACATACTTGTTTCCACGGAAAAATTGGAGAAACGAAGAAAGACACTAGAAGCCCGGGGGGGTTACGGGGTACCGGAAAGTCAGACACCTTGGCAGGAATTATTCAGGAGGGAGACGGCACAGTTGAGCGATGGAATGGTCCTCCGAGACGCCGTCAAATACCAACGACTTGCCCAGCGATATGAGAACCCGCGGCATAATCATTGAGGAACGATGTGCTTGATGTCTCTAGATACCATGTATGTAAGGAGCTGTAACGAATGGAGATACTTACGATAAAGACGTTAAGCAATTCCCCGACTGTACGGTATGCATGTTCTCCGTACAGTAAATATGCCATACTTCGTTCGGTATTTCTCAAAATCAAACCCAGTGGCTGATTCCTGGAGAAACTGATCTTTACCGAGGTCCGGGACTAGAGCTCTCAGCGTGGTACTAATCTGTAGTGGCTGCATCGATAGACTAGCGTCAATCCATGTAGAAAACGAGAGATATTTTTCCCATAGCGGTGGCACGGACTCATTTGAGGAGTATTACACGGAGTACCGAAAGTGAAAGGTGGCTGAGGTTGAGGTTGAGGTTGAGGTTGAAAGAGCTGTAAGGAAGAGTCCAAGTTGGTTAGTGTTGCTGGCTGTCTGCCTTGGGGGTTTGGCCTCCCCTCTTGAATCTCCATTTCCTATCATTCATCTCCCAACTGTTTGTTTATTGATTTTGTGGAACCACCACATCTTTCTCTTTGCTACCAGAATAACAGTCATGAATACTAGTTCGACGCCATACTGAGAATAGTCCTTAGCAGGCAGACATGTTTTACTAGCACTATACATACTAATGAAACGCTGAAAAACAGCAGTCCCACAGGGATGGGTTTAATCACAGTTATTGCCAAGATACTAAGAGCGGTGACTAGATACTCGATGTTTCTTGCTTTCTCACGGGTTAAGGCCACCACCTCATCACATACATCGGATAGCTAATGAAAGAATGATTGGTACCAGAATCCTGGCGAGTGAACCGAGCGCTCTGAGTTTGATAGACCACCCAATTCGACCAATTCAGTGATAGATAGCCCGCACATGGCCGGAAGTCATTGGCCTTGTCTACTTCAGCTACAATCCACCCGGTGCTTGCAACGGAGCCACCCATAATAACGAAATATGGCTAAGAAAACACCACAAAATCACACCAGAGAAAGGATGAAAGAAAGAAAAAGTTTGATAGCTTACCATTATTGAGTAAGGCCAAGAACGGGTTATCTAAAGACGGCGGTCTCGAACCATATCCACCTGGATACCAACCTAGCAGGTGGACGCGAGACGACAAATTTATGGACGGCGTCGATCATTCAATTAGTGATATGATTCAACAATTATGAAATCATGAGAGTACTATTAGTCCATTACCTGAGCGCCAAGCGATTGAGTCATGAGAGAACGAGAAACAGCTGAGGCCAATGGCGGAGCACCTGACAATTGAAGTAATTGATATTCAACCATCAGCACACAACACCATTCAAAATTGATAAAAATATCCGCGAGTGTGGACCAGTGGTGGGTCTCTCTCGGGTTACCCGCAGAGGGTTTGGTTTTTGCCGTTGCAGCCTTGTTAGACTTACGGAACAGTGACCGATTTCCCACGCTACCATACTTCGGTCCGCTCAGGGCTAGGGGTCTAGCCTGACAATATCAGAAAATTTTTTCTAGTCACGGCTGATCTCAGACCGCCCCTGTTTGTCAGGCATCCCCCACCCACCATCCCACCATCTTCTTTTTAACCTGCACTTTGCGATCCTCCGTCTCATTCCTTGTTGATTCCTACTCCAACAGATTCCTTTATCATGCTACTTCCTCCCATTGTCCAGTTAGATGCCAGCTTGCTACCATGCGCTTCCACTGAACAATAAGAAACGACTACTTCGGTGTGCACCGTGCATCTTGCATCCCTGCACTACAACAGTTGTCGTACCTCCTGATTCCATCCTTGACCTATCTATCCCTACTGGAAGACACCTGTCTTATCCGTCTACCGTCGCAGCTTCCCCGAAATATTTCGTGCTACTCAACAGTGGCCTAGATCCCCGCGGGACGCATATATTGTGCACACCGCATCGTTACGTGTCTCGCGGCTCGTCTGCGGGAAGTATCCGGCCGTACCTTTTTGTTATCAATCTCCCCAGCGAATCAGCATCTCTGCGCTCGAATAGAACTGTCGCCGATTGTCAATCGGGCCGAACAACCTGCTTCATTTTGAATTTCTTTTCAACTCGAGTAATACTACTTGTGTTTGTCAAGATGGACGTCGACTTATAAAACATCCGCCTTTCGTTCTTTCTTGATCGTAACGCTTTTGATTTCCAGCAATTGAGCGTTTCCTTTACCTTCTAATTACTTCGCCTCTTCGAACCTCACTGATCTAGGTGAAGGCACCTGTCATACGCTATCGTCAACGAAATACCTATTTCTCCTCAACTCATCATGGCGCCCAACCTTTTCCTTTGCCTCCGGGCTGTCTTCTGCCCCACGTACTGGTTTCAGCGTGGCGAGCGCATCCAAGGATCGATTCACAAAGAAGAACATTGGCAATCCCCTGTTCCGGGCATTTACAAATACATCCCGGGTCGTGGATGGCACCTTGTTTACAGGGATGGCAACGAGTACGACGAAAAAGTTCCTGTTCCACTCGTTTATTGCCGAATCCTCCACCGCTACATGTTCGAAGACGAACTGGAGGATAGATGCCGCTGGCACTCAGTGGTCGTTCATGAAGGTGCTAAGCCGGAAAGATTTCTGTTCTTCCGTCTCGACGACGATGACACCTGGGTCGCTGGATGGGATGCCAAGGGAAAGTTTATCCCGGGACCTTATCAAAAATGGTACTACGACTCGAAAACCCATACTATGCGCCGGGTTCTGTTCCCTGAAAGCTCGAATGTTTCCCGCGCCAGCATTGTTCCGAGCAAGCTCAATTGATTGCGATTCCCTGAGTCGTCCACGAAGAGTTTGCGCACCTTATGCATCACTCCTGACGATTCCAGTCTTTTTGCTATCGGGTCGTCGAAACACACGACCTTTATACAACCACGGCGAATTTTGTTCTGCAGCTGGCTCCTCCAGAACATGGCCTGACAGGTTCAACCAGAAAGGGCAATTGCTATTCTTGAACTGTTAAAAGCGAGTGCATAAGCGACTTTGTTTTGCTTTTCTTTTTTGTTTCCACTATTATGAGCTTGCTTGGTGGCTCAACTTTTACGAAGGTTTGCTTTACACAGCGATGGAGTTTGGGGCTAAAAAAAAGTTCGATAGACCTCTTATTCTTTGCTTTGCGGCATAAATGGCTACTTCTCATCATGAAGGATATTAGCCGTGATGATTCTTTCGGTTATTATGTGGTTCAAGATCAACAGGCTTGGACAGGATTTAATAGTAACTGATACAATATGACCATAGATTACAGTAATGCTGAGCTGGATTGATATTCTCTGTATGAAAGACCGTAGACGGGCTAGCCCTCATGATACATATTATCTGCAGCAAGAAGTGGGTACATCTTAGTCCTACTGCAGAAACTATGTTCAAGTGAACATGCATGATACCATCCATCACTTGCATTTCGGATCTATCTGCAGGGCGTCTGATTGGCAAATGCTCTCAGTTTTTTCCTATGCAAGGTCTATCCAGCTTAGTAGGGTTTGTCTTATCCCGTGAACAAAGTACATACAAACGATACTCTGCAACGCTTCCTTCCAGACTCTCAAAACACCAATATTCTCCCCGATTATATCTGAAAAAAGCGCACTATAGAATTCACTTGCATCTTCGTCCCGAGTACCTGCCAACTTATCAACCGTAGCAAAGAGACGGCCAGATTATTCTCACCCCACCTAAGAAAAGAACACGCAATGATATAATATCTCCATAAACATCCGTCCAAACCCAACCCTTCATAAATTCTACAAGTTTAGAGACAAACAAAAGAACAAAAAAAAAAAAAAATTCACAACTTCGACCTCTCCTTCCCACCCCCCTTAACCAACTTCTCCAACCCCCTCCTTACCCTCTCCTCCATCCCCTCCTTAGTCGGCCTCATCGTCTCCCTCGCCACAAAAACATGCGTATACCCCCCAACAACCTTAACCGCTTCCTCCCCCTGCTTAAACACCCCAACTTCATACGTAACACTCGATGACCCAAGCTTCGCAACCCGAAGCCCCAACTCCAACACATCGGGAAACGACACCGAGGCAAGGTAATCGCAGTACGAGTTCACCATGATACCCACCTGCGATGCGGATTCCGGATCGGCATCCTTCTTCTGCCCGCCTGAGAACGGGTCCATTCCGCATTCGGCGATGAGCCAGCTGTTCACGATCGAGTCGAAGAGCATGGCGTAGACGGTGTTGTTTAGGTGGGCGTACATGTCGTTGTCAAACCTGGTTTTTTTGATTTATCTTTATTTATTTCTTCCTTCCTTCAAGGGGTTTCTTATGGGGTGTTTATTTACCATCTTGTTCGGTATATTTGATGGAAGGTGTAGTCGCTTCTGGTGCGGCGTTTCTTGGCTTGGAGGTCTTGGGGGGGCATTTTGGGTTGTTTTGTGGAGATTGTCTTTGGGTGGAGGGGTATGGGTGTTGGCTTTTGGGTGTTTCTGCGTGTGGTTTTTTATTGGGTTGAATGGGAACTATTAGTAGTATTATCGTTTGTCAGATGGGGATTTGTCTGGCATTCGAGCCTATTTCCGAACAACCGAGGTTGGGTTTGCGGGCGCTTTGCCGGATTGGGTGTGGATCGGCGGTCTCGGGCATAGCCTATATTGAACTTAATCCACTGTCTCTGGAGTAGATCTTTGATGTTAACTTGGTGGAGGTTTTTGGGATGGGGGGTGTGGATCTGATAAGGTTATTTTGGTTGAGGTTGGTAAAGGTGAGTATGGGTGGATTGGTGGTCTTCTGGTTGAAAAAGTCTTGTGTCTGAAGTAGGTGCTGAAGTTCTTTAACTTCTACCGTATGACACGTAATGCTAGTTGTGAGTTTATATTGTTCTTGATGGACATTGGTTGTTTATTTGAATATAGAGAGATGCATACTCGTTTAAAGTCTATTCAAGATCGTTCTTCAGTGCATATACGGCTGGATTCCGGACAGCTTAGATTATAAGATTGTCAGTATAACTTTCACTCACAGTTAGCCTCACCTGTAACGATCTATCTCATGAGACTCTAAGTCTTGCTAAATGGTAGGGTTAAGTCACAACAGTGGAGTTAACTGGGGCAAAGGGTTCATCGCACTTGCCCCATTGATCGCCCACCACGGCTTATCGCAAGGATCTCCATCACTCGCGAGTATAAAATATCTTCCTGGTTGATCTCCAATCTCTGAACAAATTCTCAGAAAGCGCAAAGCACTGACCTCATTCAAATGCTTCCGTCCAAAGTACGCTCATAATTATTGGATGGCTTACCGACATCTCACTGTCCGTTCAACCCACTCTCTCTTAATATCCACCCCCACTAAGAAGGATAAGTCCAAATACCAAGCATTCCCGAGCTCAATAACCCTCCAAACAATACTCTACAGCCAGCAACACAGAGACACACCAAGTACCATGCACATCTTCCACTTTACCACTACCCTCATCATCGCTACTGTCACAGTGACGGTATCCATCAACCAAGAACCAGACATCCGAAATAATACCTCATGGGACCATACTATATCAGAAAATATCACACTCCCCATTCAATTGCAGAACGAGGCCACAAAGACCAAAGACGGCGGATGCGTCGGGGTCCAAGGCTGTCAGACTGTGAAACCTGCTGCTCCGTCGAATACTAGTACCAGTACCGATGAGCCAAAAGAGCATTGTCATGAGAATGGATGGCCTTGTCTGCATTATTCGTCTTGTTGTTCGCAGATTTGCCAGTGGACGTGGCCAGGAGGTTACCCTATTCCTATTAGGCAGTGTGTTTAGGTTTTAGGTGAATTGGATGTTGCAGATGGTTTCTTGGATTCGGGCTTTAGTGGTGATATGGTGAAGATGGTTGTTGGGTGATTCTGTTGTGGAATGCGCTTGCGGGCATTGTTGGTTCGTGAGAGAGAGTAGATAAGTGACACTCAAAGGAGTGGTGGTTTTCTATATACAATGTTCTCTTTTCTTGACCTTCCAGTACAGCCAGGAGAGAACAAAGAAGCCACCCTTTGGTTCTCTTATGGATGTAGTGGCATCAAATAGCAGAGGGAGCGAACGCATTAAAGCTGCAAAATGCAGGGCATATAGAGAGGAGAAGAGGTTGAAACCCGTTTAGGCACTCTACTCCTTACACAGCGCGTGAAGCCGTACGCTAAAGGTTAATACGAGTAAGTACAGATGGTGGCTCGACAAGTCAAACTTTCCGGTTAGAGTAGCTCCACCAACACTTTCCATTGCTGAGATACCGTGGATAGATTCTGCTGTCGGGCATGGTCGGGCAGGTCATGGCACTAGAACCACGGTAGTGAGCGAAGATTGTGACTCAAAGCTTGGTGTCTTTAGTACAGCCAGCGGACTTCTCCTGACCAATGTTATCCACGTATCCACCAATTAGCCTTTTTCGAGTAACGTAGCTTGAGTGCCTGTGGGTTTTATATAGGCAAAAACAAGCCATTTAAAAGGACGAACCCTAGCCAAGAGGACAGGAGGACAATATCACTCAGCTTAGATGGAATGATAACCCGCTCTAATCGGAGTAGACGAGGCTACAGCTCTTTTATGCAGTTTTATCTAATTAGGAAATTTACGTACATAAGTGACACACATCTTCATAGTGAGGGTTAAGTGCATTACATGACTTGGGAAGTCATTGCCGCGCATTTCTCTGAGCTCCTTATTTGGTGAATAACTCTTTTCATACTCCCATTCCTGGATAGCAGTATCTTGTCAAGGCAATCCACCTGTTAATGAAGCAAGATACAGGATTAACGGGCGAGAATCCCGATTGTTGCTCTATGCTCAGCACTTTCTGATGATTTTATGTTATAGTACTAGGGCTGTAAAACGAAATCTTATGTTGGTGGCAATTAGAAGTCTATACTTCAAGAATATATATATAAATAGTTATTGGGATGATGACTTACTCAATATGATATGGCTGTCATAGCCAATTATACTTGTCTACAAGTTTGCAGTCGAACAAGTTCATTCGTATGATTTCTCTTCTATGTATTGGGGCTAGCTAGCTAGCTACACCGTGGCCTTGATGCCAGATAAAATCACCAATTGACCTGGGGCAACAACGCCAAGAACATAGACTTTTTTTTTTCCCATTCTTTTCAGGAACGCCCCTCCGACCCCACGTAAAACTACATTTCTTCAATTCAAAACCACAGTCCACGAATTCGTAATATCCGCCATAAATTTCCGAATTTGGCTCCCTCACCCCGCGTTCTCGCCTATCTCGTGCGAAAAGGCAGACTCACTGCGTGCAGCATGACTCTCACGCCCGTCGACACCACGCCCCAGGCGCCGCAAGAACGTGTCGCAGAACCCCCCAAAGTAGCCACACCCTGCGAACCACCCGCAGGTACCTATTACTTCGAAGGAGGGCTGCGCCGCGTCAAACCATACCACTACACATACAACACATTTTGCAAAGAGCGATGGAGGGGCCGGGAGCTAGTGGACATCTTTGTCTCCGAGTTTCGCGATCGTCCACCGGAGTACTATGTATGTTTTCGCTCCCTGAGCTTCTATTCACGCTCTACCGTCTTTTACTAATTACATGGGATGGTTCAGAGAGAGGCCCTGGCAGCCGGCAAAGTTGCGATCAATGGTAAACCGGCCGGACCGCACACCGTCGTGAAAAACGGTGAAGTCATCTCGCATACCCTGCACCGGCACGAACCCCCCGTCACAGGCCAGGAGATCGGCATAATCCACGAAGACGATGGGCTCATCGTCATTGATAAGCCGGCCGGTGTGCCCGTTCACTCTGCCGGTCGGTACCACTATAACTCTGTCATTGAGATCCTTCGTGCCCAGCGCGGTGGCGGCTGGGTGCCCCGGCCCTGTAATCGTCTGGACCGGTTGACCTCCGGCGTGATGTTCATTGCTAAACACCCCAAGGCAGCGGAGATGGTGGCCAGCAGGCTGAAAGAGCGGACCGTGCATAAGGAGTACGTGACTCGGGTGAAGGGCAAGTTCCCCGACGGGGTGGTGGTGTGCGACCAGCCGATTATGCAGGTTAGTCCGAAGCTGGGGCTGAATCGCGTTCGGGCCACGGGCAAGACAGCCACGACGAAGTTCCGGCGGTTGGCGTATTACCCGCCTCATGAGCCTGAGCCGCCCGTCGAGGGTGGAGAGGCGCGAGCTGCGACGCCGCCGCCAGCCTATGCGAATGAAGAGGAGGGGTATAGTATCGTGCACTGTCTGCCGTTGACCGGCCGGACGCATCAGATCCGTGTCCATCTCCAGTTTCTGGGCCATCCGATTACGAATGATCCGATTTATTCGAATCGGCGTGTGTTTGGGCCCGAACTGGGGAAGAATGAAGACTCTGGTGTTCGCGACGATGAGATCATAGATAGGTTGAATGATATGGGCAAGACGGAAGTCTCTGATACCGTCTCCTACCGCACTCACCTTACCGCTGCTCCCCTCGTGCCTCCGGGCACTGACACCTCCGTCGTGGAGCAGATCATGTCCCGTGAGCACGAGGATGCCGAGCACCAGTATCAGAAGCGTAAAGGTGAGAGGCTCTCCGGTGAGAAATGTGACATCTGCGGCACGGATCTTTATACTGATCCCGGTGTACATGAGCTGGGTATCTTCCTCCACGCCGTTGCCTATTCCTCCGATGAGGGTGACTGGAAGTACCGCAGCAAGATGCCCTCTTGGGCCCTTCCTCCGCCAGGCATGGATGGTCCTACGGAGGTCCCTGATTGGCAACCCGTGCCGGAGGAAGAAGAGACAGTCATTGGCAATGGAACCGTGCCAGAGGGTATGGAGGAGGAAGAGAAGCCTCCGAGGGGCCAAGGAAATACCGCTGCTCTTGTTCGGGGCGTGGGGTTGGTTGATATCGCTGATGTGCCTAGACTGCAGCAAGAGGCTTGTCTGCAGTAGGAGGCTCCGCTTGGTTTTCTTTCTCTTAGACGTTTCCTTCCTCCCATCTTTGCATAGACTTGATGTTTACGACTACATGATACCTGTATGCATGGATATCAGGAGTTCCCTATGCTTTTTGTTCTTGTTTTCCGTCGCTGGCGCATATGCAGAGGGGACGGTGTATGGCGCAAGGATTAGCCCAATGAACATATAGATTGAGAACTGAACGGAAAGAGCGTAGACACATGGTCAAGGTGGTGCCAGAATGGCAAATACTTGGCGACTACTCAAGAAAGGCCCATCCAGGACGCTTGCGCTGAGAACCCAGTAGCAAACCCCCGTTGACACAAAGACTTAACATCCTACGCTCGAACGCTACCGCCCGGATCTATGGGGAAAAGACCGAGAAAGAGAATCCCAGTGGGAAAAATCCCCAATTTCTATTTTAAGTCCCAGCACTGGTACCAGCCACCCTATGCAATAGAATCATGCACATAAGAGAAATTCGTCATCGCCACGAAATTGATTCATTTCAATTCACGACCATACAAGAAACCGAAGCGACACCTTGCAGCTTTGCCAGAGATCCCCATCTCCAATTGAAAATGCTTTGGTATAATAATTTTTAATTGTTGATTTAATTAGGCTAAAGCATTTAAGCCTCAGTGGTGACACGGCCCTTGGGGTTGGTAACCTTGACACCGAGAGCCTTGGCCTTGGCGAGGATATCGACACGCTTGCGAGAAGAGACCGCGTGGCCGATCCTATTGGGTTTCATTATGTTAGTTGGGTGTGCTTTCCCTTGACAGGATTTATATCATGGTTGAAGGGTGGGCGTACTCAGCAGCGTAGGTGCGGTTGTGCATGAGAAGGAGCTCAACGTCCTTGGGGTTCTGGACGAGGAAAGCCTTGTGGCCGGAGGGCATCATGTGCTTGGTCTTCTTGTTGCTACCATAGCCGATCTATCGATTCATTCCATATCAGTACTCTGTACTCCACTGCACATTGCGAGTTGATCACTGGTCGTTCTTGTGAAGGTTCATGTCTGATTGGAACTGGGGTTGAGAGAAACGTACGGAGGGCATAGGGATGTTCGACTTGAAGCGTCTACGGACGCGGGAGTCGATACCCTTAGGCTTGCGCCATGACTCCGGCACACACTTGAAGCGATCCGACTGGTGGCGCTTGAAGGTCTTGGTGCCTGTATATTAGAACACTCGTCAGTTTCCCCTATATTCAATAACCCGAATGTGTATGTGTGATAATGATTGTGTCCCGAAGCCCGATGTACCCCACGTCTCTAGGGATTTCGCCATGTCGTCCTCAAATCATTTCAAATATTGTTCTCACGGTATCATTCCACCTTTTTCGCGAAAAAAAAAGTACATGTATCGTCCGATCCCTCGCTTATTTCTCCGTCGCCAAAATCCTTGCTATACATGGGGCCTTGGGACTGTGGTGGATGTGCTGGGCTGGAAAACAGGATGGCAGGATATAGACATACGCTTCTTGACGATGGGGACGTGCTTCTTTGCGAGGACCATCTTGATTTTAATTAGTAACGATAACAATGACAGTATACAGCCATCCAAAACATACCTTGTCGGTTTCGTGAGGTCGCTGGCGCTCAAGTTGTCGTGACGGGTCGAATTCGGTCTCAAAATTTCGCGCTGAGGTAGGCCGCCCAGTGCAGTCGGGTGCTAACGCCTCGCTAAGCTGAAAATTAGGGTGAAAGCCCTGCCAAGACTTACCGTGTTAGGTCTGGTGTCGATCGTTAGATTATGTCATCAAGTCTTTAACCGCCTCTCTTATCGTCCCGTATCAATCAATAAGCTTACTTGCTCCATCTGACGCATTGATCGCGCAGTTGCTATCTTATGTTTTGTGCAGGGTAATTTGTCTCATTTAATTATAATGGTCTATTAGATCTGCAGGTGCAGATTTCTCCTCTCCCCATTGTTCTCGCTACTACCAAAGATGCCTTCCATCACCTCCAGATCCGCCAATGCTTCCTCCGGTCGCAGGCGGGTCGCGATCCCAGCTCCTGAGTTAATAGACTCCACGAATTCGGCAAGCTCCTTATTGACTCCGCGACCCTCGAAAGGCACATCATAGCCCTCCCCATTAACTGTCAACCGATCAAAATCCAACTTCACGATGCCATCCGCGCACGTAAACTCGAAGACCGAATCATTGATCTCCGACCCATAAGACACCGACACCACACCCGTGGCGCCCGACCTAGTCTTAAGCAGCGCATCAACAGTATCAACAGGAGCAAGATGTTCCTGCCTCAAAGAAGCATGCGCCGCCACGGTAGCCAGCCCATCACCCTGTCCCAAGATCAACCGCAGCGCAGCAACACCATGAACCCCACCATCCAGCACAAAGCCTCCCTGGTACCCAGGATTCCGGCGCCATTCCGTCTCTACTCGCACAAGTTAGCCACCTCCACTCACCCTGCTCGAAACAAGAACAACGTACTATGATACTTCGACCCCGGCTTAATCATACTCCTCAACATGACGCGGAAGTTCCTAACCCCACCCAATCTGCGCACCTCCTCCGCCGCCCGCACAAACTTGCTCATGTACCGCCAGTTCTCGGCCACCGCCCAAATAGTCTTGCTGCTGATGATGCGCGAGTTGTGCAGGTTAATCAGGTCCTGCGCCGTGGCTAAGTCCTTAGCGATGGGCTTCTCCGACAGAACATGTTTACCTGCTCTCAGGGCTTTGCGGATGAAGTCTGGTTGGACTAGGATTGGGAGCCTGAGATTTTGTATTAGTCCCTCCTAATCTTCGTAGTTATGTCATAGGCCCACGCACGCTATAATCACCGCTGTAATATCCGACCGGCTGAGCAGATCATCGTAGGTTTTCCCCGGCCCTGCATCCGCTGCGTAGAGGTCGAGGTCAGGTATCCCATTTGCGAGGGACTCGGCCGACTGCAGAGACCTCGAGTAAATGGCTTTCAGGGCGAACGCATCCGTTGCTTGGATGCTGGGCTGGAGCGTGTTAGCTCAATTAACGCTGGTTATATCCGGGCTCGGTTGTGATGCTCGAAGAGGGCGAGATATGTACCAGGTGCTCTTCACGGGCAAAGTTCCCTGTGTCATTATTAGGTTTGTTTCAATATATATATGCCATTGTACTAGGGCTTGGGACGTACCGCTTCCTATGATTGCCACTCCGACGGGCATGGTGGGGTTCAATTATTATTGTTCTTATCGATTAATGGTAGGGTTGTGAAGATCAGTATCGTTGGGCATACATAAATATCGGGTAATATGTTGGTGGGTAGTTCACAGAATCCAAGGGGGTGAATTGAAGTATGTAGAAGAATGAATCCGTGAACTACATTTCATTTCTGCCGTTGGAACATTTATCGATAAATATTAACCGGGTGGGTCAAGTTGAAATTAGTTCCAGACTTCTCCCGTTCGGCGGGGTTCGAACAATGCAGCATGTATCAGAATGAGGAAGATTGGGAATAGAAAAAATATTTGTCCATTTTGGATTGGGTGGATGATACAGGGGTACTTAGGGAAGATAAGGGAGATTGTTGTTTGTTGCTTGCTACTGAGTAGAGACATTCTAATCGAAGTATGAAAAAGAAAAAAATTTACAAAAATATATTGTCGCGACGTACAAATATGCACAATATAGACAATCGCCCCTCGACTGCCGCCCAGAAACCAAAATAAAAAACCATGTGCCAACGCCATATATGCTGATCATAACCATCATGGGCAATGAACCCGAAGAACATCGAGTCATGTCTCATGTCAAATCCAAATCCACGAGGGGCAGTCGCTGTAAACACCAGGGTATAGATATAACCAAGCCACGAGAAAAGAAAAAGAAAAAGAAAAAGAAACCCTGCTATGTTCCTGTCTATTAACCAACGAGAGCTCGGATGCGCTCGACCCTTTCCATCGCCTTCTCTAGTCGCTCAAGCCGGGTTCTCTTCTCGACATCCCGACGTTCTAACACTGCTACTCGCTCCTCCAGCCGCGCACGGGCCTTGCGTTCTTGGGCCACCATCTCGTTGGCTTGGCTAAACAGTTGCGCGGTTAACTCCTCCAACTCGGAGGTAGTCTGCGACAATTGTGACTCTGCAGCCCGCCGTAACGTCTGTTCACGATCCAGCGCATTCTGGAGCTCGGCGGTGTTGTCCGGGCTAGACTGTCGCGACGGGGTTCGGGAAACTGGCTGTGCTGGCGTTTGAGTTGGACAGGCACCGCTAGGCCCGCGGGAATGGAGGAAGGATGTCAGGGTCGATAGGCGCCCTTGCGAATGAGAGGACGATGGAGGCTGAAGAGGGGATAAAGGCTGGCTCATCTCATTTGACGACGTAGAGGATACAGAGGAGCCGTTTCGAGGGGCATATGTGGACGTCTGAGTACGAAGACGGCGGATTTCGTGTTCGTACTGGGCGAGTTTCTCCGCTGTCCGGAAGGCACCAGTTAGTATAGAATATCTCATAATCAGAAGTATAGTGAGCATCGAGATATGCACATCCCGCTCCAACGGAGACACATTGTGTTTAATTTCTCACCCATTTGTGCAGCCTGGACATTCAATGTGCCAACCTTCTCCTCTAATTCCTTGATCCTCTCTTGATCAGCCGCGTGCTCTTGCGACAGGCATGAGTCCTGACCACAGGTTGGACAGTTCTTCCCTGGGACCAGACCCGTCGCATTTGTTATTGTGGGAAGCATGCCGACCAGTGTGGTCGATGTGAGAGCGGCAGTAGTCGTGGTGGTCGACATCCTGCGTCAATCATGAATCTCCGAGAGGCTTGAGGAGAAGTCGGGCAGGAAATTGGGTGAGGGAAATGAAAAGGATCTCCGGTCACAACGGGGTCGCAGAAATTGAAGTAAGAGTTTCAGAGAGGCGGCGATCCAATTAAATAGCAAACAAAGGGAAGATGTTAGCGAGCGCCACGCATTTCTTCCGGACAGGGAGGAAGAAGGGTGCCAGCCGTATGAATTCCAGGAACTGGGAAGGCTTCGATAAACAGAGAGACGGAATAAATGCAACAACAATGGCGGGAAGCAGTGGAGTTTACCCGACACTATGTGTGTATTGCGGATGTATTGTTTACTTGTATTTCTAATCTATTCTTAGTATTTGTATTGGACTATTGGAGGGTTCAGGCCCCATAGTGTCTTTCAATTGTATACGATTTAGTTGATCGACACTGCGAAAGGGGATTATAATAATTACAAAAGAAAAACAGGACCGGGATTTAAAAATGATCGTCTTTCGGTCCATCATACCATCCCATTCCTCTCCCCGGATTTCATGGATTATCCGTTCAGTAGACATACACGTGTGTGGATCCTTTAGTCCCCGCATGGTTAGCGTTCAAGTGTGACTGATCATTTCCATTGACCTCTTTCCCCTCCTACTAGGATTTCAATCTGATTGTTCTCAGAGAAAGATACCTTATTATCCTTTGTCTTCAAAGTAGGTAATCACCTTTAAGCAATTGCTACTTACCAGGAGGATTTTCTAATGTCCAGCCTTGCGGCGGCCCTTTCTCCCACCCCCCCCCTTGCAATCATGGATCCCGCCATCTCTCCAACAACCACCATGATCTCCAGGGAAACAAATACCAGCCATGTTGGACCCATTAATCTCTCCGCCCCTTACATGAAGGTCAAATTAAACTTTGTTTTTCTTCCTTAGGTTCAGGGAGCCTCATGGGCCGATAATATCATGCAAAGTTATGACCGTTAACTATATATGTACTTCGTTCTGAGAAGACATCCGCTACCACAACCTCCGTTGCTTTTTCAAACCCAAATTCAAAAGAGCTGGTCTAGCTTCACAATTCAAGTGTGTGTCTATGGGCTGAAAATCAAGCCAATCAGCAGGTATCCAACAGAAGGCTACCTTTGTTTCTTGAAGTATTTCAGAATCTTATCGTCCGAGAAGGCGATAATGATCGCAGTGATGCCACTCATTGTTCCGAAAACGCTGACCATCGTCACCCACCCGCCAGAGTCACTCAAAAGCCCCGCAATCAATGGTCCCAGTACCTGGCCACCGGACCAAGCGACGTTGAACAACCCGTACGCTTGCCCCATGCCTCCTTGACTCCCGAATATTCCCGGCGACTCCTTCTCCTGTCGCTCGACGACAAGGCTGACTTCTGTCATGAGGGACACCATCTGAAGGGTAGATGCAACGCCTGCGAGGGAAAGGAATATATAGAGGAGGGCTTGGTCTTGCGTTGTGTCGTGCGTGATGAGTCGAAGGAGAAAAAATGCTGGGAAGTCCAGCAGGAATCCAAGGAACGCAACTGTTCGGGATCCGTAGCGGTCAACAGCATCGCCTGTTGAAATCGGTTAACGGACCGTATACCTCGGTTTCCTTTCATGATACTTACCAACGAGAGGCGAAAAGAAGGACGGCGCGAACAATGGTAGAAAACAAATTCCGATCCAGAAGGGATTCCATTCGAATGTCTTCATCACATGAAGAGGAAGCACCTGGAGAGCTGATTGTCAACAAAGCATTTAAGATATTGATTAGCAGGTTTCGCATACAGTGTCGAAGGAGGACCATAAAATGGCATCGACCATTGTCGCTCCAAGGAAGAGCAGCATACTACTGGAACACATCAAGCGCAAAATAGGTGGCACCGAAGATGACCTTCCGCTCGATACCGGTTCACCACTAATTTCATTGGGCCAACAAACCGAATGACGGAGATTGACAGAAGCGTCGTCCGAACAGGTCTGTTTGGTGGCTTGGTGTATATTATCAGCTACATCCGGACTGCTGAGTAGACCCTCTGTCTCTGTAGCGATCTGTGGCTGAGTCCATTTAGAGACATTCTTCTGCTCGATCATGACAAGCCGGAGGAGAATATCTAGGATGACCAGTGCGACCGCAATCGCAAACACGGCATCGTAACTTATCCGCGATAACCTACACGAGTCAGCGAGGCAGGCGTAGCTTTGTCCAGCGAATGACCTACACAACTCCTCCGATAAAAGGACCAAAAACAGTTCCCACTGTCATAGACATGGAGACGTATCCCATAGCAGCTCCAACCTGATCCTTCCCCACGGTGTCCACAACAAGAGCCATGCCCACTGTCCAAACTACAGCTGCAGATAATCCCTGTAGAACTCGCGCAATGACCAGGGAAGCAAGCGTTCGGGCTACCCAGAACATGATAGTTGAGCCACCTAACGCAAGTAGACCGATGATAAATGGTCCCTGGCGGGAAGTACCCTTGTCGGCGAAGTACCCAAATATAGCTATATCCATATGCGGTCAACTACCACGATAAATTTGCTCTTGAATATGCGACATGGGACTTACGGGAGCCAACGAATATAGCACCACCGAACGCTGCCAGCATTATGGCCATCCATTGTTGTACTGTGTGCATTGTCAGCCAGCATTTCCGTCACGCACTTCAACCAGAAATGCGAGAGTAAAACACGCCGTACATTGGTCATCTGGCACAAACACACGCTTTTGCAGAACTACGGGCAGTATAGGAACGATCTAATGAATCCAATCTCATTAGAACCGACCCCGCAAGGGATACCAAGCTGACATCTGACCAACGCACCATCCCATAAATAAAAACATCCTACCATCACCACGTCAGTATTCATTGTTAAAGACAAAGCCGACTACATACCGTGAAAACCGCCATTGATACCACGGAGATCACAAATTTTCTCGACGAGCGGAATCCCAACTTCCACGGCGGGGAAGCAACCGGCGCATGATCCTCCTGGATACCATTTTGATGCATAATGTCTCTGAAACGTGCTGCGGGGTATCGATATAGCCACCAAAATAAGATCCCCCTGAAATATATAGTAAGGGGAAGGATTCAAGAACCGCTTCCCTTTTCTGAAGACAGATCAGATCCCCTATTACCGAGAGCACGACTAAGACCTACCCGAATATAATATCGATTGTGGTGGGTGAGCTGGCTAAAGTATATTTTTGTGCTTGTCTTTCCCATTTCGTTAGCCCGACAGGTGGGATGCATCGGATGATCCCACCCCAGCCCCCCCAGGTCGCATCCCTACTAAGGTAAGTGGATCGGATTACTTATTCGGGGTATCAAAGTCGAGATCCATACTCATTGGGCAGAGCTGGACCACCTGCCCAGTTATATGCTTCGGCCGGGCTCTACAGGAATTAATGCCATTCGGCGATTTGAACAGATTTGAACTAGTTAACTGTATTGCTCAGTCTATCACCTGGTGGAAAACCGAAAGAAAAGAGATAATCAAGACATGACGAAAAAAGTACAATGAAATCTCAGCTGGATCCCCATGTAGAAGCTCCGTTCATAGCTACCAGTATCAGGGATTGAAGAGGGCAAAAGGGGAAGAGATATTCTAGTAGCCTCTCTCTTTCGCTTTCTCCTTCGTCGACCTTGACTTAAGATAGACTACCGTTGTTTGTCTCCCTTTGCTGGGGTATTACCTCTTTAGTCACTGAGTCGTAATCTTATTCGCATGGCTGTCTCGTCAACTAGCAAGGGACATGGCTCCGTTAGAAGAACAAGAAGAATAGGACTCCACACGCCATCCCCCGATCGATCCCGAACAAGACAATGAAAGGGGGGAATCACTGGAGACAAAGAAGCCGAGAAACCAGGAAGAAAAAGAGACCATCATTGAGGATAGCATAGCATCTTTCCCTCCATATCGGCCGTAAAGGTCACGAGTGTATACTAAGTCCATCCACATACATGAGAATCACTAGCTTGGAAAGAAACTCAAGAGCAACTAGCAACAGGGGAAAAAAAGAAACATAGAAAACTTTTCGACATGCCAGACAACGGTAGCAGAGACTAGACGTGAATCGAGGATCTTGACTGACGGAAAAAGTCGTGAATCAACCAGAGAAGAACGGGGAGTAGAGAGAAGCGGGACAGGACGATTGGTATTGAAAACAAACAGCCATCAACATAGCCAAAAAATCTCATTAAGGGAAAAGGAATGTTGTTCGCAGAGGAAAACTCAAGAAACGTGCTACCCGAAGATAGCCGGAAGCGATGGCAAAGCAGGGGGCACCAAAAGAAGAGCCTCATGAGCTAGATTTCGTTCTGCAAGGAATGCGAAGTTTCGGTCGGACAATGACTGCATTCGGGGTATCGTTAGATCTATGCGAACGTACGGCCGGCTCCACGGCGATTGTTGCGTTGCCTTGAGCCCACGGTGCTCCAGCCTTCATCGTCTGCTGCAGCTTCGGCTGGCTTAGCAGGACCGCGCCTCCAGCTACCATTTTCCTTGCTAGCGGCCTCGTTCGAGGCTTCGGCCTTCGCAGTAGGTTTGGCCTCCTCTCCTTGATCTTGGTCCGCAGCCATGCCACTCTCATCCTCGCCGGCCCGCCGGAGGATCTCGAAGCTCTTCCCGCCCTGGGGGGTCTCAACAACGTCCTTGCCGTTGGGATCGGCTGGTGCACCGCTCTTCTCGGCCTTGGGCTGATCCTTGGCAGGTCGTTGCTTCTCGCTCTTTTCAGACTTGGCCTTCTCGTCTGCCTCCTTCTTCTGCCGCAATGCCAGCTGGCGCCGTTCCTCAACTTCCTTCTCTCTCGCAGCGGTATCAATCGGACGGGCGCCACCGAAGGGGCTGGCCTTCGATTCGCCACTGGCAGCTGGGCTAGACACAGCCTCTGTCACAGTCCGTTTTTGAAGGTTTAGTCTCGGCCTTGTAGGGGCGACAGGCGATGCAGGAGCGGCAGCAGGGGAGGGAGGATTGCTAGGCTCCTTGGCCTGATCAGGTCGCATCCGGGATCTCCAAGAGTTGTCCAGTTCAGCTGCAGTGGGTGCCCGTTCCTGGAATTCCCGTCGTGGGGGTCTCGAGCCATCCTGAGACCGTCCTTCACCCCAGGCAGGTGAGCTCTTTCTGAAGCCCGGTCCCTCGTTGGTCTGGGGACGACCACCTTCCCTCACTGGCCCGGTTGGAGAAAGAGGACCCTTTCGTTCCCAGTTACCGAAATCGCGGAACTTGCCGTCGGATTCGAAGTTGCGACGTCCACCACGTTCACTACCAGCATCAGAGAAGTTGTCAAGGTTGCGTCCGAAAGAGGAGCGGTCTGGCACACGGCGCGGAGCCTCGGGGGCGGGAAGAGGGCCCTTGCGAGTCCAGTCGAATTCCTTGACGTCGCGTTCCTTGGCTGTAAAATGGTCAGTATGTGTGGTAATAAGCCCAACGTTGAAGCACTTACGAGGCTCTGCGATGCTAACCCGGATGGCTCTTCCCTGAAGGGTAGCGCCAGAGAGGTCAAGAGCCTTTTTCAAGCCGTCCACGGTCTCGAATTCGATGTATCCGAAACCCTTGGGGGCTTTCGTCAACTTATCTTCCACAACACGAACGTTTGTCACAGCACATTCGGCGAAAAGCTCAGAGATATCATCCGAAGTCGCATCAAAGGACAGGTTTCCGACGTGAGCAGTATAAGGGGGCTGAGTGGGGAGGGGGAGGGGCTCCCTGACGGCATAACCGCCACGTTCACGTTCTTATTTTCGAGTCAGGTCAAGAATCGATGGATCAAAGGAGAGGGATGCGTACCACCACCAAAGCCATTGCCAAACCCAGCAGAAGATGGGCCACCAAAACGGCGGTCGCTGTCAAACCTAGGCTGAGAGGCTACATCATATTAGACCATGTCCATTCAGGTAGGTATCGTGAGGCAAGGTGCACAACGTACCAGCTATAAATTATAGGTATCAGTACAAGATTGTCAAAGTAAGACCAATATTTTTTTTTTACTTAAAAAAATGTATATACTACTTACCAGGCAAAGGCATGTCTTCCATCTCATCGGCCCAAGAGCCATAGTCTGATGATTTAGCATCGATCGTCCCCACGGAGCTTCACGGGGTTAACTTACTCTCATCAGCTAAGAAGGTGCTGATAGACATCTTCTGGGCTTTCTGCTTTGCGGGCGCTAGAGGGACGACAGTCAGTATCCATTGTCGGCTGAGACCGGTTGGGTCTGTCATGAAGCGAGAATCCCTAAGAGGGGTTGAAACATACCCATGATTGCGGTTGATGGAAATCCAGAAACGCGCCAAGGGAAGCACTTGTGCGCGTCTCACGCGGGAGGGTTAATAAATAGATAAAGTGACTTCCGAGAAGGAAGGCAGTAAGAATGCGAAAGGGGACGTCTAGTTTTGAACAAGACGATGTGAGATGGGGGGTGGTTTGTGCAGGAGCTCCGCAGTGAAGAACAGAGGGGAAAGTGAGTTAATCCGCGAGGATAATTTTTAGTGATGACGCTAGAAAAGTCAGCCTCTAAAAGTGTTGGTGCGGCTTTTCGGTTTGCGCCTCGACCTAAACCCGAGAGGGCTTTTTTTGAAAACCTCGCTTTGCGGAGAACCAACTCTCCCCACCTCTTTTTTTTTCTATGGAGAAAATTAAGTTTTTCTCGCAGGATCAATAATAGTATTAGATACATACAGATATATCTAAGTAAGCCGTTGATCTCGTCGGTTGGGATTCCTTGCATGGTGCACGCGCAAATGGCATTGTTCTGGAAATGCCCTAGTATTTTATTTATTCACCCTTTTCACAATACCACCACACTCGCTTTACTTCGATTGAAACAAAGAGAGCATCATAGGGATAGTTGGCATAGTATAGAATTGAAATGAAAACTTTTAAAGCAGCAGTAATCCTAACTTGGGGAGTAGAGAACCTTACAATATGAATATTCATAATCTTTTTTTCATCTAAAGGGGGAAATTCTCGCCAAATTTATATACAAAAGTACCCGGAGCGATGCTACACAACAGACCGGTTTAACCACTCGAATACCTTGTTTGGTTAGGGAGATAGGTCGAACGAAAGATTGAGAAATATATATATATATATATTATTAGAGAAAAATATATAAATAAAACATAACGAAGAATGCTGGAGAGTAACTTGGAATCTCGCGACAGATGGCTCAACGGAATATGTATTATATAATCATACATATCACGTGCACGACCGCCCTTCGTCCAACAGACAATAAAAGATGCCAATGGGAGCGGCGGTGTATCTAGATGCGAATATAACTTCCAAGTTGCGGTCCTGACGGTTCGCAAGATGAGTGGACAAGATCATCAAACCCCAGATTTAGAGTCGAATGATCTATTATCTACCCTGAAGGTGGGAGCTCTGAGCGGTTAGTGTTGGTTTTCTTCAAAGAACCATCCTGTGTCCATTCGCATGAAAGACGTACTTCCTCGGTACAAAAATTTTTTTTTTACCATCTGGTTGCTTACTGGTTCACAATGCAGGCTCTGCAGGCCTCATCTATGGAGGGATTGCAGGTGTTGTTCGAGCACGTCATCCTGTGATACACTCTATCTCTTGTGGTATCCACTGGTTTGCCTGTGGAACCTCCTTTTGGTGTAAGCTTTCTACCCTCTTTCTTCCCAGGACTTGAGAATTTTTGATGTTGAACTTCTCTTTGCAGGGCTGAGAAGCAACATCTTGAAACTTCATTATGAAGATAATGCTTCTCCGAAACAGCGCGCTTATGTCAGCGCCTTGTCTGGAGGAATTGCTGGCGGAGCTGTGACTAGATTAATGGGTACTCAACCCTCTAAGAATTTATTAGCCATATGGTGGCAATCCAATGCTGTTGACTGACGTGTTGACAACGATCAGGAGGCCGCCTCATTCCAGGGGTTGTCGTTTTTTCGCTACTAGGCTATCTCGGGCAAGGCTCTTATAATGCGATCGACAAATGGCAAATAGAGCATGCGAATACGCCGTCTAAGCCGATCATCCAGCGGATCGCCGACTCGAAATGGATCCCACTCAAGACTCTCTCTGATGATGACTATAGAGGGATCTTGAGCGAAAAAGTGCTAAGTATTGAGGCCGAAATGGCGCTCCTCGACGAAAAGATTGAAGAACTTGAAAAATCCAAGCTCCGCGGAGTAGACGCAGGGAGCCCGAAAACTGGGACTGAGTAATGCAAAGAAGCGAGAGATCTTGAAATTGAAAGAAGACGGTCCCCCATTTTGGAATGGCTATTCGACTTGCCTGTTCAATTGACCGAAGCTAGGCGAACGCCAGGTATCCACGTTGCCTAGAGATGCCCGCCATGAAAGTGGCACAAGAGGCGAGGGTTTGTTTATGATTTATTTCCAGAGTAATTATATGCCTCCAGCCTGAAGAATCTTGTGGAGGAAAGAAATGTTATGCGCTCCATAATTTGTCTTGCAGGAGATGATTTGAGGAGATAATCATGGAAGTGCTAGGGCGAGCCTTCTTTGGACATGCATACAATACAGTACTCCGTAAATCAATTTGTATATTAGTTTACCGGAAATGATGGTCTGTACTATTAGCTATATAATCTCTATCTACACTATATATATTTTTATTTTTAAGAAATTTGACAGGCCAGATCTTCATAACCGAGTTAGTAAACTGCGACTTTTGACCATGGGGTTAAGAGGCAACGATTGGACACGTCGTTACAATCATTTAGTACGCAGGGAAATGATTGGTGAGAGGAAGTCTCCTGGGGAAAGCTTTTATTCCGATGAAACATCGTCGAAATGCAAGGAACTGAGGAGACCAGTCAGCAATAGACAGGGAAAATAGGGGCAGTATATGACATGCGTGGTCGAAATGGGTAAAATGCTGCGTGGAACCGACCCATTTAGTTCGTAGCTGGAATAAGCCGAGACAGCCGACCGTCCAGACCGGAAGCCTACCAGTCTGGGTCCAAGTGGGCGGCTTTCCGCTTCCAGTTCTGCCCGCCTGCGACCTCTACGACTAACGACTAGTAGTCCAACTGGTTCGACTTGTCTTTTGCTTACATGAAAGTTGGATAGATCTATGGTTCATCCGACCGGGGTCGCCCGTCCTAATATTGTACACTTTTCGCTTTTCTCTACATCTTTCTTTTATCGATCCGTCCAGAAGCATGAGTAACTCGCAGCTCTCAAGTTCCTCCTGCGTCGCTTCTCCGGCTGGTGTACAGTTCCGGTCTTAACGGAGTGTCTCCTCGCTGGCTTCGAGCCCTTCGAAGATTGAATGCTTCGGAGGTGCTCCCCACCGTGGAAGAAAAAATTTAAATAAAAATTAAACTCAGACGAAAGCAAAAAACTGACGGCATTTCTCATCAATATCTCCCAGGATTTACTAACGGCCCCCAGTCTCGTATCTCGATGATTCAATTGTTGCGGTGGGCCCCGTCCTATTCATCGGATCAGCTCTCCTGACCGCGAGCCGCGATGACGCTCTTCAGTCCGACTACGGTCCTCGTGGGGTTCCTCCTCCTCTACCTCTCCTCCTTTCTCATATTCGCCATCGTTCGGATTGCGACGGGAATCTCCATTCAACGGATTGGCTACTTCTCCCTCCGTCGCATCGCATACGTCCCGAAGGAAGGAGTGCAGATTGAGCTTCGTGGTCTGGGACTGTCTTTGCATCCTCCCTCATTTGCCCAACCGACATGGCTCAGCCTTCAATTGTCCGACTTGAAGGTGACCGTGGACCCCGCCGCTCTAGCAAAGGGCAAGCCCAGCGAAAATCAGCCTGATGTCTCGGAGCTCCCACACCAAGCCGAATCTTCCCCGCCAGAGAATGAAGATAACGCTTCGCTTGAAGGGCGGAGCAAGACGTGGAGGACGCTGACAAGGTTAAAAGAGCAAGTGAAACGGCTGCATCGCAAAATACACTGGTTGAAATTGGTGGACGTCGTGGCTGTCAACACTACTGTCAACTTTGTCGAAGCTGGCCAGATTCAGGTGGGAACTCTGTCATTGGCGGTGGACACTAGACGCAAGATGGTAGACAGAGGGAAGCTGTTCCGCCGCAAAAAATATGAATCCGGTGAACAACGTCCAGCTGAATGGATAATGACCGTGCAAAATGTCCTACTCGCAGTCGATGGTGGTGAACCGACACAATTGCTCGACAACATTGGAGTAAATGTACATGGGATCCTGCACAAAGATCTTGAAGGGCTTAGGGATGCGTCGATCGCTTTAAAAGTTGGAAGGATGCATATTCCTTATGACGATCTGATGACACTCGCGCAACGGATCAAGAAGTTTAGACAATCCTTTTCGGAAGCCTCGAAGCATGAAGCCGACGATGAGGTGTCTTTTGCTGATTTCGTGGAAGAACTGGATAAGCCTGGGAGTCAGGACGATGCACTTGTCCAGACCGTTGCCGATTCGAAAGAGTTTGCCAGCTCCCTCCTGCGGGGAATACAGGAAATCCAGATAGCCTTGAGCTTTTTCAGGCTATCGCGAGCCATCCAGCCACCTTCGCCGAAACAGAGTTCTGTCTATCTGAATATTATATCCCATGAGATAGGCATTGATCTTCATCGTATGGATCAGAACAGCCCCGCACATCGCATGTATTTCCAGCGGAATGACATAGCTCATCAAGCCCTCCTTGCTGCTATATCCCTTTCAGTCAGCTTGGATGACAGCTCGGGTGAGACGGACAATATCCTTTACATACCTATGGCCACGACAACAATAAAAACGACACTTCCATCAAAGACAATCAGCTCATTTAGTGAATGGAACCCGGAAGAGCGAAATACCAACATCCTCTTCGCAAACCTTGTGATAACATCTCCTTCCATCGATTTAGAACCAAGGCATGTATCTCGGCTTCTGGGATTGGCCCAGGACAGAGCATCTTCCTCTCGTGGTAAGAAGAAAAACAATCACCGATTGATCTCCCGGTTGCTCCCCAAGGCGAGTATCAAGCTCTCAGTTCATGAACCCGTGCTACGATTCGTTTTGCCCGTATCTCAGGTCCCCGATCCTTCGGCGGAAGATTACAACCTACTCATCTGCTCTATATCTTCAATATCACTCGATATAGAGTCTTCCCATTCATCAGAGGGCGGGGTTCATTACTCCCTATCATCTATTTGCCGGGTGGCGTCTCACCAACTATACTACCAAACGCCTCTAGGAGTCAAGCATAATTTACTCACAACGGAGAATATGGAACTAAAAGTCCTTCTTAGCGCGTCTCCAGAGGTATGCGTGATCGCTTCCGGATCGCTGAATACATGTTCGGCACATATGGTCAATGGGGATGTCAACCGAGGCATTCAGCAAGTCATTGAACAGTTCCGGGCCCAAGTCAAGCCGAAGAAGAGAGTTTCCATGTCGCTCGAAGAGCGCAAGCCTAGCCTTCTGAGGCGCCTCCCTCCATGGCTGGTTCGGTTCCAGTTTGAAGCCACGAGCCTTAGTCTAGAAATCGCCGGAATCGATGAAGCGGTCTCTGAGGTTTCTCGTGGCGTCTCCCTCCAGCTCCATTCGTGGACAGCGGATTATAGAGCACAAAAACCCGAGCAACCTAATGTGAGCATCGTGCGGCGACGGACTCCGAGTCATTCTACGATCGGCGACGAGTCGCCCTTTAGGTTTCCTCCCACGTCTCCACCAAGGCAGACACAACGCGGTGCTGCAGATGGGAGGCGACTTGCCCTACATGTTCGTGGCTTCGAGGGATTTGTTATAGAATCTGAAGACTATCTGGAGGCGGAGCCTTTCTTTTCGCTCCCTAGGTTTGAAGTGGCTTTGAGCACATTAAGCGACCGCCTTGGACCTATCTTCCATATCAACTCCGTGGTAAAGGGAGTCTATCTCCAGTACTCCCTTTATCGTTATTACTGCATAGGAGTTGCCGCGTCCGTAATTCAGAACGCCTTCTTCCGACGTTCGCCAGAAACAGCAACCCAGATGCCGTCTCCATGGAACTCGCCTCCTTCATCGCCTCGTCTATTCTCGCAGAGAAATGAACTCGTTACAGTGGATGTGAGAGTTACTATCGTTCAGGTCAAAACGTTCCTTCCTGCAGATCCTCCGATGCTGCTCCAAGTTTATGGACTTACTGCTGGTTCACACCGACTCTCCGTTCCATTTGTTCGAGCTCATCTCATTCGGTTACATGCTGAGGCACCAAAGCTCAAGGGTGTCTGGGCACGTATCATTGGTATGAATAATGTTAGGCTCGATCTCCGCACTGCCAAATTGAAGCAGGGCGTCAATACTACCGAAGAGAAGTCGATAGATCTATGGGCCGATTTCATTCGTATAGGTGTTCCCCATCACATGGTGATGCATCGCATTTTCGACAACGTTATTAATACAGCAAAGGCGATCAAGCAGCTTCATCACCGCTTCAAGAATCATTCAGCCGAGTTTGATTCATCAAGAGACCCGGAGGAACCAAAGAAAGTGCCAAGGATATCGCTGCGTAGCAAAGCACTACTGTTTGAGATGGAAGATGATGCATTCGAATGGAAACTAGGTTGCATATATCGTGCTGGCCTCATGGAACAACGCCAACGCCTGGCTAGGGACGAGGCATACGAGCTGAAGCTCCAGAAGCTTAAAGAATGTGATCAACGGCGCGCCTCATCTAGATTGCGTGCAAAGTCCAGCCACAGAACCCTTCGCAGTGACCGAGTTAGTGGTGAGTCGAAAAGAAGCAAAAGTGCCGATGCAAGGCCAAGTACTGGCGACACAGATGATAGTAAGCGTGGGCGGGGAAGAAGATTCCGCTATGACCCCGAGGGCGCTGCTTGTTTTTCGGGTGAATCAAAGATATCTGCAGAAGTGGCCTGGTATCGACTTCAGGAGTATAACGCGCGAAGCTGGAAGAAGAAAATAGATGGCGCTCTAAAATTCCAGGGTACCTCAATCAAGGAAGTACGGAGTCTCTTCTCTGGAGCTGATGAACCACCTGAAGACGTCGAGGAGACAGAGACGGTGCTCTCCATTCCTAACAGGCCTGCTCTTATGGCGGCTTTGATAAGCGACATCAATTTAGTCATCGACAAGCCATCCTTTCCTTTGGAAGATTATCCAACGTTCCTTCACAGGATTGGAAAGGGCATGCCGTTGTCTACGCAATACGCTCTACTAATTCCGATGAGTTTCCAGTTGGATATGGGAGAAGCACGCGTCAACTTGAGGGACTATCCCTTGGACCTGTTGCACATACCGGCTTTGCGCCCCGGGCAATCACCAAGACTGCCAAGCTGGTCACTCCGAACCAACTTCGTGATTGCCGAAGAGTATCGCGATTATAAATCAGCTAGACAAGTCCAAGTAGAGCTTGTCCCCTCAAGTGAACTTCCAGATGGGACCAAAAGCCCTCCGTTCGAGATGAAAGTTTGGCGGTCAGTCAGCCCCGTCAAGACATACTCCGATCCGACTATCGAGATCAACACGAGTCTTCCAACGAGTATTTCCTGGGGCATGTCCTATCAACCCGTCATACAGGACATGATGAAAATTATAGAGGGTTTCACTAAACCGGAAATCGATCCGTCCGACAGGGTTGGCTTTTGGGACAAGATCCGACTGAGCTTCCATTCCCGGATTAGGATTCTTTGGAAAGAAGATGGGGATGTTCACTTGCGTTTGAAAGGCTCCCGTGATCCGTATGTCGTAACCGGCTTTGGTAGCGGGTTTGTCATGTGCTGGCGCAAGGATGTCAAGTGGGAAGTACACACCAGCGACGATCCAAAGGAGTTTATGAGTGTCAGTAGTGGGGAGTATGTGCTTGCAATCCCTGACTACAGTCACGAAGCCCGCTTTATGGCCGAAGCCACGGCTCAGGATCTGGAAAGCACAACGTCAAGTGTGATGAAGAACGCGGCCCACTTCAAAAAGGTTGTGATGAAATTATCAGGCGAGGTGAAATGGGGTGTAGGCCTCGTTTTTGAACGTAATGTTGATGAAAACCGGCGGTCGTTCCAATTTAGGCCTCACTATGAAGTTGTTCTCCGGAATCCTAAATATGTTGATCCCTCAGAACATGAATTTTATGACGCCTACCGTGGGTTCCGGAGCAATCATATTCATCTTTCCATCTCCGTGCTTGCCCCAGAAAGCAGGGACTGGTCCATCGACCATTGCCAATCATCCACAAGCTACAACACAGTTCATCTCACCCCGCGGTTCTTCACCCACTTTTTCAACTGGTGGTCCCTTTTCTCTGGAGTCATGTCACTTCCTGTTCGTCAAGGCCCACTGTGGCCCGGCATTACCAAGACCAGCAAAAAGTTCAACCGTCATCTTGCCACTGTCAAGTATAAACTGCTCTTTGCCCCCTTGTTTGTGGCCCACATCTACAAGCACAAGGATCGTGAAGACTATGGCGAGGATGTCGTCACAGCAACAGGACTGAAGGTTCGCCTTGACAGTCTGAAGCTTGATGTTCATCAAAGACGTGAGCTGGTTAAGACGCAAGCAAAAGGACGCCTTAAACAGACTCAAGCAAGTGCCATGCGGATAAACCAAGCTGAGCTAGATTTGCAGGCTGCAGATTTCAGAGCTGTTTCCGCTAGTATCAAAGGGACGAACTTGGATGATATTGAGCAAAATAAGGATGATATAATCTCATCATTCCAGCAACCTGTTCCATCTGTTGATCTCTCTCGGTTCACTATTCCAGACCACAACCTTGATTGGATCGATATGGATGATTTTGTGGAGCTGGACTGGATCCTTCCTCAGGAATCGAATCCTCGAACGCAAATATTGCCTCTAGCTTTTACACCACGGTTTACCTATTTCCGCCAGACAGACCATGGTGACATAAGCCCAGACGAGACAGGCTACAGTAGCTTCGGAAACGAGCCTACCCACGAATGTGTTATGTCCGAGAGTAATGAACCCCGCAGAGTGCAAATGGAGCTGATAAGGGAGCGTCTTTCCCATGTTGAATCACAGGTTCAGGAGTGGGAACGTACAATTGGGGAGCAAGAACTTCGCATGGCCAAGTCGGTCGATCATGAACCTCATTTGCAGACCGAGCATGAGAATTATGTCAAGCAGGCACAGTCTCTCGCTAGGCGGCGGATGTTTCTTGCCTCTGCGCTTCAGCGTCTCGAGCGGCAACTTGCACGTGAGGAAAGGTCTTCAACTAAGCCAATCCCCGAGAATATCGCTGCTGATGTTACCAGTCGAGTCGGAACGGACGCAGAATCAACTAATGAAGGCAAGGATGCGGATATGGACGGTCTGTACTCGTCACCGCATGATGAATTTGCTACCAATTTCAACAATCGCTTCATCATACATAATTCTCAGCTGAAATGGAATAACTCCCTGAGGAACATCATATTACGTTATAGTCACCAGGTTAGCCAGAGGCGTGGATTTGTATATTACATGTCTCGAAGGGCTGTTAAATTCATTCTTGATATCGTCGACGAGCAAAGCAAGAACCAGAGACGGCATTCTAAGTTGTTCAAGTGCGCGTCAAGGCGACCTTCGGACGTCCGAGGCCTTGTGGACAACGAAGAGGACGGCAGTGTGGAGGATCGCATCGAGCAGCTGCTCAATGATGCGAAACGTTTTGTGAATGCAGAAGAACAAGAAAACTCAGACCAGAAGAATCAATCTAGTACAAAGTCTGATGATTCCAGTGAAAATATTTCGCCGGAATTTACACCCCAAAACAGTTACCACCTGCGACTTATCGCTCCTCAGATCCAGCTCCAGAGCGAGAAAAACCAAAAGTCGGTTGTCCTGGTTGCGGCAAAGGGCATGCAACTAAAAGTGGTGTCAATCATGGACAAGGAGCGTGTTTCTGACGATGTTAGTGGATTGGTGCAGCGTCGCTTCTCGCTTGAAATGGATGGTGCCCAATTCTTCGTTGCAACACAGAAGAACCTAATGAAACACTTGCAGTTCTATGCAGGCAACAAGTACGGCAATTCTCCAGGCTCAGCATGGCCGCCTTGGTTGACTATCGAGGCCATGTTCGATTTCGAATTGAATCCGTTTGGCTTTTCGAGAATTGTTCAGAAGACTTCTGCCAGCTTGAGATATGATAAATATAACAACCTTCGTCTGAAGTATAACGAAGAGGTTGCAAAAGGACAGCTTGATGAGGAACGTGGTTCCAGCGTCGAAGAATCCAGAATAGATCAAATCAGCGTCGAGTTCCCTCATTTCCGCGCTATCTGTGATTCAGCTGAATACTACTCCATGTACATCATTGTGCTTGACTTGCTGCTTTACAGTGAGCCTCTCGAGAAAGTCCGAAATGAACGCCTGGAGAGAATTATGCTCAGTTCCGACTTCAGCGACCTCAGAGGCGCACCGGAGATGGTATTCAAACTGCAATCCCGTATTCGGCATCTGGAAGAGATCAAGGAGCATTTCCAAGTTCACGCCAAATATTTGGATAAGAAAGGCTGGGAAGATAGATTGGAGCTTGAAAAAGACCTTTCTCAATGCGAAGATGAATTGTTTTTCTTGATGAAAGCAATAACAACTTCTCAGCGGAGGATCGATCCGACATTCTCGGGGGCTCACGGTATTTTGCGTTGGAATATATCCGCCCACGAGGTTGTCTGGCACCTTATGAAGGACGAATCCGAGCCATTGGTCGAGTTCCAGCTGCGGAATGCAGAATTTGATCGGACTGATAACAGTGATGGTTCTAATCACAATCTCGTGGCAGTTGAACGACTGTATGGGTTGAATCTCCTCCCAGACGCCATATACCCCCAGATCATTGTACCGTACCTCGACCAAGCCAAGCCTCTGGACTCACCGGATGATTACATGATCAAGGTCAAGTGGCACATGCTCGAAGCTGTTGCTGGTATACCCGTTGTGGATGATTTCCGGGTGTCACTTTTCCCACTCAAGATTCAACTCGAACATGAGCTTGGCCAAAAGGTATTCGAGTACATTTTCCCCAACGTCGGCTCGAGTGCTTTCGAAAATGGGGGATTCTCGCCCATGATGATCAAGAATGTGAAACCGCTGGACGATTCAGACGAGGATGAGGAGACGGAAAGTCCGGCTCCACCTCGAAGCGCGCATGGCAACAGTGACGTCTCGACAGATGACCTACATAAGGGACCAGGCGCTATCGAGCTCAGGTTACAACCAACGCTAACGTCCGCTGAAGATGCTAGACCACGGTCGGCACGCTCATCCCACCTCAAAGGCCTTGCGATGACACATATCCATAAAGATAACAACCGACTTGAACCCTCTCGTCCGGCAGTGCGCCCATCAACCAGCGGAGGTTTATCCACCAAGAGATCAGCTGACAGCTTACGGTTATTATCGAGGCAGGGTACAGACAAGACTATTGCAAATGGTTCGAGTACCACTGTTGGCGAGGACAGAGGAAAGAAGTTCAAGCTGCCCAATAGAAGTGCCAAATCCAAAGCGGCCACAGATGATCTGTCTCAGATGATGTCTCGCGCATCGAACTACATGACTCTAGCCCATGTCAAGGTTCACGATGTCGTGCTTTGCATGAGCTACAAAGGCAAAGGAGATCATAATTTGGAGGACATTCACGACTTTGTCTTCCGCCTCCCAGTTCTGGAGTATCGGAACAAAACATGGTCTAATCTGGACTTGGCCTTAAGGTTAAAGAAGGACGTCATCAAGGCTCTGATTTCCCACGCACCAGCAATACTCGGGAATAAGTTTTCACATCATCGGCCTACGAAACAACAGCAGAAGAAATATCGAGACATTGTGCATTCTTCTCAGCTTGTGCATAATCCAGATAGTGCAGCGGTGACGATATCCGACAAGAGTCAAACGAGTCAGGACTCGAACAGCGAGTACTCAGAGTCTCAGTCGCAGAGGTCTGTTCATTCTGGGAGTTCTCGGCTCGTCCGGTCGAACTCTCTAGGATCCAGTATGCTCAGTATTGAGCAAGGCGGGTTGATGTCTGACGCTCGATCTGCAAGCGAAGTAGACGTGGATGCTCGTTGGGAGGTTGGCGCTGAATTATTCTTGGATGATTAAGAGTGTCGCTAATTGGTTTACAGCAATCTCGTAGGATCGTGAACCCACCATCGCGGCCCATGACTTCGGGCACTGCTATTGCGCGTTCCGAAACCAAGCGTTGGGACGGTGCTGATGAGAGGTGAGCTCAATCTATGGCAAACGATGTATTGTATTCGTATTAACAATCGATTAAGTCACAGGATGACGATCCGTAATTTTGGCCGCAAGCTGATGCCGTCTCGCAAGTGATCATTCCTCAGATCAAACACAACTGTTATAAAGAACCAAGAAAAGACAAAAACAAGACGCGTCTTATATAGCTTTAGCAACCGTGCCGGAGGGAACAAAACCAGCTTCACATTCCTCACCATTTCTTCATATCCTCCCATTTTTCGACGTTACACTTTCGTGACCTGCCATTTCCTACTACGAGATACCCCCAATTGCAATGGGTCGTATATAGGCGTCAATCTGTTTCACTGACTTCATATTATAAAACATGTTTTGCTTTACTGTCCTACCTTGGCCCTTCTGTGCCCTTGCTCTTTTACCTGCTTGGTTAATTGCTATTCTTCCGTTGCCATACCTTGCTTATAAAGTCTTAGTCTTTGCTATCGTGGCTCTTTGAGCTCACTTTTGTTTCTGGGGTGTGTATACATTTTTTTTCTTTTCTTTTCTCTTTTCTTTTTCATGATTTCAGCATGGGGAGCAGGGCAGGTTAGAAGGGCCTCTCCAGTCCAGCTAGGCGCAGCTGGAGATGGGACACATGTATTGGGTATATATCGGGGTGGTGTATAGATAGACGGTGTATTGGAAGGGTTATCCTCAGCGTTATTCTGTACATTGAAAGTTCTTGACCTGTTTAGTAGCTGCGTTATCTACTCTACAATCTAAAATCTACATTATCTTGAAGTAGCAAACAATGGTTCCTGCACAAACCCAAGACGTTACAAGCAATACTTTCTGTAGATAACTCACCTCACCAAATGTCTAAATAATATTCATCATTCAAATTGCAAATCAAACAACCTCCTGAGCCCGACCAACAGCCTCCATAGCCTTCTCACAAATCCCCCGAATCTGCCCCCACCTGCTCCGCAACATCTCCAACCGTTCTTTCTCCCATTTTTTATCCCTGCCAAGTTTCCTAGACCCAGACAGTTGATCAATCATCGACCCGATAATCCCAACCGTCTCCTCACATTCCCGAATATAAACCCCAATCCAACCCCGAATAATCTCCGCCGACTTCTCCGCATCAAACGCCCGTTTCGACCGCCCTTCGATATAAATCCTGAAGTCCCGTTTCGACATGTATTTCAAACATGCGGCTATCTCGATTCCAGCACCTACGCCTTCCGTCGTGACTTCGAAGTTGCTTTTGTTTTTAAATTAACTTTTGTTAGTGCCAGATGGGGTCAGGTTGGGTGAGTTGCGAACGTACCCGAAGGAGTCGTTGTGCACTAGGTCTTTTTTATCAGGAATTGATAGGTCTTGGAAGATTATGTCGTCTAGGTAGATGGAGTCTGAGGCGTTGGTGTTGAGGAAGAAACCGTCTGGTTTTTGTTAGGGTTAGTGGTAAGTGGAGGAGGAGGGGACTGACATTCGACGAAGAGGAAGTCGTTGGAGTGGGCACCGTAGCTCATATAGACTTCTTCACCTTTCTCTGCGGGGTGTTATTTTTTTGTTATTGAGATGATGCGGGTGGGGTTAGGGGAGGGATGTAGTTACCGTATCTTCTTGTTGCTGTGAATGTATAATCTATGTGGTCGAAGCGGACTTCGCATGCCTTTTTGGAATTGTCTGTGAGTTTCCATTCTGCAAGTTCGGGGAGTAGTGGGTAGACGCACTGCGTTATCTTCGTGGTTGAAATAATCCGCGTAAGGAACCATGGCGATGGCGTCGTTCCAGTCTTCTGGTTCACCCTTTCCAGGTGATATATAGTAGAAACTCCGCGAGTTGATAATGAGCCAGTAATAGGCGAATGTCTTCCACTCTGTGTCAGGGAAAACGGTTAGGATCTGTTCCCAGGCGCGTCTGAGCCGTTTTTCCTCTTGTGCGAGCATGTTTTGATACCTGGTGTCGTAGTCGACGCCGACTGGTACCTTCTCGAAGGAATTCCAGAGCCCAGATACAGAGGGAGGGAGGAGACTTGGTCCAGACAGATTGTCATCGTCTTCGTAAGCTGAATTTGATCGTCGAAGATGTGCTGGCCACAGTATTGGCGTGCTATCTTCAAGCTCCTGCCAGCTTGGCCAGACGCTGCGCCATGCATCTAGCTCTTTCAGAGATTTGGCATCTCCATGTGTGAGATATGCAGCTAGAATACCATGGATAGATGTTCCTTCTGGGAAACGATCTACGAATGAAGAGGGGATGGAGTCAATGGACAGCATCACCGATTGCGGGACGGTGAGCATGACCTCACCCTCCTTTTTATAGTATAAAGTCAGCTACTGAGACAGGCGTGTGCGGTTGAGTCTGTTGTCGTACTCACTTCTATGGTCTTCATTGCTATCATTCCTAACCGTCGGCCTGGGAAATGGGCTGGTGCAACACCGTTGATCTCGATTCCCTTTGAGATAGCCCATTTTGTGAAAGCCAAGTGCTCATCACCCGGTGACTCGTCCATCTTTTGATGTTGATTCATCTACCTCTGGAGAATGTTGATATAAGGTAGGTGAGTGGTCGTGTACGTTGACAATAACTGCCCCATCCGTCCAATCAGAGCGCGCGTCTACTGGAAATTGCGCTTACATAAGCAAACGGAGATACGATGATTTATCATCAGAAATCTCAAGGGTTACGGAAACACTACGTCCATGGCACAGTACTCCGTCCAGTATCAGACCGTCGCGATGGCCTCTGAACTGGTCACCTCAGGAGTCAACCCCGAAAACCAAGAAACAGCCCCCGCAGACTCCAAGATCGACCATGCCGCTTCCATCCGATACTGGAACAGCGTCGCCGCCAACTCTAACACTATGCTGGGCATGTTGGGGAGTTACCCCTGGTATACGCGCATTGACCTACGCGGTTCGAAGAGCTTCCTGTCCAAAGTCCGTCGACTGGTACCGGGATGCACAACGGAAGGAAAACTAAAGCTGGGAGTCGACTGCGGCGCTGGGGTGGGGCGTGTAACGGAGGGGCTGCTCAGCCATGTATGCGAGACAGTGGACGCAGTCGAGCCGGTCGAAAAGTTCACTCAGGTTATACATGGCAGCGCCCTGAAGCGGAGTGGCGTCGTGGGCGATATTTATACTATCGGTTTGGAGGGGTGGTATCCGGAGAAGAAGTATGACGTGATCTGGACTCAATTTTGCGTGGGACATCTAACGGATGCCCAGCTGGTTGACTATTTTGTGAGGTGTCGTGAATCTTTGACAGAATCGGGAATTGCGATTGTCAAAGAGAACCAGTCGACTGATCCCAACGGCAATGATATGTATGACGACGAGGATAGTAGTGTGACGAGGACGGATGAGAAGTTCAAAGAAATCTTCAAGCAGGCTGGGTTGACTGTTATCACATCTGAATTGCAGTTGGGGTTCCCGAAAAACTTCAAGCTCCTTCCTGTGAGGTTTTATGCTTTGCGGCCGAAGAGTTGAACCCACACTTGAGAGATTTGATGGGCCTTTGAACCCTTGGATACCGATACAAGATCTTTCAACGGGCTTGCACAGGGCGAAGCTATCTGTGTCTAGACGTATTGCGACGTCCTGCTGCCCCAAGGCCAAGCTCGTGGGGCGTGCACGTCCGCCGCGTCACAAAGCTTGGCAGCCCTGCCCACTGTGGACGGGGGTTGACGTTGGATTAGGATGAGACTCAATCGACCATGATAGTGATTTGAGTGCGATTGAAGTGGCTACTTTAAGCTTAACTAGCAGCCTCATCAACAGCTTAACACATATATCGGGTAAAAATGTACATTTGGCCGGAATCCAATAGAGCTAGGGTATCTATATACAATACATTGGGTACACGTTTACACATCTCGTCATAAGCTTTGCTGTTCACATCTGGGTCACTATACTCAGTACCCGTCGAGGTGATATATCAGAGCTCTTAGCGTAGTTAAGCCAACCAGTGTTGCCAATGAACCATTATGTCCGTGTAAGCGTGCTTGCCAAGCACGCAAAGGTGATAAACAGGAAGGGGAGAATGAATAGAATTTTTTTAGCATTTCCGTCATATGAACGGTCAATGAATCACACGTTTGACTGGCCATCTGTGGGTGTGGACTGGGTTGACGGCTTTTCCTTCTTGTTTTTCTCGCGGCCCCAAGGCCATAAATTGGGCAGATGTTCATGCATTGTCTCTAGCCTAGTCTGATCTGTAGGCGCGCTGATGTCATCCGTGTAGGGAATGCCTCCTTGACCGCGATTTTCCGCCCAGGCTTTCTTCTCCCGACGAAGGTCGCTCTGGATCCATGGGATGGTAATTAGTGTCCAGACGCCGGCCCAAGCGAAAGGTAAGGACCATCCAAGCTATAAAGCGCGTTCTTGTCAGCTCTCGAACATTTGACCATCTGTGTCCGGACGGGTAGCTTACTGTGTATGCGACTGGTGCTGGCGTGGTGAAGACAAGAGCAGTGATGACGGCGGCGAAAATGATAGAACCTCCGGCCCAGAAGCAATTCATTTGAAACAACATACGCCGAAAGTATGGGCTGGATAAATACCGGACTCGAAGAGCATACCGGTATTTCTGGCCTCCACCTCCATCAACCGCGACCACATCTTCGATCATGACGTATAGGGCCGTCGGCATTGTAGAGCCCTTTGGCGTCGAAGAAATTCGGAACGGAGCCTTGAAACCGAGGACACGGAGGATATCCAGGGCCAGATAGACACCACCGAAGTAGAACATAACACTTGGGAGTACCATGGCTACTAGCCGCACTGTAGGGATTATAAGCATAGGTGAGGGAATGAACAGCGGGGTCATTACCATAAGGCTCTTCTTGCACCGTTCCTCTAGTTTTGGGTCAGTCCACCGGAATTCCACGTTTCAAAATCATGGACCCTTACACGATAAGCTCAACGGCGAGGATCAACCAGACGATTGTGAAGTTGATATGAAAGAAGTCCAACTAGCATGACATGTCAGTATTCGATATATCCAACCTCGAGGAACCGTGATCGGGCGTACCCATGACTTCCGAGCGTTCAACGGCCGGGCGTGAGAATCTTTTCGAAACAAGTTATAGAGCCGATAGAAGTATTCAAATACCGAGATTCCGCCCAACGCAGCCGTCACAATGGTGAAGACTAATGGTACAAGTCAGTCAGCGCGGTTGTCATACCATACACCCAAAGTTATGTATGCAAGGGACGTACCCAAGTTATGCGATAGGTTCGTGCCGTACCATAGACCAAAGTAGAGTGCTACAGGCTGGGCAAGGGTATCAAAAACAAACAGTATCCAGAAAAATGCGATTGACTTCTTCCTTGTCCGTAGTGAGTAGGGGAGCGGTGGAGGTTCCAAGGGAGCAGTGATAGTACTGGCGGTTCCTTCTTCCATCGCTGCGGGCCCCAGCGATGGCGGAGGATATTCGGACATCGAAGAAGCACGACGATGGGGGTTGCGATAGGGATTGAGGTTGTTATGCGATGTAATTCATGGCGTGATCGAAGAGTGGTGGAAATTGATACGAGGGTGAGTGGCGAGGAACGGAGGGGGCTGAGTAGGAATATGAATTTCGCCGCTGTCAATGCGCGTGTAGACGATGGGTTTTTATTTATTGCTGTAGCAGGTTTTCTAGGTCGAAAGGGAAGAAATTGGACCGGAAACTTTTTTTTACCTTTCTTGCTGTAAAGTATTAGACTTTCTGGTTTTGTTTTTGGGCGAACAACAACATGCCTGACGTAACCCGGACCCCGTGATGTCATTTATCCATACTTATACAAGAATAGCATTATGGAGGTAATACTTCTGTCTTAGGTATGTCGAGGACAACACCAAAATCACATTCAATCAATACCTACAATATTCATCCATACCCGATACACTCACTAGATACCGTACATACAAGTCCCGAAAGGATCAAAGACCGGAAGAGAGTTTGTTAATATTGGTTCCATCCCATTGTTGTCGGCGCTTGTCTCTCGCCGAACTTCCGATAGAAGACCCGACTTGTCCAGAAATCTAGATTTTCAAAGTGGGCTGACTGAATTTCTTGCAAAGTCACGAGGGATGTTGATTATACATATTTTACTACGATCAGATACAGATAGAGTGAACGCAGAATCTATATCCATCCATAGTACAGTGCATCCTGCAGAAATTCAATATGTTGGACAAAGTAATCTGCGAACCCGGTCTAGCCGGCCGATCATCGACGATCCATAAGGATGATGCATTAGGTGCGTTATGCCGAGCAGTCTGATACTTATGACAAAATATGATCGTAGACTGCGTGGAAAATTCAAGGAACACTAACCTGAAGTGCTCGGAGCTGGGTATCATTTTTTCTGGGAGGAACATTGTGCATCCTCCGTGCTACTGCATTCGGCAATATCGGCATCGTAAATAGTAGTAGTAGAAGTAGCTTCTTCCTTGATTTCTGCCCGAGACCTAAGGCACATATAAATCACGTGGCTATAGACCCGCCACCCCCACTAATCTTCTGCCCACAGTTTTCGCTCGACGACGATGGTTCGAATCTCGCCCTCAACGCGGATCAATGGCTGGCCAATTTTCTTTTTGCAACTGCCAGATTATCGCCCAGGTGATGAGTTGAGATCTATGGGGACTGGTCAAAAATTTTTTATCTTCTCTTTCCCCGGAACTATGGCCATGGTCTAGCCATGTAGATACGATGGCCCCTAGTTTACGAGAGTTGTTTGATTTTCTCCTGGCAGAGATTGCCCTCTGCGGTGATCAAGGTCAGTCCATGTGGTTTTTCCCCCCCCTGTGATGTTGTTTTAAGGATCCACTACTGCACCACAAGCTTTAGTCCAACTTTGCTGTTTTGATATCCAATCCTTGCATGCTACTGTATGCTTGCGCATGTAACAATTCGCCCTTTTTGTCTTCCAACTCATTTATAACGCAATTGGAACCATTTCTGAAGTAGTAACAGACTAACGTGCTCCAGGCGCGTCTCCATCGGATATCTTGACTTATATCGGTACTTTCTATGCCAAGGCTGCACAGGAAGCATCCGCCCGCAGCCATGTTGTCGACCGGCGATTTCAGGAGAAAGTCTGGTCCTGGCTAGCAAAGAATCCGGAAGTCTCTATTGGCGAAAATAGAGAATGCAATACTCTGAGCCTCGGCGATGTGGAACGCCGTGCCAACAATGCACCCGACTCTGGAGAAACCCCAATCCGTGTTTTTGTCTCCAAGGAGAGGACCTGGCTTGCCATCACGGGCCATGAGCCGGATGAAAGCAAGCTCCTTCCCACAGAGTTCGCTCTGCTATCTATCATCGCTTCCCGCAAAGCAAACGGTATTGTTCAGACAGAATTGGTGAAGCTGAGCGGACAGGATAAGCGATCGGTCCCCAAGCGGACTGATCAGCTGCATCAAAAAGGCTATATCGAGAAGAGAGCTATTCAGATCAAATCAGCCCGGACCAGTCTTTGCACGTTACGTAAGTTCATGTTATCAGAGAATATATCCACGGAAACGACAATGGAGCAGTCCGCCGGGGAAAGTCAAATGATCGACTATACGGAATTTTGCAATAATCTCTTTAATATCTTGCGGGAATATCAGATCATCTCCCGCGTCGATCTCAAGAAACTCCTTGGCTTTAACGATAGGTGGCGGTGGCGTATTCTTTCTCGTGCTGTGAGGAAATTCGAGCGCATAGGTGTCTTAAAGCGTGTCAAAGCTATGTCTCAGTTCTCAGACAGTGACAAACATTATTTCGCTTGTGTCAAGCTTATGCGAGAACCGACCGATAGGGACCTAGAGTTGTTCCGTGAATTTAGCAGGGGCATTTCAACCAATCTGGAGCAGGATGATAATCCGGAGCTTGATGAAGATGTAGATCCCAATGATGGGACAAGGGAACCATCTTTAGTGAATAATGGTGAAACGCTTAATGTGGTAAAACAAGAGGAGGGCACCGAGGAAGCTGGTCGGGCACTTCCTGTCTGGACTCCTGATCAGAATATTCATAACTTAATCTTTGACGTTGTCGACCAAGCGGGGACAGACGGTATCATGAACCAGGTACGTTGGAAAAGAAAGAAAATGCCGGGTGTCAGACTTATATGGATGTAGGCTGACGTTCTTCGTAGGAAATCATCAGGAAATGCTTTGGCGGATTTTACCGTAGGCCACTGGAGAACACAATGAGTCGTTTGGTAGAATGTTGGCAACTCTCCCAACCGTTGCATTTACGTCACTTAGCCATCGTACGAGACACGGTACTCAGCCGCACTATCACCCAGTATAGCCACTATACATCGACGAACTTTGGAAAGCTTGTCGAGGCGGGGGAGTCGGCTTGGGAGGCTGTCGAGTTCGTCCCAAAGAATCCGAAAGTCGATAAGGTTCGTGTGCCACCAGTAGATGCACAACCTGATCTGGACGAGTATGGCCTGCCTATGGCCCTGCCTGCAAAAGAGCTCTTGAAAAACGGAGATGTTTCTCTCCTAGAATGCATCGTGGCAGTAAAACCGACAAGTTACAATGCCACTTACACTGACGCGACGGCAGTCAAACAAGAAGATGGCACATATAGTAAGTGAAATTCAAGTTTAACAGATCTTGTGAGCTGTCCACGGTTCTAATACTTTAAAAGCGCTCCACCACGGGCAAGTGAAGGCGCCAGCAGGTTCTTCGGGGGATGCTACAGGTTCTCTCCTAGTAACGCCGAGCAGACTGAAAAGGGAATACCTGGATGTGTCAGATCCAGAAATGGGTAATATAGCCCCTGGAAGCGTTGTATCAACTACGAAACGTCGGAAACGACTAAGAGAAGACTCTGAAAAGTTCAATGGCATGTCCGAGATAGATAAACTTAAGGCTCTTGGCTTAGATGAGACATGGACGGAATACAACGCTTTGCTTATTGAACGCCCGAAACCCGGCGTTTATGTCACACCGCTTGGAAAGCGGAGGCCAGCTGGCAAAAGACAAGGCCGGCCAAGGATTAGTCGGATTGCTGTCTTTAAGTCCCCGAAGCTACCAACTTTCCCCTGGTTTACCGAGGAGGCTGAAGCTATTGGCGAAGACAGAGGATCACAACAGCCTTCCCGGGAGCAGACGGTCGAAGAGGCTGTCGAAGAAACACCCGTCCCTACATCTGCTGCAAGAGTTAGGGCCGTAGATGTCTCTTCCGAAAGTCCAGATGCCACACCTTCACGAGGGACCAAGAGACGTTCAAGGCAACCCCCATCGAAAGTTGTATCCACTTTGGCAACAATGCGTAAAACGAAACAGAGACACATCACTGATTTTGCAGCCAAGCCTAAGGATGTTCCCATGGTTGACTATGAGAACTCCGAGGATCGTCCAGCTGAAGATATACGACAGGGAAATCCTGATGACGACGATAACATTCACACTCTCAGAAATTCATTGAAACGTAAAAGACCTGATTCGCCAAAAGCAACCTCCCAAGATGCTGTTGCAATAGAGGAAGGTTCGAGAGGGGGCAATATTCTTGTAACGCAGGTCCCGGAGACTCCGTCAAAGAAGCCGCGCGGAACAATCCAAATTGACGGGGACAACGACACATCAATCGCAGACGGTCGTCCCACGGATGAGGTCTCTCATAATGGGCCAGCGCTAGCAGGCACAGAACCTTGCAGCACTGCTCAGACAGACGGCGCTCTAATGGATAGAACACCAGCATCCCAGACTATTGGCCAAGACCAGGATCAAGAAGTCAACGGTCGCTCTGTAGAGCGTTTTGGGGATGCAAATGGTATGCGCAGGGAACAGAGCACCTTACAGAGACAGATGGAGAACAGTAAAGCAACAGAAAAGGCGAAAGAAAAGAAGGGATCTGTCGGATTCATACGACGGAAAATTGTAATGGACATCGTTGACCAGGCTGGAGGGGCTTTCCCTATGGGAACTGAAATCTGGTATCCGTTTACAACTGCGTGGAGGAAGACTAAATACAAGGAGAACCCCGACCTTCGCACAATCAAGGCAACGGTTAAACACATCATTGAGGCTGGCAAGCTTCGCCAATTGACTTTCAGTGGCAAAGATGACAAAGGGGTCATGGTTACAAAGAGTATCATAACCAAACCTGATATGCAACCAGATGACCCCTTTATTATAGATATGCAGAAGAAGATGCTGGCCGCGGGTTCCCGGTATTACATCCCAGATAACGTCGAATACGACCCAGATATGACAAAAAGTGGTTCTAGGAGAGTTACTTTCGGAAAGGATGGCAAAGACCCCAATACCTTTTCCAAACTTCCCGTCGAATCTGCGCTCACCGTCCAACTGCAATATAAGCCGGGATTTGTTGTAGCCCAGGAAAAGAGGAAGGGCCTGAGCATTCAGAGACGACTACTGCAAAGAGTCGGGGTTGGTAAAGAAAACCCAGAGCGAGTGGTTCGACTCTTGTCACTCCAACGGCTGTCATCGCAAGATTCTGCTATTCCTAGAATGACATCCGTTGCACGACCTGATCAGATAGCCGTCCAGGGTAGAAGACGTCTTCAACCGGGCCGTCGACCTCCCATACCCCAAGCGCAGGATGACTTGGTCGTTGAAGGTGCCCGTAGAATGAAACGTCTTTGGATTCCCATTTCTTCTATGGCTCCCTACGCGATGTTGATGAATACAAGTCAGACATTCCACGCAAACACCGGAACTTTCTCAACAGATGGCGGACTTGCTGCTCTGCGGGCTGCAAGGCACACGCAGAAGAAGAAAGCGCGCGAGGCCCCTTATTCTCTTGAGGCTTTCAGCAACATATCATCCGAGTTACCTCATTCGCTTGATGATTTGTTCAGCCAGACACGGCGTCGCCCTGTTGACTATTCTGATAGCGCAGATCCCCGATCGAACCAGTTCTTCTACGAGAATAATGTGATCATGAGATGGGAACTTCAAAACGAAGAGCTCCTTGGCAAAAAAGGTAGCGACCTTCTGTACATCAACCAAACATTGCAGGATCGTTTTGATAGCGCTCCAATTGAAGGTAGCATACGGTTCGACGTTGATGAACCGGAGCTCTCAGCGCGTCCCCTTCCAGATCCTAGGATTACCAGACAAGCAGCGCGCCGATCTCAGGTGTCTACGCAACCTGGCGTTTTCGGCAAGCTGACATTCCCTCAACCCCACCCGGTACCCATTCCTCGAACACCAACTGCACCGCCCACCGAAATGCTGCAAAACCGTCGCCTAGAGAAACTCAATGCATCGATGGTAGCTAGCGAAGGGTTCGATACGGCAGCACAACCCACTGGGTCTCGAACGCCAGTTCGCAGGAATCGCAGTGCCTATCAATTACCGCACCTTCTGGTCCAAAGGATTATGACGGCCATTGTTGTTGTCCGTGCCTTGGCTGGAGGTTCTGAGGGTAGAATTGTCGACTGGGCTCTCGTTTCGAGCAGCTTCCCGGCTCACGATCCGTCATTCATTCAAGAAAAAGGGAAATACATTCTCGGTAAACACCGGCTTCAGCTAGCCAAAATGCAAAGCGACTTCCAAGAGCGCTTTCTTGAAGCATACGCTAGCGGCCAGGTTCCCCCTATTAATTACGATGACCTCGAAATATATGACTGGGAGTGGGTGGTCGATTGGGCGAACACTCAGCTTGAAATTCCGAAGTCAGAAAAGCTTCCAGACCTTCCGGCTACAAGAGAACTATTCGACAGTGTGTTTGAGCTTCGCGAGGAACCACCACACACCTTGGACGAACTGTACCAGATTACCCAGTCCGTCACCCTCAACCGCAAGCGTACACTTCTCGCGAGTACTCCATTTGCCCTACCCTTGTCTGATAAGCGCAAGACGCCCACTCCCCGGAAACCAGAGCATTCTCGCTTGGAAGTGGTCAAGTCCTGGGTTCGTGCAAATGTCGTCACTCCAGAAGAGGTATACCGTCCTGCCGAGGCCCGGGAAGCGCTATCATACATGGGCAACTATATCGATAGCGCCATCGAATCATTATTAACCGATAGGGTCATCTCAATGGGTAATCGAGGCAGAGTCACGCCGGGCCGCAACTACGATATCACAGACCACTTCCTACACGCACTAGGACGCAAGCGTCTGGTTGAAAGCACCCAGCTCCGACGAGCCGCCAAGTTCAAAACCCTAATCCTCGACCCAGCATTAAAGTCCGAGGGCAAGTACGATATCAAACACAACGCCGAAGACGGCGACATCCTGGCCATAATCAATCTGGTAGCGGAGGGCCGGGTCACCCTGAAACCGCGAAACCCTCCCCGCGATAGATTTGGCCTAACAGATGGCGGATACCTGACAAGACAGATGGACAAAGACAAACTCCGCTTTGCAGTAGAGCTACACCCCGTCGAAGCAAACTACGTATACGGGAACCCGATCCAAAAACAGCTCGCCACCGTCCCGATGCCCTCACCACCCCGGGCCACTAAGAAGGGGTCATCATGGTTCCCGGAAATGATCCCCCTCTGGTGCGATATCCACGGCGGCTTCATCAAACTCCTCTGGGACCTATCCGTCGCAGCCGTGGTGGGCTGCGTCGCAAGCAGACCAGGAATTAGCGCCGCTAGCATCGCCAGTATGATCAAACCTACAATGAGCGCATGGGAAGTCAAGCTCCTCCTAAAGTGGATGACAGACATCGGAATTATACGACAGGAACCACATAACAGCAAGGACGAGACCGGCTGGAAAGTCCAAGAATGGTGGTGGATGATAATAACCTAGTATTTCTTGGCATCTCTTCTACAACACTGTACGTACATGTATTATAATACGTTATTCCCAGTTCCCGGGAAAAAAAAAAACCTTACTTCGCCACCACGCACTGTAATCTAGCGCCTAATAGTAATCTACCCCGTACAACTTACATACCATGAACCTCCATGTGGCGTGTCTTAGAAACGAGGCTCATTGGCAACGCACACGAGATGTCTAGCGTCGCACGCAGCCCTAAACCGTTCCCTAAGGGATTTCTATTCCAATTGTTCTTCCTTTCTTGACTTTTGTGGGGAGTCTTTTTCTCGTTATATATTGATGTTACTTGGGGTTTCATCATGAATTGCCGTTTGACAAGATTATGGGGGACGTAGTACAGCGTCGTAGTATGGATGATCTAGAGCGACCTGTTCTAAGGGGGGGGGGGGGGGGGTAGTATAGTACAATATATTTGAAGAGTGGCTGTGTCTATAGATGGTAATAGGTAGGGAGGCCGCGGTATTTAATAGCTGTTGGTCGCTATAGGGCTGGGGTTTGGGGAGTATTTCTTTAATATAACGTGGTAAGGGCTGGGGCGTAAAATAGACAATAATTTTTTTTTTTTTAAAAAAAAAAAAAATACTTGACATGCGAACTGTTAGACGTGCATATGCCTTGATCTATTTATCTATTCTATTTATCTCGTATAAAGATAATATCAATAATTGGTCGTGCAGATTCCATATCATTGGGTATGTACATAGTACCTATCAGGTTACATATAACTAAGCCTACCTAACTTACATTATATGATACTCTATCACTATAGACCAGTAATAAAAAAACCTGATGCCCGAGGGACGGGAATAGCCGGGAAAGATGGATCATGATATCCACTTTTTAGGAAGGTGTTGATTCCAAATTTCTGCACAAGGTTCGAGGCGGGGTCAGCCGGCCGTTTGAAGATCATGAGACACTTTGGTTAGAGCCATGTATGCATGCGCAGCGATCTTCTATATTTGATTAATTAAAGTCGTGGCGTGGCGTGGCGTCACCGCTTCGGGAGACAAATCTCTTGGCTTATAGCCCACCCGACGCGATGGATAGGGAGGGAAAGCGATTGGGAGCTGAGGATTTTAATAAAGGTACGTGAGGCACGTAACCATCTGAAAATGTTGCAGATCTAGATCCTGACATCAAGCAAGGTCTCGAAGCTCTCGACAATGAGATGGGCAAGGATGAGTGGCTCATCGCGTTTGCGCCTATCACGCTGTTGTCCGCGGGGGGGTTCCTCGCTGTAAACTTTTTGAAAAATCGAGAAAGTACTGAGGACCTCGACTATCTCCTCGAGCCGCAATGGGCGCATGACAACGATGTCAAGGGGCCATTGCACGATGCGATGAAAAGGGCAGCAAGGGGCATAGGGTTTACCGATGACTGGGCCAACGAACAGATGGCATTTTTTGTCCCGGATAGGTCTCGGCAGCTCTTGTTCGAGAAGGCAGAGAAACAGAACATTGTCCTTTGGGAGGGTCATAATCTTCGAGTCCTTGCTGTGCCGCTGGAGTGGGCACTAGAACGGAAGCTCAGGAGGATCCATAATGAGATGCAGAGCAGTAAGCGGAGGTCTGATATAAATGATGCACTGGCACTGTTGAGGCATCTGAAGGCGCGAAATAGAGGTCCATTAGAGAGGGAGCGCATTCGAACATTGAACATATGCTCCGCTGAGATGGTACCTGGCCACGCGACGATGGATGAAATTGCCGCGGCTTATCGCAAGAAGTATAACGAGGAAGTATTCGACTAGAACTGCCATAAAATGCTCCTGACAGGCTTCAAACCGTGTAGAAGTGACCAGTATCAGTTACAATATTTCTCTCGGCAAATACGGGGCTCTTTCCGCCTGCTTCCAGTACTAGTCTGCCTGATGCGTCGAGCGCATCATCTGGCAAGTCCGCAATCAACTCGATATCGATTGCGGGCACGCTCTTAGTCCAGGTAGGAGCGGTTTCTGGTGTGTAAGAGGGAAGCACTTCGTCAAGGGTCTTACGATAAACATGTTTGCGTCTATCACGCCGCATGCCCAAACTTAACCGCCAGTTAAACGCCTTGGCTAGCTCCTCGGTGATACAAGCAAGGATCGCGTACCGCACGGGGTCGGGATCGCGCGGGTCCGGCACACAGCAGAGTGTCCAGGACCGCTGATACCAGAAATACTCGACCTCTGGCCCTATGGCGTAATACTCACGCGCCGCCATGGCTTCGTAAAGTCGGTACAGTGAACGGATAGGAGTATCTCTTGCGCGCCAGATAGGCACAGAGCGCATGTTAGTGAGATCTGCGGAGGCCATCCGAGACTCCAGAAGGGGGATATTGTTCAGCATTATTCTTAAAGGTACTGGTTCTGGGACCCGAAAGTGCCATGTTGGTAGAGGTAGCAAGAGGCGCAGTAATGCGAGGATGGGATACTTATGTCGGTGGCTGAGGCGGATCAGAGTGCCACGTAGGCGGAGAGGTGACTCGAAGGTATAGATGAACCGGCGGACGCGCATCCAGAAGGTGATTCGGGGCCGAGGGCGGTTATGAGGAACCATTTCTTTCCTCGGATTAGGTCTACCTAGGAATATAGAAGGCGAGTCTAGTGAAATAAATATAAATTTGAAGATGAAATGAAAGATCCAGCCGGCAGATCGGCGCTATTCCCGATTGGGTTACCACTCAAATATATCTCATTATTCGCGAGTATGCAGTCATAGAATAGTAGTAATACCTGACCTCCCATAATTTACACGCATATATGCACACAACTAGACCAATTTCCAGAGTAAATACCTCCTATCGATCATCTGACCATCTGTCGACTACCTCCCACGGGCCCCCTCAAGTCCACCCGGAGACAACGGCTTGTTTGGATTCGCCATAAAATGTGCCGGGGGCACGGGTTTCAGCTCCCTTAATTCATTATAGACATGCTTATCAATCCTGGTATGGATGCTCCATCGGCCCTGGGCCGGCCAGGAGCGTCTGGGGTGTGCCGAGGTCCTTCCAATCCCACTACCGTGGTCAGAATTTCGTAGGCTTCGGAGTTTACGGCAGGGCGGTTTGAAATCGGGCCAGTGGCGTTGAAGGAACGCAGGGAAAAGTAAGAGGCATGTACAAAGAAAAGCATGGCCACATTCAACAGTGCTCCTGGGATTGTTGTCAGTTATTTTGAAACTAGTCATGGAAGTGTCCCCATTGGCGAAGGTAGTAAACTTACGTCCAATATCCCATGGACGTTACATTCCCGCTGTGCTTGCAAGACGTATAATGCTTGCAATGCATATGCTGAGTGAAAAGGACTGTTAGCCGCTTCTCCTCCCGCAGCTGCAGATGGATAGAAAGGGGAATAAAGGTCGGTTACCCACCTAGCACCAGGAGCAACGATGGCCAAGACTTTGAGCCTGCGTCGTAATGGCACCTTTAACCTTATTACAGACGGCATTGGCAGTATGAGGACATATATGACCGTCGTCGTATTGACAATCCCGGAGTACCAAAGAGGAACCGATTTGGGGATTTTTGGAGGAGTGGTTTGCGGATTCCAACTATGCTCTATTGGCGTGAAGCCGGAGTGAGCTAGCGGAAGCACGGCAAATGTTGCAATCATGAGAGCGGAGATGCCGATAATAATGAGGTATTAGAGGTGCTTTATGGAGGAAAAAATGCGATAGTAGAAGCAGAGGATGGAGAGTTTGACGAAGGCTAGGCAGAAGATATAAGAAAGGAAGGCGACAAAGTTCCACTAGCCTTGGTACTGGTATATCTTTATTTCCTGCTGATGTGATCATACTTACCCGAGTTATCGTTCGCATCCTGCTCAGCGGAATGTTCCATGTGTGACATCCTATGCCCAATTTAAAGCCTGCAGGTCTCATTAGCAGCTATCACGGGATTCGACCCTAAAGAACGTGCTTCGAATCATGGCGGTTGAAAAGCTTCCTAACAGGATTTATTGTCCCATTAGTATCTTTCGTGTTGAGGACGTCCATTGTCACGTACATAACCAATAACGCAGAAATCTACCAACATTGCTTTCAGTCACATCGTTCGCGTGCACATGTAGGAGTACTTTCAGTCGTCAATCCCCAATGAAGCCTGTATGACGAACCGCCTAGTATAGAGCCGCATTATCAAAGCGGTGGTAGCTAGACTAACAAAAAAGCATAGAACGGAATACATGCGTAGTAGTGATTCTCTGGACTGACAAAGTTGGGCTCCACCCCAGGAGGGGGAGGCATAACACCCTGCTGGGTCGACATGAAATAACTGAGATATTTTCTTGTCTTGCCAGACAGTGGGGGGAGGGGGGAGGAGACCTTGCATGTCCAGGCGCGATGTATAGACGCTCCGCTGATATATATTAGTAAGCAGTACATGAAAGAAATGCAGTAGGTCTAGACCAAGTCCTTCGAATTTGACTCTACATTGCCGACCTGTGTCTGCTCAGTAAACTTCTTTACTCGTCTTTGTCTTCTTTGTTGGTGAGCGGTAGTGGTATATCATTATATTGTATGGGAACGGCATCGGGGATACGATAGAACCCAAAATGAGGATACCCTTACGGCTTTTGCAATGTGCCGGTCCTTCTTACTGAGTATTATATAAGTAAGGTGGCGTTCCTCAAGCGACGTACATGGAGATGAAAAGGGGCCCGTGTGTGAATGAGGTATCGGAATGACTGAATGAGATATCGGGTGCTCATACGCGCGAGACCTCATCGTAGGCCGAGTAATATTCGTCATTCTTTTCAAAGATCCAATCGGATTAGACCCTTGTCGGCCGTGTTCTCGGAGAGCTTATATTCGATGTCGTCTCAAAAAGAGACTTGAGATGATCTAGACCGTTCTTAAACTTCAGCGTAGCGGAAAAGCTTTCCGCAAAGTAGATTTACGCACACGGGTCAGTCGTGGCCAGGTGGGACTGTTGTACTACCTGCTTAGTTGGATATATCGTGGGGAATGATCTACACTTGTTGTATTACCTCTATGCGACTCTCCTGCATTGCGGAATTTCATCCTTTTCCCCCAGGATCCCCAAGTCAATAAAGTGCTACATGCTATGTTTCAGACCTATCTAATAGTTACAATTATGCTCATTGCTTGAACAGAAAGGGGCTTCTTGACCAAAGGTTATATCTAATTATATACTATATTTAGATGTGCATCATTAATATGTGACCTGATTGAAGGGTCATATCCTATTGTCCTATCAATCTGCATATGTACGGAGCTGGAAATAAATTTATCTGAGAATGAACTTGAGACATTTATCTTTCTAAAGAATCTCAAGTTCTTACTTTATAGCTATAAGTGGTGTCGTTATATTGGCAATTGGATAGTACTCTGGGGGCCTCCTATCGGCGTGTTTAGTTTGATATCATTCCTCCTTGAGAAGTTGAAGTTTCTAACAACTCGCAAGCAAACCAATACTTCCTCACTCGAATCAACGTGTACAATGCGCATCCAAGTTCTCTCACGTATTGCCCCCTTGTCCGAATTTCACCGAAAAGATGTACATACCCTCACAGGAAGGTTAAGTGTGCAGTGCAGCATTAGAAACCCGTCTAATCTCTCGAAAATACTTTATCAGAAAGACAGGAATGCCTACATCGGCAGGAGTTCCGGTGAAGTTGAAGGAGGTTGGGGACCAAGGAGCTTTAGGATTTTTCTGTGGTGAAACAACCAAGGACTATATGTGGCTCCATTCCCCTGACTCGGGCCATCTAATACGTTCTCTGCATTGTGAATTATGCAGTGCGTTAATTCAACGTTAAACTTTATCAGATATTGTCTTTCATCGTTGTGAAGTAGGATTCTTATTCAGGAAAGATTCACACGCGAATGGGAATGAGCCATGCTGTATGATTATATGAATACACGAAATAGAGGAATGAATACTGAGTCTCTAGTCATAGTTTCCGCCTCCTATTTACTATCTAAGAGACATCTCCACCTCACCCACCGTCGTACCCAAGGCTCCACTCACCCGGATACCCGATTCACTCTTCTACTGGGTTTCGACACTGCACAAAGCCTAGGCTTTCTTATCTTGGACCCCGGGGTTGCAATATTCAAATTTCTGTTTATCCCCCAACTGCAAGCCATATTCTCCTGGAACCTTGATGCCACGAGTGCTGAAGGTAGAGAGACTGTATATAACGGTCTAAGCATCGACATACCAGACGACCATGTGCCCCTTCGGTAGAGAAGACAGGGGTATCAAGATGGTACTGCATTTGGTATTTTTTGTGGGCCATACTGACCATGATTCCGTTGATCAAGAGAAAACGGAGCCGTTGCACTGCTTGTTTCATACGCGGTCATTTGGTGTAGCAATGCGAGATTTACTGTGGATAAAGATGTCCATACTGATCGGGTATCCTGCCCTATGAAGGCCATCGTGAAGAGTACGGGAGCCGACACGCGTCTGTCTGAGACGAAGCAGACAGTCTTCGTTGGTGCAGATGGACAGTGGTACGATCCTTATTCCCTAAGCAAAGACTGCAGAGCGACAAGTTCGGCTCCGAGATCTACATCTCACCATACCACAACTTGGTGGAGAGAGGGTTGGCAGTGGGAGATACTGAATGCTATCCGCATTCCTTCGGTGTGAGGCATTACAGTACAGATGTACCACTGCAAAGATGTTCGAGCTTGAGCTCTAGCCAATCATGTCTCCTGCTCGTGTGGTATTGGTATTTGCCGGAATGCTTGCGTGCATGCTGAAAGTGCAGCGATGCATGTCTCACGATATATCCGTGCTCGTCAGCTCTGTGTCAGCCTTCGCGGATTCAGCGCAACCCGGCTTGACAAGGAAGGCAACTTGATCTTTATCTATGCCATAGTTCTATAGACTATGGGCTTAAGCATACTATATTGCCTAAGTACATGGCATCGAAATCGAAAAACCCTAGGACCAAGAGTTGAATCCGGATATAGCAATGAACTTGGTAATCCTGCCCGGGAGTAACAAGCTACGCAGTATTCCAGTCCGCTATCTATTTGAGTTGATCCCCGTGTCTACCCAAGATTGAAAAAGACAGGCACTTATTCGCCGAGGTTACTTCGATGGTGTGAGAGAACCGTTTCCATTAACTTTAGAAGCGTTCGAAGACGCCCAGCCACTCACTTTCCCACCGACGATTGTCATCTCCTGTCCCAAACCATCTTTTCAATGTTAAATTATCGTTGATATCTCTCGCTATCATCTTCTATCTCAAACTATCTTCTGCCTGGAAGCACTTTTTCTGCCTTAAATCACCTCTCCTATTTTTGCCCTCTTGAAATAATAAAGGTGTGTTATTATTACTCCGTTGTTATCTTCCGATGCTCTCACTAATACCTTGGGCAAAATAGTGCTTGAAAAAAGAACCGTGCCAAAATTCAACTGTCTGCCCGAGCAGGCAGCCACCCTAGCAACCGCCGTACGCAAGAGGCTATCCACGCCGAACCCACAGCCAACTTGGCTCTGTAGACGAACGATAGCAAGGCCTACTGGTATCGCCAGGGATTTGGATCCTCGTCTTGATAACGCGACTACAAGGCATGAAACCTATGTGAAGACGTGCTGCGTTGCGCACCCTTCACGCCTCTAAAGTGATATCAGATCTTTTGTTGTCATTGAGACTTCAATGGAACACGCCTCCCAAAGAGTCTTTTAGATTAGGCACCCTTCCTACCGACAAACCCTTTTAGCCTGGTATCTTATAGCTCATCGCTCAACGCTTTATCGACAATATCTACTACCCTTTCTATTACTACCACTGCTAGTCCTAGTTAACCTACTGCCGTTCCTCTGCCGGTCAATCTGTATCCCTCCAATTGCACTACTACCCCGGAAAAGAATTCCGCGAGAGATCCAAGCCCCTATACCCAGCCCTGTACAAAGTCTCTTGACCAGCATAAAAAACCAGAGTTAAGATATCGTGCGACGGCTACATCTTCTCGAGCGGGAAGTTAACTATTTACAACGGACTGTGAAGCGGTGCCGACGTCAACACACCGCCGCGTATGGGCTTGCACCTTGCTCATGCTTTGGCCAAGAGCGTCTATAAGGAATATGCAGGCGAGACACATGTCTCGCTGCTTAGTAGTGATCATTTGTGGGGAATGTTGAATGAGCTGATCGCGGATCCGTGAACGATGCTGGAATCAGAAAGCAAAGCATAGAGCAGAGCTTGACTATATCAATCTTGCGTTCATAGAGAGGTAGCAGTTCATCGGTAGGGTTTTATAAATAGGTGACATATCTATACCTAATCTACCACACCTAAATAACAGGTCCTGGAAACCATGGGTTCATGTCAACTAAGACAGGATCAGGACATGGAAGGATTATTTTTTCTCTTCGCTCCTCTTCTCGACATCTCCTCTCACCCTTCCCTATTAGCCCTCTCTTTACTACATAAGAACTCACTCTCATTCCTCATTCTGTACCGCTCCTTCGGTGTGATCTTCCATTCTTCACACTTTCATGGCCAGGAGTGTGTCCCCTAATCGGCTGATTTCGTGCCGTTCCTCAAAACAAAACTACGAATATCATTCGATTCGATTAATTCCTAAAAATAAGATCATATTATTGAAACTTATTCTTTAACATAACGCTTTTGTCAGCCCATAGACAGCCTTCAGAAAGTGATCCCAGCTGCCATATCTGAAAGCCCGAGAACGTGAGGACACCGCCGATAAATAGTGGGACAACGTTCGGATGTACCTAACCTATGGAGTCCATACATGTACACGAATTGCCAGCTATACATATGCCCTGCTAGCTATAGCATCCATCAAAACAATGGCTAGTATCACTAACATCCCCTTTCTTCCTCCAAAAGCACCCGAGAATACTCAATCTCATTATAAGGAAAGCAAATCCCCATAACCTTAACCATCTTAGTAGCTACAACAACTCTCAGTTAGCACCACAACGCCCACCCCACCATACAGAGTCAAGGAATGTCTTACCAGTCATCCGCTGCACAGAAGGATCATTCTCATCAGCACCATTCAACCGCGTATACTTCAAAACAAAATCCACCCGCGGCTGGCGCGTCTTCTCATACAACGCCAGCCGCGCCGGAATATCCTCAACCTTCGTATCAAGCGGCAGCAGCGTAGTGATACTCAGAGCATCCTCAATGGCCATCGCAGCTCCCTGACCCATATCTACATCCCGTGAATCAGCCCCAACACAAAGACAGTATACCAGGCGAGAGAAGAAGAATAAAAAAGATACATACACGGCTGAAACGGATGCGCCGATTCACCTACCAAAGCAGCCCTGCCCCTCACCCAAGTAGGAAGCTTTTCCATATCAAACAGCTCCCAGACCTTGAGGTCGTCGCCCGCAGTATCAATTAACCTGCGGACGGAAGGCGCGAAGCCAGCGAATCCGTTTGCGAGGGCCGTTTTGTCGCCTGCGGCTTACCAGCCTGGGAAATACTTTGTTAGACTTTGGAAATGGGGAAAGGTGTGTTATGTACTGTACCTTCACGGTATCTTCCTGACTCGGGTGTGGGTAGGAACCAACCCGCATAGGTTGGAGATTTTGTTGTTTGAGCAGGGGTAGGCGACGACTCGGCGGTCGTCGGCTGCCCATTCGACGAATACGCCTGGGTCTCCAACGACGTTTTTTGTGGTGTGGTTGTTTTTCATATCTTCTGTTGGGAGGAGCCAGCGGAAGACAGATTTGCCTACTGGGTAAGGTGGAGGGAAGTTGGGGATGATGTGATTGCGGAGGATGGACTGGGTTTGATTAGGCCTCTAGGGCGAGGATGTAGTAGGAGGGACAGTTAGCCTACGTGAAGACCATCTGCGCCGAGCAAGAGGTCACAGGTGAACTCGCGCTCGACTTCTAGTGTCACGAAGGGTTGGTCGCTTTCGATGTTGATGTTGGTGATTTTACAGCCTAGGTGGAGGGTAGCTGTGGTTTGGTGGAGACGTTCTTTGAGGCAGTTGTGTAGGTTGACGCGGTGGACAAGGTACCATTCCTATTTATTTGCTAGATTGGAGTTCATGTATTTGACCATGGTCGGGATGAGATGTAGATGTGCATACAGCCTGCCATTGTTGACGGACGGCAGAGAGAGAATTCTTTCTTGCGGTTTATGTTGCCGTTGGAATCATATCGATGGATCTTGGATCTATGTATTTGTATGAGCCCACAGATGACAAAGTGATATATCGTACTAGTAAATCATGGAACAAAACTCGTACCTGTTCAAGTAGTGTTCCCCCAAAATCCTTGGGGTCAACATCTATGCTTTGTAACAGCGCCGTGCAGTTCGGGGTACATGGATAGCTGCCCCCGTTTCTCTGGCAAAATCTGGGCTTTTCAAGGACCTATTAAGTTTAGCTGTTAGTCTCCTGCCATGTGTCCTGTATATTTACCGAAAATCTCAGAGAAGAGGATAAGCAATGAACATATCACATACGACGACACGATGTCCCTGTTTGCTCGGCGCAATGGCCGCGCTGAGACCAGCGATTCCAGCGCCGATGATCACAATTCTGAGGGGGGCAGGCTTGTCATCAATTGACATTTTGAATGATTTTTCGCTGCTGTTTGTTTCGGTTGTCTATAGGGTTCTATAAAACACCCTTCTAAAGAGGGGTGTCTACAATTGAGTACTTCTGAATATAGCAAATGTGGCTCGGACTCCGGACTCGGACATTTTTGGAAAGTTAACCCTCGGGGATACCAAATGGGATAGTGGGACCTCGTTCCATCATTGAGCTAGATAAGATCTACATGAAGCGGTGGATCGAGGCATCGCAAGCGTGAGGGCTAATCATGATCTGGCCGTTGGAAACGGCAACTATTCACGGTTGACTCGGCACTTATCCGATCAGATAACAGTGCTGAGAATAGTGCGATGGACGCTCCGGAGGAAAGTGGACCAAAAACCTGCATTATGCTCGTCTCCCTTGCTGCAAGCACGCTCTTTTAGCACGTTGTTGAGTCACCCTAAGAGCGGAGATGGGTGGAGACGGTCCAACTGCTATACGCTTCTCGTGGTGCTGGAAGGCTCAAGTGAGCGAGACTATGATGAGACGAGTTAATCGCACGACTTTCATTCGATGCCTTGTGAATGTAGATAAAATGCCTTTGGTATTCAAGAATCGTCTGTTCCATCTCATAGGACGCGCTAAATTGAAAAATGTAGCCAATATCAAGTGAGACAGGTACCCTGTACTGCAAAATCGCTCTTAAATTCCCAATATTCCCATACAAACGCCAAACGCTACAATAGACAAACACCCAAGGCCCGCAATATCTCAAATCCAACCTACTCCTCCGAGTATGCCATCCTCCTTAGGATCATAAACACCAACGCGATCAACACACCCACAATAGCCCGATCCAGCCACAGATCCTCAGACTGCTGCGAAGCAACATGTTCATGCGGTGCCGCCGCAGCCATAGGTCGCGCATCCGACCCTGATACCGGTGCCGCCGCAGTCACAAGAGTAGGCACAGGAGGAGGCACAGTCCTCACCACCCCCTCTGGCTCCGGGACCGTCTCGGCCAATACGCCCGTAGATACAACCGCATCACCGGTATTCTCAGTCCCACCCGACACCTCACAATCCACGCCTTCGCCACCCTTGGCACCATCGTCATCACGAGCACCAGAAACAACCCTCTCATCCCCCATCTCCCCAACCTCCACCCCCCGCTCCCTACAATACCCCTTCCACTCATCAAAAATAACTCCATTACTTCTCCCACAAACCTCACAACACCAATCCCTGCTCCGTCCCGCATACTCCCTCCTCACCTCCTCCCCGACATCCAACCCCCCAACCTGCCCCTTCGCATCCCCATCCATAAAGCTCCGAATAGCCGTCAACGAAGTCCTAATACCCCACGCCGGCTGCCACGTCTCCTCATGATGTCCCGAGATACTAAGGCATATTTCGCGATTGACCTCGAAGCGGCCCGAGGGCGTCAGGAACCGGAAGCTGGGGGGTCGGAGCGGGTAAGTGGGCGGGAGGACGATGCGGCCGTGGTAGATTCCCGAGGCATATGGGGAGGGTGAAGGGGGGCCGGCGATTGTGAAGTGCCAGTCGTAGAGGTTGGAGTCGGAAACGGGGGCGGCGTGGAAGTGGGGGGATGGGGAGGTTGATAGTTCGGCGGCTTCTTTCATCAGGCGGCGGAGGGAGGGGGACATTCTTTTTATTTCTGGTATTTGGATTTTTTGAGGTTGTTTTGGTGGGAGGATTGATCGGTTGGTTGGTTGGTTGGTTGGTGGTGTGTTTTGTGTGTTATGGTAGTATAGATGGTTATATAACCACTAAATGTATACTGTTGAGATTGAATTAAATGATGCCAACTGTCCAGTCGTCGAATGACGTTGCGTATTTACATTGTTGCTGCCTTTGTTCTCAGGCACCGGACGGTCAGGAACAATAAATATTCCATCCGTGGTTATTCACCAATTAATATTTGGAGTTGACTTCTTTGTTCTGTGACAGACCGCAGTAGAATATACTGATCAGACTTTGCCAGAATATAAACAGAAAACTTCCATTATCACTCACAGGTATTGACATAACTCCTTGCTTCCAGCCTAGTATGTAACCGTTGCGCCGCGAGGACATCCTCTCTTGCAATATGAACACAATAAAGCTACATATATCCTCGTGTTATGCACAAACAATGAAAACAGCAAAACAAAGACGCTAAATACACACAATGGTCAGACCTAATCCCAATCCCGCCATTCGTCCGATTCTTGATGTCGTTTGGTTGACCTCCCAACATTTTGAGATGGGCTTAAGTGATTGTGACGGCCTTGTAGTAAATCGTGAGTCTCCTCAACGTCTTCGAAATCACTATCGCCTGGTCTTGGACGCGGGGACATCGGTGCCAGAGTTTTCATCGAGACACCCGTCGCAGGGCGATCCGTTTCATGGTAGACGTCGGACGGTTGGTTAGGCACCCATATCGACGGGGTTGCGTCTGTCCCAAGCCAGTTCCGGCTGTTGTTCATATTGCGCTGGTAGAGATCCCGATAGTACTGCTGTTCTTCACTTGCCTCCAGCTCCTTTCTCAGTCGCACCTTCTCCCGCGCTTCGAGGAATTTAGGGCTGGGCTCCCAATGCCATCCGTCACCAGACGTAGTGTGCACAGGAATTGCCCAGAGGAGCGGCCGGTCACCAAATAGATGCTTTAGATTCCGACGCCAGCCAAGGTCAAAAGCATTCGGCATTTTCTCGTTATCTTCCTCGTCAAGATAACTTTGGTAGCGATCGTGTTCGCGTTGCCTTTCTAAATCCGCATACGATCGCGACAGAGCTTGTTGGGCGGGAGTACGATGGGGCCCTTCTGAACCAGGTTGAGTATGTGGTGTGGACTCTTCCCCTTCTTCCGGTCGAGTGACACCTGGAATTGCATTCGCATGAGCATCTATGATTTGGTTGCCGTAGTCCTGAAGTCGATGACCGAGACTTTCTGGGTCTTCATTTTCATGACCATTCCTATTTCCTAATATGTTTTGGTAGCGGCGACGATCCAGCGCTTTCCGCAGCGGAGAAACATAGCGCGTCTTCTCTAGAGATTCGATCGTGGTCAAGTTACGCACTGCGAGACTAACGTGCCAGATGGTAAATCCCGACAGCACCAAGCCGATAATTCCTCCGAGTATGGCCAACAACACCACGTTCACGGGTAATATGGTGTCCATATATCGAGTATCATTAAGCACTTCAGTCCATATCCAACTCGAAGCCACTGCGAAATCAACCCAGCAGAATATCGACGTGTAAATGAGAAACAAGAGAAAAGCCTTGTAGTTATGAAGTCCAACACACGTCGCCAGCCACGGACAATGGTGATCCATCTTCAATACACATCGCTTACACGTGGAGCAGTGATGCGCCCGATCTGGCTTGGGAATTTGGCATTTTTTGCAGAACCGGGAACCCCCCATGGAATTCACGGTATATGAAGTGTACTCTGGGAGTTCCGTAACAGGCAGGGCGCTATATTCATGCCGACCGTTAGTTGATAGCGGTGACCCAGGATCAGTAAATACTGCAACGCTGTACGAAGCATTCAGGCAGATATAGAGGACGACGCCGAGTATTGAAGTGGATAAGCCTAAACGTTCAACGGAGTCAATATACGGATTCTCCCCAGCAACCCCGACAGACATGCGAGTAACCCACCAATCCAAGAGTTTCGTGATGGCCTTAAACCAATACTGGCTTCAACATAAACTGCCCATGTTGTCAAACCATAGACGAATGCGAGTGGGAAGAAAGACGCCGCCGCGCAGCAGTAGCGTTCACATCGGAGGGCCCACGCCCGGGGACGTCGTTTGGGCCAGGACGGTGATGATGGCAGCGAGGCTGCCAGAGTTGCCATCGTGAGTATCGCAGGTACAGTATGGAGCCAGTCGATGGCTAGATCAAATCTATTCGGATTAAGAGTCTTAATTCATTGCGATAAGCAGCGCTTCCTTAAACTCCCCGGCAGGGTACGGAAAAACAAAGAGCTGATGCCTGAGGATGATGATTAGAGAAACTAAATGGAATACAAAGAGACGAGGCAATAGTGATACTGACAAGCAAGACTGTCAAGCGACTGATAAGACGAAAGAGCACTAGAGCGGCCAAGGAAAGAACGAAGCGAATTACGAAAGCAAGTGGTTGAAGCGGATCGATCGCCCTTGAAGATCGCCGGGAGTGGGATGGTAATTGCAGTACAGCGGTAGTCAATATACATCGCTAGCCCAGCCTGGCAGGTGTGGAGTATCTATTTTCCTGGCAACTGTTTTGTATCGTACTGAACGGTTAAATAACAGTAATGCAGTATTGTATATATAGTGCTCTATCATCAGATATGATTATTCCGGCAGCTATAATTTCCCTACCATACATTATGGCACCGCTACATGCAGCTATTTACTTTAGATTACTAATTTTGCTTCTCCAGGGCTCAGAATCAATCATTGACTGTAATTCTCTATAGGATTCGAGGTCACTTTTGCAGCGATGTGATCTACCAACTTGATAGAGCCAACCCTCTATGCCGTGCCTAGAGTACAATTGCTGGACGCCTCATATCAGTACATCGTCACCTCATTTCAAAATAATCTAGATAGGCAAACATAATTGAAGTTAATCATGTGAAATAGCTTTTTATTATACTAAACTAGAACTCTTGCCTCACTTGCCATACAAGCACCCTTCTCGTCAATCATCTCTTATACTCGCCCGTTAGCAAACAGCTCCATGCAGGGAAAACATGCCACCTGGTCGCTTTGGGTAGATAGTATTAGGTCTTTTGTTCTATAATCACATCTCATATAAAAGGTATTGTACATTTCTAGCCTCGTATGAACGCATAGTGCGGTCAGCGGAAACATATATCGAAGCAATAGTCCGGTATGAATACAGGGGTGCATATCTAGGATGAGTTTCAGCTGTGGGGAGCTTAGTGAGGGCACCATGATGCACTGCAATGGTGTGGATTGTTTACAGAGTAAATATTACTTGCATTCACCTGCTAGAAGGATAAGATGGTCTACTATGTAGCTCTCCCCATGGGTAAAGTATCGTGATATAGTGCAGTACAATACAATACCATGAAAACATGGAAACTCGGAGTTAAATCAGAAAATGGTTAGCTTGGTATTTCTGGACTAAGCTGCCGTATTACATTATACAGCATAGCCCATCCATGTCACATAGGTTAAATTTAGCATCTCTTCGATGGCTGTGTTGTTAGTGGCTCAGCCACAGGAATATATACGTACTCCCTACACCACCAACCTCAGTAACGACAAGAAATTAGAAGATTTAATTTATGTTTGTAGCTACCTAGATGTCTTTCAATGTAACAAAGACCCGTACACGACAAAGACCCGTACACGAAATATGTAATTTATTCATCAAATCCATTCGTCACAGTGATGGAGAAGGTCATCACAGAATGATTATACACATGATGCCCTCGCAAGGGTATAAATGCACAGGGAATAAGCGGCAATCGTTCCAACTCAACGCCGCCAGTAAAATGCAGGAAGGAGGTCCGAAATAGAGGAGGGCACCCAAAACGGTTTACAGCTATGAAAGGAGACAGAATCGTGATGTAAACAAATGCAACATAGTCGTCAATAAGTTGAAGGCCGAAAGATACTGTATGTATAATCAGTTGCCGTTAGTTGAGGTTGTAGTGGTATTGGTAATCGTGAAAGGCTCCATGCCTTGTTGGCACCAATCATGCACAGGCTACTGCGAGTCAGCTACTGATAGAATCCAGTGGGGAGAGCCATGACTTACCAAGCAGCTCATTCTGTAACACCACGAGCAGTTGGACTTGGGGTACTTGTAGAAGTTCACGATCAGGAGGATGAAACCAATGATAACCGCAACCAAAGCCCCAGCCCGAACCAACCACCATGCCCACCAGAGCGGCTTCCGGCCCTTGAAGAAGCCCAATGGGCCGGATGCCTCTGAAGTCGAGTTGGGGCCCTTCCGCCCCTTAAAGAAGTTAACGAGGCTAGGACCATTCGCCGTTTTGTTCTCAAGGTCCGCAGTAGGACCAGCACCGCCACTCATTGCCACGTATGGGTTACGGGCTAGCCCAATCCGTTCCCGAAGTGCATTGGGCGATCTCATAATACAAAGGCCGAGAGCCAGACCCATGACGAACCCACCGATATGGGAGAAGTTGTCTAAACCCGGGAGCAGGCCCAAAACGAAGGAGATTCCGACGCCAAGGATCATGATAACCAACTCCATAAATGGCGATGGTCTCTCATTCCATGTGTAGAAGAGATCCAATATAAACAGGGCGAGAATACCGAACAGGGCACCAGAGCAGCCCGAGGAGGGTTGGAAGGGAGCCGCATAATTGCCTCCGAGAACGAAACCCCAGATGCCACTGGCAAAGTAAACCAAGGTATACCGCCACCATCCGACCATCCGCTCCATGTCAACACCCATAGTCATCTGACAAAGCAAGTTGAAACCAATATGGATGAAACCACCGTGGAGGAAGATGGGTACAATAAAGCGGAACCATTGATTAGGCTGGGGTTGATCATCGAGGGAACCATGAAGATGCGGGTTCGGAACGCCGCCGAAGCCGCACAGTTCGGATAGCGTACATTCCAAAGCGTTGGTCGTTGTGTTTGGGCAAGGCAGAAGAAAATTGACTGGGGAATTCTGTACCTTATCGACATTCTTCATACATGGTGGATACCGCGCGCCCATGTTAATCTGCACGAAGGCCGAAGGCCCAATCATCGGGTTGAACTGAGGTTTCGTCTGAATCGGGGATCCTGTGAGTTGCCCTACAAAGCCAGTTAGCTCAGCTAGAACATGTGATCTTTCGCTATACTCCAGACATACCGCTCTTCACCAACTCGACAATGAAGACCACAATTTGTACCGTCGTGAGAATGTACGTCACAAAGGGGATTTGCTTCTTGAAAATGCCCTTCTTCCTTCCCCGACTACGATCGGTCGGTGACTCCAACATGGCAGGGTCCGATGGATAATGCGTCGGTTGTTGCATCCAGTTGGCTGGTGGTGGGCCGTTCGAGTATTGGGTGTTCTCTTTCAGAGGGATGTTTTCTGAATAATGATCTCCATCATGGACCCTTCCACCGGCCCCATACGGAGCTTGGTCGGATCCTAGCGAGTGTAGACTGTCTCGTATGTGAGGAGGTTCGGAGTCCGCATATGGATGACCACTGGGACCGGTGTAGGCGGGCGCTGGGGATGGTCGATGGAAGGAGTCGGTATGAGGAATCGCTTGGTCGTATGTCGGTGGGTTGTTGCTATACCCAGTGTTGTAGTAGCTGTTAGCTGCCATATCGAATGGTCAGCCGTCGGCAGGGGGGGCGCAAAGGGATTATTTCTCCGAGTGTCTTTGCTGATGTGATGAAGAACGTTGGCCTCTTGTTTTGCGGGGAAAGAAAATATTTATTCCACGGTGTGATTGAGTTGACAGGCAGGAGTCGCTGATGATCAGGCGTTCTGACCCATGCACGGCCACGTTTTGGCGGATGGCGACAACGGCTGAAACCCAGGCAACCCCTTAGACTAGTACTAGATAGTGGTGGAGGGAGGAGGGATGTAACAGACCTGATAATGCAAGGGCTATGCAGCAAACACTAATGTGAAAGCAAGGATCTGGTTGAACGACGGTTGATAAAGAATGGTGGAGAGGAATGAATGGTAATTGTTGCAAAGAAAAATGAAGGAATAAATGAAGTTCCGATGTAGAACAGAGAGAATCTGCGCCGCCAAAAGGTCACTTGTGTTGTTAGGCAGTCGAATTAAGTGGGAACTATTTTTGGGTTTGCCGATCAATCATAAATCGTCGTCAGCGGTTAGAATATGGATTTCTCTCCCCCATATTTCCCATCGTTTAAAAATGAAACCTTCGGCTACGCACTCCTTGATGACGAAGATTTTCCCTAAGGCTGAGTTGTCTTTGTGGCTGGTGTCGAGTTGGTTCAATTTCATCTCCACCCCTTATCTTGTGTTTACTCCGTTCCTGTTCCTGTTTCTCAGTGGGTAAATTTTTTTTCCCTTTTATAACTCGGTCTTTTATTTCGCCCACTCCCACTTCAAAGCTCCAATAACTATATATTTTTCCCGCTCTGTCTTACGAAATCAGTGATGGCTTTTGACTGCGCCTCAATAGCTCTGGTATTTCATGGAATTACATTCCATGTACGGGTCATCTAGTGTATTAAGTATTGTACATGGACTCGTATTTTGACATTAAGCATTATTAAACGTGTACCAATGGCTGCGTGGCAGTTAACAAACCACTCACCTTTGCTCTCGCCAGTAGTAAAAAAGAAAGAAAGGAAAACCAAATGAGAACGCGAAGGTAGGGAAATATGCAGATCTCTGGTCCAGGTTGATGGCCATCGCGCCTCCTGGAACACTCGAGCACCGGGTACACATTATCTATTGTCCAACACCTGCGGTACTCGTGCTCACATTATAGTTCGATCCTTGCCATGTAATTCATTAAATCTTTGCGGCGAACCGCTTCCAATATAGGTGAGAATCCAGACGCCCCATATTAACTCCGTATTCAAGAAAGAAAAGTATATATAGCAAAACCTAAAAGAAAGAAGTTTGTTAGCTTTCTCGTCACGCAAGATCGACTTCACGACACATACCACAAGCATCGTTCTCCTAAGGATATTTTAATACAACAGCAACAATGCAGAAGGATAATCTAAAAGACAAAAGTTGTTGTGATAAACGTATACCATCAGCGTTAACTTTGTTCACAACGCACTTTCCCCAGAAAACGATGAGAGAGAGCCGACATGAGTTTCTAGGATGCCGAGAGCAGCACCCATCTCCTCGCTGCTATGGCCGGTCAACAACCATACGAGACGGGCCAGCTTGTTATAGAGCAAGGTCGGGAAGTATAGAAGTAGGGCCCAGAAAAGTAGTGACAGGACTACCATCACGAAGGAGTTGGCTACCAGCTTCTCCGCCGGAGTCATGACGTAAAGCCCAAATGTAACCTCGTACCGGTAGTACTCGAGACGAACCCGATCCGCAAACCGCTGGATAACATTCCGGCGAGGGTCCTTCATCGTCAGATGGCTGACCCCCGGGGAGTTTGCGTTCGTGGCAGTTGACATGGTGGACGAGTACTTATTAATCAGCTCGTCGACCGTAGTCGGGGTATGGGAGATGTGTGTCGAGGTTGAGGCGGTATAGAAGGACTGCATTTCGGTTGCCATTGTGATATATATTACTGCAGCAAGGTCGATACGTCCAAAAAAGAGGTCTTGCCAATGTTTCTCAAGGATAGTTGTAGTTGCTCTTGCTCTCCTTCGGACTTTGGTTGACTCTTTTCTGGCGTTGGGTGGAGGGGGTCGCGTACTTTCCCGATATTTGCTCCACTTATACTCTGATTTAGGATTAGATTTATTCAGTTTCGGGCACTGTAAGCTGTCTGACACTATACAGAACTGTGCGCGAGGATATGGACGACTGGGATGTTCAATCAAGGAGTGACGAGGCAATCTGAACTATAGATGCACAAAAAAACTGAAAGTTCAAGGACCGAATTCGGTTCGAAAGAGGAGATGAGGGGGGTAATCCAATAAGATAAGAGAGAATACCGGGGCGTATTATACAGAGGAGGGAGGATAAGAGGAGAGAGCTCGCCGGAGCAACCAAAGAGAGGGAATTCGAGGGAAGGATGGACTTTCGGTAGGGCGCGGATGAGGAAGTGTTTAATAAGGCGGATCTGCGTTGATGGAGGTTGCACCAATCACCGGTTGCGTCCTGCGTCATCTTCCCTGTCTTCGTTCGGGTTTATCGGCACCTCCCGCTTGGCTTTTTTTTTTTTTTTTTTTTTTCCACTTTGTCAGAAAAATCAAATGATTACCAGTTGCTAGTCCTCCGTACAAGGTAAAAATTCTACTCTCTCTCTAGGTCTCCACTCCGTCCGTGGAATGGTAAGGCTGATTCCGGGTCATGCAATTGGGTACAAATCCGTAACTCTGGTAGTATTTCATAATCAATGTGCACGTCCCTCTCGGTGATTGATCATTTATGCATTTTTGGCGAGGTGATTGAATATATAGAGCTCGTCCCGACTATTGCACTTAGTAACTTTTGGTCGGCATGTAAATAGGCTAAGCTTCCCCGTTCGTTTGCTTTCCACAATAAATGAATAATGCAATGCTTTCATCCTTGTTTCCTTGGCAGTCAGGTGATTTGGTCAATTGATGGTCAGTGCAGTTGCCTTAAATTTCAGATGGAACAGACGTCACTGATCCTCTCCTCTTCAGCGAACCATTCAAATTAAGAACGTTCCTCTAGCATTGACACATCGGATGTTATTTCATCGTTATTTTGGTTCTCAATCTACACACAATGTGGGTCATTGGACTTCAGACAGTATATATTCCATGAAATTGGCTTGGTTCAAGTTAGCAGGTTTGTAAAAGCAAAGAAAAAGAAAAGAAAAGAAGAAAAAGAAAGGAAAAGAAGAAAGGGACAAGTCATGAACAATATATACCATAGATATACATCTTCATCAAGGACCCTTTATCGAGTGTTAATATTAAAAAGTGCCAGGGGAAGGGTCAGATGACATCATGGGGACCGTGCATACCTTTCAAACATCCCGCGCTTACGCACTCTCTTCTCAAGCCGATCTAGACTTTCCTGACCTCTATTCCCCCTCCATCTGCATTCCACAACCGCATCGGATATCGGTGCTATCTCGACAACCATGGCAGAGGAACAAGACCCCATCGTTCAGGCCTTGCCACCGGCCACCGACTACCTCACTTATCTCACCTTGTTGGAATACCAATTGACCCCCGCTCGCTTGCCAACGCTCCACAAGCTTCTGCAGGATGAGGTTTTGACCACCAATATTGGCTGGGACTTGGTCCAATTGCTGTTGCCAATGCTTCCCCAATCTCTGGAATGCCTTCAGGATATTGCCCGTCTGGGTAATCCCAGAGAGGTCATCCTACGAGTATCCGAAACCCTGATGCAGTTACAACCCGAAGACGAGGACGAAGAGGGAGAGGACCAGGCACCAGAGTCTTCTGCCACCCATGAAGCGGATGCCGGTGATGCGAAGCCGGAAAGTGCCATAGGTAACGATGATGCGGAATCGAGTGAAACGCATTCCCTCCCACGGCACGTCCTAAAGTTCAACTCTCTCGTTGCCATGCTGTCCGTTCTTCATTCCCGCATCCAGACAAAATCACCCAGTCGCTTCCTTGCTACTTCCCTGCAAGCTGTATTAGAAGCCTATACACTGATGCCCACCAATGAGACTACTATCGCCCTTCTAGAATTCTTCAGAGACGTGTCTCCCTCAAAGAGGCCTGCGCCACCACCTCGTGCAGCAAGCGAGTCGAGCATACTGCGAGTTGCCGAAGCCTCTGCTCCAGACCCAGAAGCTGAGGTTCAGTCGCCCAATCCAAGTAACAACAACGAACCAGCACTCATCAAGAGATTCTTGCAATTTGGTCTGATCGAGCTGATCAAGTCATACATCCTGAGCTTTTCAGGCCCCATGGCTCCAGGCATGTCTTGGACGGTTCGCCTGCAGGAGAAGCTTCAGCCGAGACATCTGGCGGGCAGGGTGTCAGAGACGGAAGTATTCACCAATAGCAAGCAGCTGAGGGAGAGAGACATGATCATGGGAAAGATTACGGTTCGTTCAGCTCCCTGGTTGGCAAGTGCAGTTGCTGACTTTGTAGGCACTTTCTCGGGACTTTGGGTTGGATGACAAGCAGCTCCTCACGGTCGTCTCGCAGCCGCCTGACCAACATCCACAGCCGTTGGACTTTGATGAGCCTCCCAAAAAGGTGGAAGAGATTCCGCTTGAAAGGCACGGCGCTCTACTTCTTTTGGCTGCTCGAGCCGCCATGGCCGAACTGTTTTCATCTGGGCAGGTTACGCCGATCGCAGTATTTCCTAACTTGGCACAGATCTTTGATAACTTTGTCGGTGGACACAACACGCCGGACGAAATCGCTTTCGGCCAGCCTCAGGCGCTCTTGGACTCTCTGTTGACACTGACCGTCTTCTCTATGCAAAAGTCGATCGGAGAACCGTCAAATGAGACCGAGTTTAGACGTTTCATCCTGTCATTGACCGCGTGCACGACACGACAAACTTACAACTCCATTAGGCGGATCCCTGGTACTATCGTCCACAGTCACCCATCTCACATCGTCCGCTTCAAGACCATCCGCCAGTTCCTAGAAGACGACCGTTACCAACTGGTGAAGGACAGTGCTATCGGCTGGCTAAAAGACGAAATCCTCGAGGCCAGCAAAAATTCCTCTAGCTCCCCCGAGTCTAGTATATTCTGCAATCCGCACTACTTCTCCGTCCTCTTCCCTTTACTGTTCAACTCCTCCGAATTACTTCTCAATGTATCATCCGACATCGTCGCATCGTGGATTAAATTCTCCCAAACCTTCACACCGTCCATCCACGCTGCTCTGAGTCTCTACTACATCCTCATCTCCTCTTCCACACTCCGCACCCAACTTCAACTCGAAAAAACGTACATCTACTTCCGCAATCGCTTCCTAGAACCACTCAAGTCCCTCCTCCATGCATTTGAGAGAGATCTCACCCGAAATGGTGGTGAAGGCAAGATCGAATCCGCCGTCGGCGAAAACATGTGCCAGGTAGGCATGGCCCGATCTGTGAGCCTCGTCTCTCATGCCCTGGAGCAGGTTGAGGACGCCATGGGAGATGTCTTTGTTGTCGCAGACGATGAGTTGCAGGAGCCAAGTACGGATGACATTGCCAGGGTGGACAAGATCCGGAAGGAGACTGCCTTGTAAATAGATAGTCCCTCTACCTCATGATATTACTATCCTCTCAGTTCTTATCGCTGTACATACATGGCTAAGCCACGGATGACTTCATGAGATAGCATGACGTGATATGACTTTCATTATTCTAGTCGTTTATCTTCGCGCGCTCTGAGGCCCTTGTGCAGGAAATGTCAGTATCTTCTTACTCGACAGAACGTTGTTGACTAGTCTTTTTAACCTTGGTAGTAGAAGATATATCCAACACAAACTTAAACCAATACACGCACACAAGTGTCTATAAGAATTACAAAGCACCCCCCCCCACCGACATCCTCTAGAGAAAAGGCCCCATTTAAAACTCAATTATTTCCCCCTCCCCTCTCTTATTTAAAAAAATAGGACATAAAGAAACTTAGGACAGAAAAAACAACGCCCCAAGTTCCTTTGTTTCCAACCCTCTCTCGCCTTGTATGCCTCCCCAACAATGAACACCCCGGAACCAGCCTGACCCACCATCCCCGGAATAGAAACAAGCAACTTACAAGTGTAACGCAAAGCTAGCCCCGTCTCACCGTCCAACAATATACATATGTTGCATATATACCCAGCCCATCAGTAACATCCCGATCTAAATATCATGCATAACTACAGCCCTACACTAAAGCGGAACTCCCCCCAAAAGGTTAAGGTATTCAAAAACCAAAGTATGTGAAATTCAAACGATTCATCTTACATGACCAAGAGTTCCCACCAACCAAGCAAATCCCAAGTCCACGAAGAGGGGCGGATTCGGACAGGATAGCGGGAAAGAAATGTACACCGGAATCATCCGCGACAACAGCCATTTTCGTCCCCTGTCCAACGGGCCCGGCCCGTTGGTGTGAAGATTTCCAAGTCCAGGGGTCATCTTCGCGTCTTCTTTTTCTTTTTTTATTTTCTTGAATTTGTCGAGGGGGATTTTTTAAGTAGGTTCGACTATAGAGGATAGTCGAAGGGAGGGGGAGGTAGAATGATAATGGAGAACGTGAGATGTGGGCTGAATTGATCATGTTTGATCTTGGGCGTGCGGTAGTTAACGAATCGGTTGGTGTGGTAGTGGAACCCTGGCGCTGGGGTGATTTACTGGGGTGCGTTTACATGATAACGCAGCCACTGCCGGGGGAGGCTGTTTCTTTTGTTAGTTTGGCTTTGGAGGGGAGTGTGGATGTAGATGTATATGGGATAGAAAGGGACTAGAGGGGCTTATCCGGTGTAGGTGAAGTAGAAGGGTTTTGGTAGACAACGTACCCTTGACAGTAGTGGTGTTCTTGATGACGGGAGACATGTTGATTGAGTTGGGGTTCCTAAAAGGAAGACCGGTTTGAATAGAAGATTGGCTTGTTTGGAGATGAGGGTATTTGATCGTGACGGGAAAGAGTATTGCTGTCAAGAACTTCAAGGGCCTTTATATCTTTGTATCTAGGACTGAACTGCGCAGGACGTAGAGGGCGTATGCCGGATTAACTTGGAGAAAGTTTGATGAATGCGTTGGAACAGCATTACAGGTTCGTGTTTGATTGAGAGGACTGGCATGCGCGAATGAAAGGATATTATTGACGGAGGGATCAAGGTCAAAGAAAGAATAGGAGCGAGGCTATTCAGCGGCCCTGATCGCTCTTGATATTGTTCTTGCCTCGGGACCAATCAAGGCAGCGGGTTACCGGTCAATGGGCGGTCGTGGCAAACTTAGCATTCTTAAGCTCAAAAGTGCCCTTCTTTCTCCCTCTCAAATCGGCGATCGCTGTGGAGTTCAAAGTTGTTCCCTTCGTCCACTGGATCACTCAAGATCAATCTGTTCGAGATCCCCGACAAATCTCACCGCGCCCAGGCTCCTAGAATGTGGCCCACATCAACCCTTCTTTCAGATATGGTCACGGTGGAGATCCCCCAGTCAGTAATCTCACAGGTGAACAATCACTGGCCTTTGAGAAAGATCTGGGTATTGTTGTCGACAGGAAAAATACGAAAGGGTCTTGGCATGAACCCGGTGCACGAACCGTTTTGGGTACGCTATGAATACAGCTTGAGTGAATGAAAGAAAGGAACGTCGTCCAAAACAACATTCATTGGATCAATGAAAAGAATCCAAAAAAAAAAAAATAAAGAAAAAGATAATATCAAAAAAGTTACATTTCCAAGAAATCATGTGTAAATGGGCTCCGTGATATCGTTCAAAGCCAATCCTTCCTTCGCGACGTCCTCCTCAATCAAAAACATCAACGGCATCTCTACCAATGTACCCTTGACCTGACTGAGCAGTTCCTTCACCTGCCGGACTCCTTCGGGGCCACCTGGGAAGTCATCCCGCGCAACGTGTCCATACCGATACCGGGACGGGGGGGAATCCTTCTCTTCGCCATACGCTTGCTTGTCCGCCTTGTTAAAGTAGTATCCATAGAACTCCTTGTATATGGCCCAATTGCGAACCGTGTCATCAGGCACCGAATGGAACACCTTACGGAATACCTCAGTGTTCGTATGGGCCCTCGTGTTCCAGAGATTTTGGAGGGTATCCGCCAATGGGTCGGCCACAAGCTGACTCTCAGGGGCGTCAAAGTCAAATTCGTTGGGAACACCAACCGGCTCGAAGTTTGCGTCTGGGCTCTGATAGTCTTGCGGCGGCAGCAGGCCCAAGTGTTTGCGGAACAACTGGCGTCGTAGGGAGGACGCGAAACGACTAGCAGTCCATGGCTTGCCATTCATGGTCGACTGAAGAGGCGTATAGTCCTCAACGATGATGGCGATCTCAGAGTCATGATCACCTAGCTGAGACCGGTCATTCAAGTTGGCAGACCCGCAGACGACCACGCGGTCGTCAGCAATCATGACCTGTGGACACATCGTTAGTGCATGAATCAAACTCGGAGAAAACAGAACAAACATACCTTGGAGTGAACGTAAAGTTCCTCGGTCACAAACGCGTCAATTTCGGCCTCAGGGGGACCGTCCCAAGGGACGTTACGGATATCCTCTCCGTTAAGCATGTAGCAAGAGCTTACACTGTCCCATCGACCAGATCCGGTCTTGGAGCCAGGGACCTGGCGAGCACCTTGCTGATACTGCTGGAAAGGAGCCGTAGTATCAAACGCGCTTCGGGGAGAGGGGGCTCCTGGGCCATAGCCACCCTGTCCAACAACATTCACGTCATGCTGCTTGCGAGCATCTTCATAACTAACCCCGCTTCTTTGTTCAGCTTCCACAAGCGGGCCGCTGAGATTGATGCGGTCGTAGTTACGGAGGTTGTAGAACCGGATATAATCCATAGGATTATAGCCCTCCTTAGCAATCAGCTCCATAATACTGCTCCCTCCGCGGTTGATACAGTTATACTGGAACTCCATAATTGCCCGGGTACCGAGAGAAGAGTCATCGGCCAGATCACCAGCAAAACAGGGCACAGAGGGAATCACAACGATAATCTTGTACTTTTGTCCGGCACGTGCAGCTCGCAGAATACGCTCAACGATTGCAGCACCAATCTGGTTCTTGACCGGCTTCTGAGCATCACCGGTGGCTGTAATAAAGAACTGGTTCTCAATGTACACGAAGTGTTCGCTGTTCCGGATGATCGCGGAATAAGCATCGGCAATCGAATGCTCGGTTGGTGTTCCATTGCTCCATTTGGAACAACTACGGACAATCTGACAGCACATATTGCCGCGCGCCTGCTGAGACGGATGCCCGAAGGTGGTTAAACGATCCTGGTATTGATGAACTTGGCCAGCCAATTGGCCGCGAAGAACATTTCCGTATTGAGTGATTTCGTCTCGGAATCGACGAGGTATGAGCCCTCTCTCCGTATCACCATGTTGCCCACGCGTGCCTTCATGATAATCATCAATACCGCGTGTCTGGGAGTGCGATGACTCTTGTCCTGGGGGAGGTGGGAAGTATAGCGCTTGACCTTGACCTTGCGCCTGAGATGGTATAGGGCTCTGAGAGGGTGGTGGCCCAGGAGGGGGTGGTGGGAAAGATTGCCCAGTGTAAGTGTAGTTCTGGGTGGTTCCTGTCGATTGCGGATAGCCAGAAGCAGGTTGTTGCTGACTAGCAGGAGCTTGGTTACTCGCCGGTGGGGACGTGAAATAGTTCGAAAGACCAGGCTGCGGCGCAGTCGCTGATGGTTGGTAGGGTTGGTTACCCGCTGCTGGCGCCGGAGAATTGGCCGACTGACCCGGCTGTGGAGATGCTGGGGGTTGCTGCCAGTTGGGTGTTCCCTGGCTGCTAGAGCTAGGCCGGGGAGACGCAGCCGGTAGCTGGTAGCTAGGTGGTCCCTGGTTACCCGAGGTTGGTCCGGGCGACGTAGCTGGTTTCTGGGGAGTACCAGGCTGTTGTGGACGGTGAGAGGACGAGCTCGGTCGGCCGTACAATGCAAGCTTCGAGTATCTCGCATCCTTACGCGATTCGTACTTCGTATCATAGATGAAGTTCCAACGCTCGATAAAGTGTCGTCGCAGGTCTTCTACAACATGACCGTGTAAACTTACGGAGATATCAGACCAACCCATGCGTGAGGCTGTCTTTCGGTCGAGCTGATTCTTCTCCCAGTGTGACACATCTTGGAAGTCGAGCACCCTAGCGTTGTTGTAATCTTGCCCTGGGAACACGCTCTCGTTCACGTCTTCAGGGTGGACGTCAGCCAGTGCGTGTTGGTTAGTATCCCAACGACCGAAACACATATCAAGACCTCCCATAAAGGCAGTCCTGCCATCGACAATGCAAAGTTTCTCATGGTGTGCCCAATAGAGAACAACATCGTCGTGCACTCCATATATCCCTTTAATGGCATCTCCTGACATCTGAACGAGGCTTTTCGCATCTAATGACAGGTTCTGGAGATGTGTCGAGATCGAGTCAGCCAGCTCCTGGCGATCCGGCAGATGGTCAGGATGGCGGAACACGGCGATATTTGGGTGAAGATCTTCAAGGCAGTGTTTGGTGTGGTGAGAGGAGACTATTTAAGTTAGTATGACTTCGACTTCATCCCAACTGCCCACGTAGAGTCACGAAACAGGGATGGAACTTAGCACATACGAGTCAATGCCTGCGTGACTTCCTTGTACACAATTATGTTGACCTTCACACCGCGCTGCGCTGCTGACTGCAGCATCCGATCCAGTCGGTACTGCTCATTCTTTGTCGGGGGTCTTCTCAAGTAGAGCTCGGGCGATAGCCACCCTTTGAGTTGTTGTTAGCCCCGACTCAACTATAGTTATCCCGAAAGCAGGACTTACAATCCAAGATCCAGATCGACTCCCTGGCGCTCTCTAACGCCTTGGAAACGGCGTAGAAGTAGGAACACCCGTCCACATACCATTTGACTTCGTTGCCCTGTCGGTCCGGAGCGAAACTGCCGAATCGGTGTTGTGACTGTGGTTTAGCATGACCATATTCGGCATATGCTTGCGGGTCGAGCGCAGTTCCTATACGTTGACCGAAGTCGGATCCGATATCCGCAACCGCACCCTGGATCTTACCAAGCAGCCCTGAAAACTTGTCCTCTTTCTGCGGCTTGGTCGGGTGTTGTGGATCTTGATATTGAGGCTGAGGAGGACGCCCGTATGTGTAATTCTGCGATGAGCTTTGCTCAGTGTAGCTCTGGCCATGGTGTGAAGTTAGCATCTGGGTACAATTAATAGATTGATAACGTGACCAGCTTACCCCGTAAGCTCCTTGGTTGCCTTGATTATAGCCCTGGGGTTGAGATTGGTAGCCTTGAGACTGCTGAGGCTTGTTGGGTGCTCCCTGCTGGGCGTGGTTGGATTTGTAGGTTTCCTTGAGCTTCTTGAAAGTATCTCCAACGAAGCCTCTTGTGCTTTCACCTTCACCGCCACGAGTCGAGCCTTGGGGATAATAGCGGCCGTAGGCCAGCGGGTCCTCTCGGTTAGCCATATCTCTCTGCGACACGGGTGGTATGGAACTAGACGGATTGATCAACGCTGCACAGCAGGAGCAGCAATAAAAATCCTGCAGAGAGCTCTACAGAAAGAAATAGGAGAAGAAGAACGGGTTAGTATTTAACGGCATGGAGGACGATCATAGACGGCCAACTTCACCGTATTTAATTTAGTCACGCCGCTGCTTGCCCCGCCATTCCGAAACCAGCTGAATGGCTAATTCTCGTTAGTGTTGTTAGGCTGCCATTATTGCGGGCGGGCGGGTATCAAAGGACTAACGGCTTCAATCACCATCCTCTCATTGGTAGTGGGATAGTTGGCGCAGTATTCGAATTGATTGGAAGATACTGATCCCTAATATTCCGATCCATATATCTAGCGATCTAAAAAGGTGGCTGTGTTCGAGGTACATAGTACCTAGTTCCAGAAACATGTAAACAATACCACCCCACATTGCACCGAATCTATTTATACTCCTGCAATAAGGTACATACCGTACGGTAAAAGCACATGCACCCCATGATGTCACGCTACGCATTCGCTGTGTGGCTGAGTCGTAGGGCTTACCTATCATCATTTTCTAGAAACGTGGCTTGATCGAAGCCTCGTCTCAAGCAAATTGTCTTGACTTGTACAGCTTCCACCACCGTAGACTCCCAGTAAAGGAGAAAAGAGGAACAGGCAGCGAAACCTCCTGTCTTCCCGAACCCCAATTTGATAGACCCACTCCATCTCCTTCACCGCAGATTCCAGTCCAGACAGACCCCTGAGAAATCACCATGGAGTGTACGGAGTAGCATAGGAACGCACTATGTATGTTCTTTTCGACGTCAGTTTCTAGTCACTTTAATGGCAGGACATGAAGGGCTCCCCGTTTGCCACTGCGACTGTAATGATTCATACATTAAGATGAAGCTTATCTTGATTTTATCTTCTTTGGTTTTGGGCTACTAACTCATCATACCTCAAAGCTGCCGAGCCTTGCTCAGTTCCAATCACTGCGGCAGAAAAAGAGAAAGTTCGGAATCTGAGGTATCTTTTTACGATAAAGGAATCGACCTTCGGAGTCATCTCTCAATTGATAAGTCTCTATAGATGTATATAATTTCAAATCTATTATTTTAGTTAACAGACAGGTGTTCTATAAGATTACCGGTTCCTGTAGGACTTCAGATTCACATCGCTGATCAAAGTCAGGGGTAACTATGCGAAGGACAGACAGTATTATTCCGCTTCACCCAGTGGTTAAAGGAATCAGATCGGGTAATCCCACCGGGTCAGCAGATGATCTCTTCGACACAAAATAAAACTAGTGAAAAACTAGCCCGAGCCATAATGCGGAAAATACAGATCAACTAGCATCTGCTCTAAAATATGAATGTAGCGTATACCTAGGTACAAGTCACGGCTAGTAGTCAAGCTGCTCGCCTGAGCGATTATGTTATATATATATATATATATATCTGATGAGCTATCAACAAAAACGAATCGGTCGGTCTATCATCAAAATATTGATAACCACATATAGTGGTTTATGTAAGGTCTCCTTTCTCTCAAGGCAATGTTAGTCTGTTACTCCAATATTTCCATCATATGAATCTGGTAGTATTTGAAAAGCCTCTATACATTGCTGTGGTGCCACTAATGGACTCTTTTCAGGATAAAGATGTTAAATTATTAAGCCATTTCGCCGCCACAGCCTTAATATGGTCATTTGTCTTAGTGCAGGGGTCCTGTAGGACCTTAAGGACCTTTGTGTAAGCTTAACTGTATAATGGGCCTCCCCTACCACCTGAGATCCTTTTAAGTTTAGAACACTAGGTAGTTTCTTTCCAGTCTATTCTCTTCTCACTCAATCTTGCTACAAAGTATGAGATCAAGTTGGTGTCGGAGTGCAATGAAGAGTTATTTTGCGAAAGTATACTTATATGCTGACAGAACCATAGTGGGCTATTGAATACAGCATCATAGATCTGTGCCCCACTGAGGTAGTGTTAATTATTAACTAAGAATACGCTCTATACTTTATCTCTGTTTACTACTCATATTTATGGGTCGATTATTAGACCGAGAGTTCGCCATACATATAACGAGATTAGATATACAAGCTACATACTGTATGTACATCGACTGTCTCTTGTAGGAAACTCTGAGTAAGGGGAAACAATAGATTCAATTATCTAAGGTGCTTAATAAGAGCGATCTGAGGAGGTAGGCAACGTCTTTTCTATAGACGCACCCATACAAAGGTACTCAAGGTCCTACGGACCCCCTTCCACTAAGCAACACCAAGCAACAATGAAATATGGCAAATGGGTATGAAAAGTAGAGCATAATTCAACATCTTCATTGTTTCTGTATGAGCTAAAGCCACTGCATTACTAACCTAGCCCGGTTAGCTCAATGGCAGAGCGTGAGACTTTTAGTAATGTAGAAATATGTGAACCAAGGTCCAAAATCAACTGGTATCTCAAGGCTGTGGGTTCGACCCCCACATCGGGCGACTGCTCCTTTTTTTTGCTCTTTTCCTTCACTTAAAGTGCAAAGTCGTCATAGTCCTACTACCTATATACTCTACTACCTCTATATATGTATGGGGTAATGTAATACTCGCTCACCGTTTCCTTTTTTGATTCATTTAATAATGTGCCACCGATGTCAGCTGTCCTTGACTATATATTAGCAGACCTAGCGCTTCAACGTTTCGCACCGCCCGAACTCATTCTCGACATTTGGCTTTTGTACCGACCTCAAAAGGGTTCTGGTGCGCTTGACCATAAAATAATTATCTTCACATATAGGGAGCTTGAGATCTGGGACAACCACACCTCTGGAAGGTGGGCAAGATTGGAACAGGATGGGTGATGCAACATGCAAGTCTGGGCGTAGACTAGACAACGTAAAGTATCAGCACTAAAAGAGCTTTTGAGACTTGAGACATTAGATCAAGGCGTGATAAGGTAGAAGGGTTTTGGAAACCTGACCGACGGTCTACCGCGGTGCGGAGTTATCAACAACCCTCTTTCCGTTGATTAATGAACTAGAAGTTGAGCAATTGAATCTCATGAAAAGGCTCCTATTTTGCCCCTAGACATAAATCTTCACTGGCCCGGGAGTAAGAGGTCCATGAAACTAGCCAGCGTACCAGGCTCACCTCCCCAGAAGTGCTGCCCCCAGGTCCCTCTAGAGGCCGAGACATGGACATATAAAGCCGATTTTCCTCCACCAAAATTTCAGCAATACAAATTACCCTTCTCTCTAATACCGTTAACACCCACTACCTTCCGCTATCCCTCTACGCAAAAGAACATCTCCTATCATGCCGTAGTGGGTCTTCCACCATACAACTGGCGTGTTTACGCCCGAGGAGAAGCAACATGTCGCCCGCGAAATGACCAAGGTATATACTGGGGTTGGCCTACCGGCCTTTTACCGCCATGCACACTTCATCAAGCTACATCCCGATAGCATTTATGCTGGCGGGGTGACTCCTCCTGCCTTCACAACGCTTTCTATCTTCCATATCGCTCGAAGCTTTGACAACCAGGAGATTCAGTATATGTTTTACAAGGGATCGGATGATATTTTAAGGCCAATACTCAAGCCAAAAGGCGTCGAGCGGGAAATTGGCGTTTATGAGGCCAGGCGCGACTTGTGGAGGGTGAACAGACTCATTCCACCTCCTACCGGCTCCGAGATGGAGAAAAAATGGTTTGCAGAAAACCGAGTCACGGATGAAGAGGAACTCCTGAGGGCTCAGGATCACCCATGAAGCTGTGTTATTCCTTAGGTTGGGACTGTGTGGAATTTGCCAGTTCGGGTTTCAAGACATGAATATTTATTCAAGTTGTTATAAGCGTGTTGTTCTAAAGGGGGTGTGCTAGAAGCATGCCTAATAATGTTCAAGACCAAAATGTTGTTTTCAAGACATGCTAGATTGCATAGTAATTCAGGAGTTGACCACGTTTATTAGTGGAATTTAGTCTTAATGGACTAAGCTCTCATGTTAGTAACAAAGCTGTTTATGAGCAATCGTGGAGAACAGACCCGTCCGAGCCTAGTTGTCGTAGCCCATCTATCTATGGATAACCGACTATTATAAATAAATGAACCAGGATTTAGTTAAATAAGGGTATATATGAGATGTATCAAATCGAAGTTGACGCTTGATTTGACCTCTTTGCAACTGTAGCCATATATTGTAGGATGCTTCCATGCTTGGCTATTCAATATGAAAGAGGTTATAGATAAGCATCAAGTAATGGAAAGCCTTGCTGCTCGTGTCTCGACCAAATCAAATAAAGGACCCACTGGAACTTTTGATTCTAATTTGGTTGATAACGGTGATTGCGTGAACAACAGCGTAATCACTCCGAGTTATCGAAATGATCAGATAATCCTCTATACAATTGTTTATATAGTACCGTTCTGCCGTGAATGATTCTAAAGCTTTTAAGCTACACTTCTTTTAATTTTGAAAGCAATGGCGATAACCTCGTACAAAGTGCTAGGAACTCCTATTTTGCACATGATTTATTACCCCAAGTGGACGAAACATCACAGAAACGCTTATCCTCAGCGCGCTACATTACTGCCCACTCCTTTTCTTTTTTCCTTGCTATTTAACCATCATCGTGCGAATTATCATGGGAACTGTTCTGGAAGTACCGTCCAGTGTCGGAGAAAAGCCACCGACTTGCAGGAGTTATGACCCGGATATGGACTATTCCAGTGATGCACGGAATCCTCACAATTGGCCAGCTTGGAAGAAAATATATCATACGTTAATTCCTTGTCTGCTTTCATTTCTGATGTGTGTACCTACTTAACACCTGTCCCTCATTCAACTGCTGGAAAGACCAAGCATTGATATACTCATGCATGATTAGAACATTATCCACTTCTGTCGGCGAACCAGCAACCAACATTATGGTTGTCCATTTTAGTATTTCAAGGACGGTAGCTATACTTCCTCTGACATTGTACACACTCGGACTCGCTTTTGGCCCCCTCTTTGTCGCTCCGTTGTCAGAGGTTCTGGGTAGAAGATGGGTGTATATTATTAGTTCATCATGTTTACTTGCTTTTGCGGGTGGTGCAGCTGCAACACAAAGCTTTGCAACTCATCTTATCTGCCGATTTTTCTCTGGCTTTCTAGGATCTGCAGCAATCGCAATGGGAGCGGGGACACTGGTTGATATATGGGCATTGGGAAAGCATGGCGGGATAGCCGGGTTGTGCTTTATTCTCGGTCCCTTCTTAGGGCCTACCCTTGGTCCTATCATTGGCGCATACATTCTTGGTGATCACAATAACGACTGGCGTTGGACACAATATATTGTCCTTATGATCGGAGCACCCATCTGGCTTGGAACGATCCTGATGAAGGAAACGTGCAAGGCATCCTTAACTCGGACACCGGGGCAGAAGCTTACGTGGAATACGTTTACTACAGTACTTGTGCAGTTCAGCCTAGTTCGACCGCTTCGCATGCTCTTCATAGAAGCTATCGTCCTTTCACTAACTATTTGCACTGGATTTGCCTACGCGGTGACCTTCAGCTACTTTGAAAGTGCGACATACGTCCTTCAGCTCAACTACGGCTTTGACATGAAGCAAGTCGGCCTAGAATTCATCAGTGTTGTGATAGGATACCTACTGGCTGCTTTTTTCTTCGGCTTGTTCGATAAGTTGTTTTATGCCCGCACTCTCAAAGCAGCAAATGGCGAAATGCCAGCACCGGAACATCGACTCTACTTTGCCTTGATGGGTAGTATCCTACTACCCGCTGGCCTATTCTGGTATGCTTGGGAAGCTCACCCAGGAGGCCACTGGGCTGCTCTCATTGCCGCCGGTATCCCATTCGGAAGGGGAGCATTTTCGCTCTTTGTACGTGTAATTCGGGCCCCTTTTAGAGTAGAGTAACGCATATGCTAACCCAACGTATTAGCTTTCCACGATTACATATATGTCTGACGTCTATCAAGCTGGCGCTGTAGCATCGGCACTCGCAGCAAATGGTACCTTTCGCTACTCCCTTGGCGCCACATTCCCGTTGTTCACGCTCCAAATGTATAAGAAACTCGGTACCCACTGGGCTAGCAGTCTTTTCGCTTTCATATCGCTTTTGCTATTCCCGTTCCCATGGCTTCTCTTTCGGTATGGCCATGTTCTACGAGCTAAGAGTCATTTTCCTGCTTCCACTGCGGGGAGAGCGAAATTCTTTGGTTGAAGCACATTGATGCACTTTGCATGGTGAGAGGCTTAGAGAGGTTATCAGAAGTCTCTCTTGGAATTTCCATTGACTGTGTCTTTTTATTCTCGTTGCTTTTGATCGTCATATTGGGCTACCTCGCTTGTGTGGCTAGAAGGATATAAGTGCTTTCATAGATCAGAACTATAGAATATAGAATACAGCCCAATTTTAATACTAAACTAAATCATAAACATATCACCCAGCCCGTCATTGTCCTACATCAAAAACACTGGTGGTTAATTATTTAACCACTGGCCGCTTTAAGGACTTCAACATACTGAAGCTGAAACACCTATATGATTAACTAGTGCCACAGGTATATTGGCGGTAAAATGAATGAAATAGTTAAGCTTACACCCTCGTTACTAAGCGTTTCTCCAGGTCGACGAGTTAAGAGCCTCTTCCACGTCACTGCGTCGAAAGCCAGGACTATGGCCGAGGCACATTCCCTTGTTTACCAGTGCTAATAAAGTTAGCCATACAACATAGCTGTGGGATGAGGATTAGAATATTAGAAAGAAATCCTACCTACTATCAACGCTTTGACGTTGACCACTAACTTGGATGAAGACTTCACGCTGTCCTTTGGGGGTATCACACAGAGACGCACATCCCTTTCAAGCAAGTGTCTCTCCAAATCCTGGACATCCAACCAATCTCCATCGAGCTCTTTCTGAGTTTGTGCGGAGAAGTCGGACAGGAGACCATGGCCTCCAGACTGTGGGTGAAAGTCTATGGGCCGACGATCTGGTGCTTGGCCTGGGCCTGGGGTTTGAGGATTACTATCTCCTGCAGCACTGGGGTGAACAAATGGAACTTGTTTGAAATTTGTAGGCAGTTTCCTATGCAGTCGAGCTTGCAAGGCATTATTGAAGATGGATGTGATGGTCTCCCTGGTAAAGAGGGACAAAAGCAGTCGAAATGGTCTTCGTAAAGCCTCTGGAGGGATAGAAGGATTGTTGAGCATCAACGATCCTTCATAGAGACAGGCAATTCTGAGTTGCTCTATAAACTGTGGCACTTCCATCACCGCGACGTCACCTGGCTTGAACATGAATAGGGAGCTAGGATAGTAGCTTAAATGGAACGGTGATGGATCCAATCTAGGAATTCGGTCTAGCTTTTCGCATTCTGACAAAGCGAGCGAGACGTCTGCGGGAGATGGGAGCTGCGATTCTCTGGGAGTCTCCTGATTATGCTCATCGCTAGTATCTTTCGTCAAAGCGAGACATATATGTACAGTCTCGCCCAGATGCTCGGCAAGTTTGGGGTGTGAGGTGAGAACTCCAGATTCTAGCAGGATATCGCTGAGTGTGATCACCGCTTCGCTTATCGTCTGTGCTGCAGTTTCCAGCTGCGCAACACGTTGATTCAGAGACTCTGTATCTGCATCTTTACGGGATCGATAAGCTCGTTGTGCCAGACGAATTTGTGCACGTCGTTTCTACAAAAGGTGTGAGTGCAATGCATAAAAGAAAGCGAAAACCGCACAGCTACTAACTCACCTCCTTTTTGTCTTTTTCCAGCGACGCTCCTATGGCCTTTTGCGGTCGCCCACGCTTCCTAGCTCGAATATGGACTGTTCTCTCCCCTTCAGTTTCCTGGGTGATATCTGTGTCTGTTGTCGCATGGTGATTATTTTCGCTCATTCCGCCCGTACAGTGAAAGGTTTCGGAAAGTCACAATGAACTTTGAAGTCGGTCCTTAGCTTGTAATCACGAACCGTGTCTAGGAAGGTTCAGTATTCCTGGAGAACCATCCCCGAAGGACCTAAGGACAACAGAAAAAGGTACAGTTTTTGGCTGTTCGAGCACAATCTAGGGCACAATTCCTAATTTTACTTTGGGCTAATCCAGGAAGATCCTGAAAAGGAGCGGCGATATTAATAGGAGCGAATCTTTGATGCAAGGACGATAAATGAGATATGGGGACTAATGATGTTTAGACCTACCCCCATGTCTCGGGTTGGATCACTAATCCTAGTATTCCAAGCCGAAGGATCAGTCATCTTCATCTTGGATTAAGGATTAGTCTGCTTTAAACTATGTGGTCACTCGGGCGAGCCCTAGTTCTAATAAATTAGGTTCATCCACTTCATTAACCATTTACCTTGAGTCATGATTCATTCCGAATATGTCTTTCCACAAGCTGAGGTGCTTAAAAAGCCAACCCTATGCAACTAGCGGGCCCTACTTGGTGGTGCTGTGCTAATGTATTTATATCAGCCGCCCGATATAATCCTTTCCTCCTCAACTCCTACCGATACTCGAGGCTCGGAATAACACCACTGTTGATTTCCCTCGAATAATTCATGTAGTAGATCAAAGAACAAAACACCACAAACCCTGCGCTTAATTTATATACATCTCCTTGTCACCAGTCCCAACTCACAACGATGAACCTTTATACGGAATAGGCGCATTCTTCTCTACCCATTCCTTCAGCACCTCCGGATATTCCATCGGCGGAATAATGCCATTAATACGCCAATTATCCCTGGGATGCTCGTAGATATTGTATTCCCACTTAATCCCCTTTGGATCAAGTATCGGCCTTACAATCTCATTGACTTTAGATATAAACTCCCGGCGAAGCTCCTCGGAGTCGATCTTACTCGCAGCATGGTCGAGGTGGAAAAAGATGGCGTTGGGGGGATATTGTCCTCCACTATAGAAATTGCCCTCGCCATTCTCGTGAAAAAAGACGTTTACCCAGAAGGCGGGGATGCCGTAGGTGGTGTAGAGTTTGGTGATTTGCTGCGCGAGGAGGGCTTTCTCCTCTCTGGTGAGGGTGTCGGGGGCAAGTTCGAAGGTCCAGCGGGGCATTTTGGGGAGATGCAGAGGAAAGTTAACTGTTTATTGAAGTATCGGTGATGCTTTCAGGTTGGTGAGATGCTTTCTTCTGTTTGGGGCGTGATGAGGCTTTTATATATGCAGGAACACACGGCATTCCCGGAATGACCTGACTTCACTGTTCAGCGGAGGTTATTGAGGCACCTTCGCTTACAGCCCTCATTATGAGGAGTAACTCTTGTCAATCCATAAACACTGCCTATGGTGCTCGGGGACTTCTTTGGTTTCTCATCGATAGTTGTCGGGCGGGGGTGTTATGTGAGTGACTCCAATTGATCACTAATCATGCAACGGGAGGCCGAAATTTGGCCCAAGTTCCTATTGTTCATTAATCTTCTTATCTGTTCAGACTGTTTCGGCATTTATTGTCGGTATTCACTTCATTGCCAACAACTGTTCATGTGTTTAAAGGTGTTGAAAGCCAGATTACTGAGGGTAGAAGAGGGGAACGGATAGAAGAAGACTGAAGGTCACAAGTCCAATCCGAGGGATCATTCCCACTGAGTGTTTGAGAGAGCCCCTCATGAATCGATTACGCTATCTATTGCATATTGCAAGAGACCCGAGCTGGGGATAAATACCCAAGAAATCTAAGAGAAAGACCTTCCGCGGAATGCAGTCTACCATACTTGCTCTACTTGCTCAAAGTGCCTCATTTATACCAGCTACGCCAGATGACTTCAGTGCTGAAAGCAGATGTCTGGGTATCCCCATCGCATTGGAGAGAAATGGCGAGCGGAGTGCCTTCTCCTCGATTACATGCACGCGTATTCACGGAGACTCCGAAGCAGTCCTAGTCGATACGCCCATCTCAATTGATCAAACCCAAGAACTGATCAGATGGGTTCTAGAAACAGCGCCCGGGAAGGCCCTCAAATTTATCTATATCACGCATGGCCACGGAGATCATTGGTTTGGCCTCCCTCTCCTCAAAGAGCGCTTTGCGGAAGCTCGCGCGATCGCCACTCCAGCAACAGTGGCCCACGCCGCGAAGCAACTTGCGCCAGAGCTACTAGACAATATCTGGCTTCGATTCTTCCCTGGTAATCAAATTTATCAACCTCAAAAAACTCCCGAGTCTATCAGCCTTGCCAGTTGAGGCCACTGGAATGACATCGACCGGGAGATACAGGGCGGGAATCATAAAGGAAGGTAATATTTCGCGCAATTTTCCCTCCAGGCTGTCCATCTGGCCCCTGATCCGTTCTCTATCATCTGGCTGAGCCTGAACAAACAGAACCAATGACAACGTGTCGGACCCTCGCGAGGCTTGGCCTTCGAATACGTTTGAGGTCGAGAGCCATGTGCTTCACATAATCGAAGTGGGCCATACAGACACCCATGATACTACGATTCTACATGTGCCGAATATTCGGCTAGTGGTAGCTGGAGGTACTGTTTATGGCGATGTTCACCAGTTCTTGGGTGAGGCATCTACCACTGAAAAGCGGCAGGAATGGCTTCAAGCCCTGGATAAGATCGAGGCTCTCGATCCACATATTGTGATTCCTGGGCACAAGAGAGCAGGAACGGTTGATGGTGTTTTCAATGTACAGACCACTAGAAACTATATCCTGGCATTTGAAGAGGCGGCTAAAGCTACATCGAATCCGGAGGAGCTGTTTGCGAGAATGAAGGCTCTTTACCCGACGAGAATCGACCCGCATGCTATTTTAGCGGGAGCGGTGGCTGCGTTTGGAGAAAATGTGTATGTCTTTGGGAAGAAATCTTAATGTACCATCTGCCAATCCTGGATATCAAGAGGACCTTTGAGAAATAACGTTATCATAACCCTCATCAGTGCGCAACATGTACTTCGACCACATCGGCTGTGTTGCAAGGCCTACTTCTAATTTATTTTGAAGCGTTCGCTTATACTTCCCTTGGGAATTGGAGGGAACTAAGGTCACTCTGCCCTCGAGGGCACTCTCCCATGCCACATCCAATCATTCACGAAAATGGCGTATTGCGTAGGTTCATTCTTCTTGTAGCATGGGAAAGCATATCCAGCACCTTAGAGTCACATTTGCTACATTTGCGGAACACAATTTTAGGTGAGCTGCTCGGGACCATCAGATCCTGGATAGACGCATTCGAGATCTCCAAATTCTCACCATGCAACGAATCGCCACTGCAACAGCTAATTGGATAAGAATCATTTCGTCGGCCTTACTTTTCATATGATATACCTGGCTGTAGGCGCTAAGAAGTTCACGTGGAGATTGGTTTATTCTCCGTTTAAGGCCGTCATCTCGTATCGAATAAACTTGTTGATATATATGTGTATATATATATGGGATATATTGAAGGGGGAAAATTTGATTAGAAGCTGCCTTGTGTTAAACTCGAAGGATCTTGGGGGTAGGTGAGGCCCATTAAAACGGCAAGGCTATATAAAGGTCCTCAAGGCCCTACAGGCCTTTCAGAGTCGATAGCTCAAGCGCTTCAAGGTACTTATATGGGCCTGATGACAAAGAAATCGCGGAGTTTGTTTGATTCAAGAAAGCGCTGATTCACCAAGCATGGTCATATGCCTACAAAACTAGGTAATTACGTGATCATATTCAATATACCTTTACAGTTATTTATGGTCAAATAATTCAATAATTATACATTTTTAGATATATTCTCTGACAGCCGACAGAAAGACTGTCTACTTTACTGCAAGCGGTACGTGAAAAGCCACAATACGCTCCTGTGAACCTTGTATTGTACTTGAGTCATATTCCTTAGTCGATTGATACCCGTTTTCTGATCGTCAGATACGATTTAAACTACGCAGTTTTCTACAAGGTAAATTCATAAAGAGGTGACCAAGACCAACTTAGTCCAACCTGGGTTTGAGTCAAAAGACTCCGGCATAAAGCTAGTAATATTGAATGATCCTATCAATTCACAGACAACTAGGTAACCTCTGCAGAACTCACTGAAACCTAAAGGAAGACCCAACTCGGCTAAGTGTAACAACGCGTGCCAAAAATAGCGACCTCCCCTCAATTATTTGCCAAGTCAAAAGCTTAACCAAAGCTTAGCGCACGTTACCAAATAGAGCTGCCTGCGTACTTCCGCCACAACAGGTGGGATTTGGTAATTGCTTAGTGGGATTTAGTAAAGTGGCGTAATCCTGACAAGTAGGCATACACCTCTGTAATTGGTCATCTCACTACTAGACGCTGATAGGTTTGAGTATCCCTGCCTACTAGGTGATTGTCTCCTATGCCATCTCGTCTGAAAAAAGTAAGGTAAGACAAGGGATCAGCTTCTTCCCCCCACTTCAAAACGCAAGCTGACAAGGCTTAGCTCATGACGTGGAGCGTTATCGTGGTCGCTACTGGCTGATCTTGAGACCACACCCCTGTGATTGGCCCTTTTCCATGTTTCTCACGTATTATTACGAAGGATGAGGCGGTTCTAGACTCGTGTTACTATATGTTATTACTGAGATGCGCTAATTACAGGACATGGAGGGCCGGGAAGTCTTGACTGGGCCCCTATTCGTTTGTATATAAGCGTTGAATCGTCCTGATTTTCGTTGCTTCTTTTTTCTCTGGTCTTTATCTTCGCTGTCCTTGGGGAGTTCGCTTATCAAGCTACCTATCTCTCTCTCTCAATACTCTCTCAACTATTTATCTTTTTCTTTTCAGCCCTATAGGCATATAATTATAACCAAGATGGGCCTCTTTGACTTCTTCAAGTCCTCGAAGCAGGAACCTCCCCGTACCCAGGAGCCAACTTGGGATCCGAATACCCTGTCTATGCAGCAACCTTTGAGTCCTGCCGCTCCAACTGCTGAGCGTGTTGTTTCTGAACAGCCTGTACGTTTTATGTATCGCAGTAAGAAGTATTGTTGGGAGAGCTAATTGTTTAGGACGCGCAGGAGAATACGAAGATACAATTGCGTGGCGGTGGTGCGGGTGATGTTTGCTGTGGAGTGTATGCTTACATTTCTTGTGTGGTGGTGCGTATGGATGGAGAGCTAATTACAAGGATAGGTGCGCCGGTCTACTTTGCTTCGAGTGTTGTGAGGAGTGTTGTTAGTCAGGGGATTTATTACGTCTTGAAGTCATACTGAAGGAGTTGTTGTGGCTATAAGTTATACCCGTTTATATGGTTTTTTTTGTATACCCAGTGAAGAATTCTGAATATTGTCAAGATCATTCTGCTACCTGTGTTTGCTTAATGGAAATGACACGGCTTGTTGCTTTCCGCATTTGATAGTTTCAGCTGTCAGCTTCGTCATTTTTTATTCTATTTTTTTTTTCTGTGGTAAATTGATAATTTATCAGAAGCTTCCATTGGGGTTCTCAGGATTGACTTAGGTGTATGAATTGTGAGGTTTTGTATTAGAGCCAGCAGGGATAAAACTGAAGAGAGCGGAATGCAAAAAGAGAAAAAAGAATTCAGGACACTAGTACTTTGGGCCCTGAGGAAGTCGGGTCAAGTCTGTACCAACAGTGGTAGTACCATAACCGATGGCCAAGCTACGGGCTTCGTACTTGATTGTGCCGTCTTCGTTATATCCCGCTGTCTGGATAAGTCCACCGGTGAGTTCATCGACTATCTGACCGTACCAATGGCCATCACTGATGCTGCAACGAGCACTCGGTGATTCGAAGTGTGCGATCAGAGCAGCTGTGGTCTTGAAGAAGCGGAGACATCCAGGGCACCTTAGTGGGAGAGGGTTAGATTGGCAACGGGAACATGTTCCAACGGACATCGACCTACTGTCTGTTTTCCATCATCCGGCTTTTAATCAAGACATGCATCTCAAATTCCGCTAAGCAGGCAAAGCCCTTCTTACAGGGACAAACGTATTCGCCAGTGAATGTGTTAAAGAACTTCGAAGCGTCCCAGCTTCTATCCAGCATGCGGAGCGTGTCTCCTACCTCAGGAGTTCCGACGCCGAACGGACGCTCTTGCAGCTTGGTATCGGGAACCGCTCTGGCAGGCTCCTTTCCCTTCCAAGTCGCATTCTCTTTCTCTTTCGCCGAGGAGATGCCCAAATCGGAAAAGACCATTAGCTCACTAGTAGCCGCAGCATTATTTCCCCTAGGGGACTTTCCATCGAGGGTTGGCCAGTGTTTGAGGGCAAGCATGGCCGAGACACTAGCAGTGGGATCGTCCTCACCGGGCTTCGGCTGATTGTTCATCGCCTCTCTGTTAACTAACTCACGGCTTGGCACCTTGCCAATGCGGAGCATGACTCCACCATCAGCATCATCACGATCAGTATCCGTGTCATCTCCTCCATCTCGGGCAGGAATAACAGGCAATGACAGTCCCTCGCCGGCGTTAAGGGCTTCCTTGATCAAGAGTTTCTTTGACTGCTCCTGAAGGAGATGGACCTGGCTGATCTCAGCGCATTGCCCACTCTCGATATGGTGCATCAGGCCACTGGCGGTTTTGAACGTAGCCTTACAGCCAGCGCATGGGAGGATCTGCGCGGAGCGGTGGTTCTTTAATTTTAGTGGGAGAGGATTAGCAAACATGCCAATTTGCTAGCTGAGTGATGGAGTCTCACCTGACGGATGTGGCTGTTGCGGCCGCCTTCGCTGTGAAACTCAACGCCACAGACAGGACAGACAATATGATTCTCGCTTTTGATCTTGTGGATGAGAAGACGCTCCTCGTCTTCGCAGTCTTCATCGCAACGGGAGCAGTATTCATGGTCAGGACTGAAGGTTTTGTGCTTCTTCATTTCCTTCTCCGAGTTGAAGACGAGAGTGCAGTCAGAGTAGGTGCAGCACACCTTGGTAGGGAGTCGTCCTTCAGCCATGCTGTGGGCGGTCTGCAACGGTAAAAATAAGAGGGAAGGTAACGGCAAGAGAGTCCGGGAGAGAAAGGAGGGTGGCTAGGGAAGCGAAAGAAAGAGAGAATGGATGATGGTATGGAGAGGAAAGGCTATAATGAGGGCCTGCCTACAACAAAAGAAGCGTTGCCGAGGAACTCAGTCTCATTCAAACTGTGTTGCTGTTGTGGTGATGATTATAGAATGTAGACAGTGAAGTGAGTGAAGTGGGTGCAGAGATGAATTGACCGAAAATCCCTCAATGAATTTACCTCACACCAAGCACGTGGGTTGTTACAGTTGCATTGTATGAAACAAACACTTGTTGCTTTGCTTGTTCTTTGTCTGTAGAGTCTAGATTCATGTACAGGTTATTTGCCACTATGTATCAAGTTTGCCTTTTGCCTGGGGACATATCTACGTTCTTCAAGTAGTAGTAAGACAATGCAATGGCTTTCTTTTACTTTCCCTGGTGCTTGAAGAATGATAAAAGCAAGAGGAGAGCTCATTGGCAGCCTTTACTTCTAGGCACACAGCAATAGTGCATGCGACATACTCTGATGCGTGAGCATACTTCTATGGACATGGCAACTTGCTTATATCTTACCTTGAGATATGGTCGATCTGTTTTGCGCAATGCGTCCAAGATAGCTACTTGGTCATATTCTACAGATAAGAAGGGCATAGGATGAACTTACAAACTAGAGTCTACTAAAGACACCGACAGATAACAAACTTTCATTTTGTACCATATGGCTTTCATACACATATTTGACATCAAATCATCAAATTACACTAAATCTCCCGAGTAGGGGGGACGGCATCACCCTTCATACTTAAAACCTCGAGAAAGGCAACCTAAAACATCAGTATCAAAGTCCATACTCGATTCGAACAGAGTATCGGATGACAACTCACCACTTGCCACGGAGAGTAATCACCGCCCAATTATTTCCATCGGCATCAGTTTCCTTCTCCACCTTGGTCGAGAATGAGATGGCACTCATAATCCCATCGCCAAACTTCTCATTTAGAATCGCCTTATAGGCGTACCCGTAGTTCTGCACAATCTCGTACAAGCGGTAAATCAAAGGCTCCTTGGGTGGCATTTCCACGGACTTGCCACGGTCAGGGAAGCCGCCGAGCTGTTCCTCTAGGGCATCCCGGGGGATATCCAGGAGGGAGGCGAGGTTGGTGATGTCCTCTGGTGAAGCCTTGGCCTGGCCGTAGAAGAGGGCTGCGGTAGCGACTTCGTTGCGACCGATGTGCTGGGCGATTTGTTCGAAGCTTAGTTTCTTAGTAGCTTTGGCCTTGAATAGGGTTGCTGATGCGGCGGGGAGGTTGGGGTGCTGCGATGTCTGCTCTGGTTTGTTAGTAGGTATCCTGTGGTTGAGATAGATTGATAGGGACGCACGTCGAGTGTTGCGAGAGACATGTTGAGTTTCTTTTGGATGTACTGGATTATGTTTGAATTAAGGGAGAAACAAATTTTATCGCGCGTATAGTGGAGGAAATTAATCAAGAGTTCAAGGCTTAAATAAATTGAAGTCCGTCCTCTAATTCTCCAACCCAACAGGGCGATGAGGGGGTTGTTGCATCACTTGCATCTGTATGGTATGATACGTATGGCGTTCTCTATGTGCGGGGAGCTTAACACTCCGGTGGCGTAAATTACGTAATATGAATACCGTGTTCATGCGGGGGATTAAATGACGGCGGATGCCGATGAGGGGTAAGAGATCGATAAGAATTACCGTTATCGGGGGTGATTCCTTTTACATATGCGATATCGCTACATGTCCTCTATCAGAGCTTCAGTTTCCAGGCTTCGATATCCTGCTTTGACAATTGGGATTGCTCGGCAAGACAGGCCACCGGCTTGTCGTACATGATAGCAACGGGCATTACTGGCATCTTACGCCTTACCCTGGCGCTCTGCATATACCCAGTAATCGATCAGGATTCCTCTACCGGCAAAGAATCCTATGTCGCCGTTGGTATAGCTTCCTCCCAGTGGTGATACTAATGGAAGACCGAAGGTATTTCGGCGATCTTATATACTTTGACACGTACCCATTCTTCACTTCACAACATGTATCACATAGAGTACACCTACATACTCGCGTTCCCAGAGCCACACGTGTGTGTACTAGTGTTTTTAGGGAAAGAAGAATATAGAATCTGTAATAGCCGCTGTCGTTCAAGAAAGACCATGGAGAAGAATCCAGATCTAGACAATGATAAGTCCCTGAGCACACTAGAAAATTTCCGTCAAAACTGATATGCTGGCTTGAATGCTAGCTGTATAGCGGAAACCTTTCCGTTATTCCGTTCACTTTTCCGATACACCTTAATTCACCAGGAAGCAGCCTTCCATATCATGTACTAGTTAAATTTGTCACCCACTAAAATAGCAACATAATCACGCTTTTAGCAGTTAAATGGGTAAGATGGATCCTACATCTGCACATATTCATGTCTCACAACTCGACAGTGAGTGCCATCGGCTAAGTACTAATACACTCTTTTGCCAAAAAAAAAATAGTCACCCGATTGAGGCAAGCTACAAGACAAACTCACGGGCTAGCAGGGTTATTATGGGAACTTCAAGCGAGGATACTGAACCTGAATCGCGAGACCCTGCGTTTAAAGTCGACTGGGAACCGAATGATGATGAGAATCCAATCAACTGGCCTTTATGGTATAAGTCCTTCATTGTTTGGTCTGTCTCATTTACTACAACATGCGTGTAAGTGGACAGTTTTCTACTTTACCTAGTTTTGACCGCTATTTTTATGCATAGATGATAATACGATAGCTCACCATATTATATAAACCTTTAGGATATTATATTCTACATCGTATACATCTGGCTCTCCAGGGATCCAAAAATCGTTTAATGTCCCATCACGTACAATTGTTCTACTCGGATTGACCACATACATGTTGGGCCTGGCATTCGGTTGTTTAGTACTTGCACCTCTGTCTGAAATGCTTGGTAGAAGGTTAATCTACATAAGCACCGGTATCATGTTTACCGTTTTGGTTCTACCAGTGGCATTGGCACAGAGTTTCGAGGCCGTCGTTATCAGCAGGCTATTTGGTGGTTTCTTCGGCAGTGCGACAGTAGTCGTTGCACCTGGTACTTTGAATGATATAATTCACCCCAAATACCGAGCGCTAGCATTTAGCCTTTGGAGCCTTGGGGCAATGAACGGCCCTGTCTTAGGTACAAGCAAATGTCCGCTATGAATTGCATTTCGAGTTTCTCGGCTGACTATCATCAGGTCCTATCATCGGTGGCTTCGTGTACCAGTATCTTGGATGGCGTTGGATCAATTGGATTGTACTTATATGTGGTGGAGCATCGACCGCCTGCCTACTGTTGATAAAAGAGACGTACGCACCTGTCCTTCTCGAGAGACGACGAAAGGCCAAACAAATACAAACCGGCGATATGCGCTGGTGGACTACATATGATAAACAAGTTCAAGAGACTGTCTGGCAAAGATTAGCGACCAGCCTTAGTCGACCACTTGCTATGGCTATTTTTGAGCCAATCTGGTGAGTGATTGACGCCCGGTGTCAACTATCTGGACCGCGAACATGCTTGGCTCTGACTAAATAGCTTGTTTTGGAACATATACGTGGCCGTTGTGTATGCAGTGCTATTCTTATGCTTTGTCGCTTATCCGATCGTATTTCAGCAACTCCGTGGGTGGTCACCGGGGTTAGCCGGTCTTGGGTATGTAGGAATCGGCACTGGGATAGCTCTGGCTGTATTCTCAGAGCCATTGGTCCGCAAATTTCTGATTGCGAAACATCCACTCGATCCGATCACAGGCAAAGTTCTGCCGGAAGCTTTGGTACGACCGATATGCATTGGGGGCATCTTGATTCCGATCGGAGAATTCTGGTTTTCCTGGACAGCGCGACCGCCAGTCCACTGGATATCCTGTATACTAGCAGGTATTCCTTTTGGCCTAGGTAATGGACTTGTGTTCATATATGCCACGAGCTATCTGGCGGCTAGTTATGGTATGTATGCAGCCTCTGCCATAGCGGGCAACTCTCTCGTTAGGTATGTCTTTGGCGGAGTATTGCCACTTGCCGGCACAAGGATGTATCAAGCAATGGGGGTAAATTGGGCGGGTACAATGTTAGCCTTACTAGAGGTTCTTTTGACCTTTATCCCCTTTGTTTTCTTGCGATATGGTGGGAAGATCAGGCAGCGCAGTCGGATGGCTTCGATCTAGCTGCGCATCTAAGATCAACCTCCCATGCCAATGAAGGGTATCGATCCGGCACTCAAATCCTCGTCGATAAATTAGAGTAATTGGACTTAGCTACATCAATACGCCATAAAATCAGAAAGCCTGACGTATCTTGAATATTCTCGCTATGTTTTCTAAGTCTACTAACCTAACGCTATATGTAAAAGTGGGCTAATTTCGTTCAGATATACAATGAGCTACTGAAGATAGCAGGATGCAAGCTTATTAATGCTATAATAGTAAGGTATTATTAGTATGTAATATTAAGCATAAGCAGAGATATGATGCTGGTAAAGCTATATACAGCTTTTTTTTTCAATCCCGGAATCGTTGTGGGAGGCGTATTCGTCTTCCACGACGATTTATAGATATACAGCCCTCCGCATTAATCTGAGGCTCTGGAATAGTAATATCTTGCTTCTTTTGAGATGTAGCTGGTGTAGGACACTTCTTTTTGCCTTTTGGACCACTTTGAAGTTATTTTGAAGCTGGTTATCAGTCTCCTTAGCCAGACGCTCTTCCTCCTTCTGGCGCTTCTTTTACTCTGCTTTAAGGAGGCATAATTCTTTATTAGCCGTCCTAATTTATTTTCTTTTCTTAACTAAGTGTTGCTTATCTTGCTTCTCTTGCTGCCGGCGAAACTTTTCTTGTTCTTTAGAGGCCTTAGCAAGCTTTATAGTAGCTTTCTTTTTACTCTAAAGCTGCTGTGCTTGCTGTATCTTGCCTGGTAAATAAAATACAGTATAGCTATCCTCTGGAGCTCTTAATTTAAATAAAAGAGGTTCCCTATACTATCGCTTCTTCTTATTCAGAAGGGTGTTCTCAAGGCCCTCGCAGCGTAGCTTTAGCAAGATATTTTGGATCATGTAACATAGTCTGAGGGGCTGAGGTAATGTAGTTAGTTACCTTGGACCTCACCTCTCCCTACCCTCAACTATTTATTACCAACTGACCTTGTCATCAAATCTAAGTAGGCGAACACCCTGGATATTGCCATTCCAGCCTCACTTTCGTTCACCGACGCTCTTCATCTCAGACACTTCCTGGATCATGGAGCGAGCCAGGAAACGCCAACGTTTGTCGTCTTCACTGCCTGCGAAGTTCCACTCACAATGTTCATAACCCGAGCTCCCAAAGTCGCCCGAATTCTCCAAATTTCCTTGTTCGTTGAGTCCACTTCCTCGTTGGCCTGGTCGCCAGTTCCACAGATGCGTTTCAAGATCCCCGGTATCCCCCGAAGCTTGTCAGAAGATTCTTTCATCCTTCGACTTTGAGAAGTCGGACCACGAACAGTCGGAATCGGTTACACTCGAGCTGGAGAAGTGGATGGGATACGAGGGCTGGCCGTGGGTTGATGACCATGATCGGGCGAGAATTATCCGTGACAAAGCTTTTCGTATACTATATAAATTCCTCTGGTCTCATCGGTTTGTTTAATATTCCTCCTCGCTCGCCTACGCTACCATTGCACGAGTCCTTTACTAATGTCTACAGTTATTATTGGTTGACAAGCACCATCGTCGACGGCAAACCCCGGCTGATCATTTCTCCCAATGAAGGAATCGCGCCCTTGCCTTTGCCGGAGTGGCTGTCCACCCCTTACATTGTCCCCGTACCCCATCAAGACTTCACGTACAAACCGGAAACTAGCAAAGATATATGCAAAAATCCAACCATCACCAGTGGCCATGTAGTCTTGGATTCGGACCAAAGAAGGGTTGGTACCTTCAGTTATCTTATGAGCACGACCAGAATTCCCCAGAATCACCAGCTTACCTGGGTATGTTCGTCAGTCGGACATCTTATAGATGACCTCGCATCGGAATTCTTCGTCAAGCCGTATGACATAACCGGGCAGATTTCGTTACGGGTAGCCACCACGAGCGTCCGCACAAAACATTCGATCGACAAAAAGCCCTAGTTTCGGGACGATTGCGCGTTTCTTCTTGTCAAAGAATGCGATTTACATGCGTTTCAACGTGTTGTTTCGAATGTAAATCCTTTCTATCTGATCCCCGATCTTCCTGGGCAGGTCGACATATTAGACCCGTTGTCAATCTCTCGATTCTGCGACATCGAGCGGACAATGCAAACGAATCACTTGATAGTATACAAGCATGGCTCCTCGACACAACTCATTGTTGGACGTCTCGTTAAATTGACCAGACATTCTCCTCGGGGCTGGTTCGACGGCGACAGCAGGAACAATCTGGAGGATGAGATGGATGAAAATGAATGGATGGGGGTAGTTGACTGGACTGGGCTTCCATTCTCTAGTCCTGGTGATAGTGGCAGTCTTATTTTCGCGATTGAGGACGGCATATACGTTCCTCTTAGAATTCACGTTGGGGCGTTCATATTTCATATCAATCGAAACATTTTGTTATGCAGCCGAAGTTGAAGGGTGGGAGGTGCGTTTTGCTTGCTCTTGATATGTCTCAATCTGACCCTCAAAGAGACGGCATTCTGGAGCTGTTTCTTCTCTTCTAGGCGGTGGCACCCCTGCCTTGATGAGAGCCTTGCGGACCTGCCTCTGGTGGCGTCATTGTCTGCATACAATTAATAGATGTCTTGCCGTTCCCTGTGGAGCGTGGCAGCTCTGACATCTAGGTGAATTTTGAATCCCTATCCGGCTAAGGTAGATCGGTATTGCTGCATGTCCCGTCTTTAGCCGGTAGTATCGACGAGTGAGCCGTTTAGAGGCTGGTCCTGCAATCCGATCAAGTTTCCATCCTTTTTGGGGCCAATAGCGCTGTTGGACCCTGTAGGACCGTTTCTCTAGGGCCTGTACAGGCTGTTGTTGTCTGTAGGCCTGGTTTGCCTCAGTAAGGTTCTGCGCAAATATGCTGGACTAAGGCTCCTGTCTATATACCTGGGTGCCTTTTCTGCGGCTATATTAGCAGCTTGATCGGCCTTCTCATTTCCTAGTATACCTTTGTAGCCTGAGACCCATTGAATAGTGATTTGGCATCCCTGGTTCTCAAGCTTTTAGCCTTTATCTTGGGCCAGTTCCAGAGTAAGGAAAGTGACTCACGGGTAAATAAGTGAAAGAGCCTTGAATAGTATAGCAGCTTACTAGGTATATTTTTCCTCTACCTGATTAAGGAGAGCAGTCGTGCCTTTACCATAGTCTTCTTTGGTGTAGACTATCGGATTAATGGGATAGTGACTATCCCATTAAAGTTCACTAGTTGTTGGATATAGTACTCCAGTGGATGTTCATAATCTGCAAATACCCAAATAGCAGAGCTGCCTGCATCACCGGCATCTTTTACGTGGTTGTTGTCATTCTCAGGCTCCGTTGGGTCAGTGTCATATTGATTGTCATCAGTGCTTTCTTTATCAGAGTTATTAGTAGTGCATGGACACAAATGCCTGAGTGGCAGAAGAGCTGGCAGATAAACGGCCAAAAACAACATTAACCACGGCTTTTTACCGTCATCTAATTTAATCTAGTAATATAGTGAGAGATCAGCTTATTTTAATACTTTAGAAAACGGCTTAGCCAGTGCTTTCCAGGCTTTATTCCTGAGATCTCTTTAGCAAAATTCTGAAGTATCTCAGAGACATAATACAGGTCTCTCTCAGAGAGTTTATTAATATAAGTTATAAAAGCTTTAGCCTGCTGGCTGTTAAGTAATCGCTGGTTTTCATATTGGTTCTCTTTTAAATACATAACACCGCGGTGATGCCTTGAGAGAGTTGTACAATCAATAATAAAACTTTTCGTAACTTCCGCATATTTAAACAATTCTCCTGGATCTAGGGATTCTAAAAAGGCAAGTGGCTCATCAATTGAATCCATATGGACGGAGTTGTGGTGGTTTGAAGTTGAAGTCAAAAAGTCGGTGTATATAGAAATCCGTGCGGCAGGTGGGGACGTGCGTCAGGTGATAAGTACGGTAGAACGTGACACGGAAATGTGACGGAATTTGCAGCATACAATTCCGTGGCCGGAACACGGATATAGGCCGACACCTTCCTATTGGAGTTTATCCACAACACCTCAACTTTGTTACTCGTCATACCACAGCTCGTCAGATTTTGGTAGCTTTTCTAGCGTTGCAGATTAGGCAAATCGAATGTGGACCAGGTCCTTCCGCAATACCGACGGGGTTAAGCGCAAATAATCACGACCATTACCTCCCAAAACAGGAGTCACACCATTATCATAGTTGCACCCTGTCTCAGACTGCAACAGTATGGACGCATACGAACATCGGTAAAACCGGCCACTTTAAAGCCGAACTCCCAATTTTGACCCATCTGTTTCGGCAGGATACCGATGATGTTATCGGCCAGAACAAGATGGTGTTCCTCCGCCGACAAGACAAGCGATCTATAAAGGGTTTAAGACTGCCTTTCTTCTTCCCTTACCCATTAGTCTCTGAAGTCTTCAGATAGACCTAGTATTCACCATGAGCCCTCTGTCTGGCAAGGTCGCTTTCGTCGCTGGCGCCAACGGCATCAGTGGTTTCGCTATCATTGAGCATTTGATTCGGCAGCCGAAGGGCGAGTGGTATGTCTTGACAGCAGCCAACCGAACCTAAGAAGCGGTTGTTAACTAACTGTGGGATATAGGTCAAAGATTATCGTGTCTTCCAGACGCCCTTTAGCGTACTTTTGGCCCGACCCTCGTGTAGAATTTGTGGCTGTGGACTTCCTCGAGCCAGTGGAGAAGATCGTTGCATTACTAAAGGGTATTTGCGCGCCGGTTACGCACACGTACTTTACGGCTTACGTACACGATGATGACTTCAGGGTCCTTAAAGAGAAGAACGTGCCATTGTTCAGGAACTTTATGGACGCTGTAGATGAAGTTTGCCCAAACTTGGAGAGAGTTTGTCTTCAAACTGGTGGAAAGGTGAGGATCTTAAACCTCGTCACTCGATGCCTCTCGATATCGAATATGAGGGGATACTAATAACTGGCTAGTATTATGGTGTTCACCTCGGACCTGTAAAATTCCCTCTGTCGGAAGACATGCCTAGATATGACGATAAGGGCTATAACTTCTACTATGACCAGGAAGATTATCTGAAGGAGGTACAGGAGAGACGAAACACTTGGTCCTGGAACATCATCCGTCCGAATGCCATCAATGGATTTGCTCCCCACGGTTAGTTCTCTTAGTCAACCCGTCGGAAGACTCTGTGCAATCTGCTAACTTGCTATCATACAGCGAATGGAATGTCCGAAGCTTTGACCGTCGCAATTTACATGCTGATCTGCCGTGAGCTCGGCCAGCCCGCTCAGTTCCCTGGCAATGAATATTTCTGGAACTCCATTGACGACAACTCCTACGCACCTAGCTTGGCTGATTTGACCATTCACGCTACAACACACGACCACTGCAAGAATGAAGATTTCCTCCATTCTAACGGAGATGTTTTCGTGTGGAGATACCTCTGGCAAGACGTCGCGAAGTACTTCGGCGTTGAAGTATGTTGTATCTTATGTTTGAGAAGAGGCCCAATGACTAATAACATGCATTATTTCAGGCCCCTGAGCCGCAGTTCGATAAGGCTGTCGGTCAGATTAACACCCTCAACAACGAAATCGACATGGTCGAATGGGCGAAGGATAAGCGCCCCGTTTGGGAAGCTGTGGTAAAGAAATACGGAGGCAAGGTCGATGCCTTTGACTGGGGAACCTGGGGATTCTTCAACTGGGCAACCGGCAAATCCTGGTGCACAATCTCATCTGTTAACAAGGCCAGGAAGTACGGCTGGCAGCGGACAGACAGTACCCTTGAGACGTGGATCGAGACTTACCGGTCCTTTGAGAATGCGGGTGTGTTGCCAGCTCAAGAAGTCCTTCTAAGAAAATGAATGGGATATTATCCATGAGTGTATACGAAAGTTAATGCTAAAATTTTGAAAACATTAAATGGGATTAAAAGTCTCCATAATCTTTAACCACGGCTATCGAGAACTACATGCATATACGATGCACAATTTACAGAGACTGCAAAAATCAAAACCACAGTAACTAGGTATGACTAATTTTTAGACATCTCGGTTGTCCAAGTTGTCAGTGTATATTCTTATCGAGCAACAAGTCTGACAAAACGATCAACAGCTTCGAGCAAGGTTACCCCAATTGATGTATTTGTACATGTTCATGCGAATCACCACCTAACTTTCAGATGGAAAAATAGCATTTTACCCTAAGTCTGTACCAAACAAAGACTCGAGCCATCCCATTTGCATATATGCCGCTCCATCCTGCTGGATTTCATTAGCTTGCGTTCCCACCGTCCACCCATAGGTATGGTCAGCCGGGATCAGATCAGTCGTAAGGCTTTGCTCGAAGTCAAAGTCCACCATCACAAGGTTGGTCGGTATAACGGTCCATCTATCGGGTACCTGTTGGCGGTGTATTGATGGATTGATTGGTTGCGAAAGACCAATCGGACTTGTACTGAGAGATTCTGTGTTCTGGTTTGCCAGTGATGAGACGGGGGTATAGTTGCTTGCTATAGCTGTGGATGTCTGACTCGGGTGATCTGTAAGGGGGTTTGTTGGTAAGGATGGCCATGCCATTGGCCTAGGTTCCGTGTTGGAAGCAATTCGGGTACTCGAATCCGACAAAACAGATGAAGTCATTTGGTTTAGCCTTCTGATCGTTCGGATCATTTTGCCGGATACCCACGTCCTGCGACAGTAATTCTCAAGAGATACGGCGGCGTGAAGTGTCAGACTGCCGTACGTTGCCTTGAAAGAGGGCTCACGGATGATTAGCCCTAGGGCGACCACTGTAGCGCCGACTAGTGGGTGGAGGAAGGGGAAAGCTGATGGGGTATATTGGGGCACTTGTTTGAATTCTTGGATGATATTGGAGGCTATTCGAATACAGGTGACCTCTGTTTCGAGTATGTCGGCTATTGGTTCCTGTGGGGAAGCTCTTTGCTGCAGTATCGGCTTTCGGATAAGGAGTCGGAGAGATCGCCATCGCTAGGGGTATGGTTAGGAAGAGGTTCAAGGTATATGGACGGATAGAGGAAGGAGTGGTTCGTACAATTCGCATTAACATTTGTTGCTTTGTTTTCCACCGAAGAGGGTTACTCCATTCGAGATTTGGTGGCTCGGATGGGTGGTTATCTGAGAACTCTACCCTGATCTCCTTTTGGACTCGGGAAATGAGCTGGTCTAGATACTCTAGCACGTTTGAGCTGGGAATAACGTCCGTCATATTTGCCCCGTATATCGCCTCCCATATCTTACCTACTACCCGTGAGTAGTGGATGGTTGCATAGAGATAAGGGATCGGAGTGGTTGGGTTCCTGGAAAGTCCTGCGTCTATGTCGGTCTTTAATTCAGCGGTTGTTCTAGAGTCCTCTTTGTGTCGGGTGAGCCAATCATCATCTAGATTTCGAGGATAAGGAGTATCGACATTGACATCTTGGATTAGAAACGGATGCCCCGTCTCGATTGCTAGTCGACGATCAAGAGCATAGAGAGACCACCATAGCCGACGAACCAGCTCATCTTCGAACACTGACATACGTCCGACGACTTTAGACCGGTGAAACCCTACATGGTGTGCATGGGAGATAGCAAGAGCTAAGAACTTCTCGGCTCTTTCATTCGCGTCTAGTCGAAAAAGGTACACCACCTAAGAAAACCACGCACCGATTAGCATCTTAATATGCAACAAGGCTGACAGGACCAGATGTTGTATGTACCATTAACGCGTATGTTTGCAAGACAACAATAGGCCTAGAGCACGCTCGAAAACAGCCTACAAGATCTCCAATAAGGTCCGTTGCGGCCTCGAAGAGACTCCACCCAGAAGAGTGCTTGCCTTGCTCGCTACTCACTCGGGGTGATTCAGTACACCTTCCAAGTGCAATGCAGACCCATACTTGGGCGATCATAATCCGGTAATCTCCGCTCCTCTGGAACTCGTGTTCGGAAGAGGAAAAGCCTGACCTCCACATATTCGCATACTTAGCCCACAGGCTCGGTATATGAAGGAAAGGATACAGGATGTGGATCTCGTCGCAGCAGGTGCGCATGTATGCGTCCCATTCATCCTTGTGTGGATCAATGCCGTACGCATTCAAGACTTTTCGTATATCAGCCGTCTCACGCAGTTCCCTCGAAGTGCCTAGGGGAGAATTTGGTGCAGTCAATGATGTTCCCGATGCCCGACAGGACATGGGATGTTCTGGATGACCATATGCCGTATCTGTACGTTCGAGGTATCCCTCAATTTGGTCCAGCGTGTGGTTAATAGAAGTTTCACCCGAGAAAGCTGGTACTTGGGACCGCACCGCACCTGAAACTTCGTTCCGTCGGACTGTAGGCTGCTGTGGGTTAGTGGGCTCATCTGCTCGTGATTCCTTGTCAACCGGGATATCTTTGTCACGACATATTGACGACAGTACGAGGCTCAATTGATGCTCGATTCGATTCAGTCGGCCAGAAAAATCCCTCGCCGTCAGTCTACTCGTATCGTTAGCTACTAGAATCTATTACATTAAGTCAGGCGTAAAGACAGTATCACATACTGTTCATAATCATTCAGCTCACTGCCCGTGACTCCAGACTCCGTCAGCCCGGTTGTTCTTCGTCGGCGCATGTCCAGGGTCTGCATGAGACAATCTCGGCCATTGCGGACACATGGCTGACATGGAATGCACCCGTCACACTAAAGAGTTTCATAGCGTTAAGGACGACTCATCAACTTCTACTATATCTTAAGTTCTCACTCTGATCTTTCTCCTCTGACACTGTCCACTGGTGATTAAAATATATTGTGTCAACAACGTGGAGCGCATCTATCAACTGTATCAGATTTAGCTTTTACGTACCAGGCCTTCGATGCATATTTTCCCCGTTTCTGGCGCTTTGGACGAGGCTCATCTGGCGAACCGTCGCGCCCGTCGGTGACTCCATCCTCCTCGCGATGGCTCTGAGATGCGTTCTGCCGGTTAGCAGTCTCATTGTCTTGTTGTTTCCGCACCATTCTTCGGGCCAAGCATCTATAAGAGAGCTCTGCGCTCGAAAACTACAATATTCCGCTAAGCAAGATCATCGCGTCTAGTCAGACTGGAGGAACATGCTCACGAAACACAACGATCCTGGAAACTCCTGACTAAGGTCTTGCTTAGTCATCTGCTTATAATGTCGGAGTAATATAGCGGAGTTATAGGCGATTCAATGACCCTTGCGTCTCTTATTACATGCATATCGCTGATGCATCCTAGTCACTTCTTTCTCTAGAGTTGGAGGTATTGATTTCGAAAGAAGAGATTGGATTGCGGGGTGCGGCCATCTAGTCCATCAACGCTAGCGATTAGCGAGGTCTACCAAATGTGATATTCGAACCGGATCTCAGTGAGTGCAAGTTTATACAGTTGGAAAAATGCGTAAACAGAGTATATTGTCAGAGTTGGCTATGTAGTGGCATATTTGATCGGGCATGACAATTGAAGCTACGGTAGATGAGACGTCAAGGATTTAGCGGGCACGGAAAAAAATTGGGCCATGATTGCGTACACCGTCACATTAATTAGGATATCTATTTTAAGCCAATGTACTACAGTTGTGCACATAGAGGACGTTGGGAGACTCAGGGTCCGCGACGATCACCCCACCCCCTCTTAGGGTTAAGTCCGAGGTTTATCTGAACTGATGGCATTAGCCGAGCATCAGTATTAAACTGTTCTTGAGACTTTTCGTCGCTAGATTGGCAAACCAGTTACTTTGATAAGTCGTAAATCCTGCTGCTACCTGTGGGTCATGCAATCGGTCTACAAGAAAATGACATCGCCTGTCGTACCGTGGTCTATAGGCTCTGTCTCGATGAGTATTTCCTTCCTACAGAGTATCGTATCTCATGTGAAAAGATCGGCATCACGAATTGGCCCCACGGGGTGAAACCCCTCCAACACGTTCGACCAGGACTAGTTCCCTTCGGACTGGAATAAAATTGCCACTGCAGCTTTAGAATGCTATCTTTCCTGGCCCCGGTGCCCCAACCCTACTTCTCTGCGTCCCCTACCTAAGCTGGGAAGCTTTCTTTGCCACACTGTACAGAGACTCAATTCACCTAAACCAGGAAATTTAACCAGATATATACATGGAGGTTTTGTTTAGATATGCCGAAAACCGATATTGAACAAAACTCCATTAAATTAGAAGAGACCGATAGCGCTAGAGCGACAAATCCCTCAAGGTTTCAACGATGGAAGGCACATATGAGGAAATGGTGGTGGCTTTATCTGATCGGCTTGAGCTGTGCCATCTTGGTCATTATTTTTCCAATGTGAGCCACCCGAAAGGCCTCCCGGAACTGAGCTGATCAACTAAAAAGAATCTACGTCGGAATTCCTCGCTTTGCCAACGACCGTATCAATAAGGCTAACTTCGACCTTGATGGCTTGTCTATCACAAACCCAACGCCAAACTCTTTCCATGTGCGACAATCACAAACCTTCCATGCGGGAATGAGTAGTGGTGGGCATCTCTCGGAGTTCAATGCCACTATGAGCTATAAAGCCTCCGACACTCCCTTTGCCGATCTTCATTTCTCCCGTATCAACTTTGGGGATGACACTCGCCTTGATATCGATCAGGACTTAGTCTTGTCTTGTGTGACCTGTTTCTCGCAGCTAGCTGAAGAAGCAATTAGAAGCAAAGAAGTAGCAGTTCTTGTTACTGCGAAGCCTGACCTTAACATTAAGGCACTGCCCACTGCCCATTTAGACATGCATAAAACTGTGATATTACCAGGTAAGCTACCTCGCAGTCTCTAAATAATTCATATATGACGCAGGGATAACAAATGCTAATGTTCTCTCTGTCCATCCAGGATTGAATGTCCAGGGTCAGTCAATTTAAATGGTAACGCAATGAAGAAATGCTAACCTGGTCTAATTACTTTGCACTAGAGTTCATGAAACGTGATGACGCATTCAATGTCACCAAGCTCAAACTCCTGAAACCAAGTTTTAATGATGAGTATAATGTCAATGCCACCATCGCCTTCAATACCCCAGCTGCAATAAATGTTGAAATGGTATGTTATGTTTCGAAAACGGGCAAATGCATCCTTTACATTATTCCACCCCAAGGCATTGTCATAGACAGCTTGCTGACTCACAATAACAAAGGGAACCGTCAGCCTCAATCTCACAATCGGAGACTCAACGCTGGGATATGTTGATATCCCCAATTTAACCCTTCGAAACGGCACGTCCAACGCCGTCGTCCTAGGCAACTTGGACGTGAAACTTATGATACGAAAGGGGTTGTGGGAGAGTAGTAATTCCGACTATGGCAAAGTGACAATCGGTATCCACGGAAACCGGAGTTTGTATAATGGACAAGAGATTCCCTACTTTACAGCGGCTGTCCGGGCAATTTCGGCGTCTACGACGATTAACCTCTTTGATTATGTGTCTGATATCCTGGGAGGATCAAAGGATTCTCTGTTTTGAAAAATGTCTCCAGAAGCGATGAAACCATTTTTGAATGGCACAAACTTTCAATATCAGCATTTTCCATAAGATGAAGTAAGTATCTGTGGTCCCATCTTTCGATATAAATAGATCAAGAAGCCAAGAAAATATTAGCTTTGAAGGTATTGGGTTCTTTCACAAGGCCATTCAAGTAGTATCCCAAGTAAGTATCCGTCATGCATCAGTCTTGCCGTACCTGCTGGGATTTGTATATCACAAAAATATTGCGTTAACGGTTTGTTGACTTCAATTATACTTCAATGGACACGGAATTCCGAACATTGAGTCGGAGATAGGGGCTAGTGGGACGGCTTATTGGATGAAAAGGGAAAAGGGGGGGGTTTACTTCGGAATTCCGAACCCGCGAACATTCATCCATCGATTGTTTGCCTCGCACCAAATCAGGTATATAATATTCGGTATTGACATTATGATATGGAACTGAATATCATTCAATTGAATCAGAATCTTGAATACACTACATATACCTACCCATCCTTTTTGTTCTGTCTGGTGCACAAACAGAGATCTCCGCCGGAGCTCCCCCATTCTTATGATGGACATCTTAATTCGTGACAGTTTATTCGGTCGGTTGTTGAACTATGTATTGGATGGCCGAATATTACGAAGTCATGATCTTGACATTCCAAAGCACGAGGGTCTCGCGAGCTCAAGCTCTTCGGTTACATCTCCCGACGCTGCGCATAGGATAATGGTTGAATTCACTGGGCCGGATGATCCAGACATGCCCAAAAACTGGCCCACATTAGCTAAGACAATAGTAATGTTGGATGTTATGCTGTTGAACTTCAGCTTCTATGCGGCATCTGCAGTTTTCACCCCAAGCATTCCAGACATTGAAGAGGTTTTTGGCGCTACGACTACTGAGGGTACACTGGGGCTTTCGCTTTTCGTCATTGCGTACGGAATTGGACCCCTTATAGTATGTATCTATGACTTTCTAAACATTAGAAGTATGCTAACAATGAATTTTTTGCAGCTTTCGCCACTGTCTAATCTGCCCTCTATCGGACGTACACCTGTATACGTCCTTGGCTCACTTGCTTTCTGTTTGTTCAACATCGGGACTGCACTGGCTAAGAACGTGCACACCATTCTAGTCCTTCGCTTTTTTGGCGGTTTAATTGGGAGTGCCCCAATCAGTGTGGGTGGTGCCACGCTGATGGAGGTATATGGGCCAACTGAAGTTCCGTATGCGATTGCACTGTACGCTGTCAGTGGGGTCTGCGGACCCATACTGGGGCCGGTATGTCACCTATCACCACAAGTATTGAGAATGTTTCGAAACTCACTGAATAATGTTAGATTCTCGGAACACTGGTAATGTTCGTGTGCTGCTTTCTTAGCTTGACAATATGATACTGATAAACTATACAGAGAGCGTTGGAAGACGTGGACGGCAACGCTATGGCTCCTTTCTGGTGTAACAGCCTTCACGACTGTATTTATTTTCTTCTTATTGCCTGAGACACTATATTCGAATATCCTTCTTCGTCGAGCACAGCGACTCCGTAGTCAGACGGGAGATTCCGCATACCGAAGTCAAGCGGAAATAGACACGCCTAAGACCAACTTTGCCGTTCAAATACTTAAGCAAACTGCGGATGACTTCAAGCTATCTTGCATGGACCCGGTCATCTTCTTTGTCAATATGCATACTATGCTAATATATGGAATTCTTTATCTGTGGTTTGAATTCTTCCCGTTCGGTCAGTCTTTCTGGGAGTTCTTTCTCTGCTTTTGCTTACCGTTCCCTAGTCTTCGACGGCATTTACAACTTCACTACGATCCAGCAAGGCCGTGAGTCCCCACCTGATGCTTCGACTATCCAACCTAATAGTCTCTCTACCAGTCGCCTTCTTTGGTATCCTTGCCGGTGCGGTCGTATCGGTCATCGTGTACGTACTATGGCTGTACTTCTCCTACCAACCACGAGTCGCAAAGCCAGAGGTTATTGTCGAGCCTGAAGCGCGTCTTGCCCCTGGACAAATAGGCGCAATCTGCATCCCTGTCTGTCTCTTTATATTCGCGTGGACTTCTCGTGAAAGGTAGATACAACCCGAACAAGCATCTCAAAGGACAGGAGCACTAATACACCATTCAAAGCATACACTGGATCGTCCCCATTATAGGTACAGCCTTCTTCGCACCGGGCTTCTACCTGACCTTTCAATCTATTCTTAACTACCTAGGAGAATCATATCCAAGACATGTCGCAAGCGTCTTTGCCGGCAACACATTCTTTCGGAGTTCATTCGGAGGCGCGCTCCCTCTAGCAGCCCCGCGGATGTTACAGTCACTAGGGATTGGATGGGCGTCGAGCACACTAGGATTCATATCCATTGCCATGCTTCCTTTACCATTCATCCTAGAGCGGGTGAGCCACATTCATTACTCCCTGGAAACCAAAGAAATCTCACTAACAACACAATGGCAGTACGGTAAAAGGCTGCGCTCTTGGAGCAAGTACGCAAACTAGGACGCCTTTCAATCTATCGTCCGGTACGGACATATCGGTCACGGAGTTAACGGCTCGTGACGAAGGGTTGAACAGGACTCCTTCAAGTTGCCATCCACCGGTAGATGGGCCTTGAACAACCTCAGCCCTTGTCTAAGGTGGGATGGTATCACATTTCCCTACGATCTGCCCCTCAAACATAGTGTCACACGGTGGTACATGGGTACGGTACACCCCTTAGTAAGAGTGGTCTTTATATAGCCCAGACTTGCAAGACAAGATACTCGAGGTAGTATTTCGAGATACTAGAATAGCAGTTTCAGCTTCATCTCTTCTTTGATTATTCCAGAAATTCACTCAGCAATAAAAATGTTCAAAATAAATCCTGTCCAAAGGAACCACCGGCATAAAGTGTCCCACAGACTCTCTCCATTCTGGATAAATCACTACATCAGTCCACCCAAATCCAATCCATTGCCCTAAACAGCGCCCCTAAAACACCACACCAAAGCTAAAAATGCCCTCAGGACTCAAAGTCGTCCGTTTATTCAACAAACACCAAGACCGCAAGAAAAAGGCCCAAAAGCCCAAACAAGAAGAACCAGGAGAACAACCCTACACAGTAACGGAAGTAGACAGCGTGAATGGCCTCCTTGCCAACTGGCCAGGTACAAAATATTCCTACGCAGTAGTCCGGGCCCCGACTCCCCGAACCGAGAACCCCGCCAAGTTCTACGAGGAGTGTTTTCTGGAGATTGCTGAAAACCGAATCGGCCTGTGTGCCACTGATGAGCTTATTGGCGAGGGCCACGAGCTCTACGGCGATAAATGTGCATTTTTTGCTTGCGTGGCAGCGGACAAGCGGAAGCCAACTTATGATGATCTTTATATGACGCTCTTGAAACATATTTTTGAGTCGAAGCCGCAGGTGGATGAAGCCTTGGGGGATGCGTTTGCGCATTTCCAAGCGTGTTTCACAGGGGTTATACGGCTTGGGGAGAGTATTGTAAGTAGAGAAGCGATTGAGGAGGCTAAACGCTATGTCGAGATTTATAGGGATGCCTTGAGGACTCGGGGTTTATCTGAGCCTGCTGGACTGGAGGAAACTGAGAATAGTGCAGATGTTTAGGATAGCCACTTAGTGTGGTGTGGATGGGGCTATGGTTGTTGTGCTTCCTGCTTGTTGGCTTGGGTTTTGCGTTTCGATAATTGATCTTGACTTGTATGTACATTTTGTTGAGCCTGTTCCCTTGTATTTCTTTTCTTTGGATCAATACTTAAAAAAAAAGGGGGTAAAAAGGAAGGAATGAAAAACGCTATACATCGACTGACGAGGAGACCAAGGGTAGGAGGACAGTGGGGGAAAGGATTTCTTGATGTGACGACTAATAAATTCGAAGTAATGTTAGTGAAAAGAATTCTTGAATGACAGAAAACAGCGTCCTAGCCAAAGGAATATTTTCTCTATTTGTCTTATTGAGTCTAGGTCTGTAGGAGTTCAGCTCATAAGGATATAACGCCGCAAGGTTCTCTTTGTCCGTGTATTAGTAGTTATTGGCGTCAATGATCTGGATATTCCGCACTTTCCAGTTTCCATATATTGGCTCGGGCTATAGAGGAATGAGTATACAATTCTAACACAGATTATTATGCGAGAGGAACGGCGACATCAGACGTATGGTGAAGGCATCGCCAGAGCATAGAACAACACGGTGTAAGGTACGGTCTATGAAAGTAGTGATGTCTCTGCAGAGTTACGAGTTAAGTGGAACCGGCCGCATTATATGTAAGCAAGGACAGTTCAGTTCCACATGCCTGTACTAAAGTCCTGGAGACTTCACACGCCAAGGAAGAATGCTAACATAAAACCTCCCTGACGGCCGCTCCGGAGCGTTGAGCATAGATTCTTGTCCTGGTTTCTAGTCAGCCAGTCCCGGTATCTGTTTGCTTCTTTCTCATTGATATGTTCTGTAATATATGTTGTGGAATCGCTTGCAAGGATGGCAAATCTCTACTTAAAGGCAAAGCAAAACACAGAGAAACTAACCCGGATCATAAATGAAATCCTTCGCCAGCTAGTCTGATGTAGTGTAGGCGTGGAGCCGATTCTGGAAAAGGCATTGAAGAAAAGGAAAATTGCAGAATCACTTCCTTGCGTTTGTTAGCTACGGCTCGATATAGATAGCATACATAGATAGCCCATCCAATCTCTCCGTAACAACTCATATATGATGGATGTTAGTTAATTATCAAAATAGCATTAGTAACTAACCAATGTAGTTAGTTAGATACTTACTGTACTTGTACCATAGGGATTCTTTTCCTCTTCCACTCGACCAAAAACCAGCATTGGCTGAAAGCCTAATTTGATGATATCGCTGAATAAATAAGGCAAACCAGAAACGTCGAGAGCGTTGTCCTTTTTATATATATTATTTATTATTAGGAAAGGGCCGTCATGTTGCGAACTTGGGCAGTCAGGCTAGCAAAGCTAATAAATATACAGGCCGGCTACTGGTCAGGCACTATACAGGCAAATAGATAAGATGTTATGGATCTGACTTAACAGGCAGCCCTATATCATGGGAGGCTCTGCCCAAGGCATCGCTGCCAAGCCTTTACCACACAAATATTTCGTACGACGCGTTATTCTTGTCAATTAGCTATTTCTTCTCGTTCAATAGGCATGCTTAGACTTGTTAGGCCCGCGGGTTGGGCCGGGTTTCGAGTAAGTGGACCAGACCTAGTCTTACTATAGATATTAGATCCCCATAGGTTGACCGTATAATGGAAGCCCGAAGGCGAAGCCGATATCAGCCAGGGGTTTTACACCGTACAAGAATTAAATCTGTATCCTGGCCGTAAGAAGTATAGTATGTGATGGAGTTCGGCTAAACCACTAAGCTAAAAAGACCTAAAGACCGAACTTCTTGTTCAATATGCCTAATCACCACCTATCTACGATGTTATAACAACAAGATAGTTACACCAGGAGGCCTATTATCATAGCGGTCGTGGCAGCAATTGCATCTGTGATCTACGATGTAGCGACGCACTAGCGCCTCAAGTCTTGCCACCAGGCAGGGACAGCTGTTCTCTCGGAGCCGAAGCAAAAATCATATTGCTGTATGGCTCATTGCACAAATGAAATAGATTGGGTTTGTGAAAGATACCCTAAATCACGGTTCAGGCCCTCCCGCGTCTAATTATCATTTTCTACCAACAACCTCTCTTCTACATCCATTTACTCACCACACAATGCCTAAAAATTCCAGGAAATCGAGGATCAACTCTGCAATGCGCTGCGCGCGTATCATGAGCGCAAGGAACCCAAAATCGCACCGTTGGCTCGGGAGTTTGGTGTTCCCTACCAACAGCTGAAGGGACGTATACACGGCCGTAAGTCTCGTTCAGCGCGTACTGGTCCGAATAAGGTGTGGATAGGCCCAGGAGCAGGCATTAACTATCTGGATAGGTATCCTTGATGATGCAACTGTTCCGCCAGCTCCCCGGGACATTGAAAGATGTGCAAATGAAATGTGGTGCGCAGTGGTTCTTCACGACGCGTCGGTAAAAACTGGGCCTACAGCTTTATCAAGCGCCTCCCCAACAGCTATAGTTATATTGTACAGAAACCTGTGGAAGCTGAGAGAATGGATGGCGAGAAATTGCCGACTATAATCGACTGGTTTAATCGTTTAGAGGGAGAGCTACAGATGTATAAAGTTAGACTGAAGAATATTTATAACTTCGATGAATCCGGCTTTCAACTTGACCAAGGAAAGCCCCAACTAGTCATTACCAAGCATAAACGCGGTGCGAAGTCTATTCCAACAGGTGGTATTGGAGAAACAGTGACAGGAGTTGAATATATGGCGGCAGATGCCAGCATCAAGTTCTACTATCAACTCACCGCCAACAACATTAAAAAAGCTGCGACAAGATGTTTCTAATGTCCAGAAAAGCATAGCTACCCTTAAAGAGGCCTCTGCTACTGCCACGATTAATGTAGCTAGGCTTGAGCGACATCTCAACTTCATTTTCCAAGGTAGTCTTACCCAGGCGGAATTGGCTGCCCAGACCACTGCAGATATAACACGTATCCTTGCCAACAGGGAGCATGCGAAAGTCCCTAAAACAAAAGCGGCAGATTCGTACTGGAGGCCCTCTCTCCGTTTGTGATGCGAATACCCTTACAAAATCTCGGATATTGCAGAGGCAGCGAAAGAGAGGCGGAGGTGGGAGCGGGATGCTAAGAAACAGCGCGATAAAATACTGCATAACAACCAAATTAAGCCCGTGGAGAACCAAAAAAGGGCGGCATAGCTTAGATAAGAAAGGAGAAGTTCTGTAAATAGCTTCTGAAATGCTAGGAAGGGTAGAAAATGATAATTAGACTAGGCGATTATTAGACCTGGGAGTGGTTGAATCGTGAAATTGATTACTAATCGTGAACGCCCAATCAGAGGGAGATTCAGGAAGTGGATATTGATGGGTCTGACCGTCCTCCCCTGGTCTTCCATCCATGTGTACAAGTTTACCTCGATAGAGGGATAAATCTATTATTTCTCTACCCCACGCTAGTGATATGGCATCGAGTTCAGGTCACATACGCACATTCGCCGACCAAATTCATCCACTCAGAAGGGATACGTTCAGCCCATGAGGAAAATTGATTCTGTCTCCCATGGATAGGGTCTTAGCAAAACAAATCGGAGCTGGGAGGTCCTATAATGGACTGATCTGCAGTTGGCGATCTCACTTAGGGTTACATTACTTTCTAATAGTCCATACAGGAGGGAAGAGCGGGGAAGAGCTATAACACCCTATTAATATATCCTGTTCAGCTCAGAATTGCACAGACACGCTTGACCATAACGGATGCATTAGTTTCCTGCACGCCCTAAGTACCACCAATGGGACTCAGCCGGATTACCATCCCAGGCTAAGCCGCCAATAATGACCTTTGAGACCTTTAATATTACAGCTCGGATAGTGGGACAAGGTGCTGATGGCACAGTTGATTTGTAGCATATGTTACATTGCATGAAGGCTTCACTTTCATTCACATATCTAGCGGGGGACAAAAAAACATTACATGATGATGGGCAGATTCTTCATTCTTCTGTGGTTATTCAGAAGAAGGGATCTGGGTTGTCGGTGTGCGATTCCAATGCTAACCCTTCATCGAAGCACCCATACAGTTTTTCAGTTATAGAGTTATCATTCATGGATATGATCCGTTCCTCAAGGATATGGAATTGTTCTGCGAAGTCCTTTCAGCCGGCATACTCCAGAATAAAACTAGCATTTCCTTCTGGCGTCTCATCCCCACTTTCTGGTCTAATGCGTTTTAATAGATGAGCCGACACGCGCGGGGTCCTGGTCTGCGTAGGAAGTGTCAACATGAAGGGTCGTTCAGCTGTCTCGGTGCTCACACTGACATCATGTTTACGCGTACCACCTAAAGATCCCAGAGGATGTAGATACATGTGCTCATATTGCTGTGAGGGGACAGTGGCAAAGAATTAGTGGGAAGAGATTGAGTAACGCCCGGAGATGCAAGTAGGACTCAAAAGATATAAAAGCTAGAGGAATCGCCTGGTTAGAAGCCAGAGCATCTATATCCCTCTCAGCTTTCTATTTATTACCTCCTCTACCCAGTACCCGACTTCGGTTCGGCATTATGACTGTCTCCAAAGACAATAGCGACAAGGACTTTGAGTTCGCCCATTATGGGTTGATCCGAGTCCCCCAGGATCCCTTCATTACTTCCAGCACCGACAGCAAGGCGGTTGTCTGGAATTGTGACGCTTACGATTTCCTCCAGGAGGATTGCGCCGACACTGCCAATCCATCCCTCTGGCGGCAAGGACAGCTCTGCAGCGTGACAGCGGGTCTGTACCAGGTTGTCAGTGGAATTTTTCAAGTGCGTGGGTTTGACCTGGCTAACATGAGCATTGTTCAAATTCCAAATACAAACGGAATTATTATTATCGACTGTTTGACTAGCGTGGAAACCGCGAAAAGTGCGCTTGATCTCTATCAGGGCTATCACCAGGATGCCTACGGTCAGAAAGCGGACATCAAGGCCCTATTCTATACCCATTGCCATGTGGACCATTTTGGCGGTGCCCAGGCAATTGTCGACCAAGCGAGACCCAACCTCCCAATCATTGGCCCTGATGGCTTCCTCGAACATGCCGTCAGTGAGAATGTATACGGGGGGGCGGCAATGGCTCGCCGATCCATATACATGTATGGAGAAGCGCTCGAGAAATCTCCCACAGGACAGATTGGCTGTGGGCTCGGGCAGGCGCCATCCACGGGCACCAGCTCACTGGTGGCACCGACGTACAATATCACCAAGGATGGCCCTCTCCCTGAGCATATTGCTATTGCTGGCCTTGAGATCATCTGCCAACTGACCCCTGGAACCGAAGCCCCCGCGGAGGTAAACTTTTTCTTCCCCTCGTACCGGGCGCTGTGCATGGCGGAGAATGCAACCCATACCCTGCATAATATCCAAACTCTGCGGGGTGCCCCTGTTCGGGACGCTCGCCTATGGTCTCGATACCTGGATAAGTCGATTGCGCTGTTTGGCCACCAGTCAGATGTGGTCTTCTCCAGCCACCACTGGCCCACCTGGAATGTAGCGTATTATAAGCCCGATGATCCGAATACAGAAGACCAGAAGCTAGTCGTCCAGTTTCTCTCAGAGCAGCGGGATTACTACGCCTACCTGCACAATGAAACCCTTCGGCAGCTTAATGACGGCAAGACCCCCGTGGAAATCGCAGAGGAGATCCTGATGCCTCCCCAGTTGCAGGACAAGACCAATCTCCGTGGGTATTACGGCTCCATCAACCACAATGTCAAAGCCGTCTACGATAAATACATGGGTTGGTTTGATGGGAACCCTGCCTATCTGTGGCCCCTGGCCCCGGTCGACGAGGCCAAAGAGTTTGTCCAATGCATGGGAGGGCCTGAGAAGGTTCTCCAACTCGCTCAGCAATACCGCGCCAGCAAGAATCTTCGATTTGCCGCTACACTCTTGGACAAGCTAGTCTTTGCGGATGCCAGTAACCAGGACGCAAAGGATGAATTGGCATCTGTCTACACTGATCTGGGCTATGGTGCCGAGAATGGCACCTGGCGGAATATTTATCTGACGGGTGCGTATGAGTTGCAACACGGGTCTCAGAGGGCAATAAATGCCATGTCACAGCAGTCCCTGATGGCTCTTAATCTTGACGAGCTTTTTGACACGATTGCCATCCGGATTATTGGACCAGAGGCCTTCAAGCAGGCGGATGAGATCACCATTGATTTTATGGTGGCCAAGATGCAGCAAGGCTCAGACCCCAGCATTGGCTGGCATTTAAGGTTGAGTAACGGCGCTCTGACTGGACATAGTATTCCATACTTAGTTTATCCCAACCAGCGAAACAGCAGGGTGACCCTGACAGTCTGGCTGGAACATCAGGATCTAGTGAACCTGGTGGGAGCGGCGGCCTCTGCAAACACCTCTGATATTACACAGTACAAGACTGTTGGCAACACCCAAGTTTGGCAGACAATTACGTCCTTGGTCAAAGTTCCCAACGATAGATTCAATATTGTCACGCCTTAGCACAAGACTGCTTAAAGCCATTTCATGTCAGACTTCGTTTGCTTCAGGAAGGAGAGTTTGACGTCACGGCTTCAAAAGAAAAACAGCGCTGAGTAGCAAGTTAAACTAAGATGATTTAACGTATCCGGTAAACGAGCCGGTCAACCCACGCGTTTTTTCGCGCCTCCTAGAAATGAAGCTATTCGAAAAGCCAAAAATTCTGCATTTCTATAGCAAGTTTAAATATTCTGACGATTAAGACATTGAGTAATTTTATGACCTAGAATACCACAGCCAGAGCACTTTGGTGGAGCGTGTACGCGCTGGTTTTCTACTGTAGGAGCAATATCTACTGATATAGCAGATATAGCTTCATTAGTAGATTTTCGGCTTTCTATAAGTTTCTGGGCTTCCTGGACTGAAGCGCCTACTTCTAAAGCAATCTATCTAGTAGAGTGCTTTTTCTTTTTAAGTGTTCTTTCATGTGCAGCGCGTAATTCCCTGACTTCTTGCCTTGTAGTTATAGCTTTATTTAAAGCTAGTTCATATCCTTTAACAAGCTGCTTTATAACAGCTTTTGTAGGCAAATCAGGACTATTTATATGTGCTCTAAGGAGCCTTTTTAATATAGCTTCTTGCTTCTGCAGTTACCTGAGATTGTGAGGTGTTTTAGGTGCTGAATTACTAGACCTATTAACAGGTCTACTACCTGGAGATGTTGTTTGAAGCTTTATATTAAGCTGAGATAGCACGCGCTCAGGATTAGAAGGAATAAGACCAGTAGCAGAGAATCCACTGCAGATATTACTTACAGTATATATCTGAGCTCTTGCTAGAGGAAAGGCTTCAAGAAAATTAAGCTTATCAATATAGTTAAAGCCTAGTCTTATCTTATTCTCTATTATACGCACGTTTCAAGGGCCCAAAACAACCTATATCAAGCGGTTGAAGTAGGTGAGATGAATGTGCAGATATGTAGATTGGTATAACAAGATTTTGACTGTATATCTTGTCAAACTGAGGTGTCAAATGGCTGCCATGCCCATTAAGTATCAGAAGACGATATTGACCAGTATATTGACCAGTAGTAGTAGGTATAAAAACCTGCTGTAACTAATATAGATCTATTTCATCAGTAGACCAGCCATTTGCACTTATTTCTATATGCTAATCTGGTGGTAGATCCATCTCGTACCAGCCCTTAACATGGACCTTGCCTTTAAAGATAATACAAGGTGGAAGACCCCAACCAGTAGAGTTAATACGCTTAATAGAAGTAACTTATTCCTGATTTCCCGGCTGTAGTAGTTTAGGCCTTCTATGTATTTCTGCTCTAGTGACTACTTTAGTAGTAGATATCAGGCTCATTGCAAAAGTAGTCTTACTAAAGTTATAGATATCGTCCGGTGTAATGCTATACTGCATTATAGTGATCTGAACCCAATTGAATCACTTATACATAAGTTCAGGATCCTCACACTTAGCGCGTTGATAGTTATAGCGGCAGGAGAAGCGAGTTTTCAGCTTATCTCTGCATTGAATTAAATTATATACCCATTTTTCATCAACAGTAGTAGGAGTGGTATCGCCACGTTTAGCAAGTAGAATATTAGCTATTTCTTGTACATGCACAGGCCGGGAGGCTGCTCCACATCGATCTAATAATATAATCCAGTGTACCAATGAATCCTCTTTATTTTGAGTCAATTTATGGCTATTGGAGCGTGCTTCAGCGCGAAAAGTATGCCCCTTTAATTGTTCTAGAAGCGTAGAATAAGGAACATTAAAAAGACGTGAGGTTTCCGAATACTGGAGTTAGACATGCAACGTGGCAATGCACTTTCAAAAGTGGTATAGACATAAAATAAGAACAGAGGGTGATAAATATATTTTTGCTTATAAATAATATAGAGAAAGCGTAAAGCCATTTTAAAGATTACAGAGCTTGTTTCTGGGATAGTTTAAAACGAAGTTTGCATCTCTTCCTCATGAATTCTTGGAGGAGTTAACATGTCACCATCAGAGGATCGCGATAAGGAAGCCATAAGCATCCTTAGGTAGTTAATAAAAGAAGAATCAGAATTGTCAAGGGTATCTACTATTCAGGGTAGAGAGAACCTGTTAACTAGATAAGGGTACGTAGGCTAAAAGGAAAGAGAGAGGTTAAAGACAGGCAGTAGATACTATTCGGACAGGAGACTGATCCTTGATCTCCTACTACTACTAACGATTCGCTAATTTATAGCTAAAGGCTCCATTCCATGCCTAAAGGATTCAGAATCTCCCTTGAACCCAATCTGTCGAGTGGCCTGATGTTCCTCATCGGTGGCCGATTGTCCATGCACCTGAGTCAGGGTATTCTGTACGGTCATCAGGCTGAATCGCTATTCGATCTGTGTGTGACACAGAACCTAGCGGGGAGGGGAGAAACAGTCACGACGAAGCAGTGGTGAGGCCAAGCAGAACAAGCAGCTTAGGCTGGCACCGTGACAAAAGGTCTTTCTTTTTGTTGACTTTCTATCTTCAGTTTGATTGAATATTAGTTATTTATTTATTTACTTACTTACTTTATTTACTATTTAAGAAGTTAGTGTATATATAGTGTGATAGGATAGGTATATATAATAACAATATTAATAATAAATAGATAGATAGAGATAGTAACATCTATAAAAAAGCTAAGACAGAACAGACAGACATCACTTATGTCAGTCGCCCGATGTGGGGGTCGAACCCACAGCCTTGAGATACCAATTGATTTTGGACCTTGGTTCACATATTTCTACATTACTAAAAGTCTCACGCTCTGCCATTGAGCTAACCGGGCTAGGGCTAACGGCTTTGCCGCAAATACGAATAGCTAAACTAAAATACTCCGGAGCATAAAAAAAGACCATACATGCATTCTGTCTAGGTAACTCGCTGCGGTTCTGTCAACATGTACAGAATCAACACCGTAAGAGTAGTAAAACCATTGCAACACTCAAGCCCTGCTAGGATGGAAGATTCCATTATTAGAACAGACGATATTTCTTTGAATTGGCTCGAGACTATATAGTAATGATATATAGCTTGCTCTGCTATAGTTATGTGTTTCTTTGTCAATGTAGATTTACCATTAGGCCGAGCGAGAGCCATTCAACCTAAGCATTGTATGAGCCTTCTTATACATTGCTACTTCAGGGACACTATCCCAACATCTACTATTGTACTTTCTCCAACTATTCAAACCCCTTCCGGAGGGTTCTTCATCATGACGAAGCCTTCGGGGGTTTGACTGATCGTCAATTCGTTGCCCCAGCGTTATCTCCATAACCCTATAGTTGGGAAATAGAGTCACAGAATGGTAAGGTATAAATAACAAACTCATCACTGACCATTCCATGGATTCAACTAGCATGTCAACCGCAGGGCTAAGCCGGAAACTCGATATTGCCCCGTACTTGCCCTCGTTGTGATGTACCAATAAACCGAATCCGTCCCGGAATTTCATCAGATCGAACCCCGGGCCTGGATAGATAACTACGCTTCCGTGTTCCGACGACTTTAGATTGGTCCCTGTTTCTTAACGAATTATTTTTGATGATCGACACAGCTGGGTAAGAAATGGAACTTGGGTTTCACACTTCACTTGGCAGGAACCAGGGAAAGCAACATGACTTACCGTAGTCACTGTAAAACTTCGGGAGTGGGTCTTAATTAAAGATGGGCTGCACTCGTACACATCGTGCCTCGCGTTATTCTCTTCGAAAAGTCGTCAAGACAGCAAAGATGAAGAATGCAGCCCTCTATGCCGATGAGAATGGCGAGCTCTGTGTTTGCCGAGACTTATCAATCCAAAGCCTACCAAGGGCGAACTCCTGATCGAAGTCCTCTTCTCTGGTGCGAACCATTTCGATATTACCATGGTGCAGCTCTTAGGTTGTCGATCTCAAGTCCTTGGCAATGACTTCTATGGACAGGGTTCAGATGTCACAGACACTGCTTTCAGGCCCGGTGACATCGTGGCCTGCTACACGATCGCCAATAGTGGTCGGCCTATTCGATACGTTCTCACCAAACGTACATCTCGATTCCACCGACGGGTATCTTCAAGGCGCAAGAGCACCTGCCTCATGCTGATGCTGCTGCACTCACCACCATCGTTCAAACAGCCAACGATGCACTTTTCAATCGTCTAAACTTGCCTCTGGCATAAGATTACTCCTGGTACGACAGATGGTGTTGTGGTTATCTGGGGCGGCGCCACAGCTGTTGGTATAGCCGCTATCCAGCTAGCACGTAACAGCAGCACCAAGTCTATTATAGTCACGGCATCGCCGGAGCGCCACGAGTTCCTCAAAGATATGGGCGCAACACGCTACAATAAAGAGAGAGTTGTACAGGACATTACGGCGGCTGTACATGAAGCTGCGTCCGGGCCGGTCCTAGGCTTTGATGCAGCTGGTACTCCAGACTCTGCAAAACATCTCTCAGACGCCTTGGCAGACAAGGAAGTTGTGAGTTTAGCATCAGTCTATGCCTGGGCTGGAGGCCGGTATGAAGCGTTCATAGGCGGCCGTCATTACGATGTGATTTTTCAACCTCCCGGGGCGCCAGCCCCTATCGTCATGCCTGCCAGCCCAGTTGAGGCGGCGAAGATGTGGGGCCGACTCATGTGGGTCGTTAAGCACTACAGGAAGGAGTCCATAATACCAGCTACCTATGTCTTCCAGAGTACCGGACAGGAAGCTCTGGAAGAAGTTAAGAAATTCGCGAGTACGGGGAGGTTTGGAACGATTGCACTGAAGCATCCACTGGCATAGGGGTTGAAAAAGCGGGAATTACTGCAGACACTCCTGTAGAAACTTGGAAGCCCAACGCTTCAGACGGTACGCATAGGCATCTTCATACCTATTCAACAAACCAGAGCCCAGATTGCGGAACAGTTTTGTCGTGTTAAAGCGAATTTTGTATCCCGTTTGGTAGGTTGCCTGACCCATAGTAGATAGACTAGACAGAACAGTAGAGGAAAATGCTCCGTGGGGGCTTGCTTATCTTAAGATAAGCAAAAAAAGATATCCGTGATCGGAGTCACCGATCAGAACGCGCCCGATGTGGGGGTCGAACCCACAGCCTTGAGATACCAAGTTAATTTGGAACTTAGTTCATATATCGCTATATTACTAAAAGTCTCACGCTCTGCCATTGAGCTAACCGGGCCATTCTTACTATAGCTTCTCTTATAAAAGATAATGAATTATTAGATATTTGTCTGTTCATCCCGACTACCGAATCTTATCAAAACATCGGCGAAAAAAAAGTACGCAGTCACAAAAGAACACCGCAACACATTATACCATTCTCAATCTACCTCTCTACTCACAATCACCCCATAAACCCCCAAAGATGAGCTCCCCAGAGGAAATTCAACTCCGCCGCGAAGAAGACTACGAACGCTTCAAAACCTACGCCGCCTACACATTCCTCGTCGCATCACCCGTCCTCATTGCCCTCCCTCCCCGAAAACTAGACCACCTTACTGTCCTGCTCACGGGTGCATTTGCCTTTTCCGCGAACCACATCACCTACAAGCGCACGGGGCGGAGCCTCCTCGACCGATTCCACTCGAAAATTTCTTCCGGACGGTCATTTATCCCCTCTGATTTGCCAAGTGAGCGGGCGCTGGAGATCCAGGCGAGGGTGCGGGCGTCGAGGGAGAAGCAGTTGCGGGAGGGGGGACTTAGTGAAGAGGAGATTGAGAAGTTGAAGGCGAGGCAGTTGCAGGATAAGGGGGTTGCGGCGCGGGTTTGGATGGGTGGAGAGACGGAGGGGTGGAAGGAGAGGAGGTTGCGGGAGGAGCAGGAGGCGTTAGATTCTGGGAAAGGGTATGGGGATTTGATCAAGGAGCATATTTGGGATGTGTGGAATTGGGGGAAAAAGGATGGAGAGAGTAAGGAGTAAAATATCGTGAAGCGAAGTGGCATGCACGAGGGACTTTGAGCCAAATTCTTGGTTTGGGATTGTGGCAGCACTTATTGGATATATGGGGTGAAAAATTGTATAGTATAGATTTTGGATGGGCGTTTGGGTTTACTCGCTTTGCGGAGCGTGGATTAGTGATCTTTTGTATAATATTATGGTCTACGGTATGAGATGCAACGATATTCCTCCACTTTCTACGGCATTGATATGTCCCATATGGGCTCGAGCCATACTTTCATAGCTAAGGGATTACTCGCTATTAGGGTACCGTAATGCTGAAAATTATTGGATGAGACTACGTATTGCAAATACTACAGCGTTTAAGGCACAGTAGATATCTCAGGGGAGAGAAAAAGCTCGCATACATGTTCTTACACAAGTGGTTACATATTACTTATTGGCGTATCGCCGTCTATCCCTTCACTAAACAGAAATCTCCCATGATACGCTCATCCTTGCCGGTCACCGCGGAATTCCAGCCAGAATACTCCATCTCCCCTGTTTATAGTCTTCTGCTTATTTACTTTTCGCAAGTCGCTCCATGTGTGTAGAATACCTGGTAAGGTATTCATATGAAACGATATCAAAACGATCAGATTTATGATCCTGTCAAACTATCGAGAAGCCCTCTCTAAGTGGGAATTATAAGGCCTTTCATATGTGGCCTGATCACCATAGTATTCAACACCCCACATACTTCCGCAAGTGGTCAATTCACCAGGCATATGTTAGGTGCCTGCGATACTAGGTAATTTCGTAGGCGTATTCAATAATGTGTATGTATTATGACAGCACGTCCCAGATACATATAGAACACTGGCAAGAAGTACGATATCAGAATTTGCTCCAAAGTTACAGTCCAACAACATTGAAGTATGTCAACAATTGCAAGAGAGAAATCAGAGAGATTATTCACTGCTAGACTGGGATAGTTTTGGCTTACACACATTGTCAAAGGAGTATATGATGGAGTTGGTTAGGATTAAGGCTTTCCCACAGCATCGGACAAAGAAGAGAAATTTATCACACTTTAGGATTCATTTGTTCACAGTCATTATCATTGTAACATTATCGGACATGGATATGCTCACAATGACATGGCGACATAGCTCTATCCTGAGGCACCCCTTCTTCTGTTGGCGCTCACTAAGGGAGCATATTGTTGTATATCGAACCTAAAGAAAAGTTCCCCAACCAAGAGCTCTGTGCGCCTTGGAATTATTAGTATGGTTTTTGATGTACACAGGATATTATCACTGATTTCAGGTCATAGAATTAATTTAAAAGTACCTACTCCTAACCTCCTCTTCCATAATTCCAGTAGTTTATATGGGCACTCCATATGGATAGCCTTAAGTGCTATGCTCTTCTACAGTCTACTACAGTTAGGGGAGAATGGACATTAATCATAAATCCATGGTATATGTCAAAATTATTTTATTCAAATACTCGAACACTTAAAAGATTGCTATCCCCCCATTCGGGCATTGAAACAAGGGAAACTTCCTCCCCACCTTAGGTGCGCGAGGTAAAAGCCTTGAATAGGACGCTATAACAAAAAATCCAGTATTCCTCCAGCTGACCTTTTTATGATAAGGCCGCTTTTACCTGAGTTAGTGGATTTGCCTGTTTAAACACCTTCCACTTGTTAACATGCCTTTAAAGGAAAGGTTAACAGACAGAACCCAATTTCCTCCGCAACCTACCCATTCTAGAGTAGGTTGTATACCAAGAAGGGGAGGCATCAAGGACTTGTTAGCCTTGTGCCCCTGCTCTTGAATCCCGCTTGTCTTCCCCTTGTTTGGCTCGGCCAAATAGGCCTTCCGTCCCATTCCTCCCCTAAATACCTTATGCACGTTGTGCGGGCGGGGTGCGTCGTGTGGTGGATGTGCCGTAATACTTGCGTTGTCGAATTTTGAGCGAACGCCAGGCAGCATGACGGTGGTATTTATTGACTTGAACCTACTGGCCCCAACAGGAGGGTGGTCGAAAATTTAGGTTCACACCAGAGGAGCGTCCATCATTTCGATGTCTTTGGGCTCCTCCGCCGTGTCGATGTCGAGTTGTGCTACATGCTGTAACCCATTAGATACGTATATCAATATAGAAAAATTAAAGAAGAAAAATAAAGCATAAAGAATAGATGTAAAGAAATAGAAAAAAGTAATTTATATTAAAGAAATTTTATATACATATATTATATAGGTCAATAAGGGAATACTCACCAGCGATAAGGCAGCCAAGAGGAGCTCAATCGGGGGGGAAGCTGTGGGGTTGGGGGGAGGTGTGATAAATGCGTCAAGCATCTCCACGTCCTCCGGAGGGGTTGTTTTTTTGGCGGAGATGCCCGGCCGCCTCACCGGCTGCTTGTACACAGGCGCGTCGCGCATGATAATGTCGCCGTCCCCGGATCGCACTGGATTATATCCACGACGCTGGCGAGGGTTTCTGGGTGCATTATTTGGGCCATGCTGGGGACCCTTTCCCTTGAGCTCCCAGCGACTTCTCCGCAGGTTGAACTGGTTTTTGGGCCCATGAGGCCTGCGAGACTGCTGCCCCTGGAAGTTATTATTTCCATTGGTAGTGACTCTGCGAGGGCCAAGGGGAAATGGGGCGCTCTATGTATCATCGTTAGCATAACGAACAAGCACCGTCAGAAGATATCTGAACTTACCTGAGCTGCCTCCAGGAGGTTTGGTCTTTGGCCTTGATTGTTGCAGTTGCCACGTCTGCTGCCCTGTGGCCTCCTACCCATGCGTTGATTGACACAGGCAGTTTGAACGAAGCCGTAACCCGAGTGGGAGACAACGGGTCCTTCTCTGACGGGAGCCATGCTTTTGCTCTCTCAGAGGGGAAGGTTTGAATAACAGATGATACCAAATGGGTAGCACTTGTTCCAAGGTGAAAGAGCAGGTTGATAAACACTTTTTATGGGGGTAAGTGTGTCACTGCTAGTCTTGCCCGGTACTTATTTTCAAGAACGGATCCCTTTATTTCCTTCGTGAGTGAAAAAAGGTTAAAAAGTACTTTTAGCGGAGATAAAAAGGTTTGTTTGGGGGTGCGGCTTTTTATTCTGATTTTTGAGGGTTTTGGAAAGCAACGCTCCGATTTTGGCACACGGTGCAAGCAGCGGGTTCTTGTGTTAGGTTTGCGGTTTTGATGGATGTTTACCCTCGACTGGACTCTTCAGACGCTTGTTTCTTGTGGTCCTCCAAATGGTAGTCAAACGTTTCAAACGAATCAAGTGGGTTGATTTGGTAGACAGCAGATAGCAACAATAGCAAGAGGTGTCAAAAGACGGGGAAGAAAGAGAACGAGAAAGAGAATCTCGAAAAGGGAAAATAGGGTCAGCTTTATTCTAAGATTGTCGTCGGTCGTCACTCTTGCGGAGTCAGTCGCGTGACTCTTCTTGAGACTCTTCTTGAGCACGGTAAGATGTACTGGTGCTGGCATAGCTACCAAATATTGCGTCGACGCATATACTTGCGGTGGAATCCGGGGTAATTCGGGGTAGATTGAATCCTTCCATCCGCATCCGCCTCAAGATCTCGTCATAAGAAAACAAAAGCTACCCTGTGACAACCCAGAAACCACCAGATCCTGACAATACGCCATTCCGATGACAAGGAATTGTAATCCACAAGCAGATTTTGACAACTGCAACAGAGAAAGAAGCCATTGGCGAAACTCCAGACCATTCATGACGCCCGGGGAGTTGCTGACCCGTGCTTCTGGCGTTTTGCTCGCCGTTTCTCTTCGAGAAAATTGCCAGCTGACCCCTGCTCGAATCCGAAATTCTTCAAATTTTTCTTTCCACGACTAGCCCCCCATGGTACATCAACAGTACTGTCCCGAGATGTTCCGATTTTGGCCCTTTTCTTCGGGTTTGACATGTCCCCGGGGGAAGAAGTACTACTCGTTGACGCTATACTGTCACGCTTCCTCTTCTCTGGTTTGGTGTTTCTTTTCCTTCTCTGCTCTTCTTTGATTTCTAATCTTCGCCGAACTTCATCGGAAATATCCTCCGTTTCCATCGCTACCGGTGTCACATTTCCCACATCTTCATCGCTACCAGGTACTAACATATCCAATCGCTGGCGCTTGTGGTATTGTACAGCACCTAGAGGCACAGTATCCATACTTTCACTTTCTACATCCATACTGTCCTCTATCCTTGAGCGCTTTCTCCGTTCCGTAGAACGACTTGGTCGCCGTTTAGATGAATCTCGCCTAGATGACGCGGATGTGACAGATTGCTCAGTAGATTCGGCCGTAACACTGTTTTCTGCGCCTCGATGAAAGTTTTCCTGTTCTGTTCCACGGTTATCCCAACGCAACGGTAATAGACCCTTCAAAACTACCTACTAGAAATCTATCTACCGTTAACCACATGACGAACAAGAACCAAAGAAAAAAGGAAAAATTTCTTGACTTACCAAGTACTTCTCTATCACTCGAAACTGGGTCACGAGTCTATTCGTTTTCTCAATCATGCCGGAAACCACCTCCGAAAGACCCCCCTTTGCCGCTACATTGTTTCGCACGGTATTTAACATGTGAATGTGTGAGGCCAGGACGGATTCGTGCCTCGCGCAAACCTGCGATGAGCTCATACATTTTAGCGATCATGAAATGTCATGCGCCATGACGGACCACGCGGGGGAATTTTCGCGCACCTCCGACCAGGAAATATTGTGCGAGGCGTCGGAATTTGTAGGATATGTATTTTGGGAGTCTGAATCATTCGCTTCCTCGACGGTAGGATTCAACGAGGGGCGATTGTCTGGTTGGGGCATTTTGTTGGCATTCGGCGCGTTTATCGAGGTTGGATTAAGATGGGGGATTCTTTGGCGCGTTTGATCGACGGAAGCTTTTGAGTTTCCCCACGCCTTCCACGCCAAGATTGAGTGCTTACTCCGGATTAGCTTCAGGTACGCAGGTGCCGAGTGGCCAATCACCGGGCGGGCATATACTTGTGTTACTATATCTCGTGTAGATTATTGCTATTTCATGCATAGCACATTTCTAATGACCAATTGGGTTACGAGAAAGAGAGAGTATGGTTTATAGAATGAGGCGATCGTGGTAGAAGTAATGGTTTTTAAATATTGACATTATGTGGTATCTAGACAACCCTTCTGTTAGGACTTCTTCCATCGTTATCCATGCTAGTAGCCCAAGACGCCATGAAAAAAAAAATGAAAAAGAAACCTGAAAAATAAAAAATTAACGAGCCCGACAAATACTCAAACGAGGCTTCGTAGTTACACAAGCTACCGCTAATTATACCCAGAAACAGGAGAGTTACCATGCACCAGCATCAAAATCAAACCGAGCAAGCTCCTTTTGCGAATCTTCCACGTCCTTCTTCGCTTTCATGCGCATGTAGAAGATCGGACAATCCCGAGAAGAGCAGATGACTTCGCAATGTAAACTGCCCTGGCAGCGCTGGCATTGCGTCCAAAGTCGTCCAAAGCGAACCTCAAGATCTGACACTTTCGTTAATGATCTCGTATACAGCTCCCCAAGCCGAGGTCTGCAGTGTTCACAGACAGCACCAGCCATTTCAGCCTTGCCAGAAAGGGGTTTTTTGCAACCCATGCAAGTTGCAGTTTTCTTTGCAAACTTCATAAGCCCACCCATGGTGGGTGCGGCTACTGAGATGGAACGTGTATGCTCTCCGGTAAGAAGCTGGCGAGCTTTCTTTTCGCCGAGAATAGGCTCGAAGATACGACCAAGAGGGTTTGCAAGTTGGTTGTCCAGGTAGTACTTTGTATCGATAGGGATATTGTTCTCAAGAACATAGATAGGGTCTTCCGACTTCTCGTAGTTCTTTGAACCACCAGCACCTTTGACAATGACGTATGCAACACGGTCACCTAGCGTAGGGGCAGAACCCGCATCGCGCTTTTTCATGCGTTCGGCAAGCTCCACATGCGCCTGCTTGGCTGTATAGTCAGACTTCGAGAGAGCTTTTGTGATCACAAGCTTCGACATATCGATCTTGTTCTGGAGAAGATCTGATATTGTTTCCTTAACATATCTAGAATAGAAATTAGCCTTTGTCCTGATCACACAGCCCATAACTAAGAGTGAAGCCAAAATTCTTTGACTCTGTGTACTTACTCTTGAGCACCATCGATATCTCTGTCGATTAAGATCTTGTGTAGGACCGTCTCAATCACATTTTGTACCAGTAAACAATTATCACGACGAACTGTCTCGATACCCTTGGTGTCCATCTTATCATATTTCTTAGGGTTTGTCCAGTATAACCCAGCGTATCTCTTCTTGTTGATCAGGAGATACGGCCAGTACACCTTTTCGAACTCGAGTTTAATCGGCTTGAGGAACTTTGACGAGACGTATTCGGATGCCTCTTGTCCAAGCTTCATAGCTTCCTCGAGCTCTGTGACACCGAACTTAACCATGACCGAATCAGTATCACCATAAATAACTTTTGCATCATGCGAGTATCCGTTAGCAATAGTATATCGTGCCTCCACTTCCTGCTTCGTTTTTTCAATCATTTGACGTCCATAACTAGTTGTGCTACTGGCAATAGGCAAACATGGTAATTTTCCAACCGTCGCACCTGTAAGGCCGTAAACACTGTTAGCACTGATTTTGAGAGCAAGCTGCCTTCCATTCAAGACTGCCTTCTTAAATGGGTCTGTTTCAGTCGCAAGCTCCTTTTTCGCTCGCTTTCTTGCTGCAAGCAATTCTTCCAGAATCTGTGATAAGAGACCCTTGCGAACCTTGGCAGTGCAAAACAAGTCCCCATTGGGCGTCACGATGTAGTCTTCGTCCTTTTTCAAGTTGTACCTTTCGACAGCCTTTTTGTTCAAAAGAGTGGTGTAGCAAAGATTATGAGCTTGAATGATGGATGGATACAGGGACGCAAAATCCAGGGTTGCGATAGGAATACCATAATAGTCCCGCACAGGCTCAATAACAGTGGCTCCTTCGTATTCTTGCTCACTTTCCGGCGTTGAGTTGGGAATGACTAACTGTTGTTCCAGGGCCTTCCTGAATAGCTGACTCATGAATTTGACTTGTTGACCTCGCGAGAGAAGGAAATTAAACGGAACGCCTGTGACTCTTGCCATCTCCGTATAGTTAACGAGACACATAAGCTTGTCCATTAATCTTTGGGGCAAGTATGCATCCTTCAGGCAGTAGACAGCAAGACGTCGTCTTGAGTCGGGTGTTCCATTATGGAGCTCGGTAATCATTGTGTGGTGAACATCCTCCTTCTGTTCACCCAAAAATTCGTACGACACTGAGTTCAATGTATAACTTCTTAACTGGTGGTCTCTTTGGACTAATTGAAGGAGATCGAGTTGAATTCTTCCGTTGGTATTTGTCGCCTTTGTATCGCGGTTGCCCATCTGTTTGCTGGAGAAGTTCGTTTCTTTGGCCTGAGACATAACTCCGTTCAACCTCGTCCAGTAAGGGAAACCACTGCATTTAAGGTGTTTCGCTCGGTCGAGAAGATAAGGGAAATCGAAGTTTGCAATGTTATATCCAATAATCACGTCAGGGTCGACCTTCTCCACGAAGTTGCGCCAAGCCATAAGCATTTTCTCCTCCTTTTCAAACTCCAGGATTTGTGTGTTGACAATCAGACTACATGTATCCAAAACAAACACATTCCGGATGAAAGGCTTGGACTCTCCATATCGAGTCACAACGTTGGCGATCTGGATGACAGGATCCTGATTAGGTTCTGGGAAGATACCCTTTCGTCCAGCACACTCAATATCAAAGGATAAGATGCGAAGAGGTGCCATTTTAGCCCACTCACCATTAGGCTGGTGGGCAATAAGGTCGCGATAATCGACAACCGCTTCAATCTGGCAGTTCGATACTCTTTCTTGGCCATGAAGCAGCCGGTACTTTCCAGCTTTAGCCTCTACCCAAGACATACCAGAGATATCTGTATCGATCATAAATCGCAGAAGATATTGGATATTGTCGAAAGTGGCAATTTTATCTATACCAGTCCAAAGACCCTTGTAATTCATGTTTTGCCCACCAGTCTCCAGAGCGCTTCGCACTTTGCTGATATACTTTGGCTCCGTGACGGTGATCTTGAGGTACCAACTCTTCTGGTTCCCTTGGTATCCATAGATATTCTCCCTCAAGGTCACTTGAACCGACTGTATCATAGTCTGGAAATTGCCGATCCTGCTTTCTAGGAAGGCTCTATAAGGGTCGCAGTCTTCCTTCGTGAAGTTTACCGGAGCGGCGATATATAGGTAGTGTTGAAAACCTGTGACATGAAGGAGGACGGACTGGCCAGCCTATACCAAATATTAGACCATTCCGGACAAAATCAACTCGGCGCAGATAATACCTCCGTGACTCCAAACAATCTAACGGCTGGTTTCCCACCCATAAGTGTTCCCTCTTCTGCATCAATCTGTTGGAAGCACACATTCTCCTTCGTCGGGTCAAACTCTCCGAGTGGTGGTCGCTCCCATTGTTGGTCCTTCTCCGAATTGCTGTCCTTCAATCCGTTGATGTCCTGTGTCAATTTCTCGAGTACCTCCTCCTCGAATTGGCTCTTCTGAAGTTGACTCGAGCCGGGCACTTTCCGTTGGCTATTTTTGACAGGGGCATTGACTCTAGCAGAAGGTGCACTATCGAGTTTCCGTTTCTTGCTCGCGTCTGGGGATTTTACCATTTTCTGCGGATTATTCGACGCATCGCCCAGAACCCGCTTTTGGGGCATTGCGACAGCTTCAGGCATGGCGGAAATATCATAAAACCGCCAGAGGAACTGATACTAACAACGACGTAACCCGTGTGAAGCGAAATTTTCGAGTTGCGAGGAAGTGCTCCTAGAGACACTATAGGCGGAGCGCGGCAATTATGCTCCATTCATGTAGTTCGTGTCGCGCCCGTGACGCGTTGATAGAGTCACGTGCAATGCTCCATATCCCCCACGAACCCATTCATTTCTAATTCTATTGTTATTAAAGATGCTTCCGGTATACTCGGTACATTATATCGAAGAGTTTCAACAATTACTTAATTACTGTGCTTCCTCGGGATATTGGCAGTCGTGTCTATGGATTACTACATTACCCGGTGACGTCATAACAGGTATCTGACTTAGTAAATCCACGATTCAAGTAGAAGTGAGTGGCATTGTGAGATTTGTTGTTTATTCAATGTTTAAGACCCTGCGGAGCTCTACAGTAGGTAAATCTATCAAGCATTGCTGCCGCTTATACACTTAGCCAGCGGAAAAAAAAAAAGAAAAAACAGGCTCAAGAGTGATATACAAGCCAAAACATAGAAATAGCCATTGGTATCTTATCTAAAAGAGATCAATATGTAGAGTTGAGAATGCAGTACAGTACGGGAATGACTCTCTGGGTACAGCAGAATGACATCAATAGTCATGAATGCGAGGCACATCCGCCAATACTTCAGAAATGCTCTGAAACCAGTTCAGGACTCTGCTCCGGGAGGTCCGAAGTAAACCCATTTCCCTTCAGCAGGTATGTTACATCCTCAGTGCTCCACTCTCATCGGTCTTGTAAATGTCATTGTAGCCATTTAGAGACTCCTGTGTCAAGGTTGCTATGTCTCTTCCTTGGAATCTAGTAGGGTCCAATGCTCGCTTGATGCCATCATCAACGGGCTGTTCCTCCAAGATCTGTGTTAGGAACTTCGCTGCCCCAGCTGCGTGGGTAACCCACACCGCTGCTGCCATGTATAGACCCTCAACTGAAGGAATGTTTCCGACTAATGGCATGTTGTCCGGGGTCATTGAGAAGATACCGTTGAATCTTTCTCTCTGAACAAGCTTTGTCTCCTCGGGTATGAAATGCATAGCTTCATTTAACGTTTGATCAAACTGCTCAATCCAGTCACCGATGGCAGTCTCTTTTGGCTCGTGGAAGACCGGCGCATGATTATAAGAGCCCAGTCCAAAGAAATCACCATGATCACGAGCATAGACATGATGCTGTGGCCATCTCACCCAAGGTGCCTTGCGTAATTTTGGCGTGTGATGCTCGCCGTACATGTATGGATGGGCTACAGGCACGATCGGAATGGGTATGTCGAACTTGCACAGGTCGGTTGCCCAAATTCCAGTAGCGATAATCACCTTTCTCGCCGATATGAGTCCCGATGTGGTCATCACGCCCTCCACTCGGCCATTGACTTGATGGACTTCAGTAGTGTTTGCTTCAATCAGTTCGACTCCCTTAGCCCGTGCTTGTTCCTGGTAGAATGAAGTTATTCTGATGGCGTTCGCGGCTCCATCACCAGGGAAATACAAGGCTATCTGGTTGTCATCCTTAACTAGATCAGGAGCCAAGCTAACCGCCTGCCCGGAAGATATCAATTGGGCGGAGAGTCCAGCTCTCTTAGCCATCTCACATCTAGATCTTAGTCTGTCGACACCTTCACAGCTAGTAGCGATCTCGAGGCCTCCGACAACGTCAAATCCGCCAGGTATGTTTGTGTATTCTCTCACCGTGTCCATGGCGAGACGTGTGAGAACCTCGGAGTCATTAAATTGACCAACAAAGCCGGGAGCATGGCCGGTTGAGCCTTTTAATTGTGAAAATGACCGGTCAATGAGAACCACTTTCTTGTTGTTATTTGTTGAATGGGATAGGTAATAGGCAAGCGCGGAACCCACAATTCCTGCGCCAACAATGGCAATATCAGATGTGGTCTTCGAGGATCCCATGGTGTTTTGCTGCAGGTATTGGGGATTTTGACCGCGAAAGCACACAGAAAAGGGGGTTTCAAGACTATACATCTGGTTTTATATATTAATGATCCCGTTGTAGACAACTGAGGTGGGGTGGTGTCCTTGGTCAAAGTTTCGTACCCCAAACGGCATCATGCCATGACTATATATATCTTGCTGGCTAGAAACCCGTCAGTACCCGGCGGGGATGCCGATGGTTTCCGAAAATACTCCGTGAAGAAGTTATGACGTTTTATGCAAGTATGCTCACAAAACTATAAGATAACCCTCCTTTGGCCCGTTACACCTCAGAATGGGCTCCAATTGTGGGGGTGAAAGGTACGGGAAGGGGAAATGGCGGCCTCAGGCACCGTGGCGGGATTCCACTTTTTGAGTTACTTTTGAGTTTGACTCACAGCATTCCTCCCACATCCCACAAACAATAGCCGAATGAACTCACCGGGTGATGCAGTATATCGCATTTTGGGAGACTTGAATGTGACCAATACGAGCGTACACTTGATTCGACAGTGATAGTGGGAACCTACGATTCTTGAGTCAAAGCCGTTGCCAAGTGCGCGCCCTGTCGATGGCATCTGGAATTTAGAATCCAATGGAAGGCGGACAGACCAACGGAGCCCTCACCGACTTGGCTCACGGAGCCTTGTGAGAAAGAACCCTTTGGAAATAGAAACCGTGGCATCTTTATGAGAACAGCTGTCAACTCGAAAGGTCGCCAATTAAGCTCTGATTTTTAAGAGTCATTGAGGTCAACACTCTTCTCGGCCACTGTACAACAGTTGACCAAGAACAAAGTATATATGCTCAACACTCCACGACATAGCCCTTGCGATAATTCGGTTGTACTACGAGGCATGGAGGCTTTCTAAACCCTAGCAAAAATTATTGCTGTGTCATTGGACAACGCTATTAGATGGCCAGTGTCATGTTCTTACATGGCTCCAACGCCACCGCGAACCTGATGCTTCTACCAGTTTTGAATTAGATCATTTGCAAGATGTCGATGTTCATGTCAGCTGCGGAGATCTCTTCCGACTCCGAGTCTAGCGATTCTAGCTCTGATAAAACCGAACAAGAAACGATCGCTCCATCAAGCAGATCTACCGCCAAGGAGCCTAAGCCTACCCGAACGGGAACAAAGTCCCCTTCCCTCTTGGAAGGATTCGGCTTTGAAACACCGACCACTAATGCAAGCAAAAACAATGAGCTTGGTGCTGACATTGAAGGTCATTCTAACATGATGACGGCTGCTCTCCTCGAATTCTACTGCCTTAGCCGGGCTGCCGATCTTCTTAACGCACAAAAAGGTTCACAGAAGCAGTACACACGTGACTCGCCCGAAGTTCAGTACCTTGGGAAAAAGATGTATAATTATAAGTCACAGTTTCTATCCTCGCATGGTGTCATTGCCGGAGGAATTGACGATGACGATTTGCAGATAACAAGACAGTATTACCGGGACAACCTTGATGTTCTTGGTATGTCGGCACTAGAGGACCTCAATATAGACGATACGCAGCGACGAGTGCTATCACGCAGAACAACCGGAGACATTGTTTTAGCTTCGAAGACCAATGCTGTGCAGCCTAATTCGGATCAGGGGTATGCAGGACCTTCGAACCGGAGGCTGTACAGACCTGGTCTTGCAGACATCGGGAAAAGACTTCCCAGCACAGAGAATATCAAGGCATTGGAAAGTGTTCATCTTGACGTAGGGAGCCTACCCAGGCAACCATTGCCCCTTACAGGGAGCTCACCTGCAAGTTTTCCATTATTTGATATCAATCTACCGACGCCCCATAATCGCATGTCACGTTATGCGATGGAGTTCTCTGAAGTAAGAGTCCTCGGTCGCGGGTCCTTTGGAGAGGTGTATCATGTCAAAAATCATATCGACGGGCAGGCGTATGCAGTGAAGAAGATCCCTATCAGCCAAAGGCGGCTCGAGCAGCTACAAGATGGTAGCGAGAATCAGCTTGAAACCATCATGAAGGAGATACGAACACTTGCTCGACTTGAGCACACCAACGTTGTCCGTTACTACGGAGCTTGGGTGGAACAAGCGCATGTATCTGGTTATGTACGACCCAACCACCAAGAATCTGTTGGCCTCGAAAGTGTGGACACCCAAAGCGCTCTGGCCGGTCCGGAACCAAGCGACAGCCAGAGCTTCGGAATCGTATTTGAACACTCTAACGTTTCAGCCCAAACTATTGACGACGAAGAGGATACCGAATCAATTCCTCGCGACTTTGACAATTATACCAATAGCCAGGTATCTACGTTTGGCGGGACCGATGATGATATTTTCACGGATGGGTTAAGTTACGATCCATCTAAGCTGCAGATACAGCGGCGACATCGAGGCGGGCCTCAAGTTCCTGCAGTGATTTTGCATATTCAAATGTCACTGCATCCCATTTCACTTAACTCATACTTGAACCCGCAATCTTGCGAGGTTAATGATAGCCAGATACCGCGGCGACATTGTTATCACTTGGTACCATCTCTGAAACTCATGCTACGTATCATATCAGGTGTCGAATATCTTCACTCTAAAGGCATAGTTCATCGTGACCTCAAGCCTGCCAACATCTTTCTCTCGTGCCCTGAATATAAGGACTCGGAGGGGTGTCCTCCTTGCCAATTAGATACTGGGTGTGCGTCCTGGTACTCTCACCCTCGAATAGGCGATTTCGGGCTAGTTGCCGATATCTCACACTTCAACGAGCATCACTTAAATAGCCCCAGCACGTCCTTACAGCATGGCGTGAAGATGAACCGTGTTGTCGGAACGGAATTCTATCGTCCACCTTTGATCAATGACGCGGTTGAAAATTCGGAGAACATTGGGGACTCTTACAAAATCGACGAGTCTCTAGATGTCTTTGCACTCGGGGTGATCTTTTTCGAACTTTTGTATCGCTTGGACACTAAGATGGAACGCCAATTCGTTCTCGGGGAACTGACACGCTGTCAACATGATCAGTCGACAGGATCCGGCTTGGGGCGTCCGTCTTTTCCTTGCGACTTTGCACAGAAAATTCATATGGGAAACGAAATGCTAGATGAGAAAGTATCTATCTCAGAGGCAATAATGGCCTGCTTAAGTGGCATGCTGGAACCACTTACTCAGAAGCGTTGGCGCTGTTCAGATGTCAAGAAGCATTTGCAAACTATTCTAGCTGTTGCTCAGACGGCATCCACCTCTTAGTTGGGCGAGTTTTACAAACTATAGATATGCGACGGAAACATTTGTTCTTCTGCTGCATTTTTTCTGTACATGTGCTGAATTGTCTGAGTTATACCCGGGAGTTCAAACCCACCAGAGCGGTACTATGAGGTACATAATATTTACAATCTAGATCACTTCTCTCACTCTTGAATATTTTATTCCTCCAGTCTTTCTGCTCCTTCCGCATTACTCTCATAGTCACCTCGCCGGATATTTGGGCACGTGTAGGATGGAACGTCGGCCCTCGGTCGAGAAGCTGGAATGCTTCCCCGCATATTCCCCAATAATTTAAAACAACCTGATCTGCGACCAAGGAGCTACGCCAAACCCCAAAGTGCGGTCGATTAATTTAAATCAATAATTAATATAGTCCCGCAATATCATGAGTCGCCAAGATCGGGCCCCAACGGCTCCATACAGCGAGCCATTGCTGCCCCAACTCGACATTAAAAACCCCTACTATACCGACCTCCATCACAACCTCCGCGCTTACGTTCGCGACTACGTAGAATCATCCATTGCGCCCTACGCCCATGACTGGGAAGCCGCAGGACAAGTGCCCGAGTCCGTCCGCCGGCGTCATCACGAGCTCGGGTTCGGAGTCGTGCATCCTCTGACAACGCCCGGAGATGCCGCTGGCTTGTCTCTTCCTAACAATGTGCCGCGCGAGAAATGGGATACGTGGTGCGGACTCATTGTTGCCGATGAGCTTATTCGAACCGGGTATGTAGGCGTGGTTTGGGGACTGGGTGGTGGGAATAACATCGGTTGTCCGCCGATTGCGCGGTTTGGGACCCCAGAACAGAGGCTGAGATGGCTCCCGGGGGTGGCTAGGGGGGATATCCGGTTTTGTTTGGGGATTACGGAGCCTGATGGTTAGTTGTATCTCTTGAACAGAGACCATTGGGTTCGATTTACTGACATGTTGTTATAGCTGGATCAGATGTTGCTAATATCAGCACGACGGCAAAGCATGATGGTGACTATTACGTTGTCAATGGGGCGAAGAAATGGATTACCAACGGGATCTGGGCCGACTATTGCACTGCTGCGGTCCGGACTGGAGGGCCTGGGAAGGGCGGGATCAGTTTACTTGTGATTCCTCTGACTGCACCTGGAGTGAGCCGCAGGCGGATGTATAATTCTGGAGTTCATGCGAGTGGTAGGGATCCTTACGTGCTGTGAGTCAAACTGTTGCTGATTAGGAATACGGTTAGGGTCCACATTCATCGAATTCGACGATGTCCGGGTCCCGGTGGACCACCTTATTGGAGAGGAAAACAAGGGTTTCCCGCTCATCATGTCAAGTATGTCAACCAAGCATTGTGTCTGAGCTATTTTAACGTTGTGTTGAGATTTCAATCCCGAACGCCTTAGCCTCGCTTGTTCTGCGTTGCGTCTAGCTCGTGTTTGTGCCGAAGATGCCTTCCACTACGCTGTGCAGCGTGAGACCTTCGGCTCTCCTTTAATACAAAGACAAGCTATACAGTCGAAAATTTTCAAGTTTGGGCTCATGATTGAGCCCGCCTATGCATTCATGGAACAGCTTGTTCACATCATCGAGCTCACCAAGGACAGACCGACCGACGACGTGAGAATCGGTGGTATGACCGCTTTACTCAAAGTGATGTCTACTAGGGCCCTTGAGAAAAGTGTTCGCGAAGCCCAGCAGGTACTGGGCGGGGCTGGTTATAATAAGGCCGGGAAGGGGGCGCGTATTGAGCAGGTTAGTCGTGATGCTCGGGTTCATGTTGTTGGAGGTGGAAGTGAGGAGATCATGATGGGGCTTGCGTTGCAAGAGGAGACAAAAGCACTTCGCACGAGGCGAAAAGCTCTGGAGAAGAAGGCAAGGCTTTAATAATATCTTCGTCGTTGTTATTGAAGGGTTGAATGTGGAGAACAGGGTGAAGAGCGTTCATGGTACTCAGGCTTTACCCTTATAATTGATCCTCTTCACGCCCTCCCAAGCTAAAGTAAGCACTCAAGGATATGATAAAACACTACACTTTAGTAAGAAACAAAGCGGAACAGATCGAAAGAACTTAACTGGAGAGAGGTGTCCGGATAACACTCGGTGTCTTCTTCAATATGTGAAATGTGGTGATATGATCACGTGTGGTCTGGATCTATGGGAATCAAGCTTTCAAGGGCTTTTAGCACACAGGATGTTTTTAATGTTCTTTCTATTCCGTTATTGGCCTTTTCCTTCGGGAAGTTTGGGCAATGAGGGACACAGCATCGCTCAGGCACTGTTGTACACAGGATACCACCCGTGCGCACGTATTTTCTCCTATTATTATTCCTGATTAGTATCGATTAAGTGGATAGGCGTGTAGCTTTATGCTAATAAAGAGTAGCCAATTAATAGTGGCACAATCTCGAGCTACATTTTGCTAATAAAATTACTTTCCAACTTAGTTGATTGGATAGAAGTTATAGCATGCGCCCCTTACATTTAGTGGTGTATCTTCATATCCTTTAGACATTTTCACAGTCACAGAACAAGATAATAAAAACCATAATATCACTCTTGAGATCATGACTATGTGGGAAGGCCACTTGCTAGCGCTGAGTCTAGCTTAAAAATAAGAGTAACACACTGTTCCTGGCCGTCGCTCTTTCGTCTATTTTCCTCCAGCTATCCTCTTGTTTTCCCCCAACCCCAGCAAGGTGAGGTACCCTGGATTGTGCTAACCGGTTCAAAGTCTCTGGAGTAGATTATGCCCTTCCCGAATTTAGACCAGTATGCCACAAAAGCATCGAGTATTACGATAAACTTCCTGCCCAGCGCGACTTAGACTGGAAGACGAGGACGACCGCCCAATTGTACTGAAGCTCACAAATACACTCTCGCGACTAGCAGCTTTCGCTCAAACACTTGGTCATGAAGCGGCTGAGCCATGCTCCTTTTGCAGGGATAACCTGGATATATGGCAGTCCTGCATCATAGGAACTGATACTAGCATCGAGTCTTCATGGGTGTTGCGCTAACTGTCGCTTCAGTCGACGATACTCTTGTGATCACCGTGAGTATAAAACTTTTTCGCATACTTTTACTGCACTTACTCATTACCTTTTGGAGTAGGTATCTACCCAGAGACTTTTGAAGAGACTAGCAGTTCGTGTGCAGATGACAAACCATCGTCTCAAACTGTTGACGAGGAGGGGCTCAGACCTCCACGTCCTGTGAGGGAAGGAGAAGCAGAGCAATTTATTTCTAGTCTAGAGCTAGAGTTATTCCAGTGGGCACAAACGATTCCAGCAATCACCAGACTTCGAGCGTTCGGAATCCTGACCTCCATCAATCCTCCACCAAGCCACGGCCTAAGGGGAAGGGGCGCATGCCTTCTTACGTGTTTTGACTGTGAAGAACAGCGTTACTGTTATGGGCATGATATCACTAAGTCAACATGTTTTGTCCTATTATTATCTGGGATTAATATTGTCATAATTGCTCTGTTCAAAGTTGTTATTAATTGTTCCTAGTCAGAGTACTAGGATATCCCCCTTATGGCATCCAGCATCAACGTACATATAGTAGCAGAGGCCTATAGACCCCAGGCCTTTCCTCATCATGGATATTTCAACATTACTCTATTTACTATAATTGCTTGCAATTATGAGGGCTGAGGATATACTCCGAGTGATACGCTCACGTGACAACTACGTCATGCGGAGTTAGGTGTAATTTTTGTAACTTGTAAGGTAACAACGCATCATAACTTTATCTTATCTTCAAACTTGCACATCTTTCGACTTTGCAAACCTTTTGACCACCAAATCATGGTGATTAATGACAATGATTCTATAGGTCCTGCTGGCAGAACCTCAAGTTTTGGTTACTGGTATTTGATTGTACCAGCCCCTATCCACAGATATGGAGAGTCTCGAAGCGATCACTCGTCCTCGCGATCCTGCTGAAGGAACTGTTGATGATGGCTCTTCTAGGGCCCCATCAGTTGCTGATCAGAGCTTGGCGAATTCGCTAGTAGGGTTGAATATAGGGAGTACCGATACGTCGTTCAAATCCACTTCTAGCACCAAACTCCCCGAAGAGCATGTGGACCGGAAGTTCACCGACCAAGAAGACGCCCCAACCCCACCAACCAGGGTCCTCTCTCCCTACGCCCCAGTACCGTACAACCCGCCGTCCGCAGCTGCGATAAGTGACGATGGAGGTGATGAGGATGAGGAGCCGTGTATCGCAACGTCCTTCGAGCGAGACTCTACCCCTACGTCGGCGCAGAAACAGAGGTCAATCTTTTTCGACACCGGGGAAGAAGGTATCAACCATATGCATAAGTTTTCATTGTACGAGACCGCAACACGGTTCTATATGGTTGGGATGGACTTGTCAGATACCCGCTTCAGGATTTTGAAAATCGATCGCACTACCGAGACAGGGGACCTAAACGTCGCTGAAGATGATATTGTGTACTCCAAGAGAGAAATGAGTGAATTGTTAGATGCTATCAACGATGGCAATAAAATATCAGGTGGCCTGAAGCTCAGGTGTAGCGCATGGGCTATGTTGGGATTTATTAAATTCACTGGGACATACTATATGCTTCTTGTGACTAAGAGGAGTCAGGTTGCTATGCTCGGTGGTCACTACATATACCAGGTCGATGGGACAGAGCTTATCTCTCTGACCAGCTCGAGCACGTCACGTCTGAGACCGGAAAAGAATACAGAAGAGGCGAGGTATATCGCTATCCTGAACAACCTTGATCTAACTCGCTCCTTCTATTTCAGCTATTCTTACGACATCACCCACACATTGCAGCGCAATATTTGTCGGGAACGCAAAGCTCATCAAGATGGCTGCCCAAAGCCTTTCCAACAAGACTACAACACAATGTTCATATGGAACCACCACCTTCTTAGCCCCGCACTTGCGAATTTGAAGAACCCTTACGAATGGTGCCTACCGATCATTCATGGCTACGTTGAGCAAGCGAAGATGTCTGTGTACGGGCGCTTGGTATACATCACTATCATCGCTCGACGCTCCCGATTCTTTGCAGGAGCGCGTTTCCTGAAGCGAGGTGCCAATGATCTGGGTTATGTTGCCAACGACGTCGAGACTGAGCAGATTGTGTCTGAGATGACAACAACATCGTTCCACTCCGCTGGCCCCGACCTTTATGCAAACCCTCTCTATACTTCATATGTTCAGCACCGAGGGAGTATTCCTCTCTACTGGACACAGGAGAACTCAGGCGTATCTCCAAAGCCCGATATTGAATTGAACCTGGTCGACCCCTTCTACTCCGCCGCAGCTTTGCATTTTGATAACCTGTTTGAGAGATATGGAGCCCCGATCTATGTTCTGAACTTGATAAAGTCCAGGGAGCGCACCCCACGAGAGTCAAAGCTCCTCAAAGAATATACTAATGCCATAGACTATCTCAACCAATTCTTACCGGAGGACAAAAAGCTCATCTACAAGCCCTGGGATATGAGTCGCGCAGCAAAAAGCCGTGATCAGGATGTGATAGGGACTCTTGAGGAGATTGCAGGCGAGATAATCCCGAAAACCGGATTTTTCAAGAACGGGCATGATGTAGAATCTGGCCTAAGACTCCAAAACGGTATCGCGCGGACAAACTGTATCGATTGCCTTGATCGTACCAATGCTGCGCAATTTGTGATCGGAAAACGAGCCTTTGGTCACCAGCTCCATGCGCTCGGAATAATCCAAGGCACTACGGTGGAATATGACACTGACGCTGTCAACCTATTTACTGACATGTGGCATGATCATGGTGATACCATTGCAATTCAGTATGGTGGCTCACATTTAGTCAATACGATGGCTACGTATCGGAAGATCAACCAATGGACCAGCCATTCACGAGATATGGTGGAAAGCTTCAAGAGGTACTACAACAACTCGTTTCTCGACGCACAACGACAAGAAGCGTACAATCTCTTCCTTGGTAACTATATCTTTTCGCAGGGTCAACCAATGCTGTGGGATCTATCCACCGATTACTATTTGCACCATGCCAATCCAAGGTCCTGGTCAAACAAGCCACGACCCAATTATATACAATGGTATACACCTGATAATCTGAAGGAGAAAGAGCTGCCACCGCCACCATGTCCGCCTAGGGAGCCTCTATCGCGGTATGATGATCACTGGCTCGAATATTACAGGCCATTGGCTGTCTCATCTTTTTCAAAAATCTTCTCGTACAAGATGAATTCTACCCTTCGCTATCTACCTTTTCGTCCGTCATCCGGAGCGGTTTATGATCTCAGCCCATTCGTTGTTCGCATCCCGAATGAGCAGGTAAACCGGGACCGTCAACACCAACGGAGTGTCAAGATCCAGGAACCGGATTACGTCAGAGATCGTCCAGAAAGGTCACACTTCGGAGATACCACTACCACCTCGAACTGGCATCTCTCTGTCGACAGAAGAAATCTCTCCGCTTTCGGGACCTCCCAAACCGGCAATTACACTCAGCGCTCCACACCTAGCAAAGCGCAAATCTCCCAGTGGACATTGGGACAGTTGGTGTCTGACTCGTTGAACCCATCGGTCACATCCGCGGAAGCTGAGGAGTATGAGCGGTATATCAACCATCCGTTGAAGGTACCTCTCGTTATAACATCCGAGGACGAGCTTGCAGCAACTTCTATTCGTGAACAGGAATCAAATCTAGATCTAATCGAGTACGTCAACAAATGCAACGTCCAAGAGTCTGCTCTCGAAGCCACCGCGGAGGAAAACATGGCGGACTACGCCGAGTTCTTGAATGTATCCGATGACGGACTGACAGTTGTAGCGGAGGACCATGAAAAGAAGCGGTACAAGCGCTATCGGCAGTGGTTGAGAGGCAAGAGTCTATTCAAGCAACGGGTTGACATTTGATCATTCCAAGTATTTCACTTCACCACGATTCATGAGTAATAACTTAATACCGCGATTCCGATACCCACGTGCGTCATGTATATATTAGCGTTCAAGAACCCTCTCCTAGCATCCCAAATGCATCAACGCATCCTGTCTGACTCTCATAACAATATACTAAGACTAAATAAACGCAAACACTCATACATCACCAATAAAGCTTCCATCATCGACATCAATATCCTCCAACAGAAGACCGCCTAAGCTTTCATCCGCATTGACTAACTCTTGCAATTCCTTCGCTAGATTCTCCTTCGCCTCTACTTGACCCTCGCCACCGTCCGCTTGGACAGAATTCTCCAAAGCGAATTTAAGCAGGTACACAGTGCCTCTCAGCTCCTTCTTGAGCTTCGCCATAACTGCACCCCCTGTCTCAGCCCCAGCAGATGACCCAGCCTTCTTCTCCCGATCTGCAATCTCCTTCTCCTCTTGAACAGCATGAAGCCAGCACAAGCATACCGCACCCAGTACCTCACCACGCCACCGCCACACACGCGGGTGCGCGTTTAAAATCACCACCCTCAAAACCGCAACAGCAGAAAAAAGAAGCGGGGGATGCGCAGGTCCAAACGGATTGGACAAAGTATCATGAAGCAGAGGAACAAGGTCCTGTAAATACTTCGTGGAATGGATACCCAGGCCCTGGATGATAGGGATCATGTTGTCAAGAAGTAGCGAGGAAAGCCGCGGGTAAGGGAACGAAGCGAAGCTAGATGATGATGTGGTGTTCGTTGAGCTGATGTGGTGGAATGATGGGATGAGGTTTTCCCGGAGGGTATTGGTGAGACGGGAGATGTAGAGTTGTTTTGATGCTTGGGGGGAGGGGGCGTTATGGTAGGAGGTTGTTTGGAGGGTGAAGAGGGCGGGGTAGGCTTCTCCTAGGAGGGATATGGCGTCGTCTTCTGGGGTGATGGTTGGGAGGGAGAGGAGGCATTGTTTTATGGCGTCTTCAAAGACGGAGGAGAGGTTTGTGCGGTGGAGGATGGGGGATTTGCTGGTGGTGATGGGGGTTAGGAGGTAGGAGAGAAGGTTGCAGCCTTTTGTTTTGAAGGTGGTAGTGTCGTCGTCTATTAGGGCTAGGATGGGTGGGACTAAGAGGGAGAAATGGGTTTCTAGGTGGGTGGAATCCGTGGGCTGGAGTTGTTGTTGGTTAGCGGTGTGTTTATGGTGGGGGAGAAGGGAACGTGCCTTGTATTCCTGGATGATCCAGGAGAGTACGGTGGTGGCGTAGACGCCTTGGTTCTTCCAGGGCTTGGTTTCCGGATCCAAGACGCTGGCGTCGAATCGGGGCAAAGGAATAGGGTGGAAGTTCTTCCGTCCAGAAGATGTGATGGCTGGATTCCTGGTTTTGGCAAATAGAGGTCTGATTCTCTCCTTGAGTATCCTTTCGATGACAGACCAAAAGGGGGCATTATTTTCTGCGTCGGTAACAGTTGCTGAGATAAAGGTATCTAGTAATGTAGTGGCACTTGCAAATGCTTCTTCTGTGGTCCACGGATCTCCTTTGGAAGTGAAGCTGGCTAGTACAATGACAACGTCTGCCACATTCTCAGCTTCATGTATTGGTAAATTTCCAGCTATTTTGGTGAGAACAGCCAAAGCAATTCTAGACCTCAGTTGCTCTTCCAAGATAACATTCTTCTCTGCTATGATGGTCAGAGCATTGCTTCTATTGGATCCAATTCAAGCTGAACTCACCATCGGACAATTCCCCCACCTGGGCATACACCGGAGACGGAAGAGCAGCGCTACTTGCCCAGGAGTAGATTCCATTCGCTGCATCTTTATCAGTACTAGACAGGTCTTTCGCACCCCGGACTTTTAAAAATTGGTATGCAACAAGTAGGCTTTCGCATGTCTAAAGCAATATCAGCACGTGCTCATGCCTACTATAATCCAGGCCAATGTTTGCTTACATCTAAATTACTGGCATCCTTTTGCGACGATACATTTTCCCATAATTGATCTAGTCCCTCAGGAAGGGCGATATTCTCTACCTGAACTTCTGGAAAAGTGGTTGAAGTTGGATGCCGTTGTGATATGGCCTCACGGCATGCGAGGCGAAGCTCTTCCATAATTTTAAGATCCTAATCCACCACCCCCACGAAACAAGTCAGCCCTATGACAGAAAAGAGAAGAAAAGAGAAAACGACAGGTTGCGAAGGATGCTCTACGTATATAAGGGTGTTTGTTACTGGTTCGCATAATGAGTGCGATTTGCATATCCAAGGAAGGCGGTAGGCTGTGGCAGTAATTAGTGGAAATCGCCTGATTGATAAGGCCGTCTTTTATAACTAACCTACCCTTACTCTCAATCGCAGATTACGGGCGGGCAATTGATCAATCGCATTAAATATTACTAGTTACTAATTATTCATGTTGCAAGAGCTTCCCAATGAGTGACGCGAGAATTTCTTCTCTGACGTTGTTTCATCCTTTCTTAGCTGGCCTCCGCGTACTGGTAGCCCAGCAGCTTGATACAACGCGTCAATGCATTCCATCTGACAAATGCTGTCCTCGACAGGAATCCAAATACGCGGGAGTTTTGCCTTTGACAGCATCCACGAACGCCTCCAGCTGCCATCGGTAGGCACTCCAAAGGGAGCTGCCACCTTTTCCGCCACTGGTCGCTACATTTCCTCACGAAGGGCCTCCTTTGTATTGTTTATGCCAATGCGTCTGGCCTATTATCTTGTCAGTGATAGAGATGTGGCATCATCGCATTGTAAAAGAAGATGATGGCCCTTTCGGTCTCTACTTCGATTGAAGGCAGCTCCCAGAAACGCGGAACAAAGCTACCGATCCACTCCCGTTCCATGTCGGTATAGATCTGGCTATGAACCTCAGTGTTCTGAGGTCCGATAAATGTCAGATAGGCGTACATGGCCGCGTCAACGCGCTGGTCGCTAGAGAGGCGCGCAGTGACTGAGTTGATTGTCTTGGGTTGTTGTGCGCGAATGGCGTAGCGGGTGAAAGACAAGGCGTACGTCATGTCCATTGCGGGTGCCACCTGAGCGATGTCAGAGAGCAGGGAACGCATGGATGTCCATTCATAGTGCTGTCTGTTGGGAGTGGAGATATATACGATATTCACTGCAGATTCATCGAGGAGTGCTTGATACGACCCATATGCTTTGGTGAAGTGGTACTTCTTGGCAGCTTTGGCGGCAGACGAAGCGTCGCGAGACGCAATACCGTACAAGATTACATCCGGGTGTGTTTCCGCGGGGTGGATGGTTGATCGACTGCCGTGAGCCATAGTGATCTGCACAGTGGTAGGGGTGACATACCTGCAGCGGCCTTAATCTGCACGGCGGAAAGCACCCCCTAACTTCAGCGCATCGGGGGACTTTTTGGGCTTGGGGTGGAGGTATGATGAAAAGTGCTGGTGGATGAAAGTTGCGGCTTGGGCGATAAGAGCCATATTTACACTACTCAATACTTAAGGACTGATAGATCTGTACTCACACGGTGCGATTAGTTTCTTTACCTGCTCGATCCTAGTCGATCATATATGAGCAGGCAACTGCAGTATACCCCTACAAGTCGATAGAAAAGCTAGACATTACGTTTGGCGTCTGGGCAGTCATGCCAACTAAAATACAGGTGTTTTATGTTATCATATGAATGCGGACGTGCCTCAAAATGACGTTACGATGTCAATTCCATGAATCCCATTGTGACGTCGAGCTGCCGTTGAGTATGATGTCACGTTTTATGACTATGCAGTATAAAAATAACCCTATAAGCAACCCACTTCGACAAGAATGGTCAACCAACAACATTAATTGTATAAGTCAAAATGCCCTCGAAAGTGAATGTAACTAATTCCACAAACAACGAGACCAATACTACACCCAAAGACCGCGGCAAAAGCATCATTGTGGTCGCTAATCAAGCCCCGATTACCGCAAAACGAATCCCTGCAACTCATATCAATGAGATCATAGATAACCCTGGCGTCGCACGCGCAAATGTCGCCGTATCCATTGACAAGCCCCAAGGCGACCAAGAATGGGCGAGCAAAGCTGGAGAATATGTACGTTCTCACAGAGACAAGCCCGCTTATACATATCTAACACATCGAGATCCATAGTCCCCTCTCCAACAACACGTGCTATTCTGGGACCGCGACGGCGACGGAATGATCTTTCCCTGGGATACCTATACCGGATTCCGTGAACTGGGCTTCAATATCATCTTCTCCATACTGGCAACATTAATCATCAACGTTAACTTCTCATACCCGACCCGACTGGCGTATAGCTGGCTGCCTGACCCGTGGTTTCGGGTCTACGTGCGGAGTGTCCACAAGGCAAAGGTAGGTTGTGTCGATCGAGGAAATGGATAGTGGTGCCACATTTTGACTGACTATATAATATCTAGCACGGCTCAGATAGCGGCACCTATGACTCGGAAGGTCGTTTCGTGCCCCAGCTCTTTGAGAATCTGTTTGCGAAATGGGATACGGACAACGATGGCGCGCTGACGCTACGTGAGCTGTTTGACCTGATGCATGGTCACCGCTGTGCTGCCGATCCGTTTGGGGTAGGTTGTCTTTCTTTTTATTATTCGGAGGGACATAAATAATTTTTATCGCTGACTGAATATAGTGGGGAGCAGCTTTTTTCGAGTGGGGAACTACGTGGCTCCTCATACAGAAAGACGGGAGAGTTTACAAAGAGGATTTGCGCGCTGTGTATGATGTATGTCACTTGGGATTGCTTTGGATGGGCTTGACTAACGTTGATTAGGGCTCTATATTCTGGAAGATTCGTGAGGCAAGAAAAACCGCTACAGGCTGGACCCAGGGTTATGGCCTTGGAGGCGATGGGTTCCTAGGAGGAGAGAAGATATATTAGAGTTACACAATAAGGTCAAGAAGTTGGTAGCAGGCTTGATTTTCGGCCAATCATCTACTATTAGAGTTCGTATCTAAATATAGGAGGTTATTTCACTGTTGTACTACACAGTACATCCACTTGAATTGTGGCTCGAGCGGTGGCGTATTTCAAGATGTCGTCACCCGCTAATCAGACATCCTAGAAATTAATTCCCATACTATAGTTATTCCATTGGCTATCTCTATAGAACTTACGCCATTAGCATGCTCTACTGTCTGCAAGGGAGTGGGAAATTTTCCATATGTCGATCTTCCAACGGGCTATACTTCCATCATTGGCAACAGAGATCACACAACACACACAGCTACCATCCCACCCGCCAGCGGAACGACGCCCTGTTCCTAGGAAACATAGTGCGGTTGGTCTCCAAGAATTTGTCTTTTCTTTTTTTGACAGGAGACGTGCGGCCTTTATCATCATGACGTCATCCATCTCCTTGAAGATAATTTTCTATATTCACCTACTAGTTGGAGATATTTGGTATATAGCACCTTACCCATAAGAACAATAAATACTCTCGAATTGAGTTGTTGTAACTAGACACCTATCGCTAATAAAGAGAGAACTACAACATCTTTCATTAACTTGTGCATTAAAACCCACCATGGCGACAGAAGATGAGAAGAGGCGTGGGCTAATCATCGTCTCAAATCGTCTTCCACTCTCCGTCAAGGAAGAAAACGGTTCATATAAGTCCAGTCTATCCAGTGGAGGCCTTGTAACAGCCTTGTCGGGCCTCACAAAGTCGACTAATTTCCGCTGGTTCGGTTGGCCCGGTAAAGCGATCGAGGACCCAGAGGAGCAGAAAAAGGTCTCGGACGCCCTGGCAGAGAACAGCGCTACGGGGATATTCCTAGATGAGCAATTGGCACATGATCATTATAACAATTTCTGCAGTATGCACCCGTACCTTATCTTATATACCTGCTGTCCATGTGCCTACTGATGATTACCAGACTCGGTCCTCTGGCCCATTCTCCACTATCAGTCTGGCGTGGCCTTCAACGAGGATGCCTGGAAGGCGTACCAGCGTGCGAATGAGATATTTGCTGATACGGTGGCCAACGAAGCGAATGCCGGGGATCTCATCTGGGTGCATGACTACCATCTACTGCTATTGCCTTCTCTTCTGCGTGAACGTCTTGAGAAGCAAGGGAAGCATTGCCCTATTGGATTCACGCTGCATACACCGTTCCCTGCGGAGGACTTTTGGAGAGCCATTCCTGTGCAGAACGACTTGCTTAAGGGGTTGCTTGCTTGCGATGTGATTGGTTTCCACACAGATGAGTATCGGCGGAATTTTACGGAGAGTTGTGGGCGGAGTTTGTGAGCTTTTATCCTTTATATTCAGGTCTTCTAGATGCGGATACGTACTGACAGTGCTTCAGGGGAGCCAACACAGAAAAAGCAGGCCAGGTTCAGTATGAAGGTCACGAGTCCTGTGTGGGGGTGTTCGTTGTCGGAATTGACCCCCAGAAGTTTAACGACTCCATGCAAGATCGAGATGTCCAAAAACGAATCCATGAGCTAGAAAAGCAGTATGAGGGCACAACCGTTATAATCGGCGTGGATCGGTTGGATTATACCAAGGGCCTGGTTCAGAAGCTAGAGGGATACGGCTATTTCCTTAATACTTATCCAGAGTTACAGGGCAAAGTTACCTTGATTCAGGTGGCTGTACCTAGTCGTGAGGATGTGAAAGAATATCAGGATCTCGAGAAGGAAATTTCTACGCTTGTTGGAAAGATAAATGGAGAACATGGTAGGCAGATCTCTGTCCGTTTCAAATATTCATGCTAACAACACCACTAGCTACGGCTGATTGGACACCACTCATCTACATGCACCGGTCTGTCTCCTTCGCGGAGTTAACATCCTTGTACTGCATTGCCGATATCTGCCTTCTCACCTCCCGAAGGGACGGTATGAACCTCGTTGCATCTGAATATGTGGCATGTCAAGAGAATAAGCATGGGGTCCTTGTGCTCTCCGAGCTTGCAGGAGCTGCTTCCTTTATGTCCGGTGGCAGCGTTACTTTCCACCCGTCGAGTGTGAAAGAGCTATCAGACGCAGTCCATAAAGCGCTGACTATGGATGAGAAGGAGAAGAAGGAGCGGTACGAGGAATTACGAGAATTTATCACCACACATACAAGGCAAGTTATGCCATTATTCCAGTGTACTATTGCTAGGCTAACCGTTATTCTGTATTTAGTGCTAAATGGGGAAAGGCATTCATTGAGGCTCTATCCCGCCATATACAGCAGTAGAAATGCCTTCCCTCTATACCGTCTCTCTCATTCTGATTTTGGGTTATCTTTTGTTCTACATTCAGCTATGGATACATTTGTAAAGCGACTGCGATTTCTTCTAGCCTCGTTTAAATTGATATGTCTTTACTTGAGCATAAGAAACCCCAAGTGGTGATTCATTGTACCATTGCGGCCTTGAACATATGTCTTTCATTTTAAAGCTGTATCACTTATCGAACAGATTCAAATGTATATCTCATTCTTCTATCTTGGAAATCGTTAGCTGCATTGCATATAAATCAAACTCGGCTATATCCTTCATTCAGAAAAGTTTAGCACAACTCATGAGGTGCCATCAATAAACACCGCGATACAAGTAGCATTATCACTACCAGGCAAACTTGCAGCCGTGCCAGCCATATCTTCCGAGGACTCTGTTGCACTCAACCCAGAGCGATAACACATTAATATCCCATTTATTATAGCATCGTCCGTGAGGGCGTCAGTCACGCCATCAGTGGCCAAGACCACAACATGTTGGCTACCGTCGTTCAGGTTGACTTGAGTCACGAATGGCTCGTTGGATAACAGATTCTGTTGTTCAATAGACGATGAAATGCAAGCTCTCTCCTGCGCTTCATTAAGCGGCCCTGTCCCTGAATTGATAAGGGGCTCCTTATACTGCAAGTCACCAAGCGCCCGGGACATATTCAAAGTACCTATATCAATCATGTCAGTGGTCGTGTAGAGAATCACGTACATACCTTTCACTCATTCATCCACAGCAGGGCCACCCACCTATCCTCTCACTCCCACTATCCGTATTAACCCTACCCCCTGCATCCACAATCCGGGCCTTCTCACTAGAGTCACCAGGTTTATGCGCCTTCGTCGAGCAACGCTGCACAAGTAATTAGCTAGCTCCTCACCAAACACGCCAATTGTCCAAATAAGCATATCGACATACAATATTCCCTGCCTCTTCACCCTCATCCAACCCATTCCCAGAATAGTCATAATCCCCAATCAAAACCCCCGAATCCCCCAAATTCCCAACCACCATAAACCCCCTCGTCAAATTAACCAAAGCCATCGCAGCCGTGGATCCCGTCGTCGAAAATTTCTCCTCTCCCCCGCTAAAACCCTCTAATAACGCCCTCTCCTCCCTCAAAATAACCTCCCTAATAGCCTCCTCGTACCGACCCGCCCCAAGCTCCTCGCTTTCCTGCAAGAACCGTCGGATATTCTCATTTGCGTGCGAGGATACCATGCTTGACCCACTATTCCGTTTATAGTTTCATTGTTAATTAGTCCCAGTCATCTAGCATATATCTCAAGTACTAAAGGTTGGTGAGAGGTGGAAATAGCATACTGTCCATCGTAAACAGCGAAGAAGGCCAATTCGTCCGGGGATTTAGTCGGGAAATCGGGCGGGAGGAGGAGGGTGTATTTGTCTTGTTGGGCTTGCCGGGAGCCTATGTGCTGTGGGGTATTTGTTAGTTGCTGGAAGTGGTACTGGGGCTTAAAATGTGTAAGTACGCTTGAGGCTCCGGCGTCTTGGATTGCTATTGCGGGGGCGGCGTGAGGGCTCATAACGGGTGGGTTGGGTAGAAGTTGGTTCAATTGAGAGTGTATCTTTGTGGAATTGTTTATGGAATGTTTCCTATACGTATACTGTTGGCTTCTATGCCTAGTATTTTTGTTTATGGGATGTTGGAGGATTGACGTCAATGGGGGTTTGGTTTATGACGCAGGATGCTCCACATGGCTTTTATATACAATCAGGGAAGTGAGATCCCGTTGTTTTGATTGGTAACAGCTTGGTTTTGGGGGCTTTGGGTGCTGGGGCCTAAATTTTTTTATTCTTGTATTTATGTATTATGACTTGTATTATGTAACTATGTTTCGGGTTAATCGGTGTCTAGGTAGTGGTTATTGTGTTTAGTCCATTGGTGAGTTGTAGATCTACACCATAGGGCTTCTGGTGATAATTAATCCCACTAAGTGTGTGACATTTATTGATTATAGGGTCAGTTATTTCGATCCGATCCCTAACTCATCCTTTCTATTTGATAATTCTTCCAGTGCCTTTTTCTTATCGGAGATCTCTGGATGTAGAAGCTGCCATTTAATCACCATGTCCAAGGCCTTGCTCATCCATGGTCCTTTCGAAGCCCCAAAGTGCTGTATGATCTCACCCCCGTTTACAATGGGTTTCATGTCGTAGACGTTTTCCAGCTCATTATCTATGATGTATGAGAGGAATTTGTTATACTCTTCGATCACTGCGTATTCCAGTCAGTATAGCCGAATAATTAGAGGCAAACTGCTACGTATCTCACCTCCCGAGAAATCGCGTCCTTGTGAGACTTCTTGTAACATCGACAAGACACAGCAAAGTTTCCAGTCTTTCTGCCACGTACGAATGTGCAATCCAATATGCTGTCGAATCTCGGCAGGCGTGCCACTCATGCGGTCTTCCAGCAGTGACGTTTTCACGTCCACAATGGAGCGCCAAAAGCGACTTGCATCACGGAGTAAGTTAATCGTCTTGTTATCTGAACGAAGGCTATCCTTGGCGACTTCTGCCGCGCGAGGAGGAAGTGGCTTTGCCTTTGGTCCTTGTGGTGTGCGATCTGGCACAGTAGTCCAAGGAGCGAATGCGGCGATCACCCAAGCATGGTGGGTTTCTGAAGCGTCGCGAATGAGTAGATCGCGAACACGAGCAGTAGGTATCGAAGTATCATTCGGGTGTAAGAACTCCTGCAAAGCATTATATGCAAGAGACCAGGAGGTTATGTCAACGCCAACATCATCTTGGTAGTTTGCAAAAATTGTGGGGTATAGCCCAAGTCGGTCAATAAACTGCAGCGCACCTCGGGGATCCGGACCTATCCTTAGTGAGTACATAAATCGCCTTTGCAAAAGTGGGACCATTCACCTTTGAGCATCTTCTCCATCTCAGTTCCCACACGTTCTCTACTAATCTTCAGCTTGAGTGCTTCACTGATATCCTTGTTTTTCATCGCATTCGCTGTATCTTCATCGATGTGGTAACCCAATCGACTGGCAAACCGGACGAGCCGTAGGACACGCAAAGGATCATCCTTGAACGTCTGATATGGTTCTAAAGGGGTTCGGATAATCTGGTTCCTCATATCTTCGAAGCCTCTTCCCGTGAAATCCTCCACTTTAGACTCGTTCAAATTATAAAAAAGGGCATTGATCGTCGCATCCCGGCGCATTGCGTCCTCCTCAGCTGTGCCAAACTCCATCTGGGGATTACGACTATCATCCGAGTACGTCTCCTTCCGCAAGTTGACCAGGTCGATATCCAATCCAAAGATCTTAGTGGTCACTGTTTCCAGATGCTTTGACTTCTCTGGATTAGCCTCGATTTTGTGAAGACTAACGATCGCATCCTTGAGCTCGCCATTGAGGTGATTCTTCTTGTACCTGTTTAGGTTCTCTGGGATATCTAGGTAATCTTTGAGCAGGAGACCGAACTGATAGCCTGTCATATTATTTATGCCCACATCGATATCATGGCTACCGATGCCGAGTAGCTTATCCCGCACCCAGCCTCCTGTGAACCGTAGTACCGTACGTGGGATGTCAGCCTCGTCACCTCCTTCTGTGATTGCTCGGTCCCGTATATAATCTGCGACATCTAGGAGAAGGGCCTTCAAGGTGTTCTCGAGGGGGGTGAGCTGGATTGTGGGAAACGCCTGATCAGGCGTCTTGGCCATCTTGTTAAAGGGAATTTTGCGCAAAGTAGGATTAGAAAGACGCCTTCTTTTGGTAGCTCGCTCGGGAGAAGAATTTATCGGTTTCTCGTGGTTCATGGAATAATTGCACACTGTTGGGCGCAAGCGACAGACCGGAGTGTTTATTGTCAGCGGGGTGCTTCTGGTATAAGGGAGTCGAGTAGGTTTGGCGGAAACATGGACTGTTCGCTGAGATCGTTGAGTGGGGCGGAGTTGATATATCTCAGAGAGAAGGCGTGAAGATGTGGGTTTAAACATAGGTCGTTGCCATGTCAAGTAGAGCTTCCAGGTATGAGTCTTTGTTGCCCGCATTGATGACTCCAATCATTGAAGAAATTCTGCCCGTCTTTTTATACTTTGTGATCAGGAGTGACCACCGCCTTCCGCCTTGTCAGCATTTAATTCCTTGTCAAAGAATTATCTTATTGAATTGATGATTTAATGCGATTTATTCCCCTTGCAGCTCTTTGACTTTTTTTTAAACTATAATTTCGCCCTTTTCAATTAGACTACCTTGGTCTAAGATAGAATATTTCCCCGTGTCTATAGCTGTACACCTCATCTGTTAATTTATTGTACCACGTTAGTTCTGCCCGCGGTGACTTGGCTCTCATCCCGTCAACAACAACATTTATCCCTCCATCCATCCATCTCCGTCTTCCGCTTTCCCCATCTCTCCAAATCCACGTGTTTACTTTGACTCTCAGCGTACCCCCTGCATAACCCCCACCCCCTTCTTTGTTCTATAGCTCCGGTCCATGGGCTCTATAGTCCCTTCAATCTCTGTTAGTCCCACTTCGCTATCCACTCGGAGTCCATGACATCGCCCGGAGATGCTGCTCCGGTCAGACCTCCGCCGTCCTTCTCGCCCGGCGTTCCGCGAGTTGCATCAAAGACGAGATACCCAGATCAGCGCCGCGACTCCTCTCCGAATCTAGATTCGGATCTAGTAGATTCGAGAATCGCCTCATCCCCCCCACAACCCCCTCTTTCAGCCACCGCTGCGGAGCTACCGATTAGATCCGCATCGCCCCATGCTCGTTCTATAAGATCCTCAACGCCGCGATTGACTCGATCATCACTGAGCTCTCCAACGGAAGGACGACTGGATGGTTCTGACGATATACGCTCTTTGATTATACGCTCATTCTCACCGGTAGTCGGCGTTTATGCCTCAGTCGATACCGACGAATTAGTCCGACAAAAAGGCTTTAAAGGGGGTTTTTGGGAGCTCATACGCCCCTTTGGAGAAACTGTTCCAGGAAAGATTGTGGTGCGCGACAGTGTAGGGGCAAGTCGTAGCTGGGAAGATTATGGGGTTCGGTTTGTCGACCTAGGGGGACAGCTACAGGTTCCTTCAGACCCCCCTCTGACACAATTGGAGGAAGCGTTGGAGAGGCAATTGAAGTCGCCAGATGATCCACTGGGAGGTATACTACGTCCAAAAGACTTTTTCAATTTTCCTTCAACGTCTCCATTGTATAAATCCTTTTTGCGCCAGTTGCTATCGGTCGCGTCGCCTACCCCTCATGAGACGTTCCGACACCCCGTAGCAAGCGTTATTGTCATTAGCTCACGCAACACATCTCCTCTCGAGACTCTAAGACGGTTATATGCGGACACCAGCAATGGAGACAGAAGGCTACCGGAGTGGGTCCATCCTGAGTACCTCCGGTACTATGTCCTGGTTCACGACGAGGATCGGGATGATATCACGGAATCAACGAAGCTTTACGACCAAATGAAACGCCACTTTGGGCTACACTGCCATCTTTTGAGACTGCGCAGCAACCAATGCATTGTGACCGATGATGACAGCTGCCAAGCACCAGAATGCGAATGGCTCTCCCCCGCGGAGCGTCTGTCAGGTCAATCAGGTAGGTTATGCAGTTTTCACAAGTCATATCTACAAATCAAGTCTGACAGCGAACAGAGCCTCTAGTCGATCTAGATACAGATGGCCTTCCTTATCTGTTTGAGTCTGATGTCACAGCCATCAAAGCATTCGTTCGAGAGCTTGTCGCTCAGTCGGTGATCCCGTACATGGAAAGTCGGGTGACTATATGGAATGATCAGGTAGCATCGCGGAGGCGCGGTATTAGTGGTCGATTCATGTCAATGTCGCGTCGATGGGCGGGTTTCGGATCCAGTTCTCGATCCAGCCTTATCGGCTCTAGCGGTGGAACGAGCGGAAATTACGACCTTACTCATGGCTTCTACAAACCGGACGTGCCCGAAGCTGTACTGCGAAAAATGGCGGATTATGCCTTTATGCTTCGTGATTGGAAGTTGTCAGCATCCACTTACGAACTTCTCCGGTCAGACTATGCAAATGACAAGGCGTGGAAGTACCATGCTGGCGTCCATGAAATGTGCGCAGTGAGCACGCTTCTGAACCCTCTTTCCATGCCTGGAAAAGCCAAACTCGATGGCGTCGATCAGATGATTGACACTGCGTGCTATTCCTACCTCACAAGGTGTTCGGACGCCACCCTTGCCTTGCGCTGTCTTACTATGTCTATGGAATTGCTCAAGTCTCGTGGGGGGTCGGGGATTGAAAGTGCGGCTAGATGGGCCATGCAGGCCATGGGCTCAGGTTTAGTCGGATCTCATGGTCAGGCGCTTTTCTGCGAAAGGATCTCAGCTTGCTATGCCTCCCGAAACGCAATCCACGGAGTCAAATGGGGCTCCCGGCACAGAAAGGCTGGGATGTGGAGTGTTCACGCCGCAGACCGATGGCTTAAACTAGGGAAGCCATCACTAGCCTCTGCGTCTCTCGAGGAGGCTGAGCGTCTGTATGCAAATACTCTAGATAGCAATGGCGCGTTTCCCATGTCGGAAATGCAAGCCTTTGTGGACAACTTGAGATATGCCGTGAAGCTTGAATATCTTGAATCTAGAGGCTTAGATGCCAGGGATGAGGCGGTCACGGCCGATCCTCTGGACGCCTTCGAAACCGAAGAGATAAGTGAAAAACTAGACAAGCGGCAAAACCGGAAATCACTGATTGTTAATCCGATGGATTCTGGAGGTCTCAACCCTGGTCAAGGACCAAGAGATGATGATAATCCTGCAAATGACGATTTTGAACGAGCTTAAGGGTGCATGTCTAATAATATATTGGGCGTACAAAGAAAGGATATTTGATAGACACACGACCAATTTAATTATTTATGCCTAGGAGTCTTTATTGTAGAACACCATCGATGAATTTTCATATACATTTCAAGAAATGATCTTAATCAAGCAAGGGGTCATGCTTTGCCATGTGCTCTGGTCGAGGTCTTATTTAGTGAGCAGCATTGACACTTTGTAACAGACGAAGTTATAGACAAAAACTGCTGATGACATCTTTCACAACTCTATATAACAGAGTATGGTTCGCGAAACCTAGTGTGAACAATCTTCCCCCAGTTTGAACACTGCCCTTAGGTTGCAGCACCTTTCGGAATATCCCCAAAGAAAATCACCATAACAGTAAGTTCATCCCGATACCTCCTACTCAGCGGATAAGACGGCGCCAGCATAGCACGCACCATCTGATCATCATGCAACTTCCCCTCTAACGCATTTTGCAGCAGATGCGTTCCCACATTCCCATCTTCCAGGACAAGCCTATCCTCAGGACGAACTAAACCCATCTCCTTCTGATCCCCAGAATCCCCAACAGAACCAACCCCCAAACCGAAGAAACACATAAATTCCCCCCTTCATCCCATCAATCCACCGCCCTACGAACGCCACAACCTCCCCATCCCCCAACAACTCCCACAACCCATATAAACAAGTTATTTGCACCGCGCTGTGGCTGTGACAAACCTTCTCTTTGGGGGCTCAAGCGGCGGGCCCCTGGCATAGTAACAAAATTACCATCTCATGTTGTTACTGGTTTAACCGTGTCCTGATATACCGTACAGAATATAAGTAGTATACTTTATATAGATCAAAGTATATATTTAAAACAGAATAGCTTCTGACCAAATACTACCATGTTAAAGTGCCAAACCAGATCTTTCATGTTAATGCTACCAACATGATATTATCTCTGCAGGCACGTAGTATTTCACAGCTCAACATACATACGGTTGTCGTCTCATTGACCTGATAGAACTAGCTATACTAATCAGGTATGGTACAGTCACATGACAAATTCTTATCGATAATGGATCGATCACTACAGTGACAAGCAACTGGTGCAAATGCCGACGGTTTGTTGACACTCAGCTGTGTCAGAGGAGCACTTCAGCTGGATAGTCCACAGAAACTGCAGGCTTATCTCCTCTTTTACATTGATTATAAACTAAATATTGCATTACTACTATAAACTTAGGCTCCGAACTCCTCCACAGCGATCCCCAACATGAACGACCTCCTCAACTTCATCCTATCGCAGGATGCATTCCGAAAGTATGCGCCGGCCACGCCCCGCCAACTCATTCACTCCACACGAATAATCAATGCTAACTCAAGCTATCGCACAGGAATCGACTCCCATCCCTCTACTCCGATTTCGCCATACACCGCAAAACCAACCCCGATGGATATGCCGTCAACGTAGCAGCATGGGAACAAGCCTTAACAAAAGCTGCAAAATACGGCTATATTTCCTCCTCACACGGAGAAGTTTCGACGCCCTCCAAGAGAGCGAACCGGAAAAGCGATCATTTGATTCTCCACGCAGATAGGTCGCTTCTGCGGGATCTGGAGATCCCGGAATGGGGGCAGCCGGTGGCGCTTGGTGCTGTATTGGTATGTATTGGTTTTGTTCGGGGTGTGGGTACCTGTGCGCTAATGTGTGATTTCGGGGTCTATAGGAGGAGGCGTTTCAGAACCGCACGATTGTTCCGTTACAAGTGTATAAGGTTAATCCTGCGAGTTTGCAGAAACCGCAGTGGCGGCTTATCGATCCCGGTGTTTTGAACCCGTTGAATGTGATGAGTTGGGGTTTGAAGCAGTTGAAGGGTTTTGTTGTGGGGACAGATGAGTCTTCCCCGGGCTTACAGGCTCAGGAGTGGGTTTTGGTGGAGAATCTTAAGGTATGCGGTGCTCTGTTCCTCATACAAGGGCTACGATGCTAACTACAGGACAGGAAGCTGCCGGGGGCATAGTAAAACAGGTCATGGAGCGGAGCTCATCGAATACTGACCTTGTTTATTCGAAAGAGAGCTTTGTGAACGAATTCGGAACGATTCTGAACCATGAAAGCGAGCTGTCGGAAGCTGACTTTGATGTTCTATTGCTGTATTTATCCCGCGATAGCAGGGCCATTGCATATGATGGCAAGGTATGTATAATGCTATCTAGAAGCGCTTCAACACACTGATCAATCGCAAGACCATCAAATTCCGACCCTCGAATGACGCCCCGAGGGAAATCACCCAGCAGGATAGTACCGTCGCCTCTATTAAAACGCTCGTCGCAACCATGACAAAACAAGTGGAGACTTTGGAGAAGAAGATTTCCGAATTGAACACGACTGCGAAGACAGCTCTGCACAACCAGAATAGGATATCTGCACTTTCGGCAGTGCGGTCTAAGAAGCTGGCCGAACGTAACTTGCAACAGAGACTTGATACCCTGGCGCAGCTAGAGGAGGTCTATTCAAAGATCGAACAAGCCGCAAGCCACATTGAATACGTGCAGGTAATGGACGCAAGCGCCGGTGTTCTCCGCGGCCTTAATACACAGATCGGAGGTGCCGCCAAGGTTGAAGATGTGGTTGATGAATTGCGCGAGGAAATGTCCAAGGTGGACGAAATTGGAAATATAATGAATGAGGCTGGCCCCCAGATCGATGAGTCTGAGATTGACGAGGAACTTGAAGAGTTAGAGAGCAAGGAGCAAGAGGCTAGGGAGGCGGAGGAGGCAGAGGAGACTCGTCGGAAGCTCGCCGAACTCGATGATCTCGAACAAAAGGCCAAAGAAGTCGCACGCACCGCTGCCTCGGAGCAAAGTGTGGATTCAGAATTAGAAGAGAGGCTGTCACGGATGTCCGTGGAGGAGACAACCGGTACCGCGACGTAATAAGGTATAAAGCACCACTCTTGGCAAGTTATGTTTGGCCAGAGTATATTTACATTGGCAGTGAAAAGGAAAGCGCATGGAAAATAGACCGATTATCCGGGGAGTACATGGGGTCCTTCACTATTACCGGAGTTCTGCGCTTCTTGAGCCTTGGGGAAGTCGGTATCCGTCAGATCTACGATGGGCTGAGCCACTTGTACATTCGTTGGAACTGTGGCCTCCGCTGACTGCCCAACCGTGGGCACCTCTGACGATTCAGCCGGAGCTGCAGATGGAATTGTCGATCGGACTACAGCCTCGCTTCGTTTTCGCGCATTAGCAATTAATTGCTTGAAGTCATTTTCATGGCTCGTTGACCATGCGGTGGCATCAAAATCCTTCCGCATAACAGAGCCAGCGGACTCGGCAGAGGGGTTCGAATGACCCCCCTGTGTGCGTTCCCAGACATCCAATTCATGTAATAGTTCGCGTTTGGATTTTGGCGTTTTAGAGTCGCAGTTGGCGTTCCAGAGATTCATCCACTCTGTGTGACGTTTCTGCAGAAGAGGCCGTGGACCCCAGTTTGGTATACCCAGGTCTTTGAGCTTTTTCCTGAGTACGGCGTCTTTTAGTAAAGAATAATTAATTGTGGGAAGTCTTTCGGGGGGTTTGTTCGGTGGCGTTCGCGATGCAGGCGACATGGGTTGCAGTGAACTGTATTTCGGGTCAGCATGTTTAGGGTATAGTAAACCATATAGGTCTCACCCAAATGATATCTTTTTCGGAGGCGCTGGGTCACCCGTGCAGATGTCTAGATGTTGAAATACTGCTTCATTTTTCATCCTCCGACTGCACACCGGGCACGCAACCAGGCCGTCCTCTAAGCATAACACATTAGACTTCACCGTATACCAGGAAGATGTGCGGGCCAATATACCTGGAATATATTCCTCGTCCTGACTATCCTCAACTACTTCCATAGTAGCAGACTCGGGTTGTCTCTCCACACCTTTAGCTTGCGACCGCGTCTGTCTCCCCTCCAAGACCTCTGTATCCGACCCATCCCGCTCCTCAACCTTCCTTTTCTTCGCAAACCGCTGCTGTGTCCCTACTTCTGCCTCCTCCCGATCCTTATTTGCAGCCAGTCTAGCCAAACCCAACAAACTAGGTCTCGCATTCTGAAACGCCTCAACAAGCTCTTGAACTGCCCAATTCCGCCGCAACTTCAACTCCTGATCCGAGCTCCGACACGCCGGACATTTTCCCTCAGAACTCAAACACCGCCGGATACACAGCGAGCAAAACGTATGACTACACGAGGTAATAACCGGGTTATCGAAGAAGTCCTTGCAGACCTGACACCGCAGCGCGGACTCGAGTGGCGTCACCAGCGACAGCGGCGTTTCGAGCCAGTCAGTCGAGTCGGGGAGATCAAAGGTCTGCTCCATGGGCGCGGGAGCCGGTCAAAAAGTATTGATTTCCGGCAATGGAACGGGGATTGAGGGTTTCGCCGTAATACTTTTGCGGTTGCGGGAGTTGATGAATGCCAAGACCTGGCTGACTGATACGCGTTAAGTGGTTTGGACGCGTCGGTGCTTGCGTTTCCTTTTCACCTTAGTATTTGTGAACGATCGGGCCCTGTTTTTGGACACAATGGCTGGCGCGGAGTATAAGAGATATTTGGCGGAGAATGTGCTTAATGAGCGGAAGACGGTTGGTTGGGTTTTATGGTTTTGGTTCTGGAGTTTTTGCTGATTACTTTGTTTTGCAGGTTACGTTTCGCTCGTTGGGGAGGGCTTTGAAGGTGCATAGTACCTTGGCGAAGCAGTAGGTTTATTTTATCACTTGGGGTTTTTAGGGTCTATGGCGACTAATTGGGTGAAGGATGCTGTACGATTTTCATCGCAATGAGAACGGCAAGAAGCCGCAGAGCGTGAATGCGACTTACATTGTAACGGGCGTTCAGAAGGCGCCTGTACCTGCGACGAATGGCCATCCCAGCGAAAATAGTTACGGAGACGGTGTATTCCCGAGCAGTCCGTACCTAAGCAGTTCTATGCCCAATCAAGATTCCCTATCGGATACAGTTACTACTACCTCGGTGCTATTGGTACGGGAGGAAGACTTGGAAGGTAGGGCGCTACTTGTTTTTCTCTCCAGTGGGCTTATGGGGCACTAGGTGGCCTAGTACTGATGCTGCTTATCAGATGCAAAGGCTACTTTCGAGTCGATATCGTCCATATATATCTACAGTCTGCAGCCGACGGTTTTGCAAGATCTTAATGTTTTGACGGATGTTTGTCGCGAGGTGTTGAGCAACCATTCTCAGGAAGATCCTTTAGAGTACGGCAAACAATGGGGCATGATTCAAAATAAGAATGTCAAGGTATTCTTTTCCCTTAAGAGCTACGTTCATATAAGACACGATACTGAGATATGTGTAGCGGAGAACGGGAACGCGGCCGCCGCTACCATCCCCAGCGCCAGCTACTACTACATCGAAGCCTATCATACCATCCAAGCGGCCGAGTGAATCCTCATCCCAGGCAAATCCAATGTCAAAGAAGGAAGAAAATGTGGGATCCGGGCAACCGTCAGCACAGGAAAGTGCGCCCTCAACATCCAAGCCTACTGAAAAGACCGCCACGGTGAAGCGCGAAAAGAGTAACCTCTTCAGCTCTTTTGCGAAAGCAAAGCCGAAGCAGAAGGAAGATCCCACTATCCCGGCAGAATCAGTCAGTATAGCTTTCCCCTGTGATGGAACCAATATGCTAATCGCTTATAGGCCGAACCCAGTGGCGCCGAAGATGGTTAGTACTCAGATAACCGATTCCCTGAATGCATTCAGATTTATTGATTAACGAACACAGTTTTCCTCGATGATGCCTTCGACGAAGAACCGGAAGAGCTCTTCCCCGATAGCGTAAAGGCTACCTCCTCAGCTGCTGCAACTCGTGAGAGTCGAAAAGAACGCGAAGAAAGATTAAGGAAGATGATGGAGGATGATGGTATGTTCCTACGCGCCGATGAGTAGTTGGTATAATCTAATCATGTCTAGACGAAGATGAAGAAATGCTGGATGCTGCAGAACCAGTCGAAGAATCTAAACCCATCGATGAACCACCTCCCAAGCAACCCGAGCCCAAAGAAGAAGTTACAGTTCAGGGTGGGCGTCGACGTGGTAAGCGTCAAATCATGAAAAAGCAGGTTCGCAAGGATGATGAAGGCTACTTGGGTAAGACCATCCATAGCTGAACAAGAATATTACTAGCTGACCCCTCCTGCTCAGTGACTGTTGAGGAACCAACATGGGAGTCATTCTCCGAAGATGAGCCCGCGCCGCCGCCTAAGAAGAAGCCCGCTGTGGGTGCGCCCAAGGGTAAGCCTGCAGGAAAAGCTGGACAGGGCAATATCATGTCATTTTTCTCCAAGAAGTGAGCTGTGGCCTACGATGTTAGACGATAATGTTGGGGGTTTGTGTATATCAATAGCATAGCATTTGCAAGCCCGCATGTGACTACTATATCAAATAATGACATATTCAGTTACCATCGTCTTCGTCCAGTCTCTTGACCAGAGTATATCGCATTCACGGTACCCACTCCCATGCGGGGAATAGCAGTAGCACTGTGTGACACTTAAAACATTGATATGAAAGGAACAAATTCTGTGAGCCTTAGTTCATACCATGGGAAATCGACAAGTTTAAAAACAAAACCAAATTCATTAATCTCTTGCGAGACGTCCGGTTGGTTCGTCGGTCTTGCCGAGACTTTTGATTGTTTTCATGCGGGGAAAAAGGGCTACTAGAGCTTCGGACTATCCCACGCTATAAACACGCCCTTACTTCACCTAGTGCAACTGTGACAGCACAAGGTGACCTTTCATATCTCTGAAGCCATTCGGAATTTGTCCGAGGGGCCATAAATATCCCATCGTAGGTATGTTACAGCAGCATGTAAACAGAGTGACGCTCTGATTTTCGAGCTTCTCCGCATTCCACTTTCCGCTTGGCATTTAATTTAGAACGGACAACAACCCCCCTCAACTGTCCCCTTCTCTCAATAGTTCTCCTGTTTGTTCGAAATTGGTTGTGTGCTACATGTATGGGATATCCTAAAGCATATACTAACTAGGCCTTTGAAAACTTGGCCTTTGAAAGCTTTGTCCACTATGACGCGCTCCTCAGCAGCGCTGCTCATCGCCCTTGCAGCTTGCTTCAACGTCCAAGGATCTGCAGGGCTACGTGACGACCCTGTAATTCTACAACGGGCCTGTCCTGACTATGTCGCATATTCCTCGGCGCCGCAGTAAGTCCCTATCAAATCTCTGCTATCACAGACACCTTCCCCATGCTAAATACGTCTTCCCCGTAGTTCCCCATACAGTGGGGGTCCATTGAACCTCCCCTTCCAACGACCAGCGCAAGAATGTCGCACTTTCAGCTCTCCAGCGGTAGAACAGGTCATCGAAGACATCACATCACGCATAGTCGACAAGGATCTGGCTCAATTGTTCAAAAACGCCTTCCCCAATACTCTAGACACCACCATCCGATGGCACTCAGACGGCACCTCAGCCAAACCACAACAGAGGACTAGAAGAAACGGTGCTCAGTGGGAAGGGCCGCAAACGTTCGTCGTGACAGGCGATATCAACGCCGAGTGGCTGCGCGACTCAACAAACCAACTATCTGGCTACCAAGCCCTAGCCAAGAAGGACAAGAAACTGCATACCCTCATCCTAGGAGCAATCAATACGCAGGCAGAGTTCGTCATCCAGTCTCCTTACTGTAATGCCTTCCAGCCTCCACCACCCAGCGGCATTCAGCCGACCAACAGCGGACAAGATGACAAGGTCCATCCCGCCTACGAGCCGTCCGTGGTATTCGAATGCAAGTACGAACTAGACTCACTAGCCAACTTCCTCGCTCTTGGGACAGAATTCTACGAGAACACAGGATCGACCGAGTTCCTCACCGACCGCTGGTACCTCGCCCTAGATACCCTCCTGAAAGTGCTAGACGCGCAGTCCCTACCAACCTTCAACGACAACGACCAGTTCGTTACCAACCAGTACACATTCCAGCGCTCCACCACCCTGGGCACAGAGACCCTCAACCTAGCGGGAGTCGGTAACCCCCTGAACCGCGGCACTGGGCTCATCCGCAGCGCCTTCCGGCCCAGCGACGACGCCACCATCCTGGGCTTCTTCATCCCCCCAAACGCCATGATGGCCGTCCAGCTCAAGAAAACAGCCGAGGTGATCCGCAAAGCAGGAGGGAAGGCCGACCTGGCGGACCAGCTTCAAGAGCGAGGCGAAGACCTGGACAAGGCTGTCCGGAAACACGGTATAGTCAATCACCCCAAGTACGGGGACGTCTTCGCGTTCGAAGTCGATGGCTACGGGTCCCGGATTATCATGGATGACGCGAACGTCCCGTCTCTCCTTTCGCTCCCGGTCCTGGGCTACACCGACCGAGATGATATGGTGTATCAGAATACCCGGAAGATGGTCCTTGATAAGGACGCTAACCCGTACTACCTGGTTGGCTCCGCTTTCCAGGGTATCGGTGGTCCTCATAGTAAGTTTCACTATATCCATCTACCTTTCCTCCCTCTTTTGAAATATGACCTAAAAGATGTCAATAGTCGGCCTTGGAAACGCCTGGCCCATGTCCCTCCTCATACAGGCCATGACCTCCGACTCGGATGACGAGATCATCGAGTGCATCAATCATGTCAGAAACTCGAGTCTCCTGGGTCTCGTGCATGAATCTATTGATGTCAACAATATCAAGAAGTATACGAGGCCGTGGTTTGCATGGGCGAACTCCGTCTTTGCTCAGACTATTTTGAAGGTTGCGGAGGAAAGACCGCATTTGATTTTTGGGGAGGGGGCGAAGCCTTACGTTATTGAATGAGTTGGTTGATTGGCTTCGCCATGAGAGGTTTATACCCGAATGTTTTCTTTGTTTTTAATATTGTTATCAGCGTAACGAGGTTCTTAATCTGCAGTGTATATACGTGGCTTTAGGTCATGAGTTGTGTAAGGTAAATTTAAGTGCTGTATTCAGTTTGAATGTACTATATAGGGCGAGAACGTATGGGATCTCTGGGAATGTATGGACAAGGTATGTAATGCGATCCACCAAGAGCCATCTAATATACGCTTTATTAATACAGTAGGGCTTTAAATCAGCACTCGTCTCAAGCCGTCTGTCCCACCCAACACTCTCCTCCCTGTCACAGGACACCTGCCCTTCCCATTTTCCCATTTCTCCTCTCGACTTTGGCCTTGACCGCTAGCTTTCTCCTCTTTATCACCCTTCTTCGCATCCTCCTCGTTTCCAGACTCATCCTCCCACGCGGCGCCTGCGCCCTCTCCATTCATGAAGTCAATCTGTCGTTGATGCTCCCCATTTAACCAATGGAAGACACACACATAACAAAAGACATACCCCGTCTGACACGCCGTCGGATTCGCCAACTGATTAAGACAAATAGGACAGGTAGATGCAGCATCCGAATCTACAGGCGGCAGAGGAACAGTAAAGATAGGTAAATACGAGGTAGCCGAGATAGGCGGTTGTATGCGCTTACGGGAAGATTTGAGGGCTGACTTGCGGGTCGGCGAGTCAGGCTCCTGTTTCTTCTTCTCCTTTTCTTCCGCGAGCTTCTTCCTCTCTGATGGGGGGATCATCCCATTTGTGACAGGGGCCGGGAGGTCCAGGACTTCGGTCGCTTTGCGAGCTAGTTGGCGCGAGAAGTCGCTCGCATGCCACCATTCGAGGAATTTGAGGGCGAAGATAGATGCAGGGAGGAAGTAGCGGAGGGAGGTGAGGAGTTGGGGGTAGAGATTTTGGGGACTCAGGAGGCCTAGCAGGCCTGAGCCTGGGCGAGAACGTCCCCGACCACCGGGACCGGCGGTTGGCTTGGCTTCCAGGATGGCTTCGATGGCCTTGTGGTCGGCACTACCCAGGCGGCGGATCCGGGTGCCGATGAGCCAGAGGAATGGAGAGGAATATTTCGTGTTATCGAATAGGTATGCTAGGTTAAACGCCAGGATAGAAAAGTAGTAGGCGGCGTTGACGGATGGATAGACGTTCCGAAGGAACCACTTATAGTAGTGGAGCAATCGCTGTCGGATTGTCGGGTTAGGAGGGAGGTCATCATTAGGGTCATATCGTGGACCGCCGCTCATGATTAGCGATGCCTGAGGTGCGGCGTGTATGTCGTAGCCTTCATCTAGCTTGCGCTTGACGTATGGGATGCCGACCATGACGAACAGGTTCTTCCACACGTCGGAGGAGCGCAGTTTGAGAGTCTCGCGGACAGGGCCCGGAGCACCGAGCTGAGCACGTGGAATTTCACCATTCTTGGTCAGAAGGACGCGCTCACGCTTCAGGGAGTAAAAATTCTCCGTGAAGGAGCCGCCGAACGTGCGGAGATAGTACCGCTCAACGACAAGAGACAGAAGCGCATAGATCTCATCGTATGAGTTCAATAACCGCAGCAGATATCGTGGATGGCGATGCGTTGCGACAGCAAGGATGTAGCGAATAGATGGAGGTAGAAGGTCTGATAGCTGTTGTTCGGCGAGGAGTTCTATGCTGCTATCAGTCGAATGCGGTCGTTGGAAACACCAGAGTGCAGAAACCTACCGAATAATGACGGCTTGAGCTCGTCAAATTCCTGTTGAAGACTGGGTAGATACTCCATAGTGAGGACCTCGGCCAGTCATCCTCCCTTAGGCGTTGAATTGGTTGTTGATTGTTGGTTGGAATAGGACAGGATGCGGAGGAGAGATGATTGACCCCAGACGGCGATTTGAGCCGAGGCTTATCGGCATGTGCCGTGCGTCTTATCATCATTCCCAATCTGGTGATTAACTGATCTAAGGTCAATCAGAAGAGTACATAAATATTTATTATACAGTAAGTCTATAGAGAGGATGGTAATTATTATATACATAACTCAAAATACTCTAGGAAACCCAAATCAAACGCAGGCTAGGCACTCCTTTGGCACATCTTCCATATTCGAGCTAAGTCGCTCGTTGAGCCGCCCGCCACACTCTCTTCGATACCTGGATCTGCCACAACAAGGCATTGTTTTACATGTTGCAGGAGCCGGCCTTGCAAGGGTATAGGTGTGTCCTCCCTGTTTAGCATGGGAACCCATTTCGACAGACAGTCTCGAGCACGGAGCTTATCACCTAGTTGGGCATGTAGCCGGAAGAGCATTTCGTAGTCTGCAGTGGTACGTGGGCTACCATTAAGAGGCAATTTGCGCCAGAGCTTCCAAAATCCATCATAATCCCGGTTCTGGAAAAGGGTAGCCATGAGAACGCGAGAGTCTTCGGGGTCAAAAGGCAAGTCAAGGGTCTTTGTAATACGTGAGAGCCGGAGCGCCACCTCAGGGGTTGCGTTACGAGTCGCTCTATGCAGCATGTCAAACACTTTCATATTCACAATATTTGTACCACGGATGGAAAGGTACTCCAAAACACGAACAGCAAGCTCTTTGTCCGAGTCTGGCAAAGAAGGCCCATTACTGTGGCCATCTGCTGGGAGCTCGGTCAACAAAGTTGAAGCAATTTGGTAACCAAGATCATCAGAAACGTTATATCCGGAAGCGGTGCATCTCATGAATTCCCTCCACAGGGCTTCTTTGCTGTAAGCCAAGTGCTGCCGGGAGATAGCTATGCACATTAATTTGACCTGGGCTATTGCGATATCCTCTGCAGACAGGGCTACTAGAAGATTATAGAAAAGCTGAAGAAAGAGGGTCGACGTTTTATCTTCTGGACCGCTCCCCAGTTCATGCCGAACGGTTGCACTTGGCAAACTTTCGAGATATTGGAATAAGGAGTCTGTAGAAATACCAGCACCAAAAGCATTACCATGAGCAAGGTCTTCACTTGTTGGCTTCGATGCCATAAGCCGCGACACGCCGTAAAGGTGTTCTTTACTGTCTAAGCGACTGATAGGTCGGGTGTTGTGAAATTGCCTTCTCTGCTCGAACGGGAGGTTCATTGTTGACCTGGGGACTTTTCCAGATTTACGGTCAGACGGTAATAGATCTATCGAGTTGGTATCACGAACCTCTTCAGGAGGTGCATTGGGAGTGACCTCGGAATATTTATGTCTCTTTCGTTCGGCGCGGTCCAGGTTACCCTGCCATAGGCCTTCAAGGTCGACATCGGCCCTCTTCTCCTCTGTGAAAATCTGCATCACAATCCTTGTACCCCTGCTGGCCTTGCCAAACCCCTCGAACCCTGCATCGGCCTCTTCCAGCACAGGGCCTTCTTCAACAACACCTGCGTTTACGCATATCCAGCCGGTAGTTATTCCATCGTCTTTATCATCAAACATGGCACCGGTACGACTTGCAAGTCTTGCTCGACGGGCTTTGCGTCGGAGTTTGATCTTCAACTCATTTCGACCCAGTAGCCCATCTGCATATGGGGACAATTTGTAAGTACTCCTCAGCCAACGACAGAGGCGGTCGGCAGAAACGTTCAGATGCTTCACGCTCCGTGCAGTTCCAATGATCATGATCACATTCGCACCAAGAGCGGCTGGGGTCTCCAGGCCTCGCAAGTCGATGAGGTTGAGGTCATCTAAGCCAAGGTCTTTGAAAATATATTCGAGAAAAGGAGAAAGAATCGCCGGCGGATCTTCTGGTAGGTCTGGAATTTGATCTTGGGACAGTACCTGGGAGTCAGAAGTTGGCATGTCTTCCTGCAAATACCATGGGATATGACGGGATGTTCCGGGTGATCCATTTTCTTGGGAAATTTCAGTGGGCAAGGTATGCGATGGCTGCTCAGACGCAAGATGGGATACTGATGCAAAGGCTCGCGGGTTGTGCTTGAAGATTGAGGGTACAGGGAATGGCTGGCGAAGTGCGGAGGCGGAGGCGATGGATCTCAATGGCCGAATGGTCTCCTGGAGATACCAGGGACCCCTCAGTAATGTTCGATTCATACTGCGAGTATAATATAATTGTTGCCGTCGAGAAGCATGTCGGAAAAAACCCGATGACATCTTCCTTCCGTTCGTATAAATGAAACAAACAGTACAAACACTCTGCTGACTAAGTGAGCAAACAAAGCAAACGGTTTATCGTTTTCCCCCGCGGCAAAAAAAAAGTTACAAATTCAGTACCTTCAATCTATTTCTCATCAGTTCTTTTACGTTCTCATATCAGACTACGGCAGATTTTGCAAATATGTCGATGGATCTGGATGCGCCGGTCCCTTTTGCGGCCCAGGAACAGATAAATGCGACGTATGTCCAGCCCTCTTCATCTGTTTTACCCCACTATGTCTAACCATCATGTAGTATCCTCTGTTGTAATTGCGGTGCCCCCATTGACGGAACCACATCAGCCGGTGCGCTTTGTCAGGACTGCGTGAGGACAACAGTCGATATATCTGAAGGCATACAAAGAGAAGCAGGGCTTCACACTTGCAAAGATTGCGAAGTGAGTGTTGTCAATATCGTAACAACTAGTATGTTACTAACATTGCACAGCGATGGCTCCTACCTCCCACCAGCTGGGTCAGCGCAGCTCTTGAATCCAAGGAACTGCTGGCGCTGTGTCTACGAAAACTTCGAGGCCTATCCAAGGTTCGAATCATTGATGCCAGTTTCATCTGGACTGAGCCTCATTCCAAACGTATCAAAGTCAAGATCACCATCCAGCAGGAGGCATTTCAAGGTTCCTCTACCATTATACAGCAAGGATTTGTTGTAGAATACGTTGTTTCTTCCCTTCAATGCCCAGATTGCCAGAAATCCTTCACCCCTAACACTTGGCGGGCTGCTGTTCAAGTACGGCAGAAGGTTCCTCATAAGAGAACGTTCTTGTATCTGGAGCAGCTTATTCTCCGGCATCGCGCACATCAAGATACAGTCAATATTAAGGAGGCAAAGGATGGAATAGACTTCTACTACAGTCAGCGAAGTCATGCAGAGAAGATGGTTGAGTTCCTGTCTTCGGTTGCTCCTGTCAAGGTCAAGAAGGCATCTGAGCTTATTTCCATGGATATACATACATCTACAAAGTCTTACAAGTTCACCTACTCGGTTGAGCTAATCCCTATCTGCAAGGATGACCTTGTCGCTCTCCCCATCAAGCTTGCTCGGTCTATAGGCAATATCTCGCCACTAGCACTTTGCCACCGAGTCGGTACTGCAGTCAATCTGCTAGATCCTAATACCCTACAGACCGCTGAAGTGCCAACGGGTACTTACTGGAGGTCACCCTTCAGAAACCTGGCAGATGTCACGCAGTTAGTTGAGTTCATTGTCATGGATATTGAACCTGTGGGTCGTTCAAACGGACGATTCCATCTTGCCGAGGCAACCGTTGCCCGGGCATCAGATCTAGGCTCAAATGACCAGACCTACTTCACTAGAACTCACCTAGGTGGGGTCCTTCATGTCGGTGACTCCGTAATGGGGTACCATCTGACTGGCACGAACTTTAACGACTCCAACTTCGAGGCTATCGAGGCAAGCAGTCAGTACGGCTCTACAATTCCGGACGTCATCCTTGTGAAGAAGCACTATACTCGTAAGAAGAACAAGACTCGCAACTGGCGGGTTAAGCGTATGGCTCTTGAGCACGAGGAGGAAGCACTCCATAGCGCTGCTGCCGAAAACAGGAAGCAGGAACAGGAACGTGAACGCCTTGAGGCGGACTTCGAAATGTTCCTACGGGACGTCGAGGAAGACCAAGAGCTGCGTGGTACTATTGAATTGTACAAGGCCAGGAAAGCCCGCGAACAGAATGCTGGTGGTATGGAGATGGACGAAGACAGCGACGACGATGGTGTGCCTAAGATCAATATGGATGAGTTGCTTGATGACTTTGACGAGCTGAACATGAACGATGAATGAGTCCTGTCAAAACATGATCATGATTTCACACAAAAGGTCTGGCGTTCATTGGAGACAATTGATTTAGGCGGTTTCTAGAAGGTCCGAGTATATAGCAAAAGCAGATCTGCAGGAAATTCTAAAACGAACTTGTTTCGCTGAAAAACCAGGATATAATTACAAGACAATAGTACACGAAAAATGGTCTAGAAAATCTTCCCCAAGACTCTCTTCGTATCATCCTCCAGAGTAGCCTCCCCATCCTTCAGCGTATGGCGACCCCTCTTGACCTCACTCTGCTTGAAAGTCCTCCTAATCTTGATATCGTCCATACGCTGACCTTCCTCTTCACCAGCCTCCGCCTTCCGTCTCCTCTTCTCCTCATTCTTCTTCTGAATCCCATCAATAACCTTACCAGCCTCAACACCCTGCAGGAAGATCTTATCCTCCTTCCGAGCCCTCGTATCCTCAATACGTTGCCGCGCCTCCCTTTCTGCACGCTCACGTCTAGTAGTTTCGATGATCTCATTCCAGGAGATTCCCTTCAAATAACGGATGTTTAGTATATCGTCGTGATACCAACTGCCCTTTCTCCCCCCAAGAACCGTTGCATTCAGTGTCTCCGCGCAAATCTTGGCCGTCTTCTTCGACGCAAACTCCACCCACCCATCCGAATACGTCTTCCTCTTATTCGACCTTCTCCTCGGCGCAGAAGCCGGCTTAACAGCAGGCGCCAAGAACACCTTCGTGATAGGCCCAAAAGACCTGGCCTCAAGCATCGACTTGAGCGCAAACGGCTTCATATAAGGCGGTAAAGACGACAGATACACGACGCCGGGTTTCTTCTTCTTCGGAGCCTTGCCTTTATCCAAGGCCTTTTTCTTGCTGGCTTTGTTTTCCTGTTCTGTGACGTCGAGGTAGAGGTCGTTGTCTGCGGTGGGTTCTTCGGAGGGCTGTTTGGCTTTGGCCTTGCCTTTGCTTTTTGTGAGTTTCAGGTCGGAGTCGGAGTCGGAAGCTGATTCATTGTCGCTTTGTTCGGAGTCGTTTGTGGTTTGGGTTCTTCTGCGCTTGGAGGTTCGTCCTTTGATTTCTTCTGCGGCTTCGGAGTCGTAGCCGCGGTCGGTGTCTTCTTCGTCGCTGGCGGCGATGTCGAGGAAGTCGTTTCTTTTACGAGTTGTCATTTTGTGTGGATTTTTATTTGAAGGGTGAGGTTTAGGAGGTGGTTGGTTTATGAGAATTTGGTTTTTGTTCTGTGTTTTATTTAGTAGTTCTCTAGGATGCGGTTAAAATTGATAGTTCTGGAAAGGCCGACAACTTTTTTTGTTCCGCTGGTGGTCTGTGCTCCGACGGGTGGATGACCAATCAGAGGAGACCTTGGGGCACTCCATCACTCGTAACAGTCATTTCAACCCAGAATGGTTATTGGTTCAAACTCATTTCAAGAGATACATATATATCGTTTATAAGACACTCCTACCAATGCACAAAAGTCAAACCATGTGCCTATGTACAGTACCAGAGGCAATTCTTGCCTTATCATGTAAAGAATGGGTATGAACAATGTCAACCATGACAACCAAACGACGCCAAAATCCCTGTATCTGGGTAAAATGGAAATGGGGGGTGAGAAGATAAATAGGATAGAAATGGGGGCCGGGTGGGATAATGTCTCCCGTTACTCAAGTAGAAAAGCTGAAGAGAAATGAGGAAATATTCAAGCGAATACCTAAGGATTTTCATATTCCCAAAGTCCACTTCATCCGTTCATAGACGAAGAAACCCGTGGCTGCCATGGGAATAACCTTAACATATCCAATAGTCAGGCCAACCCAGAACCCCCGGAAGCCTTTCTCTAGCCAGATCGTGCGGGCCGTCTCGGCTATTCCTAGACGATGGCCATCGCCTACTACTCCTCCTACTTGAACTCTCCGCCGGATCACTTCTAGCGGGTACGATGAAGTCTGAGCAACAAGACCGGCAACGGCCCCAGAGAACAGTTCCGCCGCGGCCGTCAATTTGGAGCGGTGGGATCCCTTAGCCTGTGATTCGGACCCTGGAATGGTTGTGTATTGCGAAAGCGCCGGCGACCGAAGCCAGTCACCAACGGTGTCATGTGTAAGGAACGAAATTCCTGCATACGGAAGCATTCCCAGAAGGGTAGGCGCAAAGCCACGATAAAAGTTGGCAAGACCGGAACTAGGGACGACCTTGTTCACAGCAGAAGAAACCTCGGCCGTGGCAGTGGCAGCAGCTGAGGTTGACGCCGACGAGCTAGACGACAATACACTTGGTGCGGAAGGCGGCGACACCCGCTCGCGGTAGATCTGTCGGAAGATGCCCGTTATGGAGGAGCGAGAAGATCGCTTAGTTTCAAACGCTAATCGTACTCGAATCAACTCTAGAGGATACGTAAAAAAGACCGACGTGATCCCCGCTAAGCTTCCAGAGATCAATCGGCGGAATGGTGTTTCCTTATCCCGCGACGGGATTATCACCGCTCGGATCTGTTCGTATGCGAGGAATTTAATGGCAGCATAAGGGAAAATGCGGAGAAGTGTTGCAGAATGGCCTTTAAATAGGCCCCTCGGCCCTTCGTGGCGTCTTATATCCCGAATCGCAGACAACAACCCAAACCAACTGCCTGTATACTTGGCAAACTGGGGATTCGATGCCTGAAAGAGGATCTTAACGCGGTCGAGCGGCGCGACCACTGTTTTAGCCTACAATACTAACAGTCAGCATCCTCACTCTTCCAATATTCCAACTGATACGAGACAGGCTAGATATTATAACGTACCGTACACCCCGCCAAACCCCCCGCAAGCCCACTCCTTAAGATATAATCCATGCTCCGTGTAGTCACCTGTTCCGGGCCTCCAGGGCCTTCTTTTTTGTACCCTGATAGTGAACCATTGTCGACAGTGGTCATTTGTGTTGTGGCTACACCTGCATTCCGACTTACATCACCAGTCGCTTGCCCTCGTGCTGGTCTTGAATCTGCGACTTGTTCCATCTGAGGGTGTGAGTGCGGGACGGTGTCCGTTATTATGCGATAAGGTTGAGGACTTCCGGGTTTGAAAGGTGAAGAACCATGCGCATGTTCCGGGGCGACAGCAGACATGAGCAGAGTCAGATCCAAGCAGGAAGCCCGGTTGGATGGTGGTGAGGAGAATCCGACGTCAAGGTCACGGGCTATCGGAAGTAGTACTCAATGCCATGGACATTTGAGGATTCCGAAACAAAGATAAGATGGGGTCTTCTCCACGCAGAAAGGGGATAATGTCCGAAACGGTTGAAGTCAAATGACGGGTAATATGCAATATATTATCTGGTAGAAAAACCCACGATCGCATTCTGACTCCGGCTGGAAAGCGGAAACCAACTCGGCGGAAGTGACGTTACGCCGCTGACGTGCCGATACCACCCGTCACCCTTCAGTGACGGCCTGCGTACGGTCTTAATACGCGACGATAACCGAGTGGCGGCTGCTGGACCGTCACATGACCCGCGGGTGGCCAACGGTGGCCTCAGGATTTGTCACGCTGATGAAAGGATATGCTGGAGTAGTAGGTAGGAGGTAGGTATGGTATATATGTATGTACTATTATTGTCTCTATAATATTTCGATGCTTCATCTGTAATGCAACAAAACCCCCCCCCTGACAGCCTGAACATAAAGATTTGTTGACCTAGTATATACAAACGTCTACCAACCAATCTTCAATCAGAGGGCCCCCCTCCAATGCAATATAACACCACTTTGTACATAACAAATGTGCCGCAAACATTCATGGTCTCGTTGCTCATGTGTGCCAGTAAAAACGGTCTTTTTTTGTTGCTTGCCGCTCCCCAAATGTATCCTTAAACCCCACGCAAGATCCCATCAAACGCCAATCGACGCAAAACTGAAATTTTAAAAATTGTAACGCGAGCCTTGCCTTGTCAAGGGTTTGCCCTGGCGATTAACCGCCTTGAGCTCCTTCGGGCCGTCGGTGGCCCTCTTAGCTCGTTTGGCTGGTCGGGAAGCATCTATGTGAAGATGTCCATTCTCAGACAGAGCCGTTGTATTCTGCCAGCTCAGGCAACGATGCTTGTGATCGTCCACGTAAGTTTTATTTCTTGTCGTCATCCGCTTCGTGGGCATCTCCTCCGAATCAACCCTCTCCGCCGTCTCTGCAAGGTATTCCGTACGGAGCTTCATGTACTTAACAATGTGGTCACGCTGAAGCAACAACTCTTTGCGTAACCTCGACTCTCGGTTGCCTCGCGAATCAAGCCAATCGATGAGTTTGTCAACTGCATCGGGGTCATCGTAATAGCCCCATTCCTCTGCGTTCGAGAGCCTGGTGGATCCTTCTTCGACCTTCTTGCGCTCCGCCGGAGTCATGTGGAATTCCTTCTGGTATTGCTTCTTCTGGTCTTCAGGCACGTCAATGAATCCTAGACGCTCCATTTCGTCGGGACCTTGGACCCATAGGCGACCATTCGCAAACTGAGCTCCTGCCGTCGAACTATTCGGCATACCCCCGTACGGCATTGCGTTTCGCTCAAACCACCAGTATCGGTTACAGAACCTATCCTTCCCGAGGCATCTGGTTCGTGGGCAATCAGCCTCCCTCAGGTCGTTATCCACCACGTTGATCTTCTCTTCAAGCTTCTCAATGTTAGCCTTTTGGTCATCAATCTTCTTTAGCACCCTCTGATATTGTTTCGTGCCCTTCGGTTGTTTGGCCAACTGTTCCCTCCGTTTCTGTTCTTCTTCTTGCTTTCGCTTTCTCTCGAGAACCCTATCCAAGCCCCCGCGAAGTGATCGCTGGGGAGCTTCTTCCTCGTCAGAATCGGCTACTTGATCGGATTCTCCGTCAACTCCAGTCATCTTGGAGTCTTCCAGTGCTTCTATTTCTGGTGCTGGAGAGGGTGATTTTTCTGGTTCAGGTTGGAGTGCCTTCCGTTCTTGATGTAACCGTCGAAGTTCTTCGAGCCTAGATTGAAATGTGAGTCACAGTCTTCAAACCTGTACTTCACTTCACTTACGCGACTTTGCGAGCCTTCTGATATTCTATTTTCTCTTTGCGGAACTCGGTCATTTGGTTGCTGCACTCCTCCAGGTAGTTTCGAACGGCCTTTGTCTCCAGACTAAGCATGCAGATAATTTGGAGGGCTTGAGCGCGCAGGTTAACATTGAGGGTAGCATATTGGCGTTGAGCGGTTTCCTGGGTCGGCTCTGCATCAAGAGGAGCCAGATGCTTGAGGATCTCGTTGCAGGTCTTCTCCATCCGTGGACGAGCAGATAGCTGATGTAACAGCCCAATCATTACCAATTCCCAACCACCGTTACGAAAGTCTCGCTTCCGGAGACGTTCTATCCAACCATAACCTTCAAACATCTCGGCGGCACGGTGAATCGTGGCTTCTACCGAATTAGAGCGGCTGCGATTAGCTTGTGCTTTCAAATTTTCTGCCTCTGCCTTAGCTAGGCTACTCCGAGTAGTCATTCTCATCACGACCGGTTCAGGCTCGGGGGTTTGTTCCTCTTCTCCTTCTTCATCCTCTTCGTCAGAATCTTCAGAGTCATCTACCGGAAGGTCGGGCAGTGCGATCTGGACAGCTCCATTCTCATCCGTCTCGGAATTTACCAGCTTCTTCAAAACAGCGCAATGAGCCTCAACGAACAGTTGACAATCTACCTCCTCCGGTGAAAAGCGCATAGCCTGAAGGAAATCATCAAAAGTAAACGAGTCCAACTGGAAAACTTCGCAGTACACATTAAGAGTATTCCATGTCTCGAGAAGTAAGCCCACTGACTTCATGTCGATGTGGTCATGCAGCAAGCCTTCGTCTTCAGGATCATCTGTTTCATCAACTTTCAAGAAGTTAAGGGTAGGCCTATGCTTTTTCTTTTCACGGTCCGGCGCTATCTCGAGATCCTCAATGGGATATTTAATCGGTGGAGGTGAGGGTGGCCGAGGAGGTTCGTTCTTTACAACGACTGCGGGAGTAGCTTGCGATTTCTTGTCGGTATCCTGAGACTTGGGCGAGCGACCTGACCCAGGGGTTTTGTTACTGACAACAAAAGTTGGGTTGCCATTGAGGGATCTTTGATACTCCAGAAATTGTGCCTCCTTGGACCGCGCCAAGTCCTGTTGGGAAGGCTTGGACTTTTGGCCCTTGACTGCGGGTTTTAGTTCAGGTAATTGTTGTGATGCGAAGAAACCAAAGAAACCTTCTTGGTCTGCCTTCTTCATTGCCTTTTTTTCAGCAACCTTGGCTCCATATTGCAGGTGTTTCGGTACCTCGGTTGAGATTCTGTATTCTTCAGCAATCGATGGTTTCACTAACCAAGGCGCGCCATTCCAAGACTCCCGTGTCACATTGTTCTTGATAAATGCACGTAACATCTGTTTGGTGAAGATTTTCCGGTCTCGAGTAATGTGCTCTTGATCCAATAGAGCTTCCTCATTCGGACGATCCAAAACTTTCACAAGATATGTCGCGTAGGCTGGGGCTTTGACGGTACCATCGGGATTCAGTTGCTCTGCAAAATTGGCCTTGTCTCTAATCATACCATGAAGACGGGTATTGTCGTCCAGTAATATCAATACGGATTCACCAGGGTAAAAATCCTGCTTAAACTCCTGCAGTTGTTTAGTATCGTATCCACTCTGACGCTATGTCATTTGCAACACATCTAACTCACTTCATAGATCTCGTCCACTGTAGACTTGGCTGTTAGTTTCAGATCTTTATAAATACAAGTGTTATACGCACCAAGATTGTCGACTCGCGATACTGTGGAAAACTGAATCCTTCGCAGGATGGGCTCCTTCAAAGCGTCGGGAAAGGTATTATTGACTTCACGCGACTCCTCCATCTACCAACGAGACTTAGTGTTGAGAATTGAGCAGTGAAACAGGCACTGAGACGTACCTCCGACCTAAGCGCCTCAAAAAATGTCAGACCCGAATGGCCCGTGATCTCGCAAATAAATCTTCTTTGCTTGTAGAAGTCCATTCGCTGAAGATACGGCTCATACTGGGTGAACACTTCGTTGGTCTCCGGGATAACCCAGACCTATACAACCATTGTAAGCAACTATGCCTCCGTTACCTTGTTGAATACACATGCCTCTGAACTATCATCTTGGATAACGGGTCGGGGGAGGAACTGAACGGGTTTCCGCTTAAACAGCACCTAGGGCAATGTAAGCTTCTGTGGGTGCAAATACACCTTTTTCAAGCATATTCGGCGGTCTTCTAGTAGCCGTAGAACTTGTGACGTACCATGGTCCTCTAGGGAATGAAAGCAACGTGCCAAATTATCATAGATTGCTGAGAATATCGTTGGACATGGGCGATCTATTTAATTGGCAGACACCGTTAGTTCAGTACACAGTGGCGCAAATCAATACTATGGCAGGAGGAAGTAAAGCCCTAATTGTTGTATAGCCGATGCTGCAATCGGATCGGCCGTGTGGTAGAGGCGCGGATGTGCTGCGCGGAGAAGCTCCGGAGGTACAGTGGATATATAGAAGTATATTCGTGGATCCGTGCTAAAGCCATATGGCGAAGTTTCAAAGGGAGTATGTCGTGTGGAGGAAGCTTACCAAAGGAACGCGTCTCCAATCGCGCTTTGCACGGGTGCGCGGAAATATGGTAGCCACGGAACGAGAACGAAAATCTAGAAAATGGTGTAGCTGCAAGAGAGCTCGGTAGCACTGTGGATCCGCAACGCGGGTGATATCCAAAATCCAGGTGTTCGTGTGGGAGGTCGCGTGAGGAGGGACGAAGGCGAGGTAGTATGAAAGGAAAAAAAAGAAAATGAAGAATCTCCAAAGAAGAAAGGAGAAGCGGTCGCCGCAACGGCAGAACCGGGCCATGAGGATCATTGCGGCAAGTGGTGGGAGGGCCGCCGAGGCACAGTGAACTGTGATTGGACGAGAGGAGGAGAACTGGCCGGAGAAGATGTTGGGCGGACAAAGGACGGCTATACCCGATAGGGAGTAACGCTGAAGGAGAGTGGGAGGGTAGAGGCCCCGACTGTGCCCCCATCTCTTCTTGAGCCTCTCTGTCAACGTTCAACCCCCTCAAGCATACGTGTATTTGCACTTGTTCGGCTCGTGATTTTCTGTAGAATTACCTGATAATTCATGTTTAGACAAAATATTCCTTATACCCTCATGATCGTTTGATATAATCGCTCGTGTTGAGACATTTCTGCGAAGAGTAGTTCAACTACTAGGGTTAATGCTGGGTGGCCTCCACATATACTACGCTACATCCACAATCAAGGGTCTCTGTTGAAGCCTACACCACTGCTCCATGAAATTTATCTTCTCAGGTCACTTATACTTTCTAGATCTGGTTTTTTGAGTGCCACTGGACCAGTGAATATTTCTAGGACGCCGAACATAGACTATGCGCTTTTCCATTTGTTTACACAGCATTCCCCGCAATGGCCTCAACAGACATATCCCAGGAGCAAAAGACCATTACTCGAACATTCACGTGCATTATACGTCATATATTCCTACTTGGTTCCTGAAAACTCTCTATATATCCCAATCCAACGTTCATTATCGCCAAATTAGCATTAAACTTGCAACCTCTCTGCACTCTGCACAACTGAGGCTCCATATACACTACGAAAAAAAAAGGCTCGGCGCTTGATTTATGTACCTCTAGCTCAGGCATCATGTTCTCCTCCAGCGGATGCTCCCCAGGCTGATTGAAGCGCATATTGGTTTCGCGAAATGTCAAGCTTCTTTCCAGTTTCCGCAACATGCAACAGGTCTTCAGTATCCTAGTTTATCCTGTCCAATAACATAACTGGTTACTATCGCTATGTATGACTCCTCCTTCTCTTAATGTTGTCTTTAGGTATTACCGTTTCTAGTCCGTTCACTCTAGCCATGCGGCAAACAATACTCTCTTAATGTTTATCAGCAGGTGTAGCCAACACTGTGTGTTAAGAAGGTAGAATTTTACCGGTGTTATAGTAAGTCACTATAAGTGCAGATCATAGGCAGAAACATTCTCGCCCGAGTGTAGTATTTGAAGAGAATACTTTGAATCAGTAATAGGATTTATTGCGATATTGTCTTGTTTGCTCACCGTAGAAGACTAGGTTGTAAAAGCGACAGTCCATGCGACACTAGCCAGAAATATGTTTATTTTGGCGGACGTTCGCTTTTCTAGAACTTGAGTTTGGTAAGCATTACCTTTTGCTCTCTGTTTTGTTTTGCTTTCTTTTGATATCCCCATATTGAAATATGAAACAATAGAAAGCGGCAAAATCGAGGAAAAGAAACAAAAAAAAAAAAAGCGCAGTATAAGTAATGCTAGAAGAATTAAGGCACTTGTGTTGATCGATTCATAGAGACATCGAATAATGCCATGGAGGGAAGGCAACCAAGAAAAACAAAGGCAGAGACTACAGAATGGCTGTGATGCGTCACCTGACGGATCCCTGAAAATATACTTCAACACAGGGGATATAGTAAAGATAAACATTCTTACCGATAGTGCTATAATTCAGAAGTGATGGAGTAATAATACTAGTATTTGTATAGGTATACAACGCTAACGAACTAAGTCGATACTACCGTTAGTTTGTATAGGCTAGTCTATTGTAATTGATGTCAGAAATTACTGGCACTTCCTGCAGTGTCACATCCATGGGATCGGTCATGTTTAAAGGTTGGGTCTAACCTTTTCTGGCCTGATGGCTGATAAACTTTGCAAAATTGGATGATCAAGTGGGTCCACTTCCGAAGCACGTGGATGTAATCAAACAGACCAAACATTTGGGAACCCCATTACATCATTGTTTTTGTTAGCCGTTGAAAACTCTCGATATTTAATTAATTAACTTGGGGTTTTTACTGTGTAACACGACACCTAGTGATATGTTCCTTGATGGATTATAGGCATTGTTGCAGTTTCACTGAACCAGAATTTTGTTATACTGATATATTATATCTTTCCTTTTTTACTTTCTTGGTTACGCAATAAAATATACCACCATAAATCCCACCCAACTACCTACTACCCCAAGGGCGGAATAGCTGCTCATGAACATCAAGGGCAAAAACTGGTACCGTTCCAGGCCAAAGATCAGCTGATGAACCAACGAACAGTACACAATTAGCGGAACAGCTACAGCCAGGTAGAGTAAGGAGAAGCGATCGACAATCGGGAAAATCCGAGGTCGCTCGGGAACTGGCGCCACCTGCTCAAATACAAACAGAAACAAGACCAGCCATAGTACGGTGTATATGATCTTGATAGGAAACTCGGCTGCTGTGAATAATAAAGGGAACAGCGAAACATGTCCAGCTATCGCAAGAGGTCGGAATGCGCTAAAGTACCGCCGGTCTCTAAGAGCGATCAGACTGAACGGTATGATTACCAGGAGGATGGCTTTTTCATGAACATGCCAACCAAACAAGAAGGAAGCATATCCGCAAAGCGTGATTGCGCCAACAAAGGCGTCCCAATCCCCAGGGCTCCGCCACAATTTGATCAGCGGAAGCTACGTCTGCATAAGTACAAGCATCGAGAGTAATCCAAAGCATTAGAATACGTACCAGCTGAAACAGGAAGGTTAGCGCAAAAGTGTGCTCCTTGGTCACCTCAGGAAGAACAGCAAAAGAGGTGTCTCCGACCAGCCCCCGAGTAACACTAGTCAAAGCCTTCTGGTTAACTTCAAGACCCAGGCGTGGGGCAACTGTTAATAGTCAGCTATGCTGCTGCAATGTCTCGGTGCCTTAGTGCATACGCAAGATGAGGACACGGTCCACAAACGAGTACATTGCCCAGATATTGGGTGCCCAGTAGGCATGGCACAGGCCTCTTGAAAAAGGAAAGAGCCGGTCTTTCAGTTGGAGTAGTTGATTCCAGTAGGCGAATGGACCGAACGCCAACCCAAACACACTAGTGACGCCCAGACCAAGTTTGAAGATGTTGCCAAATCTAGGCCGGAAAATTGACTTCTGATCGAGACAGTATGTCCTGAGTAAGTAGACAAAATAGGCCAACGATAGATATAGGTGAATGTGTTTCATGCAGAGCAGAATGGCAAAGGTGATACCGCTGTAAAGGAGCGTTGACTGCTTCCGCGCTAGTACAATGGACAGGATCAAAATGCCGTACATGAAGCCGTTATATTGGAAATGTATGTGGTCGATGATAAGCAGTCCCGGCGATAACAGAATTGATAGGCTGGCAATGTGCGCAAGCTGCTTATTGGACTCAGGCGCCGATTTGACAAATCTAGAGTATAATATAAGCTCCTGTAGCCACCTTTTGACGAGACTGAATAATAGAGGTCGTACCGACTCAATGCGAAAACGAGGACGAGCTCGCTAAGGATAACGGTCGCTCGCTGAAAGTAAATTGTCTGCCAGGAATCGTAGTTCAGATTCTTGACAACCAACATGGCCGGGTCTGCATATTGTGCCGCTTGCGACAATAGCCACTCGAAAGCTGCGAAGAAAGGAGGGTAATCGAGCGTCCATTCCGAGGTTTTCTATTCGAGAAGTGTTCTCAGCATACAGGAACCGGAGAGCGTGCGGTGTGCATCATACCTCGTAGTACCATTCCTGGACCGGTAATGAATGCGTAATCGCGAGCCAATTCCGATGAACTTCGAAGTCGGTCGATTTACTACAATGAAAGCCGGACGTTAGCGTGTTGGTTCTTTGAGTTTCAACCGGACAAACATACTAGGTGGGGAAGAGTAGAACCTTGAAGGCTGTAGCGACAATGGCGCATTGCGCCAAGGAAGGGGATAGGTTAGCCATTGGAGGTGTTGCGCATGCTGCGCTATCAAAGGCACGGAGGACAATGAACGTAGAGCAGCGATGTCCCTGATAGGGGAGAAATTCCCATGGAACGGGATCTTAGAGACGATCCGGGGGAGCTCTCACGTGATGCGCGGATACCCAGCGACAAAGGCCAGTGTGTCCCTTCGGCGTATCATACCGATCGATTAGCGCTCGAGTAGCTGCAGCTTCTTCATGGAATTAGCTTCGGACATAGGGGTCCGTCATTCTGTCGTCCTCTCCAACCTTAACATTCAACATTTGGTCGACTTTTCGCCGGCGACAGTCTCAATTGTCAGAGAGATCCGCTACTGCGTGATCGCCATTGCGGTTGGGTGGACCACTACTCGTGTTGTTTCTGCGCTGTTGAATCGAAGAGCCCCTCCAGATCAGTGACGCTCTAGAGTACCCGGCATCCGTTGTTCTTTGGAATTTGTCTCCTTGTTTTACCTTTCCTTGGAATATTCAAGACGTTGTTCCCGCCATTTGCCCAGATCGAGTTGCACTTGAACAAGAAGTGATACTTGATTGATCGCATAGACACTATGAAGTTTCAAATTTCCTTACCCTTGTTCGCTGCTCTCACAGCGGCACAGGTTGTGATTGAAGGCTCTAGCTTTGGTTACGGTCAAACGTAATGAATAATCCTCTCTATTATGCGTTATGCACAGCCGCCCTGACAACTTTCTCTAGACTATCGCCGAACAGAGACACCATCCCAGGATGGCAAATCGGAGGAGAAGGTCATTCTCCTCAGATCGTATGTCTTTGTTGTACAATTCCTTTGATATCTGTTGAAAAGTATTTCTAACTCCACCAGCTCTCCAATAAACTTATTCTTACTCCCCCGTATCCTGGCAACACCAGAGGTTACGCTTGGGCACAGGCTCCGTGAGTTATATCAGTTCTTTGTCATATGCAAATGGCTAACCATGAGCACAGTGTCTCCCATTCGGAATGGTCAGCTGAATTCCAGTTCCGAGCATCTGGAGTTGAGAGGGGAGGAGGTAACCTTCAGCTCTGGTATGCGAAAGACGGCCAGAGCAAGATTGGCTCATCTAGCATTTACACTGTTGGCCAATGGGATGGCTTCGCGCTCGTCGTTGATATGCACGGCGGAAGAGTGGGTCTCTCGCGGTCTCCTCACTTCTCTATCAATACTGATTTGGTTCTAGCGCGGTAGCATTAGAGGGTTCCTCAACGATGGCACAACAGACTATAAGAGCCATAAAAGTGTAGACAGCCTTGCTTTCGGACATTGCGATTACTCTTACCGCAACCTTGGACGGGCTTCCGTTGTTCGTCTGAAGCACACGAATTCTATGCTCGAAGTCACTGTCGATGACCAACTTTGCTTTGCCACAAACAAGGTAAGCCTTATTATACATGTCCTGTGCAAGATAACCCCTAACACAGAACAAGGTCACCCTTCCCGCTGGCAACACCTTTGGTGTGACAGCCGCGACACCAGAAAACCCCGACTCGTTCGAGATCTTCAAGTTTGTCCTGCAGTCCGCCCAGTCCGGTGCCTCTCCCCCAGTCCAGCAGCAGCAGCAGCGGCAACCAGTCGCCGCCCAGGGTCAAACGCAGCAACAGCCCCGGTCAGACCAGCCGCCCACCAACGAACAGTATGTCGACCTCTCCGCCCGTATTGAGCTCGTCAACAAGGCCACTGGCAACATCATCCGCGAAATCGGCAACCAAGGCAAGCAAAGTGAGAACCGCCACCTAGACCTCCAGCAGAAACTAGCCACCAAGGAGCAAATCACCAGCCTCGATGCCCGCCTCCAGAAAATGGAACAGATCCTGCAGAGCATCCAGCGCGACCTCGAAGGCAAGGACTACCACAGCCGCTTCAACCAGCTCCAGGATACCCTCCGTTCTTCTCACCTGACCTTAACCGAGCACCTCCAGGGCTCTGTCCTCAACGGTAAGTCTCTCCCTCCTACATAAACTACATACATATCTCCTAGAAACTAGACCCTAACGCAACTGAACAGCAATCACCGCGTCCACCCCCCGCATGGGCTTCTTCATCTTCCTCATCATCGCCTTCCAGGTCTTCCTGGCGGTATCTTATGTCGTTTACAAGCGCCGTCGTGCTAACATGCCCAAGAAATTCCTCTAAGCGGCTAACCAAAAAAAATCACCTTCCCCTCCCTTATGCACAAGAATAGTTTCGCAATTGGCACAACTTCGCATTCATGATATACAAATCTCGTTTCGACTGTTTTGTTCTGCCCCTCCTAATACGGAGGACACGGAAATCTAGATCCACGAAAGTCATGTAGTAATGTTAACTTTACATCGGCTTTGCGCTGCTTTCTTGTTTCGGTGTGTTCGTGCTTTAAGAATGGCTTCGGTTCGGGGGTCGTGATGTAAGCCGACTACTGTTGTTTATTGTAGTTTTTTTTTGGGTTCCTTGTATATTTATATTTAGATGTGAAATCTTCATTCTTAGCTGTTTACTTTGGGGGTTTTTAATTGGACTGTAGATCGCTGTACTTGGACAGTTCGAACCAATCCTGAGACAGCTTTACAGACGAAAACAAGAGAAACACACCAATGACAATGCTAACAGTCCACCCTTCATGCCTTGCTAATGATGCGAAACAGAGAATTCTAAAATATCGTACAAAAAGGATATGTATCCACCTGGTGTGTCTGCGGTATACACCTCAAACAAGCCACCACCGAGAGCTGAAATTTGAGAAAAGCGGGATATTGGAACCTGGCGAAACAACAAAATGATCGTCACAACATGAAACACAGTTACCGTACGCCAATCGAGAGGCTTGCCCGACCCATAAAAGACCGCGTATTATGAATCGACGGATAGCCAAGACAGCTCAGAAATGAAGTAGGAGGGGCGATATTTATGTAACCTAGAAGCGAGTATAAGGCTCAAATATCACCGATAGAAACCTCCGATTACGGCGGGCTTGTAAGTTGAGGGTCCACGACATCGATGTCTGTGGACTGGGCGGCTGGAGACTGGGATGGTAGCGTGTGATTCCTTAGGTCCGTTATACGTAGTTCGATCAACCGCTGCAAAGATCGAAGTGATGCAATCTCGCTCTCGGCTGAAGGCAAAGAATCCGGGGCATTCGCTTTCAACTGATCGATAAGAAGGCTTATCTTGCTATCCTCAACTTCTGCGCTGCTGCCGCGTGCAAAACTGATCAAATTTGCCGCAGCCTCTCGCTCAGCGGCAGTACGCGAATTAAGAATTGTAGTAGTTGTATCCTCTTCTATCACCTCCGGAGTTTGTGATGCATAGAACGCGTGGGCTTTAGCCGTAAGTTCGTCATGCCGCTTACGAACATACTCAAAGTACCTGTCGGCGCACGCTTTCTTCATTGCAAGTTCTTCGTTTTCCCTGCAAGGTTTGTTAGATAAAGAGAGGTTAGGCATGTCTTCCAAGGAACTACTAACCGTTTAACTCGTTCGATAAAATCGAGCTTAATCCCCTTTTCTGAAACACGATACATGATACCCTCTTCCTCTTGTTCTTCTATCCTTTCGTCTTCTTCTGCATCTGGAAGTATTTCAACGTCTATCAAGCGTGGATTTTTTGGACGACGAATGCGCTTCACAAAGTCGTAGCCCTCCTCATCTTGGACAATGAAAAATTTGTCATGCCAACTATGGTCGGGACACATCCAGCTATGATATGTACGATCACTACCCGGCTTTTGGGTAGGGGGTATAGCTAGTGGTGGATCTATACAGTCCATATGGAAGGCGAGAGGACAGAAATCGCATTGTATAATTGGTCGGCGACCGTTCGTAGTGCGCCCACAGCCATGGCAGAGAATGAGTTTGCCTTTCGCATCCACCGTTCTCAGCAAAAACGGGTCATCATAACGACCAGAACGGTTCCTCCCACTTCGAGGATTGATCCTGGGGAACGTCAGGACCTCTTCGTATCTTCCTTCTTCGCCTGTTCGTACGCCAGCAAAGTAGCCACGAAATCGAGCGGGAAGAGCAAAGTCCTTCTGCGGAACGTTGTCGACGGCAAAAAGTAATGAAGCCATGGGTTTTGTGAAGGAACATTTTGGACAGAACCAATCCCCCTCGGGTGGATTCGCAGGATCCAGAGGTGGGTTGAGACAGGAAAAATGGAATGAGTTGACACATCCATCGCAGCATAGGAGCTGACCGCTGCCGTTGCATTCTCGACAGAAATCATTGTTCTCCTCGTTGTTTTCCCTGCTAGCGGCAATTGTAGGAGTTAAGCGCCGGTTATCACCAGCATCGCTGCTCGCCGGGCTCTCCGATCGTCCCTCATGGTCGGCCACGGTTCTGTCAGGGGCAGTTTGAGATCGACCAGCCGCAGTAGGAGCAGGAGTTGAGATACCAGAAGGGGGTTCGGAAATAAGCGAAGAGCGGAGTCTACTTTCAGGAGCAGTAATCTTCGGCAGGGATCTTTGCATACGAGTCCGTTTAGCCGTGACGGCTTCTGCCGAAAATTCGGGGTTTTCCTCCAATGCACGCCTCCGCTGAAGAGCAGTGTCACTGGATGGAAACGCAGAGCGGCGACTGGGAGGCTCTGAAGCTTCACTATCCACAGTTTTCTGTGCAGATTTGGAGTGTCTTCCTCTAGCGCGGGCGCGAGCACCCGCCGCTCCCTGAGTCATGCCGGGGGCGAATGATTCGGCATCAAATGACTTGGCAGAAGATAAAGAAGAGACACTACTGGCAGACCGAGTACGCCCCACGTTTGATGTGGCAGCAGGCACCACTTCTGTGCTCTCTTCTGATTGCACCTCTTTCCAGGCAGTACGCATCACAGTTTGGAACACGGACTGCTCACGGGCTCCAGGATTCGCCCCACAGACACCCTCCAAAACAGATAATGCAAAAGAGTCTTTACCGCATGTCTCCCACAGACGGAGCAGCCCGCGAATGACTGGACGATTACCAGTCTCAGAAGCCATATGGAGAGCGTTCTCGACTGCGGATCGAAGTTTTTCCACATCCACGTCCGTCGAATCAGGGATAGGAATCGTCGTAAATGCAGTCACGTCCTGCACAGTTTTGTCCTTTGGAAGGATAGATTCAGCTATTGGCTCTTCAGCAGGTGTCAGTGGTGTCTGTGGTTTGCTGATCTCTTGATCCCCGTTCGGTGCTGACCGCTCGTCTTTCCTGACAGCAATATTCTGTGTACTAGGCTTGATAGCGCCTAATCCTGCTTTGCGCATATCTGCAGCAGATGGCATTGACCCTAAAGGTCGCATGGTTGCAAGGACTGGGTTCGCATCGCTCGAAACAGCTGACCAGGGGGTGTCTCTGTAACTTGGAGCCGGAGCTCTCACAGGGGGCTCAACCCATTCCGCGCCTTTCTCCGACAAGTGCGAATCACTGACCGTGTCTGATACACCGGCATTAGCTTGCACTGGCTGCGATTGACTTTGGGACGGAGTTTCAAGGGGAGGATCTGTGGCTACACGGCTGTGCCTGCCCGTCCGCCGTTGTTTTCGAGGCCTCGTAGATTCGGTGAAAAAAGAAGCGGGACTCGCGGCAGTCGGCACGTGGAGCGGCGTTGATGGACGGGAGTTGTTCGACCTGACATGGGACGTAGAGCGGAGATTCCGAGCCATCTTTGTAGAACCAGGGCTCGAAAAGTTGCAAGGTCTAGGAAGTGCAGGGTTAGCGCAGAGTGCTATGGGGGGTGATTTATTTAATGAAACAGAAAAAAATACTCACTAGGAAACAGAACCCACAAGCAGACAGCGGATGTGCCCAGCGGTGCTGGTGGGAATCGTGGCCAGCCCGCGCGCTGTCTGCGGGTTGATGAGAAGGAGGAAGATTGCGGAGTTGGAAGCGACGGGAGTTTTCGAGGATGAGTTCCCAATCACGCTTCGTAGGGGGTATGCCGCGGAGGCAGCCAACAACCACAAAAATTTGCGTGTTCAGACTAGCAGGTTACAAGGTTAGTAGTTGACTAATATGTCTCAATTTATAATTGAGTCATTTAATTTTCTTACAAATCTCACAGGAAGGCTTCTTACCAGGAAGACTTTGAGCTCCCCTCGGAGGTCGTGGCGAAAGGGAGGCAATAGATGCGCTGAGACCTATTATTAAAATATGACCAAAAAGCCTTTACTAGCCGGTAGATGAAGTACTGAGGTCTTTGTAAAGCAATTGCGATGGTTATCCGTGTTGTCTGGGAAAGTGACGTGTTCTTTGTCTTCAACAGGTTAACAGATGATGCATCAAAGCAGGCATTGCAAGATGCCAGTAATCAACCATGAGCATAATAACAACGGCAAGCAATGGAAATTCGTAGGCAAGCTCTTTCAAAATCCAATCATCATCGGATCGCATTGTTGTGTACATGGGAGATGCCTCAACAAGAGCGGCACACGGATCTCCTGACAAGCAGATGGACAAGGGGTAGACGACAGCAACGAGATAGAGATCGAGAAGAACTCACTAGAGACAGAACAGATCTTGTAACGATACCCTGGGTGAAGTACAAGAGTGGGCGACACGTAGTCGCGGCTCGTTGGGTAGCGAGCCAGAGACGCCAGGATAGACTGGCTAGAAGAGCAGGCCCAAAAGGGGACTTGTTGAGAGTCAAGATGGAAGAGGCAAGAGAATGCTCTCCGGAAGGATCAGGCTCTGCTGTCTCTCCTTAAGTGGCCAAAAGAGACGTGCGATGGAACTAGTATAAAGGGCGTGTTGGATGATAGACGAGAAAAGGGAAGCCAAAAGGGGAAGTAATAGGAGAGAGCCTGGATTGGTAAAGAGGACAATAGGATCCACAAGAGAGGGGACTGAAATGTAACACAGGTAAATATCTCACGCAAAAGCGATAGACGTGATGAATGAGGCTCCTGTGTTGCCTAAGGTCTCAAGAAGACCGATGACAGCTGAGATAGGAGGGGCTGACCGTCCTGCAGAGGTGGATAGATGCCACTCTCGGTCAGGGGCACAACAAAGCATGCAATACGCAAAGACGACTTTGTCTGAAGTAGCTGAGTATGACAACGATGAGAATTGGACAAAAGATTTATAGTGATCTTGGGTTTCGGAAGGTGAAAGGTTTTGAGCTGACCTAACAACAGATAGCCGCTGCAGACAAGGAAACAGAAAACCAGAGGCTTCTAAGTCTTTACTTGCGCGGAAATGCTAGCCCCAGGCTGGATATACAGATATCCAAGAGCGAGGGATCAAGAGGGAAGAAGAAGGTGGAGGGGATTGGAAGGGGTGAGATTGATGGAGGAAAGATGGGAAGAGGAATCAAGAACCTAACGGAACACCAGCTTGGCCCACACCACCAATTCACAGCGCCGGATGACCACGACAATGCAACTCCAGTCCAACGCTTCTCAAACATCGACAAGCGCATCCGCGTGACAAGGCAGGACAACATATCTTCAATTTTAACTCATCCTTGCATCCACCTTAAATCCCTTTGGGCCGCGGGTGTCCAGTATTATCTGCCTGCTACACGCCCCGTCCAGTAGTAATAACTACTTGCTCATTAAAACCCGGTCAGACAAGGAGTCAAAGAGAGCGAACAATGGAGAGAAAGGAGCAATGGACTTCATCCCGACGGGTATAAAGAGAGTAACTTTGCTAGAATCCGGGTTACATGAAAGCATCCTCACAGTAGAAGGACAAGAAGGAGCCGATTGAGCGTTTCTCTTGCAACAAGAACTCAGGGCTTTTTGCTCTTTTGCAGAATGAGTATGCGCAGACCTCGATGGCGTCAATAAAACACAGATATGGGATCGATATGTCGATCCCATACTAGTGGTACCTCGGGCAATGTGTCCAACATCATTGAATGATGGTATATGTTAGATAGCCTGTAATTAGTAGAAATAATTCCCTAGGTTGATGGGATCAAAAGCAGTAACCGCGAGACTAACTGGGCTACGAGGAAGAGAGAAAACTCAGACTGTGCAAATAAGGAATAGAATGAGAACCGTAAGCAAAACCTCATAATTTCTTTTTTATATTCACCTCATGCATAACTTTCGCGCTTTTCAACTAATTACGTGCCAAAGGGTTTGAAGATGGCACCATGGCAAAAAAGACAGGAAATCTTATATGGATTCTCCTATCCACCTATGCCTCTCACTCCATGTGTTCGCGTAACAAATTCACCTCTCTCCGAAATGGAAATAGGGATTTGAATGACATGATTGATCAACATCCTGGAGCACTCCGAAAAGGGGCTCCGACCATAGCCTGGAGCAATTCCATCTCCCTATCCTACGGTTCACTAGATATGCCAAAAGGTGGCCGAGTCAAACGACTTATTTACTCCTGGTCGCCAGACTCCGTCTTCTTGGCGGCCTTCTTCTTGTTGTTCTTGTTCTTCTTGGAGCCAGTCGACTTGGACAAAGGACGCTCAAGGATCTTGAGGATTTCCTCATCCTCGATCTTCTTGTCTGACTTGACCTTGGTAAAATCAGGTGTGGCGGGAGCAGTGAGCTTGGTGAGGCCATTCTTGGTGATAGCTGTATGATTGTCAGTCAAAAGAAAAGGAAGTGAGGAAAAGGGAAGAAGCATTCCGGCGGGCCCCGTAACGCAAAGAACGGAGCAACATACCGACAGTGGTCAGGAGACGAGAAACAGGAGCGTTGTCGGCGTCACCGGCAGGCTCATACTGCCTCAAGACACCGCCACGGACACACTCAACGACACCGACCTTAGCGGACTTCTCATCATCCAGCTGGCGCAAGCTGAAGGGGAACTGGCCGAACTTCTTGACAATCTCAGACAGGGTCTGTCTCGAGCTGGGACGCTTGAGGATGTAGGTGGTAGTGGTACGGCGGTGCAGAGTAGAGCGGAGGGGCAGCGTCTTGACCTTTCCGGAGCCCAGGGAGAGACCAATCTCAACACCCCAGACTTCACCAACGTCGGGCACACCCTCACCCTTCACACCGGCGCCGGGGGCAAGGATGATCTTCTTCTCAGCTTCGATTTCGTTGCGCTCGAATTGCCAGCTGGTGGTGTTCTCAACCACGTTGCAGTCATAGGCCTTGGCAACCTTCTCGATTAGCTGGGAGATATGGGCTTGGGTGGGGGCCTTCTCGGCGGCAGCCTTCTTCTTCTCCTCCTCGGAGCCACCGGCCAAAAGGCCGGGGGGTACCATGAGGCGTAGCAGAAGCTCGTTGGCATAGTGAGTCGCGGTAATGAGGTCAGCCTCGCGGCCGGTCACTTCGTCCTTGCCGACAACAACCTGGTCGCAAACAATGGTTCCGAAGCCATCGATCTGGGCACCGAGCTGGATCTTGGCGATTTCACCAGACTTCAAGGTGGTCTCGGCCTCCTGGGTGTCGGAAACCAATGGGGTGTATGGGGTCACATGGGAGCTGGGAGAGACCGTCGTGGGGTGACCGATACCTTTTCCGGCAGCGACTCGTCAATATGCCATGCGCATGAAGCTTCTAGCTAGTGGTTACTCGGAACTACGATGGTAACGCACCCTTGGTGATCTTCTTGCCCTTGTAGACCTTGGCGATTTCTTCTTCGAGAATCTCGTCACCCTTCTGGCAGATTTCAACGATCTTTGCACCCTCCACACACAGGGCTATAGAACCAAATTAGAATATGGATCTAGAGCGGTGGACATGCCGCTATATTTAAAACCCGGGAATTACGCACCTGAGACGGCATCGAGGACCTTGTGCGAGATCGTAGCGGCGGTCTTGTACTTGGTCAAGGTATCGGGGTTGTTGAGGGTGTAGTCTGGAATTGGTCCGACATTTGATTAGTTATGGCCGAGAGCACCACACATTCAGAAGAAGCCAGTAGAAGCGTCATAGACAGAACAAAAAGGTGATGTTTCTCTACAGCTCTAGCGCTGTTAATTGTGCTGCCAACCGAACCCACACCATGACGACGAAGCAAGCGGGAGGGAAACCCACAAAACGTTTTCAATCGGCAGACGGAGGGGTACTTGGGAGCGAACACTTACCAACCTCGGCGGGGGCCTGAGTCTCAGCCATTGTGTATAGTATGAATGGTCCTCGCTGTGGTGCGAGGCGTCGTTAAGGATCAAAAAGTTTCTAGTTGGACAGACTTTTGAAAGCTCAAGAGGAGAAAGGATGGAAAAATGGGCTGAGACGGAGCTGGAGAACTAAGATGGAGTCAAAAGTACTTACTAGTAAGAGGAAGTCCCCATCCTTTTCTTACGTAGCAGGTACACAATACGAGAGGCTTCGGCGGGGTCTTTTTTCTTGGTTTTCTGCCTGCACACAGGTGGGGTTTTGCAGGAATGATTTCACTACAATGTAGGGCTTCGTATTGGTATTACCACATGTCACGAGACCGCCTGCCGCAATGTTGTCAGCAATACTCTGGTCACAGGCTTTTCCTTTCTCATACATTCTAATGGTCTAAACTTCACGTCTCACTTAATTAGGTACTCCCTAATGCCTCACAGTATCGTCCTTCACATTGAAAAATCAATGTGTGTATGTGTCTTCATTCCTTGTATCTCAAGTAAAGTTCAATCTAAAAAGTGAAGCTCCTTGTATGACATCACCAGAGGTCACCAGACACTTAATTCACAACAAAAGTAAACAAATCATGCTTTATTAAACCCCGAGCACTAACCCGGAATAAGAGCGCCGTTTTTAAAAATCCCTCAATGAAGAAATCAGTCCTGTGCCATTCTGATCTCTCGAGTCAATCGGTAGGCTTGTTTGTAAATAGATGCGAAGTAGTACCCTACTCCCCCCTCACAAATGCAAAAACAATGCCACTGTCAGAGCTCTGGGGAGCAAACCAAACACTGTACCTGTTCGTACGAAGACTTGAAGCGAATTAGGGTTAGATGTAGAGTTGAAGGATTACCACTCATATCCAATACAAACAGCTTGTACAATTTAAACTGGCAACTGCGAATAAACTCCTCCACATCGCTCTTAGATTCTGGGGATAGTGAGAACTTATCCTCCATCTCGATCTTGTGCAGCAGCCACCTAGCCGCTACATTCAAGCGACCCACTGACTGGATGAGTGATCGAAGGGCATTATCTATGGCTGCTTGCGGACTCCCTAGCGACACGCAAAGGACAGGGATAAGGTTATACATAACATCCGGATCCTATGGATCTTATTAGGGCTGATTAGTTGATGGGGCTACCCTGTTATGCGACATACAATTTCTTTCTTCAGAGAGTAAATATCGTTCAATCTGTCATGGGAAAACAAATGTTGGCGAATAGATTACAGTAACTGCCTTGGGGTAGGTTAACTGCTTACGTCGAAACGATAACATTCGCTTCATTCCGTATTTATATCATGTCATGATCATCAATGACAGCACAAATCATGCCCACTGCACTAGTGCCCATCCGCACTCTCCAGTATTCCTCAGGATTGGGAACCTACCCTTTGGGTTTTGCCTTTTGTTCCACTTGTGACATCATCATGAAAAAGGACATCTCTCTAAGGAACATCTGACGTTGTTCTGAAGACCAAGGATGGTTAGAGTCATTCTAAATTCAGATACTAGAAGGATGAAAAATGGAACCAAAACAAAGGCAACGACAATCATAGATATATGAATTACGAAGAGCCTCGCTAATCACATCAAAACTCTGAATAGAGGCTATCCTTAGTGAGCTCTAAATCGAGGCATTGAGCCACAAAGTGAATAGTTTCACGACGATATTGTTCGACTGCTTCAAAGACACCCTTCGGGGAACCTTTTGTTTCATCTATTTGGTCGTCCCAGGTAAAGACCCAAAGGGACAGGAAGATTGAAGCCAGCCAGGGGCCACCAGGTTGCGGCGAAATGAGCAAAGTCACATCTTTCTAGCTTTGTGGCCTTCGTTGGCTCAGGGAAGAGGCTTTTGATTGTTAGTATTAAACTTTTCTTAGGTGCATAGAGTAGAAATGGCAGAAATAATACAGAAGAAGATAATAATATGTAGAACGAAACAGAGATAGGGCATGTTAGAGTTAAGAAGTATCGTATTGTTCGCACTATACCTGTCAATTCTTGCGTTCATCATAGGGATCAAAGCTTTCCAGTGAGGATTAATGGCCCCAGGCCAAGAGGAGAAGATGAGTAATAAATTCGAATATAGAGTGGTCGGGGCTTGACGCTTCGCAATAGGTGAGAATGAGAATTAACATGAGACTCCATTTCCTTTGAGAGATGGTGGTTACCAATGTAGATAAAAGAAAGAAAACTAGAAGTGCAAGGGTACAGTATATCCTCAGTCAAGGCAAGGTACTGTGCTGGGCGTACCTTTCCTATTTATCTAGTCTTCTATCTACCCCGCAGAAGCAAAAGAGTAACCTGCTAGCTATGCCAAATACATCAATGCCTTGGATATCCTTCCATTCTTTAGAAATTGAGTTAAGTCTGGAGCGTAGAGTGTTTGTTTAGGCCTACATACTTGTCAACGAATGACACTTACTCGTACTAGAACAGAATAGCCAAGCCGAACAGACTTACGAACATCTATCTTTTCGGATATTTGTATTAACTACACCACTACCTTAACAGGATGAACACAATAACGCTGCTGTAGCGCTAGCCAACGGAGTTATTTGCTGATCAGTAACAATCGGAGTATACAGGGCGAGCTCTGGGGAATATATGTGAATGAGACAAGTCTCAAATTTCATAGGTAGGTCAAGTGACAGATCTCGTACGGTCAATATCTGGGTGCGTGAGAGTGATACTGATGGTGTAATAGTTAACCAAGGAATGAATCGACGCTGATCAACGGCTTTGGTCGATCATGGATAATCCGGGTATGCAAGACGAACTCCATGGGAAAGGCGCCCATAGACTACATTCCGTCGATATTGGGAGGTATTGGATGCTAACCAACAGTGGTGCCATGAAGGCCACGGGGACAGAGATCGTTCGCACGCTAGCCGATGAGGTGAGATACTGGACTCTGAAGGATTTGAGCAATGTAGTATTGTGTCAAGCGATATCTATAATTTTGATGAAACTGGATTTACAATAGGCCTAGTAGCTACTGCTCAGGTAGTTACTAGATCTAATACGCAAGGAAAGCTATGCTTTGTGTAATCAGGGAACCGGAAATGGGCTACCTCTGTAGCATATATTAGTTCTAATAAATAGGCCCTACTTCCCTGTATCACTTTTAAAGACAAAGTGTATATAGAGACCTGGTACGAGAATCGAAAGATCCTATCTGATTAGAGATTTAAAATAAATCCTAATAATTGGACGAGCAATAAAATCGGCCTGCGCTGGCTATAGAATCATTTTATACCTATTACTACAGGCCGATCTGTAGAACTGTTGTGATCTTAGGGGGAAGAATGGCAGGATGAGGCTGTATCAGCTACACGTACGTAGCCTACTGAAAATTGGATGCCATTTCAATAGATTCTCAATTCTATGGACGACTCTATCGACTCTCTCAACCGCTTTCTTCTCTCTACAACTAATGGGTCGAGCCTTCAGGGGTTGGAGTTCGGTGATCAAGGCCAAGCCACTAGGATCACGTGGTCTCGTATAGATTCATATCAAGAACGATATCGCCTTTTTCCAATTATATGGTGTTTGGTATGACTTCAAATTTCAAAAGGGTGGCCGGATGGCCTGGGAAATACGTATCCCTCAGACTCTAGTATCAGAGGTGGCCTCTGCAAATCTTCCACCGGATAGGGTTCCGCGAAGCCTAAAACCCAAAGGATGTGAGGAGAGTTGGATATGTTTATTTCGCGTCAATATTTGCAATTTTGTGATATGTCAGAGCCTGTGGAAGCCTAAGGCAGAAACCACGTGACCTGACCACAACACCAAGGAATCTCTGTATGATAGACTTAGACCTTAAGACAGTCAATCCCATACAAGTGAGCTACACCAGCTCCATCATGATATATGGTATACTATTGTATTGCCGGAATAGAGTACGATGACTCTTCAGAAGTTAATATGTATAATACCGGTAAGCTATCATAGAGTTTGCACTTGCCGGCCTTGCTATCCTGTCTTATGTGTTTGATATGAATCTATACGATACCACGTGATCCTAGTGGCTTGGCCGGATCACCAACTTCAGCCCCTGAAGGCTTCACCCCCATCTTTCCCCTGAGATCACAACAGTGTTTAGTTTCATAATAGCAGAACTGATCTCGTAATACTTCAACTCTCAAGACTTAGTTACATATCAACGGGGGTTCAACACTCTCCCGTCGCACTGCCCCCCTCACACACCGGCCCTGTACATTCAAAGCCTCTCGGGCTCTTCACATTTCCACATAGAAACACTGAAGCCGCCGTTCCATTTGTCAGCTCAAGGTCGATACCGGAGAGCGAAATGTCAGTACAGGGCGCTACAGCACTACACTGGAAACTTGCGATCCTGGTGGATTTGGTTGTACCACTTAGGTTGAGGACTGAAATATCACGGATTTGAAACTTAGAGTTGGTGCAGTTGCCTGTACCAGGAGCGCCGCTGAATCGGGTACACTGCGAGATTGCAATCGCGGCCCCACGGAGAGATGAAGCCTTGAGATCTTTGAACGTCATATCGGAAGCATCTAGTATATCCTAAATTAGTGCATCTGCTTTAATGGCGTGCTATAGATATTTCCTTTCCCAATGAGCTTACATCCCACTCCACCGCCACCGCCATTGGGCGGATATCCGTTTTGTTCAGCTGTCCATGTTTTGAAGTACACCTATCGGCCACAGACACTCGTCAATTAAGTTTTCGGTATGTGACTTATGGAGCTTTCCTTACCGCATGAAGAGTATTATGATAGTTGACATTTATCACATTGAGGCCCTCGATGGTTTCGAATTGGTTCTTGTACTGGCCAATACTTCCTAATGCAATTCCTAGTCCATTGTAGAAATTGGAGTTTGTGATGCTAATATTAGTGCTATTACCCTTAAGTGAGATACTATCGTCACCATTGTACACGGTCCAGTTGTTGAATTTAATATGCGAGGATCTGATGGTGTCAGCTCCGTCCGTGTTTGCTGTAATAAAATTAGCAATAATTTGCGTAAGCGAATTCCAAGGCACCTACAGCTTGAGACACGATTTCCGGTGTTGTTGACGAGTATACTATCAAGTTCAACGTGGTGACTATATATAATAGACATCGTCCTGACAACAGTGAATTTCTTTGCTCAGCAATTTGGTACAGAGGAGCTGGAAACTAACTTACCACATCTGACTGCGTAAAAAGTTGAGGCCCCGAACCACAGAGTGTGTGAGGCCACTGAAAGTGATGGCATGCGGACGACCGGGATAGTTGGAGGTGTTCGGCTGCTCTCGTATCCATTGGTACCAGGTATCCCCGTTGCCATCCAACGTCCCTATACCATGGCCATTGATTCGAACATTATTGCCCCCAAGAATGAACGCTGTGGATTGATTCTGATATCCGACTGGTAGAGAATGGTTTAACCAGTATTTTATGTCTGTACTCCACTAAAAGGCCAATGAGAACATACACGACCATGGATTGTTAAGAACTGGGACAACTCACCAGAAGTGTTCCTCCAATATCAATGTCGACATCTTCCAGCCACGAAATGTTCATAACGGTATTGACGTAGTATGTTGTTGGCTTGAATACTACTTTGCCTCCGTGGCCACATTCCTTGAAGGCTTGTATAATGGCAGGCGCATCATCGGTGGCATTTGAGCCTCCAGCTGGCACGACACAGGTTTCCCTGCCAGCAGTCACCCATACCAATGCTACAAGACAAAACACTCGCGAAAGATACATTGTGATCAATGTCACATGTCTAACGCTCCCGAACACACACTAGGCCAGCTTACTTATACGACAAGTCTAAGGGCTGTCTACCAGAACTTAAAGAGGTAGAAGCCAGACACCTCACCTCTACGGTGTGCATCCGTTTTGAACCGATGACTCTAAAGAGAGGGAAATTATTCTCGCACGAATAGAATCTTTCTCCTATCTCAGTCAGAACAGGTAGTTATCCGCTGCCGAGACGATTAGCGATTTCGTCCCTGGCTTTGTGAAGAAAATGCGGGGTATCATGACCTAGTCAGTCGGACTTCGGTTGATCTAATAGCGAAGAAGGATTGAACTAAAGGCCAGGCTGACAAGAAGATGGCAGAATAAGACCGGCGCATAGCCCCCCAATTGTTAACATGGATCTAACCAATTCCCGCTCTGAACCATTCACTGATTCTCAGATACAGTAAGCTTAGTGAGTGGCCTGGAAGCAGTTACTCCTTGTGCTATGTCACACTTCACATGGCTACAACATGGCCCCTAAAGCGTGCACACACTAAAGCTTGCTGATCTATATACAGCCCATCACTATTGTAAGAGTGTCACAAAGACTAAGGCTGAGTACTTAATTTTATTACTGCAGACAACGGTCGACCATTCGAAGCATGCTTTCTGGTTGGATTGGGAGGGAGTGAATAAGTCATTCTCCCTGTAGGTCTACTCTGTTAGATAAGGCCTTCCGATCCTTCCCAAGCCGGTCATCTTATAGATATTTGGATAGATTTAGATAAGATAAAATAATAGCTAGAGTTTACAGTAGGCAGGCTGTCATATTTAGTGGGTTGGGTAGGATTTGGCTGTAGGTTGTATTGGGTAATCATATATATCTGCAATCCACCTAGGGTTGACAATGTTACCAGGGTTAATATGGAAGAGCCTAGGGGTCCCAAGGAGGCCTAAGCTAACATCCGAATAGGAAACAGCCGCCGTGCATATTAGTTGTGCAGTGTGGGTATCAGTAGAGACTGATATTACCGCACAGCAAGTTTGTAAATGACCGCACTCCTTATCTAGTCTTACGAAGTACTCCCCAACGCGGCTCGGCACTTTCGCGTAGGATACGCAGTACATATCTCCTTTCAACCGTCTTAATTGACCAACAATCTCTGAGCCAAAATTTCATCTCCATGGTATCTGTGACTGACTGGGTACAGCATCAAGTGACCAGGGGGGTACGTGTAGTGGTCAGCCAAGCGTGTTGGCATTCCATTCACACTTTGCTCGTCACTGCCCTGCTCGCCGCAACGGCAGAGCTCCATGTTTTGGAAATGTCCTTTCTTGCAGCCAACGTAGGACCCTGGCCATGTCTGACGCAGCAGCCCCCTTGGACGTCCTATCATTCCCCTGGGGCAGCCACGGCCTTCGCCTGGGGGAGACAAGCTCGTAGATATGGCAGGTGGATGGCGTGACTGAGGGGGCTGGGCATGGCAAAGCATGATAGGTCTTCCCTGTCAAATCTTCGTACTGATCTAACATGTTATTTTTTTATCCGGCTGATTGTCACTGGGCCCTCATCAATCTCACGTTTCATAGTGCATCCGTCAATAGCAGCCTTCCCTTTCTATCGGACACATTGGCCGAGTCTGTAGGCGCAGAGCCCATCCCACAAGCCCTCGCCCTGTTCACATCCTTATCCAATGTGTTCATGTTTGTCTTTCGAGTCCCACATGGCCATTTAGGTAATGTTACCCAAGCCCTTGAATTGGTCACCTCAAAGGGTGAGGATGCTACATGGACAATCGAGCGACCCCGTATGAAGGGCAATCCTATATCACTAGGATACTGGATCGGGAGTCCATGGCTCTCGTTCCTCACTGGGCCAAGCATGGGTTCGGTGCTGTGACTGCATGACGCGGGGCCTCTGCCTGAGTTTCCCCTCCGCGAAGCTTGCCGCTGATAAGCCCAGCGCTGGGTCGAGTCGCCAAAAGGCCGCGAGGTTCTCACCGACGCTTTCAATGCCACCAGCCGGTTTGCCCGCTTACAAACCCTAACGATGGCCCCCGGCAAGTGCCTCCATATCTGCTTCCGCACCACGACTGGCGATGCGATGGGAATGAACATGATTTGTAAGGGAGTGGAAAGGCCCTGCAGGCAACGACCGCCCACGGCTTCCCGGATATGAGCACCATTACGCTGTCAGGCAACTTCTACGCTAACAAGAAGTCTGCCGCTGTTAACTTGATCTGTGGCCGGTGCAAGTCAGCGGTTGCAGAGGCCACAGTCCCCGCCTACACCCTCCGTAGCATCCTGAAGACTGAGGTGAATTCGCTGGTTGAGCTGAAACGCCGCCAAAAACCTGGGCGGCGGCGCCATGGCCGGCAGTATGGGCGAGTTCGACGCCCATGCCTCCAACCTGGTCCAGGCTGTGTTACTGGCCACCGGTCGGGACCCAGCGCAGAATGTGGAGAGTAGTAGTTGTATCACGACAATGACGAAGTCGGTTCCTCTCTTTCCTGTCTTTCCTTTCCTAAGGATAGTGCTAACGGTGAACCCTAGGATCGGTGATAACCTGCATATTGCCGTCTCCATGACCTCGATGGAGGTCAAAACCACTGGTGGAGGCAATATTTTTGAAGCCCAGGGAGCCATGTTGGACTTGCTTGGAGTGCGCGGTGCTCATCCCATCAATCCCGGCGAAAATACTCAGCAGTCGGCTCATATAGTGCCGCGGCCGTGCTGGCGGGCGAATTGAGCACCTGCTCTGCTACTCGCCGCAGGCCACTTGGTCAAAGCTCATATGCAACACAATCGTAGTGGGACGTCGGCGAAGAAAGGACCTTCACCGTCAAATACGTTCACAGGTGAGAGGGGCTGGAGCATTGGCTACCATGATGCCCATAGATAAGAAAACAATTTAGAATAGATTGCCATCTCTTTCCGCAGCCAATTGAGAGCCCCTGACTACCCCCTATCAAAGATTCTGAATAACGTTATAATCCTCATTAAATCATCAAAATTTAGTGCTATGAACCATCTACAATAATAAAGATGTATGTGAGTCCAGCGAATCAGTAGGAAGAATGTTACCCTGGCAGCTCAGTAGCTTTCTTTTTCCCTCACTTCATGATAACCCAACTCTCAAGCGACAGCCCGAGAGATGACAATATATAATTACTAATATCAAAGAGAAAAAGGAAAGGGGGGAGGGGGGAAGGTTAGTTGCTCTGCAAATAATCGGGTTGCTACTCAGTTCTACATACAGCACTCAGAATATATTCAATTTAGAACGTTGTGGAGGAGGTTGTTTAGCTTAACCTCTTTCTCCAACCTAACTAACATGGGGCACTTTCTCTAGCGTCAAGAACAAAGCCCAAGGCAAACAAGGACATTGATTATGCATTTATGGATGGGTATTGGTATGCATTTCGTACAGAAAATTGATTCTGGACTATCTTCGATCAGCTTACATTAATTATTGGCTATTCTCGCCATTAGACAAGTACGCCTCCTTACCTTCCTCTGTCTGAGTACTCATCCTTGGATCCAAGGACTCGTAAATTCGTAGCCACAGGGGTCAGTTAGAGGGGAGATAGCAACGTGGTACGTAGAGTCGATACTATAAGGTCAGTCATATAAGATCTAAACCTCGACTTCCACCATCGTGCCATTTGCCCATCGGCAGGATGTGCCGATATTCGATACTCCGAACCTAATCTCAGCGCCGCTTCACACCCGCTAACCCCTTTCGATGCAGATTACGCGACTTACGAGCCCTAGTACTGTACACTAAGCATGCCGCTAGGGACTTCACGACCCGATCTACTACGTTACCTAGATCATGGTGCTGTAGATACAAAGAAGCTCATTCAACCCTGCTAGAACCTACAGTGGCCGGGTTAACCCTGCCAACTCCAACAATATGAGGCTCCGCAGGTTTTGCGTTTCAAGTTCCCCGTGGGCGGTTGTTGTCCGTACTTACTATGTCTTCCACAATTGGGGTCTGCACTGGAGTTTGGATCAATTGGTCTCATGGACAAATTCGCGGGGCCACTCTCACCCTCCCCCAAGAATATGCTGGAGTGTTGACGGCCTTTCTCGCCACCTTCGTGATCTTCGCCGGAACAATAATATGGCAAATTATCTGATTTATAATACACCAAATCAATGCTACACCTGCTTCTGAAAAACGGGGCTCTCTACATCACAGTCGCCAGGTGATTCTTCGAAACAGCGGGTCAGGGACAGCAGCAGCATGGGCATTCACCACCTTAGCATGGTCCGCTGGTAGAAAGGCTCCCCGAGGGTTACTTTGAACCCTTCCCTTGATCCTCGTAGCACGCCTCAACGTAGCCTTGTGTGGGGTTTTCGGGTGTTTTAACATCGTAGTGACCAAATTGCCAGGCAATACATTGATAATACCTGGCCACCACTGTGGTGGAGCTAAGTCAAAGGCGGGATCGGGTACGGACAGGATATACTTATCCAAGTTGCTGGAAGGTACAAAACAGGCGGCAGCCTATGCGAACCAATGTTATCAGGGAAGTTCATCTTTAGTTTGTGGAGGTTACGTTCGCCAAAGCCTACCTTTTACTACTAAGCAACATGTTTCCTGTCCCTTTGCAAAGTGCCTGTGCACGTTCAATGACCGCTTTTGCAATGGATACTGGCCTCTTGGATTCGCATGCCGACTTTGGTATCAACGCCCCACCCAAAAACCGAATTGAATATCGACGACTTACCACTTGTTCCCCGATCTATGGTGTCGACTTCGGTACGGACCGGGAGGAGGCTGGCCTTGGTGTGGTTGTTTATATCAACGCTGGAATAATTCCACAGCAGGTACAGACTGGCAAATAATTGGACATTCTCCTATGTTGTTCGCTCCGCTTCTGATAGACTACATGGGTACTCACTGAGGTAGGGGCGCTATGATACTTAGGACTCTAAGCCCGCTAGTTTCATTCTAACAATGGATATAGTAGCATTATTATGCTATACTCACTCCAATGTAGCACAGAAATCTTTCCGTGATTTAAGGGATATAAAGCCTCTTCTATGCCACACATTTCATCAACTACATGTAACCTGTTGAGAGGGACCTTCTGAAGGTTGAGATATTTACTTATCTCTACGGTGTTCATCTGCCCTAACTGGCTGCCACCAATGCTACTTATCTGACACTTTCCGTGATGATGAATATTATATACCAAGCATTCACTCAGGAAGTTTACTGTGGTCAAGTTCTGGGGATATAAGGGTCTCACTTAACCTTATACAGAGCCCCTAACTAATAATAATTTTTTAAACCTACTTATTTTCATCCTAAATTATCTATATATGTGCGTTTGCCTTGTTGCACAAGTTTGCCCCTCCCCCACCTGCTCCTGTGCCTTGCCTATCAAATAAAGGAAGGAAAATTTCCGGCTCTAACCACAGACACCGACACGGCCGTCGAGATGAAACGAAAACTCTCCTCAACCCTTCCAGGAGAGCCCCTCAAACAATACATATAGGTGCCGATATTGTCGTTGGCAACGATAAAGGACTGGCACTGGCACAAACGGCCAGCGAAGCCATCGAAATCCTGAGAGAACTACGACAGCTTAGAGAGCAACGTGAAAACCTGAACCGGTATGAAAAGATAGCCAGGGAGCGCTTTCTGTTAACTTACAAACGCGACAAGCTACATAATGCCAGTGACAATGAGTGTCGAATGATCGAACGGGCGAACATAAAAGTCCACGGAGGCGATGCTTTAGCCGACGCAGAGCTGTACGACGATTACGGTCGACGGGATTACACACCAAAGTTTGAGAAGCTTCTCCAAAAATTCTTAGAGAAAATAGAAGCTGCAAAGTGATAATTTCCTGTTTGATCAAGCGTGCAAAGATCTCGCTGTTGCGCGGGTCAGAGCCAGCTACTGGGAGTTTCTTCGTTTCGATACAGAGATTACATATTGCGGTTGCAGAAAGTGAGGCCAGTATTGTCAACGTTAATAGTGCCAGGGTTGTGATTCGCAATGAAGTGTCGTAAAAGGTGGGCCCAAATACTTGCAATCAAATGAGTGACTGCGCTATACCAAATAGATAAGGTTGGTAGGGAAACCTCGCGAGCTTTGGTAACGTTCTGCAAGACTAGAAAATGGCAGGGAATCCAGGAATGTAAACACGTTGTGTCCTTGTCCTCCAGCCACGTTATAGTCGATTCAATCCAATCTACCTTTCCTCTGGAACTTGGCGTTTTCCTCACTCTCCTCTGCTCGCTTGACCTCCAGCCTGAAGAAATTACACTTCGTTGATGATCGCGCTCAAGGCAATTATGTCGCAGGATAGATACACCAACTGGTTACCGTTTGTCAGACAGCCAAACGCTACTTATCGTAAGGTTCATCATCTATTTCGGCCTGTTGACGTGGCTCTTGCAGATTGAGGCGGCACGTCTAATCAGCTAGGAAACGGTATAAGCTGGGTATAGGAGCATTTCTCAGTCCTTTCGCGGCTCAGGGCCTAATATAGCTCCTTAGCAAGTTTATACAGCATATTATTTTCCTCTCCTTCCTCTTTACCTCATTGTTGCATTTTCAGGCCGTCCTTTACTATCTACGAAGCTCAAGATCGCCCGTATAATCTTCAAATCCCATCTCTATGATCCTGGTTTATCGACTAGTTAACCATCTAGTAACGTTTCGCCCGATCTGCCCCCTTGTTCCGTAGGAGAGGTCCCCATACCTTACGTCCATCATCTCGTCCATCTCAATCCCCCCGTAAATGACTCCTTTTCGAGCGGTAGAAAAGAAAATGCCGGACTGTCTCTCCTTTATGGCCGTCCTATGCACACCCACAGACGATGCTATGAAAAGACGAGTACGCAGTTGAGCTAAGGGAATTGCATGGACTGCTGTTAGGCTGTCGTAGAGAGTTCTTGTTTGCTTGCCTGGAAGAGCTGTATCGAGAGCTCGTGTCATCGGACCACATTGCGAGGAATCAAGTCCAGGCTCCTGGATCGATCGCTAAGCAAAAAGCGGCGCTATGTCGGGCCGAAAATGGAAAGAGTAAGACTAGAGCTTCTGCAGAAAAACACTTCGATAGTACGAGAAAAGGGAGCTCCTCAAGCTAAGTGTACATACGCAGAAGAAACATGGTTAATTTTCCGCAAATTTTAGCAGGGCGCTCGTGGGCATTGTGCCCTTCTCACTCACTTCGTTCGTTTCAGGCAATGATTATAAAATTGCTAATAACTTAGCATACCTTATAGTAATATTTGAAATTGGTTGTACATCTGATCTCTCTTTGCTTCCCAAGACCCTATTTCATGTCTTTCATGCCCTCCAATTATTTCTAAGGCAGATCTTCTCAAACGCTGCCACCCCGTATCTTCAGACATTCTTATTACATCATAGATCTAAGACTTGTTGCTGCTATCTCAAATGTCGTCTTTGTTTGAGAAGTGTACTTACTGTGGCAACAAACCATTCGGCTTTCTGTTCTGTTCAGGCTCATGTCGCCTTGCCGCTTCGCCTAGTTCAAAGTGTGAAGTCAAGGAATCCATCTAAAATCATCCGACACTACCAGATCAGCCTCCGTCAATCAATCTGATCCCGTTGTGGATTCTTTCGAGATTGCGGGGTTTCTTCCAGCATAATTCAGATACTCTGAAAACAATCAGCCAGATCTCGCACAAGATGAAAACCTCTTTGACATACGAAGGATCTGGGGAGGTCAATGGAAGTGTCATTTCTACAGGCATGCTTAAACTATCTACACGGGATGGAAGTTAGGAATATGGTCCAACGTACCTGAAGCTATGTATATGAGAAACAGTTTATGTTAGGGAGAGTGCTACAAGATCTTCTCATAGCACCAGCAAGGAGCCCTAAATCTTAGTAGCAAAATGAATATTATCATGGTGCTACTGCTACATTGAAACGAAATAGCTTCCATCAGAAAAGTTCTGCCATCAAGTTCCAAGACCGCCGTTTTCATCAATTTCTACCTGTAGCGAGTGAACATTTACTAGGTTTAATCCATGTGCGCTTTCAATCTTGGCTAGCAATCTTCCTGTTGCTTAGTCCTGCACCGGGCACAATGTAAAACTCACCCGCCGGCGCCCCGGCATGTGTCATAACACCGCAATACGAGCCGTCCTGTGTGGTATTCGTATCCAGGTCATCCGTCTAGATGAAAAACACGGCCCGGTCGGCGCCGGGGCCGCCACCACCGTAGACACTATCTTCGTGCGGGATGGGGAATTCGTATAGCTTCTTGCCCTGGCATTCTAGGGCGAAAACTTGCGGTTGCTGCCGAAGGTGTGAGAGAAGCCGCCTGGAACAAGAAGGGGCCAAGGTTAGTGGGAAGTGGTATGGCATGATGAGATAAACGCTACAAACCGGGTTGGGGCCCATTCGCCGGTGTGGTGTTGATGCCTCACTGGATAGCATTTTCTACTTGGGCACGGCTGTAGCGGTAGCCCGGGCACTCTATGAACTGATCACCCGGGGGAAGGTTCTCAACGGTTCGCTTGCTCAGAGCACCGGCGGGGGCAGGGGCAGCAGAGGAGATTTGCACAAGGGCAAGACCCAGGGTCAGGAGGGAGAATGTGAAGTGAAAGCTGCATTGTGGATGGAAGTTCGGAGACGAGAGATGTAGTAGCTGGTCTGATGGTTAATTGAGATAGCAGATGAAGGCCTGGTGTAGAGATATAGAGAGAGAGCAAATGGACAGCTGGAATAGGGCAATTTATACCTTTGCGAGGGAGCTTCTGGCGGATAGAGTAGTAATTGTACAGAACTTGATAACCAGCAATATCCCTGATTCCAAAGCTGTCAAGAAGGACAATGCAACTCGACCTGGCATCACGATGGACCGGTCTACCTGTGCAGGTCTCTTTGAGATGGTTACCTCACATATGAATGCCTTGGGCTACATGGCGGCAGCACCTTGTCTTTCTTGAATGGGGGAAGATGCGCCATGGCTGACATCTAGTCAGAACATACTAGCATGATCATTGACCAGACAACATCTTTCGTTTAGTGGAATCTTTAGCCTTTCAAGGTTTATAGAGCATCAGAAGATCTATGTGGCATTTTGACGGTCTTTTTAAAAATGCAACACGTGTCTTACAACCCCTGGCGAGGAAATTTTCAAAGTGCCTCACTGATCCCACTCAGGCATAGAGATAAATTCAGGCAAATCGATCGGGCCGGTTGAAGTCATTAAGAACCGTGTTAATGGTATGCAACAGATTTTAAGCTCGGTATATCCGCTCAATGTGGATGTCAGGACCGATACACTAGTCAGTCGAGTAGTGGTTAGTGAGAAAGACGCCAGAAGAATGGTAACAGCCGTTGAGCTCGGGGGTAGTGGTCGGAAAATTTCAGCTCGTGGAGAAATTATTATCTCTGCTGGAGCGTACCGTACTCCCCAACTCTTGATGCTTTCGGGGATTGGCCCTGGAGACGAACTGAGGTGCTACGGCATCAACGTCGTACTCGACCTGCCAGATGTTGGGCGTCACTTTCATGACCACGGCGGAGACTCGCTGTGGTGGAAATTGAAGCACCCAGAAAGGGGGCTTTCTATCGGCTCACCTGCATCCAACGATCCTGCCTTTGTCAAAGGCAACCCAATCGATTTTGTAGTCACGCAGCCAGTACAGCTAGATAGGCTTCGCCAGGCTCTGGTCAAGGATGGTCCCAATCTCAATCCCAATGAGCATCCTCTTGTGTCCATCCAGCGCGGACATATCAAGACTTTCACTATTTGTACTACTAGTAACCCCCAACATCCAACTGTCAACATGGATGGATCACATATAACAACGTCAGTGGTTTGCATGCTCCCTACTTCTCGAGATTCTATTACATTGGCAAATCCAGATCCCCATAGTGCTCCAGTTATTCATCCTAACTATTTTGCTACTGAGGCCAACCGTTATATGTTGCGTAAGGCTTGAGGAGGCGCGAGAAGTGCTGCAGGATACCCCAGCTGGACAAGAGACGATCGAGTCAGAAACGGTAGAAGATGGGGCATTGCCTGTGACCATAACGTCTGGTGATGAACAGCTCAACGATCTAGCCCGCCGTCGTCTCACGGAAGAAGATCAATAGCTTGAAAATGTGTAACCGAATTTGACTGCTCACCTACAGGACTCTATATCACCCCTCGGGCAGTGCATCAATGGGCAAGGTCGTCGATAGTGAACTGCGGATGAAGGTGGTTGAGAGGCTGAGAGTTGTGGATGCAAGTGTTTTTCCTCTGCCTCTGGCAACTCACATTCAGGTGTGTATCTATGCACTTACTGAACAGACTGCGGATGTAATATTGGCGGACCGTCAGCCTTAGTCGAACAATACTTTTGACTTCATCTAACTACCGCGGTTTCAGGTCCATTAGTAAACTTCGCCTCTCAGAGTAAAGCATATATAGTACTTCTCAGAATACAACTATCATCATCCCCATTTTGATATGATTAATAATTTGTTATTTCTTTATTGTCCGCCTGGAGAATTCTCTCTCCAACTGAGGGGAGCTTTTTTGCCCAGAAGAGGAGAAAGATCTCTCCTCCAATCACAACTTGGTTGACCCAGCCTTCTCCTCATTCCAGAAATCCTGTAGAATCCTTGATTTTACTTATAGCTCACCCAGGTACTGTGTTTCTAACAACCGTGGATGGCATAGATACTAAATTTTGGTGATATTAGCAATCCATCAATATCGCAACTCGATCCGTGGCCAAGCTTCGATATTTCAACCAAAATACAAATGAGATCCGCTACAGAACTACCATTCCGCGTCTTGACAAAAAATATTCGATATGCGACTAACTCACCGTTCAAGGGTGAGAAACCATGGGAAGAGCGCAGGCAACCCCTCCTAAATGAGCTGCTGTATAACACCCGCAACCAGGACGCCTTTATCTGCCTACAGGAGGTTCTTCACAACCAGCTCGTCGACATACACTCCGGATTGAATGACGGGCATTCCACTGTCTCTGTCCAAGCTGAAGACAACGCTTGGGCATATATAGGCGACGGCAGAGATGATGGCCATGAAGCTGGCGAGTACTCGGCTATCTTCTACCGACCGTCGGTCTGGCAACTCCGCCACTGGGAAACAGTCTGGTTATCCGAAACGCCAGATGTCCCGTCAAAAGGCTGGGATGCATCGTCTATCCGCATTGTGACGATCGGCGTCTTTACCCACCATGCGCGTCGCCAGACTATTCTGGCGATGAACACCCATTTAGATGATCAAGGGTCACGTTCCCGGTTTGAAGCAGCCCACATTATCCTCCGAAAGATCAATGAGTACTGGACTGGCGAGTACAAGAATGACATTTCCGGGGTGTTTTTAGCGGGTGACTTGAACAGTGAAGAGACACAGGAGGCCTATTCGGTGCTGACAGGGTTCAAGTCTCCCTTGGTTGACGCGGCCAAAACGGTCGATCAGGCGGAGCACTACGGTAACCGCTTGACTTGGACGGGGTTCGGCTATGAGGAAGAAGAGCCTTCCCGCATCGATTACATCCTCCTGGGTCCAGGGCCTGTGAAGGTGCTTAGCAACGGAGGCCAGCCTTGGAAGGTGGAGGGGTACGCCGTGTTAGCTAGTCGATTTGACGATGGGGTGTTTAACTCGGACCACCGAGCGGTTGTTGTCGATGTGAAATTATGCAGCTAGACGAGAAGGACGGATCCCGGGACGCCAATGGTTTGCTTCGAACCAGAGGATTGCCATGATCACTTCATGGATAGTTAGTGACGGTTACATGGACGGGTTAGGTCCCTTTCCTTCAGGTTCCGTTGTGTGTATGTATGTATGTATGTATGTATGTATGTATGTAATTATGGAGGACGATGAATACAGTATCTATACATGAATTGAATCCACCGTCATTCAAGCCCGTTACGCCAAGGGTTTTAGTGTATGGCGCTATGACTTAATCAGGTTAAGTTCTCATCACATGGAGTCCTAATGAGGAATGGCGGGTGGGAACGTGACACACAGTCGTGATGGTTTTACCAAGCAATACAGTAACTGTAAGGAACATTTTGATGTCGCAAGACGAAGGAGAAGCTTTTGAAAAGATGAATGGCGATAGCTTCAAGAAGATCCCAAAAAGGATCGTTGAAATCTCTTGGCCTGACCAGGAGAGAATTCTCTGGCGCTGCTGGCTCATGACCTCGCTCACCCTCCGAACGGCCTTCCCCCCTTCAGCCCGACTAACGGAATAGAAACTTGTAACGGCTGTTCAGTCCGCTCGGCGCTCCCTTTTCCTCCCTCCTCCTCCCTTTCAAATCTGCTGTTCTTTTCTCCCCTTTTGCCGATTCTCACAAAATTAGAGCATTGTCACGTTAGATCCCCCCTCCCCTCCCCCCCACGCACGGGGACACTAGAGATCGAACTGAGCCGAGTCAGGAAGTGAGATCTCCAGAATCAAAACGATCGAGGCCCCTGACATCAGCTGATTTAGCCGTTCTCTTCCGGCTTTCTCGCTCGCAAAGACCTAAGAAAAAAGACCCATACCGGCAAGAGACCCATTGCTGCCTCAGTCCTGCGCTTGCCCTGGAACCGTCCTCCTACCTCGGGCTTTCCGCCGGTCGTGTCATTATTACTTGGATTCTCCTCCGTGGTTAGTGTTATGATTATCATTTTTTGATTCGTTCCTTCCCTTCCCCTTTCCCTTCCTTTCCCCCAGTTGCTTTTGGTATGTTTGTCATTTGTCCCGTCCCCTTGTCATATCGTACACCGCGATTTTGGCCAACTTTGACATCGAGTCTACCTTGATCGCTGCGGCGTGGCGTGTATGCCGCGTGTTCTCACTAGCTTATCTTGCGATGGATCGCATCCCCCACTGCCTTGCTCGCGTCTCCCATTGCGATAATGCCTCACTGGGCGGCAATTTCATTTTTGCTAACCTGAACGCGGTCTGTCTCAGGTTCCCGTCTAAGCATGCTGTCGTAACCGACCTACTATTCACACACGGTAGCCATCCTTGTCTGATCCTTCTGTACAAGTGACGCGTTCTGTCTCCTTCAGAATTATAATCGCAACTGCGGGGCGAGTCCATCTATGATCATGCCGTCCCCCGAGCTTTCTCAACCGGGGCAGCTCCCCGACAACATCCAGTCCGACGGTGCTCAGAATGGCTCTAGGAATCACAATGGCGATGCCGCTTCAGGACCTTCCACGGAACAAGGAACAAACGGATCTGATGCGATCGCGGAAGGAAAACATAATGCGAAAGCTGTTTTGGCAGCCTCGGGCGTGTCGTTAACATCCGCCGGGTCCAGTCATGACGCGTCTACCGGCTCCCAGTCGGGCAACTCTAATGGCTCAGCAGCAAGCAAGAAACGCTCGCGTGCCGGCTCCGGTATTCGTCCTTCCTCGCCGGTGGAAGGATTGGCGGTGCGTGTACGTGAAACCCCAAGGGATAAGATCCTGGCGGAACAGTATGTCAATCGCGAGTTCCAACATTCGGCCTTGACGGCATGGCACAATCAAAGCCAAGAGCTATCGAACCAGAAACGCGCCGAGCGGGACTATTATTTGAATTTACGACGAGAGAATCACATGAACCCAGCGGCGCTTTATGGCGTTGGCTATGAAGGGTTCGGGAATGCTCGCACAGACCTGCGAGGTCAGCATCCTAAACTACTGTATCCCTCCAACCGGCGTCGACCAGGTAATCGGAGGACCAGGGAACTGCGGGTATCACGGAAAGACTTGAAGACGCAGAGCGAACAAATTGAAGACCTTGTACCCATTCGGCTGGACATTGACTGGGAGAAAATCAAGATCCGAGATACCTTCACCTGGAATCTCCATGATCGCGTGGTATCTCCCGACCTGTTCGCTGAGAAGCTAGTCGAGGACCTAGGCCTCCCTCTTGAATCGTGTGCCCCGCTTGTGCGGATGGTTTCGCAAAGTATCCAGGAGCAGATCTGCGACTATTATCCTCAAATATACCTGGAAGAAGAACCTCTTGACCCTCACCTCCCATACAATGCCTACAAGAACGACGAGATGCGCATTCTTATAAAGCTCAATATTACCATCGGCCAGCATACCCTCATCGACCAGTTCGAATGGGATATTAACGACGCTTCAAACTCTCCCGAAGAATTTGCTGCTCGTATGACGGATGACCTTTCTCTCTCTGGCGAATTCACCACAGCGATTGCGCACTCAATCCGTGAACAATCGCAACTCTTCACAAAATCACTCTACATCCTATCCCACCCATTCGACGGACGTCCTATTGATGATCCCGACCTCAAATCCGCTTTCCTTCCCACTCCACTCTCATCGTCCTTTAGGCCATTCCAGGCAGCCAAGGAGTTCACACCTTATCTCTACGAATTAAATGAAGCAGAATTAGAACGCACGGAGGTTTCAATATCGCGAGACCAACGAAGACAGAAACGCTCCGTTAACCGTCGCGGTGGACCCGCGCTCCCCGACCTGAAAGACCGCCAGAGGACTATCCGCACAATGATTGTATCCTCTGTCATTCCTAATTCCGCCTCCCATATTGACGAAAGTAACGTTTTCAAGCGATCTGGATCGAGTCGTCGCGGGCGTGCTGCTGTCGGGTTGCGGGACACTGGTGATGATTCTGAAGAATCGGACAGCGACGACTCCTCCATCACAGGCTCCCCCGCGATCGGTCCTCATCTGGCTCAAGGCACTGCGCGCACAAGAGGCATGCGCGGGGCTGCCAGTGCTGCTCACGCCGCTCTGCGGGCGAACCTGGGTCAGTCTGCCACTCCGGAGCCTCACCACGAGGGAAGAGCATCTGCTCGGAGACGGGACTATCGAGAAGAGAGCATCGAAGAGCCAGAGAAACTAATTGTGAAACTTAAGATACCTCGTGAGAAGTTCCGTCAGCTTCTTACCCACGGACCACAATCAATCCCGAGCCTCTCAGGTACCCCAGCCCCTCAGCCGCCATCACATCAAAGCACGCCTCAAATTAGCACCCCAACTCCAAGCAACATGGCTCCGCCATCACATCCCCAGCCTCAAACCCGTGTCCCAAGTGTCGGTACGCCCACGCAGCGAACCGTCCCCGCGCAACAAATCGGAGCCATAGATGCAACCCATCCCCCTCAGCCGGGTGTCCCAGGGGTGAGTGATAAATAAAATCATGACAATTCTTTTGTTGATTCACCTCGAGTGGACCGGCTTATCCGGCTATGGTGGGCGTATCAATCCTGGTTCCCTGCTGACTTAATTTCTTTTAGCCCCCGCCTCCAAATTGGCTTGCGGCGGGACTTGCGCGGCTGAAACGCTCGTATCCGAATGACTCCTTTGAAGGGGTAATGCGCTACACCGCTGTGGATACGGAGACAATGCTCCCGGTAGCCAATGCTAATACCGAGCCTGGCCATAAGTTGAAATATCAGTACCTCCCACGTATCCGGTGTCATGATTGTCCAGGCAAACTCTATACTCCTGGGCCAGGCACAACAGTCGATAATTTCGAGGTCCATCTTCGAAACCGACAACACAAGGAGCGTGTCGAAGAGAGACTCTCCAGGGCCGGCGGTGCAGGAGGCAACGCATCTTAAAAGTCATGAACCAATGACGAAGCAATCTCATCTTTTCATTTTTCTTTTCTGCATCTATGTATACTTTTAAAGAATTCTTTCCCTTCCTCATGTGTGCGTACCACTGGAAACAGATCTTTCGTGGCTTTATGTATATGATTTGAGCGATTGGACTTGAGGCTGTATGTTTTCATCCTGAATTTTGTGATACTCTGGTGAGCTTGGAACTGGTGCTGCTTTCTCCAATGTCATGGTCGGCGTAAATACAGCGTTGTTCGAGACCGGAGCATTAAGGTCATTATAAGGTGTTCATCCTCTTCATGTTCTTGGGACCTATTCACTCGATACAATAAATAATACATATCACCAATGACATATATATATATCTGCCAGTACCATAAGATCTAAGGTTGCACTTACGCATTGCATGACTTAAATCCCGCGCTGTACATTTATTTAAGCACCGATACATACATAGATACGAACCTAGCAGCAGAACCGAAGAAAAAGAGAAAAGAAAAGGGAAAAAAGGGCAATACACAGAAACAGATAAGAGAAGAGCAACATTCAGGAGGGAAACAACGTTATCCTAGCAATTTAAGGAAACGGGGAGATAAGACAAAGCGAGAGAAATAGCGTAGGAAATGGGTATACATTTCAATTCGACTGAACGGATAGCATAATGCTAAATAAACTGACACTCGATGCGACTCGTTCATTGATGAGAAACGGGCATAGCATAGCGTAGGTATTAATTCCATTAAGGAATTAACTTGAAGGGAATTTTAAGGGCTGGGTTTACGCTGAATAGACAGGCAGATAGGCTGGTTGACCTAGCAAGGTAATTTTGGAAATGGGACAATGATAAAGTATAATGGTACGGTATTGTAATATCCACTTTTTAGGTGTCCGTTTAGGTTAGCCTCTTCGAGAGGCCCGCCTGGAGGGGAGACTTGTTGTTGCTGGTGGTTTTGCGGCGCGGGTTTTTTTGGTGCTTGGCGGTGGAGATGAGGCGGGGAGGGACGGTGGTGGGGAGGAGAGAGCGCTGCCTTCGTCATCGTCTGAATCCCGAACAACGTTGCTGTTGTTGGTATCGGTGTGGTTGTTCTCATTTTCTTCGCCGTCATCTTCGTCCGCTTCTTCTTCGTCTTGGTTCCAGTCGTCCATTTCGACGTCTTCGTCGCTATCGTGGTCTGCATAGCTGACTCTACGTGACGTTCCTCTGCTGCTGCGTCTGCGCGTAGCCGTGGAGGTGGCTTTGGCGGTGCCCTCGTCTGATGACCAGCCATCTTTCTCTTTGTTCTTTCGCTTCGGTGTCCTCGATATTGCGCCTGAGGTCTTCCGGGGACGTGTGGCCTTCTCTTTGGCTTTCTTTACTTTCTTAGTTGTTCCTGCGTCGCCAGCTGTCTCGGCGGACTCGGGCTTTCTCTTCTTCGCGGATTGACCCTGAGAGCCGCCCTTTGATTTCATTATAGATCGCACCAGCCGGTCAAGCAGGTCGTCGATATCTTCCGACAGGAAATTCTTCTCGGCTACTTCCTGGGCTTCGCGGTGACTGCTCATCGGGGCGAAGATGGAACTTGGGAGGCCCACCTTGCCGGGGTATGTCTGCAGGATATTGGTGCCGCCGGCTCCGCCGCCAAACCTGCGCTGCTGTGAGTAGATATCAGCGAATCGGCGAATGGTAGATTGAGCCAGGTCCGAAAGCGTGTGGAGACGCGTGGTGATTTCATCAGATTTCGTAATGCCGTCGCGTGCCTGCTTGACACGCTGAGCGATGTGGAAAATGAGGGAGAGGTTGCGTTCGTTAGCTATCGCAGAGAGATAGAAAAGGATGTAACGACCGAAATCGGTCAGATCGCGAGCTTTTGTCTCTTTATCCAGGTTCTGCGGGGGGTAGTCGGGATGATAGGCAAGTAGCGACAGCAGGCGCGAGAAGATTGACTCCATAACCGGATCATTTTTTTTGCCACCATTTTGTTGAGAGAAGAATGCTGCGCGAGACCGCAACCATGTAAGGGTGCTATCCTTCAGGCTTGTATTTGGCTCAAACGCGAGTAGGAATGTGATAATATACCAACGGTGGCTCAAGCGCGCACTCTGCACCAGTTTCTTCTTCAGCTCATTGATAAACCCACTCCGCACAGGCAACAGAGGATCTTGAGCGACTAGGGCAAGCGCATTGAAATCTTTAGGAGTAAGCAAATGATCACAGAGGCTGTGGGAAGCACACAGCTTGAGTAACGATTTAGCAGCTAGAAGGCGTAGTCGTGCTTTCTGCCCTGCTGGTGTGTCCTTCTTTTTTGATATTTCGCCCTCACCTACAACAAGTTTGTTGAGGGTACTATAAACAGGCTCGGCATGAGCACGGAAGTCAGACTCGCCGTCAGAGCCTCCCTTAGCGCGCAAGCGGTTGACGATAATCTTGAGAGCCCATTCCTTAGCCGCGGTTTCATCATCCACAGTGTCCGACCACGTATACCCTGCCTCTGATTGTGGTGACCGGTTTGTCAGAAGAACTTGATTGACCGCAATGGAGATGATAGCGTCGCTCTTCTCGTCCACTTCCCTTGGGGCTAGAAGATTCAGCTGAGAAAGTGTGGCTAGTTTAGTGAGGAATCGATCTGTGCCATACTCCCATTTAGAAACACATTTCTGTACCAGATCCTTCGCGTACATCTCCTTTCGGTCTGCAGTGGACATGAGGATTGAGACAGCATGCTTAGCAGCCCGAGGCGACGGGCTATACAACGCATAGTTGACAAGGGCCTGGAAAAACTTGCGCTCCTTCGGCAGCTTCGCCGGGAGCTTCTTCGCAAACCCGGAGCAAGCCTTGAGGATTTCTTCAGTTCCAGCGTCCTTACTTGTTCCTGCTGACGGTGCTTGTGACTCAAGATCCTTGCACATCTCTTGGACCTGGGCTTCCAATACCTCCGGGTTCCGGGATGAGATCTCCCGCAGCATTTCATGTGCAGGGCTTGCCAATCCATTCTCATCTGTCCGCGAGAGGCTTATGATTGCCGGAATGTGGCTCCGGTTGAAAACAAGGGAACTGCAGCGGTACAGGAGGGGGGTCAATGTCTCAAGTAAAGGAGAATTATTCGAGCTTTGTAATCTGCGTGCGAGTTCTTTGATGGCCTTGATGACCGTACGGTAGTCACTGATCGCGGCCATTGCGAAGCGTATCAGCTGGTAGTTTCGTCGGTCATGCACTCTGGCAAACTTCCATAAATCTGCGGAAGCTCGTGAAGCGTCCGGGAAAAGCTTTGACAATGTGTCGACGACGCGGTTCATTTGAGCAACGATTCGTTCTTCGTCATTTTCCATCACACCACCCTAGGATTCCTCGGTATCAGTATGATTCATTTCACAATCAAATGTGGCACTTACATTGTACTCTTCACAGGCCTGAAGGTAGACTGTCACGGCTGTCCTCATTTGGATCTGTCTAGCCTGCATTGCAAAGAAAACCTTCTTCGCCTTGTCGTCCAATCCTCTGATCAGGGTTAAAATGCGGCGAACGCGGATCTTGTCAACGTCGGTCTCATTGTCACCCTCTGAAGCCTGAGAATCTTTCAATTTTTGAGACTGGGTCGAGCTACTCCGTGATAATTTGGCCTTTATCGGCGGATAACTGAGGGGAAGAAGGATTTCAAAAAGAACACGGTCGATCTGCACATGGATATCCATGTCATTCGTGTAGAAAGCATCGAAGATTTTGGAAGGCCCATCCTTAAGCAGAGATACTACCTGCTCATTGTCCTGCTCAATCTCACCTGCCGCAACTGCCCAAATCCGGCCCAGCGTTTTCATAGCATGCTCCCGGACCTGTGGCTTTCGATCTTTAACACGCTCCGCCAATATGTAAAGTATAGAATCTTGGGATGAAACGCCGCCACTAGCACCTAATTTATGAATGACGTGAGACAGACCAAACACACCCATCGCGTCAACTGCGGCCACTCGAACCTTCTCATCTGCATCTCGAAGCATAGAAGCCAAGCTTTTGATGAGAGTCTGCTCCTCACTCTCAGCCAAGCCAGAACCACCCGCCGACGTCAATAAGATCCGACCAACAACAGTTGCCCAGGAAGCCCTCACTGAGGCAGACTTGTCCAGTCGCCGGCTCAGAAAGCCCTCATATGTAGAACTATGCGCCTGAGAGAATGGCTTGGGAGAGAATGGTTGTACAAGAACATTTGGCTGGGGGATTGTCTGGGAATAATCCGACAGAGTGACAGGTGGATAGGCGGCAGGATCCATTGGCGGCGGAGGTGGTGGCCCTGCAACTCCAATTCCGGCAGCTAGGTCACCGATCGTCTGCGTGGCCAGTAGACGCAAGGATACAGATTCCGCCGATAATTCTGCCTCCAGTTGGGGGACCACGTTCTGCAATACCTCGGGGCAGGCTCTCCAGAGTTCCCGGATTAGACGATGCGCCTTACTCAACTCTTTGATATCCTCTCCCTCTTCGTCCGAATCGTCAAGGTTAGGTCGGCGATGATTCTTCGACGGCCCGTTTGCTGAGGGCGCAGAGGCATCGATGATAACGTTGTTGAAATATTGACTAATGTGGCTGGTCATCCTCTCCGGACAAGCTTGGCAGATGGCCTTTGCCATGTTGTAAGCCGGGGGGTAATCCTTCAAAAGTAGCGTTCCCTGTTTGGCATCGACTGGAGTATCGGCCTTCTTCCCCCTCTTGCTAGGGTTCTCCAAGATACGCGGGTCAATTCGCAGGAATTGGGCGACAATAATATCCACAACATCCGGGGCAAGTACGGGCGTCTCGTCAATTACCGTTACAAGCAAGCGGGTCATGTCGTATTCAACATTCTTTGCAACTTCCTCGCCTGTGGAAGCTTTGGAGGACCCAGAGACGATGTCAAAGCAACTAGTAAATAACGGAATAATTAAAGCGTCAGGCTGATCGAGGTCTGTCATCAAAACGATACTCTTCACTTCCGCTAGTGAATTTAGCACATAGATATGCTGGGCATTGTACGTGTTCGAGGGGTCCCCTAGTGCGGGGATAACATGGGACACGAAGCAGGTAAAAATGTCCTTAATGTTTCACCAGGTATAGTTAGCTAATGTAGCTCAATTGAGTAGACCGTTTTTGGATGGTGCGACTATTCATTATAGCGGCGGCGTACCTTTAGTTGGTTACCGGTGAAGGGCGCGTCGGGGGCGCAGAGGCGCAAAACGTCGACGATGCAGCAGGCCACCCAAGCTCTTACACCCTTATCCTTGTGCGCTAGGAGCTGAGCCGTTGCTAGCTCTTGAGAGACCTTCTGGAGAGAATCCTTCTCTACCTCTTCCTGTTCTAGTTTGCGAAGCTCTTGCGCGAGCGTCTGCAGGCGCTGCAGCAGATCCGCAATGGGAATAGCCGATCGCCCAACGCGCCATGAAAGTGGTTCATTGAAGTGGAGGCGGCGAAGACCGCCGGATGTCTCTTCTGGTTCCACGACCTCCGTCGCCGCGGAGAGGCCTTGACGAGTGCGCGCAGGCATCGTGGAAGCAGCGCGGGGAAGCCGGTGGTGTAAGCTTCAGCGCACCATACGCTAAATCGGGGGGGTTGGAGAGGGGAAACAGGAAGTAAGATAGCAGAGGAGAGGAAGATGCGGGAGGGAATCACACTGTCAAATGAGAAATGACCAAACTAGAACGGAAAAGGACAAAGAGCGAAGATGATAGGCGGGAGAGGAGGTTGGACAAGCAGTTACTCTCTCTCGCTCTCAAACCCCCGAGGACGACGACGAATTGATTGACGGGCGGCTTTCTTGTGACCGCCTTCGCAGACGCGTCGCGTGTTTGCTTTTTGCCCTAATTTTTCCGCCTCTCTCTTAAACGGAGCTCCACTTACGACTCTCGCATGATTGCATACACTAAAGATTTAGGTCGACTTTTGCCTATCCCAAGATGTTGGTGTCTCGTCTGCTTTAATCTCCTCCATGACTTGTCGGGCGTCTTCTCCACAGCCGCCGAGTCAGACCACCGAGATGATCTAAGAGAACTAGTACCTAGTAATCACCCCAGCTTTCACATCTGGATATATCGAGCAATGATATATCTAATCTACAGGTAGATTTTGTCATATATTGAATTATTGATGCCTTCAATCTCTTTTTTTTTTGCTAAGTACATGGTAATCAAGAGGAGATCAAAAGTAAACATTACCAACATTCATACAGTGTATCCTCGCTATGCAATGAACACCTCTAGGAAATAAACATTATCGTTTAAGAGCCCAATTATGACGCTGAGCTAACGATCAAAAATGAGACAACATGCATACCATGCTTGATATATGTATTGCTTGGTCTCTAATGGAGCGGAAGATGAGATGATGCCCAAGTCTGGCAAACGCCAACCTTAGAACTTCGGTGTAAACTTGCTCATCGCACGTATCTTTTTACCATAAAAGAAGAAGATAACTGGGATGGGTATCATGGCGATGGTAAGAAATCCAAGTAGACTAGATGCCCAGTTGACGCCCAGTCTATGGTACATTTGCACGGCAAAGAGTGGAAAGGCGCCACCCAAACTACTCCGGATCAAGGTGTTGGCAGCGATAGCCGAGTTGGCAAACATCATGTAAACGTCAATGATGTAGTTGAGGCCCTGCATAAAGATAACCAAGATACCCATCCCTATGGGCACACCTGCAATCACCTGTGGCACCCACGACACGTTACGATCCGAGGTCCAACCAAACCAGAAGAGACCGGCTGGCAACAGGACCGAAGCAATCATCATGGGAACCAGGCGCTCTTCGGGCACGACTCTACCGTGTTTCGCCAATTTCCGTGCAAAGCGAGTCTTTGTCTGCCAGATGATCAAAGCGACACCGCAGAGGACTCCAATCATGATACCAATGAACGGCAGTCCTGCCACACCCCCATTCGTCCAGCCTCGAACTTCCTGGAAGGAGACTGGGTACGCCTCGAAAAACAGATAGAGAATACCATAGATAAAGGCTAGGTAAATCGTAATGGCCAAAAGAATCGGTTCGAGGAAAAGCATTTGGATCGGACGCAGGAGATATTTTGTGACGATTTCCGATGCAGTTGGGCGATGTTCATCCAAGAACGAATGCAACGCCCAGTTACCGGTCTCCCGACGCAGGCGAGCCGCACGTTTCTGAAGGATGACCGGACCATAGGTTTCTGGAACTATAAAGAGCGCAAGAGTACCGAACGAGCCCGAGGCTATCAATGTAATCCAAGCTGTCCACCGCCAACCAAGGTGCGACTCTGTAATGAAGCCACCCACAATAGGACCTGGTGAGGTCCGTCAGTCCACGGTACCGGAAGGGACGACCTAACATAAAGGAAAGAAAACACTTACCAATGACAGGTCCAACGAAGGTCGCCGCCGAGAAACAAGCAATGGCCACAGCACGGTCCACCGGGTCCCAGAAGTCAGCCATGGCGCCACCCACCACGGCCAGGGGAGAGCAACCAAACACACCCATGAGAAAACGGCACAGCATGATGGTTTCAACATTCTGTGCCACTGCAACAGGGATTTGGAAGATCGCAAAGATAGCATAGCCAGAGAACAATGGTAGTCTCCGTCCGTATAATTCTGAGAGGGGTGACCACACCAACGGTCCGACTGCGAACCCAAACACCACCAAACTCGTCGCTAAAGTCATAACTTCGGTTGAAACGTTGTACTCCTTTGCAGTCACCACGGTTGCTGTCGAGAACACACTACTAGCGAAAGTAATCCACATCGTCAAGGAAGACAAGGTCATAGTCAGGACCCATTTTTTCCACTTTGGCATATTCTGAGGGTTCTCTGGATCGTCCGGGCCGTTCCATTCCACCAGGTTCGGGTCCTTTTCCGGTGCTTTCTCCTGGTGTCCCTGTCTGGTCGAGTGTGGTGTTGACATCGACCTCTCTAGCATCTCCAGGTCCGTGCTGCGAGTGCCCTCGGCATTTTTTTCAGGATCTTCCCCAATCGACGAAGAGGAATCTGAATGCAAAGTGATGTCCGAGGACTGTATAGGTCCCTCGTTTTCTTTGTCTAAACGAGTTGAGCTATGTGAACCATGCTGTGCTGCGCCATCTCGATTTGTGGTGCTCATCTTTATCGAAGCCGTGTCGGCACGGCAGAGAGCATCAATAACTCTCGTTTCAATTTTTAGTATAGAATATATAAAGCAAAAAGTGCTGAGTAGTAACAGTAGATTCCTATCTGTGGGTAGGAGTCAAGTGAACTAAGTATATAGCCCCTAGTCTAAAGGGTCCCGGGGGGGGACCATCTATTATAATAAAGGCATTCAACCTACTACAGTGGGCCTATAGAATAAGAAATTTGCACCCTAGTGACGATATATTAGTTCAACGGAGCGCTACGAGAGGACGAACCATGGCTGCTAAGGTGCCCAGCGCTCCACCATGGCAGATATGTATCTGCTTTTTTTATGTATTTTTTTTTTTTTTTTGAAGTCCGAGTCCGACAACCGATGCCCACATCAGATAGGCCGTGGTCGGACTGTCGGTAGGTACAGACACCCTAATCTAGGGTACCGAGAGTCGTCTCTATTCAGCACTCCACATGATTTGTTGAACATATTTCTGACGTCAGGGAAGATTTGTAATAATGAAGACATAGGGAACATACCATGTCGGAGTTTAGCAAATGGGGAAAATGCCGACGGAGAGCCACGAGTTAGCGGGTGGAAAATGCTTAGCGTCCTCGCCGCTCGCCCCTTCGGCCCTTCTTGAGGACCGATGTGCTATAATTGGCCAGCGCCCCCACCTTTCCCGGTTGATTAAGCTTGTTCCATCCACTTCTCGGCAGATACGCCACTCTCACTTCCGGTTACCCGTCTTATGAGATTCAGATACGCGATAAACTGGAAAAGAAAAAGAAGGGGGAAAGTACCCTGTCTTCCTGTCTTTAATCCATGTATCTCCCCTTCATTGGCTAGCAACCTGCATTAGAACCTGATCCTGAGGTTTTCCTTATTTTTTTCCTGTAGTCAAGCCACCCACTTAGTGTTCGGTCTGGAGTTAACTATGGCCTTTGGGCGTATCTCCGCTAGTCTATCCCGAATACTGACAATATGTTCCAGTTGCGACTCGCTTTATAAGTTGTCCGACGTCCGAATCGTACTTGATTATGGTGCATTTTCATATCGCAGAACGGTCAAGCGACTGACGGTTTACTCACTGCATGTTTCTTGTAGTAATCTCCGCGTCCTTATCAGCCTATGGGAGATTTCTGTCGAGTCATGTTGGGCGGTCGTGCTGCCGATCTGTTTAATACAACAAATTATATCCCTGACTTGTTTGAATGGCGTGCTTGTCCACCGTCATGCGGGACGCTACTCAATCCAATGTCTCTTTTTGCAGTGTAGGTATTCAGTAGTCCGCTTCAACTATAACAAGCTCCGTCTAGACCGACAAGTATTGATGCCTGGTATTACCCGCTTAGTCACCGAGCAGGCATTCATTGATTTCCTACTCTGTACATCTACATATGAGAACAGACCACAGTAGCAACGCCATAACGCAGGATTCCCCTTTTACCTTCCTTTTTGCGTATCTAAGTCAATCAACCAGTGTTCAAAATGTGCTGCTTCTAAATCTACGTATCTTAAGCCAAGCCCCAACAAGTTACACTCAATGCAAAATATATATCCCTACAGAGCACTCTCATCCCCAAAACACAGGAGAAATACTAGTCATATTTAATTTCATATAAATTTTTTATAAATTTTTTTTTATTTTTACTTTTTCCAAATAATGCGACACCCTCAGGTATCTTGCAATTTACGAGGTCAACATGTGCACACCACTACCAGTTCGAGAAGCAAAATATACGACCGTGTACCAGTGGTCCTTTAGCCCTAATGACTGAGACAGATACCTCATACTTTGCTAGCACCTAAGAAAAGTCGTTCATGGATTGTCCAGATATACAGAGAATCCCTCAACGTACGAATAGGTCACATGTTCGCACCCTCCATTGACAACATCAAGAAACTTCTTGGCGATAATCTGGCCACTTCATGAGTGCATCGCATACAGCCGGACCAGCGTAGAGTAGACATATCGACATAGTTCGGAATCGTCTAATTCTCTACATATCAATCACCCACCAAGGAACCCACTGCCGCGAAATCGTTAACCCTGATCCAGCGATATGGTTCCTAGCGATAATGTAGGCCGAGATTCTATACTTTGGATAGGTCGGTATAAGCATGTTGGAAAATTGAAGTGGGGTGGCCCCTTATCCCCAATATGCGCCGCTGACGATATAAAAATTTGCTGGGTCAATAAGTACTGGTCGTTGGAAAGAACTGGAACCTACATCTACCGGCGGGGTACATAGGTCTCTTGTGGCTGATGAAGTAAATTAGCCGCGATTGATTGGTGTAGCTATCGCCAAAGAAACAACGTTTTTGAAGTGCTTCAAATTCAAGGTGTGGGAATGAATTCTACTGATGATGAGAAGACGATTTAGAATTAGCACTTTGCATGATAGTTAGCTAGTTGATACGGGTGATCATTCACGTATGAACAGTCTTAGCTCAGGCGTACCTGGATATTTTAGTATATAAACCATCATATCACCCGGGCGCAAGGTTGCTCATATCGCCGTTGATACTTTTGACTGTTCCTGCTCTGTATAAAGATGGGCTGACTCAAGTTGGATTGGGCATTGATATTTAATTGGTGGGTCCCGTTCAGGTTCATGGATATAGTTAGGTATGTGTTATGTTCCAGCCTTTACTCCGTACAACAAACGTTATTGTGGTTTCAAAAACTTTTTTTTTTCGCAGCTGTCCTTCATAAATAGGAAAGTAGAGTTTCCTGAATGAAACGCCATATCTCTCATAGTTATCACATTGAGGCTGGTTAAGGGCTTTGGTTAATTTCCTGTCTGATGTGATTACTTCATTGATTTTAATCAGATATGTTACATTCAACTTTCGATTTCAAAGCACGGAGTATTCCTGAATTCAAAGGACTATCACTTGCCAAGTAAACACCATTACAGCGTAGTATTTAGTCAAGGAACCTGTTTGATCGCCTGGGACATGCAGAGTACTAGTAAAATAGTAGTCAAACTAGCCCATGCGGCTGTTACGCTTAGTGTGATATTCGAGACAGATGATCATGGCGCGTCCTACATTTGAGAAGATTGAATTCTCAGTGTGTACACTGTAGATAGTCTAGAGCGGGGCATAAACTTTGCTCAAGTGCATTGCCCGCGTGCATGTATATAAACTGAAGTGTTCATACTTGGGCATCTTGATAGCAGCAGCCAGATGATAACACCTGACTCTTTGGCCTGTGAAGGGAAGATGGCGGTGTGCAAAGAGGGAGGGATACAAATTAAATTGGCCGAAGCTCTTCGGCTGAGGCGAATCCCATGTGGCACAAGTAGTATAGTAAGTACATGGTAAAAAGTCTCTGACCGGTTCAGTTGCACACCTCTATATCTCGGGCGGAACCTTTTACTTCTACATATAAAGAATTTTATGTCTACCTAGAGACCAGTTCCGCTTGTTGATTCATGTACAGATAGCTACCATGAGCGGTAGCTATGATGATGATGTTGATATTGTCGCCTATGATACGGCATAGGGCAGGAGAACGTGGCTATAAATGGTCACATTAAATACTTGGGAAGCCAAAAATCCACCAGTCTTATATTCCTGGGTATCCAAACGCATCTCACATGCGTAAGCTCGCTAAAAGATCATACTCGAACGCCGAAGGTATGCCCTCCTCCCAGTAGAACCATGATATCGCTGTAAACGCCGGGAAATGCCAAACTCTGTTCAGAATCAGGTGTCAAGAACTATTGTCAATATGCCCGTTGTCCTCCATCCTGTATTTTTGTTTCAAGGCGTCGATAGCCTTGGTGACCTGCTCCTTCGCAGCGACCTCCAAATCGGTCTTCGCGTCAGCGTCAAGAGTTTCAGTGCCGCCCACTCGTTCATATAGCATACGGGATATGTTCCGGTTGATCTCGGTGTACTCGTCCTTTGACACAGTCTTTGAACGGTAGTATGGCTTCAAGGCGGCTCCGACAAGCTTTTGAATATCTGACTTGACTGCTAAAGATAGGCCGGGTCGACTTGGAGACTTGTCGTTCCCTCGCAAGGGAATGGAACGAAATGCAGCCCTTGGAATCCGGCGTCGGGTGCTATCCGAGAGCCCCTGCGGCGGCGTAGCGTCTCCAGTATCTTTACTAGAACCGAGGGGAGAAACATCAGGCGAAAAGGGCGGTGATGAGGGGTTGGTTGGCGTCGAGAGTTGTAGTGGAGATATCGGTCTACTTCTTGGACGAGGCGGAGGTGTTGTAGAGGATAAGCCGGGCGAAGAATAGTTGGACGGCACAGGTGATATTGACGGGGAGGGCCCAGGAGTAGCATGGTCAGTTGGAGCAACTGAAACCTGGGCAGAGTTGACATGCGAGTTTGTGTCGCTCGAAGCTTCCTCGACTTCTTTTAGAAGAGATGAAAGGAAGCTTGGTTCGCTTGAGGTTTCCGCATTGATCCGAGCGGAAGCCTGGGCGCTAGCAGCCCTGGAAGACTCGCCATTCTGTAAAGCCAGAGCTGCTAAATCTTCAGCTCTTCGGGTTCGCGGACGTTTTAACTTCCGCTCGGGCTCTGTCGGTTCTGGCGAGGGAGACATGGTTGGTTCCTTTCGTTTTCGGGCTGCACTAGGGTCATTCTCAATCTCACGAGCTCTCTCGAAGGCATTCCATGCCCTCATCTCCTCCAGAGACTCGGGTTCGGGTGTTGGCTCCCTTGGAGCACGTGGCCGCGATGGTCGCGGAGCCTCAATATCGAGCAAGGCAGCTGTGTCTCTGAAGCGGTTACTACCTCCCTGTCGTTCAGCAACTTCGAAACGACGCTGCCAAGCGCGGAACTCTCGTTGGTTGGCTTCTTCCCGTCTTTGCTGCTGTCGGGCCCGCTCCGCGGCCCTATCATCATCGAAAGGAAAATCCAGGTCAAGATTAAGGTGATCCCAAACGGACTGCCACACACGCGCCCAATGGAGAGAGTTCATCTGGGTACGGCTCTGTAGTCTCCGTTGCTGTGCTCTCGTACGGCGACCACGTCTGTCCTGAGTCCGTGAATGCCTATCAACGCTGTCGGGGGACAGTGCTCGAGCACGTTGGGTCTCGCACCGTGAGCAGTACCAAGACCCAGACGGGACAGTATCGAGCCCAAGGCAGTACGTATGCGAAGGGGCATCGCATCCATCGCACAGAAGGAGAAGTTCTTCATTGTCAGCCTCTCCGCAGATAAGACAGGGTGAGAATTCAGCAAGATCGTCATCCTCGATGTACTCTATCACCATCGAGGGGTCGACATCTGCAACTTGCACGCGGTCCTGCACGGCGTAAGATGAAAGCACGGGGCCTATGTTAAATAGATAGCTTAATTAGTATATATTCATCGAAAGGTTAAACGAAGTTATGAAATTGAGAAGATGTATATGATAGTTGAACAACGTACCTCCGATTCGGTCACAGAGTTCTACAACATTGAAGTTCCGGCGACATATTGGACAGCTATTTGCTCGTTCGACCCAGGGCTTCAGGCAATTGTTATGTAAGATATGACCGCAGGGAAGCAACTGGGCGATCTGACCAGTATCCTCACTGCCATCTACGCCATCTGCCTTGACGGAGGTGGTAGTCGGCCTGCCATCTACTTGAACATCAAGTCTTGGCGCGGCCTCGGCGGCGAGGGCAAGAGGATCGCTGGCGCTTTCGCCAAGGTCTCCTAAACACACAATACAAGTGTCGGACATTAACAGAGGAATCTGTGCCAGGACTATCTGCAGGAGAGCTAAGAGAAGGCATGAAGAGCAGCTGGCAGAAAGGGATAAAAGACAGAGGAGTGGAAGGAGAAGGGAGAGAGAGCAGGTCGAGTGATGTGGGGAGAAAGCAACCGGCCTTTTGAAGGTGGACCTAAAATCCGATCTAACGCAAAACAGTCTGGGCCGCAACGTGACCTACCCAAACGCGAGGCGAATCAACGTGTAGGAAAATCCGACGAAGCAGACGCCCTCAAGGTTGCTGCTGACTACTACTAATAGTACTACACCGTGTAGTTAACTAATATCTAGCATGACTTGAGTACATAGCCCGAGAGAACGCCCTTGCATCCAAGACGCCGTCGCATGAAACACGCCCCTCTTTTTTTTTCTTTTGAAACCATCAGACCGCTTTCACAACGTAAACCTGCTCTGTTAAAGCAGGAAAGGAAAATGCAATCCAACCATAAAAACCTGATACTACTAGAGTTTATTCCTAGACCTCGGTGTTGAATACGATTACTTGGAAAAGTGAATTGACCAGAAGGTACTCCGTAATTCGGTTCTAAAAGTTATACCGTGATCGAAGCCTTATTCTCAACAGGGACATAGCATTGGTTAGCTACCTTTGAACCCAGAAAAGAAAAGTCGATAATTGAAATGACGCATAGTAAAGGACACAAAACCATCAAGGACTGAATGGTCTATTCCGCGCTCTCGTCCGGTTGGGTGCACAAATTTACTCCACTTATACATCGCAGCAGCTTTGTACTTGTTAAGACGCAGTCACACGTAGTTAAGAGATCGAGAAATCCTCATGAGCGACATAAAACCCAAGCGTAAGACGGATCAAAAGGCGGTGGAGATAGATCATATGGCAGATGGAGAATAGCCGATACGCAACTCTATTTGGAAAGAAACTGAGATCATGGGAAATATTTGTCTATTGGTTGAAACACCATTCGATCCCGATGATGTGTGGGTATTCGTAACGAGGAGCCCTTGGAAGCTTTCCAGATCTTGAATTTCGCTATTTTTATATTTCAAACGTAAGATAGAGATCCCATCGTGACATTTAAACCTCCGCGATTTCCCTGAGACGACGGATGGTGGAGCGGGTGGCAGCGGCGGCGGGGGTGCTGTAGCAAAGTTTGATCAGTATTCGTCCACGCTTCTTCTTCGCTACAAGGTACACAGTCCAGTATAAACCGTGCTCCCTGGCCATTGAAGATGAGGGAGGTCGACTTACGAGACGGTGTAGGCACCACCGGCGACGGTCTTCTTGCAGCCCTTGCACTCCCAGATACCAACAGCCTGGCGCTTGACGGTGTTCTTACCGCAGAAGGTGCAGACGTAGCGTGCGTGCTGGGTAACTTCCATCTTCTTCACCTGCTTACGCAGGGAGGCACCGTATCTATTCAATTACCTGGTCAATACATTGTCCAACTCCGTAAAAATCCGATGTCAAATCGTTCATTTAATCGTGCAAGATAGGAACGCGATCGGCTTCACATCGATTTTTTAGCGCGAGGGCGCAAGAGCATACCTGGTACCATATTTACCCGTGATACCGACCTCTGGAGTATTATGTTAGTCTCGATTTATTTTCTGATCGTTTATTAGACGTTTTCTCTATAATATGGCACTTACTCTTAGTGCGCTTGGTCATCTTGTCTCCGTGCAGCTGTTGAGGTCGAAGATGGATACAGTGCGGTAAGTCGAAAGCGAGTCTGAGGCTTTCAAGTGGAAGCGGTTGTGGGTGCCCAAGCTCGCTTAGGGCTCAAGTCTTGGCCCTGTCACGTGATCAATTTGTGCAGTGGTGATTCGATAGGAACAACCTACAGCCACAGGCCACAATAAAAAATACAATAAAATAAAAATAAAATGAAAATCCGCCATATTAACTAAATTAGGATTGATAGTATACGTGTCTCTCTACAAAGCCATCCAAATCGAAGACAATCTCCGAATCCTATACATATATTCTCATTTTCTTTTCATGTTTCGTTTCTTGTTTGATTTTTGCACCCTTAGTACGTAGTCTGGCCCGCATGACATAAGAGGACACTTGGAAAATGCAACCGGCTTAAATCCGTCGCGGGGTCTTTTTCCACATTTCATTATGCAGGACAATATTCATACTTCCATGTATCCTTCAGAGCCTCTTATGGTCAGAATACCCGGCTAAATATGTACATTGTTGTTCTATTATAGAACGATCGATCTATCTACTAGATAGACTAATTACCATGGAAATCATCAGCCACTCTAATCACATGAACATAGAATGAACCTTTCCACTTCTGGTTAGACTCCCGGCCAAGGCGATCATCTCACGTCACCTAGTAACCAAGCTTAAGCTATCTGTAATTGTATCTACATACATCTTGGTCCACGTTAGACCCGCTTGCAATTGACAAAAGTGACTGCCTTTACGTACCTAAGAGCTTTCTATAACCTAACTAATCGTCTGTGTAATACCTCGAAGTTACCGTCATCGGAGCATTCTTCCAACCTTTATGATGGAATCTAAGAGAGAGTTCGACCTGATTCTCTTAGGCCCAACTGGTTACACGGGTAGACTCTGTGCGGAGCATATTGTCAAGAACTTCCCTACAGGCATCAGATGGGCTTTAGCAGGGCGTTCGCCCCAGAAGATCGAGACAATTGCTCGGGATCTCAAGACTTTGAACCCCGATCGCGCCGAACCAGGTACTATATAGATCAGTACTACCGTGAACATTATTAACGTACCGATAGTGATCCTGGCTGTACAACTCATTCGGGAGGAACTACACTCTTTGGCTCGGAAAACACGCGTACTTTTAAACTGCATTGGCCCATATCATTTGTACTCAACCCCTATTGTTGAAGCTTGCGCCAGCAACGGGACGCATTATCTTGATGTGTAAGTATGCTGTTATGGGCAAGCTATAGAGGTGTGGCTAATGTTTGTAGAACTGGAGAAACGCCTTGGATCAAGAACATCATCGAAAAGTACCACGAAACCGCCAAGTCGAATGGTGCTATAGTTAGTGTCATCTCCCTACCCTCTATTCGTCTATGTTGAATCCCTAACTGTTCTAGATAATTCCCTCTGTCGGTGTTGAGAGTGCTCCTGCAGATGTACTAGCCTGGGCCCTTGTCAAGCGTATACGTGAGGAACTATCATGCGATACCAAAGAAATTACGTGCGCAATTGATGACTTGAAGTAAGCCTGATGATTTTTTGGCCACCGTCAAGTGCGCATAAATCTGACCACTTAATAGGACCTCGGGAGCAAGTGGTGGCACTCTTGCTACAATCTTGACTATGTTTGACAGCCTCTCGGTCTTTGAGATACTTAAGGCAACAGGCCCATTTGAACTCGCCGCTTCCTCACCGCCAAAGTCTATTCCTAGCGAACCATTCATGGAAAAGGTGCTGGGCGTCCGCTCAGTCCGTGATATGGGTACTCTCACAACTGCCCCAACAGCAGTGGCTGACATCGCTATTGTACACCGGAGTAGTACGTTAATGCCGGAGTTCTACGGGCCTCGGTTTCACTTTAGACAGTTCCTGAAGGTCAGGAACGTGTTTATTGGTGTTGCAATTCACTTTGCCTTTGTTATCGGCATGTTACTTTTGCTTCTGCCCCCAGTCCGGTGGCTCTTAAGACAGTATGTCTACGCGCCCGGCAGTGGACCCCGCATGGAGGACTCAATCCATGATCGGCTGGAATACCGTGCCGTAGCGACAGCTGATCAGCGTGCACCGGATCCCAAGCGTGCCTTGGGAAAATTGAGATACCAGGGAACAATGTATGTTTTCACGGGGCTCTTGCTGGCAGAGGCCGCCATGACCATCCTAGAAAACGAGGAGAAGGTAAAGAAAGTGTCTCGCTGTGGTCTTGTCACCCCAGCCACCTTAGGACAGGAATACATTGACCGCCTAGAGAAGGTTGGATGTCACATCGAGACCCAAGTTTTCAAATACTGATGACTATCTTCTACCGTATGATTTTCTCAATTTTTGATATGTATTTCATGCCCTGGAGGGTTATGTTCATCTTGTTTGACAAGCCCATATGTTAATTCTGTACTGTACCTGTTCAATTAATCCCCCTCTAGTCAATACACATAATGAAACATTGATCATTTGTGCACCGTCATTGAAGTTTCTTCCAAACAAAACAATTTTAAACAGCTCACAGAAGAAGAATAAATACAGTAATTAGTACACCGTTTCCCAGCATTGAAAAAGCAGACAAAAGATACTGAAACAGCCCATGCAAAGCACACCTATACATATATACAGTGCATCCCAGTATGTACCATCGCCTGATCACAATTACAGCTTGAACATTCTGGGGTCTCGGAAGACAATTTCTTCCAACCACCATGCGATTATTTCATTGACCTCCTCTGGTTTTTCCCACAATGCCCAATGAGAGGTATTGATCTGCTTAAAGGTCATGTGAGGTATAGTCCTGGTCATTCCCCTGCCAAGGTGTGCCGGAAGAGCTGTATCGCGGAGTGCCTGAATGAAGAGTACGGGGGCCGTTATGTGTTGGTTGAGGATGCCGAGTTCCTCTCTGTAGTTGATTTCCCGGGTACGATACCAGTTGACTGTTGCCAATTAGTCTTTCTGAACCTTAAACCCAGTTGATGAATAATAATGCAGCATACATGGACCACGGAAGCCGTTCCTCGAGAACTCCTCCGCATAATATTCAAGTTCCTGGAAACTCTATCAGCATACAACCTCAAGTTTATTAGTGAAAGGGGAACCCCAACCTCTTCGCTCAACAACTCCGAAGGAAGTACACGGGCCAACTTTTCGGGAAGCATGCCTAGCTCTGCATCAAACGCTACTTCGTTTTCCGCTGTCCGCCCGCCGTACATGGCAGATAGAAATCTCTTGATATCCTCTTTTGTCCGGACGTGTTCTTCCAGTTCTCCGCTGATGAATTGTAGCTGGTAGTAGAAATGGGGCGCTATCCGTTCTACCATGTCTTCGAGGCGAAAGTATCGCCTTGTTGGTGCGGCATATGGTACACAGACGGTGATGATATGTGTTACTAAATCCGGGTGCCAGAGGGCTACACGGTATGCGAGAGCGGCGCCCCTGTGAACATCGGTATTAGCAAAATCATGCAGAATGGTTTCAGTCAGTCAAAGAGAGAATATACCAGTCATGTCCGGCGATGATAATCTTAGGGATGCCCAGCAGAAACGCGAGTTCCTTGATATCATTGGCGCAGCTCTTGTGAGAATAAGCATGTGGATCTTCTGGGGCATCCTATTTTTGCGAACTGTTAGCACCGTCATCGATATACTGATACAGTTATCCACGGCAATTGGTGTTCCGGTACGTACCGTTTGCCCATATCCTAAGCAGTCTGGCGCAATGACCCTCAGCCCCATATCCGTCAGCATGGGAATCTGATACCGCCACCCCATTGACAAGTCTGGAAAGCCATGAAGCTAAGCACAAATTAGTCTCTGTTTATTCCTTGGCTGTCTGCGTCTCCGAGATATAACCCCATGATTTAGGGGTTTCACATACAAGAACGATTGTCGCTCTATATACGCCCGTATCGGGCTCACTGTAGAGATAACCTGAGGAAACATATATGCATCAGCCCATGTCTCCGTTAACTCGCAGTATTCCGAAATCGCCTATTCACAAGAACAGAACCGCGAAATCCTATTATTTGGCCCAAACTCAATGCCCCGGGAAAAGATATCCGCATACCATATGTTTTGCCATTGACATCAGCGAAACGGCGCTCGACCCGAAGATCACCAGTTACATTGATCTTATCAACGATCATGATTGCAACGCAAGGGTTCGGGATTTGTACAGCTTCGCGGGTTAATGCAAGGTAAAGAAACAACGGAATCGCCGAAAAACAACGAGGAAATCTTGGTCAAGTAATCCAGTGCATACCGACTTTTCTTATTATTTATAGAGCTGTATGGAGACCCCCGCCAGCTGTCTGTCACGTGAACGAAAGAAGATGTATGAAGAATGAGGCTACGGGCTAAGGATTGGGCACTAGTATCATAAGAATGTTGGAGGAATCTTGGAAATTAGTCTACTCTCAGGCGTGATCAGACGTTATATGAGGACTTGATTTGCAGTGATCTTCGCAGCCAATGCTGCCAAGTTGTGACTCCACCGGATATTCCATAGCCTCGGTTGTGGTTAATGTACGTTGGCTGAGATGCAGGTTACTCCTCCCAATGACAGCTCACATAGACACATAAATTTCCAGTCGCTATTAGAAGAGGAAAAATTAAGGAAAAACGAGAGCCAAAGAAATAAAAATTGGTATCGCCTAGCGTTCAGTAAATAACTGTATCCTCCTTGTCCTCCACGACCTCTCCGCCATCGTCTTCAACGCCTCGGTGGACGTCTGCGTGGTCATTACTGATAGATATGTTATTATCGTTAGCTACCGTAATATCAGCTGGGCCTGTTTTAGCGTCCCTGTTGTAGTTTGTTTCAGCAACCACCGTGTCAGACGTCTCATGGGTTGTGTCCTGGGGTTCTTGGGGTTCTGCTTCAGATGTAGGAGCATGTTCACGACTCTTTACTTGTTCATCCCCGTCCTTCTTCTCCGGAAGCTCTTCTCCCTGAGCTGGATAACGCGCTTCAAATTCTGCGACCTCCCGGGCAATGATGGCTTCCGCTTCTTCGACTTGTTCACGTAAAATCGCTTCATCTCCCGACCGAAGCTGCCATGGCTTATAGTACTGTAGAAACACTGTTAGAAACAATCATGACGGCAGAGAAGGCAAGCAGACGTACTAATACAGGCTCAGTCCTCGTCTTTAGAAAATGAGACATGGCCAGCAGGTTCGAGTGTCGTGTGCGCATCTACGAATGATCACATATACGTCAGGCCTAAAGCAGAGGAGCAAAGGAATGCACAGGGCTAAGTAAACCTACCGATTCCTCTTCGTAGATCCTCTGCTCCTTCTTCCGGGTAGCAAGCCGTTCTTCCCGCCTCTTCTTTTTCAGCTCACCGTACTCTTCATCCTGCAGCTTCAGCTTATCCTGTTGCCTCCGTTCTATGTCCGCGCGTCGCTTCTGGGCCGCCGAAGTAGAGCTCTGCGAAAGTGTCCCTAGTAAAGCACCGAATAGGCGCTGTCCACGCTTGCGTTCCTCCTCACGTCCACCGGGTTGCCGACCGGGTTTTCGTTCGGGTTTCCGTTCCACACCTGGGGAAGATTGTTTACGCTCCGCTGGCGATTGGTCGTTGTGATCATGCTGTGAGCTAAGGCGACGGCGCTTGCTCTCCGAGTCGGCTTCGGGAACGGAATTCCTTCGCTTCAAGCCTGTATCCGGGGATGAGGGTAGGGGGTCCTGTTCGGGCAGCACAACTGCCGATGCCAGTGATCTGTACATGCACAGTAAGCTTTGTGTCAGAGCTGTATAGAGCTGACCGCATACCCTTCAGCCATATCTGTCTGTTTCGGAGTGGTGCAACGTGCCCCGGTGCGAAAGCGCTAAGTCAAGCAGGGAAGAACAAGCCAATATTATTAAGCACCGAGTATACGATAAGTAAAAATCAACAGTGTAGACAATCTGGGGTAAAGCCGACTCGTTTTGATCTGCAGAATCAATCCTAAGAAAACTAGTCGGTATTGCGATATGGACGGCGGACCTCTCGTGTCCTGTCCACGCACGGACCACGTTCCCGATATGGCCCAGGAGCGTGAGTTGCGCATGGAAACTTCTTTCTCTTTTCCAACGCCTTCGGTCACGTTCATAACTCCCTCTATCCTACAACACCTGCCAGGGCAACTACCAATCTGTTATATTTGAGGATTCCCTGCGTAAGGAATTTTTGTTGCTTGAAAAATCTTCACTTCTCCTCGTTCGCCGTCTCGCTCGAACTCTCTGACCTGACCTTCTCTTCGGCTCTGCTCTCGCCCCCCCCTCTAAGCCACCATGTCTCGCCATCACCCCGATCTCGTCATGTGCCGCAAGCAGCCCGGCATCTCTATCGGCCGACTGTGCGACAAGTGTGACGGTAAATGCCCCGTGTGCGATTCCTACGTGCGCCCCACGACTCTCGTTCGGATCTGCGATGAGTGCTCGTTTGGTAACTATCAGAACAAGTGTATCGTTTGTGGTGGCGAGGGAATCAGTGATGCTTTCTATTGCTTTGAATGTACGCGACTAGAGAAGGATCGAGACGGGTGCCCGAAGATTATAAACCTGGGAAGTTCGAGGACGGACTTATTCTACCAAAAGAAAAGTTTTCGAAATCATTGACCCTAGGAGAGGGCTACTTTCACCGCTTGTCGGTCGTGAGTCTATGGCGGAATCGACTGCTTCGCGTACTACGTTCCTGCTCTTTGCTAGAGCACCATGCCAAGGATTCCGTTGTCTCAGGCAACGCCAAAAGATAACTTAATTACAGAAGAAGATAACAGAAGAAGATAAATGATGGAGAAATAGCAGTATAGGGAGCTGGAGGATAGCGCCACTCTACCTTCCCGGTCTTCTCGGTCTTGCGAATCCTCGGTTTAGTCCGTCGTTCTGTGGCGGACTCACTTCCTCCTGCAACCTATCGCCCGTGACTTCGTCTGGCGAAGATGCTTCGATCTGCATAATCATCATTAATATTGCCTCAATCAAACCTCTGATCACGACATGAACTCGTACCTTCTTAGAAATCTTCAGGCCTTGGTCTTCGGCCAGTTGGAGGGCGTACATCCGGGAACTAGCATATAGCATACGCTCCTTGATCGACGAACCTGACGGGCAAGTATAAACGAAGATCACCACGTCAGTGTCGGGATAATGATAAAATGTGTAACGCGGGGAAGACGAAGAAATGTGTGACTGGACGGAGTTGGGGACAGTCGCGTTTTCTACTCCGGCAAGGACGAACGTCTCTTGTTTAATGTCGATGGCCTGTATTTATGGAAAGTAGAGTTAGTACTCAAACAGAACCTTCAAATCGGATATTCTTTGTTCTTCGCATGGACATACCAGTTGCACCAAGTGACCCGGCTGCAGACTTGCCAAAGCATTCTTCGCCTCGTCGTCCACAGGCATCTTGTACTGCATACTGGACGGGGCTCCGATCCCACCGTTTCTCCTGGGGAAGGACCCGCCGATTCCAATGTCCCTACCAGGGGTGCCGCTTCTGGCTTCGTCTTCTGCTCTCCGGACTGCTTCCAACTCCCGCTCTTTCTCTCCCATCAGCTCCTCCCGCTCAGAGCGGCTCTTACTAGAGCCATTCTTTTCGGCATCTCTCTCCTTCCAGGCAGATTCACTTACGATCTCGTCCTCTTCAGTGGCGAAGACGGTCGAGGCAAACTTCTCACTGCCAAGTTCCCTGACCAGCGTTGCTCGGGTCGAGGCGAACAGAGTCTTGGCGCGCACCGGAGCATTGGAAGGGATATAGGTCAGGGCAATGAGAGACGACGACCCAGATTCCGGACGGCGGAGAAGAAGGTAGATGGGGGTTTTCGGTTGGAGGACGGAAGATAGTTGGGAGAGAGATGGGTAGAAGGCACCCGGGGAGGAGAAGCGGATTGGCGAAAGGGGAGTCAGACTTTCTGCAGTGATATTCACCGGGAGACAGAAGATGGAAGAGTCAGAGGCGAAATTATTGAAAGCATCGTGTAGCTCCGAGGAGGCTATTCAATATAGTGGTTGTTAGTACCTCTTTAGGCATACTTCAATCAAGTAGAGGGGATTAGGAGAGCCGCGGGGCATGCTGATATACTGGCCGTATGCAGCTCTCCTGCAGGATGGTTGCTTACCCGAGATTCCTGACTGCATCTTCAATGAACAGCAGCCGTAGCCAGGTTTCTTGCGTATGTGTGACTTGTCAACCAGGCTGCGGTCTTGTTTGTTGTCTCTTGACTCTGGAGGGGAAGTCGGAAGCGGTGTGCTTGGTTGAGTGGGGTCTTAGCGTTGCTGTTAGTTTCAGGTGTTTCGGGGAGTTTACACCGAACATTGTTTTGTGTCTGGGGACAGTTACTTCTTCTACGCTACTCGACTCAACGGATTCAAGGGGACTCAGTCCTGAATTTTGTCTAATGTCTTGACTAATCGAACAAAGGAAAAGGTATAACTATGAAACAAACAGAAGAAGTAAAGAAAAAGAGAAAGAAAAGAGCTATGTACAGTCCACGCTATAGATCAGATCTGAACGGCCATCAAGAAGCCCAAGAGATAACGACAAGAATATGTACTGATGATGCATTGCAATCGAAAACGCCACCATGCTCATGGTATCAAATGCTTTCGAGAACACGCAGCGGTCAATCCTTCCACGGGTGTCAATTCTACTCCTCATAGTTGCCTCCCACGAAGCTCCACTTGGACTGCTCCAGCTTGCCCTTGAGGAACTCGTACACGGTGAAGGTGACGGCCTGACCAGGGGCCACTCTCATCACACGGGGTGTGATACCCTTGTAGAAAGCACGTGCCCCCTCTTCCTTGAACATGTCCTTGGCGATGGCCATGATACGAGCCACGGCTGACTGACCGGGCTCAGCGCGGGTCTTCTGGAGTCTGGTCTTGATTGTATCAATGGGGGCGTTGGAGAAGGGACCCACAGCACCGGAGATCAATCCGATCACGGTTGTCTGATATGATGGGAGCTGTGAGTTGCTGTATTCGGGCTGCCATCTCTGGAGTGCAGCCTTCAACTCGGTGTATGCCGTGAAGTTGGCGGCCTGGTTTGTTCCTTGTCGGAGGGCTGTCAGTGAGACACCACGATAGAGAGCGCCGAACCCTTCTTCCTTAATCACGGTGAAAAGTGCATGTGGGGCGCTGCGGTATTTGGGGGTATCGAGGGGATCGGCCAAGCTGTGATGCTGCGCTTGCAGACGAATCTTGATGACTTCCATAGGGTTCACTACCGCCACGGCTTCAGTCACACCAGCAGATAGACCAGCTATTTAAATGGACCTTGTTAGTATTCCCGGCGATTTGACACAAGGTTATATGCGAAGGGCCTACCAAGGAAAGTTGCTTTGCTTGTGACATGCCCTGTCTCCTTATCCGCAAGCAATTGCTTGTACCACTCATAGGAGGTGAAACGGATAGCCATCTTCGGAATGATACCTCCCAGAACAGCTCCTAGACCTTTGTAGAGACCCAACGCGGTCTCCTTCTTCACAATCTCAGCACCAGTGGCAACAAACCCACGAGGTTTTACCTGTAACACAAAAAGAAGGCTATTAGCTGGGGTATATTTACCATATCGAGGAAGTCGCAAACTTACACCCGGGGCTCTGGCGCGCCGTGAAAGCTGCATCCGGACTTTGACGGTATCTAACCATGACAGTGAGCCATTATCTCTCGAGATACATTGAATTGAATCGTCCCATACCTAAAGGATGGCATACGAGCGCCTCCATCATTCCAGCACCACCACCGGCTGTTTTTACAGGTTAGCACGTGTGACTGCCAAGTTGCCAAAGGTAGTCCCAACCGATCAAGTTCACAGCCGCCGAAGGTGGCTTCCTGCCATTGCCATTGCCATTCCCGCCTTGCGCACTCTTCGCCGACATGGTGAGCGGTTGTGTTTATTCGATCACCGAGTTGGTATACAGTCAATTGATGTGCGACGCCCTTTCAATTGAGGGTATATGTTGCCGGGGTCGGTGCGACAGGATGGGTAGGAACAATGGCACGCGAAAGGGATATGAAGTGAAGATAAAGAAAAGTCGAAGAAAAAATGAGTCAATCGGTAATCGAGCGCAAGGAATGACTCTTTTCTTAATTAAGGAAAAGAATAGTGACGATATCGGACCTTCACAGGGTGCCCTAAGTACGGGGAGATACGGAAGTATAGCTTCTACGTCCCTCGGTACAAGTGACGCAGGGTATTTAAATCGGTGGATAAGGAAAGGGGCCCCTCTGGGGTTAAAGGATTTAGAAATAATAATAGATAATTTTCGGGAATGGGGATCATTAGACGGGCTCGGGTCAAGTGGCGGCTTTGTTTTTTAGACTTCTTGTTACAGTTGAACCGGCCGTGGAGAAGCTCTGACGGGGAAGCGGAGGAAAGCTCTCTGGACGAGCGGAAGAGACGCCGCGTTCCAACCGAATAACAACCAATGACTCGCGGAAAAGAAGAGAATCCAAGCAACTAGGATATTTATTGAGAGGAGAAGGAAAACTATAGACCCCTCATGGGCGACTTTATATGCGTTCCATGTCCCCTATTTCATGCCCTACACAGCCCAAGCCATAGTACCCGTTTCCCATCCATACTACTACTTACTACTTCCTAGTACTAGCTCTTCCCGAGGCATCGGATAATCAGCACTCCATCATTCACGCCGAACCAAAAAGCGCCTCTACTGTCAAGCCCAGGGCGGTTCCCCAGAGTGTGACCTCATCACTCTGCACCAATAACAATGCGGGTACTGCTCCAGGTTCACATGCTTCAGCAGAGAGTTCTGACCACTGGTGGTTGCGCATCGTCGTCACCTGGGCTGGTCAAATTGACTTGTCTTTGGGTCCATTCAGCTTGTGATTCATACCTTGGGGTTGGAGTACTCTGACTAAACCTGTAGGTGGGAGTGTCACGGGAGATGTCGGGCCAAGACCAGGAGGTCGTTCAGCCGAGGCTTTTGCCTTCTTAGTCTTATCCGATGGCGCTCCTGCTTTCAGGCAGGAACAATTGTAAAGTCCTGTAGGCTAAGCGTCCCGTGCGCCTTAGGCATTCCCTTGCGTGTTCTTATCAAGTGCCGTCCATAGCCGCTACAATTATTCACTGTCTCAACCATCCCCTGAAGAGCCACGCACCACCATGGCATTTCCGTCGTCACCCACTTAGTAAGTCGATCAGGAGGGGTAGTAGTAGCTATTTTACCTTTTCACTTCCCCCCCTCCTCAAAGCTCAGGGATCAGTCAAAGATAAGATTGCCTATAACTTTCATCTCGTTTATGCTCGGAATCATAGCTAAACGGCGACAAGGAGATTTGTTTCTTCAGCCCTATAGCGGTTTACCGTTTATCCACGCCTCCCGAGCATTTATCCCTTATATCGACTTTACCTGCTCAATAGATCTACAGACCCAAGAATATCACGTTTCAGGCTTGACTGAAATTATATAACATTCACATGAAAGCTAGAAACCATAGCATATGATTCTCTGATGTTCCTCAAATCTCACATCTCCATTCATGATGAATGAAAATAATTTAGACCATGCTCGAACGGAGCACTATCATTCTCCGTGTATACTTTTGACAACCCCTGCAGTCCTCCGATTATCTGATATACGATGCTTCTTCGCTGCATGGGTCGGTAACCGAGAAGGGCTCCCAAGTGTGCCAGGTGAGATCCAGCTCAGGATAATATAGGATGGTAGAAATAGTATGGAACCTAAGCAGTGGCATGACCCGCGTTTCTTTTTCAATCCCACAGGGCCACAATTGGGTGCGCTTTATATTGCTATCGGCATCGAACTGAGCGCAAAATATAGTTACATAGGTTGAACAAATAGCCAAATCGAACTACCGGACACTTCGAGCTTGAGGAGTCTTGATGTCAAGTGATCCGGACTTAGCGCTTTTCGGTATAGTTCTGATTCGCAATCGAGATTGTCTATCAAAAAAAGTCGGATTTGATCCGATTTTGAAATGATCTGCACTCCAACATGCCTGTATGAAAGGGCCGAACGCCATGATAAAGGTCAATCTATCTTTCCTCAGACGTTCAACATAAGCCCAGATATCTACAGTAATATGAACCCTTGCCCCCAGCATCTAAACCTTCCTCTCTTCTTGCATGCCTTATCTGAAGCATGAGCCAATGCGCAACTGAACATGAGACGGCAAAGCATAACCACTCAAACACGGCCTGCTTGAAGCAGGCCACGAAGACAACCCTCCTATTCATCCTGCACCAATGGCTTCTCATCGGGATCGGCGTCGTCTGCGTCCTAGCCTACTACTTCCCGAACGTAGCCAAACACGGCGGCATAATCCGGTCGGAGTATAGCATTCTCTACGGCGCAATGGCGCTCATCTTCCTCATATCAGGACTAAGTATCCCGCGCCAGAAACTCCTTCTTCACTTCCTAAACTGGCGTCTTCACCTCCTCGTCCAGGTTATCTCGTTTCTCTTCATCCCAGCTGTCGTTCTGGCCGTGGTCCACGCCATTCTCGCCGGTGATCCGCACGGCCATATCGACCGGGCCGTGCTGGCAGGTTACATCCTCACGGCCTGCATCCCGACCACCATCGCCTCGAACGTGGTGATGACAAGGGCAGCCGGGGGCGACGACGCAGCAGCACTGGTGGAGGTACTGATTGCGAATTTTCTCGGCCCGTTCATCACAGCCGCTTGGACCGTCACTCTTTTACCGGATACGGCTGAATTCGAGCCCTGGAGGGACGGCGGCGGGGACCTATCGGACATGTACAGGGGTGTGTTCAAGCAATTAGGCCTCAGCGTGCTCCTCCCCCTCGTAGTAGGCCAATTGGTACGCTGGACATGGCCAGACCAAACAGCGAGAGTCCTGCAGAAATACCACATTCCGAAGATCGGAACAGTATGTTTGTTACTATTAGTCTGGTGAGTTTGTTCATCCCCGCAATTGAATGGTCCATGCAGTAAAACGCCTTATCGGTTCCTTCTACCTCCGCTGAAACACTCTAACTTGCGCTCGTTAGGTCGACTTTCTCCTCCTGTTTCGCAACGGGGGCGTTGCAGACTCTTTCGGCTTGGAGTATTGTTTTCGTCGCTGGCTTTAACGTTGCTTTGTATGTTTTTCTTACGGTTGTGTGCTTTTATCTCTGTCGTCCGCCGGATTTTCTCCGCTCTTGGAGGTTCGCTGTTATGCCGATTCCGCCGGAGGAGACTATTGCTGTGTGTTTTTGTGGGCCGGCGAAGAGTACAGCGTTGGGGATCCCGTTGTTGTATGCTATGTGGGCGCCTGTTGATTTGTATATCAAGGCGAAGACGTCGGTGCCGGTTTTGTTGTATACCACGGAGCAGATCTGTATTGCGCATTTCTTTGTGCATTGGTTTCGGAGGTGGTGTGCTAGGGTGAATGAGAAGGGGGATCTTGAGGGTGGTGAGGGTGGTTCTGGTAGGGATGAAATAACGAATGATGGGATGGTGGAGTCGAAGTGAAAGGTGCGAGTTGTTGTTGTTGGACGCATATATGATGATGCAAATGATGATTGTGTAGAGGCCATAGTATGCTATTTTACATTCTCTAGATTGTTCACATAGGCATAGTAGGTATTCTCGATGTTCTTGTTTTGATATCGTGACTAAGGGCTGAAAGATCTGTTCCGAATCCGAATCGCATGTAACTCTTGTTGGTAAATTTACAAAGGAGAAGAAACAATCCTACATAACAACATATCGGCCTGCAAGCCCAGTTCGAGGAATCACCCGACGCACGAACGTGGTTTTCAACTCTCAATTTAACAGGGATGTATCGGCCATGGAGTGTCGAAGAGACAAAGAATATACATCTAAATATAACTCACTTTCACGCCCATTCCGAGGGTTCCTCTGACTTTCTGCCATCCAGCTCCCGTTATTCTCTGAAGGCGTTCCCGAACGCCTTGTCTGCTTAGTGCCACCAAAAGCCCTAGCAGGAATAACAATGTCCGAGCGAACGATAGTGGGTTGCCGGCGATAGTCTTAGTGATATACCGCAAAATGTTGCGCAGTACGTTTGCTAGCGCGCGCGTTTGCCCGGGTCGAGATACAGGCTTTTCTGGTCTCTTAATATTTTTTGAACGGGTCGGCGAGAAGGCAGTTCGGTTGGACGATGTGCTGACCTTGCTACCGGACTGTTTCTCGCCCTTTCTGCCTTTGATACTTCCGTTCCGGTTCAGGTTAGCTTTCTCAATACCATAATCCACCTCACTGTTGTCACGGGCATGTCCCTTCTTCGAGCTCTCAGCCGCAGCGGCCTCTTCCTCTTTCTTTTGACGTTCTGCTTCACGCATCTGTCTCTCTAGCTCGGCATCCTTCTCCCGTTGGAGTGCCGCAGCGCGCAGTTCGCCTTGCTCTTTCTCTTCCTTGAGTCCATCGAGGGTTTGTAAGAACATTTCTTTCCGTTCTTCATCGAGGACCTCACTCAGGTTGATGAACTCGCTCGCATAGTCCCACTCTTCGTTCCTAGGAAGAACATGAAGGGTGAAAAGTTCGATGATCCTTACCCGAGCGGCCAAATCTTTAGGTGTGTCGGTCCCGCCGTTGACTCTGGCCTTGGATTGTCGACTTGGGAAGTTCTGTAGATGCTCAGCTATATCCAGATTTGGTTGACCATATGATGAAAGGTAGGTCTCGAGTCGCTGCTGGTTGAGTTTCTGGGAAGGAGAATGATTCAATAACAAAGTTGCTCTGCCCTTAGTCAGTCAAAAGGAATCAAAAGTAAACCATGCTCATAGTCACTGACAGATTATATACGACCTCGGCATCCACTGAGCCCTCCCGGCCTTTGTAACCCGTCTGAACAACTGTCTCCCAGATCTCGCCTTCGCGCACTTTGGTGGAGATAGCCTTCCACTCTTTCTGACCGAACGTTGCTTTTCCTTCCTCGGGCCCCAGATCGACTATTGCGCTGAGCAGTGTGATGTATAGGTTCCACGCTTTTATCCTCCACGTAGCCTGAGCCATAGCAATTGGCGGTAGTGACTCGCCGTTGGCATATTGTTCGTCATTTGGCTGGCTGGCTGTGATGATGGGTTCGAGAGTTGCTAGAGTTTCTTGCAGCCGACGAGTTAAAAAGAGTTGGGAGGCTTTCTTGTAGGTTTTCGAGCAAATTTTGGAAGGCGAAAGGGTCGATGTGGAGGACGAGAGTTGCGACTGAGAAGCGGACATGGAATCGTCGGCGGCCATTGTTTCACCTCCAGCGGAGGATGCGACGGATGTTTAATGTGGAGAAATTGTGGTTCGCGTGGTTAATACAATATATGCAGTGAAGGATATGTAAGCACAATTCACGTTCAATTGTATCTCGGAGGTGGTTGGGGAGCAATTAGTTGGAGGATGTGACAGTTGACACACGGGTTGCAGGTCGGGGTTCCTTTTCCCTCGGCTCAATCTGCTGTGGCCGAATCTGGGGTCTGATGTCACGGGACGGTGGATCTACGCGCCGACTTGCAACGATCGGGATTCAACATGTCTCTTACAGTGAGGCCTAATTGAATTAACTATCTGATCATACTCACATAATACTGCTCGGAAAATATATATATATATATATATTTACAAGGAAAGGGTATAATATAACGTTATTGGGAAACCGTTTGAGATTCACCATACGAGGAACTATGGCTCACCCCACATGATAGATTCAATCCGGGATGTTGTATCGATGTGGTCATATGCAATTGCTATACCTCCTCTTGGAATATCAATCTTTATACTGATCCCAGCTTGGCTAACCTGGCTCGATTCCCGCGTCTATACGTCTACTGTTGCGATAAGAAGAGATGGATATTACACCCAAAACCTTCCCTTTTTTCCTTCCCAGGATCCTGGATGATATAGCCACTTGCAGTTTCGTTTCTATCGATTTTGAGTTTTCTGGAATTGCATGCCCTTCAGCTGGTCCCAACAGTGGAAAGTCTACCCTGCAAGAACGTTACGAAGAAGTTAAAGCATCCGCCAACAAGTATGGAATAGTGCAAATCGGACTGACAATCTGTCACGAGGATACTGAGACGGGTGAGATATGGTCACCCTCGATGATTGTTTTGAAGTTATTGACCTTCATAACTGCAGGGACATACATCCTGAAGCCCTATAACCTATATCTCAGCCCGATTATTGACCGTAGGTTAGATGTGGGAAGAGATTTATGCTTCCAAAGCTCTGGTATGCGCCCAAGCTTTGTCCCTGCGAGATGATGGGGCTAAATGGTTGTCAAAGCTGTTGAGTTTCTCTTGGAGAATAAATTCTGCATACACTCCGTTTATAAGAATGGAATTCACTATCTGTCACGGGAAGAAGAAGCAATAGCCATGGCCCGGGCTGCTGAGAAGTATGAACGTACCTCTGTACGCAAGGTGATTGACGTTAAGGAGACAGAACATGACTCTCTAGCGTTCCTTAAGGCAATTCGACACCTGGTTAATGACTGGCTTGCGCGTGGTGAGGTAATTTGTCTATGATCGTATTACTTATATCCGAATTAATCATCGTTTAGGCTCGCGAGTCGTACCTTAACATACCCCCACCTCGCCGAACCGTATATCAAGTGTCCGGCTTGCCCTCAGCTTTGAACAACTTTCAAAAGAGACTTGTCCATCAGCTGATAGAAGTCGAATATCCGGCTCTAGTGACTATCAGCAAGCCCGCTTTCATCCAAGTCATTGATTATGACGAGGAACGCGAGAAGGCTATTCGAGAGCAGAGAATGGCACGAGTACAAGAGCGAATTTGGAAGCAGACTGGGTTCAGATGGGTTGTGGAAGCATTAGCTGGTGGTGATCTCACACCCCTTGACCCCTTTAGTTTCGTGGGGATCATGGACAGCTCGACAGCTGTGGAACCACAGACCTCACTGAAGGATTTTTCCAACAAGTTGAAACAGCGCTTGAAAGACCATAGACCTGTGCTGGTAGGGCACAACCTTTTTACGGACTTATTGTACCTCTATCGCTGCTTTTTTGGGCCACTTCCGGGTAAGGTGGAAGATTTTCAAGCAATGGCTCACGAAATGTTTCCGGTTCTTATGGACACAAAATACATGGCTACACACGATTGTGGCTCAATCATCCCGAAGTCTTCTTTAAGCGAGATCAACGATAAACTACTCCAAATAAAGATTCCGACTATATGTGCGGCGCACCATCTCATCTTGACTACGTTAGGCTGATGTTTGGCCAGGTATACACCATCAACATTCCAAATACAACACTCAGAAAATCGATCACGAAGCAGGCTATGACAGCTTGCTCACGGCTCAAATCTTTATCAAGCTCTCTGCTCAGCTCCGTGACGGGGGCATCTCCCAGCGTCCAGAGCCGGCCTCCGAATTGGAAGAGCACCGGGATCCTACTGGCTCGTATGCTACGATTCCGGCTCTTCAGGAAAATCCAAAAGGCACCGTAGAGAAGTCGCAATTGACAAAGAATGAGTCAAAGACGTCGATTAACAAGCTTGGCACACGATTCGATGTGCTTGGAGTTGAAGAGATTAACCATCACATTGAAGGTATAACCCTCACACCACGTAAATCCAGCAGTTCCGTCGACGTCAGTCGGAAGGTTGCCAATGGGGAATTGATTCCCCGGCAAGATGCGCAATTTTGGAAGGCCTACGGTAACAAATTGCGTGTATTTGGCACTGAGGAAAAAGTCTGCCGTATGACATCCAAGGGATATGTCCATCCCAGCACTTCCTGATTGGCTACAGGCTAGTAGGGATATATTATTCGGTTTCGAGAGCGTACGAGATACAGGCAGACCTTCCAGCCAAAACGATGAATAAACCCTCTCCGTACTCTACAATAGGTCGCAAACCCCAAGTAAGCAGCGTAGAATGATAATGGGATGTTCGCAGCATCTATCTAACAGTACGCCTTGGGTTTAAAGAAGGTACCGCTAGCGAAATAGCCGCAAATAAAGTACTCACTCTGAGCACCGGTAAATGATCGACTGGTCGTGGAGTATCTTAACACAGTGACGATAAGGAAAAGGTGCTGTGAAGAGGGAAAGGAAGCAAAAGGAGCAGCGGAAAGAAAATTTAAGGGAAGAGAAAATGGCGGGTCACCTGAGAGCCTAACCTCTCCGGGATTAGTGTTTCCGATGCTCTCTCAGCGGACAGGTGACCGCCAACTTTTCTCGCAATATCGGCGTCGGACTGTTGACAAGCACGTCAGTATCCAGCAAACACAGTCCGCGACATGTCGTCAGGATCCAATGGTGCTAGGCGCATAGCGTCTGTTTTGCGTACGTCTTCCGCTGATGTATCAATGGCTAATTAACGGCCACACTGACTCGATGCAGGGCCTTCGATTGCCGACCCCAAAGTGTGCAGAAGTTGTCAAGAGACACTCGTTCGCCGAAATTATGCTTCGGCCGCTGCAAAGCCTTCTTCAGAATTTTCCTCTGCCGCTACAACTACCTTCCCCGTTGTGAAGCCCGTCTACACCATCAATGCCGGCGTGGCCCTATCTCGTCCCCCTCAGATTACCCGCGACCTCTCACAATTCGAGAAAGCCTACTATTTCTACCAGAAGCGACTGAACGAGCGGTTGGCGCTTCCATTCACCAAATATTTCTACTTCAAGCGAGGAACACCAGCAGACGAAGACTGGAAGCGTAAAATCCGGGAGCGCCAGACTCCTGCGCGTGACATCGGCAAGTACAATGCGTACTCGAAGGACGCATGGAACGATGAACTTCTTGTCGGAGCAGTCGAGTCCGAACCAGATCACCAGGTAGAAATGCTTGTGCAGGATGCCGAGGCCACAGTCAATGCTACCTCTCAAGACACAAGCAAGAAGGAGGAGATCCCAAGACCATTTTCCCGGGTAACAGAGGCGGACGAGAAAAATGACCAGAGAAGCCTGAACCGGGCTCTTCAGAGGACACTCTATCTTCTGGTTCAGACTAAGGAGGGATACTGGAAGCTCCCCAGCTCTGAGGTGGAACAGGAAGAAACTCTCCGACTGGTGAGTGCACTGCAGATGGTCTATTTCAGTTGTAGTGTGGCGGGTGGATTACTGACTTATTATAACGTACAGGCCGCTGAACGTACCCTTGCGCAATCCGCTGGTGTTAACATGAACACCTGGATAGTGGGTTTCCATCCCGTTGGCCACCACGTCTACAACTTCAAATCCCCGAGGGTCGACAAGGCCAGTGGAGCGGAGCACCTAGGCGAGAAGACTTTCTTCATGAAGGCCCGAATCATGGCTGGACAGGCTGACCTGTCTGCCAATACGCAGAATCTCCAGGACTTCAAGTGGCTGACCAAGGAGGAGATTGCACCATTCGTACTGCCACAGTACTACAGCAACATCAAGAACATGTTGGCTGAACGGTAAACACTTGGTTAAGTGATATGCAGGGGTAGCGGGGGTAATCCATCCAAGAATTATTGGATCCTATGCTAGGATATGGAAGGAGTGTACTAGTACTGATAGAACTGAGCGTTTCATTTCAGTGGGAGGTACCTATGCCCAAAAATGGGTTAGAATTGCATATACTATAGTATGTCATGTATAACTAGCTTTTGAATTTATCACATCGTTATTCTCAATTCATTCATCCTTCACCGTGCTCTGGAATAGGAAGCAACTTCCACAACACCCAATACGCCATGCAAGATACTAAGTCTAGCCCATACCATATGTAAACAACTTGAAGACACCCAACAAAAGAATATAAGAAATCCAACTCAAACACATTAACCCACGTACCACTCCATTACTTCAGATTAAACTTCTGTCCTTGCACAACAGGCTGATCCTTCGAAGTCTTCCCAGCCATACTCTTCCCACACATCGGACAAGCTACCGTCGACATCAATTAGCAAAAACCCACTTCGCATGAAAAGACAGACACGAAGTAAGAACGAACCATTCTTCTGATAAGCACACCGCTGACAATACTTCTTCCCCTGCTCCGTCTTCGTCTTGCATAACTCACAAGCAGACGAATAAGCCGCATAAGGATTCTTCGCCTTCGAACTCAACAATTTACTCTATACCAAAACACCGTCAGCCAAAAAAGAACCCCATACCCAATATCCAAACCACCTAAAGCAAAGCTCAAGTCAAGAAAAAGGGAAGAACATAGACATTCATTCGACATTCATTCGACATACCTTCCCAATACCCGTATTCCCTATCGTGGGCTTGGACTTAGACTTACTGCTCTCCCCGCCACCGGTCGATGAGGGCGAGCCATAGTACATCTCACTTCTGCGTTTGACGCCTGGGGTCGCTAGCTCGGTGGATTTGAGTTTCTTTTGGCATTTTGAGCAGACCATTTTTTTTTCCTCTGGTTTTTTGGAGGTTGGATGTGGTTTGGAGTTGAAGGTGATACTATGATTGATATTAATTGAATCTACTTTGGGGATTCCTTTTTGGGGTTTGGAGGTGAATCGGGCGTGCCAAGACACTACTAAAGGATGATTGCGGGCATGACGCATTTGGGGCCTTAGGGGTCAGGCATTATATCTACTAGTAAAGGTATGTCGACTTTTGGGGAGTGGACTTGAGTTGGGAATAATATATAGATGAATTTCTAGGGCTGGTTCTTATGCGGTCAAAGTGGATTTAGTTATTATAGGAACGCGTGTGCAGTCTTAGTTTATACTGCAATACTTTATGAGCTCTTCTATTAGAAACGTTGAAGGATGTCAACGATGGCTTTGCTAGGTATATTTATCGAGTGTGGTTCATAGTACAGGTTCAACCAGAGGGGTTGCCATATCTTTTATGTGCTTTGATTGGGTATTGAAATGGGAATTCTGGCTTTGACTGTTGCTTGAATAATGCGGTAATCCGCAATACGTGAAGGTTAATGGAAGATAAGTGCTCGCGACATATTGCCATATGGAACCCGGAATATGAAGATGAAATAGGCTAAAGTAGAGGTAGAATCCAGTAAGGCTCAGAATTTGACTTGAAGCGGTAGTCAGGTCCGAGATAGTGGAGTCTATGTAGATTCGAGACCAGCAGAAGATCGCTTTTGTGTGATTAGTTGCGGTCGAACTAAAATATTTGTCGTAGAAAGGAACAAAGAAACTGGCATAGTCAAAGGATGTGTTTGTCCAATAATGTAGCAAGGTTCGGTATAGGGAATCGGCTACTCCCGTGGAGCATAGTAACGGAGAATGCTCAATATTGTCGAGTAGATTGGGTGAGGAAGTTGTCGCAGTAGGCTAGATATATTATATGGGGCTGTTAGGCCGTATTGCAGGATTGTTGTGATTAGGTTGTAAATGCGAAGTAGTTCTCGAGTCTTTTCTCTTATCTCGGACGAGACATACTTGAAATGGGACCTAATGCGGTGATTTGTAAATAAGCAACTGGTCGTACTGGAAAATGAGCATTAGTATATTTATCGAATACGCGTTGAGGAACCACAGGCTTTGCGTTCTCATTAGATAGTAGCTCTCACATACTTACTCCATATACGATGGGCAATGTTGGCGATTTGTGTTCACGTATTGTAATGAGTCGCGATAACAAGTATAGGGTTCAAGATTAGTTAGTACGATGCTGATATTGTAGCCATAAGTGATACTGTGAATTATGGGGACTGTGACTAAAATACACAAATGAAGCACAAGAGTTATAGTGAAATTGGGGGCGGAGACAAAAGTCGTAGCAAATAGCTGATGGCATAACATTGCGTACACTGCTAATCCGTCGGCTGCTTGCGCCCGACACAGCCCTGTCCACAAAGCTGAGGGACAAAAAAATGAAATGAAAAGAAAAGAAAAGAGAACCTATAGACATTGAAGAAGGGCATTATAAAGCAATGCTTTTAACGAGCTAAAGTTACTTCTATAAGAAAATGTATTCCGTTCTTTGTTTTGCTATTGAACTTTTTAATAACGGTTGGATGTATCATATGAGAACTCCAGCCCTAATTAGAATTTCTAAAAAAGCAAAAGCCGTAGCATATTGACCTGCATATAATTGAACTAACTGAGGTCTATCTGCAGATATTTTCCCTGAAATTGTTTTGACAAACAGCCAATGTGTGTCTGAGGACGAAGAACTCGGATAGGATGGGTATTGTCTGACCATAGACAATGAGGTAATTACTAAATAGGCATTGTCAACAGGAAAACGCTATAAAGCGATAATGGTATGAGTATAACTGAATGTGAGGGTGTAGGTCGTTTGGTGATGAGTTTACCCATTTTGGTCTAATTCATGTCTCGTCGTCTGTAGCACGCTCCGCTCGAGTCAATCAACATCGATAACTTGAAGGAGGTTATAGCAAAACCGGGAGGCATATATTTAGATTACGATATCCCTTTTTATGCGCCTATCGCCTTTCAGGAATTTTGTCAGGATGGTGGTCAGGGAACACATCATGATCACATTTAGTGGAGTGTGCCCGCATTCGCATGATGCCAGGGATCCATGGTCTAGACGAGTCTTAAGCAGCACATTGTATCGACATCCTTGAATTTGGCATTCTATCGCTGATTGTCTGTGTTATACGCCCAAAAGACGTTCAATTCATGGGTCAATGGGCAAGATTAGGAGATTTGAGGGAGTAGATGCATTGGATAGGATAAGTTAAGGGTGCTTGAGGTAGATCCTCCACTCTATATATGTCGGTTTTACTACGGCCTATGTATAGGAGTGGGTCTTGGTTGCTTCGCTCCATCCCTTATGTCAATCACAGATAATGGCCAGATTGGGATATATATCTATAACAGTAATTTGCAAAAAGAAGAAGAAGAAGAAGAAGCTAAATGATACTTTGTTTGGATTCCGACCGGCAATCACCAATCTTATGCAGGAAGCCATGAGAGTAAGAGTGGTGGCTGAATAGGTCTGTGCCATGTATGTCGTGATAGCCAGGACAGTACCCTCCCACTCTGAGCATTCTGGGAGTTGAAGAAATGGACATCACCAGGACAGAGTCTTCTAAAGGTAGCTGAATGGTTTCAAGTGAAAAAGGACAATGAAGACTTAAATATGACATCAATGCGTCATTCCCAGGCACTAAGTATGGCGCAGTGCCTTTTCGTGCAGTGTGTGGGTGGAGTGGCAAACAGGGCAGCTAAATAAACACCATTGCAACAGCACTAAAGTACTCTTTATTTCTCATCCACTGCTGACCTTCCGTCTATTCTCCATTTTCCTCTCAGCTCTCGTCTGTGTTCTCTGCCGAGTTCCCAGAACTAGCCACAAGCGTCGGGCCAATACGTATTGGAGCATTTCGACCATTTATTTTCCTTTTACCCTCTGTTTCAGCTGCTTTGGACCAACATTTCCCCCACAACTCACCACTTGCGTGGACTGTTGTCCCCCAATGATGCAGCATCTGACCCGCCACTCCTTGAACTGGTCTGCAGCCCATCTGTGCAGAACCGACCTGAAAAGCAAATCTCACCAGGAAAAATCAAATCACAATTTTTACGCACCAAAGTTAAAAAAAATTAAATGAAACGGGAGAAGGGAATAAAAAAAAAAAGGAAATAGAAGGAAGAAAGAAAAGAAAAAGAAACCAACCTACGATGACGGTGGTTCAAGAACGTCCAGCTTGCCGGAACCGTCAGAGAAATCAGGTCTCGTTCCAGCAGAGTGGTTCATCCCCGTTGGACATTCATTTTACTGCTTGGCTGTTTTTTTCCGCCCTGATTAGGGGGGCAAAGTGTCGCCCCGACTCTATAAATCCGCCCCCATGGCTCCATCGTCACGAATAGTTCCTGTCTTTGAGTTCCGATCTTTCTTATATGCCGCCAGCCATTGTTATCCTATACCCGTGGCTTAACCGGTTGGGTTATTATCCTCATTGGCGCCTCTGCTTTGAGACTGATCTATGTGTGGCTTTCCGATCGAAACACCATATCTGGCATTAAACATTATTATTAATTTTTTCTCACTTTCTTTCGCAATTGACATCCAGGGATCTTGTCTTTTATTTTGATTTCCCTCCCCTCTTTTCTAAGCCTTCGCTTTAATTTTGCGTTGCGCCGCCCAGTCTAGACTTGACCCATTCTCGTTCCTGGCTGTGCGCTTGGGGGGACTTACTCAATCCATACTAGGGCCCTGAAAAGCGCCAGGTTGGACTTGGATTCTTGAAAGACAGAACTCCTTGCTTCTGGGCCTTGGTGCATCGGATACCGCCATCACTCACACCTTACTTGGCGATATTCTCTTTCTTCCTCTCCTTTCTTCTTTTACGTTCATTCGGATCCAGTTTTTCTATGCTCGAGCTCCTGAGAAGCCCAGAAACCGCGCATGCAACTTGTCGACGTCTCAGAAGCTGACATTAGAGAATCAGGGGGAAGAAAGAAGAGCTAGGAACTTAGCGTTGTTTTCTTTTCTTTTTTCTCTTGTTCCCTGAGGAAAGTGAGCAACAGAAATAAATTCATTCATACCAAAAAGCAAGGAAACCCCAGGAATTTTTGCCCTTGGTGAAAGCAACGGGTTCGGGTGGTTCTTAAAGAACAATATGCCTCCGGCTAGTTCGTCGTTCACGGCGTTGAATTTGCCAGCCTCATTTTCTCTTCCACAATGCATGGAATACTTTACCCTCACCGCTGGTCCCAATACCGATCTCTGGCGGAAACCTCCAAATGGTGACACATCCACGGCGCCCATTGTATTCACTTCGCTGCGAAACCCATTTGTAATCGCAGAAGTGACGGTTAGCGCCGACTGGGAGATGGAATGGGATCAAGGGGGGCTGGTGATTTTCGCGGGAGCCGCACCACAGTCCTTCTCGTCGGGAAGCGTTCCATTGGACTTCAGTCGTTCGGGATACCCCCAGATCGCACGGCCCTGCAAATGGGTCAAGGCGGGTATGGAGTTTAGCTCGGGCACCGTGAACGCATCGTCGGTCAGCGCAACTGCGGATGGAGCCGATTGGTGTCTTTCACCGCTCTGTCTACCCGATAGCGGACCATCAGCCGTGAATTCGCTGCGGATTAAGCTGGAACGGATCGGCCACTCCCTTTGGATCTGGTACCAGGTCCCCTCCGCTGTACCCTATGCCATGACCCCGGGTGCAGTGAGCAGCACGTGGAAAAAGCTGCGTGAGGTGACCTGGTTCTTCTACGGCGTGGAGGATAAATTTATCCACGTGGGGGTCTACGCGAGCCGCCCGAATAACGTTTCTCGCAATGATACGATGTGGGAGATGATGAACGGTCCGATTATGGGAGACTCCACGGCTGGCTCTGGAGATTCTTTGGTGGTGGAGTTTGAAGATCTCGAGATATACTAATGACACTGGACCCTTTTCCCCTCGGATGTATCTCATTCTTGTTTCTCTCCCTCTCCCTCCACCCCTCCCTCTCTCTCCTTGCGATTTTTCATCAGCACCGCCACGATCTGCGAATGGCTTCTGCTCCATGATTTGCGCCGCTGGTTGGGCCCAACATGTCGAGATTCTTTTTTCCTCTTTTCTTTTCCTAGATTACCATGACTATCTCGAGGGTATGGTGTCAAGCATACAGAAGGGCATTATGAGCGTATCGGTGTTTTTGTTCAGTGTTCAATTGTTTCGTGAGAGTTAATCTGGCGTTCTTATATATAGCGTTTGTGTGCTTCTAAATTGAACCTTAAACTTGCCTATTCCTTCCCTGCGTGTGTCTTTTGCTTGATAATGATTACTTATTTTTTCTTCTTCTTTCTCTCTTTGGTTTCATAGGGTGCTCTGTCTGGTTGGGATTTGAGGAAGAGTGCCATTGGACTTGTTTCTTCTGGTCTCACATCTCGATGACAACAGCTCTAAACGTAGTTTCAACCGCCTCATGTAGCCATTGCGTGGCCGTGACTAAATATTGTATCCGTCGATATAATGGGAAAAACTTTTGGATATTTAATCACCAGAGGGGAGAATATTTTTTTTTTTTTTTTTTAGAAAACCTCCTACACGTAGAGCGTGGATTGAGAATGGCTCTTTTTGCGACAAGACATGATCTGCAGCGGGGGTTCAAAGAATAGAGTTGAACCCATTTATTCAAGATGCTAATTTGAGCCCAGGATGAGGCGGAAGGCAGGAAAAGTGCATTGTTTATACTTCGACAGCCTGGGAGGAGGGAACGATCACATTGGCACTAAACCCAAGCGAGTGTCCAACGCAGGAGGATAAAGTTCATTGGCATCCTTCTCACTGGCATCAGAATAGAGTTGGTCGGGCTGCAATGGCCAGAATTGGTTGCGCACATCACCGTATGGTCACGGGATATTTCATCCGCGTTTGGGAGATGGTGAAGCTATATATCATATATCATAGAGACATGTCCTATGCCGAGTTTGTTGTAGTTTGTTACACGACAGGGGAATAATTACCGAGGAATATATTGTTCCACGGCTCTGGAAGAGTTCTCTGCTCCACTGAACCACCCAAGTGATGGGAGAGGGAAAGAAAAGAAAAGAACAACAATGGCATTTGCGATATAGGTTATGTCCGGAATTCCTATGACATAATTTGACTATGGAAGAGCGAATACTTTCCATTACCTTCATTCTTACTGGTTCTTCTAGTCCAGAGTAGTTTGATAGGAAATAACGGCAGGTCTTATGGATGAAGCCGAAAATTGTGATCGCAAAAAGTAACCGATATTAGTGCTGCAGATGTAAATTAGACTGCATCGCCCCTTTGCACATGAGTACCTAGGCAGACAAGAATAGGTAGATATTGAGTATTGGACCATTTCGTATCTAGCTGGAGGAGGGGGGAGGATCTTCCAAATCCTTTCCGAGTCCACAATGATATGATTCAGTTTTATCCAGTTACACTAAACCGGATCTAGTAGGGGTAATGGTGCCATGACTGCGCTAATGTTCGATTTTCTCCATCCATCTTCTCCACTATCTGCTCCTCTATGCGATCCGTCGAGAAGAGATTTTAATTGCTATTTGTTCGTCGCTCTGTGAAAATTTCCCTCATCAGCCGACGGGGAGATGATCTGATGTCGGCCAATGTGCACAACATTCCGAATATCACTGCATATACATCTTTACTTTACTAGTACTGTACTGTATCTATATCAACATGGAAAGCGACCGAGATCCCGTGATTGGTGCCGGGCCAGCCGCCCACTCACCGCATTTTCCGAGAGGAACCAGTGACGTACAGGCGATGGGATCACGCAGCCTTTAAAAGATCTGCAGATAATGCATCCCCTCTATGCGAACCGTCCGGAGGAGTGATTGTATATATGTATATCTACTTAGTTAGTTGGCTACCCTACCCTAAGTATCTCCAATTTCTGACTCCATTGACGGTATCTATAGCATCTAATACCACCTTATCGGTTCTACTGTACATACTATAATGTTACCTGTAGATATAGATATGTATCTCCTCCACCTCTTAGGACCGGTCTTTCCTACTGCTCGACATCGATATATATCGGAAAAGAAGCAAAACATTAAGTCGCAGGCGGGACTGAAATGAGTATCACTGTGACAACTGCTTCGCTGCCCCGCCAAACTAATCCCTAAGTTAACGGCCATTCGGCCACTAGCGGAGTTCAGTCCCTCCACTGGCGATGGATCAGTCGACCTCACTAACCATCTTGGTCCGGATTTCTCCCTCCTCCATCACTTGAGCCTGCGGGTGTGGAGACCCTTCTGTTTTTTTTTCTGTTTCCTTTTTTCTTTTCTTTTCTTTTTTTTTTTTTTTTTTTTTCCTTTTTCTTTTTTTTTTTCTCCTTTCTCTTTCTCTCCTCTCTCTCTTTCCTCTCCTCAACTTATACGTATCTCTCTGCTCGTTTCCCAATTGTATTCTGTTTGACCATCAATCAAACTCATACATCCTTATTTGACCAATCCCATCCCCATTGCCCCTCCAACGTTTCACTTCCCCTTACCTCTCGCAACCCTATTACCTTACCCGATCCATTGTCAGGGAGGTCTCTTCTATTTTTGTTCGCTTGATCTGTTTTTGTATATTATTCCGTCGATCCACTCGATATCCCTGTTCATCATATTGTCTAGTTGCGTTGCGTTGCCTTTGTTGATATTCAAAGGCCGAAGCTGCCTGAGTTGATTTTTTTTCTTCTCTGATATTGATTCCAACTCCCTCTTGCGCTTTGGTCTGCTCTTTGATACCTAACGACTGTTACGACCTTGACGATCATAACAATGGTTGAACCCATTGCTGAGACTGTTACCATCTCTATCCGTCGTCCGACTGATACCCCTACCATCTTCGTTGCCGGTACCTTCTCGGATCCTCAATGGAAACCCGTCGAGTTGAACGTTAAAACGATAGAGGTGGAATCGGAACTCGATCCGGGCCTCTACTCGACCGAGTATCTTTTCTTCCAAGATTTCAAGTTGACTCCGGGTCAATATCAGTACAGATTCCGTGAAGGCGCCACGGGCTCATGGTTCCACGATGAGTCCGTAAAGAACGGTAAGTTTGTTTCGTAATGATCCCTGAAATCGACGGCACAACTAACCAATGCCTCGTCATCCTAGCTCCCGGAACCGAGGGGCTTGTCAATAATTATCTTATCGTCAAGCCTGCTGCGGAGCACGAGACTCCCGTCCAAAATGGCGACAGTCATAAGGCGGAGGAGACTACGAAGGCATCCGAGACGGACGCTACAACAAAGGCTGAGCCGGTAACAAATGGCGTTCACAAGCAGAATGGTGTCAACGGAGTTGCAAAACGTGATGACCCTGTCGCTGATGAGTCTCTTGCGGAGGATCAGAAGACGGAACAAACCCCTGAGGAATCTGTGCAGACTAACGCAAAGGTAGAGCCGAAAGAGAACATTTCTAATGGCACTAAGGAGCCGGAAGTCAATGGAACCAGTCCCGCTACGCAGACCTCCGAGAGCAAGGATGAACCTGTGGCTGAGGAAAAGTCGGAGCCGGTGGTCGAGAAACCCGAAGAGAAAGCGGTTGAATCTCAGCCTGTAGTCGAGAAGGAAGACATTGAGAAGAAAGCCGAAGAGGTTCCATCTACGTCTACCGACGAGGATAAGGCTCCGGTTGTGAATGGTGATGCCAAGGTCGAGGTCGAGAAGCAACCAGAGGGATCCCAGCCGCCAGCGGCCGCCGAAGAAGTAACAGCGAAAATTGAAGAGCCTGTTGCCGAGAAATCTACTCCTGGAGTCGTCACTGAGGAAGCCTCCGCCCAAGAATCGAGCCCCGAGAAGCCTGCCGTCACCGAGTCAGCTCCAGCTGAAACCACTACAGAGAAGCCGGCGACCGAAGACCCCGTGAAGGAGTCAGCGGAGACAAAACAGGCGGATGTTGTTTCTGAGGTACCCTCTGAGAAAAAGTCAACCCCTGAAGTGCTGAAGGAAGCTCCTGCCACTGAAGAGCCGGTCTTAGAGTCGGCCGTTGCTGAAGAACTAGTTGAGGGGTCTGTTAAGGAGGAAACGGCACCGGATGAGCCTAAAAAGACGGCTACCACCGAACAGCCGGCTACTGAGTCAACGGTTGCTGAAGAGCCTGTTAAGGAACAGGCAACTGCCGAAGACCTGAAGGATGAACCCGCTACCGAGAAAGTTGACGAATCGGTTAAGGCTCCGGTCCAAGAGGAGACAGCACCGGGAGTACCCAAGGAGACGTCTAGTACTGAAGGGCCGGCCAAGGAAGAGCCAACTCCCAAAAAGTCGGAAGAACAGCCTGTCACTGAAACACCAGTAGCTGAGGCGGCCGTTGCTGAAGAACCAGCCAAGAAGTCTGCTAAGGAAGCAGAGTCTAAGGAGACATCCACTGTTGAAACTCCTGTTGTTGACGAACCAGGCAAGGAAGAGTTGACTCCCTCAAAGGCAGAGGAGCTAGTAGTCACCGAGCCCGCTGTATCTGAGGAACGTCCTAAGGAGGCCGTTAAGGAGGAGGCAGCCCCGGTAGAGCCCAAGGAGACATCGACTGCCGAACCCCCTGCTGCTGAGGAACCTGCCGTTACTGAAGAACCCATGAAGGAGCCTGTAAAGGATGAAACAGAGTCTAAGGAGACATCTACTGAAGTCCCCGTTGTTGAGGAACCAGTTAAGGAAGGGCCGACACCTGAAAAGGCTGAGGAATCAGTAGTCACCGAGCCAGCTGTAACTGAACCAGCCGAGGAGTTAGTTAAGGAGGCAGCACCAGAAGAGCCTAGGGAGACATCTGCTGAGAAGCCTGTTACCGCCGACACTACCGCCCGGGATAAGCCGTCTGCCGAGGAAACTGTTACTGAAGCCGTCAAGGAGGTGCCAGCTGAGGAGTCTAAAGAGGCCCCATCCGCTGATGCTCCTGTTGCTCAAGAATGCGCTTCTGAAGCCGCTACAACTGAGGCTGACCCTAGTGAACCCACAAAAGAGTCTGGCGCAGAAACAGCTGTCCAGGAGTCAACCGCCGAGAAGCCCACAACTGTCGACGTGGTAGCAGAGGAACCAGTGAAGGAGACAGTGGCGGAGGAGACGCAAGTGGAGAAGTCTGTCGACGCCTCAGCTTCAGAAGAAACAGTGAAAGACTCCATCCCAGAGGTCGTTACGGCTGAAGCAGAACAGCCCACTGAGGAAATTTCTAAGCCGGCTGCTGAGGAAGAAAAGGTACTCGAAACTGCCGACGAAAAGTCAGTAGAAGAGACAAAGGCCGAATCCGCTTTGGAGAAGGCTACTCAATCAGCCGAAGAAAAGCCCACCGAAGAGGCTGCGAAGGCGTCTCCTGCTGAACTCGAAAATACAACTACGGAACCCGCTCAGGATTCTGCAAAGACTGAGCCTGAATTCGAGAAGCCGGTCGTCGGAGAAACACCCGTGGAGGAGTCTGCTAAGGACTTGGCGAAGGTGGAGCCAACTACACAGGAACCCGCCTCCGATGTGCCCGCCACTGAAACTTCTACAGTGAAGGAGGCAGTCGAGGAACCTTCTGCTAAGACGGCCGGCCCTGAAGATGTGGCGGAAGAGTCTACAAAGGAAGAAAAGCCTGCTGAGGTGACCGAGCAAGAGACTAAGGAACCCGTGATTGAAGAGCCCAAAGAGACGAAGCCAGCTGCCGAGGAAGCGACCCCGGAAGAGCCCGCCAAGGAGACTCCCGTTGTGGAGCAAGCTGTTGAAGCCGAAACCGCTAAAGAAGTTGAACCGGAGAAGCCTACCGCAGTGGAGCCTGTCAAGGAACTTGCTACCGAAGAGATTACTGTTCAAGAACCTGCTGTGCCAGAGCCCGCCAAGGAAGCTGAGCCTGTAAGTGAATTGTCGACTGCTGAGGAACCTGTGGCGACCGAATCCAAGCCCGTGGATGAATCCCTCGCTGAAAAGCCGGCTGCCGAGGCTGTGGTGGAAGAGCCTGTCACAGAATCAACTGAGAAGGCTGTCGCCATTGAAACACCCGCTACCGAGGAAGCTGTCAAAAAGGACACTACTGAGGAGCCTGTCAAGGAGCCTGTTTCTGAGAAGCCAGTTACAGATAAGCCTGCCGAGAAGGAGACGATCGAGCCTCCTGAGGTTGTCGCCTCTGAGCAAGTCACTTCGAACGAAGTTGAGCCCGTTGTCTTGCAGTCCCACGAGGAGAAGCCAGTAGAGCAGCAAATTGTGGCCGAGCCACAAGCCGAAACTATTGCGGAGCAGCCCAAGGACGTTGCAGGACAAGTTTCAGAAGAAGTAACTGAGCCATTCAAGGAGGAGACAGTTGCAGCTGAGCCCGTGGCTGTTGAAACTGCTGCTGAAGAGACGGCCCTAGAGACTGGATCTGCCGAGGTTGTAAGCAAGGTAGAAGCTGAAGAGACTCTGGCTACGCAAGCCGAGGAACCTACTAGTGAGCCAGCAGCAACAACTCCTGCTGAGGCAGATAAGGAGGAACCTGTACCGGTTTCTCCTGCCAAACCGGCTGTTGAGGAAGAGAGCACTGAAATTGTCACCAAACCTACAATTGAGGAAGTTGTCTCCCCCGAACCCGCAAAGGAAGATGTCCCTGAGCAAGATGGAAAGGATGGTGTCTCAGCAGAGCTGGTCGGTGCGGGTGCTGCAGCGGCAGTTGCTGCTGGTGCGGTTGCCGTTGGAGTGGCTGCTTCGTCCCGCAAGGACAAGGACTCGAAGTCTGTGCAAGAATCTCAACCCAGCACTAGCGAGGACAAGGCTGCCGCCCTTGCTCCCGAGACTCAACCATCAGCCAGTAAGGAAGCACCGTTGTCCACCTCGAAGAAGTCTGATGCTGATATGAATGAACCACGTTCAGAAACTAAAGAGCCAGCTGCGTCGACCAACGAACCGTCCACAGCAGAACCCGCTGCTACAACGGAGACCACTACCGACCGTCTCTCGGCTCAGAAGGACGACACCTCTCGTTCTCCGAGCCAGACCCGGTCCATTAATGCCGTTACTCTCAGCAACGCCAAGAACGATGGTTGGTTGAAGGTTATCCTTCGTGCCGTCTTCGTCAACTTCTTCGGAGCCATCTTCTCTCCCTTCCGCCGCCGTGGAGGCAACAACCAGTAAATTTTCACGCTGTGCTACTCCATCACACTTCCTCCTTGCTTATCATAGCCGACTTTTCTATGCTTTTGATTTTTATTGTTACTAATTAATGCATCTGTCTGGCATGCATATACCCGATAAGTTACTCGACTTTGTTGACCAAGACCCTGTCGCTCATTTTATTCGACTAATTTGATTCCCCTGTATTTGACTTGTGCTTTTATCAATTCAGGTTATTGCTATCTGGCTTTTTCTCTCCTCTCCAGAATGTGCCGATTATCTTTTTGACCGCGTGTTTGTTGCGTCAAAACCGTTAGTAGTTAACAAGATTTGTTTAGTTTTGCAGTTGATTTACGTCTATCAGTATGTAACGATGTGATTGTGATTATGATTGATGATAATGAAGATTACTGCAATGGGTTTTGTTCTTGGATTCTGTCTGTTCCTTTGGATAAGCCTGATCTCTTTCTAGTCTTATATATGCCATCAGATTACGTAGAAGATGTCTAAATTAGGGGTTATCTATGTCCTCTTATTGGGAAGTGATAGTGTAGAAGATCAGATGCTCTCGTTGCCTGGGACCGACTGATATCTGGTTAAGAATCTGAAGGGACCTGTATGTATGCACACGTATATCCCACGTCTTCAGATTGAGAAATACTTTCGGCCGTAGAAAGACAATATTTGATAGAAAATGGAACAAGAACAGAAAACAGAGACATCCTAAGCCCCAGTAAAAGAGAGATGGAGAAAAGTAATTAGAAGAAAGGCACAGCCATCTCCATGATACGCCGCCAGAATGCCGCAGCAAGCAACAGTGAACATTCACTGATATTCATGTCTGATGCTGTGGCGCGTGCCTAGCAACCACAACACCAAGTGAAGGCTTTATTTAGCCACATATAATCCCACTTGCTTGCTTGTGTCTGTTCCTGTGAAGTTGCAACACCTCTCAAAACTTTTAAGTGAAATCATTTCGCAACGTAACAAGAGCGACATAACTGTGACAGGACAACATATGAATATAACTGAAAAAGGTTAGTACGTATCTTGTGAGTATCTTGCTTTGTTTCTTTCTTTCTGACAGGCATTCTTTAAGAGCACCCGAATCTTTATCCAATATGACCGACCACGACAAAGATCCGGAAATTCAAACTAGGTCTGAAGAAAAACAGCCGAGTGAGAGACCCAAGGTGAGACTGCCTTTCGTGTCAAGCATGCCTGGCAATGCTTGGGCACAGATGAGGACACGCGAGCGAGAACGCCGTGAAAAAGGGCTGTATGGGCTGGAGTTTGGGGATTTGGGATATTCAACTGAAAGTAGTATGCCGTGACTCCCATATGTTGTTGTTGCCCTGGCTTTTCTGATGAGTGTAGCTCTAACCCGTCCAATTGCGTCCTCCTCTTCGAGACCTAACACGATAAGAAAATTGTCGGGGCTGAATTATGACGAGGGACTCGCCCTCCCTATGCCTAAGCCTAGCCACCTCACAGCAGGGAATAGTTCTGATCCTGTGCCTGGGCCAACCACAGCTTCAAAGCTTAACGTTCGGACGAAGTTGGGCGGCGCGAAGAAACAGGCTGCCACGGAGCCTGTGCCAGCTGAGAATGTTGCGGGTACTAGGGTCGAAGGGGAAAAGAAGAGATCAATAGTCGCAACGCTTAAGTCCAAACTCAGTTTCAAAGAGCTTGGTAAAGAGTTCCGTAAAGCTCAAGACCCTCCGCTTAGCGCTATGCCTCGACTGCCACCGAGTGTTGGAAATCCACAGGGTGAAGAGAATAAACAATCGCCGCCTGGGCCTCTTGATTTCGACGAGGAAAAGCTGTATGTCCCCAAGCCAAGACAGCCTGGAGTGCATCCTGCGTCTGCCCCAGCCGAGACCACCACCTTTCTGGACACAGGTAGCTGTGAAAGCTCCAAAAATAGCGCTTCGTCCTGTCCCATACAGCAGGCTAAGGATTTTGACAAGCTTAATGCAGAGTCTCTTAAAGGCGTACTCGACCAAGATCAGCCTCACCAGAAAGTGGCAAACGTGGACCCTATGACGCGCCTTGGCGCTGTACTAATCGACGGCTCATCTCTAGCCACTGTAGGAGAGAGTAGCAGGGGCCATCCGATGGTTGTCGATGCGGAGCGTCGGATTATCAGCACGAAAGTGGAGAACAAACCACCCATTTCCACCAAGTCAAAGACTGATGCTACCTCCGCTAAGGGCCCGGTTCTGTCAATACACAATGCACCAAAAGGTCAGATTTCTAATGCAGCGATATCCTCGCCTTACAATGACAGACAAAGCACGGTGGAGAACAGTCATCCTCTGATTGTCTCATCCGATCAACAAAGGCCTTTGCCTGCCAGGGCACAGGAGACAGCTCGTGTAGACAACTTGAGCGATCAATACAGCAGACGTTCATCTACCAGATCACGGAGATCCTTCGCCGCAGCACAGGCTGTACCTGCCCTCGACTCAACACAGTCGAGGCCACCATTCGATCCTCATGTGCCTATAGATGATACTTGTTTCTGTTCTGGCGTGACAAGCCATGGAGGCTATGCTCCTCCTCCCCCACATCCAGGCTACCAGAACACCGTGACCTTAGAGCAGCAAATAGCCACCTACATGGATTCGATCCATATCCACGTTGATGGTACGGCTAACAGGCTCGCGCGAACTTTGGAAAACGTCCATAACTGGTCAGCAGATCAAATCGTGAGGCAGATAGAGGCTCTACAGGACCATATGCGTACGCTCCATAGTCGAGTGGTACGCGAGATAGAAGAAGTGCAGAGAGCCATGACGGAGTTGCAGACTCAAATTAGTGCTCTACAGCGCGAGCAGCTTCAGATGGAAGATAGGATAATGCAATACCTGCAGAGTGAGCTTAGCAAACTGAGAAGCGAGATCAACGCGTCTGCCTCGACTGTAAGGTCAAGCTCCCTCCCCTATAACCCAGCACAGGATACAAGATCCGCGAATATCAGGTCGCAGGGGAGCCTCGGCTTCTTGAGATGGTCTAAAGACGATAGGCAGCAGCCGTTCAGAAAAAGCAAACCACGTCTAGTGGAAAAGGACGAGGTGGGGATGAACAACACAGGGAACAGGAAAGGGGGAAAACACAACCAAAATGAACCTGACACACTGAACAAACACGCCGAGGAACAGACACTAAGTGATGATGTTCCAACACCTACCGCAGCTTTCCGAACACCAAGTTTCCATGGCGATGGTAAGACAGACCATTTCACTCACTCCAAACAGCACAGCTTGGAAGGCTCTGGTAAGACATCCACTGAAAGTCCAGAGCCTCTACGCCACCATTCTGTTAAAGGCAAAGAAAAAGCTGATAATAATCACACTTCGGTTCACAAAGAAGTGAACACTCACACCATGAGGTACCCAGCTAAGATGGGTACTTTCTACCCCCACACCCGTGATGAAAGTGACAATCAAAGCAAGAATGAGAGCGATCCCCTGCCTCCTGCCCAGTGCAGCAGAGACAACAAAGCTTCCGAAAACCAAAATCCCAAGGAACAGGAAGAGCTTCCGACCACGCCTCCCATGCAGACAGCTCCTTTCAGCATCGTTGAGACAGCACGTCGCCTGGCAGAGGATAGCCCTAGTTCAATCCATCCTGCCCTGCGCGATCAAACCCAGCAGCAGATCATGGCGGAACGCGAGCGTCTCAACACGCAGAGCACCCTGACACTCAAGCAGCACCTGCGATCCTCCCGGTCCTATCAGGATTTGAGCTCTCGCTCCAGAAACGCCGCTTCGTTTAACTGGAATGATTGCCCATTCGGAAGTCCTTCGGCGTCGTCCAGTCGCGGCCAAGTCCTACAGGATCTCGCTCTGGGATATACCCCTCTTTCTGCAGCTCCGCTCCATCCAATTTCTGGAGAAATGGAAGCGTTGACTCCTTTTGCTGAAGCACGGCTGTCTCAGGCTAAAGAGGTCACTGCGTTTGCTTACCGTGGCCCGACCCCTCCTCCCAGACAGTCGGAATCGGACGAGTTGGACCTACCGACCTGGTACCGCGCAGCATATGCATACAAGTCAATTGAGAAAAATGAGGGCAACTAGTTTGAAACTATTAGTTCATTCCCCTGCCTCCACTTGCTTTCGATTTCTTTAACAGTCTATTGGATTGCTAACTATGGCCGAGGGACGTTCTGGGCGATATTACAGGGTTATGAGATTGGCGCACATTAAGAAGGCCGCTTGGGGGTCGTTAACTTGTTGGGAAGTGGAGTTGGCTAGACATGGAATGAATAGGGGCCTCAGCCTCGAATAGGTTGAAAGCACGAAAGGATAATCGAGTTGGCGTTCATTTAGGATTGGATTTGATTTGATTTGACACGGGCGGGTATCGTGATCTGGCTAAACCAAAAAGGAAAAACAACATAAAAAACAAAGCGAAGAAATTGAATCAAAACAAAGGCAAAAAGAGCAGGTGGGAAACAATACAAATGAAGCGGGACAAAGAACATTACATATGGGTTCTATCGATGAAACAAGAGGAATGTTTTTTTACGGCAATAGGACATCATGTTAATAACATTGCAAATAGTCAGAATGACAATGGCTTATTTCCTCGAAGAGATCATCTTCTCGACATCCACCGCAGCATCCCGGACTTGAGGACAGTAGTGTAGTCGCAATAACTCTCCTTCCCATACCGTTCCAGCAAAGACATTGGTTGCCTCAATTTCCGTCGCATAGGGATTAAACACACCATCGCCTTTACGCTCCTCACTATGCCATAAAGGAGAGATCCGATTTGCGTGATGTTTCGCTACCTGATTGACAAGGGCAAGCGTGGCAATTGCAGACTTCTCAGGGACCTGGAGCGACGTCGTCAGGAGCCGTTTGGTAAAACTTCCAACACGCACTGGAGGTGGTATTCCTTGTGCGCGGGATAGCAGTGTGGACTGAAGGCAGCGAAGCAGCAGAACTGTAGGAGTCTGGAAGTTGACTTTGTTCCTCGATTTGAATTGTTGGGTCTCACTGTGCTCATCAGGATCGGGAAGCCGAAGAGATTTATTGGGGTTAAACTCGACATCAGGGTTTGTTGAAAGAGAGTATAAGGCGCGATAAAGGTGCTTGATGAAGAAACTCAAGTCTAGATGAAGGGTTGCCGCCGCCTTGCTGGCATCCTGTCCCTGCAAGAGCGCGAAAGCAGTGACAGTACAAAGGAGGGCTTCACGCTGAGCGTCTCTTGATGTTGTCGCCGATTCAGCATCTTCGTCCTCTGTATCATCGTCTTCTAGTTCGGCCCGATCAGCGTGTCCTATTAGGTCCTTCAGCGCTTCAAGCAAGTCGCCAAAGAAATCTTGGTTGATCAAGTGTGCGTATTTGGCGAGGCCTTCGAGCACAGGGCCCATAAGAGGAGGAACCCGCAGTTTCAAAATTCGGAAGTACACCCCAAAGACAAGTTTCAATGTCTCTGCTTGATTCTTATCCCTTTCCTCATGAGAGACTAACGCATCGGCCTGTTTCATATCCTTCTCCACAGCCTTCCGCTCCTTCTCGACCTTGCGCTCCCGTTTTGTCCGGAATTCCTTCTTTTGTTTCAATTTCTTACCGCGGAATGTATCCTCCTCCGGCTCGCGATCGACCCTGTCCCTTGATGCTTTGTGAGAGAATTCAGAGAGTAGTCGCAGGTGGAGGAAAGTGTCTAGGGCGCTTTCATTAATTCTGAATTCCTTCGCCTTCATCATCTTCGATAGAAGACGAACAGCTTCGAGGGAGACGACTCCATCCTCATCTCTTGCAAAGACCTCTTCGATTGTTTCCCGGCATTTGACGAAATCAGCATCAATTTGTCTCCTAGCGAGGCGGTTGACAAGAATCTTCAGAAGTTCACCGCGGAAGTTGAAATGTGGTACAGAAAGGAGCATGGTACAAGCGCAGTTGATCGCAATGCTCTTTAAACTGGGATCGATCTCGTCCTTCGAGCCTTTCGATGGCTTTGTAAGTTCAGTCAACTTTTGAACGTAATGTTTATAATGTGACAGAAGCGATTGTTCGTAGTTTTGAAGTTTGCGCACTTCTTTCGAAAGCTTAGCGGACATATCTCCATCGCTGAGAGGGCGGATGCGGTAGCCTGGAATCACATCTTTGAAGATCGCTGCTTGTGAAGCAAGAGCCAGTTTCTTGATTACAACGTGTGCGCCGTTATCAACCATTTCGGACATTGTTTTGAAAGACCCAAGATGTTCCTCTGGGTCTTCATTGATCAAAGACGCCAGTTTCGCCAGCTCTTCTTTCGCCTGAAGAATCTGTAGCTTCATTGGAATTCTAGGTTTCTCCTCCTCAGCAGGCTGTTCCTCATCCTCGTCCATATCATCCTGGGCGTCATCCCCCTCATCGTCATCGGTGCCAAGAAAACTGTCAGACTCTTCAGGCTCCGGTTCCTCAATGTTTTGTAAACCCTCCGCGGTTTTGATAGGCAATCTTGTCCTCTCCTTATCTTTCTTGTCCAGTTTGCGCGGGCGGCGCTCGTAATCTTGTTCGAGATCCCATTCCGCGGCGGTGCTGTAGAACTTGTTTAAGGATGAGCTCTTGGAAGTTTGAGAAGCATCATTGACCTCGTCAGCAGGAGGGCTCAAGCGCCTCCTTTTTGTCGTGCGCCCTGGAGCCATGGTGATTTTGTTGAACGATTGAAATACCGTGACTGTGGTGAGGTCGACGGTTGGTTTGAGGGTCCGAAACTTTTTTTTTTTTTTCTCTGCGGTGCCAAGACTTCCATTTATGCCAAAAGCTCTCCACTTAAACTTTTTCTAGATTTTTTGTCCGCGGAGCTTTCCTTCGACTACGAACAACACGCTCTTTCACATTAACTACTCAAAATGCGTCAACTCACAGAACAAGAGACGAAAACTCTTTTCGAGAAATTGGCCAACTATACCGGTCGCTCGTTGAACAACCTCATCACTACGTCTGACGACCCTAATGACCGTTATGTATTCCGTCTTCATGGAAACCGAGTGTATTACGCGAGGCTATCAATGGTGAACTTAGCGAGTGCCTTCCCAAGACCAAATATTTTGGTGAGCTCTCCAGCGTATAAACGATTTACCGGCATGATATCTAACTTCAACTTAATCAGAGTCTCGGAACCTGCCTTGGAAAGTTTACCAAGGGCGGCAAGTTCATGATGCACATCACCGGTGAGTGGTCCGCCAACCTAGAAGCGATTTACCGACATGATTTCTGACGTCGGCCCGATTAGCTTTGGATGTGATTGCCCCGCACGCAAGATACAAGGTCTGGATCAAACCGAACGGAGAGATGCCCTTCATGTACGGTGGAAATATCGTCAAGGCACACATCGGTAGATGGAGCGAGGATTGCCCGGAGCACGCAGGAGTTGTTGTTTATAACATGAATGATACTCCCTTGGTAAGACGGATTCTGGCAGCAGGGAGCGGATGAAATAAAAGGTTAACAATAGCCCAGGGATTCGGAATCAGCGCTAGGAGCTCGGCTGAAAGTAAACGGCTTGAAGCGACTGCGGTTATAATTTTCCGGCAAGCAGATGCAGGTGAATTCTTGAGATCGGTAATACTCGTCATTATGAAAAGCCTGTAAGAGTTACAACTTACTGACTTTTCCTTAGGAAGATACTCTTTTCACGACGTAAAGGAAACTCGTTGCATACGCGGGATCGTTCATGGAAGTTGGATGCTAGATACCTGGGGATTCTCGCAGGAGTTCTGGAGTTGTCTATCTGTCTTTATAAAAAAGTTTTCGTCTTTGTTACTCAGCATACTGGATTCATTATCATATGCGATTTCAATGGCTCATCTTCCTCCCGTCAACACCCAGTTAGTTTCTTCCTAATATGTCTTTCAAAACACACAACCACACTTAACTCAATGGCTTTGTCCTTCCGCTTTAATGCCGCTGTAGCCTTGTCCATCCCGTTTGTTTCGTTTGTGGCTTATTGATAGAAAGAATGGGGCCCCTTCGCAAGTAGTTAAAGAGCACAAAAGCCAAGGGTGCATTAAAGAGAATAACAGAGACAAAAAAAAAAAGAGGAATGAATAGTATTGTGAAGAGAATGATGAATCAATCCAAATTATTTTAGGCTTATATATGTAGTTCCTTGTAACAGATGTTGTATGTAGGACTCAGGCTATACTGATACTGCGGGGCACGTGCATTATCGGCAATCAGTCAGCGCTTCAAACGCGGTAATATGAATCTTCGCATCTGATCAGTCATAGTTCTATCTACTGCGTCCCCAATTTTTTTCTCATATTCTTTGCAATAACTAGACCCTTCACACCTAGTCTTATTTCAGGCTTCACCCACTCTCACCCCTTGTTCAGGGTTCCAGATATCAAGAGATCGTACCTAAAGGCCCATCCGCACACCCCACCATGCCACCTTACTCAGGGCTTCAGAAGCAACAAATAGCTCAGTTTGTGAACTTCACACAGGCTAAGGATACGGTAGCCGCCAAGGTATGATTGAGTCTTTATATCTCCTCCCATAAACATTATTGGACTCAAGTCGTACATATAACATTCTGTCACGTGCGACCACCACGACCCAATGGCTAATATATCACTTATAGTTCTTGAAGGCGTCTAGGTGGAATGTCGAAGAGGCTGTTGATGCGTAAGTTGCCTAGGTTACTTTCCTTCTTTTGCCCTCTCTCCCCCTCTTGCCCGCCTGGCTGGATTCTCGCGTCTTCCAGCTTCTCCCGGCCTGTCACGCTTCCGCTCTGCCGTACTGCATGTCTTTGTAGTGTGGAAATGTCGGGCCCCCTTGTTGCTTGCGGGATGGTTATGCGGAATCTGTGCTCCTGTGTTTAATGGCTATACTCTTTTCAGTGGCAATGAGTCGTCGCGCGCCTTTGGCAGGTAAATGAGCAACAGAAGACAACTCGCCAGGCATTTACTCTCAATATCTTCTTGGACGCCCTACTCAAATGGCAGTGCCCCATGGGCTGCACTTCTATCCTATGGTTCGAGGCCAACTGTGTAATATCTGTCATACGACAACACGGTGCTTAGGCCAGTCTTGCTTTTAGAGGCTATCTGGGTAGCTCGCAATCACCTCCGACTTAGCCCCCCATGTGGCACCGTACCACAATATTCTGCTTAAGATGGGGAATATCTTCTGGCGTTTGAACCTCATAGACCCAGTGTATGATACGCTTTTTTCAGGCCTCATCACGGGATACGCTTTAGTGGATGAGGCTCGTCGTTTAAATCCCAGGCGTCATTATTGTGTCATGCCCAACCACTGGGTGCTTCACAACGGGAACCTAGAACGGCGCAGACATTCAAGTCCACGCACAATCAACATGGGGGCCCGCTCTAAGATTTCAAAACTAACCCGTCTTCTGCCGGCCACTCTTTCTCGCACCTCAAGGAGGCGAATGTCAGTCACATCAACGCAGTTTACGCTTACTGACAGGGTTTAGTTATTACCAGAGCCCCCAAGGGGCCGGAGGGAGCATTCCCGCCATCAACAAGATATTCGACGGCTATCGAGGTAAGATTTGGAAAACTGGAAACCATACGTGATATCGCCGCTAATTCCATCCCAGACTGCCCGGAAGACAACCCCGATGGCATCGGCATCGACGGAGCGATGAGATTCCTAGGTGACATCGAAGTGGAACTAGACGAAGTGGCATGTCTCGGTATCGCAGAACTTCTGAAGTCACCGTCTATGGGCGAATTTACTCGCGAGGGATTCCTGAATGGCTGGAGGGCTGTTGGGTATACACACCAACCACCCCCACCACAAACCAGAGTATGCTAATTTAGGAATAGATGCGATACCGTCGACAAAATGATCGCCCATGCGGATAACCTCCGATCGCAGATCCCTACACAGCCAGAACTCTTCCGTCGCGTTTACCGGTATACTTTCCCGCTCTGTCGGATGCAGGGCCAGCGGAACCTCCAGTTTGAAATTGCATCTGAACAGTGGAAACTGTTCTTCACGCCGGACAAAGGCGGAGTCCAGTGGAATACGAAGGCGACTCCGTGGTTGGACTGGTGGATTGAATTCCTGGAGGAGCGCGGAAAGAAACCCGTTAATAAGGATTTGTGGGAACAGGTTGAGGTCTTCATGCGGAAGTCTCTTGATGATGAGCGGTTTGGATGGTGGAGTGCGGATGGAGCGTGGCCCGGAGCGCTGGACGATTTTGTAGTCTGGGTGCAGAAGAAGAGAGGGGATAATATGGAAGTGGAGTGATGGCCGGTGGGGTGTGAACTCGATAGATGGGAAAGAGAATGAGTGTATGAATTCACCGTAGAATGGGAATATTCTACGTTTCTATTTTAATCTCCGGGGTTCAGTCGCGGGTCGGACTCTACAGCTCTCTCCATTGACAAGTTTGCACAATTCGTGACAGGTTTGTTGTAGATCCCTACAGTTTCTAAACCATGGGTAATATAGAACAGATATTGAAGGTAATTTGTGATTTGACACTGAAAAGGTGGTAAATAACTGCATTATGGACTCTCAAGGTATGTGGATCGCCAGCTGCAGACAAAAACTAAGGAAAGCATTCATCGTAACGGTCAAACATATCTTCATCTCGGCGCAAATCAAGATGCGTAACAATCTTGGGCCGGATCAGAATAGAAACATAAGAATAGGATCAATGACACATGCGAGGGGTAATTGGGTGGTGGGGTCCAAGCAGCAGATCGTCGGTACCTTCGGTTTGCTTTGTCAGAGAAGCTGTGTTACGTCTTATCTGTCGGAGGTATAGTAGATAGGCTATAGATTATAAAAGCGTTCGGGTCATTCCGCTTGGACCGGATGGGTAGGGTCGGGGTCTATGTACAATTAACGGTAATCCTTGGGCTCGTATTCACTGCCTGGGCCGCGGCGCTGGTCGTAACGCTATGTGATTTGGTCAGTAAGGGTGAGTTGGGGGGAATTCATGGAAGCGATTTACCTTTCTCAGAGCTTCCAGACGCTTCCTCTTGGTGTGAGTGTTAACGTAGGTTCCAATGATGAAACCAACGACGTTGAAGAACGGCACCCAGGTGTGCTCAGGGAGGAACTTCTGCGCGATTGCAAGTGCGACAGGCGAGATGATCCAGCTGACCTTCATGACAGGCATGAAACCAGCACGAACGGTAGCGCGAACCTGGTGGAAGGTGCGCGCGCCGGCAATGATAGCCATCGACGATAGATATACTACATTTTGGATGGGGGAGACCTGCACTTTCGGTTAGCGCAGTTCATGGATCCCAAGATCCGACTTGCGCGGAAGAACATACGATGAGATTGCTGACGAGGATCTGCAGGATCTTGGCCTTCAAGCTTGTGCGGCCGGCGAAGATCTTTTGGAGGATGCCCACGAGGAAGTGGCCCAGTGGGGCACTGACAAACATGCCGTAGAGGAGCATCTTGGGAACGCGGGCGCTGAAGTAGTGTCCATGCTTACTGACATCACCCGCGATCCACGACGCCAGGTATTCTTGAGCAGCCGAGAGCACACCCGACGTCAACATCTTTGTGCGTAGAGGGTTCTTCTGCAATTGACGGAGGTACATCTATCGATGCGAACATTTTCCATGTCAGCGAGTTGCGATCGCAGCGAATGCGTTGCGCCAATCGCTTCGGGATTGGAGGATGATGAACATACCGCCAAATAGCCATTCTGTTGGTTCCCACCGGTCAAGCGTTCGCCGACCTTATGCACCAATTCCTTTGTGTCTTGGCGAAGCGACTTTGAGGCCTCCTCCTGGAACTGGCCTTGGATTTGCCCTTGAATCCTTTCCTGGACCTGGCCCCGGATGCCCTGGACCTGTTCCTGGAACTTGTCTTGGAATTTCACGGACATGATGGCGGTTAATGCGGTGGCGTCCGGAAGGAGAGACGAGGAATGCCGTTGTCGGAATTAGCGGCAACGGATGCAAGAGGCGGCAGACGCGCGGTCTATGAGGAACAGTTAATACGCGATCCGCACGGACAAGGATGGAATCAATGGGACCTTGGATGACAGACAGTTGAATATGGGGCGAAGTGGGTTGAGAGGGGAATGGGAAAATCGGTGTGAAATTATGGGGTTGGAGGAAAGTCCCGCCAGGATCTAAAAAACAGGGGGGGGGAAAGGCGAGCTGAGCTGTTTGTTTATCGGATGAGGAGGCTGGAACTCTCAAAGACCGACAGCTTTGGAACACGGCAAGCTTACCGAGGTAAAGTAAGGTAAAGTCCCAAGGTTAAAGGTAAAGCCAAAATTAATTGAGGGATTAAACTAGGTAGATGATTAAAATTGAAATATATGAGATCAATGATAGCGTCTGGATCTGGAAAACCGGTGGGCTTTGCTATATGCAAGTCATTTATCGACAATGGAGTCCGTGTTGAGAAAGAAAAAGAACAAGTGAGCCCCTCAAAAAAAAAAGGCGATGGAATTCGAGACTCAAAGAAATAGAGGGAAATGTGGAGGATAATCGCAGACCATTAAATCGGCCACGGTTGTCGGCAGATCTTATTTATATTTATTGTCCTTAATTAATTAATTTCCTTTGGAAAATTCCCTGCTAATTTGACTTTATTCCAGTACGCTCGCTCTTCCGCTCTCTATCGGTCACCTCCGATAGCCTATCACCTCCAATATCGCCAGTATTAATTCTAAAGAATAAATACTTATAATACCCGTCACCAAGGGCTTTACTAATATCCCCTCTTATTTCTACCTTCTATATATCTCTATACATTCTTAGAATGTTCAAATACCCTTCATCATTCGTGTTCTTAATACAACCATAGAGTACTTATCGGAACCAAACTAACATAATCAAATAGTGAACGAAACATACAGAGATGAAAAAAAGAAAAAGAAAAATGTATATTACAGAATGAACAGCAACGGAGACCTACAGGTGAAGTTCGATTTGTTTACTTATTTAAAGAATCTTCATTCATGGACTGATAAATCTAGGGCTTGCTACATAACATGCAGTCTAGCCCTCCTACACACATGTAGAATGAGCGTTCAGCAACCCAGAATAGTTTGTTAATTCTGTTAGTGTCTAAGCCTATACGGATGGAAAATGGGGTGAAAATAGATGAAAGAAAAGTATATCGCTAACATGAGAGACTTCTCCGCAATGAGTGCCATGAATGAGAGTAATTCTTCCTAGCCTCAATGCTCTTGTGACTGATGGCAACCCTACCACCCTGAGACTGGAAGTTATCACTCACGTCCCAAACGTCTTTCATCATCTTGTAATGCCACACTGCTCTCCCTTATTCCTCCACTCATTCACTACTAATTCCACCATCCCCTGAACCCTATGGCAAATAACGTGGAGGAGAACCCCAGAAAGGGGAATTCTGGAGAGAATGCAGGTATTGATTCAAGTCATTTATTACCTGTTCTACAAGGAGTACCTCCCCCAGAGTCCCACCAGCATCAAGTTGCCGCCCAAGCAATTGATGTCCCGTCTACCGTCGACCCCCAGCTACCTTCTCACAACCAGGGCGATTATTCCGGGCTTAATCCCACGGCTCCACTCGCCCCCCAGACAACGGCCCGCCAACATAGCTGCCATCACAGTGTGGTAGAACGCCAGTTCTGCGTGGACCGTATGGAAACATGCGAGTCATGTGGACGACGGCCATATCTTGGTTGGGTCTATCTCTGTATTGAGGACACTGCGGGATTTTCTGGTCCATTGGATCCCATGAGCGGTCCGTTTCTCAGTCCTTGGATCCTGAAAGCAATGGAAGATGGCCACTATACGACAGAGCAGAAGGAAATTGTGGTCCACCAGAAGCTGAACGTCGTGAAGATGGTGGAGAGAGAAAAGGCCCCCGCACCCCCACCACTATCAATGCTTTATGCTCAGCGTAGTGTGCATGTTGGTCATAATCAGGATGATACATGGGTTGAACTGATTGAAGATGTTAGCCAGCGGGATGAGGGCTCTGGCGACTTCACGGCTTTATCCGAACATACTGGACAAATCTCGCGAATTTTCCAGCGCTCGCTTCCTCCTCTCCCATGTGCATTCAGGGCCTGTCGTTACTGTGAGCGTCGCTATGGTAATCTCGAGGAGCGTACCTGGATCAGCCTCAATGAAATCTGCAACGACCGTTCTATTACTCCTCCGGATCCGTGGGATTTGCTCGGGAGGCCCGTCTCCGATGCCCATATCCTTCGCGACATAGGGCTTCGCTCTCAGTCTACCAGCACTAGTTCTCCACATATAGGCTCATCGGGTCATAGTACTAGCGAAGGCCACGAACATTCAAGTATCAGGCTTTTTTCCGGGCAGAATATCACAAACACCAATCTCCATGAGCTCGTCAATCAGTCCTTCGATATATCGGCCGGAAGTGAAGACACTGAACTTGGAGGTATCGGATCGCACGCGAACCAGTCGAGTGAAAGTGTCATCATCGGAGTGGCTATCTCTGCGGTCGTTGGTGATTATTCAGTCGGGTCAGAGCACGGCCATGACGGCAGCACGGAAGAACAGAATCGATGACAACCTCTGCATCAAACGTCCTGAGGCGATAAGATCTACCAGGGCGAATATCCAACAAAGGCAAGAAGGATGACGGGATTCAGGACTATATTGTGAAGATTAAATCTCACCGTCGTCGTACAATGCCACGACGGACTAGGTCGCTATTCCCCAGATCAGCGCGAAAGCGAAAAATGAGATGGATAGGACTATTCTAGCTGCTTAGGGAAGCAAAAGCATGTGTTAAATGGGCGGGATGATCTACTAGGATGTTTTATGAAGGAAGAGTGCCGCAAGCATAATTTCCTAAACAATTTATTATAGTGGAATCCACATGCAGATCAACTCCAAATAACAACACCTCAATTTCGGTGTGCGGTACACGCGGAAACTTTTACAAAAAGTTAAGACGACCACTTGCTGTAGGTATCTAACAGGGCATCTTCCTAGTATGGCATAAGGTAATTCAATAGAAGGCCAAGTGATTGGAATGACTAACTGTGGCAGTTCGGATTTAATCTATAAATTCAACGACTAGACTCTTTGAGCTGTAAATTCCCGAACCTCGGCATCCGCGCCAAGCACAAAGAAGTGCTAGTCAGATGCTCTGCGTTGACCTTGCCTTATAAATCCACATCGCCCTGCGCCCCCTACCGCCCTCTCTAGTTCATCGGAGACTCCCGCATATTTTCCAAAGTGCCCACCATGGCCAACACTGAAAACCCTCCTGATTCTTCTGCGCCAGCCGTTACCGAAGCACCGAATGTGGGGAAATCGGCCAGTCCCGCGGGGGGTTCACCATCGCGACCATCCTCCTTGAATCTTGCTCAGCACCAGCTGCTAGCAGCTCTCAGGGCAACCGACGTTACTATAGGCCGCTTAGACAAGTAAGTGCTTTCCTCCGAAGTCTTATATCTTTGCGCGATGCGTTGCTGTTGCACAGCATGGTTTGCATATCACTGACGGCGCACTCTATACAGGCTCATGACATCGGCCTATGGCCAAGAACGAATTTTCGCTGTCACCGGTTATCTTACCCATGCGCTCCATCACCTCCTCGCCTCCGCACCATGGATTGCCCTCCAGACACGATTGGGTCTTCTAGCCCGACTGAGGTCAAAAGCCAAACAGACCCCACCGAACGCGACTCCCTCACAATCCCGGCTTCTTGCCCTGTCCGCTCTTATGTCAGAGACCCGCTATAGCCTCCGGCTTCTGGGCCTCTTTCCTCTTTGGACCTGGGGCTCTGCCACAATAAAGTCTCCTCCATCAGACCGCATAATTTACACCCTGACCCTCCTCCAGGTGCTTGTGAACATGATTTACCAAGCACTTGAGAATGTCGGCTTCCTAGCCTCCAAGGGTGTAATCTCGAAGAAGCTAATCGATCGCTGGGGAGGTATCGACAAGTGGTATATATGGAGCACCCGGGCCTGGTTTGGGCACATCTTCTTTCAATTCTTCGTACTATGGAGAGAGCACGTACTCCGCAAGAGGAGAATGAGCGGCGAAGTGTCGAAGGAGAAGCAGGAAGAATCCCTGAAAGCTGAGCTCCGCGCCTGGAAGAAGAGCCTAGTGAATAATACCTGCTGGGCTCCGTTGTGTCTTCACTGGTGCTTCGAAAAGGGAATTGGTTTCCCCGATAGCCTGAGCGGAGTCGTTAGTTTCATGGCTGGGGCCTGGGGCGTTTATGATTTATGGACCGCGACTGGGCGGTCCTAGACCAAACATGATATCCGGCTGGGCTGTGATCTGTACATAAGTTTGATTTTAGAGTATATTAAGTGGCGCGATTCGGAGGGGCGCTGAACCTTAAAAGATTTCATGATAGACTAAAATTTCGCTAATTTATATAGTTCCATTGCAGAGCACATATTAGCAATTGATACTGAAGATAGCCTCCATTACTTCTTTATCTAGTACCATCTAATGTGTACAACGGTAAGTGCACTAAACTCCAACCACCAATGCTCCCGTTAGTCCTTGCATACCATCATGCATGCCCTACAAGGCAAAACGCCGGCTAAAACGGCCAATAAATCACGAATCCCCGCTAAAAGGAAGAAGAGACGACTCATTCCGCTGAGGCTCACTAAATCCGTCTCGACCCATCCAACATAACCCTACGCTGGGACTGAGCAATATTCTCATAGAAACTCCCCTTCAAGAACCCATCCAACGACCAAGCCGTACTCTCAACAGGTATCAAGCCCTCCTTCGAATCAAGCCAAGCAAACATCCCAGCATCAACCGTCCGTCCACTGCGAATATCATGGCTCAGTAAACTACTATCCTTCAGTCGAATCTGCACCCTCACATCCACCAAGTTCATGAGCCCCCCTTCAAAATCATAGATCAAGTTCCGCTGATTCACATCTAGCCCGAACACGACCATCCCTTGCACAGTATCATGCGGATTAGATGTTCGAATGACGACGGGCGGACTCCTCGGTGAGATCTGGTAGAGCTTGTACCCTGATATGTAGGCACGAGTCATGCATTCCGTGATGTCGGAAGCTTGGTCCTCTATGATATACTTCAATACGGTGGGGAGCATGAGTACCCCGTAGACGAAGCGCGGTGCACAGTTTTGTTTTTCGAGGAGTTCTGTCAGCTTTTCCTCGGTGAGAGTGTTGAGGAGAGCTTGTCTGTAGTCTTCTGGATACCATGGTTTGTCTTCCATGTTTGGGAGCGGAGGACCCTATGAGTTCGGGTTAGGTGAGGCGGGAGTCCATTCTTTGGGGAGACGCTGGGGGGGTAAGGTCTTAGTTAGAATCGTGTGCTTCTTTAATCCTTTTGTCCTTTTCTTTTCTTAAGGGGAGGGCTGTGGTTCAGTTGTGAGAGGGATGGCTTGGGTGAACTATGTATGTAATTCGTTGATAGTATTGAGATAGAAAGAATATGCTCTTGAGCTATAATATGACTATGGGCCTTGCTAGTCAATATGCATATGAATAGATTGGTTCCTCATAGGATGTAAAACCTGGTGGATTATTGGCAGGTATACTTAATTTTGAGATAACAATGAGAAGATGGAAACGTATAGTATACTGAGAAGCGCCGACGCAGTGAGGAAATAAGGGGTTATTACTTTTTTTTGGACCAGGCAACATTGTTACTATGGACAAAGCCTGAGAAGGCATTATAATTTGTCTAGTCATGTTGGAGCCTTGGGTACTTGGGGGTGATATGGCAGGGTGAATGAGGCTGGTATTGTATATGATATCAGTCTGTCTGCCTGAGGCACCCCGGTCGCGGTACGTTACAGAATAGGAAATTAGGTACAGAGTACAGTACAGGAGGGGACATGGCCAAGCCCCAGGTAAGGAGTAGTCGGAGTAACGTCAGTCAACATTAACAAAAAGCAATGTGAGTGAGTAATCACAAAGAAAGTGAACGCCAAAGGACAGTTTTCCGAATTAATAATCGTGTGTGATTCAAGAGAAAGAACTGATTTTTTGGTGAAATTTGACCAGTCCAGCATGCGACCGGCTTCCATGGGCTTCTGTACTCGGGGCGGTGGCGGCAACCCCCCAGTGGCTGATGAACCTAACCTGGCTTAAGTCATCAACAACAGGCACTGAGACTATCGTCACCTCTTAACGGGTAGCTGTTTCTGCCACTTCTGATCTCACTTCCAACTCTCTCTCTCTCCGCTAAGATCTATCAATCCTCCCCTTTCTCCCATTCACTCGTCTCGCAGACATTTTGTCGTGTCTACTGCTTTGTTTGTTTCTATTTCGTTTCTTTGTTTTCTTTTTCTTTTCTCGAGTTCCTGTCGTCGGGCATCATCAGTCCGATACAGTGGCGTCCTGCGTACCTACCCTGCTTCAAGAGCTTGCTAGATCAGTGACCCATCTTCATTTTTCGTCAAAATGAGCGCGGAACCAGACCACACCCATGAGAAGAAGAGGGTGAACCTTCAGTACGTTTCGATTCCGTTCCTTTTGCAGCAATCCATGTGCTAACCGAGCTTAAGGGACGCCTCTGGCGCCGAGAAGAAAGAGGTAACAATTCATCTCAGGGAATTAGCCGCCCACGACGCTGACTTATTTCGTCACAGGAACTCGACACCTCGACAGCCATCCTCAAGAAGAAGAAGAAGCCCAACTCGTTGATGTAAGCAATCGTCCCCTTCAACCGGTAAACGTTGGGGAAGTACCTTGATGGATGCTAACCAAAGGGCTTTCAGTGTGACCGATGCCGTCAACGATGATAACTCCGTTATCGCTCTTTCTAACAACACCATGGAAACCCTTCAGCTCTTCCGCGGTGACACAGTTTTGGTGAAGGGCAAGAAGCGGAAAGACACCGTTCTCATTGTGTTGGCAGATGATGACCTTGATGATGGAAGTGCCCGTATCAACCGTGTGGTGAGGCACAACCTCCGTGTCAAGCACGGCGATGTTATCACTGTTCACCCATGCCCCGATATTAAATATGTAGGCGCTTCCTGACTCCGGCTCGACAGGGCTTGCCAGTTAACCACAGTCTCGTCTTATAGGCCAAGCGTATCGCCGTTCTCCCCATTGCAGACACCATTGAGGGTCTCACCGGATCCCTCTTTGACGTTTACCTCGCCCCCTACTTCCGCGAAGCCTACAGACCTGTGAGACAGGGAGACCTTTTCACAGTAAGAGGAGGTATGAGACAGGTGGAATTCAAGGTAGTTGAGGTAGATCCTCCGGAGTATGGCATTGTTGCACAGGATACCATCATCCATTGCGAGGGTGAGCCGGTCCAGCGTGAAGATGAGGAGGGTAACCTCAACGAGGTCGGCTACGATGACATTGGTGGCTGCCGCAAGCAGATGGCACAGATTCGTGAATTGGTAGAGTTGCCTCTTCGTCATCCCCAGCTGTTCAAGTCTATTGGTATCAAGCCCCCTCGCGGTATCCTCATGTACGGCCCCCCTGGTACCGGTAAGACTTTGATGGCTCGTGCTGTGGCAAACGAGACCGGTGCTTTCTTCTTCCTCATCAACGGTCCCGAGATCATGTCCAAGATGGCTGGTGAATCTGAGTCGAATCTGCGCAAGGCCTTCGAAGAGGCCGAGAAGAACTCTCCCGCCATCATCTTCATCGATGAGATCGATTCCATCGCCCCCAAGCGTGAGAAGACCAACGGTGAAGTTGAACGCCGTGTCGTCTCTCAGCTTCTGACTCTGATGGACGGTATGAAGGCTCGCTCCAACGTTGTCGTCATGGCCGCTACCAACCGCCCTAACTCCATCGACCCTGCTCTCCGTCGTTTCGGCCGTTTCGATCGTGAGGTCGATATTGGTATCCCTGACCCCACTGGCCGCCTGGAGATTCTGCAGATTCACACCAAGAACATGAAACTCGGAGACGATGTCGACTTGGAGACCATTGCCGCCGAGACCCACGGTTATGTTGGATCCGATCTTGCTTCCCTGTGCTCTGAGGCTGCTATGCAACAGATTCGTGAGAAGATGGACTTGATCGACCTGGACGAGGACACCATCGATGCCGAAGTGCTCGACTCCCTTGGTGTCACCATGGAGAACTTCCGCTATGCCCTTGGCGTCTCCAACCCCTCGGCTCTTCGTGAAGTGGCTGTCGTTGAGGTGCCCAACGTTCGTTGGGAGGACATTGGTGGTCTCGAGGAGGTCAAGCGCGAGCTCATCGAGAGCGTCCAGTACCCCGTGGACCACCCCGAGAAGTTCCAGAAGTTCGGTCTTTCGCCTTCTCGGGGTGTGCTGTTCTATGGTCCTCCTGGTACTGGTAAGACCATGCTCGCCAAGGCCGTCGCCAATGAGTGCGCTGCCAACTTCATCTCCGTCAAGGGACCCGAGTTGCTCTCTATGTGGTTCGGTGAGTCCGAGAGCAACATTCGGGATATCTTCGACAAGGCCCGTGCTGCCGCTCCTTGTGTCGTCTTCCTGGACGAGTTGGATTCGATCGCAAAGTCCCGTGGTGGCTCTGTTGGAGATGCTGGCGGTGCCTCTGACCGTGTCGTCAATCAGCTCCTGACTGGTAAGTGTGAAAACAAATCTACTGTATTTGGTTGGTATTTGGTTGAATGCGTAAGCTAACTATCCGCTTAGAAATGGATGGTATGACCTCGAAGAAGAACGTCTTCGTAATCGGTGCCACGAATAGACCCGAGCAGCTTGATGCTGCCCTTGTCCGTCCTGGTCGTCTGGACACCCTTGTCTACGTTCCCCTGCCCGACCAGACTTCTCGTGAGGGTATCCTCAAGGCCCAGCTTCGGAAGACTCCTGTCGCAGGCGATGTGGACATTCCCTTCATTGCCAGCAAGACCCACGGATTCTCGGGCGCTGATCTTGGATTCGTTACCCAACGTGCTGTCAAGCTAGCCATTAAGCAGTCCATCAGCGCTGATATCGAGCGCCAGAAACAGCGTGAGACTAACGGTGAGGATGTCACAATGGATGAGGATGAGGTCGATGAGGAGGACCCTGTACCAGAACTTACCCGCGCACACTTCGAAGAGGCCATGAAGTCGGCCCGTCGGTCTGTCAGCGACGTGGAAATCCGCCGGTACGAAGCTTTTGCTCAGAGCCTGAAGAACTCGGGCGGCAGCAGCTTCTTCCGCTTCCCCTCTGCAGGCGAGGTCCAGGACAACAACACGTTCGGTGAAGCCGGCAATGATGACAGCCTCTATGATTAAATTGGGAATTGAGTGTTTTGCTTGTTTTTCTTTTTATTAAAGTCTTTTCTTTAGTCACGTATCAGCACTAGTTAGATCTAGCGGGGCTGATGAGGGTATGGACTGCTAGGAAATACGATTGGTTTCCTTTTGAAGAAGGGTTGTCCATATTTTTTGTTTTATCTACGTCTCGCATACTAGATGCCATAATAGTTCTTACGTGGAGAGATGAACTCGACGCTCTAGTTTAATGCATCAATGACTCTTATAGAATCGAGAATCACCTGTAATATATAGGTCTATCAAGATTAGAACACTGCCCACTGTAGGTGTGGGCAAAGACCACAAGTTGACGTCGTACATGCACGTCGTAGTCGATATGGTATCAAAATGCAACAAACTCCCACCCACTCTAAACACCAATCTCGCCAGAAGAAAATGAGAATGCCAGGAAAACCCCCGTGATAAGTGACCGAAATACATACCCTGAAAAAAGAAACCGAGAGAGGAGAAAACAAGAAAGATATCAAGACACATATGAAGCAGCCATCATGACCGGTTTCACTTGACCTGTTTTCCAGGCTTCGGCTTCTTATCCGTCTTCTTGACAGGGCTTGTATCACCATTCTTTAGGAACTGATCCCCTGACTTTGACGACTTGGATGGCTTAGTCTCCGCTTTGCCGCCGCCACCATTCTCTTGTTTCCCATCACCAGCGCCATGGTGCGAATCATGGCTTTCTAACAGATCCGAATCATCATCCAGCACCACCACCTCGCGCAACACCTCTTTGATCGCCCTCACCCCCTGCTCAACCACCGCCTCTGGGATCCGCACATCCACCTTCTCAAAGTACCCTTCCGCATCCCCATTACTATTCTTCTCCTCCTCATTCACGGTGTCCAACCCCGCCAAAACCGGATGTTTCCGCCCCTCCGCGGACGCAACCACCGCCTCAACGACATCGTCAAATCGCTCGCATCGCCCAGCGCGCAGGAGCTCCTGCGACAATTTTCGGACCTTTTCCGTCCAGCCCATCCGTTGCAGCGAGCAGAGGAGGGTCGCGTGGAGATCTTCCAGTGCCGCGCTGGAGGCCAGGTGCGCGAGGAGCTCCGAGTCGAGACTTTCTGATGAAGCTGGGGTCATCCCTGTGCTTTGCGAGGTCGTCATTTTCGGTCTACCCTTTTTTTTCTCTTGTGTCGTTTTGAGTGGCGTTGCCGATTAGATTAGTCCCAAATTCTCTCTTTATCCCCTTTCTGTCGGGTTGCGGTATTGGTTGGTAAGATGCAGGTAAGGTCAAGGTCAAAGGTAAGCGGAAAAAAACGAGGAACGATGAGATATGAACGAGGTCGGTCGTCGTTGTCGCGCGGCGGCGGCGGCGGCGATATAGATTTTCGGTTGGCGGTTCTTGTCGACACCACTCTTTTGCCAACGAATCGATAGTTCTTATCTTGTCTCGTCTTGTCGTTCTCTGTTTAGCTTTTCTTTTTTTCGCTTCGATTTAATTGGCGATATCGTACGCGCTCGGTCTGCCGTCTTTTGGATTTTTGCGTTCGCGATCGGATTCGGACTCGATTTGCAACGCGGAGAACCTCGGCGGGTGGATGGCGGAACCAGCCCAGCGTCCGTAGCTAGCCTGGTTCGGTGCTGTACGTAGTGGGTAGGGTACCCTCACTTAGGGTCAGTACTAGTAGTAGGCTCAAGCTCAATGCGACTGGAATTCTGTTCGCGATTGCTCCTTTTTCTGCTTTTGGGGGCTGAAGTGATTTTCTAATTTATGGAAGGATGCGATTGTCTTGTCTACGCATGTAACTTTTCGTTTTTGGGGGGTGGGCGTCTGTGCGAATTGCGCGCGCTTGAGAATGTGGAGATTTCTTGTTCGGCGGTGGTGCGCCTTCGTTGAGTAGAAAGGGAACGAGCACCGACTTCGACTTGACGGACGAGGGTTTTGTTTAGTCGTGGAAGGTGGGTGTGTTTTGGCATGAGCTACAATTTTTTTTTTTTTTTTTTTTGAGTGTCACTTTTTTGGGAGGGTTAGGTTCAGGGGGATGTGTTATTGGTTTTGGTTCTGGGACTTTTATTTGATTGTGTTGTTTTGGGGATTGGGTGAAATAATCAATCAATCAATATATATGGTGTTATTGTCGGAGTATTGGATTGGAGTGTATATAAGTACATACGTAGGAGATGGGATGGGTAGAATCTTGGATACTAGTAATTTTTATGTAGGTGATAGTGGGTATATATTGTGTCTATCTTTTCTTTATCTCTTTTGTTTTCTTGTAATGCTAGTGAATTAAATATACATTTACTTAGTGTTATGATCTGTTGATTGAAGTGGGTGTTATAGGTGTACATTGTAAGTATGGACTAAGTAAGTGACATTGTTACCATTCGGATATAACCATACCCTAAAGCACAAGATTACTACGCTTATGGGGAACAGCTACCAATCAATAGCCTAGGGTACAAGTAGGTACAGATGCCTTCATAACTATTACTTGCATAACTATAACTATGTCGGAGACTCGGGAAGTGGGATGATACTAAAAAAAGGAGTAAGTATTGAGTACATCAGTAGTTGCATCGCATGCTAGTAATCGAGTCACTAAGCGCACGGATACGCCACTATCTGAGACCACGAAGAATAAAAAATAAGACAACAGAAAAAAAAGGTAAGACCTTGTCCGTGTTACTAATTAAACGCAAGTCAAATAGTTCCAAAGTCATTCCTCGGGTCAATGTACAGCCACCGATTAGTGTAACGGCTCTCTTGAACAGGTGTTTGCGTGTCCTCGGCGGAAGGCTGGCAGGCCTTGATCGCAAGGGATTCCCTCTTTCCATACATAGTGACCTATAAGCGTGGAGAATTTACTCGGTGGTACCCGAGGGTTGATGTCAAGTGGTCTGTAGCTGACGACGAGTGCTAGAAGGATTGCGTCCATCAATTCTCTTTTTCAATAGTCTGGGCAGTTGAGTCTGATCGGATTGCTTCCTTACTCTATACGTCAACCTCTCCGGAGCACGCCGTAAGGATCAATAATCTGTTCATGCCATTGACTGGATGGTCAAGTCTAGACGGGAATGGTTTAAGGAAGATTTAGTAGTTTAGGTCACGGTGGATTCTGACAGCGGAGCATTCGGACCCTCCCAGCCGCCAAAAGCGTTAGGCGCTCCGACACTATTGGATTTTGACAGCACTCTCTCTCATTTTTTTCCCCTCAGTAGTCCAATCCATTGTCTGCAGGAAATAGTTCAATTTTTTTGGTGCCTTGTGGGGTTTTCTCCTGAAGTTGCCTCGCTTCTCTTCCTTCAGCGATTAGAATGACGACGATGATATTGTTTTTTTTTTTATTTTTATTTATTTAATTTTTTTTTTTTTACACTTTAAACTATTTAATTTGTTGCTGTTCTTGCCCCTGAATCTGGGCTGATATCGCTTTTGCTCTTTAAGTGGTGTAACGCTGTATGTCTTCTATGTATATACGCACACACTGTTGATCATTGAAGGAGGGGGTGACCTGATCAGTGGATAAATCAGTCAATCCTAGTGTAATTCGAATATATATAGTAAGGACTGTAATCCCTTACGAGCCCGACTGGTACCATCGTACTTATACGGACTATGGCTGGGGAAGATCCAGATGCAAGGATGCGAGATTGTCCACCAATACAGTTGGTATAACCAGATTAATGGTAACATCCAAATGTATTCATTGCATCCCCTAGTTATAGTCTCTTGGAGATATAAGAAACTGATTAAAAAAGAAAAAAGATTATTAATTTAAAAAGTTTCTCAGTTAATAGTGACGGCTAGTATTAGATCATTATTTTCTAGTGATTCGGGTATATCAGGTCTTAGATACAATCTCAACCGTCTAATTAAAAATTCGATAGAAGATGGAGAGAAGGAAATAAATAAAATAAATACAATAAAATAAAATTAAAGAAAATACCAGAGTCCAGACCGGCATCACGTGCGGCGATCCAACTTTAGCAGCGCTTTTCCTTTTCCTTTCATTTCGCAGCGCAGTTGCCAAACTCAAAAAGAGCTCTTTCTCTGGCATCTTTTGGTCATTTGCTCTTTTTTTCCAATTCTATTCTTTTTCCATTTGATTTGAATTAATTTCTTTTTTGGTTTGGACTTACCGTCCAGCTATTTTTCTCTTCTTTTTCATTTTTTATTTCTCTTTTCGCTTCCCTCTCTCTCAACCTTTTTTTGTTTCATCCTCTTGGTTTTTGTTGTTGTTATTGTTGTTGTTGTTGTTCTTGCATCTCCCAATCGGCACTGCTGCTTCATTCTTAGTACATTTCTCGTGCCCTAATCTTCCTATTCAGGAGAGGATCAGTTCCCCCCCCAAAGCAACTAAAAGCTTCCCCGCTCTGATTGTAGTCTCCATCTCTTCTTCCATTGCATCGCTGGCCTAACGACGAACGAATCTCCGTCACGACTCTCCAACTCCTTCATTTTCTTTTTCCTTTTCCTTCCCATCTACCTTTTCTTCTCCCTCTGTCATTTTTTCTGTTTCATATAAATTTGGGAATTCTTTCTGTCAGGTTTCCGGCATTCTGAGATTAGTTTCGGTTCTGTGACACTGCCCGGCGCTATCTCGATATCTCTCTGCCCCAGCCGCCCGTAGCCGCCATTCATCCCGTCCATGCGGCACACTTTCTCTCTCGAGATTCGTTCAACGGCCTCTTTGATTTTGATCGTCTGATTGCGATCGTGAATGTTTTATCTCAGGCGCACCAACAGCTGAATTTATCGTCGTCGACCTCTTCCCGTCCTGTCCTCCCTCACCGGGCCGACGTCTCCTCCGACCCCTTCGTTACGTCGTGTCGGTCCCTGCTCCTCGAGGGATCGCCCGCCGTCACCATGTCTCTCCACACCTCATATCACGCCGACTCTGATGCGGACGACGAGTACGAGCGCAGTGTCATCACGTCCCCCCATCTCGATTCCGAGGCGTCCCCCTCCGAGTCCGACTTCCCCTCTTCCGAGCAGACCCCGACCACATATGCGAATGCCGACGAACACCCTAAATCCCCCAGGACAATCATCACCGAATGGACAGCTGAAGAATGTGCTCACTTTCTGGCCGCCCTCGGCCTTCGTCAATATTGTCCAGCCTTCCTCGGTGAGTTGGGTTGTTGGGAAACTGGAGTCGGGAAAGAATCATCCACTGATGACTTTTAGAAAACGAAATCGTGGGAGAAGCGCTTATCGCCCTGAAACACGACGAGTTGAAGGAAATGGGGATTGCTAGTGTGGGACATCGGTTGACGATCCTGAAAAGTGTCTATGAGACGAAGGTGAAGCAAGATATTCCGCTGGATACAGACCACTATATTCCTCTCTGTATGTTTTCTCCACTCACTTGCGGCGGGATTTGCTTGGTGGTCTCCAGTCCTGTCTTGCTAACATGTATCTGTTTTTGTCAGCGGCGGATCAGAGTATGAACGAAAATGCGTCACAGGAGGATGTTGCGCGTCTAATTCAGTCGATTCGATTGCGAGATGAGCGTATTGTCACGGTGGAGACCGAGTTGCGCCGGATGGCAGACGACTATCGCCGGCTGAGAGAGGAGCTTCTACCGGTTTTCAAAATGGCCAAGGACCGTTCGCAGCCGTTGCCCCCGCCGACATCCATGGCCGGATCGGCCCCGGATGGATATCATGACAGTCAAACACTTACTTCGCCCTCCTCCGGGATTACTCTCCTAGATCGTTCAGCGAGTATCGCCCGAACCTTCTCCAAGAGGCTTCACACGGGAGGCACCACCCCCAAGAACAATTCTCCCACCCACATCCCACCCTCGATCCACGAGGGCCGTATGTACCCAGAGAGTAGCGTGTTAGATCCGTCATCGGCGCACTACGTGAATGGAAAGTCACAGCTGTCGCCGGGCATTCCATCCCCCACCTCTCCGGGCGTTCATTATGCCGCAACGCAGACCCTAGCCTCCCGGTCATATAATCAACCGACCCCCAACACAAGCCGCAGCCCCTACGAGCACCACGACGAACCTCTATCTGCCCAGACCCGTGAGCGCTTAAACCCTACACCGACCCAAGCAACGCGTCCAGACGTTCCGACTCGGTCAGATTCTCGAGCTGGTAATGACCCACCGAGCGTGGAGATATTCAAATCCTTCCGTGTCTCCATGGACGATCCTTGCCATAAGGTTCTTCCGGCTGCCCTGAAGAAGTACAATATCAATGCCGATTGGAAGCAATATGCACTGTATATTGTGTACGGGGATCAAGAACGCTGTCTGGGTCTGGAGGAGCGGCCACTCATTCTCTTCAAGCAGCTAGAAAAGGAGGGGCGGAAACCCATGTTCATGTTACGCAAACAACTGCAACACCCGGTGGAAAGTGGCTATCCGCCGGTAAATCCCATGCCCAACAGCGCTGGATTTGAGAATCGGCAGGCACAGATCAATCTACCTGGCGGGGTGCTGTGATCTAGCCCTGCCATGGGCTTCGTGGGACAACCTTGAACAAGATCCGTGACATTATTCTCTGTTGCTTGAGATACCCCTTTCCAAGCGATCACGTTTCATCTTTACTTCTTCTTTTTCATTTTACGGAACACTAATCTTTACCTTTGGCTTGGGAATTTCTTGTTCACATGGTGTTTGGTGTTTGGGGGGCCATCGAGGATCGGAAAAAGCAAAAGACTTCAGCGCGGTAATCTGTTTTTCTTTGCTTGTGTGTTTGGATCCTATATCTATCTTCACTTATCTCTTCTTCCTTTCTCTGGATAAACTTTAACTATATTATTCTATTCACATATTCGCTTCGCTTCACCTGTGGCTTACTCTTAGCGTTGCTCTTTCCTCTTTTCTGATCCGTTGGATCATCCTTGTTTCGTGGAAAAACAAGATGCATGCAGGGACTTTTGATGTACTATCATATCATTCCATATTATATCCCATCATATATGAAATATCATTGGACCGGGACCCCTGATCAAGATTTCCCAGGTATCTTAAAACCCCTGCACCCCCTAAAGAAATACCGTGCAGGTATTAATAAGTATCCCGTGTTTCATATTTCCCGAGGATCGTGGTACACAACATATCCTTTGTGATGTATACAGATACTTCCTATAGGGGAGAGATCGAGCCTCTATCTCACAAACTAACCTTCCTCGTTTGACCGTACGACGATGCCAAGGCCATCAATTATAGAACGTTATAATTGGACATTGAAGAGAAAACATTAAATAGTTCCAAAAAGACAAAAAGAGGACGAAGCGGACGACAGCCTAAAGAAAGACACTAGATCTTACTCGGTCTTTCGTCTCCAGTCCGCTTATTATAGCGCTGCTACTGCTGTATTCCTTAGTAATTCAATCAATGGCGAAGCATGAAGAAAATTCAATATGTATAGTATATACTAAGCACTTCTGAGTAGTACAGTCTGGAGGGAGTAACTAACTCCTACAGCAGTAAATCCACCCCATACTAATTAAGCAAGTACAGAACAGTACTAATTAGCACTAGATAGAATTTTCTACCCTAGTTGGTTGATATGATATGTACTCTACATATGCATATGGACAAGATGTATTCAGCCTAGAAGTCATGCTCGGGCAAATTACCCAGATCAGATCATCCCCATTACAACCTCACATCCACATCCACATCCAACCATCCCAACCCTACCAAAAAAAAAGCCTACAACTTCACAACAACCTTCCTATAAACACACAACTCGCAGCCACCACAAACCCCAGCGAAAGCAGCGCCGTCCCGTCCCCGTAAAAAATCGCCTGACTATATGCCCTAATGGACCCCGAACTGCCCGCCCCCGTAGCATCGATCAAGACCCCGGCAATAGGACTCCCGACTAGCAAGCCGGGCGTCCACCCCGTAAGCATAATACTCACTGCGCCTGCGCCGCGGCGTGCGCCCGCAAGCCTGCCGACGGCGGCGGGGAGGGCGACGAAGAAGGCGCCGTTGGCTAGGCCGTTCAGCACGGCGGAGACGATCAGGATGGGGAGGGTAGAGGCGACGGACCAGATGGCGAACATGGAGAATGTATTGAGGGCTATGGCGAGGAGGAGGATGTTCATGCTACCGCAGGAATCGCAGGCGAAGCCGGAGGAGAGGCGGCCAATGACCATGCAGGCGTTGAAGCAGGCGACGGCGGCGGCGGAGATGCAAGGGGAGAAGCCGAGGGAGTGAGTGATGGCGGGGAGGAAGAAAGGGGGAGCGTAGATAGAGAAGACACCTACTATGCCTGCAGCGAAGAGGGACGAGAAGGCGAGGTCGTTGAAGAGGGAGGGGTCGATTATGAAAGGTGCCTGTTTCGGGGTTTCTGGGTGAGGAAGGCTACTGGGATGCCGGTGGCTTGGGAGAGGAGGCCGAAGATGCGGAACGTCCAGGCTATGCCGAGGCTCTGGGTGAGCAGGCCGGTAACGATGGCCATGACGGTTGCGCCGATGCCGTTGACGGTGCCGAGCTTGGTGCTAAGCCATTGGATGGGCAGGGAGTTGGACATGGTGTATATGAGACAGGTACCAAGGCCGTAGGTGAATCCGCAGGTGATGAAGAGGCCGCCGACGTTGGATACGGCCCAGGCGCTGGTGATGTTGCTGATGCTGTAGAGCAGGATGCCAATCTAGCTGGTCCAGCGGGCGCCTATGGTGCGGGCGAGACGCATGGTGAAGATTCCCAGGGCACAGGAAAGGGCGATACCGAGAGATCCAGTGAAGGAAACGGTGCTTGATGTGGAGTTGCGCAAGGTCGACTCGAGCAAGGCGACTTGGAGGATGCCCCATGACCCAGTCCAGGCGTTCTGCCAGAAGGTATAGATGAAGCAGACGAAGATGACCACCCATCCGTACCCGCCATCTGGGATCGGTTCCACGGTAGTTGCCTCGTCTACGGCACCCGTCGTGACATTGACAGGCTGTTCATCACCCCCAGACCGGCGGGACCGCTGCGAAAGGGCGACGGACGAACCCATTTTTGCTTCTATGGTATAGAGAAAATCTAGGCGCACAGGGCAATTTGTCGAGAAGAAAACAGCTAGTTCATTGCTAATCATGAAGGCTCGACAGGGATGGATGAACGCCTGCATTTGAAGCCGAGGAGATGGGCAATGGGGGAGACTAAGGATTACAAACCCTCCTTGTCTAGGTAGCATGATAAAGATAACTTGGAGTGTAACCCCAATTACGTGGCAGGCCTTCCTCTTCCTTTTCATCTAGATTCATGTATACATACCTATAGTATCTACGCAGTTGCCCGCAGAACTGAAGAGGTAGATAGCAGTTGTAAACGACCGCAACTAGGGTAAAACAGCCAATGAAGTAATTATATTGGGCATCTGAACAGTTCAATTTGATTCAGCAGTAATAATGAGGAGTGGTAGCTGGGTATGTTATGACTGAGGTTGGTAATATCCTGGCTAAGATTTGAGATCTTCTAGGGTTGGGTCTTCAGAGGTGATATTCGAGGATTGAAAATTTTAATCAAGGGGAATGGCTCCCCAACGGTTTACTGGCTATACTTCGTGGACCATTCCACTATGAGTGGAACACAAGAGTAAATCTGTGAATGAATTAAAACAGTAGGGGTACTATTCTGGCGTATATAAAGTGGTTTACTACTAGGTTGAATAAGTTACACGGAATCAGGAAGCCTCTATACACAGCATTAAAAGACAAACATAACACATGTAACAGGCGCTCAATAATGCAGAACAAGAAGAAAAGCAAAGAAAAGAAAGAGGGGAAAAAAAGTCAACCAACCAGACTTTTAGAATGGTTGTTTCGATTGCTTTGCTGCCTGTTTAATCGCTTGACACACCGCAATTGTCTGTCCCCACCCTCGGCCCATTCTATTTTTCCCTTCTTTTCTTATCTTGCTTTGAAAATTCATTAGCACTATGCAGGTCTCGTGTTCTTTTGTTTCTTTTTCTCTCTCTCTGGGTGTGGGTTTGTGTGCGTTGTTCGGTTTTCTTTAGACCTCCCGTCCTTTTTCTCCTCCCCAAGAGATGGATCGCTGATGTCCCTGGTCAGCTCGCGAGCTTGAGGAACTTGAACCGTTTTCTGGGTTGGGGCTGCTTCCATTTCCACCCTCAGAGGGCTTCGGTCCCTCAACAAACTGGACCTTGCTGCCTACTCGGCGGAACCCTAGATTGTCCTCGCTGTCGGATTCGACTGCACCATCCGACCCATCGGAATCGTCCGAGTTCAGTTCACCGAGAGCAGCGAGACGACGACGACGCTCAGCAGGTGTCTCGCCCGTGTCGTCATCAATTTGCTGAGGTGGACGCGACAGACCAGCTGCTTCTCTGAGTTGAGCTGGGGGAACACGCGCAGTACCGTCATCTTCCGAGTCTCTGCGTGACCGAGGATGGGGAGAAGGGTCAAGAGTACTGCGACGCTCCTCGGCGGCTGTGCCACGGGTGAACCGGGCCAACGACGCGGCTATGTTGTCACCAGGAACTCCCAGGTCAGACCGGTCGCTTTCACTGCTAGAGACCGATGCAGGTCGGGCAGGTGCCGCTTGACGCTGTTTGTCTTCGGCAGAGCCGCCAGAAAGGGATTCCTTATTCTCTGCTTCTCGAGCTTCACCCCGGGCAACGTCCTTGACATGCTGTGGAGCATCTGTCTCTTCCACCAAATCACGGCGAGCCTTGGGACCAAGGTTGCGGAGCTGCTGGACAAATTCATGCTTGTTCATTCTGCGACCGCTCTTGTGGCTGATACCCTTCTTACCAATGTTGTCATCGTCGGCCACGGTGAATCGAAGACCGTCGTCCGCCAGCCAGTCATCTTCGGCTGCCTTCTTCTCTGTCTGCGACGGCTCTCCTTCACCTTCCATGCCGAGCCAGGTTCCCATGCGGTTCAATCTACGCCGAACGGGTGCTCCTGTCTCAGGCTTGTCTGTTGAAGGGATAGAGTACTTCTTGATCACCTCTCCATCTTCATCCTCCACGATGATGGTATTGCCAAACTGATATGCGTGGGCCGAGCGAGACTTGCCCTTGGTATTCTTGTCAACAGCAGCCTGCTGCTTCTTCTCGGCAGCATTTTCAGCTTCTTGCGCCTCTGGGTCTTGGGCGCGGCCCTTTCCAAAGCCGATCAACTGGCCGAAACGCTTGCGAGCCTTTTCGAGCGGGTGACCGGCTTTCTCTTCTAAAGCTTGTTCAACCTCTTCTCCTTCGTTCTTTGCGTGTGGCTGGCTCCTAGACTTGGCAAATTCTCCCCTCTTCTCCTGCAGCAACTTGTCACGCTGTTCTTCAATGTGTCGCTGTCGCTCCTCGGGCGATATGTGACTGATATCTTCTGTCTTCAGGACATTTCCTTCTTCATCCTCGATGACCATGTGATGCCCTTCCAGATAGACCTCCATAACCGGTTCTCGTCCAAATTGATCCCGCTCCTTGGACGGCGGCGAACCTTCTCGTTCGATATTGTCTCGTTCCTCTTGCTCCTCTGCATCTTCAGTCTCTATGGGCCGTTGGGGCGCAATCGCTGACTGGCTGATAGGACCACCGGCGCCGGAAGCATGTCGACGCCGTCTCTGGGGCCTCCGACTGGGGGTTCTACTATTAGGCGACTCCGTATCGTCGTCCCGAACCCGGCGCAGGAAGTTACCAGGCACGCCGACGGGAGGAAGGGTGCCAGGAGGATACTCCTGTTCATTGGAAGACGCGTCCATATCATCCGGTTTTCGGAAAGACATGGAGCCTTTAGCTATAGATTGAACTCGAGGCAGACGATTCATCCAAGACGGGCCCTCGTCATTCGCAGTGGTGTAGGACAGCGTGATGGTCAAGGTGTTGATGCGCTTACCGAGCGTAAACACGGCAATTGATGAGCCATGGACTAAAATGGAGGATATGACCATAAAGGTCGTGATAGGCCAGATGAGTTGCACGATATAATAATCGGCCGTACCCACTTTCGGTAGCTCCGCCTCCGTGAGGGGCTGCGTGCTATCCGTCTCTAATTCAGCTCGAGCTAGGATGGCAGCAAAGATGGCACCGACACCAATAGGTCCGAAGTGACCAGCAAAGAGAGCCTCACGCCAAGTTTTCACATCCGGTATGATTGGTTTCAATATCAACATGATCGGGATTCGGCGGAAAAAGATAACCAAGATGGCGATCACTACAAGTCTCCACGGGACAAGGCCGAGTTCCGGGGCATTGTAATTTTCCCAGGGAATGATAGACCCGAAGTACACGAAGTACGCCAAATTCAGCAAAAGATCAATAACGTTGGATACGTGAGACTCTTCCGTCTTTTCGGTGAACCATCCATCGTTACTGAAACCCACTCCCGCCGAGAAACCTATCAAAAGGTCGTCCATGCCCAACAAGCTGCCGGAGCCGGCGCAAAAGACCGCCAACACGAAGTAAAAGACCAGAAAGCTTTCGCGATCGATCAGCCCCTTGCGTTCGGCAAACTTGATCGAATGACGGGCCGCATAACCAATCATGAAACCGTAGAATGCGCCGAAGATACATTCGTACAGGATCGTGACGCAGAACCAGTGCAGGGTCACTTTTCCTGCGTCCGGACGGTACCGTAAAATGTAGAATGACAGGTAAATAAAGGGGAACGCCATACCGTCGTTGCAGCCAGACTCAGCCGACAATAGGTCTCGCAAATGCTTGGGCACACGCTTAGCGAATTTACCTTTACCGACGACTGACGATGCAAGCACGGGATCAGTGGCGGTCACGCAGGCAGCGCATACAAGACTTTCAAGCCAACTAAGGGGAGGGACCATCCACCAGATGAACAAGCTAGTGATAAGCCAACCCCAAGTCATGACTGGCACCAGCAGTAGGAAGACAGACTTCCAGTGGCGATTCATGTAGGACTTGGGCAATTCGACACCGACAGCGAAACACTGAACAACCAGGACAATCCGCGAGCACTCGAGAGTGATCTTGTCAACGTTGCCCCATTCATGGGGGTTGAAGAGATTGGCCGCATGAGGCCCAAAGATGATACCGCAAAGCGTAGCAACGGTTGCCTCACCAATGTACAGTTTCTCCTTCACAAAGAGGGAACAAAGCATGAATAGGCCGGTGAAGCCACCCAGAATCATGTATGCCAAATGCGGCCTATCGATATCTAAGTGATCCCACGCCATAATGTATGAAAAGGTCGAGGGAACCGCGAGCGCGACCGTCTATGTTCCTCCGCAACCCGTGTCCGTTTCCTCCCGCAATTCTTCGGTGTCCCTTTTAGATTTTACTAAAAAAGGGCCAATCGCAGGGATGCTCCGACCGATTGGACTGTGAGGTAATCAAAAATTTGAATTGCGCCTCGTGTGATGCTAAGTTCGACGTTCTCGGCATAACTCGGGGAGGGGTGTTTTAAGTCCGAAGCGATGACGGATGAGGCTGTTGAGCGTCCCTTCCCCTGCTGTGTCCTGTAAGGGAGAAAATGCTTAGTTGAGCGAGTACATGCGATTGGGCAGAAAATTAAGAAAGCAGAATTGACCAGAAAATAATAGAGAAAGGGTAGGAACCAGAGTTTTGGCGCGAACGCCAAGTGAAAGAAAGAAACCGTTTGATTGGAGAGGACAACTTACCAGATTGGGCAATTGGGACTCCGGCAGAGCAGAAAGCTGGTGTTCTTCAATAAGACCTATCAGCCCCAGGGTCGATGAGATAGCTTCTGGGAAAGAAGGGAGGAAAATGATTCGAAGGAACAGGTACAGAGAGAAAAGAAAGCGGGACAAGAAAAGATAAGACAAGCGGAGGACAAGCGAGGACAAGAAGCGACCAGAGGCCGGACAAGTCTCTGGGCACTGAATGAGAACGAGGTAGTGAAAATTCAAGAAACAAAGACCAAGACCGTGGCCCAAGCCAAGACCATCATCCTGGCGCTTGATTTGATCTGGGGGAAGGTAATAATGTCTTGGGTGTGTATTACTTCTCACAGTTCTGGAAAGCGTGGGAAGATCCTCAGCTCTGGGCGGCAAAGATAGCAGGGCCAAAGGCAAATCAGATACGCGGCAGCATGGAGATGCCGGCGGGGATTGGCAAGTCACGGGCCCACCGGGTCACTCGCGGAGCGAACAATTGTCGGCCTTGGCGGGCGGACGCACTCCACCGTCTGGAAAGATTACCGGTATGATACCGATCGAAATATGGACCTCATAGATTACTTACGTATATACCGGTATGTATGTCCAACTCCAATGCCTCGAAGTACTACATACCTTCTTCTACTTATCTACCTCACCTCTCTCTATATACCTGCCTTGAGGAGTTGGAAGTCAGTGATTGACATCTGCAGTACGTGTTCAAGGGCCCCGAATGATTTTAGTCTAGTCGATAGCGTCCCCTAGTAGTGATACATCGATCTGCAGATATCGTCATTCTCCTTTATTAACTCCAGAGTTCACCACATGGCGTTCACTAACAGTAAGTACCTGTGAGATCCCACGCTAAAGCATCTTTACAGGACGTTGTGCGGAAGTAAGTACTGCAATAGGTTGTAAAAGGCTCTGAAAAAATGAAAAGAAAAAAGAAGAGCTAACAAGTTGTATATCTAGATTAAATGATTTTGTAAAACATTTTCCTTTTGCGTAGCAATCTCCACCAAACACCCCCCACCATCCATGGTTACTTTCGCAACCCTTTTGCCGTACATTTGGAAGCTCCCCATGCCCAGCCTTGCAAGGCTGCCAAGCACATTTTCTCATCTTGTGATTGGAGCACGGATTCCGCAGTGGGGTCCCCACTCGTGTTGGCTTTCGTTGACCGGATGAGATTTGCCGAAGCAGTCACACGCAATACACCTTGCAGATGTCTATGTCTATTTGGGATGTACATCATGTACCACAGTACTAAAGTAATCCCAGTCTGGATCTGTCAGATTACTGTGTACCCGGTTCCGTCAACCTGGTTGATGTATCGTGTTATGTTTCAACTCCCAACGAGCAGCCCAACCACGTTCCAAAGTATAGGTATCAATCATCATCCCGACCATCCCCGGGAACATGAAGAGACGATCAAACAAGAAAAATTCTGCAAAAGAGGGGGAACAGGATACATCTCAAAATAACCGCTTCAGAAAGATCAGGCTAAAGACAGTACAAACTCTCCCGCGCGCTCACGGCGGCACAGAGAAAATGAACACATACACAGAGACACGCAACGAAAATGAAAAAAAAAAAGGAAAATGTCAAATAGTCCACACGTCTAGACTAGCAACTTGCATTGATACATACAAAGAAACCCTTCTTTTCAGTCACCCAAGGGCATGCCTTCAACCTGGTCACTCAACGACCGCCAATTATCTGCCTGCAGCTCGGCATACTTGACCCGCTCTTGACTCCAGTCCTGGTGAAGTCGGCTAATATGATACTGGCTTTGCTGGAAATATACGATTTCGTCTCGGATGCACTCCTTAATGAACACCCCGCGGGCATGTTGTTGTACAATCGACTCCTTGTCCTGCAGTTCCGACAAATGCGATGTGAGTAGATAAGTCATAAATGATAAGAAAGATATGGAAATGAAAGAAAAGAAAAAGGGAAACAAACAGAAGAAAGAGAATCAGAGAGTCAAATTCGCATACCTTGATAATTGCTTCCTCCACCTTCTCAATCTCCCCGGGCTTGACGCTGCCTTGGGGCCGAGTCCGCAAATCCTGCAGCTTCCTCTCGTTGTTCTCAATGCGCCTTTCCAGTTGAGGAATATTGTTCCGCGCGTAACGGTCTCGGCGATCGAACATTTCCCGGACAGAGACAAGGCAATCTCGCTGGCGCTTCAAATCTTCCAACACACCCTCTTCCCACGCGCGCGCCTCATCCTCTAGCAAGCTCTGGCTGGCAGAGAGATGGTTGGCTGTAGCTTTGATACCCTCATTAAGTAAAGGTACATCGTTGGTGTCAATCGCATATGTGTCTCGGGTCACCTCCGTGAGGGATTGGAGGGCAAGCGAGAACCGCAGGTTGTCGGCTGCAAGCCCCTCATTGCGTTTGGCTAACCGCTCAAGTAACGTGCACAGATTGATGTAGATTTCTGCAGATCTCTTAACGCCGCCCCTGACAGTATCTAATGTGTCCGTAAGGGTGGAAGGCAGAGAGTCTTCCAGATCAGGAGGAAGGGCTCGGCCGGTAAATTCGTCTTGCACCGATATCGTAGCTTGTTTACGCCACACAGATAGTTCCTAATATCAAGTTAATATGAGTTGCAAAGGGGATTCTTCTTGGGAGCTGTCATGTCGCATACAGTAGGGACAGTCAGAAACATGATCACGAGTTGCTCTTGACTAAGGACTGGGTGGCGAACAAGGGCATTGGTAAATCGAACGAGTCCACGGCGACGCTTTTCGAGGAATGCATTGGAATCCGCTGCAAGGTGAGTGCCATTGACTTAGATTTGCGGAAAAAGGTGAGTAAGCTTATTGTAGAAAGCTTTTGCCTTGACATACCTGAAAGTCTCTTCGGTGGAAGAAGAGGTAGCTGTCGGAACGGATATCGTTTGTGAAGACAATCCAACAGCCAGACAAAATCGCTGTATCGCCGAACCACTGTGCTCCCTCGACGGGCGGACCTTACTTCATAATTGCGATGTTGAAACATGAACATCCCTTCTTTTTCCGGCAGTAGCGTCACTGTCACAACTTCTTCCACCGGTGGGCTTGCTACTCTATCAATCCCCAGTGACCGCCGCCGGGGATTGGAATCGCCGTGGTCACTACTGGGAGGACCAAATCCTCCGAGTCCAGCTCGAGCTGCTTCTCCAAGCCCACCATCACTCGATGTATTACCAAAATTCCCGCCCCATCCAAATCCTGAGCCATGGGAAGGCGCAGTGTCTGTTAGACCGCTCGCACGGTTGCTGTTCGAACTTTCAATCTGATTGTGTTCTTCACCGGCTCGGCTCGACCAGGCATTAGTAGCGGACCGAACACTTCCATAGCCGTTCAACACAGGATGATCGGATTCGAGTTGCGCATGGGCATGGCCACGGTGGAGTTCTGGACTACCCCACGGGTCAGACTCCAAGCCCGGTATCGAATCCCTTCGTGACCGCCGCGAATGAGTCGAGTTCGGAGCTTGCTGAGGCGTCGCAGAGCGAGGCGGTGTGACAGGCCGTTCCTGCGACGGCACAGGGGTGCTGGGTTCCTGTTTTGCGCGCAACGCCTCAAAGTATGAGCTCTTCGGAATTGGGAGTTCTATAGTTGCATTAAGAATATAATTCAGAGATCGCGATTGAAGGGTACTTGTTCTTACTCTTGCGCCGATCATCCACTGCGTCCAATGTAAGATCTTCCCCTTCTTGCGCCAGACCCACGAGTGCTAGAAGAACATTGAACTCGCCACGTCCCAGACCGGTTGTGCTATCAATATCACCCGAAACAACAATATTGAGGATTTTTTCCTGGTCAGAGGCACTGATTCCGCCGCCGGAAAGAGTTTCCCTGACCGAAGTCAATCCAATACCGGCGCCAACGCGATCGCCCGCACTGAGGACTAGGTCGTAGGCATCGATATAACTCTCAGGGACGTCCGAGTCGGAAAGTAAAGTCCTCACAAGCTTATGCCTGGCAGTTCTCTTGTTGGTATTGCTATTCCAAGGCGAGTTGGAGCCCAGGTCGTCATCGTCGGCGAAGAGGGAGGAAGAGCCCAAGTTGGCACCACTACCGGCACCAAAGGAGGGTTCATCCGCGAACAGCGAAGTCTTGGACTGATGGGCTGAATTACCTGCCGAGGAGTCCTCGGGAGATGTGCCGAACAAGGACATAGAGGTCTAGGAGGAGAAGTGTCGGCGAAAAGAGGTGTTGATCTAAGGGTATTCCGTTATTAGAGCGGAGCTCGGTCGGAGGCGGGAGAGATAAGGTAGGTGATGATGCGATGGGACCAAACACCAACAGCCAACCCACAGTTGGAACGACCTCAATACCAAGGACTGATAATGCAGCCGAGCAGGGATGAGGGTTAAATCTGAAAATAAAAACACATTAGAATTAGGAAAACATTCCGGCTCTCCCTTGAACGGAAAGGAGTTGAGAAGCTGCAGCTGTCAGTTCTTGGAAGTGAGAGGCGCGGAGAAGCTCTTGGGCTCAGCTTGACCTGACAGTCCACTTTAGATATATTAAACGGCACTAAGCAACTTTGGGCCACTAACATATACTGCCCATACTTTGGGTGCAATTGACCTTGTGATTTGTACTTTCAATTTGTCACGTTTGAATTTTTGTCTTTCATGGATATATATCTGATAGCTTCTAATAAATACATCTCTCATATCGTAACTTCCAACCAAGAAGAGAGAAAAATTCCCTTAGGGTATATCTCTATATTAAATTCCACCCTCACTAGAACTCTCCACGGCAGGGTCACCACTTTCCCTGTTGGCTTCCGCACAAGATGTCACCGTAAAATAACCGTTCTGTACGAGTAGATCCTGCCACTCTTTCTCACCTGTCGCGAGAATAAGAGAAGGATTGGCGTCGGGAGGGAACCATCGCTCTTTTCGTGTCTCGGCTTTACTGCCACCCTCGAGTGCCGCTCGACTTGCCCTTGTCGTCCGCGCCCTCTTCAAGCCTTGCCCATTCTGTGAGAGTAACCCACTTAGTCGTAGCCGGTGCTGCTCAAGGCGGAGGTCAAATGCCATGATCGCACGCACGTACGGACCCAAGTCTTCAGTGATAGGTCGTAGTCCATTTTCAAACGATGGGCTCAGCCGTCCTGCTGGGAGAGGGAATACATAATTCGCCCTCATGACGGGCTCAAATGCTCGTGCAAACTCTACTTGTTGGGAGCCCGTGGACTTGGGCTTGGTCATGTTCACCATGACTTTTTCCGCTTGAGATGATTCGACGTCGCCTTCGTAACATGGTCGGAAAACTCTGCTTATCAAAACCTCAAATGTACTTGCGATACTTGTAGATAGAGGTGAGTGATTGGGCATGACATCGGCGTGCAAGAGTGGATAGCCGTCAATGTAGTTCGCTCTGTGTTTCTCGGGCATTGGAGGGAGGGAAGTGTCCACTGCATCCTGCTAGAAGTTAACAAGGTGAAAGCCAGGGGCGGGAGATGACTGAAACTTACCAATCGGAGATCAATTGAACAGTCCCGACTTAGGACATCAAGAGTACTTCTCATGTTCATGAGGTTGGACTGATGCTGTAGTCTATCAAGCCTCTCTAGGTTTGACGCAGCCGGTGTCGACAGCATCGCGCTGTCCATATCCGACAACCTTTCCGCATCCTGCAAACTGAGACCCCACCAAGAAAAGGCCTCTTGTTGAAACTCAACCTCACTATCCAAGCTAGCGTTCATCAACATGTCACGACTAAACCAACCCATGAACGGTTCGTAGGAGTTGACGCTGATCACCCGGAGTGGATGACCATCTTCGTCCACATCTGAACCTCGGGGCCATCTGTCAACGATCCAATCAAGGCCAGATTTCTCACTGCCAATGGCCATCTGACACCAGAAGTTTAGTTCCGTGATCGTTCGACGCAAGTCTCTGCCAGTGCTCGTGAAGAGGCTGCTAACTGCTTCACGTTTCAGCATATGGCCCTCATTCGCAGCGAGCAAAAGACAATAATCAACGGCCAGATGCTGGGGTGGAGGGCGGTATCTGAGAATAGCGTGAAATGATATGTCTTCAAGTGGCAGTAAACTCTCATCGTTACAGGTTATTATTATTGGACGTTTCGATTGGTTAATAAGTGTCAGAACTCCCGACCAGAACTGCTTATCTTCCTCAAAGAGAAGGTCTGCTTCCTCCAGAAGAATAAAAGATTGCTTCTGACTCCGAGCTCGTTTCTGCTCTACTGGTTTTTCGGAGCCTTGTTCTTTAGCCATTTTATCCTTGGTAGAACTGACAGCTGTGGACTTGAAGAATCCCATCAATTTGTTTTGCTTTGGATCATCGGCTTCAATTTTCGGAGAATCACTGTCGGAGGGCTCACGGCAGGGATTGTCGTCGTTACTATTCATGCTATGCACGAGATGATTGCGAGTCATATCACCAACGCGCTCCACAATGTCCCTTGCACCGCGACGACTGCCCGCATTGATCTCAAACACTTCGAAATCAAGCTCCTTTGCAGCCGCATAAATTGATGCAGTCTTCCCACTCCCCGAAGGACCGCTTAAAAGGATTGCATTGGACACGCGCCCCTTTTCTAGATTCAGGTCACCAGTCCGAATGACTGTTCTCTTCGAGGAGACTGTTACGCCACCGGCTAACTCATCTTCCTCTGACTCGTCAATCTCACCCATTTCAGACGCCTCATCTGCACTAGAAACGACGAAACCATCTAGGTTCTCTATTTTCTTGCGCTTCTTTCGATTCTTCTTGTCCAGACTTCGTTTCTCCTCTCCATCTTTAGATGCTTTACCGGTATCAACGGCGGACACCTTAAGGAATCTCAGCCAGTCCCGCAACATCGATGCTTCCCTTGTAGTCTGGAGGACTTGCCCGGCTGATGTCGGAGCATACTTTTGTGTCCAGACACAACTGTCGCAGTCTCCGCGGTCGAAAGCAGCCATCGAGTTTGGTATAGAGGTATATAGTTTAGCAATAGCTGGATGACATGTATCACTGAGAGTATAACTATCTGGGTTCGACAAAGTATACTGGGATAATTGTGCGGATATTGCTCTTTGTAGTATGTGACCACTAGCGACGTGTCTTTCGGGTATCCGCAAGACCTTGGCGGGTTCCTGACAAAGCCCTTGTGAAAGAACACTTTCTTTATCTTGAACACAAATAGCAGCCATCTTGGCCTTCTTTCGATCCACGTCTGAAGAGGACTGGAAATGATTTGGCCCTTCCTGACTTCCGCGAATGTGGGCAAAGTCTCGTGGAGGCCATACTGGCTGGATGGGTTCTGGAAACTTAGAGGCTCGCTGCTTAGAGGGGTTACACAAGTTTGTTGTAGTGACCCCTGGGTTTGAAATTGAAGTCCCGTGAGGCGTTAGTGGAGCTCTCGTGGCTCCCCTGTGCCCTGTATCTACCGCCGTAGAATCCTGGCTGTTAGCGTGAGGTCGCAATGAATCCGGTTTGCGCGTAGCCTTCTTCAAGAAGAATGGATGAGTAGCTTTCGACGGTTCGTCCTTCTTGATCGTAGGACGAGTAGGCGGTTGGTGCTTAACTGGGGGGCTATGTTTCCTCTGGCCACTGATAATGTCATCAATGAGTTTTCCCAAACCCTCTCCAGTTCCACCTTTGTCTCCATATCTAACAATCACCACTTTACTCTTATCGCCTCCATGTTTTTGCGGTCCTGATCTAGCGCGTCTCTTATCCTTCGTTTTCTTGGATTTGTCGTCGACTTTATCTGGGACAGGCGAGCTCAGAAGCTTTCCGTTAGGGTTCAGTTTGATGGTTTTCTGCCTTGGGGACCTTCTAGGCGTTTCCTCGCTCAATGCAGGGCTATCAGTTGCATGAGAGCCATCTGCGGGAGCTGGGATTTCAGGTGAAGGCGTAGAGGGAAGAGGGTTGAACCTAGTTTCGACCACTGTGGCGTTATCGTTTGTTTCAGATGAAGGTATATAGTCGATCGAAGGTGCTTGCCCTTTGGAGGTTGACCCGGGGACTTTGGTCGTAATATAGTTAACAATAGAGCCCCCTGAGTGACTGGCATCGCTAGATTTATCGGTTTTGCGCCTTTTCCTGCGGGGTGAATTGAGGTCATGCTCGAACATAGCGTCTTGATTGTGTGTCTGGGAGGGTATCTCATAGAAAACGGGATATGGCGAGGTATAATCGCTGGGTGATTGTTTGTTTAGGGAGAATGGGTTGCCATTATGCAGGAGATCATGTGAAGGAAGTAACCCATCGCTTTGAGGGATAGCGCTTGTTGGTACTCCTATGTCTTCTGGAAATGAGTATATTTGAACACAACAATGGGTGAGAGAATTGACCTCTTCGAAAAAATGGGTGAATGGCTTGCTGCTCCTCCTGTCCCATAGCCATAGATCACAGCGATCTGTTAATATGATAAGCCAATGCTCACCGCACGACAACAGTTAGGTTAAATAGAAGGTATCATGAGTTCTAAACCAAAGACGCAAACTGAGCTTAAGTCTAGTGTGAGTTATCAATAAAGCAAAGGTAACGTAGTGGAAGTGCAGCAGTTGAAGCTCAGACCGGCATAATTGAAGGAACCAAAAGAACGCGAAGCGCGTATTATTCGCGACCACTTCTTCCTCTACCGGTACGTCATTTACTGTACATTTGTTACACTTAAGGTACAGTGTAATTTATAACTAGCCACTTTAGGAGTAGCGTCGGTTTAACGGAACAACTTAGGACCGGAAATTTTTCAGGATACATCAAAATGAATTTCTTCAAGAGGTTACACTTGCCCAGCAATTCAGCGGCAACGGTCGCGCATTCTTAAAATCGATATCTACTGTAATGGATTTGCAGCCGCCGTCAGTCTTGGCCCAATTGCCTCGCCCTTTGCACGTGTCTAAGGGCCAAACCCACATCGGTGAGGTTTATAGTCTATCGGACTCGAAAAAGCGCAAGAGATATGAAGTTGCTGTCGCGGTCGACGGAGAGGCCGTGAACATTTACAATGTAGGCTTTGCCGGTTTGCTGTGTCATATATAATACATGCTAAGCGCTCCGATATTAGATCCAAACTCCAAAGCTAGTCACCTCCTACGCTGTTCCACCGCAATCCTCGTTTGCTTGTCAGCCATGTTCGGTACGCAGAAAGCTTTCGGACAGCTCGGCTGTGAAAAGGCAGACCTATGTCTCAGTCAACCCTCAGAAGGAAATCAAGTGCTTCATTGAAGAAAGCAGTGGAAACGGATCCAGCGCGCCTGTTATTTCATCCTCTTCTTTCTCCGTGAAAGATTCCAAGAGTTCGACGGTTTTCATCGGTATCGTCCCAACCGGATCTGGTGAGGAGGAGGGACAGAACCCATTTGATATCCTTACGGTTCACCAAGATGGTCGTGTCCGGAGACTAGCAGCTGATCTGGACAACCAGCGCTGGAGCCTTCAGCATAGTGAATTTGCGAAGATTTCTTCTTCTCATGCGGTTCAGGCTTGCTTTCTCGTCGAATTCGAAGACGCCAAGAAAGCCTTGTTCAAAAGAAGACAAGACCTTGCGACTTTGGCCTTAGGGGATTTGGTTGAGTCGAACGTGGATGAACCTTCGGTGCTGTTGCTCGTTTCGCATCCGACCAGCTCCAACGAAATCAAACTAGGCGACGTCAAGGTCCATATGTTCTCCGTACCTGCTAAGATCCCTTCTCAGGGAAGAAGCCTCGATGAGAGTCAAAAAATGAAGCATCTCATGACCATAAGCATTCCAGACGTTAAGGGACAAGAGACATTCGAAAGCAGCGGCTTAGAATGGGATTTTCACACCGGATCGGCAGGGCTGAATTTGTCTTTTACTAAGGGATTTGTCAACTTCGATCTTTCTCAATACAAACCCACAGTGACTTCGCAATTCATCCTCGAAGACGAAGATTTTTCCTCTTTGATGCGCATCTCACCTCAGTCTGTTATTGGTGCCGGGAAGTCGATCGTCGCATTGTTCGATACTCAGTACAAATCTATCCAACGCAGCATTGCCAATGGCGACATTTCTGGAAGTACTAGTTCCAAAACACGGACAAAATTCATCAGTTATTATGCGAAACTAGGAATCGCAGTAGCAACCAAGGAAAACACCCTATTTGCGTTCGACCTTGGCTCCTCCACCGCGCTTTCGGGTTCTTCGCTCAAGCGGTCGAGAGACAGTCTTTTGATCGACGCAATCGGTCGCGGTATTGGATCAGCTGCCTCTCAGTGGGATACATCGAAGAAGCAGCGGACAGATCAACTGACGTCGTTGGGCCTCACTTCGCAGGAACAGATCAACCGGTGGAACAAGCTGGCAACTGACTTGCGCGCGGCCTCTAAATCCAACAACGGAGACGCTTTCGACAGTGCAGTGCAGGCCTATTTCAACGCTATCGACTCGGATGCTCTGCCAAAACAGTACATCAACCCAGAAGTCACTTTGTTCCTGCTGTCTTTCATCTTCTCCTTGAAGGACGCGGTCAACAAGGACCAGCTGTCCGCCTCTTTGTCTTCACAGGTTTCCATTGACTTCTGGCCCGAGCGCACATGCCAATGGCTCATCGAACGGGGTCATCTCTCTCTGGATAATGTCCAGATTGCTCTGCGCCGTTCACTGAAGCCCCGTATCCTGCCAGCATTGCCGCCCGGGTCATTCGTCCAGGCCCTGATAGACGCGGACTCCACACTGAAGCGCCTCATCGAAGTCCTCCAGGGCCCCGTCATGCTCAGCGCCAACGAGTTAGCGTACGCGCTCAAATTCTTCCTCAACATGGCGCGCTCCCGCACTGCAACGCTCGAAGAAACAGCCCAAGCAATCACGTCCGGCGAAGAAACCGCCGCCGAGCCCAAGGACGAAACCACGCTCCAGGACATCTTCCGCGGATTAAACACCACCCTCCGGAAAATCCACATCCACACTCTCCCGACCATCACGACCTCCATCCGCTCCACCCTTTCCAGAACCGAGATCATCGCCATGATCCACCACCTCCGTCTCTCCCTCGCCACAGCCGGACACGCATCCCGCTTCACCGAAAACCCCCCCACGCCCATCTGCCCCGATCAGACCACCCCCTCCCTCACCCTCAACACAATCACCGACCTCCTCAACGTCTCCATTGACGCCATCGGCCCCTCGGGCTGGATCTCCGCCACTGCCTTCGACGACACCCCCACCCGCGAAATGGACCTGATAGCCGACATGAAATCCGAAATCTCCGCCGCCTTGGCCGGCGTCGAAGAAGCCGCCTACCTGAAGGGCGTCCTCCGCGAATACCTACGGTACACAGACAGCGTCGCGAAATCGGCCAAGTCCGCAGCAGCAACACAGAAAGCGAAGGTCATCGACGAGCCAGTCTCCGCACTGGTGCGCTGTGAAAAGCTGAACGGCGCAGATCTGATGGTCTTCCGCTGCGGCGAGGAGGAAGGCTTCGAAGGCGACGCAAGCGGCAAGATGCTTCCGTTGTCGCTGAAGGCGGGCTCTACAGACGTGAGCAAGACGAAGGTCAAGAAGTCTACGGGCGAGGTGAAGACGAGGAGTAATCGGGAGATTGGATATCTGCGCCGGAAGGCGGTGGGGAAATACTCGTTCGAAAGACTTGTTGTATAGATAGATATATTTCGTTTGGTAGCTATGATCTTTACTATCTTTTAAAAAGTAAATGTTCGGGTTTTGCCTTGCATTGGGTGGTTTTGTGTAGATAGATAAGCTAACATAGGTTATGTCGAATATTGATTTTATGATTTGGCTCATACTCTATTTATCTTTTCCTTTGACCTAGAGGTAAAAAAGGATTTGAATTGTGAAGCACTAAAATATACAACTTGGAACCTAGAGTTTATATTCCAGGGTAGGGAGTGCATTGCATGCTACGTAAATTGATGCTATCTATCCACTCAGATGACTCGTATTTAAGCATTCAACAGTTTATCGTACATAGCAAAGCCAAACCTCGATTCTAGTGTACGACACTTTTGAAGACCGCTGAATTTGTGGTTTAAGAATATAAGATATACGGAGGGAGTACTACCCCCAGGTCAGTCGATCTCCCATTAACATCACTGTACGACCTGAATACATCACTGTGGAGTCAGCTCTAGGGCTTCCTAATGTGTTGGCCCCAGGTGGCATCAGATCATGAATCCATGTGGCAAAGCAACTTGGTACCATCCGAGAATATATATATCGCTCACTCGAGAGAGCACTATGCCTATCATTACCCGTTTCATGATAACGTGGTGTCCTTGTGAGAGAGAAAAAGAGTCCAGCCGTATGCCACTCGCATTGATCAATTAAATACAAAAGTTCACTTGGATTCAATATGTACATCATGTATGTATGGCTATATATGCACGGATGGGATAGATCAAGTCTTTCTCCAGCATACCTGAGATGGCTTTTTTTTCATGCTGTGAAATCTTCTCATCAAAAATGGCCTGGGTATCGTGAAAATCTCGGTCCTTCACTTTTCACATGGATGGCCCCGGTGCTTTCAATCAGTCAGGGAACATGGTTCAAAATACATGGAACAACATTGTCAATCATCACAGCAGGAAGAAAACACAGTCAAAATGAAAATAACACACAAGGTAAATGTCAAGAAAACAGTACGCCATGACAGACACCCGGGAAACGAAGTAGGGTCACACAGCAAGGGTTGACAAGAATGACATCGCGTTCCGTCGCACAAAACCGGTGTGCAACCCAAGTAATCGGTTAGAGTGATGCAAATCCACCTCGTGGAATATGCCTGAGCACCCCCTATATGGTCGCAACGGCGTGTATCAAATGCTTCCTGGGGTGGGAGCAATGATCAAGGAGGAAAAGAACGAAGAAACACCAATCGAAAAAGAACAGAACTCCGCATAGAATGAAACCATCATAAAACACCGATCAAGTATGCGTCATAGAAACATGCATGGTATGTATGCCCCGGATAATAAAGCGCAAATAGAACTCAAAAAGCTAGTGTAACACAATCAACTCAACTGAATGCTAGACGGATCACATGAGATGTCGTCTAAGCAGCACGAAGTCACCGGCTTCCCGACAAAGGCACTTCGTCTCACTGCAGTAGAACGGAGATGAGGGGAATAAAGTAAGCCAACGAGACCACGTAACCTTAAAGAGGACTGTGAAACGTCAAGAAACAGAGAGAGAGCCAAGGGAAGTAGACGAGAAAGATGGACAGCTTCAACCGGTGGATTAATCCGTTCTTATGGCCGAGATTTCGGCGCGTTCCTTCAGTCGCATAGCTTGCGCTTCGAGAGACCGAGCCATGAGCTTCGTGACTGGACCTCAGGTTAGTCGGTCTGGGTCACTGGGTGGGGAGTAAAGGGTTGAACCTACCTGGCCAGACAGCCGCTCTGTCCAAAAGGCTTGCCGTGGCAATCAAAATCTTACAACCATACCCTCCTTCCACAACGCTAGGCAACCGCTGTAAGACACTCAGGGTGGACACAGTTGCACTGGTTTGCACTTCCGTTTGCATCTTGGTTTCAATGCTGGCAAGTATCTCCTTGATTTTCTCCAAGAGCTTACAATCGTCATATTCCAGCAACAAAACCTTGGACGCATGGACCAGGTCAACTTCGTCACGACCTAGCAGCCCTAAGTAGGGCCCCACACGCTCTTGCACGGTTGTGATCCACTCGGCAAGGACTTGAGCACAATCGAAAGCACACATTGCACATTGAATAGGCAAGTCCCGGCACGTAAATTCCGCGAAAGTATTCCCGAGCCGGTCTGACATAGATATCGAATCCGCAGCATAGAAAGCGGCTTTCCGTAAATGCCTCTCGCGTTTCGACTGTCCCGGACGATGTACGCCCATCAGGGTTTGCATCGGATGCTCATGAGTGGGAGTTTTGGAAATAGTCAGGTCAGCTACCCCAAGATCGGCCACTGAATCCCGGCGATTATCCATATGAAAGGCGCTGTCCGTGATAGATGGATCCAACACGTCAGAAGGAATATCATCCATGTGATTGACAATGTCGGTTCCTCGCGCGAGCTCATCCGACATGGCATTCCAGTCTCGCTGCCAGAAAGCTTCTTTGGAGCGACCTAGATTAACGAACAACCGAACGTAAGCTAGGTCTAGCAAGGGAATGCTATCTGCCGATAGAGGTCCGGCCCCAAATGGATTCGGCCGCTCTAAACTGTGGATGGGGTTGCTCGCCCAAGCAGCCTGCCACGCTCGTAAGGCGGGCTCAATATGTGCTTGCATAGCATCAGTCTCCCGGAAAGTCCACTGTCGGCCCATATGTCGCTGCCTAGTCTCCCAAATGTAGTTATGAAGAGCGTAAATCAGTACGAGGCAACCAAAAGTGCTGGGCTTTAGATCGCCGCTTGAGACGTCTTCTGACGTAGTATTGCTGCTTGTAGGTGCTTGCGCTTGGTTTTGTTCGCGCTGACTGGCGGTCAGGAGCGTTGTCAACGCCGAAGGGAAGGACAGACCGTTCTTGGAAGCAAGGTGTCCGCCCATTTTCTTCCAAGCCTGAGGCGACTCGGCTGACCAGAGGTCCTCGTCGCAGGGCAAATCCAGGCGAATCTCAGAGTTGGTCAAAGCAGGCGCGTGATTGTAAGCTGAAACGAGGAAGCAGGAAAGGGCGAAGATGGCGTAAAGAGTGCGCTTCCGCTCCTCGACGATTTTCCAATCCAACCAACTCTTTCGTTCCTTCGGCGGACCAAAGGAGGCGCACGTCTCAGAATCGGGGCTTGCCCTTTGAGGACCAGCTCCGTTACTGACGCCCGCATTTAGATAATCCTGGGGCAGATCCTTTGCGTCTAGGTGATGCGTCAATTCCGCAGCTCGGGCAAGGCTAACTAACGCCGCACAGTGTGTACTAGCGATGTCAGCGGAGGTCTTGTCGCCGCAGGTATGGCCGTAAATGACATTTAAAAGCATCGCCTGCACCAACCAAAGCGGGGTGTTGTGGACAGAGTTGTCGCGGACTGAGTGGGCCCGATTAAAAGCGGCAGACATGTCTGCTTTTCGGCGTTCTTCTAGATACAACTGAATCATCTTTTTAGCGGCTTCAAAGAGGTCCCTGGACGCCGCGGTGTCATATTCGTAGAGCGCACCGATGGCGGCCATGGAGAGAATCAGACAGCCGCCGCCACCGGAAACACCGGTCGAACTCAGATTAAGGTGGCCACTGGGAGTTCGGAGGTTATTCGTGTACTCGGGGGCTTGGAAATCGAGGGTCGGAATATGGAGAAACGGCATATGCGGGTGGAAGTAGGTGATGTATGCTGAGATATAACGTTGCATGTCTGAGGTGCTGGGCAGTGGACCGGAACTGTTGAAGCTGGAGGATCGGGAAAAGAGGTCACGGCAATGAAGCATACCACTGGCTGGCTGGGAATATTTGCGGTGGTTGAAACCGGTGGGCTGCGCCATGCTGGCTAGTAGAGCCTGTCGGGTGGAGTCTGTAAAGGTATCGGTTGAGCTTGAGGAATGGTGAGTTCGTAGGGCACTATTCGCGAAAGGTAGGTTGAAAGGATTAGGAGTGTCTCCGTTGGTTGCCATAGAGGATGATAACATACTCTGCGAATGTCCCCCCAACATGGATTGGCCCACTGAGGTCATGGAGGGAGGGGTGGCATAATTTTCAGCAAACGGGTTCTGCGCCATGAGAGACTTGGGTGAAACGGTTTCTGGGGGAATTCCTAGATCATTAAAGGCGGAAGAGTTGTAATCAATGAATTGGTTGGAAGGCTGCCCCGAGTGGTTTGGAAAGGGGTTGTGCCAGCTCGCGGAGTACCGATGCCCTCCCTCCATCATGGCTTCACTGATGCCACTCTGGCTGCCGGTACTCATCGCCGAGGGGGATGACTCGTCAATTACGGAATCATTACCTTTCCCCATCTGCACGGATGGATCGAATCCGTTCATCCAGTCAAAGCTGAAGTCATCCTCCATCATGGGATCGGCGGGCGGCATCTGATGGGCACCCTGAGTGTACGGGGAGGAGGGTGAGTCGTTCCCATATCCTTGTGGCGAGCCACCAAAATGCAACTGGGCGGGGTTGATAGTGCTATGGCTCATGAACATATCACCTAGGCTGAGATCGAAGCTACCATACACCGGAGCCGTACGAAGCCCGCCTGAGAGATCCATCGGCAGTCCGTGGGTTTCCAACTTTGTCAGACCATTCACCGGGGGATGCGCGGAGCTAAACCCGCGATAGTCCAGACTGGAGCCCACGGGCGCCGAGCCTAGGCTGGGATGGTAGGCATGACTGTGGCTAGGCGCCGCTGGCGGGGCACTGGTGGCATTACCTAATCCCAGCGCAGCTCCATCGATATGGCTAATAGTGTTGGCTCTAGGGCGCATGGCGCTGGAAGTGTTGACGATGGAGTTCTTGCGCACACGATTTGTCCCTGTACCAGTGCCGCCTGTGCTTTCTCTCCGGGCGTTTCTGGGTCGCGACGACGGGGTGGTGGTCATGTGTAACTTCTGCTGATGTCTCAGGAGTAGATCTCGGCGAGCGAAACAGCGCGCACAATCCGGGCACTCAAATGGCTTCTCCTTAGTATGTGAGCGCTCATGTCGTTTTAGATGCTCCAATCGGGCAAATGAACGAGTGCACGTTGTGCAGACATGAGGTCGGGGCTTATCAGTTTTGGGAGGAGGAATGTTGTTATTTGCAATAGCAGTCTGACCGTTGGTGTCGGTCTTCTTCGAGCTCTCCTTGGCGGATAGGGCTGATGATTGCCTGGTCAGGAATCGAGAAGGACGTTCACCAGTGCCATGAAAACAAGGACTCACCAGACATATCTCCAGGGATCTCACTAATACTTGCCAGATCTTCGGTTTTGGGGCTGGTGGCCGGGTCCTGACCCACCATCGTGTCTAATAACATCCCTTTACTTTCTCTATCTAAATAGCCCGTGCGGACACCGGCTTTGTCACAAGGCGTTCTCTGCGGCGTGAACGAAGGGGGTTAATGCAGGGGGGTGTAGACGGATGCAACTGGTGGTTATGCAGTGAACGCTTTCTTTGTAGGTAGGGGCAACGGTAAGGTCACTGCGAACGCCCGCTGGACATGGATTGCTTTCTGCTTTTACGGCGACGTCAGTCACGCATTTAACCGTGTGATCACAACCGATGTAACAATTGTGGGAGGGTGTTAATGCTCAGATCCTCTTAACCCCGTGCGATGGGGCTTATAAAGACCGTGTAAAGTTACAGGGAAACCAACCAGAGGGAACGAGTCTAGCGGATAACACTGGTGAGATTAAGCTTGAATTGATCACGTTTGGTACCAGTGGTTGGAATGCAAGCACGGCAATTCAAGTGAATCACCCAGTCTGGTGAGAAGTCAGGAAGCCGGCGGAGCGGAATGTCAAATACCACGAGGTCAGTGGACGGTGGCGAGGTGGTTCCTGGGGAACTGGGACTTTTGTGAGCGAGCTGCAATCAGCAGGGGTTAGAGTTTGGAGGCAATCCAGGGGATAACCACGGATACAACACTCACCGAAATGGGCCAGAGCAAAATGACACGGAATGACTTCATTCACTGTAAGTCGTTCCAGACCATAATATGGCGTTGGTGTATACCAAAAGAAGCAGTAGTGGTGACGGCGTCCAGCAGAGTCGATCGGATGGAGACGCCGGAGATAGCCGAATTGATAGGGGGGAAATTCACCTGCGAATCAATTGCTGATAAGCATGAGAACCCGTGTGGGGAACAGCGACCAAGTAGAGGGAGGAGGAATGAAGGGGAAGAAAGGTGGTGGTGGATAGTGGGGAGCGAGAACAAGGACCAAAAGGAAAGATGATGAATGGAAAGTGAATGAACTTGGTCCAGAGAGGAAGAGAGAGAGAAGATGTAGCAGAGAGAAAGTGCAGACAGTCATCGTCGTCGGAGTACTTACCTACTAATTGGAGCTTAGTCGCCTGTTACTAGTGGCAATGGGCGCTGCTCCCTGAGTGGACCGAGAAGAAAAGCAGTGGGAATGGTCGCACGAGGTAGGAAATAAATGGGAAAAATGGGAACTGGGGGATAATCCCTCGTCAGCAGTTGCTCCAGAACCTTTTGGTTAATATGCAGACGATGATTGCTTGGGAGGTGACAGATGCTCGTAACTCTGAGACTAAGCGCTGAACTAACTCCTTACCCCAGCGACTGTCGCGGGACAGCCCACGAAACAACAGGCGCCCTGAGTAGGATTAGTCAGTCCTCTTCACCAATCATGGAGGATCTAGTGGGCCAACCGGCATTAGCGCACTATCGGTTGCAGAGAAGCATGGGCCATGACAGGGCCAGAGCCAAAGCGGGACTGCCCCACGCCCCAGTCACGGGGAGGATACTGCCAGTTAGGTTGTTTGTTACTTGGTGGTTGTACGGTATGGTCATCCTCGAGTATTGTATCTTTTTTTTTGCTTTTTCTTTCTTGTACTTTTCTTTTTTTTTTATTTTATTCTAAATAATTAATTATTATTATAATTATGATTCTTTTTTCTGTTTCCCTTTTTTACACCCGACTGGTCACTGTTCCCCAGCTTTTGCGGTAAATTAGAACTCAAAGAAAAAATAAAATTAAATCCGAAATACAAAAAAAAGGAAAAATTAAACAAAAAGAAGCATTGTAAACTCCATAACAGAACAGCCAAGTACTCCATACTGGTGTATATATCATGAAGACAGTACCTGTACTTCCAGGATCCGTCTTAGTCACATCCATACGATTCCCGGACAATACCCACACATTCCATTTGCACAGCACACGGATATCGGTGTGTGCTATGACACGCTAGGAAGGTCTTTCATGGATCTAAAAGTAGTTTCCTACGTAGACCATCTTGGAACAGTACTAGCCCCCCAGCTCATATTCCCATCTTATTATGATAGGGCACAAAGAACGCAGGATGGCAAAGTCCTTGCCTAATGGTACCTACTGCCACTCGTATTCACCCCTAATTAGTTGAAACGTCTTTCGCCGTTCTTTTCCAAAATTGACGGTTATATGGGGATTATGAGAATACCCGATTCCGAGACTTGCTGACATGAGAAGAAGGTTCGGTTAAGATAATATTTTCCAATGGTGATACAATAAGTACGACAGACAGTAGTCGGTCGAAAACAAGGAAGCGGAAGCTAGTACATAGTTGTATGGCGTACATAGCAATTGGAACGGTTGAGCATGCAACCATGGAAGTAGGGGGCTTAAGACATAGAGATAAGAAAGCTGAAACATTCCACTCTGGAACATCCATTTACTTAATCACGATAGTAGTCCTGACTATCAGACTATCAGTATCTCGGAAAGAAATGGAGCACAGGGCCTGTACATCAGTGGAGACCTACGGGCAGTGACCAACCGGTGAAGCTGCTGCCTATTGCCTGCCTTGGGGTATGAGACTGAGAGAGAAAACAGTACTAACGCTCCGACTACAGCGGAATAGTGGTGATGGGAGGGTGATGTACAGCCGGAAATTGTTACATCCTCATTACTACTCCCTGATCCATGGTTTATAACTTCGCGGCTCTCTGGTGATCTCGATAGGGAGAGAATGAAGAGGCAGTCAGGTGACAGGTACTACTACCCATCCTGGACAAGTTGAACTTACTCGGCAATTCCTCCAGGGGCGATGGTTACCGGTGAGTGTTGGGGGAATGACTTGGCTGACCGCCCGAAGAGTTCGCACATTACCAACAGAGGATCAGTGATGTCATCTAATGGCTGACTCAGCAGATGCTTTGGTACACCGCTGGTAATTGTAATACGCCCATGTATTAAGTATTGACTGTCTCAGTAGAAGTGAATCTGGAATTCCAACCCCGGACCTCGTGACAGATCGGCAGAGTCAGGAATGTTTCTTACACGAATAGTGGGAAAAGAAGAAATTAAATTTTCTCTATTTTTTATTTTTATAAAAAAGAAGAAGAAAATACGAAAAAGAAGGCTTCCAGAAGGAGCAAAATGAAATAGTGGTCCCAAGTCAAAATATCGCTCGACGGTTAAGCCGGATCCAAAGCCATGGCTACCGATGGAGGTGGCGGATGGCGCCGCATCATTTGCCCCCTACAACAGGTGAAAGCCGCGGAGAGATCAGACTCATCCAGGAATACCAATGGCTGGTGAGCGCTAAGAACTAAGTATTCAGATCCGAACAAAGAATTGGAAACGCCGCCTTCCGAGACCGCAGGAGAGCAGCTGTGCGCCATTTTGTGGGGAGAGCAAATGGGAAGCTGCACCCTTTGTGTGGGGGATTTCCCCTTCCAATGGATCCATCCCATCCATTCGACCTTTCGGTGCCAATCGCATCCACCCGATCCGTTGCGACCGGTGGATATCTTAATAAGAAGCCATCCACTCTTCTGAATGTCTCAGCCCAAGTTACTTTGTCTCTGGCGGTCTCCGAATTCTCCTAAATCCCGGGGTTTTCTCTCAACGTACCTACTTTGTCTGCCAATTCGAGGCATTAGTCCGAACCGATCTGGGTCCTCTCCGGTCCAGCGCAGACGAGATGTGGGATGGGAAATTCGAGATCTTCAATTGGTATGAAATGTGGATGCCCTGTCAAAGATTCCTCCAGTCTGTTCACTGAAGACTTGGCGAAACCACGGACGAAAAGAATCGGAACCATAAATGAGTTACACAACTCCAGAAAGTCAGCCACGTCCCATTGGATACAGGGCCCGACGATGGTGCGGATCGCCCTTGGGCTTTCCCAACCATGCGTCCCCTGAGCACGGGAGCCAGTTCCCTAGGGAACGCTCGAATTTCTAGAAATTAGACACTACCACCGGCCGAGCCAGAGTGGTTGGTGACGCTCTCAGGTTGCATTGGCAAAATTTGACTCTCGCCTGTCTCCTGACGGTCTACCCTTGCTGACCTTCGTCTTTACATACAGAACTAGTCGTGCTTTAGACTTTCGGCCTGACCTGCTAGAACGTGGTGAGTATGGGGGTCTATACGGGTCCGATACGACGGACAAAGGAAAGGAGGCAATGACCCGGTGGCGGCCCTCCATGAGAATGATCGATGTAAATCCCATTGAACGGTAGAAAATGCCGCTGAACTGAATCAAGCCAGGTCGCGGACTGGGTTTCTTCTTGCAGCGTGATGGGGGGTGTTACTCTTCTCGGCTCCGTTGGATGAGCTATTTAGTTATTCTGACGAGGAATGAAGGTGTAGGACTGTCGAAAGCTACTCGATAGCTACAAGGCACTAAGGAGCTTCCCTGCTCATAGGATACCACCTTATAGATACCATCGAAAGTTTCCCTACCCATACCTTAGTGGCCAGCCACCGGAGCACTGGGGCCAGTATACTCGAATTAGGTGAATAATGCACGAGGCCGTGGTGCCTAAGGTTAGCCGCCGTGCGGTCTAAGCGGCGAGTTGCATTTCCCAGCTTGATTGGTTGCTGCCCCACGCTACTACTAGCATGACGTTGGAGTTTGGTCTGAATGGCAAGAATAGGATCCGGGAGTGCCTGACTATGTGAGTATAAAAATGTTATATCTATATCTGTATCTACTATTCGATATAGATCTGCCCATGGGACATGATAACGTACCACCTGCATCGAGGGAGATGGAAGTTTGAACGATGCATCATCCGATGCAGTACCAACCCGAACGATTCCGGGGAAGAGCAATTATTTGCTTCATCGCACGGCCCTCGGGCGTTGACACCTCAGGCCCTGTTTGTGGCCGAGCGCTACTCCATTGAGTTTAGCCACGGCCGAGTCAGGTGGCTCCTTATGCAGTAGTGCATCTTTTCAAGAGAATGAATTGGAGTGGTAATTATTATCATATTGAACGGTAACGATGATTATTAATAATTAAGGTGAGATGGAGATGATATATCATTTTGTCTAACTCATACAGCCACTATCTAGAGTTATACAGTAAATTACTCCGTCCTCAACGTATGATATTAATAGAGACCGTTATTATGTACACTGCTCTTAATCATGCTACTCAATACTCTAGGAAACTAGGAGTACTACGGTATCACCATATCACTATAATTAGTTAGTTCTACTGTCCAGCCGAAACTTACTTTGCTGATCGTCAGTCGGCGTCTAGTAGACGCTTCTTCATGCTGTTCTATTAGATATTCTACCGTTGCATGATTCTAAATGGTTGAGTAGTCTTTTGACCATGGGCGCCACTGAGTTTGTTGTTTCTTTTAAGGAAGATCAAATAAATCAGAAGAAGATTGACTAAAACAAGTAACGTCAGGTCGAAGAGGAAACCCTTTTCCTCAGTCATACAATATCACATGGAGTGGTTGATCTGCTAAGTTACTAACCCCTGGTGATGGACGGTTACACCCGTAAATCCAGAGATCTGAACTGCAGACCACGCCACAGACCAACGAAATTCGGCGATATGTGCAGGGCACTGTACATAGTAAGGTGTTGCATGCATCGATGATACAATCGCATTGTCGATCCCGTTGAAACAGGGTGGATTGATTCATATGTGACATTGACAAATTCTCCGAGCGTTGAGTTTAAAGGTTTCTGGCCAGTAGGTGGTCTGGGCTGAATGGATCTGCACTATGCCATGACTGTTTGCGTCCGCATCAATTGGATATTCTACCGCAGTACAATGCGACTCTCCTGTTAGAGACTATCAAAGTTACTCCCCAAGGAGGATATGCCACAAGTACTGCACCCGGTGGATCTATAGAACCTGCATCTGCATGCTTGCAGACCTTGTCTAGCATAGATGACCCACGGTACCTCAGCGGGTATGGGTGACAGACATTCATGACTGGGAGCTAGCTATCCATGTCCATTGGAGCTCAACGGGCAGCATTGACCAGGTGCTGATTTGCTATCAGGTACGGATTTAGTTCCCTACAGTCCGTCTAACATGTAGCACGCCATTTTGGGAACTGGGATTGTCATTGGACCTGTTAAGAATTATCCCGGTTGATTTAGTGATTGGAGTAGGTATCCACTGTATGCGCTAAGGTTACCTGCCACCAGCTAGATATAGTAGTTCCTGAACAGAATTCTTGGATTACTATGGAGTAACTCAGTACAGACACTGCCTCGAGCGTGCCTCCAAAGATACTGTCATGATAGAACTATCTCTGTCACTAGTTTCTAGCCAGAAATGCCTCAGGGAATCTGGTCTCCAACAGCTCGCCATCATGAGATGGCATTAGCGTCCGGAATTGCGGTGGAGTCTAGGAAGTTTAGCGTCCAGTCACTACTGCATGATTGGTAACAGTCCATTAAGCCCTGTAATGAAACGCAGAAGTTACCATACCACTACAGTGATTCAAGCGTTCCTGGCGCTGCCGCACCTCCAGATATCTAGTCACGTCTCTAGTGGCCGGACCATGACATGGACTCTACGAATAAACAAGCCCACTGATGTGAAGTTGTGGAGTTAATCTGCGGCTGAGCCTTGTTGATCCCGTCCGTCCGCTAATAACAGGGGAGACAAAGAAAAAAGGCCTCCCTCTCCTTTGTCTTTTCTCAGCCTAGTCCTGGTGAATTAATAATTCGGTGAGGAAAGACCACCAAATATGGGGAAGCTTCAGCCGAGACCATTTGCCAACATATTAAATGCGTTGAAATGCTGTGCTCGCTAGCCAAACTGTAAAGAGGCAGAAATCTTAGGACTTGAAAACGCACACGCCAACCCAGGTCCCTGCAGCCACAGCCCTTATCTAGCCCACTATTGGATAATTCCATTGCAACTTCCCCCCCCCCCCCCCCCCCCCCCGGCCATAGTAGTGGGCAAGAGACAAACATTCCAGAGGCTTTGCCACTAGGCAGCTAATGCATCCATTCCATGCAGTCATACGTACAGTGCACATACATAAGTCGTACATACTACATACTTACCTTACCCCTAAAAAAGAAAAATAGAGACAAGAATGGTAATACCGATACCCATGGGTGGCCGGAGTTAGCCCGATATCAGCCACGCATCATGCTATACTCCGTACATACTGCATACAGAAACTTAACTCGTGTTGTCTTAGCCCCGTACTTTCACTAGTAAGACACTGAATTATTTACGGCAGGGCTGTGTCCGGATGTCCCATTAACGGATGTCATGTATGTAAGAATAAATTGTATGCAGATACAGCTACTGCGTGGGATGTCGCGCGTAGTTCGCTCGGTGTGGTGTGCTCCGTCTTATCTAATGTGGTTGGTGTACCTTACTCACTGTATGTCCTTTGCGCTATTAATTGTCTTTTGCGCTGAAGATTACTGAGCGGTTGATTCAAAGATTGGCTTGTATTCTGCAGTCGCTGTTACTACTCCGTTGCTAGAGTTCTGACCTCCAGGTCGCACGGGGGCTGTCGCTGGGATGTGATTGATTGTTTTCATGTGTGTCTCTGTGTTAGTCTAGAGTCAAATGCTTGATTCTTGATTCTTCGCGGTGATGTCTTAGGTTGACGGCTGTCATTGTGCTGCTTTGCCAGTCTTGAATGGGCCGTTTGCATAGAGCACTGTTTCAAGATCTACGGCACCACCATGCAACCCCCAGTGGCCAAAGGAATAGTAGGGTATAGTCTGGTCAATAACTGATCCTTAATCTTGGAATTTTCTCAAATCATAGATACAAAGCTTGGTCTGGGTAGTCATACCCCTTGCGTTTAGCCAGATGCCGACCCATCCCAGGTCATAAATATAACTATGACACTCACCCACGATCAAAAAAATATATAGACTTAAGACCAAAGCTATCAAACCAGCCTCCTCTCAGCCCAAATAGATATCTCATTTCATGGCCGGACCCCTTTCAAATAGCCCGCATCCAACGGCCGTCCAGCTCACCTTCGGATCAGTTCCCATCCTGGCTGCCTAGTCCAGACCAACTAGAAAAAATAAGATTAGAGACAAACAGAAACTACGCATGAGGGCGAATACCTACTGCTACCAAGTGTGTACAGCCTCCAGCATGAGGAAGAGTCACTTGATTCCACCATGCAGCCACCGTGTGGGTATCACCTTTAGCGGGCTGTATTCAAATTGCCATTTCATGGATTCGATGTGGGATTCCGGATAATTGCCACTTAGTCACTATGTAGGCAACGAGGCAGTCCATATTTAAATTTGGGCTGAATGAGGTACTGTTTGAAAGTTTTAATCTCGTGGTTTGTACGGGGCATGGCTTGCTTGATAGGCCAGGTATTCTGTACTTTCGGATAGTGGTGGCTTTTGATGACTATCTTTACTTGGTGGAATATCCTTCTAGCGTGGTATATATGTGGTTTATTCTCAAACTTCTTCTCTTGTGTCTTTAGAAAATTCCCAACATTAGGTGAAATAATGTAGAAGGCATAGGAGAATCCAAGATATAACTATAACCCTCACATCTGTCTCAGGGTACAACATCCATCCATCCTAGAGGTCACTTACTGTACTTAAACTAGATTTTGACGGCCAAACAAAAACTCCTCGACCTAAAGAGTGTACAGCAAAGTGCCATACCCCAGCTGATCAAATCCACCACTAGTACCCCCATAGTAACCACCACCACCCTCAGCACCTTCGCCCTTCTCAACCACCATATCCCGGTACTGCTTCGTCCAAGTAGCATTCAACTTCTTATAAACACCGTAATGATTATACAACAGTTCCCAGATCGGCCGAACATCGCCCCGCGCATTGTCGCTAATGACCGTCTGCGTGACATCACTATTCTGGTAAGTAGTATAGGGCACATCATGACCAAGATTGTATTTCGCGGCATACTCAGCACTGCAAAGATTAGCCACCCACCCGGAACATCACAATGAAGGCGAAAAGGGGAAAACCCACCCAGCAAGAATGCGATTATCGGCATACGCAAACAAATCCTCCCCCTGATGAAACGCCGCCTGAGCAATTGCCCCCAGCAGCCCAAAATCCAACATCGCATGCCCCTGATCGCGACCCGCCTCCTGCCCCTGTCCCAAAACTTGCCCCTCAACTTCATAAAGCTTCCAAACCATCTTCTCAATCGCCCCATTGCCCGTCCCATTCTTAAAATACTCCACCGCCTCCCCATAAATCGTCTCATTATCCGCCAAAACCCCAATCGACAGCATCGACGCCAAATTACACAAATCCCAATTCGCCCAGTAATGATCTACCTTTGCATCGTTATGCCTCACAAAAAAGTCCAGATTCATAGGATAAAACACATTGACCATCATATCCCGGAAGGCCTGGAACTTCTCCTCCGCCCAACCAGAATAATCCCGCATCAGTTCCGCTGCATTAGCAAACTCGTAGCCATAAAGCCCGGCTGCAAGGAACTTGTCCGAGTTCCCAGAGATAGCTTTCAGGGTTCCGGCCCAGGCATCGAGGATGGAGACCGCGGCGTCGGCGTAGGTTTTGTCATCGGTGACTTTCCAGCGGATGGCGAGGGCGTAGGCCGCGGCGATGTCTTTGTACAGGTTTGGGTAGTTTTGGGGGTGGACGCCGTCATTGCCGCGGTAGACTGTTTCCTGGGGCCGCGGGATGTAGGAGGGATTGGCGAAGGAGCTGTTGGTGAGCTTGTACCAGCCTGTTAGGATGGGTTCGGAGTTGGATTGGACTTTGGACTTTATGCGTTTGAAGTCTTCGTTTGTGTGGAGGAGGCCGGGGTGGGTGAAGGCTTGGGTTAGGGTTGTGAGGGAGAAGAGGGTCCCTATTGCTAGGATTGGGAGACGCATTCTTGATTGCCTCGAGGATGAGATTGGATTGTTTTGATGCGGAGAGTAGGATGGGAATGCTAGCACTGCTGGTCCCGGTTGATGTAATATATATGTGTGTCTTGTCGGAGCCAGTCCGGACGATCAACCGGTGCGCATGCGCGGCTCTTCCTCTGGAGGTTTTACGGCTACGTTAAAGAGGGAACTATATCCTTATCATGGAGGATTAGCCGGAGGTTCCTCCTAGAGAAGATCATCGGCTTATATGGACGATGTTGTACGATTGAGGATCTGGTTGACGTACTCTACCAGATCATACCGGGAAATTTCCGGTTATGGAGTGAACCATCCCGTTGAGCGATGTTTATCTTGACCGTATCGGGAAGCGCTAGGGTTGTCCCGTTTCAATGTAAAACATCGGACCCCACTTAGGATGCGGAAGAGATAGATAATCAAGAGTCAGGAACCAAGGGAATCTTCATACTCTTTAACTTTGTTTGGCATGGCATCTGCCCCTGAAGAGATTCTTCAACGTCGTATACGATATGCTGTGTACTATAGCGGGACCACATCCTGAAATCCGAGGGGCTTGGACTCGAGCTGTGTAATCTTTGTATCCCGGTATATGTTAATTTACGGAGGAAGTCTGCGTGACGATGGGAGGATAGGATTGTGCGTGCGTGGCTTTTGGGTCTCTAAACCTTGGTGTTTTCAGGCCGGCGTGTTTTTGTATTCAGGGTCAGTGCTCCTTGCTTCTTTGTTTACACTGAAATATACCTAATAAGAATACGAGCATTGCGCGTCCATCAGAAGTAGAAAATAGAAAGGGTCACTTCTTCCCTCTTTGCTTCTAGATGACGATCCTAGCGAAGGTATGTTGGCTCTAAAGCCGTTCGTTCCATCAGTTCGTTTGGTTTTTCCCTCTCTCAGGATGCCACCGAAGCGCTTGCTAAAGAGCACTGAGGATCTCTATTAGAACAATTCTATTTCCCAACCAGATACACGAGACGAAAGTGTGTTTAAAGACATCACAATATAACATCTGAAGCATGTATAGGCCGTAACTATAAGGGTATTTGTTTCTCATAGTCTATGCTTAATATTAAATCCTAGACGTTAGAATATAAACTTAAATTTGTAATCTAGCTTGAGCTATCTGATTGCATATATTGGCTCGAAACCCTTACGCTAACAGTTTAACTGAGGAATTCCTCTGTCAGTATCTCGATATATAATAGTAGCCCATCAATCGACTATTTCGGCCTTCGTGCGAATTTTAGGAATATATTAACGCGAGGAGATGAGCAGTGCATTTCTGACATGAGCGCTAGTTATACTAATAATACGCTAGACCCAATACCCCAATCTGGTTTATACGAGAAATTTTATAGTACATAATCACTATAGTTAATACAAGCTAATGAGAAATACTGCATTTCTGGGTCATTGTCAGAGATGCTCGTGGCATAAGCGTCGGGGTGGCTTTCACCCACCGGCGCCATCTCAGCTTTCACAAAGAACTATTCACAATTCATGGGCACGTTGTGGATTTGAAAAAACCGCGTGCTGAATGTTGAACTGGTGGGTACTGTATTCCCCTTTGTCCTTTTCATGTCCCCCGTAGCGGTACCCTACGAGAAGATTGAGGTTTTTTCGATACGCCATTTGGTTCACCTCTGTTTTCTTCTGAACGCCCTTGTGTAGCTGATTAAATTCCCCCTCGGTATCAACGTTTGCCATGGTGGTGCTTCCATAGTCTGCTTCAAACAACGCATCTTCATCTACAAGGCCCGTGTCGTCTAGCTACAGATACGTTTGTGAATGGCTGGCAACATCATCATCCTCAGCCTTGGGTAGTTGGACAGTCCTGTCCTGAACTTCTTTGGGCAATAGCTGAACCTTTCTAATAATTTCCGGGGAAACCACACCACGTTGTTTTGTCCGGGACTACGGAATTCGTCTGCCACCTGGCCTTGCTTGTCTTGGTAAGATATGCGAGAGGACAAGCAACCCGAATATCAATGGTCCTATGGCCCACACTTGATCCATTTTAGGGATGGAGCAATGTCCCGATATTTCGCTTTGAACTCCATAAATATGGTCATATCAGGATTGTCCCACTGGATGAGGTGATCGCCAAATTTGTCCTTTGTCCATTAAGATGTTCGAATCGGCTGTTTAGTAGGCATCGAGCTTGTGGGACATAGGAATCACCGACCAACGTATACGCCAGATATGGTAGTAATAGAGCCGGTACCACGCGTCGAGCCTATGGTATCTCTGGCGGGCCTTTATAGAAAGTTGTGAGGCAACGTGATCCTTGCCTTCAGTTCCAGAGCTGAGTAGGTTCTGTGCCAAGAGAACGATGATCTGCCCATGTTCTTTCGTCTTTAGACAGATAGCCAGTCGACGAATATCATCATCTTTCCTGAATCCCAGATTTTCCAGCCATAGCCTCGAAGTTGGATTGACCTTTTTAAGCTCTGGTGTCAGTCCCCTCTCGATACACTAGTAATAGGTCGGTGTCGGTTAATAAATGGCATAGTGATATGACTGGCGTGCTACCTCTCGGCAGTATTATGCGAGTATATAGTATCAAGAAGGAGGAAATACGACAGGAGGATTCTGTGGTTGAAAGATGATCACGAGAATAGTAATAACGGCGCAGAAAAGGGGCCTCTAGTAGAGCCTCCTTTTGATGGGGTGCATGAAAACGCTGAAGACGGGAGATTGGATGAAGCTAATAACAACAAATAATGTTGGGTGATTTGATATTATCCCAATATAGTTACCCGGCGGGGCACTTCCCGAGTCACTGATGGCCTAATATATATATAATAATATTGGGTACAGTATATTTAAGAGTGAATTCAATTGATGATCCTTAGAACTACTAACCAAGAAGGTCTATCTAGGGGGAATCATGGCCCGGCTTATACGTGGGCTCATGGAAAAGAAGTTCAACGCCCTGCTTAAATTAACAAACCACCTATTCACTAGGCATAGTCACACGCCTGCGATTCTAGGCGGTCCATGGTCATATTCAACACAGGACTATGGTGATCATAAGAGGAACAATTTAACATGCGGGGTTGTGAATGTTTTTCTAGTGGGCTGAAGATTTACCCATATACGTAAACTTGAGCTGGAACTTTCGTGGAAAACGTTCTTATAGTTCTACTGCGTAGGTAGTTGGCCCTGTTCCTGCTCGCAGTGTTATGACAGTTGAGCTTTTTCCACAAACCTAGTATCTACTAACCTATATCAAAGGGCTGGCTTCTCTTCCTTCCGTGGCCCTTCGAACAGATTAACTGGCTTATATTATTAAAAGGGGAAAAATAAAACTTAAAAATAAGAACAGGAATAACCTTCATGAGATGGATCACTTTTCGCAGAAAATAAGACAAAAAAGGAAAATCGTCAGCGAGAGGATTCGAACCTCTGCCCGCGAACGGAATTGATTTCTAGTCAATCGCCTTAACCACTCGGCCACACTGACATGGTGTAGGAAATTTCTTGCTATAATATTATGTTATAGTATAGGCACAAGAAGTGGAAAACATCAAAGTGTCTTATCTTAAGTTATCAAACTCTGAACTGGACAACCCTCCCGAGTGAGAGCTCTTCAATCATATTGTTGTTGTCAATTAGAACATAATTAGCCCCCCTTTCTGGTTTACATAAGTACATTGATCCTTCAGGCCATACCTTTATATTCCTCAACCCCCTAAGCTAGGGTTCCTTTCTGTAATGAAGAGCACTACGCTCAAACGGCTACCCGATACTCACCACTGACAGCTTTTGTTTGATGCAGCTCTTCCACATGGTACCAGAGACTAGGAAGAGTTATTGTATTTGAAGAATTAGTAGGTACGTCTATCCCATTGTCTCAAGGCAAAGCCGAAATCATATTCATTATTTCTTGAACAGACCGTGTGAGTGAAAATCAGCGCACTGAGAACGTCTTGGGTAGATACAATACTTACACAGAGTGATATGTACCCACCTTGAGTTCAATCAAAAAGAAAATCTGGCCTGGAACAAACAGGTCCTGGAGAGCTTTGATATCTCCGTTTATTGTAAACAGTACAGCTTCCTTGCCCCTGGGAATCTCAGTGCTTGTTCGAAATATCAAATCCGGTCCAACGGGAGCTCTCAATGACTTCCAAAACATTCAATATCATCATATAACATAGCAAACTGAGGCGCCAAAGAAAGCCACTATCCTGGGAGTGGCACTGGTTCAGAACAGCCCGTTTCTAGAAGTGTCAGGGTATCCTCTTTTTGAATGGCACGTGAAATGATTTTCTAACACCAGATCCTCTATATTGTGGGCTCGTCGATGCATTGCATAAAGTAATATAGCAGAGATTTTGGGGCCTTCGTCCTGCTGCTGGAACGGGATGCCTTGAGCAGAGGGTTTATGTGGGCACGTAGAGCCCCCCATCGAGGAAAAGGAGGAATCCAGGAAGCATGTCCGGACTATTCACGGAGGCTTTGCAGTTTGCAAGTGTTTCCCTTCGTGAATGGAAACTGCGGAAGAGCAAAAACAAAATAATAATCGTCAGCGACAGGATTTGAACCTGTGCGGGCGAACCCAACAGATTTTTGGTGATTGTCCAATTAGGGGGATAGCACATTCTAGTCTGTCGCCTTAACCACTCGGCCACACTGACTTGATAAAGCTTTTACACTCTTTGAAAGCCTGAAGACTGGCCATGAGCCGTTTCCAATAATCCTCGACGGAATTAGGAACACTCTTCCATAGCAAGAGCCCACCTCAATAAGAGACCGCAAGACAGAAATACACGCTAAAGAGACGTCCAGCGGAAACAGTGCACCTTGTCCGTCGCCATCGGGTAGTGAAGGATCGACTCCATGGGTAAGAAGCACTGATATAATTGGCTCCGCCTGGTCTCCCCCTTGATAGGAATTCCCTGCTTATTAGTTCTTACACATGTTCTGCCATCATTCCTTCGCCTTTTGTGTTTTAAAATAAATGGCCTACGTGACCTCATCCAAAGTTAACATTAAGCCAGGTCCGGTGTGATATTGATCCCTGGTCTAGGCTGAAATAAAAGGTATTTATCTATGCTAGGGTCCAAAACGCCCAGAGATCTCCCTGAGATTGGAATCTAGACACTCCTCTCAGGCAGGATCTACTAGCTATTATATAGCCAGGTGCACAAATAAGCTGCCTCTTAAATGACAGAAGTAGTGAAGCATCAAGGCACGTCTCGCTTAAACGATCCATAATTTTTATGCATTCATCCACAATATTGAGGCCGTTGGCCAGTTTCTGTGAACGAGGTACATACCATGGATGTGAAAAAGCTTCATGCGCATTTATCTGAGGCAGGCCTCATGCTATATCGGTAGCTCCAAGACCTACCCCAGTGCATACGACCGCATTTGTGAGGAAAATAGGGCTTCCCATCCATTCAGCTGTCCTCAAGCCAACTGTGTAAGCTCGGCCAAAAGATTGAAGCGCCCTTTGGGGCTGGCTGTCTTATAGAAAAGCAACGCTAAATTATTGGAAGAGTACAGGCGAGTGTAAGTGATTCTGTTCAGAACATGGATGATCGGGGTGAGAGGTGTGAGCGGGGAGAGCAAGAAAGTGAGCGCGATGAGTTAGGGCAGGCTTAATTGTACATCGAGTAGCTTAGTGCCTCTATGTTATTAAATCAATAAGTAGGGTGTCTTGTATGTTTGTGAATTCTTTTTATCTCTATTTTAACTTTATTGTGATTTTGTTCTGGTGTTACTGCGTATATCTAAAGGCACCACGTGACACTATGCTGGCTTTTAGCTAAAGAGGAGCAATGAAGAAGAAGTGAAGAGAAGCCATGTAAGTTGGGTGAGTCATGCAGTGTTGCTCTATGGTACCAATAAGAGTAGAAAACAAAAAGACAAAGTTTGCTATCAGGGCTCCAGCTATTGACCAAAGATATGGTCTGGCTTTTAAAAGTTGGCGATTGTGAGATATATATACATATGTAACTTCTGTTTCTTGCATGGATGACATGTTATTGTAGGTAGATATTTTGCTGCAATAAACTCCAAAGACAGATACAGTCAGTGAATCTACTATCTAGGGTAAAAGGTTGTCAACTAGGTAAGATTATGTAGGCAAACCGGCAGTGGATAGTCAATATAGGGGAAACAGTAATGTTGAAACACAAGAGACAGATCTTTACGTTTTTTTAACAGTTATCAGATGCTTTAGTTATAGCCCATGGTTCAACTAGTGATCGGTTGACGAGACCAAATCGCAACGGAGACGACCCAAGAGCTTATCATTTACAATTACGCCACCGTCCGCCGAGCCAACTGTCTACAGTCAGCTAACCGGTCGAAAGCAGGCAGATCCACAAATAGATGATGAAGCACTTGGCCTCTTCGGTGGGGCTTCGGTAGCGTTGCCAAAGGCATCCAATGTAGTAGAGACTGCTTATCATCGCGAAGTCCACTTAGCTGGACAAAGGTCAAGACGGCAGTGAGTAGGAAGATTTGCCTTGCAAGGTCATTTTGCTGACGATTCAGTAGGATGCCCGTAAGGAGTTCGTATGAACCCTTCTAATCGTCGTTCTGTTCCCAGCTCTTGCAAAAGGTTGTCCCTATACATGCCAATGTTTTCACCGAGGACCACAAAGCGTATCGTGCTAATAGTTTGCTCCGACTCCTTCCTCTAGGCGCGGGATATGTCATCTGCAAGTAGCTCTTAAGTAGTTCGTTGCAGCTGTGAATCAGGTGGTTCTCGGATATCTTAAGTCTGCCAGGGAGGAGGTGCAGGTAAAGATTGGCGAAATGTTGTGGAGGTGGAGAATATACTGGTTGGGATATTTAGCTCGGCTAATGCTTCTGGTTTCGCTGGTGTTTCGAGCGGAAGTCTCAAAAAGATTTACCAATACAAATCCAATGCGATTCCACTTAAACAGGTTCGGCGCCTTTTCATGAATCCTTAGATCAGTTGAGGGGAATTTGCCATGTCTGCTTCAGGTGCCATTGGTTATACGCCGTCGGCCATCATATGTAGAAGGCAGGTAATCTCATGCGAAGCGTGGCTCATCTTTTGTCTCCCCGGCCTCCCGTACTTCATTATCCTCCGGTTCAGGCATCAGCAGAGTGTCGCTATCGCTGCCACTACGGCCTTGCCAGGGTTCTAGCAAGGAAACGTGGAAGACGTTGCGAATACGTCTCTACTGGTCGGGTAAGCATAAACGATACGATTGCGACTCCACATGGTCTGGTACTTGAAGGGGGGAAATACTATCTGATCTTGGAAGTTTGGACTAAATCTTCCGAAATTAGTGATACGGTTGTAGAACTCTTATCAATACGCCCCAGATCACAGATCAATCACAAAAGCAATACCTCCCCCCTCGCAATAGTGTGCACACGGGAATGCCACACGGAACACTGTTCGATCGTGTCGTCTCCTTTGGAAGACGTCTGTTTTGTTCCCAGTATCCTGAATTCGCTCTTGTCAAATATACAAAGTTGGGCCTCTTCTCTGCAGCGTGCCCACTTTGCGCACGGTATACATTCATCTTGGTAACAGCGCCTCGGAAATTTGATGAGATTCTCGCTCAGCATCAAGAAGACTGCCGAACTTCGCCTTGACTCTGCCGCTGGTGCTTCCAGAGCCTTTCGAGCCGGTTGAGCGATTCGACACATGTAGAAGTCAGCCGCGGCCTCTGCTGCAAGGAGTGACTTGCCAACGAGTGCAGATTCCCAGCTTTCCCTGATGCTGTGCAATTGGCTATGCTGAAAAGAAGTTTCTTCACCAGAGGTAGCACAGTACTCTAAGCTCTCATCGCAAAGCCTGCGGCCCTCTTGCCACTGCATTGTGTCCATTGATTCCTGGAGCAGCCACTCCAAGTTCCCCGCAATGAAGTATTCCACTTCTTCAATGTGAGTGAATTTGTTCTTGGTCCAATTACTCATATACTTTCTGTGCAGCTCTCATACCTTCACATCGTCATTGCGGTGCTTTGCATTCACTGTCTCTCGCGCGAGATACTCTTGTTCGGTAGCACAACGTATCATCGTGAGATGGTTGGGGGTCCACTCTCCAGGTAAGTCGTTTGGGTCAAGGTTCGAGATCTCATTGACGATAGAATGGGCAAGAACAAAGACTCCATCCAGCACAACAGCATTCTGAGGATATATCAGATTAAAGAAAGACTGGGTTTTCTAGCAGGCCTGTTTCATCTTCTCCAGCACATGATCCCCCTCGAAGAGACCACGCTGCCCATCATCTTGCTCCTTCATCTTCTCTAGATGGTCCAAGTGCACCAAGCAAGTGCTAACCTCTTTTTTTTTATCATTGCGTGCCTGGCTGACATCAGCGTTTCACGAAAACTCTTCTGTCTAGCAACCATGGTCGCCACAGAAATTCTTTGCGTATTGCCTCATGTGTCTCAACGTATTTTCCCGGCATGTGCTGGAAGATAGCCACGACTGCCTTGCTTCGCTGCAATCCGATCAAACCAGGTATGGACAAGGGAGGCGTGTAGAGGGGCTCTGTCAGCCATCGAAGATAGCAACTCCTTCTGTACTTGTATATATGGAGCCTTGCCTGCGTCCCGCCTTCTGTGGACGGCAATACGCCAAGAACTAGCTGAACATAAGCTCGCCGCTTGCTGATTGTCTCCTTCAAGCTATCCAAAATTGGATCCAGTATGTTAAGATCGGTCGTCATCCGGGTTATATGATGGATGGCTACGATATGCTGATCAGCTTCGTCAAATAAAAGATTATCAATCGCATCGATTAGAAGCTTGGAATGGAGATTATATGCTTCTGTCCAGTCGCCCGTATCAGTTGCATCTTCAAGACCCTGGAGAGTTGGGACGAGGACATCCTTTTTAGCGGGCAAATCGAACATGGCTTCAAAGGCAAGCAGAGCGAGGCTTCTTCGAACTCAGTTTGTGCCACATTCAGTGCGTATTTGTCTCGTACGTTTTCAAATGCATCTTTCCTGCTAGGCACATCATGACATTCTTCTACCATGTCATCTCCGTCCTCTGGAGGTTTCATTTCCTCTACAGCGCGAAGGAGCATGTCGAAGTCCTCCCTTAAACGTACTGCCTTCGAGCGATCCCATGGCGCAGGCAAGTCTCCGTCATTAGTACAATTCGCTGCGTGATCGGTAATCATCTTCTTTTCAGGCCACTCGGTAATTTGCCGTCGACCGTTAATTAGCTCGTTCTTGAGATGTCTGGTCATTCTAGGGGCGTCAGGAGTACTGATACGTGCGCCAACCGTGCTCTGACCTACAAGGAGCGCCAAAAATAGCAACTCCTTGAATATTATGGTCTCGAAGTCCGGTCTTTCCCGGTAATATTGGCCCAAAGTCATGTGCCATGTTAATGCACAGATTTGTAAGCTCTTGGACTGCTCACGATGCCAGAGAGACAGCCTCGTGTCTGTGAGAAGACAAATCACTGACTCGATGCAGAATCCCAACGGCGTATAACAGAGATCGGGAGGCGTTTTCACCCGCTCCACACACAAGCCTAGCAACTCAAGAAAGCTGTCAGTTGGCCACTGGTCGACAGCTATCCTGGACGAAAGCTCAAGACACCGCTTAATAGAAGTAAGAACGTTTGCATCGCCGCCGCACCTGGTAGCTTTGATGCACAACTCATTAGCACCGTACCTGTCGCCGCCATCACCACCATCACTTGGAGGCGACGCTTTTCCCTCTTGCCATCGAAATAGGATCAATTCAGTTGACTTTGGAATGAGCTCTCGCATCCATGGGTGGTGTAAATGGGGGGTTAAACACTTACAAAAGCGCGAGCGTAAATGGTGAATAATGGATGGATCCAAGCAATATGCGAGCCTAGTTCAATACGCACATATCCCCTATCAGCGGCAAATGCTAATAGTGATCCAGCTCACTGTGCAAATTTCTCCGGTTCAGGGTCATTTCGTTGGTGAGGCCCGACCTCCTCATTCGCAGCAGCCATGAAAAGCCGCTCGGGGAGATTTTACCCCATCATGCGGCGCAGACCTCTGTCGTTGCGACAGGAACTAGTTAAGCACTGGTAGTAGTAGCTATGGGACTACCCCAGAGTTTGGAAGGTCTTGACGATAATCGCAGATGTGGCGCAGTATTTCCACGGCTATAACTACCTGGATCCGTCTAAAGTTTGGCACCTGAGCCATTACACTTGTAAGTGTCGATGTGGCATGCAGCCCTAGATCCCATGCCATAGTGAGATTTCAAGTCAACCACCCAGGCTAAGCCTAAAAATGGGTCAACAGAGATACTTCTTCCTTGACGAGGCGATACCTGCATCTGAGATGGATAGTTTCATGTTTTGAGCAGTGGAGACAAAGTCGCAGCTTCTGGCAAGATTTGAACACTTTCATCCTCTTACATCCGGATGTCCGTCCCACAAAACAGAGGAGATTATCCCCGATATCCTCCCGCAGCCATCCTTGTCGACAAATAGGAAAGAGCCTATCCAAGTCTTCCGCGAGAAGGACATCAGCGCCCAGTTATCGGCACTGCTGGGGTTCAAGATCACGCGAGGTTCATCGGAGACCAGAAAGCTGGGAAGTGATCTCGTGAAGTGATCTCGTGGAGCAGTACACTCTTCCCAACCCAGAGCAATATTTCGAGATGCTCATGCAGAATAAGTACTATGCCCGGGGATGTTCGCGCGCTCTTGGAAAGCGCCAAGTTCCATCGCATATACTTGGTCACTGGCTTCCTCACTGCGAGCAGTGCCACATGGACCATCGAGACCACGGCCAATACAGCAAATAGCTTGGATGCAAATGCCCCACTATAAACGCTGGTCAGCTTTCCTGGAACAGGAATGTTGGATTTCGGTCTCCAGCCACGGGTCTGTTCTGGTGCGCAACATAGTCGCGAATTGTTCTCCGAGGGAGAAGAAATCATTGCGGCCTCGTACTCGGTAGTCAAGTTGAAACATCAGGGCAGACCGTTACCGGGATTTGATACCAAAGCCCCGGTTCTCGGGCGCCCAAAAAGGGCAAAAGCATATCACTTAGCTTTAGGACATGATGAGGAGAATTTTGAGTTTGGTGATAAGGGAGCCCCGTCTGTTGGAGCTTTGGTCGAAATTGTTGTCGATAGTAAGGGGATGGAGGGAGCATTTGCCGTCTGAGACGGTATCGTACTTCGAGCTTTAATTAGTTACAGGTCGATCACCCCGTCGCGAGATATAACGATAACCGGGCATCGAGTGCGGGAACACCTGCTATATTGGCGCAGGACGAGAAGCGGGCTATTTTACTGATTATTAGGATCACTAGTTCAGGAACACGAGATTTTTAGCAAGCCATCTTATAGGTTTACAATAAATGAGCATCTACATCCTCGACTTAAGAAGACTGACTCTCTATAACCCCTCAATGAGTAATTTATATTCTTCTTCTATGGTTTCTAGTAAAATATGGGTGTTTTGGCTGTCTCCTGTTTGCTTTACCTTGCGGGTTAGCATTAGGAAGTGATATTGTTGGCAAAATATCATCACTTCTTTGTATACGGTAATATTTCTACTCAGTTGATCATGATGAGTCTGTCGTCCGGTGTACCTCTCCAAATCCAAGGCACAGCAGGTAAGCCAGTCAGGAATTGCTGATTTTAACCACCTGATTGACTCATCTCGGGTTGCTTTGGATCTGCCGACCTTTTCTTTGAGTGGTAGGGACATGGATATCTTGAGTTTGTTAGATACAGGTGTTCTTGGAACAAGAAGCATGCGTTTGCTTTTATAGTTCTGGGTTTCTGGCATTATTGGGGTTGTCCGTAATAGCACTCGCCGACAGACTACTCGATTCATTCGAGAACGGGTGCTTCGAGCAAGTTATACTACCTACTTATTAATGCATTAAAAAGTAGGTGCGTAGGTCGCCATTCTTAATAATATCTTCATAGCCAAGGGGCCGCGACGGATCCCATCGCTACACCTGCTATAACCCAGGGTCCCACTGTTGGCTATTTAGTAATAAAACGCTACCTATAGTAGTACAATGAATGTTTACTGTGAACCATAACAGTTAACCAATCAAGCCGTGCTTTTGACGCAAGACTCTTTCTGATATATCCTTAAAACAATATAAAGGTTGTGTGGGCACTTAGGTGGGTGTACATTCTAGATAGATTGTCTATGAAAGGCTGCAGTTCTCATTTATGGTTTCTTGCATGGTATAAAGGTTCGTAATTTTCGGGTTAAAACGTCAGTTGCACGAAGCTGACAAGATAGAGAGGGTAAGAATATAAAAAAATTCGAAAATCGTCAGCGACAGGATTTGAACCTGTGCGGGCGAACCCAACAGATTTCTAGTCTGTCGCCTTAACCACTCGGCCACACTGACTTCGTTAGAAGAATATATTTATTATTTAGCCTCAAGAGTGGCTAGCACATACGGTTGGAATTCCACCCATAATTTGGTATGGTGTGTATGAGAAATTTTGTGTACGAGAAATTTGTTTCTATTCTTCCCGGCTGTTCCTAGTGAGTTTTGCTATAATTGTGCGGGATGTATATCGGCCCCTCCAGTGCTAAGCTAGATTGTGGATTAAAGATTTTTGCATTTGGCGTGTTCAATGCTCTAATACGATCTGCCCTCTATTATATATTTTGCCTCTATCACACCCTTATCTCTAGGCATGCATCCACCTTTCCTACGGCGTGTAGTTGTTTCAAAGGATCCAATCCAACCAAGTGACAGCACCGTGCCATTATATACCGAGTTAGTGTAAGTAATATAAACCCATACGTACCTGGCTATATACCACCCAATCGCTAGTGGAAGCAGACTCACCACCCTACAAACGCCTGATGATGATTCCATACCGTCACTGCCTAGATGCAATAAAGATGGTGTCTGCATCGCCAGACTATATCGGTAGGACAGCCACGCCTACAGAAGGCAGTGCAAGCCATCCTACCTGGAAAGAGGTCTGCAAGAGCGGCAACACGACGAGTAAAGGGTTGACATCCCAAAGGCACTCATGAGCACTAGTTCTTAATCAGTATACCCGCAGCGTGGCCAATATGTCTGGTCAAAGGACCAAACTAAAGAAAATATTCTATCCTGGCCCAAAGGGGTAGTAGACCTTACATTGGCGGAGTACGCTACAACCCTCAAAATGACTACCGCAAGACAGCCCTCAAGACTGAGAATGGAGTCCACCTGGTTCCTGTCACGGATAGAGGTTTAGGCAATCAGTGAACGAGTGATAGTCGCATGACCACTTGTCCATAAGGGCAACACAACATGATAGCTTCATGTTTTCTTTTCTTTTCCTCTCTTCAGCTGAGTCTCTTGGTGATAGACTACCTAATCAACTATTGATTCAGCTGAGTCCCTTGCAGTTCTAAGGAACCTAATGCTACGCCGACAGGTCGATGCGATCAGCCATCACACAGTTTAAGCAAACTATCAAATTTAATTGGTGAAACCAACACTCGCTGGCTTGAGAATTTGAGTCCAAGCTGAACATAGTCATAAGTCCTCCAATGACAACCAGCTTCAGCAAAAAAATATGTTTGTTGTTAGACTGCTGGAGCGGCTTTGAGAAACCTCACGGAGCCAGGCATTTCACACGTTGTTTTGCAGGGGTCTCTATCCACACCGACACAATCCTACTTGACACTTCTGTTTGCCAGTGGAGGTCCGAACAAGGATTTTAGTTCACCTGGGCTTCAATGTCCGCTCCTAAATTACTAACTTGCCAAGAATCAATAGCTACTGTCAGTGTGGCCGAGTGGTTAAGGCGATTGACTAGAAATCAATTCCGTTCGCGGGCAGAGGTTCGAATCCTCTCGCTGACGATTAATTTTTGCCACTGTAATTTTTATCTGTGACACTTGAATCTCGTATACGAGCTGTAGTTAATGAATGAACAAGTTCTGGTTTTGTTGTCATCTGTGTATAGCATTCTCTTTCGCCGCTCCTGTTTGCCTTTGTACCTTATCTGTTTAACAGGTCTTCTGTCCTGTTCCGTATATATATATGCTCTTCTGCATTCGCTCACTTAGATTCTTGTACTAAATAGCTCAGTCTTGTCTAAGTTCTAGCTGGCATAATCATTCTCCGGAGTCATTATTGTAGCGACAGGGTCCTGAACGGTTCAACCAAACATCGACCCGTTTGCAGGGAAGGGGGCCCCAGCCCATAAGAAGTAAAGTTATGTATTATATAGAATAAAACTACTTATGCAGTTTCGCAAACTAGGAATAGCTATAAGGAAGAAATATGCTACTAAGAATTCAGGTGCGGAATATGCTATATGTCACAGATCGAATAACGATTCAGCCTGATGACTGTACAGAATACCCCGACTCAGGTGCATGGACAATAGCGATTCGGCCTGATGACCGTACAGGATACCCTGACCCAGGTGCGTAGACAATCGGCCACCGATGAGGAACATCAGGCCATACGACAGATTGGGTTCAAGGGGGATTCTGAATCCTTTAGGCATGGAGCCTTCAGCTATAAATTAGCGAATCGTTAGTAGTAGTAGGAGACCAAGAATCAGTCTCCTGTCTGAATAGCATCTATTGCCTGCCTTTGACCTCTTCCCTTTAGCCTACGTACCCTTACCTAGTTGACAGGTCCTTTACCCTGAATAGTAGATACCCTTGACATTATAATATTTAAATGGTCATGGAAAATGCCCAAGGGGGTCACCGGGTGTAGTATACGTAGCCACTAGATGATTAGATCTACTAGAAGGCAGAAGAAGAGCCACGCACATATGAATATGGGATACAGAAGGATAGAGATGTTGTGGGTGTAATGGTTCTGGACATGGCGATACACGGATTTATGTACCCACTGAGAGTTTAATGTGCTATAAAATATGGCTTAGATTTTGCCTTACTAGCGAGATGCTTGTATAGCTAGATATTTTAGTGGTTAGGTTTTATCAGGGTAGTAGAATCTTGATCAATTGATTGATTGATAGATCATAGTCCTATTCCCTAAATAGAGAAGTTATGACCATGAATCACCCGTGGGCAAAGGCAATCTTGAAAGCCACAGCCCTGACCAGCCAAACTAGTAAGCTAGATTTAATTCTAATAGGCGCTCTGAACCCCCTGACAGCGCCCTGCTGAGTACAGCGGCCAGTGAACGACCCGGTGTCTCTTGGCCTACTTAACTACTTACATACAGAGAGATCTTGCAGAGTGCAAACTATAAAGATATCTTAATAATCCTAACAAGGGCAATTAAGAGTGTCGACCGGATCTTATAGGATTCTAAAAATACGTTATTTGTCTCCGATCAGCTGGTGATCTGGTTCGAAGCCTACATAGTATACATGGTCCAATGTGTACAAGCAGTTCGACTACGGTTAAGAAATATTTGGCCCTTTACCCTCCATATATTTTTCAGCGTTAATCCGCACTAGATGATACGAATTCCTAAATCTAAAGAGTATACTACTATTCAGATAAAAAAGATAAATATCAGTCTGTATTCATGGTATCTGTCTACCTTGCGAATACTAGATTTCCCTACTTCTAATCGCCCGCTGTCTCTATCTAGTTGGCAGGTCTTGTACCCTGTTCAGGAGACACCCCTCATATTTATAGAATAAGTGGAATCCCTAGTAAAGAGTTCAGACAGCATTTCAACTACGTAGTAATAACCTTATAGAGAAGAACAAAATGTATAATAATTTCTTAGAGTTGAGTATAAATTCCGAGATGAGGTCCGGGATAGGATTAAAGGTTATGTAACGTTACACCGTTGCAGGGTGTGTAGTTTGAGGGGGGTATTTTTGCCTTACATAACCATATACTTAACAGAGCTGTAACCTGCAGTCAGTGTGGCCGAGTGGTTAAGGCGATTGACTAGAAATCAATTCCGTTCGCGGGCAGAGGTTCGAATCCTCTCGCTGACGACAAATTTTTTTCACTATCTCTAGTTACTCAGGATATTTTTTCTGTTACTCCTTAATAAACATTCTGTCTGGCAAGAATACTCGATAGAGCAAATAATGATGTAAGCTCGACTTTGTTCGTACTGCATATCATTTCTCACTTATCTACAGTCCAAATCCTCATTCGAGACATAATGCTTTCCTCCAACCCTAAGCCCGCGTGATCCATCGAAACCCATGCATTAAACCCACCATCATATTCTTTCGGGCCTCCTGTTCTTTGCGCTCT